TATTATTATATATTATTAATTATAGCTAGTTACTATAGAATTAATTATTAAAAATTAGATTTTTTGGCTTTTTACTAGGGAAAAGTGGCTCAACCGCTGACCTGGCTCATCTGCTGTCCGTGCACTGTAGCATCTATGCTAATTGTGAAACAATGGGGGCTAAAACATCACCAGCACTGGAATCTTCAGCTGGCTTTCATCTCGAGAAGACAGGCATCACTTTGACTATTTTACTTTTCACTTTTATGAAGCAACTACTCATCTACGTATCTAGGCATGACCATACATTAATCACGACCCCTGATTCATCCCACCCAACGCGAAATTATCCTGCCTCAGCTCCTCCATCGCCTCATCGGTCAACCATGTCTTCTGTAACGCTCCCAGGCTCATATAATCTCCCCGCAGCCACCTCCCAGCTTCTATTAATGGCCCTACCGAATCTTCAGCGGCTGCAGGAACGAAAAACGCCCAAGGTACCAGCGCTCTGCATTGCCTCAGCCACTTGAGGAAGTGATTGGATCTGCGTTCTCGTGTCCAGCAAAGTGTACATGGTCCCCGTGCTGACGGATAAAGAAAGCGAAATACGAAGTCGCTTCTTGCTGACCATGGTAGCGGGAAGGTATGTGAATGCGGGCGATACGGGACGTCGCTCACCGGATTGGTAGATGCCATCTCGTCTTTGTTGAACGAGTAGACGGAAGCAAGTTGAAACTCTATGTCGCTGTGGCTTTTAGGGGGTGGAGGCTGAATTGCAGAGAGACGGCGACTATCAAGGTTGAGACATATATAGCCTTCCCTGCCGTATCGACTCAGACATTTATATGTTCGTACGCATCGCCTCGATCATATCGTTTGCCGTTCATACAGTCGGTCGTTCAAGCACTAAAGTCTCTTCGTTCACCTTCTTCCTTCCAACCATCTCAAGTTCTACCTCACTATCTTTCTCAACGTCACAATGTACATCTCCATCCTCACCCTCGGCCTTCTCTCCACCTCCGCTCTCGCCATGCAGGCCTTCACCAACGCCGACTCCTTCGGCGCCATGTTGAAGCGCGGAGACGCCATTGCGAAGCGCCAGGGCTATTACCCCAATACCAACACCTGCGGCCGTGGCGATACGTGTGAGAAAGCCTGCGGGCCGAACCAGGTTCAATGTCCTTCCAAGTCCCTGACGACACTGTACTGCCATTCTTCCATTGATGGCTCGCATTGTTGCAGTGACGGGTCTGGAAGTAAGTCCCACCACACCTTTTCCAACTTTCTCCCGTTAAATGCTTCCGGGCTCAAACGGCCACCTGCTAATGGGGCTTTGCAGAGTCTTGCCGCAAAGGCTTCTATTGTACTTCCGACGGCGCTGGAAAGACATATTGCTGCCCTGACGGCATCGATACCCCAGAGTGTGCCCGACAGTACTCACTCACTGTGTCTCTGATCCGCGAGTCTAGCACTGCTGCCTTTTCGTCTGCCGCTGGGTCGAGCGTACTTCCAGCCGAGACTCCGGTTACCTCATCCACGCCGATCCACGTATCAATCCTTCCGACCGGTCCTACTTCCCTGGTCGTGCCGACTGGTAAGCCGAACGCTACATATAGCGGCCCGAGCCTGCCTGAGTTCACTGGTGGTGCGTCGAAGATTGTTGGGGCGGGTATGGTGATTGTAGCTGGTCTTGCTGGTCTTGTTTTCTTCTGAGTCTACGTGCTGAGTGATATTGATGGATTGCATCTTGGATCGAAGCAAGTTGGTTGTAATATGTTACAGTAAAGGGTCTCTTTACAGCTAGTTCATGCGTGACAAATCGTCATAATCATCTATTAAGCCCTTCGTCTCACAATACTAGTAATCTCAATCTATGCCATTCAATCACGCCGAGAACAACGATGAGAGGATGATTGAGAATTCTACGAGGGTTGGTCGGGATTAGGAGTCCTCCTTCCTCACACTCACAATCTCACTTTCGACTCCACACTGATTCTTCCCACCACACGATTACCCCAACAACGAACCAAGCTAAAGTATATACCGAAACCCCTTATTATCAATCTCAGTAACATCCAGCATGCCCGCTTCAACCGCCGCCTTCTCCTCTTCATCGGTCAGATGAATTCCGCTCGCGGATTCGCGATCGCGCTTCTTATTAACCGACCACATGTACGCGTACAAAACTAGGACGGCTAGGAGTTTGATAGTGTAGCCAACGAGCATCCTACCAGCATCACGTCAGCGTCACTCAAAAATGCAAAAGAAGAGCTCAAGAACCAAGTTGGAGGCCGAGACTTACGCAACATATGCAGACTTGTACCCGGGCTTCTCACTGTCCTTGAAAGTCTGCGGGCCAATGATATTGCCCACGCAATACCCCGTGAAGAGTGCAGCGCCAGTTAACTGCTTCTTAGTGTAGCCGGCGATGTTGCTGCTGATGATGGTCAGGCTCATGCTGAAGCCCAGGCCCTGGAAGTAGCACATCCACAGCGCGACCAGGCGGCCCCATTTATTGCTCGCAGGAAGTCCGACGAGCAGGCCCGCGCCGATGATGCAGATGATGTTGGCGACAGACATGGTGATGCAGCGGCTGTTGGGCCAGCGCGTGCAGATGACGCCGCCGGCCAGCAGCGAGAGGAACTGCACTGCGCCGCCGGGGATCTGCAGGTACTGCGTGCCGAGCGTGTCGACGCCAAACGACTTGATGATCATGGAGCTGAAGCTCGTCAGGGCTGAATTGGGTATCTGAGCGCCTGTCGCCATGATGAAGAGGATGTAGGTCTTGGGGTCCCGGACAGTTTGCCATGCTTGGTACTTTTTGAAGTGCTTGTTCTTGACGCCCTGGCGGTTGCCTGCGACGCGCTCGACGGCGATGATGCGTTCCCTCTCGGTCAGGAATTTAGCCGTCGTGGGGAGATCTGGGAGGAAGAGGAGCGTGATGATGCCCATTAATGTGCTCGCTGAGCCGAAGATCAGGAAGACGTACATCCACCGCGGCAAACCCGTCTTGATATGTCCAACTGCGTAGCCGATCAGGCCGCCGAACATGGTGGCGATGCCATTTGTACAATAATATGCTTCTAGTCGAAGCGGCTGCTCAGCAGATGTGTACCACATGCTCATAATCAGCACGAAGCCTGGGTTAACTGTCGATTCCAAGAAGCCCAGCAAGAAACGATTCGCAGCCGTGCCCGCAAAATTGTGACATGCGGGCGTAGTCATGAGGATGATGCCCCAGCCTAGAATAGCAGAGTGTTAGCAAACATACACGTAGGTTAGTATTTAAGCTCACCAAGCGTGCAGCACCCAAGAAACTTGGCCATCGGGAGGCGCTGGAGTAAGTACCCGGCCGGCCACTGGCCAACAAGGTAGCCAAAGTAAAAGATACTGCCTTCGAAGCCATCAGTCCTGATCTCAACCAAAGTAACAACAAAGTACGCGATTGGAGACACGCACCCAACCACTGATACCCATTCTTTCCCAGCTTAGTCCCCTCGATAAAGCCGAACGCACTCGCATAATTGATCCCGTTCTTATCGAGATACTGCAGCAAATAGGTAAAGAAGAGAATCGGCACAATTCGCATGTCGATTTTCCGGAGCGCTTTCTTCGCCTCTGCGTGCTCGAATCCCAGGCCGCGGTTGTTCTTGTACGCCTCGTATGTATCGTCGAACTGCGAGGAAGCGCCAGAGGGAGGGATGGTCGGCGAGGGCTGTATGACCTCGATGTCCTTGTCCAAGGGAGTAGAAGCCGCCATCTTGTGGAGCAAGTCTCGAATCTTTCAGTTCACCAATTGTCTCAATGGGCGGGGCGAAGACGAAGACAAGACAGGATCCAAGGACACGACGAAAGCAGCTTCTTAGGCAAGCTACACGAAGGATTCCAACAGCCCATGTCAGCGGAGGAGCGTTACCAATCTTCTCGTGTGCAAATGGCCCGGCTCTGCAGCTACATGGGCTCCTTGGACGTCCCAATGCCTGGATGCCTCGCATGAGTCTACCCAGGTCTTGGATGTAATAACCACAAGAGCTTAGTGACGACACAAGAGGGCGGCCATCATTGGCGGCTGCAGCAGCGTGTGGGGTAGATGGGCGTGGAGACGGTATTGGAGGATGGGGTGCGGATGCGATCACGACATCGCAAGGTAGGTTGACGCGAGAGATGGCCCATGGAAGGGGAGAATCTGCGGGTACAAGTATCCGAAGGAAAGGTGTTTTTATAAGTTGCGATGCATTGTGTAAACTACGTTACTGCCTTGATATTGTGTTAAGATGCTGGGTATAGCACTTAAACTGTAATTTTATACTGGTTTCCCCTACGTTGGATGATCCGCTCTTGTAGTGTTGGCTCTACTTTTCAACATAGTAGAATTTCGCTAAGACAGTTAAGGTCGAAAAACTACCTCGCCCTCGGAGACTAGTAACGACCTCACAGATTGACAATGAAGCTTCCGCGACAGGGGTATAATCATAAATCATGGGAATGCAGTGCCATACTAAAGAGTTTGGTATTGTATCTAAGTCATTACTCTAATAATGCATTGGCAGCCGTGTCTATCGTGTATGAAGCTCGTTATCCGAGCGAAGCGAAAGGGTATTGCAGATGCCAGTCCCATGATTTTGAAACGCCGTACTAAGGGGACTTTTGAACGAGCAAGGCGTGAACGCTGAAATGCGGGATGGAGATGCGGAGAAGAGTCGACAAATGTACATCTAGATGGAGATGGAAGGGAAGATCAAGTAGCCGAGGCTAATGCGTCGAATCCAAGTCGACGGTGGAAGACTCGCAGCGCTTGCGGGCCAACGCGTCGGCGCAATCGAGATGATATGAGTTGACCCTCCTCACGCAGCTCATATCTTCGCCTGTCTCAGGATCGGGCTCTCTTGCTGTAATCTCAGCAGCTCTCTCTGCTCGTGAAACACCTGGCGTGCCTTCTCGAGCACCATCTCAAACCCCTCTTTCCCCATGGCAGCATTCTGCTGAAATCGCTCAACAGTGAACTGCTCTATGCTGTTCTTGATCTTCTGCCAGCCGCCACACAACGCCGTGATTTCCGCTCTCTGCGTGAATTGTGTTTTGGGCCGTGATGCAGAGTTGGAGGGCGCAGGCTGGTAGGTGCAGGTTTCGCGAACGTTGAGCAGGTCGGCCCAGGTCACGTTCATGGAGCACAGTGTGAGTTTCTTGGCGACGGGGTCGACGTAGGAGGTTTCGTAGACCATGGACGTGTCTTGGCCGCCGAGGATGCAGTTTATCCACTTTGGCGTGGATTGTTGGCAGGTGATGAGGCGTTCTGTTCGTAGCTGCGGAATCACTATTAGCATATTTCCCTAACGTTGCTTGAGGTTGCGCGTCGTGGTGAATTTTTTGGGATGAATTGTTGCCAAGGTGCAGGCATGTGAAGTCACTTACAATTCCTGTCGCAGGATCTACCGCCCGGCTTAACGTGTCGACGGCGATGACATGCGGCGTCAGCTCATTCCACGGCCCGTATTTTTGCCAGTTGTTTGTCGAGACTTCCTCCCATGAGTAGTCGAAGTCTACCGTTTGCTGGAAGTACTTCATTGTGATCGTGTGCCGGTAGTCCGGTGTCGTGCTCGTTGATCGTTCCGTGTAGACGCGTCGTGTCTTGGGAATGTGAGCGGGGTGAGTGTTGAAGGTGATGGGCCTCGATGGCGCGTGTATAAGGGTGGTATGAGGCGGTGAAGAGTTGAAGTCGTGGAGGAGGGTTGCTTGTAGAAAATGTCGGTAAAGGGCAAAAAAGCAAGCGCCAGCAGAAGCTCGGTGCGCGATAAACCGCCGATCGGGGAAGTGCGGAGCCCAACGCTTATCACCCGGGATCAACTTGCATTCTAGAGAATTTGATTGGAATGCAATTGGGACGACTTGAGAGTTGCGATAATGGATAGATGAACAGATGAATGCAAGAGTAAAGGCACTGATGATGTTGATGATGGTGAAGCGATAACAGACTCTGCACACTCAAGAAGGGCCTCCTATCTCGCCCAGCAAAGCAGCGTCACTCACCGCAGATCTACAACGAGACAAGTACGCCACGCAGGTTGCAAGCCATGTCCAGTTGCAAGCCAGTCTAGAAGCGACCTGTTTCCGCCAACGAGAGACGCCCAGATGCAGCCTTATGCGACATGCTCTACGCACGTCGAGAGCCCCTCGGAGCGAACTTGCCCCTGTGTATGGCCCAGCCAGCCCGAATCCGCCCGTATGACGTCTCGGACGGGCCAGCAGCGCTCCTGTTGGCCGGACCGCCAGAGACTTTGACGCAGGGCATGGGGTTCCTGGAAGTACTGTGGAGAAGATTAGGTCCAGATGATGTAGCTCGTCCCTTTACATTTCAGGGTCCCGCGGTGTCGTGCGAGCAGGTTGTTGGCCGTGTTGTGGAGATTCTGGGTGATGATGGTTGTGGAGGGTGGATGGCACTAAACTTGCACCCCTGGATCCGTGCTACTCCCGAGTTGATAAGCGATCGCAAGGACAGCATCACGGTGTCTGCTCTGGCAAATTCAAGGAGCGATGTAGAGTTGAAGTTGATTCCGCGTTTACATATAGCAAACTGAATTACGCGGGTTCGTAGAATTGTAAAGGAGTGGACGCATGATGGCGGCGGAAATCAACAAACACAAGACACAGAGCATGAGTACGAAGAAAGCATAACCCATCGAGGCCAAACTCGATGGCAAACCATGTATTTTACGGTAGTGTAACCATGGTATATGGTTGGTATCATAACTTTTGTATGAGCGCCAGAACGCCAGACCATGCATATGCAAAGTGTGCAAGCAGCTTTCGATGCTCGTCTCCCCGTTCCCTTCCTAGAGTTCGAGCGCCTTCTTCGCCATAGCCAGCGCGCCGTCGAACGACTTGTTGCCGCCAATGAAGCCAGCAGCATGCACAAAGACACACCCGGGGATACCAGAGACCTGGTCCAGCTGCTCATCGCGGACACCCTTCCACGCGTCTGGCAGGTCCTTGCGGTTTTCAAAGCCACCGTTCTCTTTGCTGACAGCTCGAATGCGCCACTTTCCTTCGGGTTGGTCTTCAGGGAACAAAACGTACAGGACTTGCGGTGCGACGCCCGCTGGGATGGATGCCTCCTTCTCGAGGGTGTACATGTGATCGGCCCAGGGCATGCCCTCGTGAAGGACCAGAATGCGACCTTGCGCATCGTACTGGAACCGTGCGTCGTATGCCTGCTTGACCTGGTGACGAGCGGGCAGCCATGAGTTGGCGCGGTCGGTCAGCTCGAGCAAGAACTGCTCGCCGACGAACTGAGATGCCTTGGAAAAGCGCATGTCCTCCTCGGCCTGCTTTGCCTCGGGGGTTTTGGTCTCTTCAGCGCTGGCAGAGCGGGGCCCATAGTTGTAACGATTGACGACGCTCGCAATGCTGAAGCCGCGATCCTCAAACTTCTTCTCCAACCCCGCTTGCGCCAGATCCTTGGGCGCAATAACGTTGACACCGTTGTCGTTGGCATCAAAGGCCTCAATGAAGTCCGTGTACAGCTTCTCAAACAGGATATCGCGGTCTTGCCCTTGTAGGCCAGTCACCGTGGTGATGATGTCCTTTCCAAAGTGCAGGTAGACGAGCCCCGCCGAGGAGAGCTTGGTGCTGTGGCCTGGGAAGACGGTGTCGAAGCCGCGCTGGTGATGGTCGTAGCGCTTGCTGCTGTCGTCGTACTCGCCGCCTACGTCGACGACGGTGTGGCATGTCGCGAGCTGGGCGGGGTCGCGGGTGCGGACGAGCTGGGAGTCGAGGTAGGTGGGCAGCAGCCGCAGCATGGCGACAGCGAGGGACTCATCGGCGTGGAAGTGGCCGCTGCAATGCCGCAATCAGTCTCAACGTGTATCAAGATGGGAACCTATGTGAGGGCTTACCTGTGTGTCCCAATCAAGGGCGCCTCCACCTTGAGCTTTTTGGCGGGGTTCTCAGTGGCCATTGTGCGTGTAAAGTTGGCAATGTTGTAGTAGGTAGTGACAGGCTTGAAGGAATTGAGCGGGCTTCTCGTTGCGGTTAAGAAAATAGGTCGCAGCTTGAGCATTCAATGGCAGTGCGTAGTGCTTCAGAAAGTTTCAGTAGCGGCGCATAAGAGGGTCATCAGTCCCGCGGCGAGGCTACGCTTGGCGCATCTAGCAGCAATCTGATCTGACGTTGCGGGCGCTACGCAATATTGGGTAAAAATATCAATCAACAACCTTGGTCTTGTTCACTCTCTGCTGCCAGAACCTGGGTCATCTTCGTCAGTCAGCCAGTACAGCTGCAACAGCATTGGCCCAGACGCCCCCCCAGTGTCTCTTAGCGCATCGTTACTGCATTGTGCGAAGGTGAAATATCCCGGCAGCCAGCACGCGACAGCACGCAACCACACGACGGCCAATGGTGCCTGGTCGCGCATTGAATATCCATAGCAGCCGCCTGCATCTTCCTCGCAGCCTGCCTGCTGCCTATACTACATATACCATACTCCAACCATCCCGCCTCGACCGGGATCCGCAACGCTCGAGCTTTCGGTGGAGATTCGACTGGCCCGTTGACACGTGAAGACACTTTACTTCTCTCCGCCAAGCGCCACGATCGAGAAAGCGAGGACCACAGACACGGCCCGCCTGCGCATCCCAAGTCGACCACGTCTCCAGCACAGCGACTCACGCCTCGAGTGACTTGCTTCAGCCTCGCCCGCGCACTCTGCGCGTCTATCGCGTCCGAGCATCTCCTCCTGTAGCTGCAGCGCACGTCAGCGGTCAAGCTCGTCACTGCACGAGCTTGGCGACCACGGCGTCCGCAGATGTGGCTCACCAGAGTCCTCTCCTCGACCACCTTCCTGGGCGCCATAATCTTCACCATCCCCTTAGCATTCGACATTGGCGGCCGCACCTGTGGCCTTGCCTTTTCCCTCTCCCTTAGCGTATACTACTTCCTCTACTCGTCGCTGCGCCTGGCCACACCCGACACCTCGAGGCTCCGATGGGCCCTGTGCAATATAATAGCGTGGGCACAATGGCTGGCAATCCCCACCCTGTTGATCTGGAGCCTGAACAAGTTCTCCATCGACGCGAGCAGCAACTCCGGCTGGGTGGAGCGCACCTTTGGCGGCCGGAGATCAGACTTCAAGACGGTGAATGAGTGGATCTTTGGAAGCCAAGGGCTGCTACAGAGTGCCTCGATAGCCGCCTGGGACAAGACGCTGAGGTACAGCACTCCGGTCTTTCAGATTGCAGAGGGCTTCTGCAGCTTGTTGGTCATCCAAGCCGCTGGCCAGATCACACGATGGGTGGTGAACCGCGAGCGCGGCGACAGCTGGATGGTAATCTATCCTCCCAACAACTACCACGTTGCAGCTACTAACCACCTCAACAGATCGGCCTCCTCGTCACCTCCGCATCCATCATCTCCACCTCTGTCTATTTCCTCTGGCGCATCACCACCTTTCCCGAAATCAGCAACGTGGATGCCATCCTCATCGGCGCAGCCATCACCACCGCGATATTTCTTGGCGGATGGGGCATCGTCAGTGCTCGGGGCAACCCCGTCGAGTCCTCGTTGCTGGTATGGCTCCAACAACACCCGTCCCTGATATCAGCTAACACTCTCCAGTTCGCGTACGTGACCCTTTGCATATACCAGATCTTCACCGACTACCAGCCGTCGCCTGGCTCTATTGCCGCAGCGAACGCCTACTCTGAGCCCGCTCTTCCTCCGCTCCCACCCATCATTATGGCCTCCTATACCACGCTTCTTCACGCTCTGGGCTCTCTTCCCACTATTGCCCACACCGGCTTCAATCTCATGGTCGGCGCCATCATGACCATTACCCCTTCGGTCATCATTTCTCTCGCCTATCGCGTCTTCGTCATGTACGCAGCCGCGCGCATAATCCCAGCCATAAGAGAGAGCGGTGCCAGAGCCCTCTCACAAGAACCAAGCCTGGACGATGACGACGAGACGTCCAAAATCCTTGGCTTCCTAACTTGGTTCAGTCCGAGTATCATCATCGCCGTCTACACCAGTCTGCTCATGCAGCACTTTGCCAGCGGAAACGGCACCAATGGCAGTGCTGCGACAGGGGAATGGTGGACCACCCAAGGAGGCGACGCGGGTGGGAACATGTGGCGATGGGTCAACCTCGCCCTCACCATGGGCTTGTATGCCATTGAATTGAAAATCTCTAATGCTGACGACGATGGCCGGTTGACAAGTCACTGGAAAACAGACTAAACCAAACGACGTGTGCGCACGCCTCGCCAACCCACAAACCAGACAACAGCCCCAGAACGGGCCTCGACGGGCAGAAAGAAGCAGCCGTCAGTCACGTCACGCACAACGAGGAGGAGTCAGAAATTGCCTCGTTCGAGAGCTTTTGAGCATTATGAGCTCAGGGAAACGCAGATACAGAATCTTTACGTAAGGGGTGCTGGTGGGGGAGGAAGTGGAGGTGGATTCCCCGTTTTGTCTTAGCAAGCACGAGCACGCATTTATCAGAGCAGATACCCAGAATTTGAATCGTGGCTTTTGTTAGTTTTGTCATCCTTTCTTGTACTTTTGATATCAGCATTGCGAGTGGGATGATGGGGGTGTATATATAAATGGGTTGTTGAGTGCAGGAGTAGTAGCGAGAATAAACAACGAATATTCTGTTATTGCTCAGTTTCATATTCCTTTCCTATTCTTCTTGTTGTTGCCATGTATGTGTTAACTATACATACCCACCGTCCATGAAAGCGCACCTCAACCGGGTACGCCCACCGCATATGCAATTTTAAGTGAAAATATTGACGTAGACCTACCTACATTGTAACAGTAGCCATCTTCCCAGTTTACTTACAGCAAAGCCTTGCTCTCGCTCGCTCGCCCACAACGTCTTAAGGCAGCCAGACAAGGCAGGAAGAAAGGACGCAGATGCAATCCGCATGCCTGTGGATGTTGCACCGCACCGCGGCAAGATCCGCGAGTGAGTACGTACGTACGTGTCTTGTCGACACGGCATCACGTCTGGCTAGAAGAAGTAGTGGATAGTTTTACCGTGTTATGCGAGTGTGCTTCGCGCTCATTGGTGGGCGAGGCCAGTCGGAATGGTTGTGCCAGCGTATCATCGGGCGCTGTGGAACCGCACGGCGAGCGAGGCGTTTACCAGCAGCAGCGGGTTTTCCTGTGCAAGGCTGGCGGCAAGGCGGTCATGGCTCGACGTTTGATATTTGTTAAGCGCTGGGGTAGGCGCTCTCCTTTTCGCGGTGGAATATTGCCAGAGCTGGAATGACATGCTTTGATGCGCAGGCCATGGTTTGCTGGGTAGTGGGTGAACTGTAGAACTATGGAAGGAATGGGGGGTTGTTCACGCGTTATCACATGTTTGGAGGTTTTGGTAGGAAATTAATACGCGCAACAATATTGCTACTGTAGTCGTAATACCTCGTGGGCTCTTTTTCCTGCATGAGCCACAGAGCCATCCAATTCGCTAGATAGCATGACTATGGGCGGCTGTTGGAACTCTAGAAGGTGACGCCTTGAATCAACCCTGCCGCACATCAGCGTCTACGTCCTGTGAAGAAAAGCCACAAGAACGCCTCTAGAGCGTCCAAGTCAGCGTAGACATGTACCACGAGGGCCAACGTAAGATGGCGAACGAGCAAGAATTCGACTACGCAGGAGGAGGACTCGGTACCGTGCACCTGGGTCAACGCGAGGGAAGGACCCAGCGTTCTAATCATAGGTCAATACTTGGGGCCCAGCAGTGAGCCCGAGACCGGGCCGAGCGGCGACAGGAAGGATGAGTTGATGTGGGTTGTTGCCTGTGTGAACGCTTGGTCCTTCCTACGCCGCATACGCAATACAAAAAGTCTCTTGTCGCCAACTATCCCCCACTGCATGTGACAGCAGACGGGTGGCGTGTGATTGCGAAGCCATTGGCTGCAAGTTGTAAACTACGGGGTCAGCCTACTAACGTAGAAGCGGTGTCAAGGTGCGTCGAATTCCGATTCCACGCGCCAGCGGCCCTCACAACGTAGAAGGAGTTCACCTGGAGATAAGCGAGCCTACAGCTGTGGTTTCACGTACGTCAATACGCCGTTGCGGTGATCGGAATGTGCGAACTGCCTGTTAATCAGAATGTCAGTCAGAAGTAGTACAAATGTATTACGTCCGTTTTAAGAGGCACTCGCGCCGCAATCTAGGTATGTGCCGTCATTACTACGCTCGGCCTTGCACGCCGGTGAGAGAATATCCTGCCATGCAGGGCGAGAAGTGACACGTGCTCCATGATAGTACTGCTCGTCAATCGTTTTCATAATCATCTAGGCGGGTACGCTGTCGACACCGCAAGCTGGCGGACGACGACGCGTGCGATAAGCGCGTAGGTCCGCGCTTGTCCGCCAACAGCCACAGTTTTGAGACATGACTCGGAAGCGGCAGGATTAGACGACGATTAGCGCACCGTTCCCGTGAGCGGTCTGATGCTGGCGCAAAGACCAAGCCCTAGTAAGAACAACAACGGGTAGCGGTAATGGCGGCGCTTCGAGGTTACGCCCCGTTTACGAGCGCGGTTAGGTGGGCGTCAGTTGTCTTTATGGTGCATGGCGTAGTTTAGCAAACTAGATTACTGGCTGTCCCGCCCACGAATGCTTGGGCGCATGACCGATCGACAGGAGGAACGAAGGTTAGCATACGACGGCTAAGATGGTGCTGAGTCGTCCCTTTAGCCGAGGGGTGTCGCGGCTCTTGGAGTTATATATTGGCGGGCGGGCGCGGGTTCGTGAGGCGCAAGGCAACGAGTGGGTGCAGACGAAGCAGGCGCGTGCAGGGTTGGATGTGAAGAAAGCGGGCCGAAGAGCCAACCATGGGCGGCATGAGGCTAGGCAGAGGAAGGCAAGCAAGCAGGTGTGGAACGTCAGGCCGCAAGAGAATAGACTGGAAGCGTGAGAGAGGGTGGCAGGGCAGGGCATTGGTGGTGAGGCTATAAGCCTGACGACGCAGCACACCAAGAGGGTGGTGGTGTGGCGTGGGATGGGATGTGGTAAATGAAACCATGGACGGCGATGGTTGAGTGCCTTCTTGTTCTGTCCTGGTGGGTGAAACAGGACAGGACAGGACAGGACAGGCATGCGGGCGGGCGGTTAGGACGAGGCAGTGCCCATGGTTTGTTGCATACCGTACCATAGCATACATCGCATACCATGGGCAGGCCCCTTTGTGGAAGCGCGCGGGACCAGTGGGCGATACGCAGGAACGGGGTGCTGACGACGACGACGACGACTGCTGAGCAATGATTCGCATACAGCACTGTTGGTGGTCGCTTCGAGAGCGGCCATGAGCGATGAGACTGGATGCCTGACTGACTACTACTGCGTAGAGAGCCCTGGAGTGCGTGAGAGAGAAGACGCGCCTATACCCAGCAAGAGAAGTGTCGCGCGTTTGACGCCGCAACGAAGAGGGACGACTGGCCCGTCGAGGCTAGCAGAGGGGGGGTGGGTGAGAGGGGCTCCCCCCCGCGGCGGGCGAATCAGGGCGGGTGCAGGGTGACGGTGTGCCCAGGCCAGGTGTGAAGGACGAGCGCGGCGTTCCGCGCTGGCTGCAGGCCTGCTAACGAAATCTGACCGAATGATCCTCGTCTGCCGTGACGCCGGGAGCGCTGGGACGCACAATGCCACTCTGCGGCCTGAACCCCCCTGGTCGCCCTCTGGCTCGACATACCCTCCTCTACACCCAGCGACGAGCTTTAGGGCTGTAGACGCGGTTTTTTCGCCAAAAAAACGTGGCAGAGGCGGCAAAGGCAGGGTCTATATGTATAGAGTCGAAGGAACCGCGTCTCTGGCCCTTCTATGGCGCCTTCGCTCGAGGTTCTCTGCGGGCTCGGGTGGCACAATACACGCGGGGTGCAGGGGCGGCTGGTCCACGGGCCAATGAGGCAGGCGGGGCCAGGGCCCGGGGGGCTGTCGCTGCAGCACACTTCTTCTGCAAGAGCGACCGGCCCTGCAAGTGCATAGTCCACCCTGTCGCCAGCAGAAGGAGCGAACAGCCGCCGCCGCCCTCGGTCAGTCATCTCTTTGCTGCTGCTGCTTGCTGCTGTTGCTGCTGCTCGTCCGCTGGCAGCTGCGCCTGGCCTCGGGTCGCCCCTCCCCACTGTACGTTATAGAACGCTGCTTCCATCAACGGTTGCGCGCCTTTTATTATTATATACCCACCAACCGCCCTGTTGCCGTCACGGGTGGATCCATCGCTCGCCCACCATCCATCTATCTATCCTATCCTATCCTATCCTCATCCTCAAACAACCACATTCTCCCCCGCATCGTCTGGAGAACCCCATCATCATCTATATATCCAGTACTCTCTCTCTCTCACTCTCTGTGTGTGTGCAACAAAAACACTCCCCGCTTGGTCGTGTCACGCTCCTCCACTTTTTGCCTCATACTGCAACCGTCCGCTAGGACTAGTCCAAAGGAACCTCGTCGAATCACCCTGCTGCACTCTTGCGAGGAACCAGAAAAATCCCCAGGACGACGAATCCACACTTCCACCCAACACGCGTAGCCTAGCCTAGACCAGCAGTCCTCTTCCCTCTTCTTTTGCATCTTCCCTCGCGAGACTCCACATGGTATTGGAGTCATCCCGCCCTTGACGTCTTGGGCTAGTCGGCTCGGTACTCAGTTACTTCCTTCGTAAACCATCAGACCATGTCGACCACACTGCACATGCCCGCCTTTAACCCGGCTCCCTATGGCTTGAAGGAAAAGACGGTCGAGTCTTTTGCCCCTGCATTCACGTCCGTCAACGGCCGCTCCTCTGTAAGCCCCGTCTCCACCGACCAACAGCCCGCGAGACCTGCAGAAGCCACGCCCTGGACCCAACCACCTGACAACAGCTACCGCTCCTCCACTGACTCTGCCTCTCCCACCATCTCCAGTGGGGATCGCTCCCCTGAGAGCCTCAACAAGAGGAGACTCTCAGGATTCGATCAAGACGGCGCCCGCCCCCGTCCCAGTCCAGCCGCTACAGCCTCAGCTCCACGCCATCTTTCCGGCCCCTACCAGCCTGCCAGCCGGGAAGAGACACCGCGAATGGACCTTGCCCAACAGCACACCTTGGCCCCATTGGACCGCCCGGTCGCTGAGAGGCGATGGGCTACCGAACCTCGTGAAGTGCCCCATAATGGCTACCAAGAACTGCAGCATCGTCACCCACGTTCGACAGAGTCCGTCCAGAATGGCATGCCACCAGTGTCGCATGCCTCTCTGGCTTCCATCAGCAGCCTAAATAGCCTTGGAGATGCAAGTACAACTGAGATGACTCGAGCAGGCGTGCAAGTGGAACTGAAAAAGAGAAAGCGGGTACGTCGTGTTCGAGAGAGTTTGGGACTATGCTGACTGTGATAGCAATTTGCAAACCGTACCAAAACCGGTTGTGGGACCTGTCGAAGGAGAAAGAAGAAATGCGACGAAACCAAACCTGAATGTACGTTCTAATTCTTCCCCCTTACCATTCTACGTTACATGCCGTTAACACCCAGAGCAGGCAACAACTGTACACGGGGTGGCTTCATTTGCGAAGGTTATGCACATAAAATCCCGTGGCCTAAGAACGGCGTCACGAAGCCTCCTCCTCCTCCATTACAGGCTAAAGAGCGAATGGCCGCTGAGGGTGCATCCGTCTACGCCAGGTGTCCGGTCTGCACTCAAATCCACATCCCGCACTGTGAACAGCCAGCTCGCCAGAGCATCTATCCGGAAAATCATGCACCTAGTGCAGTCGAAGGTGTCCGCAGTCGACCCATCAACGTTGAGGAGCATGAGCGCAAACCACCGGCGCCAAGCAGTTGGGGTACGTATGGTCACATTACCAGCACAATCATCTTCAGTACACTTCAAGTCCTTCGCAGTCCTTGATTTGCCAGATGGGATGAAAAGTGCACTCCAACCCCGCGCCGCACGCCTTGTTAATTTCCCAGTTTCTGTGCTGACTGTACACTGCAGGAAGTGGCTGGAATGAACCTCCACCGCCCCCACCTCGTGTTTCTTATCCCCCAGAACAACCACCTGCTCAGTACCCCCAGCCCCAAAGTGCCGCGACTCAGGAGAGACCCCCTTCTCACGATCGCCACGTATCGCAGACAAGCCAACCAGGCCCGCCACGTCAACACAATCCCCGAGTATATCACCATACACCGCAAAGTATGAGCCAGGTCGTTGGTACTTCGCCCGCCGTAGCAATTGAGCCTACAACGCACCATCATCATCAGGTGGTCCAGCACCCTCGCCCGGCGCCAATGGCGGCTCCGCCAAGTACTGCGCCGCCCGGACCGCCACCAACACACTACGCACAGCAGCCGCCAATGCAAAAGTCGGAAAAAGACAAAATGTTGTCTGGACAGCCCTTCCTGCCGTATGACAGGAAGTTGGCTGATGAGCGACACCTTTGCACCGGAGCAGTCAATCAGTTTAACAGCACGAGTAGTGCAGCGGTGAGCATCGCAAGGGATGAGCGCGGGCGTCATTTCAAGACGATTGTCGCGGCGAGATGGATCCCGCCCCGCAACACCGAACGTCACATAGGCGGCCATCTTGGCGGCAATGTGCACGTTACTGCCCCCTTCCATTGTGACTATGGCTACAACCTCTCCATCGCCGACAACGTTGTTATTGGGTCCCACTGCCAACTTCTCGACTCCGCTAGAATCGCCATTGGAAGAAATACTAAAATCGGCGCTCGCGTCACAATCTCGACAATGAAGACACCAACCGATACCAAGTTATTGAAAGGTAGCAATGGCACTGAGATTGCCCAAGAGGTCTGGATTGGCGAAAACGTCTATATCGGTGATGGCTGCATCATCGAAGCCGGTGTAAAGATTGGAGACGGCGCGATTGTGCGTGCTGGATCTGTCGTTGTCCGCGTAGGTTTCTGCAATCCACAAACGACGACGCTTTAGCTAATCTCTCCTAGGATTTACCCCGTGACTGTATCGCGCATGGGAACCCAGCATTCGGCTAATGGCACAGCCATCAAGCGAAATTCTTTCATCGCCCAATGTGCTACAAAAGTGCATTTAGGTGTTGAAAACGGCATGTGGACATTGTACCTCGTCAGGCACAAGTGAGCAATGATCCATGTGCACCATCTGGCGGCAGTTCGTCTATTTCCGCCTCCCAGGACTGCCCAACCATTTTCCTTTACGTATCATTAGGTCTGCGCCAACGTCAATTCTGTACATTTCAGTTTACGCGCCACTGTGTGGTGCTTGGAGTTGCTATGGCGTTTATGGTTTTGGAGGATACCCTGATTTTTGGTCATGTCTTTACAGTTCTCGGTTGCACATGATGATAAGAGGAGGAATGCGTATGACATTTACAGCATCGGTAAATATATCCAGCCAGAGATGGCCTTGCGTTGCGAATGTCGTCCTGCCTTAGTCTCACGCTACTTGCTGATTGATGCATGCACTCACTCCATTTGGCAATGAAGACAATTACTCAGGCCGCCTGTTGGAAGATAAGCAGAGGCGCAGTGCGCAAATCATTGCCTGATCAGGAGCGACTTGAGTGGAATATACTGTTCTTGCGCATTTGGTTTAGTGCGGCTGCGGCTGCGATGAGGGCTGCATCACGTGCATCGGGGCCCAAGCTTGATTCCGAAAATCTCCAAGATCAAGACCGACGCATGTAGGTTCATCACTCACGCCGCCATAGACATCATGCCGCCCAAGGCACCCCTCAATTGGGGACTTCTGCCCCCGTCCTTCCTTCTGCCGTCGTCGACACGCTCCCTCATCTCCTTACTGCAGCAGAATGCGACACAGGCCCCAAGACCTACAATCGCATACACATCGATTCGAACCATCAAATCCACATTCAAGCCCAAACCCGATCGGTTCGCGCACCATCCTTCGAAGCCTGCGTTGAACAGCACATCCACCGCCGCGCTCCAACGGAAAGCACACAGTACTCCCCTGCGGACAGGCCTCCTCGCAAACAAAAAGGGCATGACTGCTGTCTACGATCCCGAGACGGGGAAGAGGACAGCATGCACCGTGTTGCAACTGGACCGCAATGAAGTCGTGGCGCACAAACGGAGAGAAAAGAATGGGTATTGGGCCGTACAGATAGGAGCTGGACAGAAGGAGGCGAGGAACATCACACGGCCCATGCTGGGACACTTCGCCGCCGCCAAAGTGCACCCGAAGAGATGGATGGCCGAGTTCAAGGTGCGCGATGAAGCAGGCTTGCAAGTGGCCATCGGACAGACGGTTGGCGCGAATTGGTTTACCAAGGGACAGTGGGTAGATGTGAAGGCGATTAGTAGGGGTATGGGATTCGAAGGTGTAAGTTGGCGCTGCTTTTGATATTTTGAATGGAAGAACGGATACTGATGCAAATAAACAGGGTATGAAACGCCACGGCTTCAGCGGTCAACCCGCCTCTCACGGTCAATCGCTCATGCATCGTGGTATGGGTTCCGCAGGTGGTTCACAAGGTTCCGGTTCCCGTGTCTTGCCTGGCAAGCGCATGGCAGGAAACATGGGTAACGAGAGCGTTACGGTCAAGAATCTGAGGGTGCTGCAAGTCGATGAGAAGAACGGAATAGTTGTTGTAAACGGTATGTAAACTACACCTCGTTTTCAGAGCGATACCGGTGAAAAGTATCTGACAATGTACACTGTAGGCTGCGTACCAGGCCCGAAGAACCAGATCATCCGCGTACAGGATGCCCTCGGAAAGCCCTGGCCAAAGGGCCCCATGACCACGGCAGAAGTCGCGCCTGCTGAGATCTTGGCCACTTCTGGGAGCGCTGAGGCTACCACTGCTACTGCTTCTGCTTCTGCATAGAGGTGCAGATGTATAGAGGCGGAAGAGAGGAAATGTAACATAACATCACCAGAGGCGTTTTCGGAGGAGCATCATTGCGCGGAGCAGGCATCTGTACAGATGTGTATGAAATATGTGAGACCTATTGAAGGGGGCCAATCTCGCACATCTCCCCGATTTCATGATCGTGCCGCCATGTGGTTCTCATCCATCCTCTCTAACCTCGAACACGAGCTCTAGTCCTCATCGTCTTCGTCCCCTATCGCATCATAATCATCATACCCCCCATTATCCATATAATCATCTTCATACCCAGCGTCGCTACCGTCATCTCCAGGGCCCCCAACATCACTCGCAACATCGCTCGGTGCACCAGCGCCTTCGTCGTCGTCCTGCCCTCCACCCTCTTGTCCTATTTCGTCGTCATCATCATCATCACACGAGAAATAATCGCTACCTTGTCCTACTGCCCCCGCACTGCTGGACGCATACCCGCTCCCTGCACTCCGGCTATCGTCCGAGGGAATCTTTTCGTCCTCGGATGCTGCGCCGATCTCGTCGTCGTAGTCGCTTGCTGCGTACCGCGTGGCGGATACGTCTGAGCGTGCGATGGACGAGGAGGCGCGCGAGGCGAGGTCCGACGGCGTGGTGCTGCGGTACGAACATATGTCTGAGCCTTTGTCGTATGCGTCTTTTCCGTTATCATTGTCGGAGTCGGAGTCGGAGTCGTTGGAGTCGGAGTCGTAGTTGTTGTGCGAGGAGGCGTACGAGGAGCCGTTGCGGTGGTAACTTTCCACGTCGCTCGCTGAACCGGTGCGGTCGTTGTAGCCGTCATTGTTGTAGTTTTGCGCATCCAGGGCGCGGTACTTGTCTAGGATGTGGCTTGCTTCCTGGAAGGCATCGTGCTCGTAGTCCTTTAGGCCGTGGGAACGCATAAACTCGAGTCTGCTCTCCCAGCCGCCTTGCTTGATGAGCTGGGTGTCATTCCAGGTTTCTGCGTGGGGGAGGATGCTGTCTTGTGATGCGTGACTGTATGTGCTCCGCGAAGTAGCGTAGTGCGTTGAAGAACAGCGCGATGGAGAGTACTGGGCGCTTCGGCCATGGTGGGTTGACCTGCTGCTGCTGCCGCTTGCGTAGAGACTGGACCTCGGCGAGCGTGGGGAGATGTAGTCACTTGTTGATTCCACGGGTCGGGCGATGTAGTCTGAGTTTGAAGCAACATAGCTCCTGCTCCTGGGATTCGCGATGCGCTGGGACTGCGAGGGCTTGGAGATGTAGTCTTCCAGGCCTGAAGGCGTCGGTCGAGAGATGTAGTCCGACGAACGGGAGGTGGATTGGTATTTTGGTCGTCTCGCAGTCTGATGATGGGCGTTGTAGCTCTGGCCGTATTGATCGGCGTCATACCGCTGGTTTGACATGCTCACCAGGTGGTTGCTTGAAGCACAGCCTATGGTTGATAGTGCTGGTCTTGGGTGATGTGACTAGGTTGAGCCGGTTGAAAATTTGAGCTCTTCAGCCTCAAGGTTTCCCTTTCTTACCGTTACTGGCTGTTTTTCAAGTTGACGGATGGCTGTATGCACAACAACGTGGTCGTCGACTACTAGCCTGAATTGGATAGCACGCTAGCCGCGAAAGCCTTGCTACGCGGGCGACGTCTTTCATCCTGATCTCCTTCCGCTCTCCCACTCGAGGCATACAAGTCGACAGTCAGGGCATGTTACTGCCTTCTGTAACGATGGCTGACCTTCAGCGACCACCCACCTGCATCGAATCACCCCCACGGTCAACAACGCACGCCCTTGAACCTAATTTAGAACAGAGTCATTGCAGGGCTGGCTTATCTTGTTCCATTACTCGTGCTAAAGTGCGTACCAGGAACAGAGTGGTACGTGATCTGTGTCCTTTGACAATTCCTCCGTCGTCGTAAATTTCCTTCAACCGTGGTCATGTAAAAGAATCGACGACTCCTCTCCATACGTGCCAGGAAGCGATCCATGAGCCGTACAACACCACGAGCCTCACCGCACCACAACATGCCGGCGCAACCGATTGGATCAAGGATGGCGCGAGCTGTTGAATCGTGCACTTAACGACGCGGCCCTCATCTTATGTTAATTAAGCTCTTGAAAACGCCCGATACAGACTAACCCTAGGCGGGTATAGCCATGTGGATTTAAGTGCCCGCCCTGTCCTTTCCACATGAAACAGCCACCCACTGGCACGATACCACCTCCGAAACTATGCTACTTAGAACCATGATTCTCTCCGGTAAATCTGCGGTTCGCAGCATTCGAGTCCTATTCTGTCGTTCTAGACCGAGCGGTCTAGCTTTGACTGTCTACTACTGGGCCTAAACCACCTGTGATCCACATATCGGAATCGGTGATTAACGGCAAAGTACCGGGTCCCTTCTAGAAAGCAATGTTCCGCCAATTAAACCAAGCGCCGTGGATCAAACACTAGCTAAATGTAAAGTGAGATGGCTAATGTAAAGTGAGATATAAGTATTGTAGCCTCGCCGCAGTCTTCAAGTCGTTAAGCTTTGTCTTGTCATTCATTCACTCCTTTGTACATTTACATCCACTTCATTCTAGCAAACTGGTTTGCTGTCCATTCGTTTTTACCTCAAACTTTGAAGTAATCAAAACAACATGAAGTACTCTCTGTTCGTCGCCGTTGCCGCGGCTTTCGCCAGTGGCGTTAGTGCAGCAGATGCTGTCAAGGGCGCTGCTGAAGGTTTCGCCAAGGGTATGTGACTTATTTGCTACTCAATAGTACCGTATACTGACATGGAATCAGGCGTAACTGGCGGTGGCAATGCCGCTCCTGTCTACCCCCAGACGACCAAGCAGCTCATCAGCTACCTCGCTGACTCTTCCCCCCGCGTCATTGTTCTCACCAAGACCTTCGACTTCACTGGCACTGAGGGCACTGTTACCTCTACCGGCTGCGCTCCTTGGGGCACTGCCTCCAACTGCCAGGTTGCCATCAACAAGGACAACTGGTGCGGAAACTACCAGCCCAAGGCTCCCAAGGTTGCCAGCATCAAGTACGATGCGGCTGGTGTTTTGGGAATGACGATTGGATCCAACAAGAGTTTGATCGGTCAGGGCGCCAAGGGTGTCATCAAGGGCAAGGGTGTCCGCATTGTGAGCAACGCAAAGAACATCATCATCCAGAACGTGCGCTTCACCGACATCAACCCGGAGTACGTCTGGGGCGGTGATGCCATCACCATCAACGGCGCCGATATGATCTGGATCGATCACGTCACTACCGACCTCATCTCCCGCCAACACATTGTTCTCGGCAACGGTGCCAGTGGCCGCGTTACCATCTCCAACTGCGACATCAACGGCGCCACCGCCTGGTCGGCCACCTGCGACGGACACCACTACTGGGGAATGTACTTCACCGGCAGCAACGATCTCGTCACGCTCAAGGGTAACTACATCCACCACACCTCGGGCCGCTCCCCCAAGGTCGCCGGCAACACTGTCCTCCACGCCGTCAACAACTACTTCTACGCCAACTCGCAGCACGCCTTCGAGGGTGACGCCGGCGCCAAGATCGTTGCTGAGGGCAACATCTTCCAGAACGTTGTCCAGGCCATGCAGTCCGGCCTTGCTGGCAAATGGTTCTCGGCCCCTGCGACGCTCAACGCGCAGTGCCAGAAGTTCCTCGGCCATGCTTGCCAGCTCAACTCGTACGGCACCTCCGGTGCGTTGACTGGAACCGATACCAGCATCTTGGCCTCGTTCAGCGGCAAGAACGTTGCGTCTGCTGCCCCGGCCGCAAACATCAAGAACATCCCCCAGATCGCTGGTTACGGAAAGATCTAAAGCTGAGCTTTTTTTTATCTCTCTCTTTGGCAGTTGAGGCTGCAGGGTGGAATGGCTTGAGAGCTGGAGACGTTTTACTTCTTTATACATAGCTTTACTTTTATGGGCATATAGTTTTTGTCCCAAGTATATATTTTGATTACTCGATTCGATGGCTTTGCTGTTTGCTTACATGTGATGTTTTGATTGACTGTCCACGTAGTTACTGCTCTACGGTATACAAGCCGAAAATATCCAGGAACCACGGTCATGCTCGTTGGCATTTGATTCGGTAATTTGGACTTGAGCCAACGTGCTTCGTTATCGAAAGACGTTAGCTTGAACTTCCGACGCGGACAGGCTGCAGTGCTCTTCTTCATGGTGTCGAAGTAATGGTATTTCGTTGTGTGTGACGGCGATAAAGTAGGAACCTCCTTGTAGAAGAGTGACTAGGCCTTGGAGAGATATTGCTTGTTTTAGGCTCCAACTTGGTCTGGTGTTTAAGTGGTAGAGGGCGTTACCAGTCTTGCATTAGCTTGGTCTTTTGTGATACCCTATATTTCCTTGTATATATACAACATTAAAAGTATTGTAATTTTCAATGCTTCGGATCCCATCTACTTAAAGTAACGTGGTCCCAAGGTTGGAGTTATCTCTAAAAACCAAAGAGATTTGGTACTAACACCCAGTGCCACGAGATCAGAGTTGGCTGCACAATTAGCCCTGTCCAGATTTGTCTTCTTTTCCTTGTATCTAATCACACAGCTCTAGTTGCGAGTAGACAGCACCTTGCCACGTGTTTGATTCAGTTCTACCGTTTATTCCGGCAAAATTACGTCGCTGTAGTCACCTTAGTACCATTTATTGTTGCTACACTGCGTCTAATATTCACAGGGACCTTTTTTTCTATCTTGCTAGAGGTCTTTCTAGTCCCATCGGCGGCGACATTCTAAGAATCTGATATGAAAGGTCAGCATCATCTTAAAGAAGAAAATCGTGATCGCTGTTGCCTCTTTCGGGCCCACGATATTGTGTGTAGGCACTATTGATTCTAGCCAGCGCTTCAACTTTGTCTGGTACCGACCGAATCCCTCCGTGCTGCCAAAGAAAATGATGTCAGCCTGGCAGACACTCCACGGAGGCACACACCGCCGACTTACTGAGCTCAATGCAACCCCCTGAAGTCCTACAGCCGACATCTCCCACATGGCTTAATCAGAGCAGTTCAAAACTGTAAAGATACCTCGTTCGGACTTCCTCCCTTGCTATACTTTGCCTGCCGTAGTCTTTGAAAGACTCATTCCCCAACTGTACAAAGCCGGCTTTCTCAAAGCTCTAAAGATCACATCGAGAAAATGCACGATATCGTAACGGCAGACCACACGCCGATAGCGCCGTGTACTTGTAAAGGAGAAACGCCAGCTACATCTTAACCATGGCCGATAGCCGCAATGATCGAAGTAGTCGACAGATTGAGCGAATTTTAGCACATGTAGCAGATGGGAATTCTGAGATGTTGACATGTGCGTACAAAAGAAGGGAAAGAGTGAACATGTATAGTCGATATGCTATCCCGCGCAAAAATTTGGGAGAATGAGTGCAAATCTAGTATGCCCGCCGAAAAATGCGATTCTAACTTACAAAACAGAAATATGACCATCTCAAACGTACTGCTTCGCTGGAAGCTATAGCACACGGCACAGGTATAAAAAATGGTATCCTATAAGTACAGTCCACATCCATGTCTTCACTTTTGCTCGCTGATCCCCAAACCACTCCCAGTTCGTGGTGGTGGACTTGCAGCGCTACCTCTTCTTGATACATCTTTGCCTTCGGCAGCCTCGCGCTCGAGAAAGTCTTGCCATAGCTCTGCTAAGGATTCTTTGTTGCTTGAGCTGCTGGCCATCAACATGGGGTCAGAGAGGTTGTTGAGTGATGGGGTGCTGGGTGTACGTCGGAAGGGGGATAATGGGATGCGGAGACCCATCGAGCTAGATGATGTTCCTGGGCGGGAGAGACCGGCCTGTTCGCGTTGCTCTGGAATAGCATTAGCATGGCTAAATCATTGAGGAAGAGGGGTAAAGACGTACCCTCAGTCCATCCCAGCAGCGCAGAAATGAGCTGAAGCGCCTCGAACTTCTTGGGATCACTCCGATCGATACTAAGAAAATGCAGGAAGTAATTTGTGATAATCTGTCGATCCACATTGTCTTCGGGTCGCCCTTTCTTTAGTATCCGTAGTGCCTTTGTCAGATGCTCGTTGAGTGTGACGGCTTCGTGTCGTAATTTTCCAATCAGCAGGTTCTTTTCTTTGACTTCCTTTTCGAACGGCAAGGCTCGTTCCAGCTCTTTTTGCGTGGACTCGACCGCCGCTTTCGCAGACTTTGATGCGTCCTCTGCAACTTGAACCTGCTTCCGGAGATCATTGATCTGGGATTCGTATGTTTCCACAGATTTCTTCAACTCTGCTTTCCGTACTGTATGATGATTAGTCGACATGTCTGAGGGAGGAAGAGTGAGCTACTTACAGGTCTGCACCTCTTGCAATGCCTTCTGTAAACCTTCTACAGCTTGACTGTTCGTATCTCTATCCCTCGCAGCTTTCTCGTATTCATCTTTGAGAGCCTCAAGCTGCTCCCGTAGCTCCGTGTCCTTCTCTGTAAGATTTTCGCGCAACGATCGCTCGTTCATGGCGAGCACCTCCCAATCCTGCATGGCCTGCCTCGCATTTTCAAATTCTTCCCTTGCATACGCTTCTCGGGAAATCAGCTCGTCGCGCTCCTTGATCCAGTTTTGTTGCGCCAAACTTGATCTGCTTCGCAAATTTTCTATTTCTGATGCTTGGGTATCCCGCTCCTGTCGTATTTTGGAAAGCTCTTCACTGAGGGTGTCGTTGTTCACCTGTAGTTCGCGATTCTGTTCTTCAAGCTCCGAAACTTCTGTTTGGTACTCCTCGATTCTGGCCTACGACAGGTCAGCAATCCGCTCCGCAGTTTTCAAAACGCAACAAGCCATTCGTCTGGGGCTACTAACCGCATCGGCCTTCAGTCGATCGCCTAGACTTGTCTTGATTGTGTTGACCCTCCCTAGCAGGTTCTTGTACTGTGTCTCAAAATGATCCTTGCCCTCATTTGCTTCGTCCAGCTCGTCCCTTAGAGTTCTGATCTCTTCCTCGTACTTGGACGATACATCATCCCCTCTAGCTGCGGCTTCATGCTTGCTCTGTATATTCTCCAAACTCTTCCGTAGCCCTGTAACTTCCTGCCGTAACGCATCTCGTTCCTTCGCTATGGCGTCGAGTCGTGCGCTGGTGTCTGAGGGCGATGGTGGAGATGGAGATAGGCCTTGTTGTGAACGTGAGCGTGCTAGTCCTAGTGCGACGGCGGAGGATATACTATGGTGGTGCATACCGTTTGTCTGAATAATTGTAGGAGAATGCGGTAGGTCGTCGTCATCTATATCGTCGTCTGGATCGGCGGTTTGCGCGGCGGGCTTCTACATCACATGCTGTTAGCCATACATATATGTATAACGTTTCTTTGGGTGTGCGCCATACAGCCTGCTCGTCGTCATCCTCTCCATCTTCCTCGTGGTCCTCTGCTTCTTCCTTGGAGAGATTCCCGTTGGCCTTCTCTGTCTCTTCCGCCTTATTGGCGGCGGCGCTGCCTTTCTTCCTGTTCTTCTTCTTTTTGGATTTCGATGTTGCCCCTGTCGCTCCCTGTCAGCCAAGTTCTCGGGCTGTTTCCAATCGACGGTGACTCCGCGCGGAGGTGAACAACTGCATCCTCGGAAACTCCAAGCTCACCTACCACTCTGATTTATGGGATCAGCTGTCGCCGTCGCAGACATGATGAGGTATAAGCAATTGACTTTGCAAGCCGAAACGAAGGACTGCGACCAGATAAGGGTAAGGAACGAGCGGACTTGCAAGGGAGCATTCGTGGGAGTCTCGACTTGGCACTTCGTGTCCCGATGGGAGGTTTGTTACGACCCACGCGGCCGGTTGTGGCGCTACGTCACTAGCCTGTTTAGCCCAACTCTGCTTATTCACCGAGGCTACATTTCGTATATGCATTGAATCAACTGTTTCTAAATATACTGGTACGAAAAATAGCTGATGATAAGCGTCGACAACTTTATGAGTTCAGCGTTTATATGTGGGCGGGGTAAAATGCGGCTATCATTTGAGACATCTCACGGACTAGGTGCCTCCCCTCGATGTCGATGCTATCCGATTACGAGCGAAGTCCGTATGACCATATTCACATGAATAGTTACTAGCTCTCTTCTGCTTAGCCATACTATCCTCTACGCCTCCTGCGCTTTCAGGGTGTCGAAACTGGCCTGGTGTTGAGGACTAGCTAGAAGAGAGACATTGGAGAGCAACTAATTGTGGTGAATGAACAAGTGCATGTCAACACCTAACAGGCGCGGAAGTACTTTTCAGCGCTGGAATGAGAATTCAAAGGCTTCCATTCAAGGAACTGTAATACAGTCCATAATCGTTGTATATCGCCTGCCATCTTACGTTCACTTGTTGTTACATTCCCGCTGTACAAAGATCGCGAACGCCTATATCATGCTCGTCTATACAATACAACTGTACATGTGGATCAAGCAAGTGTGCCTCCATCTCTTCTGCCTCTTAATCTTGGACTTCTCACAAGAGCTGCTAGATCACCGCTTCCACCCAGTGTGTTTTAGAATCTGGTCCTCCTTCGCCTTCCTGGGATCCGGTTCCATGGTGCGCTTTCTTCGACCTTCGTCGCGCTTCTCTCGCGCCATTTGCTTGACTTGCTTCTCAGTGGGACGGCGTAGAGACCAATTGATCTGGCCAAAGATGTTGGTTTTGATCGCTGCCGCAGCTGTTAGCCACCGTCGTGCGCAGCATTCAAGTTCCAATTTGGGCCCAACTTACCATCCACACAATATGGACACAGAATATGTAACCGCTTGACCCTACCGCATGCCGAGCATCTGTTCAGCGATGTGATGTCCTTCAATCCCTTGCCGGCCATGAACCTTTGGCGCTTCTTGCGGTAGGACGTCTTCTTCTTCGGCACCGCGTTGAGTATGCCATCCCAGATTTCGGCCAAGGACGGGATCGACGGGAATGATAGCGACGGTATTGCGAGCGCGCCGAATGGTGTGGAGAGCGCACCAAAGGGCTGCGAAAGGCGCTGCAGGAAGGGCAGGTTCACGACGGGTCGGACAGCGCCGTTATTGAGCGCGGGAAACAGCGTCTGCCACAGCGGAGGCAGCGGCCGGGCGAGGGCCATTGTGAGATGGGATGTTGGCGAAGCGGGCGGCGAGAATGGATCTGCAGGGCCTCGCGATGTGCTCTGGTGATGGTGTTGGGGAATAAAATGCACCCCCGGTCAGAGCTCAGGCCGGTCTTGCCCTTCCTACTCCTAGCGCGACTTCGCTTCGGTCCCTGGCTGGGCTACCCCCTTTCGCGCCTGCGTCTCCACGAGAAAGTCGCCAACGCAACGTCCCTGACTGTTGACTCTCGTAACAACTTTGAACACCACCAGGGCCAGCGCTCTCTCCACTCCCCTCCATCTCTCACCCGTATCCCTCTTGACTCGCACATCTGCCCTCGCGGCTCATATCGCCCGCAATGGCTGCCTCGTACCAAAATCCGGCTCAAGCTGTGTTCCCGGACAGCTATGTCGGTTTCGACACCATCACCAAGCAGATTGAGAGGAAGTCGGTCAAGCGAGGCTTCCAGTTCAACGTCATCTGCGTCGGTAAGCTTCAACTAGTGCACGCGTGGGGTTTCAGTGGCTAATGTCGCTCGTCCATTCCAGGCCAGACAGGTCTCGGCAAGTCGACGCTCATCAACACCATCTTTGCCTCGCACCTCATGGACAGCAAGGGCCGCTTCCTGCCCGACGAGGAGGTACGCTCCACGACCAATATCCACCCCGTTTCGCACATCATTGAGGAAAACGGTGTGCGTCTCCGCCTGAACATCGTCGACACGCCCGGCTACGGCGATCTGATCAACAACGAGCGCTGCTGGGACCCCATCGTCAAGTACATCAAGGACCAGCACAGTGCCTACCTCCGCAAGGAGCTGACGGCGCAGCGTGAGAGGTACCTCCAGGACACGCGCATTCACTGCTGCTTGTTCTTCATCCAGCCCTCCGGCCACGCTCTCAAGCCCATCGACATTGTTGTGCTCAAGAAGCTGAGCGAGTTTGTCAACGTTGTGCCTGTTATTGCCAAGAGCGACAGCTTGACCCTGGAGGAGCGTGCTGAGTTCAAGCAGCGGATAAAGGAGGAGTTCCAGTTCCACAACCTGCGCATGTACCCGTACGACAATGAGGAGGATGACAACGAGGAGGTTGCGCTGAAGACTTCCATCAAGGTATGCACTTCCAAATCCCAGGCCTTGGAGATTGAGCCAATGCTAACGCAGAGTAGGAGCTCATGCCTTTTGCTGTTGTCGGCTCTGAGAGGACTGTTGTTGTCAACGGCAGGAACGTCCGTGGCCGCCAGAACAAGTGGGGCATCATCAATGGTTAGTCAAAGCAAACTCTCGGCCACTCCAACACATGTACTAACATTTCGCAGTCGAGGATGAGAACCACTGTGAATTCGTCTATCTTCGCAACTTCTTGACGCGCACCCACCTCCAGGATTTGATCGAAACCACTGCGCAGATCCACTACGAGTCCTTCCGTGCCAAGCAGCTTCTTGCACTCAAGGAGAGCTCCGCTGTTGGCGGCCACTCGTCCCGACCCATCTCGCCCTCTGCCGACCGCGAGCTTAGCAGGAACAGCCAGCGCATGACTATGAACGGCTACTAGGAGTTGCCGAACCACAGTCGTGTTGATAGCATTGGGGCGAAGCCAAGTGGTCCTCTACCACCGCGCATGGACAGGCCGGTGCCGATGATCGACGCTGTTTGAGTGCGGACGTGGAATGGATGCTGCGCAACGGTTGCAAGCACGTGGATGTGGAGAAGGGAAGAATGCGAGATGTGTGATACCAGTGCATTGCTTCGCACGATGACGCGAGAGAATTGTGGGACAGTACTTTCTAAACACTCGAGACTTTGTTCATTCAGTATAGTTTTATTTTCGATGAAGCCTCCCCGTTTCTTATGTTCGAGCACGGTGTAGGGGTATGGATTTGGGCACTGCCTGGTGTAACTGGTTATACCCAGCTCGAGATCTTCTAGGATAGTGTAGTAATTCCACCCAGAATGGTTTCCATCTCTGGCTCTCCTCGTCCAGTCGTGCGCTCGCCCTTTCCTACTACCCTTGCACCAGGCTTGTCATTTACTCCCAAGGTTTGCGCATCGTATCAGTTTTGCGTATGACCTTGAGCATCGCACCAGTTCTCGCATGATACTTCTCAAAAGGAAGGCGCGGCCTTGTCCGACACAGAGAGGTCCCCGTCTCTCAGAGGTCACCACCAAGCAAAGGCATCTCAACCCTGGATCTTCTATCGCGGCTGATTCTACCGCTCGACGTACATGTAACTCTGCATGTTGCAGATATCAGCGCACCAACCGCGATCCAGCAAAGTCCTCCATACTATCATCACCCTTCCCTCCCCTCTTCCTCCCCTCTCCAACGACCCTGACCGGACCACCCTTCCCCCTTGCCGGTGAGCCATTTGGTGATTTGGGAGTGGAGGCATGGTCGCTTTCGCCAACGATGCGCTCAACGACTTTAGCCTTGGCCCCTGCCCGCTTGAACCTGTCGTCAAAGTCGGCGACAGCCTCTTCAGTGTTGTCGGTGCTGAAGGTTTCCGTATCAGTGAGCGAGTGCAGGAGCGTGATGTTGTTTTGGAGGCGGGCGTTGTTTGGCAATAGAGGTAGTAGCTTCTTCTGATCCTCGACTGCCGTTGTCTTTGTCTCCTTTTCTTCGTCGTCTAGGTGCTGCTTGTGTGCTCGCAGCTGGGGCAATCTTCCTGCCCAGACGACACTTCGCCCATGCAGTTCGCCCAGGGCGGCGAATTTCTCGAAGCCCTTTTCGAGACCGAAGACTCGGCCCTCGATCCGGCCTGCTCGTGCGCCATCGGCTACGCCTTGGGAGTAGGCCGTGGTGTAGAGAGAGTCTTCTAGGGTCAGAAGGCTGTCGAAGGGGTCGTCTTGATTGGCTGACTGGGTCATGATGTGCGGATGGTAGTGTTGTGGTGGTTGTGAGTGGCTGTGAATGGATCAGGTCTTCGCCCGACCTTAGTTGAGCGAAGAGTCAAAATAGAGTAGAGGCTCAGCCAAGATTAGCGAATCCAATGCTGCAGGGCAACCTTGGAAGTGCTATTCCTTGCCTAAGGTCCGAGATGTTAGCTATCCAGTAGTGCAAGATGTGTGGCGTTCGCTGGGTGTGGCGGCGGGCGGCTGGTGGGGTAATGCATTTTGGAGGGGCAGCTTTCGTCTTCGCGGAATGGCCGTGTTAAGAGCTTGACTCACTTGCGAACCAAACAGCCTCCACCAGCTATACATTACCCCATTGCTCGCCAGAGGCTCTCTCTTTCTCTCACACTACCTGAGATCCTCCACGAACAACTATCACATTGCCGTTTGTCATAGCATAGGTAAGCCTCCTGGCCTTCACAGCATTCCAACTACGCAAGCTTACACATGGGGGCAGGCCCTATGACTGCGAACAAAAAGATAATACTGCCCGTCGAGGGCGAGCGCAATGTGCTCATCACGAGCGCTCTGCCATACGTCAACAATGTACCACATCTAGGCAACATCATCGGTAGTGTCCTGTCCGCCGACGTATTCGCACGCTATTCTCGCGCACGCGGCTACAACACGCTCTACATATGCGGCACCGACGAGTACGGCACCGCGACCGAAACAAAAGCCATCGAGGAAAAAGTCACACCCCAACAGCTATGCGACAAGTACTATGCGCTGCATGCCGAAGTGTACAAGTGGTTCAACATCAGCTTCGATCACTTTGGACGCACGCCGACCACGCAGCAGACAGACATCGCCCAGGATATCTTCACCAAGCTGTACAAGAACGGCTACTTGGAGGAGCAGACGACAACACAACCTTACTGTGAGACGCATAAGAGTTTCCTGGCAGATCGCTTTGTCGAGGGCACCTGCCCGCTGTGTAACTACGAAGACGCCCGAGGCGACCAGTGCGACAAGTGTGGGCATTTGCTCGATCCACTTGAACTGAAGAATCCGCGCTGCAAGCTCGATGGAGCCACACCAGTGCCAAGGGAGACGAAGCACATATACCTAGGCCTAGATAAGCTGCAGCCGGCTGTGGAGGAGTGGTTCAAGAAGTCGAGTCAGGACGGGCTGTGGAGCTCCAACGGCGTCCAAATCACGGCATCATGGCTGAAAGAGGGCTTGCGGCCGCGAGGAATCACCCGCGACCTCAAATGGGGGACAGCTGTTCCGCTCGATGTACGTACTAGCATAGTATAGCCTGGAGTACTACAGCACACTAACGGCTGCCAATATAGGGCTACGAGGACAAGGTCATGTACGTGTGGTTCGACGCGTGTATAGGTTACCCATCTATCACGGCCACATATACCGACGAGTGGGAAAAGTGGTGGCGCAACCCTGACAACGTCAAGCTCTATCAGTTCATGGGCAAGGACAATGTTCCATTCCATACGGTCGTCTTTCCCTGCTCACAAATTGGTACTGGAGATAAGTGGACCATGCTGAACACAATATCCACGACCGAGTACCTCAACTACGAGAAGGGCAAATTCTCCAAATCAAGAAATATTGGCGTTTTCGGCAATAATGCGAAGGAAACTGGAATCGCGGCTGATGTCTGGCGCTACTACCTGCTATCACACCGTCCGGAGACTGGAGATAGCGAGTTCGAGTGGGATGGCTTCATCGCAGCCAACAACAACGAGCTCCTTAAGAATCTTGGCAACTTCGTCAACCGTGTCATCAAGTTCGTCAATTCCAAGGTATACGACAGCGTCATCCCAGATTACACAAAATTCGACGACCCGTACTTCACCGAACACAAGAAGAAGGTCAATGAGCTGTTGAAGAAGTATATCGAGGAGTCCGAGGAGGTCAAAATACGCGCCGCTCTAAGCACCGCACTACATCTCTCCAGCCAGGGCAACCAACTGCTGCAGGATAATCGATTAGACAACAAGCTCGCGACCGAACATCCCGAACGCTGCGCAGCTGTGGTGGGCCTAGCACTGAGCCATATCCATCTTCTCGCCAGCTTAATACAACCGTATATGCCCGATACCACCGATTCTATTCTCTCCCAGCTGAACGCTGAATTCCTCATTATTCCCGACAACTGGGAGGCCCGTTCCCTACCCGTAGGCCACAAGATCGGTACTGCCGGCTATCTATTCAGCCAGATCAAGTCCGAAAAGGAGCAAGAATGGCGCGAGCAATTTGGTGGTGAGGAGGCGCGGAAAGCAAAGGACGAGAAGGCACGGAAAGCAGCTGCCAAGAAGGCTGAAAAGGAGAGGAAGAAGGCTAAGAAAGCAGCTGCCGACCCAGGAAAGAGTGTCGAAGCTGCTGAAAAGGGACAGGATGGACCTGCGGAGAAGACTGCCGAGGAGGAGGTCTCTAGGGGCGTAGAGCAGGTCAGCTTGCAAACGTCATAGTGTGTTTGTTTGCGCGGGTGCTTCTGAGTAGGCTGAGGGCCTCTAGACTAGGTTGAAAAGTGTAGTGACGTTGTCATGGCACGTGTGTTCGAAACTGGGTAGTAAGGCTCAGGGCTGTGTTACTAGTAGAATTTCTCCGTAGTCGTCTGGCATCAATGGTATGCATTCTCACCACACCTGGGCACCAAGTACGATTACCCATGTGTGACAGGGAACTTCAACTCCTCTCCTGCTACTTTGCTAGCTCTAGTATCATAGTAACAGTGACTTGGAAGCACGCCACTAGCAGTCCTAGAGCTAAGAACGCCTTTTGCATAGTGAGAATTTCTTACATATGATTCCCTTGACTGACGGCTGACAAGATCGTCTTGGGTCGTCTTCTGGGTGAAGAGGAAGAGGGCGGAGTAGATGTGTGTTGACCAAAAGAAGGACAAGAGTAGGATATTGTTACAAAATTTGTGGCACAATGTGTAGAGTTTGACGGTGTCCTGCACGAGGCAGTGGTCACTAGTAGGTACACCGCTTTTATCCATGAAAACAAACATCAATCGGCCATAGATGGTCCCGAAGAAACTCATCGCGTATCTGCCTGCTACGTCGAAAGACCAGACTCTGGGTCTCTATGCTAGTCAATCTAACACTTTGTCTCTGCCCTAGGAGAACCCCGAGTTTTAGGTGGTGATCAGGGCATATAGGGATGGGCAGACTTATGGTTATTGTCGGTAATTGTGCGCTTTTGGCGTGCTTATTGTGTGGGAAGCTATACTGGAGAATCACCGATTGAGAAGATATACAGGAATAAATCAAGGAATATGAACTTTTCAATTGCATTGACATAAGAGCACATGGTATGATCCTGTCGAACCAAATTTCACAATCCATGATTTCCACGAGTTCTTCTCCTTATATTTCACCAACCCTCCAACTCCTCAACCGACGTCTCAAGAGATGGCGGCATCATAGGCATGCCCTTTTTCAGTGCCCCCACAAGCGGATCGTGACTCAGTAACGCATCGACCTTCTCCGGCGTACCCACGTCCGATTTAACGCGCATATACGCCATTCGACTGGGCTTGTCTACGACGCTAAAGTACTTCTGCCTTCTAGCCTCGGACCACGAGGCCAGCAACTTGTCCGCATCCGAGGCTTCGCTGCCAAGAATGCGAGTTAGAACGGAAGAAAGTGAGGACGCGTCTGCGATGCCAGATGCCAGACCCAGGCCCGCATACGGGTTGGTAAGGTGTGCTGCGTCTCCGACGATACCTACCCTGCCCTTCCAGAATGTGTCTGCGCAGCGTTGTTGCGCCTTGTACGGCGCTACTCTGACCACTCTGTACGCCTTCTGTCCCGCTTCGTCTACGCCGTCGTTTGGTAGCATGCGTCGTAGCTTGTCGTCTACGCCCTGTTTGATTTCTTCTTCGCTCAGTCCTGCCGGAACGCCGTAGCTAACTCTCCACAGGCCATCTCTGTTGATGCGTCCTATGAGCCCGTAGTCGGTGGGATCGATGATAAAGTTGGCGTCGTAAAACCCATATTTTGCAAAATCAAAGCCGTGTAGGTCCGTAGCCACAAGCTGTGCGTCCAAAGTCTCGCCGGGAGATGCAGTACCCATCATCTTCCGCACAGAAGAGCGTGCCCCGTCCGCGCCAATCAGATACTGTGCTTCCAGCCGCTCTTCTGGTCCTGCGCGAGACTCGACGTGCACGTATACGCTCGTCGACGATTCAGAGAACCCCACAACTCTAGACTGCAGTATGACTTGCGCTTTATCACCAAAAGCCTCCAGCCGCCTCATCAACACATCCTGGAACTTTGCCTGCGGCAGCAAAAGCTGGCCTTTACCTTTCATCCCCGCCTCTCCACTATTATTGTCAAACGCCTTCCCCGCAATCACTTTCGACCCAGTTGCCGCCGCGGTGCGGAAACATAGGCCAGACGACAAACAGCCTGTTTCGACAAGCTCGGGTAGAAGACCTGGTACGCGTGCGAGGATGGGATACGTAGGCGGTTGATGTGCCATTGCGCGGGTGGAGGTGGGGTCTGGAAGCTCGAGCTCGATGACGATGATGCGGATTGGAATGGCTGAGTGGGCGAGGAGGAGCGCGAGGAAGAGGCCTACGCAGCCGCCGCCTGCTATTATGACAGGGAGTTCATGGGCGGTGCCTTGTCCATTTGTATGCGAAGTGGGGTTTGTATAGCCGTTCGTCGGCTCGCTTGTGGTTGCCATGTCGCCGTTCTAGTTGTAGGTCTGGCTCCTGAAGTGAGGTGGGAGCGAACGTTCGTGTGCCTATTGCGCTTCCTTTGCATTACATTTATTCTTTGCGGTTGGCGCATCTTCGATTGCTTTTCGTAGTTGGTGCGGTCATGCATGTATGGTGGTGTTGCCGAAGCGGGTTGTGGGGAACCGACAGCCTCAAGTCCCTTCGTATAGGACAATGATATGTGCAACTCTGATAGCTCGGATTTACGTTGAAATCTGTGTGAGGGCCGGGTGGACTTCTTGCATTCTGGTCTGAATTCGCCATTGGCGGATGACTTTTAATCTGCAATTAGCCAGTTTTCTCACGGCCTCTAGCCACGATGCCGATAGGTCCCTTACTAACCAGCCTCCATTCTTGACATATCTCATGTCTGCGCCAAACCTGCGATATGAATCGCCGCCGCCGGCGCTGCTGTCCCAGCTCCAAAAAGCCGCGCAACACCCAACGATCTGTGACCTCCACGGGGTCCAGAAGAATCCCTGCTGAACTTCCGACACTGCACCAAGTCGATGAAATGTCACTGAACCGTGGTGAGCTTGAGCTGGCATACTCTCGTACGCGCGGGTGGCGGGTGATGTCGGAGGCGCTACAAGGCCCCTTGCGGCCTGTTCGGGGCATAGGCTAGAGGACAAGGAGCGGGAGCGTACGGCAGAGGAAGGAGGTTAGAGCTAAAGGGGAGCAGATTCGGGTCGCGGTGTCGTAATAGTAGTAGTGGTAGGCTAAGATAGCATTGGCAGGTGGTAGTGCCTGGATGTTTTTGGGCCGCAATATTTGCAATATGCGACAAGGCGGCATAACAACTGCTAAGCCTACCGCCCGACCAAAAACAGCAAGTATACACATCCAGAGGTAGCTTATAGCCCTGCAGAGAATATAAGCAAAAGAATATGCTATACAGAAACTCTTCTTGTTTGTTAGCTATCTGTCTGTCCGTTCTTTTACTACTTAGTGAAGGGGGCCAAAAAGACGCAAAAAGGAAGACTCGCTAGCTCAGTGGGGTTTGTGTTAATTGGGTATTAGGGAACAGCTTGCTTACCGTAGTATATACGCCGGGTATGAGAGAAGGTGTCTATGGGTCAGTAAAGGCAAATCATGGATGATAAGGGACAAAGAAGCTGCTGCACAGGTGTGGGGGGGGGGGGGGGGGGGAAACTGGGAAACAACATTAGCGAGCTTCGAACTGGCGGAGGTTTCGGAGCGACGGGGAGTGGAGTGAGTGAACACCACTGCGCTAATATGTCTGCGAGTCTTCATTGATGGAAGGCGTGTATAATTAAATCCATTATATCCTCAATGATGCGGTAGAGTAGGGATTTTGCAGGAAAAATGATGTCAACAGCGGGCATCGTATGGGCGTAGAAATCCAGCAGAAGAAACTTATGAGGTGAAGGTCAGGTAGTATGTTTACCAGTTTCGCCAGCGCGACAACATTGGGTGCGCTCGTGCACTCGACGCGTCGACGAGGGGCAGGACCGGCGGGAGGCGTTCGATTCTTCGTAGCATGGCAGCGTCGGCGAGTATCCAGCTTGGTATTGCGAGCTAGAGAGGTGTCGTCCGTCGTTGCCCTGCCAATGGGCACTCGAAAGAAGAACCCGCGACGACTAAGAGTCCTGGACAAGTATTAGCAAAAAGGGAAAGCACGCGATTCCGCCGGCCACAGCGGTAAACCTCAAGGAGAGGCTGTGCTTACTATTTTTGGTCTAAGTATTAAGATATATGCGTCAAGGGGCTGAGAATAAGGGCAAGTCGGTGGGATCAAGGAGGCCTGGCTGAACATCGTGACAACAAATTCCGAACACAAGCTAGAGCGACGGTACTGTTGAAGCACTATCGAACCGGCATGAGCATTGTGTACACCTAGACGGAGATACGAGATGAATCGCTGAGCCATTGGACTTTGGTGTTTGATGAGCTGTTGGGGCGGATGAATGGCTCATGACCCCCCGAATTCTTGATTTCGCCAAACTCTTGATTTTTGCCCTTTTTAACAGTATTTCTCCGTTGGGACCACCATAATTCTGTTCTAGCGTCGCGGCCTAGCACCTTAATGAGGGAAAGGAATGGATGCTGAGGGGGCGCCGTCGATGAGGCGGGAAGTCAAGAGCAACGCACTAAACGTTACACCCAGCACTCAGGAGGTAGATAATAGACACGAAATCTATTTTCCGAAAGTCTTCCAGCTCTTGAAGGGTTGAAAGGCTACTAGCCACGCTCAACGGCTTGTTTAAGGGGAAATTGAAAAGAGACTGTCATATCAGATGGTCGTAGGGAAGGGAACACTGGCGATTTTGAAGATAATCCTCCTTGATGCGCTTCTGTGATAAGAGGGTCGACAGTAAGAGAGATATTGGGTAGATATACTGTTGGTTGTTGTCCCAAATTGATTCATGTTCGATGTCTCCAGGACAAGCCCGCATCATGCATCGCGGCAGGGGGTGTTGTGCATGCACATAGCGTGTACGCTCCCAAGTATGATCAAGGCTGCCTGTAGTAGACGTCGTAGAAGGCTTGCATAGCTCGTAGTGTCCAGGACTGTCGTTGAGAGGGGAGACATGCCGAAGCGAAAGTTGAGATGACGAAGGCTGAGCGGCCCCACCATTCGGGTTTGGTGCATCGGAACTTTGAACGCAACTCCCGGCTCCCTACTCCCTACTCCCTGCTCCCTGTCCCAAGTTTGGACGACAGCAAGCTCGATTTCATCAAGATAAACGCAGCCATGGCTCCATCCAGGGGCGACAGCTTGGCCTGCGCTCGGCGTATCTTCGCAGCATGCAATTGCCCACGCACATCGTTACTCGCGCCTCGCCGGAGCTATTCATCGCTCTTGATGGGCAGGACGGCTCCTTGGAGCCTTTCTCTGCCGAGCAAGAGGCCCGTTGCTTACAGGAGATTCTCATCGTTCGTGGAGAAGCTCGCAGACCCCTCTAACAAGCTGCAAAGCTACATTTCCAGCAGCGACGACCCGTACCTCAACCTCTCAATCGAACATGTCATCCTACAAAAGAGCCCCGCAGACAGCACCGTCCTCTTCCTTTACGTGAACCGGCCTTGCGTGGTCATCGGCCGCAACCAGAACCCATGGACAGAGGTCAATCTCGGCATCCTCAATGGCACACGCCAAATGCAGAATCCCAAGGGCAGCGAGCCCCCCGCCATGCGCCCCGTTGACCTCGTGCGTCGCCGCTCCGGAGGTGGCACCGTCTTTCATGATGAGGGCAACCTCAACTGGAGCATTACCTGCCCGCGCAATGATTTTACGAGAGACAAGCACGCTGAGATGGTGGTTCGCGCATTGCGCAAGCTGGGCATCCAACGGGCTAGGGTCAACGAGCGACACGACATTGTGCTCGACCAAGGACACGAGAGGCGCGCCTCCGACCCTCATGACACGCATCGTACATTGTACACAGTCGATCAAGGCACGCTGCCACGGCCTCTGAAGGTCTCTGGCTCAGCATACAAGCTCACACGGCAGAGAGCCCTGCACCATGCGACGACCCTGCTGAGCTCGCCGAATCTGCACATCATACCACAGTACCTGCGCTCTCCGGCGAAGAAGCTCATAGAAGCAAAGGGCGTCGAGAGCGTCAGCTCGCCCGTCGCGAACATCGGCCTCGACGTAAAGGCATTCCAGAAGTGTCTACAAGCAGAGTTTGCAAACATGTATGCAAACCTTGGAACACCAAGCATCATCGAGACCGTCCACGACGAGTACCTAAACATCCCAGAAGTTCGGAAAGGATACGAAGAATTGCGGGTATGTGCCATACCTTCTCCGGCAAGGTCTTGCTAACCATGACAGACTGACGATTGGATGTGGTCGCAGACCCCACAATTCCATCTTTCGCTCGACCCCAGCGTCGATATTGGCGTCGATATGGATGTGCACCATGGCATAATCAAGAGTGTAGACTTCAAGGGCTCCCTTCTGTCGACCGAAGCACAACAAGACCTGCGGATTATGCTACTCGATCAGAAGTTACAGGATATCCACAACTGGACACGATTCCTGCAAACCCGTCTCAAAAAATGGGATGAGCGGAGCGCGGCGGTTGCAAGACGTTTGGATGAGCTCATGCCGATTCCCGCGCCGTCAATGTCGATGTCTGACTAAACACCTGGAAGCCCAGAAATTGGCTTTCCATTATGCATAATCTAAGAGCTGGAATTGGAATCGGAGAACGTTTGTAAGATTGGTGTTGTCAATTCATCTGGTGGGTGTAGCCGATGGAAGATTATCCCGAACTTGAAAAGAAAGGTCTCGAAATGCAACCGTATTCTCGAACGTTCTGTATTGGGCAATGAGTTGATTGCCTGGCTGTCGCGGCACTTTTGGACAACGTTCTACCAGGCTCATCCTGTTGCTTTCGACTTGTTCCTGGTTATTCGATTGGAACTCGAGGTACGATGCGCCCTTCCGCCCCATCGATTTGAGCAGTAATGACAGCGGCGATCTCCACAAAGGGGATATGCAATACACCTTCGTCTGCCCTCGGCCAAGTCCATTACTTGTCAGGACTAGGCTTCCGGAGATAAGCTGGCAAATGCCTCGACTCCTCAGGATCCGGATGATATGTCCCGGCTTGCGTTGTTATTACTGCACTTCAGGGATTGCCACTCCATCCGTCAATGCACAACCCCCCGACAGGTCGCCCTTGGATCTATCTGGCGGTAGTCGATCTCCCTGGGGGTAAGCTGTCAAACCGAATAACGTTCATCGTAAGTACGCCTTGTTCGTTTGTAATGACTGACGATGTTACCCTCTCATCTTCCGTCTCTTTGCTCAGACGAAGGCTATCCGTTCGGAACTATACCGAAAGTATTCTTCGCTTAATCCTAATCTGCTGTGATGAGATTGGAACTTCTTCGGCTCTTCCCAAGTTGCCGTTCTCCTGGCTTTTGAACGAAAAGTGGGCATCATCTCTGTTGACGGACCCGCTGTCGCCGCGTATGACCTCACATACTCAGTATTATGGACAGTATCTCGGCTTTGCAAGGACTTAGGAAATCTGTTGTCTGGGCCTGCGACAGCTTCCGTGCTTCGCCGTACAGAGTGCACTCTCGACCCTGTAATCTCCCTTGAGTATTAACAGGTGGCACAATACGTTGTAGTAGCGTATGTGTGCCGCTTAATTGTGTGCGAATAGCTCGGTCTCAATCAGTCGTTCCGGACGCGCATGTCTTGATCGGTAGGTCAAGGACCACCTACGCGTTGCTGACTCCGACAACGACCTTGTGTCCAGTATCGTTGAGAATGTCGACGCAGCTTTGTCCATCATTGTCGGTTAAGCATCTCGGGCTTGCGGTTGACCTGTTCGAGCTCGGGCAAACTCAATTGGTATAGCTGCCTACGTCCGACGTGGTATACTCTAGGCCGAAGCATTGTGTTGCGACTAGACCTCTCTCGCCGTATTCGTCAAGGAGATTCGCCTCGTTCTGTGCTGTGGAACACATTCCGTCGTGCTTCAACATCGCGTCTGATGGATTCGCCGAAGTGTTCTTTTGCTCAAGGGAAGTATAGACACGGAATGCTATCAGTAGTCAGCGCAATCGTAAGTTCGACCTTTCGTTGTCATGGTCTCTTACCAATCACCTTACGGATCATACGTACACAGCGACTACGCGCACTGGCATTGAAGAGCTTGACGTAACCCGCGAATTTGAACATATTCTGGTGCCTTTGGGATCTTGTTGTTCTCTGTTTATTTCGTCGATTCTTGTCTGGCCTTTCCACAGAAGTGGGGGTCAGGCAAGGCCTGTGGATTCGTATTTGCCGTGCGCTGCAGAGAACCTAGACGAGCCCTCGATCTTGCCCTCGATCTCGATCGCGACCTCGAGACTGGCACTGATTGTCTCCTGGTCTGACTACCTATTCCCAGCCGGCGGGCGTCGCGACGGGCTCGAGCTTCGTTGTGCTTCGAGAAAGGTTCCCTCTTAGCTTGTCTATATGGTCAGTCACCATGCAGACGCGTCGCGAGAGGGGCTTCGAGCTTCGAGCTTCGAGTCAAGTTGTCGAGATCGTACAGAGATCTCCCTGGTGTTTGTCAGAAGTGAGCGGCAGCTCCATTCATTTTCGCCCGTGTTCTTGTGTATAGTTCCTTGCAGTGGTAGTGGAGCGGCGACGGAGGGGTCGCGGTCAATACAGAGTGGAGGTATTTGAAATCGCATGGAGTCCTACACAATTTACAATCCGTTCAGCATTGTAACCGGAGAGCAACAAGCTACCGTCAATCGTTAGCTTACTTTTCTAAATCCCTCGCTCGTGGGAAGCGGTGGCGGCGCAAGAGCGCATGGCGGGTGCCGACTTGTGAAGGACTTCGCTTTGGCAGAAGGGTAAAGAAGAATTGAGTGGGTATTACCTGCACTTCAGGAAGAGTATGGGAGTTGAGATCGAGCTTGACAACTAGGGGATGTTGGACAAGGTCAATGGTTGCTATGTTGCTATGCACTCTAAGCGCATGGACCACACTAAGATAAACGCCTTTTGTTCCTCTGAGTTTCTCACTCTCGCAACACCTGCCCGCTATCCTCAAGCGCCACTCCATACACAACCAGGTGTTCAACCACTCCCCGAAGACCTCCGGCCTCATCTATCACGCTCTCTATATCCACCGGACACGCTCACGAGAGAGTCTCACGATGTCTTCAGCCTACACTGTCATCACACCAGCTCCCGAGCCCACTACCCCTAAAGGCCATATCAGCGATCTCGACGGCGGGATCCTCACGCACATTTTCCTCATAGCTAACTTCGGTACTCTCATGAACTTCGCTCACGCGTCACCATATCTCACGGCTAGGATGGGCAGAGCGGTTGAACTCGAGCTGTCTGTCAACTCTTGTGCCATGATGCTCCACGACGCGGAATGTCACCGAGTAATTACGTATGTGCTACCGGAGTCCGAGATTCCCATGCACTGGGCTTTTGCCGTTTTCCGCCTTCTCTGGTTCTCAGAAAATGAGTAACGCATTGTCAATGTGGCGCCAGAACTGTTGCGAACAAGGGGGGGACAGGTCCAACTTCTTCTGCGCTCGATCGAGCATGCACTTCGGTGCCGACCACGCTGGGGATGACTGCGAGCTGAATTGTGACGGTGGACTTTTCTTGCCGGGAAGCTTGGATGCAGAGCGCTAAGTTGGTGACGATATACAATCTGGACGCACTTGGGGGCCCAGATCTTCACGGGTAATTGATATTTGCGCTAGCAACTCGCCCATAGCGTTACGCCAGCAACTCGCCCATAGGGTTGAAATAAATGCTTTCACCCTTTCACAAAATCTTTGCTTCCAACACCGGCGAGATATCTTTCCCACTACCTGCTGCTCTCTCATCTGACCCTCAACCTGCATTCTGCAGATTTCCAATTTTGGGCCGGCAAAGGTCACCTGCAAGCAAAAGACCATCACAATGATGTACTCCTTCAACTTCTACACAGCCAATATCCTCTACGCCCATCGCAACCACCGCATCCACCGCATCCACCGCATCCACCGCAAACCGTACGGCCAACCCCTCCTCAACGAATCTCGACACAAATGCTTTTGCCGACTCGATAGAAGGTGGCCATGATGGCAGACATGTTCGGTCGTAAAGGTCATAGTCTTATAGAATGATAAAATAGTTGTACGTCCTGGCGGTGCAATCCGAAGTCAGCGCATACCCCAGTTCGGAACCTTGGCGAACGGTGGCGTTTTGGCGAATTGCGTTTCAGCCTTGTCACTTGTCACCACATCGCCACTTTCCATCGCCAGCTGATGAATGCCTGCAGTATGCGTGGAAAACAAAACAAAATGGTTCTGTGCCTGTGCATCATGCTGTGAGCCAGTCAACGTCGTCCCGCGATCTCGGTGCCTAGCAAGTTGAAACGAAACGCGACCATGAAACGGCTACCCCGGCGCACGCCTTGTTTCAGGTGAACATGCACGCTGACAACACCACTAACCCATTTTTGGACCGTCTCCCCTGAGGCTGAACTACGGCTTGAGGATATATATGAGACCGCGAGGTGAGTGTTCGTCTGCCAGGTGTTGGGGTGTGGTATATGAAATTTTGCCGCGCTGCGCTTTCCCAATATTCTTTCTAATCTTAGAGTTCCAATCCAATACCCCCAGTATTTTATAATCGCACAATGGATAGTCATCGGGTTCCGAGCGCTGGTTCGCATTACGGATTCGACGATACGACAGATGCGAACATGGACCTAGGCATGAGCCAATCTACGTATTGCAGTGACACTCATTTGCAGAGTGTACAACATCAGTCAACCACGTATGGCCAAAGCCCTACAGGTGAGGACTTCCACTACCAACAAGATTTCACATGGTAGACGCATACCTAACCGTCCGTTCAGAGTATGGTAACCAATATTTTGGCCAGTGGCCTACCATGAGCCTGGCACATCAGCAACTCGCTCATCAGCAGCATCTATCGGCACATAGTTTCTCATCCGGATCCTCGAGCTTCCGCTCTTCTGGAAACAGCGTCTTCTCGCACGATCCGACTCGAGATTCTTCCATCTCGGCTTCGTCATACACCTCGGATTTCCCCCGGGACCATTACATATCGCAGACCGAGTACCTATTGACTCACAGTTCGTCTGCTCAACCATCCTACGCTCCAAGTCCAGTCGAAGGCCCTACCTCGTCAGCTCCAAGAAAAAGGTCAGCCCAGCGGCAGGTCGCTCAAGAGAAGGATTACTTCAAGACGTGCATTTCGGGGAACAAGCAATGCAGGCCCTGTAACAAGGAGCAGAAATACTTCTGTACGGCCTGCAAAAGGCCTTTCGTTGAGAAAGCAGACTGGAAACGACATGAAGAAACATATCAAGAACGACCGGAAATGTTCCAGTGTGACCTTTGCACTGCAATCTACTTCCTCGATAAAGATTTCGTCGCCCATCACGTTCACTCCCATCGATGCGCCGCGTGCAACGAGAATACCAAATGTTCTGGAAAGCGTCACGTTCAGTTAGCGAAGAATCCACGCATGACTCGAACAGGATGGGGTTGCGGGTTTTGCTGCCACTTTAGTAGTAGCTGGACCGAGAGGTGTAATCACATTGCGCACCACCTCGAGAATGAAGGGAAGACGATGGCAGAGTGGCACCATAGCTGCGTTATTTACTCCCTGCTTCATCGCCCGACTATCTACTCTGGCTGGATCAATCTTCTCGAAAGTAAGCGTCGGCGGTTCACGGGCTTTGGATGGAACCGGCACTCGACCGGACGCGTCGAAGGGTTCCCAGAGAGCAACCAAACCGTACAGCTCCAGGACGCACTCGAATACTACACACCCGATCAAGATCCAGCAGCGCTGGCGCAGCTGGCCTATGACAAGGCGGTGAAGCGGGCAGCGCCGCCGCAAGAACCTGTCGCTCCGCCTGTGCCTCCCAAAGACTCGAGCGACTACCGTGATCACCACACCACATCGCTACAGGAATTGATGAAAGAAACAGATTCATGGACACAGTTCATTAATTCAGTTCTCGATGACGACGTCCTTCCTACAGGTGTCTACCACATCGAGGGACGGCACGCAGCATAGTGCCATCCATCTCTGGACTCGACACTTATGTCTGAGTTCAAGCTCACTATTAATTGGTACGAATTGACGTATGGAACGCGAATGTGCGCCCGGTGCGCACGAACATGACCCTATAATGATAATGTTTAGTAAATTTCTTTTCTTGTTGTTAGTCCGAGGGATCTCATGTATTCTGCGCGGAACTTAGAAGGCTAGTGGGGAGTAGCCTCTGTCAATTTAATGGACCTTAGTGAGGGACATGATCTATAAAGATAGATTAGTATGAATAACAAAGACAAACATCTCTATTGCGTCCATCACCTTTCCTTCATCGAGCGCTCTTTTACTACATCTGTCTCTTAAACTCATTGGCTTTGTAAGAAATGGGGTAATCGCAAATATCTCCACACTGAAAGTACGTTGACAGAACCAGTGATAGCTCAACTATGGTGAAGGCGCTTTGGGAATCCCCTGAGGAACGGTTTAACCGGTGGCTCAGACACCAGCCACGATCCACAAACCCGCCATTATCCCTACACATGCAGGTATGTTCGCCTGAAACATAGCGCCGTTGTCCACCACGCATCAGAATATGTCGTGTACCTCGCTCTCCCTTCTTTCACCCGCTATTCGCGCATATTTACTTTGCCACCAAACCAACTCTTGTTCACCTGAAGCAACGAGCTTGCTCATCTAGATATGCAAGAGTTAGACTTTCACCGGAGATTACGCGAGGTGTTTGAGGTGTTGTAATCACCACTACAGCGACTTACGAGGTTCAGTAATCGGGTAATACGCAATGTATATAAGGGAGTCGCTATCCGTGGTATTCGAAGGCACAATATAGCGAAACTCACCATTCGTACACTTGCACGTCTACTTTCCTCCTTCACCATCAAGTATCCTGTGTCCTATGAGAATTTTCAAAGCGCCTACGCCCTAGTTGAGCTAGCGCTGGTTCTGTGAAAGTACGTTGAGTGCGGAGTCTTGTGTCCTACTTATCAACGACGAGTCCTTCACCTCCGCGCGCCGTATAAAGTGACACAAGCAAGATGACTGCCGTCAAAGTAAGTCTCCAAATCAGAATGACACGATAACAACCAGTGCTGACCTTTTAGGTACCTACTGAATCGCCGGAAACGCACATGCTTATCATCATAAAGCTCGATCTGACATCATCGCCGACATCATTGTCTAATCTGTGCCAAACGAGCGAATCCGACAAGGCGAAAAGGAGGAAAGAGATGATATCGGAACGCGAAGCAAGACTAGATCAGTGGCTTGTTGAAGAGTACAATGAAGGTTCTTGGAACGCTCTGATGGACGCGCGAATTGGGTCGTTCCGTTGAAGTATGTTTGATTATCGTCATAATTTGTTAAAAGCGCTGATCATGTTAGCGTCCAATCCAGTTCAGTATTACGGGTGTGTTTCTTACCGTTCGTTGGATAAACTCACTTGATGAGAGCTACTGGGGCTCACGAGCTCTTGTTATGTATGCTTTCTATTACATTGAGGTCTCTCACCTTGTCTGATGTTCTCTTACACTGAACTCTCTCACCTTGTCTGGTATTCTCTCTTACCTTGTTTACATCGCCTTGATAGCAAGATACAAGATCCTAGTGTATAAAACCCGCCATATCTGCACAGTCTCTACTTCCTCATTTCTTACAACAGTTTGGGAACCTTAGATCGGATACAAGAGACAGATAAGGTCAAGATATGCTACGACTTGATACCAACATGTGGCTTGTTTTGCTTATCATGGCTTTCGCAGCCATTTCCAGCACTTGTATGCCTCCCTTCAACGACATGCGGTACGCTGACAACGCAACCCTCCTCCAGGTCACTTTGGACCAGTACGAGGCCAATCCCACCCTGGGCTGGGCGCACGTCTTTGATGGTGAGAGTCCATTAGAGCGCTGGCCAGCTAATGAGAATGGCATCGTCATCATCAATTACTGTTTCCTCAATCAAAATGTCAAAGATAAGCTAGAGGGTTTCATGGTAAAAGGTTGGGAGGCTTGGAGATCGAAGCTCGGGAATGCTGGCCCCGGCTACCACCATCGTCTTGGTGGGTTCTCGGTGTACAACAAAGACGGGGTGACACCATTCTGTTTCGAGACAAATGGACGCTGGAACGAAAAGGTGCCTGTGGGAACATTGGTGGTTGGACTCATGCTGGATCCACAGGATTCTGGGGGCGAAGCTGTCATGGGTCACAGGCCTTCCCAATGGTAAGCCGCATGAAGCAGGTGTTGTGACTGTGGGGATACTGACACATCGCAGGGATGCCCGCCCCGATCGTCACGTTCTGCGAATAGGCAGCCCGGAAGGCTTGCCGTCTGACCTCCTCACATGGGTAGCCATTCACGAAATGGGCCATGTTCTAGGTCTTACCCACGAGCATCAGCGGAAGGACCGTAAGTTGCAATCGCCCTTGCTCTTTGAACGGCACGCCTAACACAAGATACAGGTGACAAGTACGTTCATTTCGAGTGCGCAAACCTCCTAGGCTACGCTGAAGCCAAAACACTTGCGGAAAGGTCAGGTCAGATATCTATCACGAAGCTTTGTACATCAGCATTGTACGGTCGCTTCGAGCCATGGAAATCTCTCGCTTTCCGTGCGTACGACTATGCCACCGAGGAGTTCTGGGAAATGTCGCACAAGGACGAGAATGGGAAGGATGATGGGTATCAGCATCACTACACTGTCACTGCTAGTGAGGATTACGACGTCGGATCCATCATGCACTACCCGAGTATCTCTGGTTGGAAAGGGGGAGAATGGAGCATCAAAGCCGCGCCACTTGTCAAGTGGAAGAATGGCGGCAAGGATTTCACGCCGCCGAGTGAAGTCACAGAGGAGAATGCAGAATTAATCTTTGCTGACATGAAAAATCTGGGGCCGAGCAGCAAAGACATTGAGGTTCTGAAGAAGTTGTATCCCTGGGAAGGTTGACACGGGATAGATGAGCAATGCTCAATCTCTTGTGGTGCTATATCTGGGAATAGATTCGGAAAGTCATAGAGCTGACAGTCAAAGTATATACTAAGATTAAAATAATCCGATAGAAGGTTATATTTTGAGCAACAACATTCATTTCTCTCTTGTGCAATAGGTATAGTGGAGCTAGGACCGCGCTAGTCCTCAAATAGGGCGCTAAATAGGGCGCTAGTGGGAACGCTAATCCATGGATCACCGCCTGCACTTTTCCATCGACAACCTGACGTTTTCCATTACTTCGCCATCAACTCGACATTGCCGTCAACGTGCTACAATGTATGCATGTGTTTCTGCTCTAAGATTTATCCCTTGTGCACTGACACGACGAGCGCGACGCGCCTTATGCTGGTGCGGACAGGACGCGTTTCTACAAATCTGGTATGTTGTCAAGGCTCATTAAGTTCCTTCACCCGCTAATACTCCTACACCAGGTACAATTACCCATGAAACGTTCCTTCAAATGGTTCTTCCGATAATCACCACCTCTTGCTTCTCACATGGTAGTGGATGTGCTCAAAGGCATATTTGGGCCACCGTCTGTTGCCGATAGCACAGTGATTTGAAGATGTCCAGGCTTTGGCTTCTTGCTCAGACTTTCGGTACAGGAATCGGCCACCTTTTACTGCGTGCGGCAATAGAGGCCCAAACTTCATTCGTAATGGGGGACGCGATTTAGCGCGTTTCCTTTGCGGAATACTTGTATACATGGGCGTTACACATTCGTCGTCTCCGACTTCATTTGTGGGTCCAACAGCCGGGACTTGTCCCAACATCTTGCGATGAATGGCAGTTGGACAAAGGCAACGCCCAAGATCGATGTTTCTGGTCTCGGTGAGCATGAGCTGCTTTGCGGTTGTAGCTTGCTGATGATCGAGAACCTCTGAGCTTATATGGCGTCTTTCCCTGCCGCTGCGCCCTTTATGTTTCTCATTCTTCAGATGGGCCAAGCATAGATGGGCGGGTAGCATCTCGTAGGATCGTTCGTTCGTTTCAGCTCATACATTTTCCAAAGCTATCTTAGGTTCATTTGACTTTTGATGTATTCAACAATGCTGCCTAATGTCCTTTTTTTCCAGGCTCCGTCGTTGAATCGTCCTGCAAGTAATTATCTCGCTGCGACAGAGTTCAACTACGATTGGCTTGGCGTCGATGGGTGTACATGGATGGGTAACGTCATTCCAAAACTATACCGCATGTGGAAACTTTAGGCAGCAGTCGCATTAAAAACATCCAATGCCCCCCTCTACAATAATCGACTTCCTTCAACATGGCTCCCCATTGTATTTCGTCAAGAGATTTTCTAAAACAGTTCAGTTTTCCAATTGAACCCGCGCGGGACTTTGAGCTTGATGGAATTCCCGCTAGTTATGCCGCAGGCCATCCACGCGAGTGGGGACGGGAAACCGACGTACTCGATTTTACCCGAACCAAGGAGAAAGATGAGCGTGCATACAAGAGCTACTCCACCGCCATCAGTCCGGACCAGAAGCTGCTGGCCATCACCACAAGCAAGGGGCCCATTCTGATATACGATGTCAAGTCGAAAGAATTACGCCAAGTTCTCGAAGGCTCTGGGGCTTTGGTTTTCAGACCCATCGTGAAAAAGGGTGAACAAGCAGATACTATTGCTGAAGATGCGGGGGGAGAACACGAGAAACCTGCGTACACCGCGGTTAGCGGTATACCCGAAAAGGCGTCCCGCCGAGGATCCGAAGATGACCAGCTGATTCTATGGCACTTGGACCAACATGGTCGGGCTCTAGACGAGGAAGAGCCGATCCTTCCTGCCATCTTTGCGACGACAGCCATTGATGCCATTGCCCCCGAACTTACAGCGAACCATGGGTGGACCAGAGAATTCGTGAATGCGTCCACCCTCCATGCACGATTTGCAGAGGCACTTCGTCAAGTAGCTGCAGATCACCGCAGAAGGAACAACACGATAATCGACAATGCGACGCTGAGCAACTTTAGTTCCACAGCATTCAGTAGTGACGGTCGACTACTGCTTTACCACTTCCAGAATGGTTCAACTCAATCTGGCATGCGCGAGCAAGACAAGCTGCCTCAAGTGGTCATCTACGACATTGATGCAAGAATGGAGATCCATCGCCTATCGGGGCACACAGATGCCATCATGTGGTCAGGCATTAGCCCTGATAACCAATACGTCGCTTCCGTGTCCTGGGATGGGACCATGCGCATGTATTCTTCTACCACCGGCAAACTAGGATGGGCTACAGAGGACTCAGGTGGTCAGAGCTGGGCTGGTGCGTTCTCGTCGGACTCCAAACACATTGTATGGAGTTCCAAATCCGGCAGAGTTATCCAAGTACACGATGTCGTTGATGGGCGGAAGATCTCAACGTTCCAGGAGACTTTCAACGATTGGTGCCGCTGCCTTCAGTGGCATCCCATCAAATCGCAAATTGCACTTTGCGTTGGTACGCACGCATACGTCTGGAGTCCGTTTGAGGGACAGAATGGCTCCACTATCCAACATTTCGCCATGGGTGACGAGAAAGACTGGAACTCCATGGCAGGAGTCCAAGCTGTCAGCTGGCTGGACGAAGGACGACTACTGTGTCTTGAAATATCGGACGGCACTAAGCTAGTCTATGATACGCAGAGCAATACCAAAGAGCTGTTCAGGCGGCCCATGGGCGTGAACATTGCTTGGGTAGAACGAGGATTCTATAATCTTTTCCAGAAAGAAGGCGAATCTAGCTTGTATATTAGCATCGATGGAGATGGCAAGGTGAGATATTGGTGAATTAGTGTTCCTGCCCTTCCGACCATGTCGATCAAAGAAACACAACTAAAGGAACCGAGTAGAGACGCTAGGGTTGATAGGGGAGCACACGAGTTATTTTCCGACGCTGCGACACAAGCAGTAGGATAATTCTCCACGTTACTAGTAACCACTTCCGATGTATAGCGAATGACACAACTTCGCTCTCTTTACAGTACTAACACTGAATATGCGGTATTACTGTCGATCGGGACCCATTTTCGATTTGGTCTTACGGTTGGCTAAAGGCCTGACGGTCCGGATAACCGCCTCCGCGCCCCTTTCAGGCTGAACCCCACACCGCCTCTCGCTTAGCCCCACGCGATGCAACTTATGGTACATACATATGAACCGCCGCGACAGCTGATTGTTCCCCCGAAAACCCCTCATTGTTCTTTTCCGGGTCTGCACTTTGGCCTTGTTGTTTTGAGATTTGCTTCGAGCTTGCTTTTCTTTGCATCTCATCGACTGCACAGCAACCCGTCCTTCTTTCTGTCTCAACTGGCTTCTTAGTTGTTCGATATCGAGTTCGTTCGACTTCAAACTGAACCGGAAGCAGACCTGCACTGTATTGTCTCGAGCTCGCTTTCTGCGTTCCCATTTCCCTTCTATCGTGTTACTAAACTCAGTAAGCTTAGCCTCCTGGCCATGTTGGCCCTTACGTCTTTGTATAACCAACCAGCCCTTTGCGGTATAAAAGTCCACGTTGGGCACCAAAACCTTTGTACCTGCACCAGTATTCAATCATGATTCAGGCGACGGAGAACGGAGAGCGATATGAACTCGACAGCCCTACGGCAATGCCTAAATCGGGTGCATTTCTCTGGAATCAGCGCATGATGATTCAAGTCACCTGTCGTGGTTACGCCACTGCACAGTTCATGCAACCAGAGCCCGCAAAATACGCCTACGCCCCGAACCTCGAGGCAAAGACGTTCATGCAACCCGAGCAAAACTACTACGCGCACCACCCGGGTCGGTTCGTATACGTTAAAGATGAAACGACGAAAGAGATATTCTCAGCTCCATATGAGCCAGTGAGAGCGAAGTTCGATCGATTCAACTTCTCCGTTGGGAAAAGTGACATCAAATGGACCGTCGAGAAACTTGGCATCCGCGTTGAAATGGGCTTTCTGCTACCGACGGATGATGTGGCCGAACTATGGACCATCAAAGTCACCAATCTCTCAGGTCGCAAGCGTAGTTTGAGCATCTATCCATACTTTCCATTCGGCTACATGTCGTGGATGAATCAAGAGGCGGAATGGAACGAGGAAGTGGGTGGCATTGTAGGCAGCAGTAAGACGCCCTACCAGAAAGCGGCGGATTACCCCAAGACAAAATTTCTGAAAGACAAGACGTACCTTCTTTGTGAGACAACTCCAGTCGCATGGGAAGCAAAACAAGAAGCTTTTGAAGGCGAAGGAGGGTTACAAGCTCCTTCTGCATTGAATGAGGCACAGTTGTCTAATAACGACGCCCGCTATGAGACCCCGACAGCAGCTGTCCAATATCGGGATCAGCTGGAAGCGAAGGACAGTAGAGAGTATCGCTTTATGTTCGGCCCGGCATACGACGAACTGGAGATTCTTGACATGCGCAAGAAGTACCTCAGTAAGGCCGCTTTTGCTAAAGCGGCCAATGATTACGAGGCGTACATCGAAAAAGGTAACGGCTGCCTCCGCCTCGATACCCCAGACAAGGACCTGGATAACTTCGTCAACAACTGGCTACCCCGACAACTGTACTACCATGGAGATGTAAACCGACTTACGACCGATCCGCAAACACGGAACTACCTCCAAGACAACATGGGCATGAGTTTCATTAAGCCTGAAGTCTGCCGCAAGGCTATTCTTACTGCAGTGGGTCAGCAGGAGAAGAACGGCTCGATGCCTGACGGGATTCTACTCGCGAAAGGTGCGGTGTTGAAATACATCAATCAAATCCCACATACAGACCACTGCGTTTGGCTGCCCATCGCTCTGGAGATCTATCTTAGCGAGACAGGCGACTATGGGCTCCTAGAAGAAAAGGTGAATAGCATGCATGGTGACACGTACACGGTCTTCGAGCGCCTCAGCCGAGCGATGGACTGGCTCCTATCATCAGACGCGCGTGATGAACGCGGTCTGTCTTACATTGCGCAGGGTGATTGGTGTGACCCAATGAACATGGTTGGGCCCAAGGGAGTGGGTGTATCGGGATGGCTAACAGTCGCTACCGCGTACGCCGTAAACCTCTGGGCTACCGTCTGTGAGCAGGTCAATAGGGCTGACATTGCAGCGAAGTACCGCGCCGGTGCAGAAGAAGTAAACGAATCCGCCAACGAGCATCTCTGGGATGGCGACTGGTACGCCCGCGGAATTACGGATGACAACGTGACTTTCGGCATCAAAGATGACAAGGAAGGTCGAATCTGGCTGAATCCACAAGCCTGGTCAATTCTCGGAGGTGCAGCTTCCCCTGAACAAATCTCGAAGATGCTGCCACAAGTTGATGAGCAACTCACAACGCCATATGGTGTTGTCATGTTTGGCCCCCCTTATACCAGCATGCGTGAAGATGTTGGTCGCGTTACTCAAAAGTACCCAGGTCAGGGCGAGAACGGATCCGTGTACAATCACGCAGCTGCTTTCTATGCATGGGCACTGTATGGTATCGGCGAGGTTGACCGCGCGTACTCCACTCTCCGCAAGATGATCCCGGGACCCGACGAGGAACATCTTTTGCGCCGCGGCCAGCTACCGATCTTTATCCCAAACTATTATCGTGGTGGTTACGGAATTCCGAACCTTGATCGCACAGCTGGTAGGAGTTCGCAGCTTTTCAATACTGGAACAGTATCCTGGGTATACAGATGTTTCATTGAAGGTCTGTGTGGCCTTAGAGGGGTTAGAGAAGGCTTGGAAGTTGATCCCAAGATACCGAGTGCCTGGGAGGACCTGCGAGTCATACGGAAGTTCAGGAACGCGACGTTTGAGGTAGCCATCAGGCGCACAGATACACTGAATGTGAAGGTTGTAGTCGATGGAGAGCCACTAGATGGTAATATCATCGGAAACGTCGAGACAGGAAGGACCTACAAAGTTGAGGTATCGATACCAAAATCAAAAGAGTCGGTGGTTAGTTCGAAAAAGTAGGTTGAAGGAGTCGACGCGTTTGCATTAAAAATTTCGGTAATCAATAGACATGGGCGTGCGCAACCGGAACTCATGCGAGCGAGTGTTAACAGTGATTAGTCTATAAGATGAACTTGGGGATGACTGTGTTGTCTTCCATATTTCATAACAGGACGAGTGCTAAACATCCATCGGCAATCTTCACTTCATGCTTGTAGCGCTCGAGAATAAAGGTAATACTGATAGTTAAGACACAATAATGATTATGAAGATAACAGCAATGTGGATGACTTCAATCTGGGCGACTGTACCCGGCACTCAGTCCAAGTGTTGGAGCTATACTGCTTTGAGCTTAGCGTGTGCGTGATGTAAAAGATCCAATATTATCTCCCTATGTCAATTTTCATCCTCCTAGTTTATGAACCAACACCATAGCCGTCCAGACGCGCGTTAGCACAAGAGAAACCTGGTTCCGCTCTCCGCCTGTTTCCTTAACCTGGTAGGCAAGGGCGTGGTAGTTTGAACTTGCACACAGTAACGCGCGTGAGGCCCCTGTTCGGAAGATCGGATCGGCATTGCCATATCTCTTGCCTGGATCTATTGATACGTCTAGGAATGCAATCAACCAGAAGAAACTTCTCGCTTCGCGATGGAGTACCGTGGAGGGTTACAGACACAGCATGTGCTCTGCTTCTACAACCGGCTAACTCGGTTAATCAATATCAGTAGCTATAACGGCCTTCCGGTCCGCGCACAGGTAACCATTAAAGAACTCTAGGCCTCCCTTCATGAATGGCGGCAACACATCGAAGATCGAGAAGTTTTGCCAGCAGGTGGTTATTAAGCACATACGCCTGCAAACCGCCCGTTCCCAGCGATCTTATCCCTAGCCTGCGAACCACATGGGCTCAGATTTCGTTTGCTTATTTCTTTTTATAGTATGGCCCCGTCATTTGTCCCCATAACTCACATCAGCTAGTGCTTCTGTCTCTCTCAATCGGTATCTCTTCACGTGACATGCATCATCGCTTTCGCTTCACCCCACAATTCCATTTTAGCGCAACCCAAACTGTGGGGTGACGTTCGGCACATCAGCCGTCCTGGCGGAAAGCTTGTCTTGTCATCTTGCATACGAATGAGGAAATGCTCGGCAATGGCGGGTGATTATAATCGGCGCCCTTTTCTCCACCCCAGACCCGCCATATTTTCGATAGTCTCGAGTTGTATGGTCCGGCCTATCCGCTGGCATCAACCACCCCATGGCATAAGGCATTTTCGATGTTACTCTAGGAACCATCTGGCTTTATGATTAACAGAATTCATTGAATGAGGATGTCTTTCTTTTCATCAGATCTCGCGTACCTGATTGACTTGTACCACTCTTGGTCGACATCAAATATGCACCTTTCGAGCAACGTCCCTATCAACCTATCCGGCATAAAATTGGAGCTTGTTGATGATCGACCCACTTGCCAATCTGTATCGGTGGACCAAGTCCCAGGACCACTCGGATATGCATCCAATAAATACGGATGATGTTACGTGACAGCATGAGCTACCCGATTCCAAAGGATCCATATACGAGAATCCCGGGTTATGGGCAGACAACGGAGCCACTGCGGCCTGTGAACACGTCCGCAAGCTTGCGTTGCTTGATACCAAAATTGTCGATACAGCGGCCATCCGGATCGCGATGTCCACTATGACCTCAACAGAAGACACCCGCAACCTGCTTCAAAAAAAATTGTGGACCACAGAGCATATGTTGATGTCATCTTACTATGTACATTCGTCATCTACTGCAAATATAAGAGTCGCTCTGCAGTTGGACTTGCAAAGCCATCCGCTTCCTCATTCTTCATCCGACGATCAATCCAGCTATTCAACATGAAGTACGCATTCGCTCAAGTCGCATTAGGCCTTACTGCCAACGCCCTCGTTGCCCGCGAGCCACCACAGTGCGTCCAGCTCCGTGCATCTGGAGGTGCATCTGGAGTCCTCGGCCAGCTTTCTGATGGTCAAAACCGTGTGGGTGGTGGGCACCCCACGGGTTGCTATTGCTTGAGCAACGGCGGCTTCACTGACACCAATGGACGCGGTTGCATCCTCACGCCCCCTACAACGCAGTTCCAATGTGATGTTGGTGCTAGCCCGACATCTGGTTTCTCAACCTCCGGGGATAAAGTTACTTACAACGGCAATGGAAAGTTTTATGCTTGCGCTGTCAACGACAACGGCGAGTACAACGTCTACACCAAGACTGTCTCAGGCCAGGACAAGTGCGTTGAGATCTCGTTGAGCCCCGCCGGGTCTTGCGGCTCTGGATCTACACCGCCCCAGCCAAGCAAGCCTGCTCAACCTGAACAGTCATCAAAGCCTGCCCCGAGTCAACCTGCGCAACCCTATCAGCCAGCTCCTCAGCAATCTCACCCTTCTTCAGCCTGTCAGCCAGCTCCTCGACCGAGTCAGTCGGCTTATCAACCTTCAAAGCCTGCCCCTGAATCTTCCCAGCCAGCTCAGCCCTCAAAACCAGCTCCTCATCCAAGTCAACCGGCTCAGCCATCTACGCCTGCACCAAGCCAGTCGGATTACCAACCTTCGAAGCCCGCCCCTCAGCCAAGTCAACCGGCTCAGTCATCTAAACCTACACCAAGCCAGCCTGCTCCGCAGCCTAGCAAGTCCGCTGGTGGATGCCCCACAGACCTGAACGGCAAATATGAATACCCCCACCTCATTGTCCCCGTCGATTCCAAGCAACCGAGCAAGTCATACGGCACATCCTACTTCGGAACCGTCAACAGCACCACCTGCTCCATCTTCAACTTCGATATCCCCGCGTCCTACTCTGGCAAGACGTGCAGTCTCGTCTTCCTCTTCCCCGAGCAAAAGGATCTCGAGACATCCAGCTTCACCGTCTCCGGCAGCGGAAAGGTCAACTTCACGAAATTGACGGGCCCAGCGACCCAGCAGACGACTTGGGCTAACCAGCCTGGAAAGGACAGCGAACTTCAAAGCTTGAGCGTGGCGCCCGGCAACTCTTATGCCATTGCCTCGGGTAGCTGCGCGGCGGGACAGACTGTGACCTACGAGCTTTGCAGTCAGGGCGACTTTGCGCTCCATTACTTCCAGGACTACAACCCCAGCCCTCTTGGACTGTACGTTCGCTCGTGCTAAATGCAGCGCGGAGCCTTAGGCCTTGCGGCATACTCGGTTGGAGATTAATCTCGACCCTTTGATGCGCAAGTGAGCTTTCACGACTTTGAGTCCACACAGGATATTGGCGAAGAGTAATGACGCCCTAGAGTATCCTTTGTGGTACTTGTTTCAATCATACCAAGCTACGACACTCCTTATGACCTTATGGAGAATAGTACAATACAAATTTGACTAAATCTTCCTCGCCGTTTTCAGTATTTGAGGTTATCAAATATCACACTGTTAGTGATTACAGCAATCATGTGCCCGTTTAATTGATTTTCTTGCTTCAATCAGGTTCATGATGGCCCCGCCATGATGAAGCCACCTCCCTCCTGCAATAATGTACACTTCACTTGCTCCGATACCCGATAATCTTTTATGTATCATAATGACCAATATATAGCCGTAAAGCCCATCGGGGGTTGTCAGGTGATATGATTCTCATTTCATCATGTCCTCAGTTCGCTTCAGTGACTCCAAACGACTGTCATTGTCTAGGGATTCGAGACGAGGCTTTCCGATGTAGATGTATGACTCGTGTGTTTTGTTGCTGTTGTAGCGCTAGCCTGATTCTCCCAAACCCAAGCATCAATCTCTTCCAAGGCTTTGTTAGGGTCTCCGCGGCAGCCCTGCAAGAAGTTTTGCACCTGAGCAGGAGTGACTAGAGGTGCAGGTACGTCAGCACATGCCTCACAGACAAGTTCGCCATAGACAATACTTACATGTATTTGCTGGCACTTTGTCGGCGAATTCGTTGGCGTACTGCTCGATTTGCGCCATTGTGAATGCAGCGTCGTGTGCAAGGGCTGATCGCCCAATCAAGCGCTTGAATATGCTCTTCCCAGCTGTCTTACTCATGTTACCGAAGTAGATCTTCCTGTCAATCCGTCCGGGGCGTGTGAGAGCGGCATCGAGGGAGTCGGGATTATTCGAAGTCATGATGAGCAATCTGCCTATTTAATGAACATCATTAGCAGACTATCGTACAGCGAAATGCACTCCAATGTGAAAAATTACCTACCTTCTTGTGAAGCGTTACCATCGATAGCATTGAGTAGACCACTAAGAGTAACCATGTTGCGTCGTCGTCCCATTGGTGGTGGTGGAGGAGGTAAGCCACTAAGCATACCCTGGAGGTCTGGGGTCAGATCTGGAGCCACCGGAGGCGGCTTTGATGACGAGTTATGTTCTCGACCAATACCAGCAGAGTCGATATCTTCGATCACCACGATACATTTCCTTGGGAGGCCCAGAAATAGGCGATGGAGGCCGCCGTCACTGATATCCCCAGTGGCTAAGTTGATCTCGAAAGGTCAGCGCTTGGGGAGTTTCCGAATTGTTATGTGCAGAGACGTACATGATAGATATCGCACCCGAGATGGCCTGCCAAAGCAGCGCTAAAAGAGCTCTTGCCAGTCCCGGGTGGTCCATGGAACAAATAACCACGGCGATACGGAATACCACAGTCCGCGAAGAACTGTCGCCTAGGTCACGTCAGCCGTGCTGTTGAAGAGCATGAACCACGTTGCAACTTTATGCAAATTACGTTGAGAAAATGAACTGGCTTTTGGAGGTATGCCGGCTCACTTACGATTGGTCACTGTAGTAGTACTCCGCATCTCTAATGAGGTCCGATTTGACGGCCTCATCCATGTCGATCGTGTCAAGCTTCCTGATAGCCTTTGAAACTGACTTCCATCCGTCGCCGTAGGGATCGTTCTGACCGCCTCCAGCAAAGTACACAGTGGTTGTACCTGTCAGATTCTCTAGCTTAAACTGGTGGCAGAGTTCAGTGAAATCCTGCAGCGACTTCAGGCTCCAGCCTAGCGTCATCAGAGTAAGCGAATTCTGCAGCTGACCACTATCATCAACGAGATTGCCAGCCATGACACTGTTGTTTCGATAGCTGTGACCGCCGCGACGTGAGAATATGAAGGGGCGAAAGCCGAGCCTGGTGGGGTTAGCACAGGGGCTTCAGGCGGGATTCGCGACGTTGTCTATAAGCTAATCATGTGGGATGAAGTAGGCTGAATGTATCCAAAGAACAACGCAAAGGCTTGAGATGGATAACGTGCGTGAATTTGAAAGCACAGGAATGAAGCTTACCAAAATAGGCGTGTCCCAATCGGCGGCAGGCACAAAACCTCGTCGTCTACTCGATCGATACCCACTCCAGGACCACGTGACATCATCATGCGACGGTGGAAGTCATCGTTAGGATCTTGCATGCCTCCCGTCACAAGCATTGCGCTTCTAGTGCGGCTGTTCAAGATAACCTCTGAGCCCATCCAAGCAAGTACTTCCTTGGCAACCGGATCATTCTCAGGAATGGTGACCTGAACCGTGAAGGCCCATATGCAGAAGTCCTTCAGGTGGTTATAAACTGGTCGAACAGCTTGATATAGACCGATCAGTGCTAATATCTTCTCCAAATCACCTCCACTAGGTTTGAGTCGGTGTAGTAGGCGCTGGATAACTTCAAGTATCGGAAACGATGCAGATGCTGAACGCTTCATGTGACGCGGGATGTATCCAGGAGTATCTAGAGACTCTGACCACAGCTTTGTGTCATTGCCTGGAGCAATTTGCGGGACTATGGAGTTGGCTGACGGCGCGGGAGGTGTTGCCATCGTCATATGATTGACCTGATTAAGATCGTGAAGGTCGCGAAGCCTGCCCATTGAAGTTTTATGTTGTATTTTAGATGGTTCGCTGTATAACCATGGATGTGTTGCGCGAGTACTGTTGACGGTGTCTGACTGCAGGCAGCCGCGCCGGTGAGCGGGCGGCCTCGCACCAGGATTTATACGAAAGCAGAGGCGAGATAGAGACACACGAACAAATCTTAGACTTCCCTGAACGCCAACAGCAATAGTGAATGCGCGCAATACAGGACTGGAAGACGTTGAAGGTGAGACGAAAGGCTGCGGTTGTCCGCGTGTGAGAGCGTGCCAAATGAGGAAAAAGCACTTGTCTCCATCGAGATAGCACCGTCTAGCTACTTTTGGGAAGGCGCAACAGGCTCAGCGGTACGTCATAGGCCACAAGTATTATCTACTACGCCATCCTGACTCTTGTGTACCAATACAGCGGTGTACCTAGATATAAATATACATTTTGAACATAGTGTCCAAGTCTCCTTGCACACACGAGCAATCCCCGATTTCTAAACTCTCAAAAGACTTCAGCAACCCGTGCGAAACCCTTTAGTCATGGCTGACACCAGCGAACTCCGAGCGGAGAAGCTCTTCTCAGTCAAGGGCTATGTTTGTGTAATCACCGGTACGTATCGCATGCCCACTTCGCCCGAGTAATGTAGAAGAGACGGAATCTGACTTTGAATTGTTCACCTTAGGTGGCGGTTCTGGGATTGGATTGATGGCAGCACAAGCTCTTGCCGCGAACGGGGCCAAAGTATACATCACCGGACGACGCAAGGAAGTGCTCGAGAACGCTGCAAAGACACACTCCCCCTCTGGAGGCGGCCAAATCATCCCGTACGTCTGCATTCGCAAGTCATGATTGGACTAGCATTACTGACTAGTAAATAGGCTTGGACCGTACGATGTTACCAAGAAGGATGACCTAGAGGGCATGTACCAGGAACTATCATCGAAAGAAAAATACATCAACCTCCTCGTCGCTGCAGCTGGTATCTCTGGCGAAAAGGTGGAGCCCGACGCGGAAAATGCAACCGATATGAAGAAGAAGCTCTGGGAGAATGAGACGTTCGAAGGCTGGGCTGACACGTACAACACGGATGTCACATCCGTCTACTTTAGTACTGTCGTTCTCTTACCTCTACTCCAAGCTGGAACCGAAAGCCACGGGCATTTGAGCGCGTCCGTTATTGTCATCAGCTCCATGTCCGGCATCATGCGACACGCCCAAGGCCACTTCAGCTATAACGCGGCCAAAGGCGGCACGGTCCATTTGACGAAGCTGATGTCAGGAGAGTTCCAAAAGCTCCGCATCCGCGTGAACTCGATTGCGCCAGGCTACTTCCCATCGGAGATGACGGCAAAGGAGAGCAACGAGGACCAGAAGAGCCATGTGCCGGACGAAAAGATACAGGAGAAGGGACATGTGCCAATGGAACGTGCTGGAAGCGACGCGGAAATGGCACAGGCGGTCTTGTTCCTGACCAGAAACAACTATGTCAATGGCGAGATCATTGCCGTTGATGGCGGTGTGCTGAACGTCGTGGCGGGTCGATGAGCGTATGCTTTCAGGCGTCTTGGAGGACTGCAGGAGTTTCGGCGAAGACGAGGGTATGGCAATAGAAAAGTGTGAGACTTTGGGACAGTTTCGTTTGCTCCTAACCAAGATTCTGGATGATCTCGCGTGCCTTTCCCCACATTCCCCGCATTGGCGAAGCCGTTAGATGACCCCCAAGCATGTGTGTAATATGTCTTGCATGCGGTGACAGATCTTAGTTGTACGTGAGTGGACACTGCACTTGATGGGTTGGTACTGAGACGTGCAAGTTGGGTGAAGAGGCTCATTCACGTGCTCTCGCGTTGAGCCGATTCGGGAAATGCCCGCATATGGGCGCGCGGTGTGATCCAGAACGCGCCATAAGCTCGGCTGACTTCCAAGCCTATTTATGGAAAAGAATATCAGGAGTCTACACAGCAGTGAGGTCGCAAGATGCTTGTTGGAAGGGTGCGCCTTGGAATACAGCCAAGCGAAGCGCAACCAACGGTCGCTGGTGCGGTCGGAAGCTACTGCGGCCTCGAGTAACACCACCTCATCACCCTATGAACCCAAGCTTTTGTGCCCAACACACACGTACACACATCTCTGCCAGCACCCCCCCGCATGCACGAATGCCCTCGGCGAGCAAAGGCGACGACGTGTTGAGCCTGCGACTGTCTCGGAAAGGCGGTAGGCTGCTCGCAGATTCGCTGGGCAATCTCGAGGCCCGTTTCGCGGCCGGGATCCCTACGACATAATTGCTATACTACGGCCAGGGCGTGAGACCGACCCCGCCAGCCCCCAGCGCCCTCGACACGAGTCGTGCATGGGCAGCCAACAACACCGTGAGAGGGCATTGACGTCCATCTGGGGAAGCTAGGCCACGGCGCGAGGATATGCACACCGGACGAACAGCGCCATCCACCGCCGCCCATCCTCGACACGCCGCCCGCGCAGCATCGCAATCGCACACGCCCGGCCAGGCTACGACGAGGCAGGCGTATAGAGGCCAGCATTGGCACGGGAAGCAGGCCTCGGGCTAGACGAGCAAAGCGACAATGGTGTCCTACCCACCAAAGCCCACCCACGCGGCCTCGACGTCACGATCCTCACAAGCCCCAAGCGCCAGCTCGAATACCCCGGGCCACGCAAAGAAGTCTTCGTCTTCGTCCAACCATGCCAGCCAGCCCCGCGAACGAGAACAACGGCCGAGCAGAGAGGGCGCGGCACAGCGGGCAGCGCAAGATGTGGCAGGCCTCAAGGATTACCAGCTGGGCGACTGCTTGGGCAAAGGCGCATTTGGCAGCGTGTACAGGGCACTGAACTGGGGCACGGGCGAGACAGTAGCGATCAAACAGGTTCGCCTGGAGAACCTGGGCGCTGCAGATCTGAAGAATATGGAGATGGAGATTGATCTGCTCAAGAATCTAAACCATCCCAACATCGTCAAATACAACGGCTTCGTGAGGAGTTCCGAGAGCCTGTACATCATTTTGGAGTAAGTAATACCCACGGTTTTATTCTCCAGTGAGCAAGGGACTAATGTGGTCAGGTACTGCGAGAACGGGTCGTTGCACAGCATCTGCAAGAACTTCGGAAAGTTTCCGGAAAATCTCGTCGCCTTGTACATGTCACAGGTCCTCCATGGTCTTCTCTACCTCCACGAGCAGGGTGTAATCCATAGGGATATCAAGGGGGCAAACATTTTGACAACAAAAGAGGGCCTGGTCAAGTTGGCAGACTTTGGAGTAGCGACGAAACAGTCTGGCTTGGACCAATCAAGCGTTGTTGGCACGCCATATTGGATGGCTCCAGAGGTCATTGAGCTCTCTGGCGCCACCACTTCCTCGGATATATGGAGTCTAGGCTGTACGGTTATCGAGCTGATCGAGGGGAAACCGCCATACCACAAGCTACAACCCATGCAGGCGCTGTTCAGGATTGTCAATGATGAGCATCCACCTATACCCGGCAGTGCTTCTCCGGTAAAAGCTGCTCCACTCTAATTAGTAAACTTCAGCGCTAACATCTATAGCTCCTCCGCGAGTTCCTGATGGAATGCTTCCAGAAGAACCCTACCCTGCGTATATCCGCGAAACGGCTGCTGAAGCACCCATGGATCCTCAGCGCTAAGCGAACAGTACCCGCAGTACCCACCAAACCCACCGAATACCAAGAAGCTGTCAAGTCGGTGCAAGAATGGAACGAAGCCTTAAAATCTCCCAATTCACTGCGGCGGAGCACTCGTCTTGCTCCTAGCACGCAACAACCTACCAAGGCCCCAGTAAACGGCGCCATGTCGGCAGTTCGCAAAGCTCCAGTAAACGTCAATCTTAACATACCTAAGCACAGACCCACAGCTGAATCGTTCCGTTCACCAGAGCTAGATCACGACGATAATTGGGATGACGATTTCGTCGAAAGCATCTCAGCGCGTGCATTGCAGATGCCGCACCTCAAACCTCAGGACCATTTCGCTGGCCTGTTCTCAGGGGACAGGCTGAAAGCATATGCAAGCGTCGAGGCAGTCACCGACATGACAGAGTATGGGGACGGTGAGACTACGGTGAAGAGCCCGCTGAGTTTCCAACACTTCCAGAGCTTCCCGCAAACTTCAGTCGAGAGTGCAAAAGCCAATGGCGCCAAGGCGAGAGCCACTACGCCATCGTCAAGGTCTACCTCCACCGTCACAGACATGGACGATAGGCATGATGGCCAACCAAAAACAGCATTTTTGCGTGGCGTACCCAAAGCTTCGCAGCTGCCAAAGACCAAGGTCGCTGGGTTGGCAAGGCCTAGTCAGCTGTTCCGTGAAGACAGTATCGAAGACTACTCGGATCTAATGCCTGCAGATGAAGGGGCCTTTGAGAAGAAGCTTGCCGCAATGCAATACACACAGCCCCTAGCAATCCTGCCTCCACAAATTCTTAAAGCTAACTCTAGCTCGCCTGCTGAGTCTTTCTCTCCGCGTCTCTTTCACCCTAGCGATCTCAGGGCGGCGCCAAAATCAACACGGAATATCAAGTCTAACGGCAGTGTACGACAACGATCGGCGAGTTCGACATCCACCCGTAGATTGCAGAGAACTCAATCAGAGATCGAAATTCAAAAGTATGCAGAGGACGAGGGCGATGACTTCTCCGACGTCTTTGGCGACATCAAGGGTCACCCAAACACCAACCCTGGCCGAGCGGAAAGCGATAGTGGCAGTGAGCATAGCAGCCTTGCTATGATTACGTCAAAAATGGCCAATTCTTTCACCATTGCTGATGAGGAGGACCTCGATCCTTTTGCCAATCTCGAAGAAGGGCTCGACAATCTCAACCTGGAGAACAACGTCGCTCGAGACCGGGATGACCGATTGACGAAGATGACAGAGAATCTTGTCGGCTGTTTGAAGACCAGTCAGCCTGACGATGTCCTCCTTGATCTTGCAGACCAACTCTTGCAAGTACTCTACGAGTCGCCGGATAAGCGATCAATCATCTTGCGAAGCCATGGCATGCTACCTATATTAGAGATTCTTGGTACAATACCACACAACGAGGTGGTACTACCGCTATTGAAGATCATCAACTTGATCATATTAGAAGACTCGGAAGCGCAAGAAAGTCTATCCTTTCTCGGAGGTATTCCCACAATTTGCCACTTTGCATACAAGAAGTACCCCAGCGACATTCGCAAGGAGGCCGCGGCTTTTGTACGACAGATGTACCAGACCAGTACCTTGACGTTGCAAATGTTCATTGGCTGTGGTGGTATTAACGTTCTCGTTGAGTTTTTGGAAGAGGACATTGACGCCGAGCGAGACTTGGTGCTCATCGGCGTCAACGGTGTGTATGGTGTTTTTGAACTGCAAGGGCCGACGCCCAAGAACGATTTTTGCCGTATCTTCTCGAGGAGTAGTGTGTTGTATCCATTGTCGCTAGTGTTGAACAGAATGGTTGAGGAAGACGGAGAGGTGGCGAGGCTCATCGTCGGCAGAATTGTGCACATCTTTTTGATCTTCTCGCAAGCGGAGAGTCATGTTAAGGATCTCGTGGCAGATCGCATGATCTTGAAACGTAAGTCTTCTTGCTTTTTATTCTCCGCCCCATATACCTAGTTTGGAGCTGTCGCAAGCCGTTGAGACAGTTTCAACCTTTTCAGAAAGAGGTTGCTCCGGATACTGGAACTTGGCTAATGGTATACAGGCGTGCTCAAAGATCTCCGCAGAATGTCTCCCCCGCACCAGATCACTATGCTCAAGTTCATCAAAAATCTCTCATCCCTCTCTTCAACTCATGAAGCGCTCCAAAACTCGAATGCAATCGATATTCTAATCGAACTGCTCAAATCAACCCGCCAAAAGGACGCAAAATACCGTACCCAAAGTCGCTCTGCCTCAGATCCCACCCGCTTGCCACCATTCCATCGCGAAATTTCTAACCAGATCCTCAACACCATGTATAACCTGTGTAGACACAACAAGAGCCGACAAGAAGAGGCAGCGCTATCTGATATTATCCCGCTGCTGAAGGAGGTAGTGCGCGAGGGCGGACCGCTCAAGGAGTTCGCTCTACCGGTACTGCTTGAGATGGTGAACTCCGGTAAGGTTGCGCGCAAGATGCTGTGGGATGCAAAGGGTCTTGCGTTCTACGTGTCACTACTTGGCGACCGCAATTGGGCAGTCACAGCCCTGGATGCCATCTTCGTGTGGTATGTATTCAGCCAGCCTTTACGTCTAATACTCGTATTTCTAACATTAGTGATAGGCTCCAGGAAGAAACTGCACGTGTCGAACAATACCTCCTCTCTTCGCATGCGAACTTCACGCCTGCCATTATCTCTGCATATACTTCAGCCGACCTGTCTCACTCGACCTTTGAGAATATGCTCGAGCCGCTACAGAAGCTAGTGCGCTTGTCTCCGCCCATCGCCGCGTCGCTCGCTGTCCCCGAGATCTTCAACCGCACGGAACAGAAACTTGGACATAAAGATGCTGTCACACGTCTCAATCTATTACGTATATTACGGACGATTTGCGATGCGAAGGAGGAAGGCTGCTGGTTGATTCGCGCCTTTGGCTGCTATGAACGCATTAGCTGGCTCATGGGACAGGATCCTGCGGTCTTGGTACGACAGATGGCAGAAGAGCTCGTCCGCGCCTGTGATGAAGTGGAAGTCTCCGGTATGACTACGAGTTCAAACGGCAAGCGCAGTGTATCTCGTGCTTCAGGTTTAGGTATGAACTTGAGGCGCCCTGCTTCATCATCTAGTCGACGCGATGGCTCAGGGTCAAGCACTGGAAGCACGATGGTAGGAAGTGGTATGGGACTAACGCCCCCTACGCCAACGAGTCTCAAGAATACATTCATGCTCCCAACTATGTCCAATACACCGACATTGGTCGGTAGCGGCAGGGACCGTGTAACCCGAAGTCAATCCACTGCGGCTATGTGGGATCTTGCTGAAGATCCCTCCGCTGCACCTTTGTCTTCTGGAAGATCGAAGCCCACCCCTTTAACGAGGAGCTCGACATCATTCGCCGTCCTCCAGTCCAACGGGACACCAGCATCCTTACGCACGCAAAGTACTCGACCTTCATCTCGAGATCCATCTCGGGACGCTGTATCCAGCCTCTCACGCATAGAAGCAAACGCGAAATCCTCCTCACGTCTCCCCAAGGCTCGACAAGGCCGCCTAAGTGAAGCCGTGAATCGTCGTCGACAAAGCACCATCGGTGGTGAGAATGACATACCCACCAATGGCAGTGGTGTGAGCAGTCCAGTCCTACCACGTCTTCACATCGTACGAAGGAGGAGGGAGACGAGCGGTGGAGAATTGAGTACGGTTGGGGCAAAGGGCAAGGGCGCGGGCGCGGGCGCGGATTAGAAGCCCGCAGTCGCAGAAGAAGTAAGTGGGAGTGTGCATCCTACTCAGATTCGGAGACGAAGGGGGTGGACAGGGTTGTAGGACGTCTCATTTGGCTTTGGCCTGGTTTTCTTTTGTCGTTTGTACTGGATAGCCTCTACCTGAAGGAGTTTCAAGGCGCTATGATGGTTAAAGCATTTTTAGACGGGTATAAGCATAGCCGGCGTTCTGGGTTGGGCTCTCATGCATAGAGCATCAGTACTTGGAGGCTTCTGGATAGGAATATGAAGATGTATCACGCAATCATGTTCTTACATACTCCCTATGCATAGACATTGACAATCCGACATTGTGCGACTAGAATAAGAAGTCGGATAATCGTAGTCTGGCAAATACAAAATGTGTTCATGTTCAATTCATCTGAAGTGCGACATCGGGAAAATGCGTTTGCGTTCAATTGCTTCGGCAATAATCGCGACATTACCGAGCACGCCTTATCTATGCAAACTTGACATATCAACCCCATTTCCCGACCTATCTTTGAATAACCTGGGGGCTTTATAAAGGTGAAGAAAGTAAGTGACCGAAACACTAGAGTTTACTTTTTGTGTAGCTATCGGTGTTCATGTCACATCAACATGAAAGAAGCGGAACCTGGAAGTCCCAGCATTGGCGGGGCAGCCAGCGTTACAACGACGAACACGTCAGCTGCTCTCAACGTCGAAGAACACGCATCTACTCCGCCTGCATCAGATCGCCACAGGACTGGCTTTCCAAAGCAAGGCGGGCAATCGATGTCATATTGGCTGCAACAAGTGCGATGCGATCCTTTACTAGACCACCGCACCTCGGAAACATTACCAAAGGAAGCAGACACCGTAATCATAGGCTCGGGCATCAGCGGGACTTTGGTAACAAAACACCATTTGGAGACCTGGCCAAGCAAGAGCGTGGTAATCGTCGAAGCACGGGAATTTTGCTCAGGAGCCACGGGACGAAATGCTGGTCACTGTAAGCCAGACCAATGGCGACACTACGGGAAATTCGAGAAGGCATATGGAAAGGCGCAAGCTATCAAGATCATGAACAATGAATCAGCAACTTGGAAAGCGCTCGTTGCGTATGTCCAAGAGAACAACGTTGACTGCGATCTTTGGGTCGGTGAGACGCTTGACGTCCCACTCGACGAGGATGTGGCGAAGGCGGCTAGGGACGTATTTGAGAGGTATGCAAATGCTGGTGGGAAGGTTGATCACATAAAAGTCACGCATGATCCCGCCAAAGCAGCTAAGATATCAAAGATCAAAGGCGCGACGGCGTGTTACGCGTGGCAAGCGTCGACGCTGCAGCCGTGGAAACTAACGGCGCACATCATGCGAGAGAACCTGAAGAAGGGCGCTAATCTGCAGACCTATACGGTTGCAAACTCCATCACAAGTGACGGAAGTGGGCGAAGGAAGTGGACTGTTCGTACCGACCGCGGTGCCATCGCATGCGACACGGTTGTGCACGCCACAAATGCATACAGTGCCGCTCTCGAACCCTCGCTGCGCGGCCTCATCACACCAAAGCCGCACATGTGTAACAGAGTCGTTCCACCACGTGCTCTCAGCGGCTCAAAAGCCCTTTGCAACTCGTACGGAGTTCTCCTCGCAGACGGCGCTCTGTTCAGCATCAACCCCCGCTGCACGGCCGACGGCAATATCCTGTTTGGCGGCTCGAACCCAGGACAACGAGCATTGGACGAATGGGTTGAACAAAACCCAGGAAACTGCATCAACGATGGCCTTGCGGATCTGGAGAGCGTTACTAAGTGTGTCAAAGACTTCGTCAATGAAGAGTTTGACGGCTGGAGAGAAGCGGAATTCGGGCCTGGAGAAGGCTTTGCGTATAGCTGGAGTGGTATTATAGGGTTGAGTGTCGACGGCGTGCCTTTTGTTGGCGCACTACCTGGAAAAGAGGGACAATGGATCTGTGCCGGGCATCATGGACAGTAAGTGTCAGACGTTTTGTTGTGCGGAGAGGTGAACGCTGACATGTATGTCAACAGTGGTATGGCGCGCATCTTCACAGCAGCGCCTGGACTTGTGAAGCTCATGAACGGCAAGGAATGGGGAGAAACGGGGTTGCCGGACGTGTACCAGATGACACCGCAACGACTCGAGAAGCTGAAAAAGGTAGACGTCGACACACCGAAAGTCGCCATTATCTGAGCGACAAGTGTGGAGATGGCAGAAAGCGAACATGGGTGGTGTGGCGCCAAATGAGCAGGGTCATGACTCGCGCACGGTATTCATGGTTTTCCCACACAAACCACTCTCCTTTATTGCATGCGCATGTAGTCTTTCAACACTCTGCTTAAAGCACCTTGATCAACGTCTATCATCATGCGGCCATAGCCCCCCGTCAAGCCATCAAGGGCGGCCACTCCACGGCCTCAGTTGAACGTTTCCTTTGTCTTACCAACGCACACCCATGGTTCTCCCCGTAAGAGGCTTCCGCACCCAGACAAACCGCAACCTGACGAACCGTGGATCAAGCACTGTATTCGACACTTTTGGCCGCAACATGCCCGTCGCGGTAAGTCAGAGATTGCGACGGGGTGCGCCATGCGAAGCAGCAGTGGTAGCGAGCGTCGCGCTGGTGTTGTGGCAGCTGTGGCGATTGGTGTGCGGCCTTGGCTAACGAGGTTTGACGTGGCATTACAGCTGCGTCTATGTGGTAGCGAGAAGGCATGACAGCTAAGCTACCGCTGGAGTACCAGGGATGCGTGCGAGCTAATTGAGCACCGTTGCAGAGGCGTGAAAATGAACGCTTTGCTTTCGAACTTGCAAAATTCGGCCTGAAATGACCAAGGTGAATAGTCGCATAGGTTGTTGGCAATTTGCTTGGGATACCACTATGCCACTTAAGATGATGGACCTTCCTTGATATCTCATGCTTCGCAGACAGTCTCCCTCTTGTTCTACCACTGCTACCATTTTGATTCCCAGCGAAAGCTCATCAGGCAATGTTCTTATTGTCAAGGAGTGTGTTGCAGGTTTTCCTTTCCCGAGCTGCCCTTTCGGGGCATCGGAGCCTAGTCCGATTTGGGATTGGACTCGAGACGAGGCACATGAAGATGGATGTTGAAATCCCTCTGCGGGGATACGCAACTAGAAAAATGGGGAAGGAGGGGACATAGTGCGGGTTCAAACGTAGAAGCCAAGATATGTCTATATATTGTACTTATATAGTAAGTGTCGAAGCCCGGTTGTCAGCATGTTGTTCAAGTTTTGAGTGCGGAACAAATTGTCTCAAGATGACGAGCCTTTGTACAAAACTAGCTGCTCTAGAGGAGGCTGGGAAGCCGATACAAGTTGGTATCATTGGGGCGGGGAAATTCGGATCCATGTAGTAAGTACCGTGTTTCGTGAGTAGTGAAACAAAGAGTCTAATTTCAGGCGGAGTATATCACAGTCGCACAAAAGGTGTGAGGTTTAAGAGGCTGGCAGCCATTGCCGATCTCGCACCAGAACGTGCCCTTAATGCACTGAGGAAGACGGGCTTTCCGCGGGAGAAATATAATGTTACTGCCTCAATGTCACTGGAGGAAGGTCTTAAGCAGGGAAGGACGGTCATTACCACAGACTCTGCTGCCATGATCGCGACCCCAGGCATCGATGTTATTCTCGAAGCAACTGGCAAACCAGCTGCGGGCGTGAAACACGCCTTGCTCTGCTGCGAGCATAAGAAGCACATCGTCATGATCAATGTCGAGGCTGATGTGCTTGCCGGACCTCTTCTTACGAGAAGGGCGAAAGATGCGGATATCATCTACTCCATGGCGTACGGTGACCAGCCTGCCCTCATCGCTGAGTTGGTAGACTGGGCCCGCACCGCAGGCTTCGACGTCGTTTGCGCCGGAAAGGGAACGAAGCATCTACCGCAATACCATTACTCTACACCGGATACCGTCTGGGACCACTATGGCTTCACAAAGTAACAGCTCGCGAGTGGTGACTTTAATCCCCAAATGTTCAATTCTTTTCTCCATGGGACCAAATCCGCGCTAGAGATGGCAGCGGTGGCAAACGGATGCGATCTATCTCCGCTCTCAGATGGCTTAGCATTCCCACCTTGTGGTACTCATGATCTGCCCGAAGTCCTCAAGCCAGCGAGTGATGGCGGCCAACTACATAAGAAAGGCACCGTCGAAGTCGTCTCGTGTGTAGAAAAGGATGGACGATGGGTACACAACGACCTTCGTTGGGGCGTCTATGTCATCATCGAAGCACCAGGCGAGTACCAGAAGGAGTGCTTTAAGCAGTACGGTCTCAAAACCGACTCGACCGGGAAATATGCCGCGCAGTACAAGCCCTACCACCTCATCGGACTCGAACTCGGTATCTCAGTGGCAAGTATAATGGTGCGCGGTGAACCTACCGGCCAGACCAAGACATGGCGCGGCGACGTTGTCGCGACGGCGAAGCGCGATCTCAAAACTGGCGAGACGCTTGATGGTGTGGGCGGATTCATGGTATACGGCAAGCTCATGACGGCCAAGGATTCGCTCTTGATCGAAGGGCTGCCCATCGGTCTAGCACATGGAATTGTATTGAAACATGATCTGAAGAAGGATCAATGTCTATCTTGGGCAGATGTAAGGTATAGTGAAACAAATCAGGTGGTCGCGTTCCGGAAGGAGATGGAGGCTTTTAACAGGAAAGAGTTCCATTCTGCGCAATAAGCTTAGAGGGAAGACTAATATTACAGCAATTAGACTGCTCTGGATTGGGTGGCGGAGGGTGATCACGTACCGAAGATGGTGGTTTGGACGGGTCGGATCCAAGAGGCTAGAAGCACTTTGGACAAGCCACATGAGCATTTCGACTATCAAGGGGTTTTTCATCGGCTTCTAGGTGCTTATGATCTGCGTCCGACTGTTACTGTTTCGTGAAATGCACCATATCGCCCGGTCTCGTACGTTTTCGCCTAGGACTTGGTACTTTGACAAGTATGAGAAAGAGATGCGGTTATACGCATAAACTTGGCCATGAAATGGCAATAAAGGGACTTTAACTCTTTTCTAGAGAGTTCATTGCTTTCGGTAGAGATGCAGATAGATTGAAGGCTAACCCGTTCAGAGATAGTGTAGGTAGTTCTGGCTATGCCATTTCCTGTATCGAACATTGCCTTTTATCTAACAGGATCTTACATCTCATTGACATCTTCACAGCCTTTTCTACAATGACCAGCATGCTTCAAACTAGTGTTACTTCGACCGAAAGATAGCTTGCATAGCTCCTACGCCTGTGCGGTTGCTTTGCGCTTACAACTCCATAGATTCGATCATCATTTCCATTGTGTGACAATGCTTTTGGGAGTTCGCTTTCCGCTCTCCCACTCTTAGACAGAATGAACTCTCGCTTTTCGCTCCCTAAAAGCCCAGTAGATCCCGAAGGTTGCCAGAACATTGAATAGTACGTAAACGGCCAAATACCCAAAGTTGTGCCACCGGCTCTCGAATTCGACCCCGTAAATTGCCAACAGCGGTGTCGTATTAGAGACTGGGCAATACAAGCAATCAGAAGTCGCATCGTGATTCCATAGAGATCCACCAGCCACGCTAATGAACGAGTCGAGGTAACTTCCACACCCTTGACCGCTGGGGGGATTGATGTGAAGAAGTTCAATTTCTGCGCAGTGAATGGGCATGTTAGCAAGGCCTGCGACCACAGTGCCATCGATGAAATAGGTTATAGGTGACGCGCGATAGACGAATTCCCAGAAGCGGGGGAGATCTTTCGGCGGGACGAGGACTCTGGACGACAGTTAGCTCATGTCGTTCACGTTGATTAATGTGCAGGGTGGGAGGTTACCCGCAGAACACAAGGGACAGCCAGAAGAACAAGGTCGCAATTTGAACTGCCGTCTCTTCATGATCCATGCCAACGCCCACCGTTTGTGAGAAAGTCGAGATCCATAGATTGAAAAGCCATATCATGCCGAATGCAAGACCGCTGCGCTCGCTCGTCCCAAAGCTTGGATCCTGGTTTCGCCAAAGGCCAGTAGGGTACCACCATGTGACGAAGATTATAAAAGCTGCTATCGTTTGCCACAACAATTCGACTAGTATATGAGCAGATATCATAGCGACCCATGAATATGTCTTTGACCTTCTTTCGCGGGCTTCGAAGAGTGCTCTTCCAGATGTAAGGCGGGGGATAACCTGTTGGTCGAGAGTACTGAACAGCTGCGTGAATAGGAAGACAGAGAAGAAGATGTTCGATATGCCCTGAATGTCGTGGCTCGTATTATAGAAGGAAAGACCATTACAGAGAGTCTGGGATGCGTCAGTCTATAGAGATAGTGAAGTGTTGCCGACGTGACTTACCACTCCAGCGCATAATGCACCTTTAGAGTAGAGATACATTGGGTTGCGCCAATACTCCTGGAATACACGCTTGACGACCAGGCGCAGCTGACGAGGAAATGAAGCTGCGTACTCTGCTTTCCGACTCCCGTGCTGTGGGCCTGCAACGTCGATAGAAGTTCCTTGGAACTCCTTGAGGTGATGCAAAACGGCTTTTCTTTCAGAGCTACAGGCCCAGATATTGCACCAATCTTTGTCGGGACCTGTTTGGACAGTCTCAGTCTTATCAGCATGCCCAGTTACGTCCAGAACCCATTCCGCCGGATTCTGACCGGAGCCACATGCGGCGGCACCATTTTGTTCGAAGTATTCGATCAAGGTGGACGACTCAGGGCCTATATCGCCGAAGTACAGCATTCTGCCGCTCTGGTCCAGGAGTAGTAGGCGATCGAAAATCTGGAAAAGTTGGGAAGAAGGCTGATGTATGGTAACGAGAATAGCTTGTCCGTTGTCACTTAGCTGACGAAGAAGCGTACAAATTGACCATGCAGTCTGACTATCAAGGCCAGACGTGGGCTCATCTGTATACGAATCAGCAAGTTAAGTCTACTCTAAATTCTATCATGTACGTACCTAGAAATAAAAGCAACTCTGGTCTGGCCACCATTTCCACCGCAATACTAAGTCTTTTTCGTTGCTCAACGTTGAGACCTAGTTGGTTAGCTATGCCCTAAGCTACAAAATTACAACGCACCTTCGCCTGGTACTCCGACAACAGCTTCAGCAAATGAACTCATATCTAGAATATCAATGATATGCTGGACATAGTGCGATCGTTCGGAGGACCCATTCTCGTTAGGATGCCGTAGTTCAGCACTGAACTCCAAAGCCTCGCGAACGGTTGAAGTAGATAGATGCAGGTCTTCCTGCTGAACATAACCCGTCTTACGCTGGAAATCTGCAACACGCTGCTGAGTACCAAGGCTTATGCTACCTGTCACGATCCCTACCCTGGCTCTGCAGGCTAGAATGTCGAGGAGACTGGTCTTACCCGCGCCAGTCACACCCTATTCAACTTCTTTAGCGAAAATTCATTCCGAGGACGGAGAAACTCACCATCAGTGCAGTCAAGGTGCCCGGTTTCACCCAGCCTTCCACATCTTTCAAGATGTGACGAGAGCCATTCTTGAGTTTGACTTTATAGTTGAGGTCGCTCCATTGGAAAGTAGACTGTTTATTCGAACTTTCCACAACCTCCTTACTATGGTGAGAGTGTGTCGTTTGGATAGGCGTTTGGTCATGGACATGCTTCCCACTGGACCATCGTCCTGTCTCTTCATCTTCAGCCTGATTTCCACGCTGCGCGCTTCCTCGAAAAAGCAGGACTTCTCCTCGAGAACGCCGAGCAGCAATATATTCAGCCGCAATAAGATGGATCGTGAAGAATATCAAGAGCATAGAGAGGATTATTCCAATGTTTCTAGTTGGCTTAGAAAAGATCTGCTTAGCTCTAAGAGAGACTCACCTCCAAAGATGGGCCGTCTGGAATCCATACTTTGACGCGATGAATGCCGAACCATCAACATCAAGAATTCCGGGTTTTGAACCTATAGCAGCGCAAACCTTGTTTTCCAAGCTGTTCTCCGTGTATGCGGGTCCTATAGGTATGAGGCGTGAGCATGTAAAGCTACGGCCAGCAAACTACTTTTGTCAAAAGAGAAATCAGGGAATTGGACAATGAGACTTACCTCGTTGATCATCAAGCTTTCGTATGCAAATGCAATCGGATTTAGCCGCCGCAACCAACTTAACCAAGAGATCATGTCTTTGACCGGGATAATGAAGCCCGTATACGCGCTGAAGATCAGGATAACCATTGAAACAGGTACCATGGTCTGTTCGAGAGTGCTAGAAAGTGATCCCACCATTCGAAAGAACATTGACATGGCCAGAATAGTGGCGAACATAAAGACCATATAGGTGAAAAAAGCACCTGCAGTCCTACGTAGATTAGACATGAAGTAGAGGGTCGTGTTGAAGAAGATACACGTCGCCACCTTATTAGGTAGGTCACAAATGAGAGAAGCGCAACTCTCAGTGAAGGGATGGTAGAGGGCATATCGGTTGTGTTTCTCTACTATGGGACGCTGAGCCCACATTGCCATAATCTATATCGTGTCAGTGATAGTACATGAATGCTGATAATGACGATACCTCGAATGCAGGTGCATATGCATTGATCATAAGAGAGAAGAACACCAATACAGCCCGTTTATCAAGAGCATCGGTGTCTTCCCCAAGGTTGTAGTATACGCTGCCTACAATGATGGAGATTATGGTGTTTCCGATGACGCCGGCCACGGTAGGGACGTAGTTATTTCGGAGTCGCTGAATGCCTCTTTTGGTGCAAAGCCATATCTGAACGTAGATAGGGATCGAGTAGGTCAGCGTTTTTTGCCTGCCTTAAGTTCAGTTTAGTGGAGATTACGAGAAAAGGAAGCCTGACTGCAAAGTATCAATACCGTCCACTTTACATTTCTTCCTGTAAGTAGCGTTGGACTCGTCAATTTCTTGAAGAAGCGCCTTTGCGGCCGCACTCCGCCTCCAAGTGACGGCGAATTCTTCAGCGGAGCGCGGTACACTGTTTTCGAAGCCTTTCCTCACCATTCGCTGTTCTGGGTGGGTGAGCGATGTCAGAAAGTCGGCAATCGTTGCACGGGATGGCCTCTCAAAGCCCAGATCGGTGAAGTACTTGGCGGCTAGGGTAGCAGGACCAAAGTATATCTGACGGCCTTCATATAGCAAGGTAACTTTGTCAAAGTTCTGTGGTACACATTAGCTATCCATATCATTAGTATATGAGAAGATCATGAGTTACCTCATATATGGCGTCTGAGGCCTGGTAAATACTCATCAACGCTGTTGATCGCGTATTTGTCGTCGAACTTCTCATCAGCTGTACGAAGCCAAGAGCCGTACGGCTATCGAGACCCCGTGTGCTGTTATCCCAGCATTGGAGCTGAGCTCCACTAATGAAAACCTCAGCTATACTCGTTCGTCTCTTTTCGCCTCCACTAATGCCTCTGATCATCGCGTTGCCGACTTTTGAGTCAAATACATCGCTGAGGTTGAATTGCGAGGAAACAGCCATTGCTGTGCTGCGTGGTCTCAACTTGCTATTTGACTTCACCTCTCTTGCGGCAGCCGCGAACGTGAGGGTTTGACCTAACGTCAACTCTGGGAAATGTACGTCAAGCTCCGCGAGGTACACGCAGTCGCCTTTGAACCTATGGTGCATCTGTGGGTATGTTATCCCTAGAGAACAACATTAGCCGTTTTTGTGCAACTCATGGTCGTTAGAAAGTCAAATTACCATCGTAATTAATGTTCGATGCATTATCGATTTCTAGCCCACGTATTTCGCCGGCTAAGCTCTTCAGGAAAGTCGAGCAACCACTTCCAGGTCTTCCAAGAACAAGCAACATCTCACCGCTACACACGGAGCCATTAAAGTTCCGTAGAATTGGGGGCCTTCTCTTCTCAGGGGATGTAAAGTAGTGTACCAGGAACTTAGGAATGGCCGATAAATAAGAAACTACCGTATGTTGACGTGATGTCGATGAAGTGGACCCGGATACACCGAGGTCCCGAAAGGCTACTCCCACTTGTACCCGTTCGTGAAATTCCATATTGCGTTAAGAGAGGTTATAAGCTGGTGATTTTGAGGGCTCGTAGCTTTTGCTGCGTCGTGGGGTAGGTATTTCGAAAGGATGTTTGAATCAAGTGTCCGTCAGCTCTGTAAATACGAGTAGTCTTGACCCCACGAGGGTGTTGGGCACTTTCCAGGTCAAGTTGGAGCATAATACTTGATCACGAGTGGTGGAGTCTAGTGGGCGGAGTGAGCTGACAACAAGTTACACCGGATGGCCCGTGCTCATGTGTAGCCTAATCTAACTATCCAGACCAGGGGCGGGATAAATATGCTGACAACAGGTTACACAACATAGCCGCCCTTGCTAAAGTATCACCTGGAAGCGGAGGTAATTAAAACTGATACACTATATACTCCCACTTCCCGTGGCACAGCCGTCTGCCCCGCCTTTCCTTCGTGATACCAACATTTTCATCTTTTCCGTTATTTCCTCCTCCTAATGCGGAACGCGATTGGCTTCTTCGGTTTCTCTACGCCCATGCCAAATTTCCAAGAGCCCATCTCCAAGGTGTGAGGACGTATCTCAATGTCAAATTCTCTCGTCATCAAGGCAATAGTAAACAGTGTCACTCTTTTCGCTAGGAACCTGCCTGGGCAAATTGCATTTCCGCCTGCTCAAGGTTAGCATGGAAATCAAACTGCGCACACTTGATGTTTCTACATACCTCCATACGGCATCCACGATGCCTCCAGGCCTTGCACAGAGAATGAAGGCTTTCCGTCTTTGCCGCGTGGCTCAGACTGGCGTTTGTCCCTCACCGCTAGTTGCACGGGTCCACTAGACTGATCGTGAGAGTATGTCACAAATCTGTCAGCCCAGAAAGAGCGGACAGGGTAAAGCCCGTCTCTGGTGTTCCAGTAATTGTTGTCCATGTGCGTCATTCCCGAGCTGACTAAGGCAGTTCCCCCCTTGGGCATCCACCACCTACCAAGGGATACATCGGCGTGAGGCGAGCTCACCATAACGCACACATTAACATATAATCGAAGTACCTCGGCCTGTATAGAGGAAAGCAGCGTACTTTTGATCAACTCAGCAGGGTCTATATCCAGTAGTGTTGTCTGACCAAAGTCTGCCTCCAGTCCTTCGCGTACGCGTTTGAGCAAAGCAGGGTCCTTGAAGACGTGGTATACCGAAAGCATCGTAGTGGGAATCGCGTTCCCAACCGTACTGCGGCTTCTTAGTTTCTCGCTGATAGGTCTGACGACTAAGGGCACACTCACCCCCATACCAAGGCTAGATCTGCAGATGCAAGTGCATCATCATCGAAATTGTCAGCCTGAAGATATTTCTTTTGTTGATACCTTATAAGCTCGGAGCCCCAGTACGGATCACCATCACCATCTTCATATATGCAATCGTCAGAGAAGTTCTCGCGTGCATACTTGTACCATCGTTTTAGTTGATTGCGGAGCCTTTCTCGAGTCCGATAAGGCTCCGGGTTGACAAAAGACGGGACTAGTCTTGCGAGCCACGGAATTGAATCATCAAACTTCCACGCGTCGTCCATGAAATCCGGATTGATCTTCAATAGTGAAGGTCCAAAAACTGCTTGCAGTAGAGCCGCACCGTGAACAGTACGGAAGAACTGGACCAAATCAGGCATGTCCGTCCAGTCATCCGAGACGTTGAGATCTTCACATCTGCGTGCAAGATCTTTCATATAGCGTCGCGCAGTTGGAGCAAGAGCGGGTCCAGTGAATGCTCTTTTGAAGCCTTCGTGTGTAAGATAGTCCAAACGATTCTTCTCTAGCACATTGCTATTGTTGTTCGGCGTTGGGGAAGCACCCGAGTTATCGGCTCGATAGGTAGTAAGAGCGCGATTGTGCATGCCGAAGAAATGCTTGAGCACATGGACGTAGAAGGGTATAGGGCTTGAAAGTGACTGCGCCTTCCAGAGTCGACGTACGGTGTCGCGGTCTTGAAATAAGTATAGCTCTTTCCCGGCTACGGTGATTCTGGAGGAGGCGAGTTCTCCAGCATACGAACTAGAGATTTATCAGTCTCGCAGTGCGATTTTATAAAAGCTCCATATACCTACGAAGCAGTCCGTAGAAAGTTGGCATTGTCAAGGAGGAACGGTAATGCACTCCCCAGCCAGGGTATAAGAGTTGGATATTTGGGTGGAAGTTGTTGTTCCTTCAAGCTTAGGTTTTGTTGATGGTAAATAATGACTTGGAGACCATAGTTGAAGGCGAGTGCGAGAGCTATGATCACCCCGATGACTGAAAACTTTGGGAGGTCCTCAACCTGAGCGTACGGCAACACAGCTACCTTTTTGAGTGGAAGCGTCACTAGTGCTTTCCAGTCTAGGGAGTTCATTGCGTATGTGTTTCGAATATGGCTATCTAGAGGATTGGAAGACGTGCGACAAATCGAAGTGGAAGATGTGCAACAAGACGAAGTGGAACTACTAATATGAGCATCTGATATACAGCTTGTTATTAATGCTCAAGTGGTTCTTTAGCGCATTCTGTCAAAGCCATGGCGGTCAAGCTATGAGCGAGTGACCCTGCCTGTCCATCTAATTCGAGATGATATCAGCGTTCGCTTTTCCTCGCTTGCACCTTTAGATTTTCATCCAAGACGTTCATTCCTGACCAGATAGGTTGCCGAGATTACTATATCCCAACCTGTGCCACTGTTTAGTGCGATAGAGGTTGCCTTCGATATTGATACCCTAGCTGAAGCATCAAGCTACATGTAGCATGCACAAGGCAAACGCAAGCTGTCATCATCATGTGGTAGCCACATCCCATTGGGGCAATGCTATCAGGCAAATTCCTTGGGAGGCAGAGTTTAAACCAAGCTATTTGATGAGCCTCACGGGTGCTGTATAGTGAAACATAGCTGAAGTAGCACAAGGATGCGGTACAGCAGTTTCGATTCAGGTTAAATGTAATGAAGTAAGGCTCAATGGACTTCTGACCTCATCCACTGGTTACACTCTTTTCTGACAGTGATTTATGGGTGGCATTCTGTGCTGGGCCTCGCCTTGGTAGCTTCAGCCCCTACTTATGGCCCCCCACCCTCATTTTTCCCAGTGCTGAACCGGGAGATCTGCACTGCTTTTTGATCCCTTCTTATCACAAGATCCGTCATTCGGTCGATTGTGACCTGTAACTGCGCCATGGATCTACAACCCCTGGACACCAGTCTCATTTCGGAGTCCGAAGAACATATTCACGTCATACAACGAGTCTGCCTTCTAGATTCCCTGACTACCACACATGAAGACACATTCGGTTCATAGTTACACGCAGCTGCCTAAATCCATAACTACCGTCACTGGCTGTGCCCTGACTCCGAGTATGCTTTATCACATTACACTAGGTGGCTGAGCGAGGCAGTGTTGACAGGAAGGACTTGTAGGACCTAGGTCTGTGCGCTAAAGCTTCAAAATAAACCAGGTTTCAAGAGCCCCGAATGTAGAGGCGTCTGTTGGCTTGTTCTAATGGATAGGCAATAACGAAGGTTCTGTTTTGATGACTCTGTCGGTGTCTAAGCCGGACAATGCGCAATTCAATATTCGCTAGTTATCCCAATCCATTTCATTGCTAAGACTAAATAGTGAAGAATGTAGAATAGAGTCGCATGTCTCTATCATGCTGTTTTGCAAGTCAGGTGTACTAAGATCTAACGAAAGAGCTATCAATCTTCCCAAGCGTTTTGGCAATTTTAGCGTAGCATATAACACCCTCAACTTTACCATGCCATCCCATTGCTTGAATGTCTCTCGAATCAGAACAAAGTGCGCGATGATCAGCGATACCTCTTTGTAGCAGCTGTCCACACAATTTGGGTCTAGACTCTTGAGTTTGAGAAGGTGTCCAGAGAATCAGCCCTGTCCTTGGCGGAGTTGTCGTCACTGATATTGGTGAGAAATGTAGGACTAAACCTTCCCGACTCCGGAACTGGTAAAGTATCGTCGTGAATCGTTTCAGAGTCCTTGAATGACTCTAGAAGACTGTCATGGAGTTGTCTTGCTCTTCGTCGGAACCCGTTTCTCTGTGAGGATTCATCCGACGCTTCTTTCTGGTTTCGAAACGCTTCTTCTCGTCGTCGGTGCTGGCTTGCCTCTGCCTTCCTTTCTCTCTGTGCGAACAAAGCTCGGAACGAGATTAGAGAGGCAATAATGAAAGCTAGAGATATTGAGCCTTGGAGCAGTGATTGAACGACTCCTTGAACTTACAGACTGCAAATTCAATGAAAAACCAGAACCAAATCCATGTAACGTTCATATCCATTCTCTTGTTTTGGTCGATTGTCTTATAGACGCCACCGAAAATGCTTCCTCTTACAATGGTTATGGCCATGGTAAATACTACGAGGCTGAAGATGCCGGAGAGCATGAGCTTCTTCTTGCGATTGATGGAAGTCTTCCACAGGATAACGACTGGGAAGCAGATGACTATATGTCTGTGAGTGTCTATTCTCAGTGACTGCGAAGAGTTGATCGACTCACTAAGCGCGTCCGAGACCACATCGACAATGCAGGATATTTTGAAAAAGTCATAAGTCTGTTTCAAAGTTGTGTACTGCGGACATATCACCATTATGTCATTGATCGGGCCAAACAGGCAATGGAACTGCATCAGCCCAATACTAACCGCTCCACAGGCGATAGTGAAGATGAGCACAGCCCACCAAAAGATGATATAGGGCGTAATTTGGGCTCCGAGGCGTTTAAAGAACAGTAAAAAGTTCAACTTGATTGCCCAGATCCCTAGGTAGGAGAAGATTGCTGCAATTCCAAAGCCGACAAGACCGCGCCGGGCTTCGTGAGGAAAGTTTGCATCGGGCATAATGGCACCCTTGGAAACAGCCATTAACATATAGATGTCTTTTAGATAAACCTGCCCGAGGATGGCTGACGAGAGCAGCATGGCAAGGGCAAATATCATTGCCCAATCGTCGATAAGTAGCTTATGGAAGCACATGTATCGTATGTAGACTCGCCCTACGCAGGAAATCAAGCAGAGGACGAAGCCGGTCCATAGTACCGCCTTTCAGTGTCAGCATCTACATGTGTACTCGCATGATGCTCGTTGGCTTACGTGAAATGCTTCGACAGACACTAGATGGTGGGCAGTTTCAACAGGCTGATATGTTTGCGGGGAATTTGCGGCATCCATGATGGCGTTTACTTGTCCAAAAGTGAGCAGACATAGTCCTGGAGACACGGACTTATAATGAGCCCAGATGTTCATCTCAGGGTCAATATGACTGGTCAGATCCTGGTGTAAGGGTTGCAGTCAGCACCGTTATCCCGAAGGTTTCACAGCAGCTAGCTCGTATCATGCCCTTTGATCGCAGGCCAATCTATCGCGTTTCCACTCCCTCGGAATCAGCACTAACCGGTTCTCAATATAACATGCAGTAAGTAAATCGTTGTCATTTGATTAGATTTGCAGGCGCTTCGACGCGCAATCAGTACTCTTCAATACGGTGACCGAGCGTGCGAATTAGACTAGGGGTCCAAGGCACCTGCCAAGGAGCATTCACGTCTTCTTAGCGCAGCCTTGGCGCGCTCACAGCGGCGTGGTTGCCAGCCTCCTCCACAATCCACGGTACCTGCGAGAACAGGAACACCTGCCAGGCCCCTGTGAGTGAATTTCACGAATACTTGTCAACTCAGTCTTCTATCGCCGCCCAAACGACTGCACAAGTCATGGCGTCAAGCGTTATCATTGGGCTCAGCAGCCTTGCGGCGACCTACGTTTTTCTACGTATCCTACTTTCGTACACTCACCACGACCGGGAGCCTACAGCTGTTGCAACCGAAATCCCGTTTCTCAGTCCATTGTTCGGCATGGCCAAGAAGGGGAAATTTTACACAGACCTTCGGTAAGTCCTGCGCATTCGAACTCAAATTGGCTCTGTTTACTAACCGCGATGCCAGCGATAAATACAACCTTCCCATCTACACCTTGAGGCTCCCCGGGTCGAGGATCTATGTCGTCAATTCCACGAATCTGATCACTGCCATCCAACGTCAGCCGCGCGTCCTTGATTTCGCGCCTATTGAAGCAAAAGCTGCAATCAACGTAATGGGAGCGACGATGGCGGGTAAGGAGATCCTAAATCAGGAGCGTGAAGGCGTAGGAAAGCATGCCTACGCCATCGAATTCGATAAGGCCATCCATCCCGCTGTAACTCCAGGGCCCAAGCTCGACGCCATGAACAGGCTTTCGGTCCAGAAGGTTGCTGAATTCCTCGAAAACACGGCCTCCAGTCAGTCCCAGACCTTGAACCTGTACGGTTGGGTACGAGAGCATATTTCCTGGGCGACGACTGAGGCTGTCTATGGCCCTCAGAACCCGTTTCGAGATTCCGAGATTCTAGATGCGTTTGGGTAAGTCTCGGGCTCGGCTCGGGCGGCGGCTTCAAGTGCTTACAATCGAATCTAGAAAGTTCGAACCTGGTATCGTAATCCTCCTACTCCAGCTGCTCCCTTCCATCCTAGCCAAAGAAAGCATTCAAGCCCGCGAAAAGATTGTAAAGGCATTCATAGCGTACTTTGACGCCGGCGGTCACAAAAAAGGCTCAGCACTGGTTCGCGCAAGATTCCAGCACAGTGTTGACTACAATGTCTCCACCGAAGATATCGCAAGGTTTGAGCTGGGAGGTGCCGTCGCAATCCTCACCAACACCATTCCATCTGCATTCTGGACTCTCTGGCATATCATCTCGGATGCCGCAGCTCTAGAGGAATGCAGGAATGAGCTATACCGCGTATGTAAGATTCAGGACGACACGGTAACTATCGACATAACTGAGGTCAAACTTTCATGTCCTATGCTCCTTTCCACGTTGCAAGAAGTCTTGCGTATCCACGGCACGGGCACCTCCGTCAGGATAGTCCAAGAAGATCATCTTCTCGATGGTAAATATCTTCTCAAAAAGGGTGGGACCTTGATGATCCCGGGTCCTGTTCAGCACACCGCAAACTCTGTATACGGCGAGAGCGTCAACGAGTTCAACCACAAGCGCTTCGTTCGTACTAACGGCAAGCGTCTGAACCCTGTTGGATTTCGCGGTTTCGGCGGAGGCTCTACGCTCTGTCCCGGTCGTCATTTTGCGAGCACTGAGATCATTGCGTTTGTCGCCTTGATGGTGCTACGATTCAATGTCAAACCCAAGGGTGGTGTATGGGTGCGCCCCACAACACACAAAGCTGGCATGCAGGCCACAGTACCACCACCAGATGCCGATTTGGAGGTCGAAATCACGCTGCGAGAAGGTGAACTGGAAGGGAAGCGATGGAATGTAATTCTTACAGGCTCAGATAAGGCCGTACCCATTGTAGCTGAGGATGTTGATCAAAACTAAGTCCCTCATGAGGCAGACTTTCCGAAAATAGGTAACCTTGTGCAAGGAAACGAGATAATATTGAACTTCAAAGCATGGGCTAGTTGCAGCCTTCGGGAACTTTCTTCGAATCTACTTCATTCCATGGAGGTGCGTGTATTAATGCTGACGTGCATCCGGGCTGAGTCAAGTAAGATTGCTGACAATGTAACACAATGGAGATGACCTATCGGAGTCTCAGTAGCGTATCGGTGCCGTTGAGTGACCATCCGGCAAAAGGGAGCCCGCCCCCACTAGCTAAGACCCCGGTTGCAACGCCACAAGCGAAGGGTCTAGCTGTTGTATAACCACACCACCCAGCTTAATCCCCGAGATTAGACTGGCATCCATGTCGTTGCTGTCCTTGTCACTGAAGCAGCATTTGAAAATGCGGCGTTGTTGCCTGCCAGCCCTTCTCCCTGTGTACTCATGTGTGTAACAAGCCCGAGCCATTCTAATATGAGTCTCACAGCAGTATAGCCGTGTGAAGGGATAATCCAGATTCTACAAGTTGCCAAATCGAATATAAGTTCGCCTTAAGAGGCCAGAAGGCTTAATTTATCACCCGCTACCAGCTTATACTTTTCTCCTTTCATGTTACTCAGCCTTGCTCTTCTGCCCTAGAGTCTTTACCGCGTATCTCCACCTCCCGCTTCCGCATCTCCACTCCAACACCAATGAGTCCCAGACCACAACTCTTGTCCATCATTGAAGAGAGGAGACAACGGCCCAAGGTCTATATCGCTACCGGCGGGGGGTTCTGGCTACTACTCAGTCTGTTCTTTAGCCTACAGTGTCGGTGGATAGATGGCGAGTCCACTTTCATGCTAATGTGTGATACGTATACTGAACTTTCAAAGGGCTTTTTATAGTTGTGTTGGGGTATATGCTGGTGAGAGCATGGTCGGTGGAGGTACGTGTACATGTTATATAGATTAGGGATCGCGGGACCAAAAGAACTAGTTCGCATGTGGTATAAACTGAACTTGCGCAATGGAACAGGATAAGACACTGTGCCTTGAGTCCAACTCAGCGTGCATCACCTTGCCATCTGCTCAGCATAGTGGAGTATATTATAAAAAAAGATGTCCATCACAAAAATGAAAGAGATATATTGTGCATGCAACTAGCAAACGGTAGAAATCACTGATGTGGTGCGTAAAATATAGACCCGAAACACATTGCTGAAGAAGTAGTTGATCCTGGAGTAGCCTCTCATATCGCATCTTGTGTTAGAAAACGTCAACGTCAAATTCAGAGGCCGTAACCTCTAAACGTCTCCTACGGCCTTGAAGAAATTAAATGCATGTGCTCAATTAGTTGCATATGTAGCCCATCCTTATTACATTACGGTTACGGTTTCGTAGGTCGGAAGCGTGGTGGTTTTAAGCAAGTCGAATACGCACTTTGGGAGTTATCTTAGACAAGCCTGTTTTGCAGCGCTAAGATGCTTTAAATCTATTTACTTTGTTATAAATGTATTGCAGAGAAACTTAGGACGCCTTGATATCTGTACAAGGGAATTAGCATTGATAGCATTTATACAAAGAGGTATAAGCTATGCGGTTTCTATCTTTAAGTTGCGGGCTCTATATTGCACAATATAGCATGCCTAACGAAATTTAGGAAATTATGATACTATTAAGCTATCTAATAAGATAGATGGACTACAGGTCAGCTTCTAAGAGCGATAATAACAAGCCAATAGATCCTGTATCATTCATTGCTGGTACCTGCTGCTTGAGACTGCCCACTCGTGACATACTTTAGACCGCCGGCATGCTGCATTACGATCACCGAGTCTTCTTTCTGGTTAGCAGTTAGCTTGATTGTAGTAGCAAGAAGCGTGCTGTAGCTGATATGTACCTTGTCTCGACATGCAGCATCAACCTAGCAAGGTCCACCCTCAGACTCTAGTGGACAGGTAAAATAGCCAGTAGCCAAATTGCAGTTCCCGCGACGCCATCCGTAGCAATCAGTGTCTTATATACAGACATATTCGGTGCATGAGGCTTGGCGTTCAAAGGTGTTTACCTATTGAGAGCCAGGGTTAGTCCGGAAGGCACTGATAACAGTTGAATCGCAGCACTTGCTCCGTTCTCAGAAATACTAGATCTAGTTGTCAGGGCAGTGATGAGAGGAAGTAAGGCGACGAAAGCTGCCAGGACACTGGATGTCTTCATGATGTCTTGTGAAGGTTGGAATATTGAAATCTACCTTCAGATTGACTGCAAAGGCGTGGGATTAAATACATTTTGCTAGGACTGTATAGTATGTCATGTCGATGGTTTCTCTTGCACCATTAGCCACAGCCGAAGCACCTCAGTCCGATCGGCTACCCACTTCTGCGATCTTGAGAGATAAGAAGCACGATGACGTTCGAAGGACATGCATGAAGGACAGAGCATTCCAACAACGGAGAGTAGTAATGTTGAAGGGCATGCCGGGCTTACGCAGATAACTGAGGTTAAGGAAGGACAGCTTCCGAAAGGACAGCCAAGGAAGGCATAAGCAACTTGGATAACAGACGAAAGGGCTGAACCCATTAGACAGTAGGGATATCTGTACAGAGTAGGTAATATGGAGGATTAGCGTCTCAGAGAACTATCTCATAGTGTGTGATGACCCTGGAACGGACAGGGCATTGATGCTATATCGCGATCGAAAGCTGAGAGGGGGCCCGGCCCCAAGTGCACCTAAGTCGCATGAAGTTCACACACTGGAAACCGATATTTCTCGTACCAATTACCCCATACATATTGTGCAACTTTTACAATATGGCCAGTGTTGAGGCATATATCTACATTCTTTCGATGTACTCATCAAAGTTCCCTGCTCAACAATTTTAATGTATATTTTAGAAGATTCTCATGCGTTCAATCTGGCGCGAATGTTAATGAATTATTCCTCGAAACGTTGACGCTTGTCCAGAGAAGCAGCTCTGTAAAGTTATAACCCTCGACTAGCTGCATTACCCACGGCCGACACTTGCTCCATATTGGTAGTACTGTAGGTTCCTTCTTAATCTGCTCAGATAGACACCTGTTTAAGCCTTTGCATCTCCCTTTACGCACGTGGGTATCCTTATTGCTTTTGCGTGTGAAGACGGCAGCGCAGAACAGACATCTTGTTCCATTCAAGCGCGCTCGAATACAATGCCTGTAGTTCTCCAACGAGGAAAACCGTCGCCCTCCGCATCCGTGTTGGTAACATCAATAGCTACTGCTGTTTATCTCTAACTTGCTTACACTAAGCGATTGCTGCTCGCTGGTCTCTATAGCACCAGGAGGACGAGATGCCGATATATTCAGGCAATTGCCGTAGCCAAATATTTCGCCAATGGCTACATGAGGTGGCTAAATTTGAGTTGGCCCAAATGTCCCCCCCATAAGCTACCTCTTAATGCAGCTTTACCACATAGCGTCTGGCTTAACGAATGCGAATATCATTTACGGCCCGGTAGTATGCTATCGCATGCAGAGGTTTCATTGCCGCTCTCTCTCCCTCGGTCGCCACTCTGTCGGCTGCAACCCCTTTGCCTCATAACCCAACTATCGATGTAGCTCTTATTTCCCGGGCAGAGATAGTTACAGTATCTTGCCCCGCGGTGAACAACGCTAGGGCAGTAACATATTCCAAAAGTAATATCAAAGACGCCTACATTAGTTGTACCGGCTCTTGCTACCTCCTTCCCAATCCTGCTACAAGTTCCAATAGTATGTACCAAGATACCCCTTGTACTGTCTTGTTTACCGCTAGGCCAACACAGCTGCTCACTCAAGATAGGAGTTAATTACCCTTATTACTACGGCAACTACCAGAACATCCCCTTACCAAATGACTATAACCCGACCATCACGATCCTGCGTGGTAAAGTTGGATTCAGTAACGGGTCTCAGCCAGGGCCTGATCGGGTAAATATATCTATACTGTTGTCCTTTTCTTCGACTCATTGTGTCACAGGTCATTTTCGCTCGTAAGAGCTCTGGTACAGAGTTCGTGTACTGCTTTACCGTCTACCACCAAGACAACGGAAATTTTGCACAGTGCACATGATTCAGAATGTGCGAATTGAACTGACGAGCTCGCGCATTGTGCGTTACGGGAGATTCGCGCCTTTATTATAATCAAGTTCGCCGCGGTTATAGTTATATTGGAGGCTCTGAAGCAAATGGTCTCCAAAAGTCTCTAACAATCGTTATATGCGTTAGAAGTCAGTATAGCGTAGGCAACATGCACATGTTTTACATATGTCGGATCAATTAAAGCGAATTCTTTCAGTCGATCATAATCATCTTATTACAATAGAGTGTTCATGTTCTTGCCGCGTCTGCGATACCAATTTTAGTGGGTTCTTGTACGCACTCGAACACCTCTTGGAAGACATTTAGGTTTCGCTGACCAGACGGACCGGCGGCGTAGACCGCAAAAACCACCCTCTCGAACCAGCCTGTGAACTCCTCCATTGCAATTGCATCTCTCATCTCTCTCGCTACAGCTCTCGGCGGGCAGCCATACGCCCCGCATCCCATCGCGCCCAGTACCAAGCTTGTGACACCATTGGTTACAGCCACACGCAGCGTGAGCAGGATCTTCTCTTTCAAGTTCGTCAACTCAGCCTTATCGGCGAAGCACTCTCCGTCCTCGGCGATCTTAGGAAATCGCGGAGCTGCGACCGTGATGACAGCTAGTACATGGCGTTGTTCCTCCGGCAACTCGACAACATTGTTGTTCAGCGTGTCCTTGAACACGACAACATTGGGGGAAATAATCCCTGCACAAGACCCAGGGCCGGTGTTTGGCCATGGATACCATTCCGGTTTGAGAGTCGCATACAGCGTCGAGGAGTAGCACAATGCTTCCTCTTGAGTCGCCGAGAGTGTATAGCGCCAGCCGCCTCCAGGCTCCTGGTCGCTCGCTAGGTTCAACACACCTACTTTGCCTGTGCTGGGTTTGAGATTCCGCGCAAGGTCAAAAGAGTCGGCGTTGTGAACTTCTATTGGCTTTAGGCTTAGATTTGGGTATCCAGTATGTTGCTTGTTCAATGGAGGTAGTTGCGAAGGGATGAAACTGCTAGCAAGCGAACCGCCGGGGGTTGATGCGGCAATATTGACAGAACGCGAGATGGTGTCTTCGCAGACTTTGCGACGTGTGGCTAAATCTATCATATCAAAAGGTTGTCGTGGTGACAAGGAAAGAAGGAAGCATCAGGTCCATGCCGGAGGCGGAAGCTCCATTTTGCAGATGCGCAAGACAGCTGCCTAGATATTAGAGCTAAGCCTCAAATTGTCTTAGTAAGTATTTAATATAGCGTATTATAACTTAGAGGCTAGCTGGCTGTGAGGTGCAGCCTATTATAGCTATAGACCTAACGCTAAGAGAAGCTAAGACGGCTAGAAGCATTCTGTCATGCTTAATTGGACTAAGCACTAAACTATCTGTCTACTTCACTAGCCTTGCGTTCTACAGTTGCTCAACAAGCCACTTGTACGACTTATAGTATTGAGTATCTCCCTTTCTCTATAAGTAATCATGCTTTGTACACTAGGTAATCATGGACAAGTGCGCATGTAATCATGAGCAGCAGTCCCGTCTCTCAGGTGATGGTGAAGGTACCAAAAATACTCGAAACAAAGTCTGCAATAAATTCCTGTCCATACATGTTAGCCAGCTAGTAACTTCTGAGATTTCAGTCTGGAATAACTCACCGAATGTTCCGACATCGCAGATTCGAACGCCTCCCAGCCGACCTTTCCGTCATTGCCTAGCCCCTCAATCGTGGCTACCAGATCTGTTCTGCTTTCGCGCTGTACTTGCTGGGCCAACTTTACCAGAGCCACAAGCTTTACCGTAGGGATGAAAAGCACAGATATGTCGTCAGTATGTTTTGGCAGCGACGGTAGGGCTATACGGTAGCTCTCGCGGAATGGATTCGCCGTCAGCCTATCCGCCTCGATGGGACATTCTGATAGGACGTCCACAATGTCTATCGACAATTCGCTCTCGTCCTCTGCAACGACTACCTGCTGGCCTGTTTCATCTTCAGAGTCGCGTCCTTCATTGGATTCGTACCACATGAATCGAGGAACCGGTATTGTTGTGTCATGGCCCGTGCTAGTGCTGTCGGGAACAGCAAGGCTCCGAAATAGCCGTCTGCGGAAGTCCCCAGCGTCCTTACCGCGGAGCGCAATGTAACTACCACTATGCGGCCCCCAATTTCCCGAATAATATCTGTGCCTGGCCCCCGAGAACCTGGGGCCGTATCGTGGGGCAGGACTCAGAGTCAGCAGACAAACTGCGCGCACGAAACCATCTTCATCAATCTGAAGCTGTCCTGAGCCACCGTATGACTTCGGGAACGGGTAGAATGCATGCGAGCTGCAGATGTTGAAAAGCAACGCAGGGCCGTTCAGCGATTCGTCAACTTCCAATCCCGAGAGTCTCTCTGTAATCAGGCGATTGAACATCACCTCGGAAAGATCTGCATCCATGTCAGCCTTTGGTTCGGAGCATCCAATCACGGGCTGCAATAACTTGCATCCTGTATTTGGGTCACGTAGTCGTTGGAACGACTGTCTAATATCTTCTATCACGCCAGGCTGATCAGACCGTCTGACGCTAGTGAGTTTCTCAGACAACTCCTCTGTGTATCTCTGGTAAACGCCATCTAGACTGAGTTAGAATGAGGTCGCATGAATTCATTAGTGTACACCTCACCTTGGCTCATGAGACCTCTCTCCAGGAAGTCCTGGACTCTTTCTCTGGAAACCCTACAGCGTTCGTTAAGTCCATACTTCTCAAAGCTATCGGAGCTTATAACGCAGTCTGGCTCAACCTCCATAATTGTGATGTTGATGTTCTGACGTAGGGGTATGCTTGCGTTTACGTGAATTCTTGCTGTTAACGCTGCCTAAATACAGTCCCTCGATAAGTGGGGCTACCCGTCACGTGGTGATATGACGTTCCACGGTAATGAGGCTGAAACGGCAGATCCTCAGGACTCCACATGTGATCGGACTCCGAAGATGATCTTCCAAAAATTACGTACAATCTCACGTCAGATCCGTATTCGAATATGGTATTCTATCCATTCTTTTCTAATCTCACATCAGATGGGGCTTAATAAACTTTACTTGATGCGTTTATGATATTCCTGTATTACTTCAAACATCTAGGATGATAATCCTTAAAACTATTAATTCTCGGGGATTTATCAGTTTCCTAAAGGGAGAAAGAGGGCTGTTCTGGGGTCCATCTAACGATTATAAAAAGGGTAACCTCTTGCTTCTATTCTCTGTACCATCCGCATCAACACAGTATCATACATCATTATATCCTGTCTCCAGTTCTTTTTCTAAGCATACCAATTTCGCATCCCAAGTCGAACCTCTTCCAAAATGAAGTTTCAGACTCCTCTACTCCTCCTGGCGAGCCTCCTCTCCTACGTCTCAGCTGAGGCGTTCGATGCTGGCCCAGCCCTTGAAGCTCGCTCCCACCCCCGCGACTTTGTTGCGGAAATACAAGACTTCGACCTTTCCAAGCGAGCAGCTCCCCCAGTGCCCAGTGGCAAGGACGCCACCAAGCTGCACGTATGGATTCGCACGGATGAGCGCCCGATTACCTACGACGACCGCAGCGGTGCGAAACACGAGGGCCTCAACCAGCTAATCAAGGACACGGGCGGTCGCCACAAGGACGTCGTCGTCGGCAACAGCAAGGGCTACTTCGAGTACGGGCTTCAGTTCAACGATAAGAGCTGGCAAACGAAGCCAAATGGCGACGGTGCCCCGGTGAGCGAATACGATGGCGACTACATAGAGGTGAAAGGTGGCCATGAATCATACGAGTACAAGGGGCAGGTAAAAGATGGGAGGAAGACCCTCAAGTCCATTGCTACTATGGGTAAGCAATCTCTTCCCGGCTGAAGCATAGCACAATGATGTCCAGAGCGCTAATGAATGTGGTGTATAGCCGAGACTGAGATCAAAGGAAAAACCTACAACCATGTGTCGTACAACTGTGCGACCTTCGCGACGAACCTTGCGAAGCAGCTTGTGTAAGGCAATTTGATGTGAAGGAAAAGGATCATACTGAAGACGGAGACTATGGTATCAGGGTTCTACTGATATCGATCTCATTTCACCAAAGTCCATGCGCTCCAAGTAAATTATTAAGCATGACAGTTGAGAGATTGGCTTGTTCTGATTTCTGTTCTGTGTACTCGGATTTCGGATCCAGTCTTGGATGGGAAAGGCGTATATGCATATATAGAATCTTAAAGACACTCGTTTAGTTTAAGACACACACAAATACACATTGATTCCAATCCCACATCACCATGGTTGGAGACTAGACACCAGCCAACCATACACAGGTCATGACATGTGTTTTTTCCTTGTGTCATCTGAACGTCGCAGCCCCCCGTTCCTTTCTTCTAGCAATAATTCGCCGGGAGGGGCAGTGATCTTTCTCACCCTTGATGGTAACGTACCGTTTGTCTGCTTTCCAACAACGTTGCTTGCATACCGGTACGGGTTGATCTGAGTTCCGTAATTCGGGATACGCAAACCTTGCAATGGTTCGAGGTGCACAAATAGATGCGCACCCTGTCGATGGTTTTGGCATAAACTTTCCTCGCTCTTATGCGTTGCGTCTACATCTTCCTCTTCTCTTCTCTTCTCTTCTCTTCTCTTCTCTTCTCTTCTCTTTTGGTTTGGGAACGCAGCTAAGAAACCACCCGTAGCTTGGTGATCTAATGGAGAGAACATAGCGATATAGGGAGAAATTACAGCGTGTGCGCAGCCTGGTGTCCTCCCAATGAATAGCCTATGTAAAACCCTGACCACCCAGCACAGCCCGTCCATCAGCCTTGGGCCATTTTTCAGGTGAGATCGCATCAGGAGCTATATCGTCTCGCAACTCGCGTTTCACCTTATAAACCGATGCGAAGTTGTCGTCAAAGAGGATACGGAGGGTTTGGAGCGGCCGAAGGGAGCCGTAACGGCAGGTGATGTTGATGCTTGTACTGACTCCAGTCTGCCGATATACTGTTAGGGAAAACATAGGGTGGAACTGTAGGTTGGGTCACATTGCGTTGGTGTCTTCGGTCAATATTCAGAGCTGAGCGATCTGGCAAATTTCTTGGTACGATCTGCGGGTGGAGGGGAGGAGGACGATATTGCGGAATATCAGTCCTATATGCTTGACCATAATTGTGAGACCCAGCAGGGGGAGGGCTAGGTGTCGTCCAGTTGGGATCTTGTGGGCCGGCGGTTACAAGAGGAACAGACGTGTTGTAGTATAGCTTCGGTAAGCTTCGAACCGGGGCGTATGGGTTAGGACTAGGATTGAGCCTCCGGACACTCCCGTACGAGGCATGCGTGTCTATCTCATGGACTACCGGGGCTGGCCTCCACTTCTGCATATGATCAGGAATTTGCGTTCCGAATACAGGTTCGACAGTTAGCTGTGGTACCATGGGAGGCAGTGCGATAGATTTGTTGGGTTGTTTCCTCTGACTCATGTTCCAACTAGGCCTGTTCATATGTCTCTCGATCAAGCGTAGCATAGGCTTTTTATTTCTCCCCTCAATAATTGCACGCTCTCTTTCTCGAAGCCACTCTTCTTGCTTATAACTGTTTGTGAAGGGGCATACGTCTCCATATAGATATCCCTTTCTCAGATTGACCCAATCCTTCTCGTCCAAGGAGTTAATCTCAGCGCCATACTTAAGCAGTAACTCCACTGTGCCCTGATCATCTTTGTGAACCGCCACTTGGAGAGGACTGACAGCTCTGATTGTAGCAGTATCTCGTCCTTGCGCAGGCAATTGTTCTTCAAGTCGTATCTCAGGACTTCCGCCAGCACGAAGAAGAGTCTCGATGATCAGATGCTGGCTTCCTCCAAGGCAGGCTCTCCGATCGTAGAATGCTTTGAAGGCAAAACCCAGGGCAGTGAGCGACTCAAATTCTTGACCAACACCAGCGCCATTATCAACGAGAAGCCTAATCATCTTTGAAGTCGCCAGGAACGGATCTGTCCTTGCTTGGCCTAGACTCTCTGGCATCGGAAAAACTGCATAATGTAGAAGGGGTCGTCCAGAGAAACAGTGGAGGCTCCCACCGTTTCCAAGTGCATATTGGACATATCTGCAAAGACCGGCTTGAACGCAGAGAACAAGAAATGTGGGCTGCCACGAGTCCGGGCAATTCCAGCCTTTGTGCCGTAAATAGCATGGTGTAAGATTGTAGCTGTCCGCAAATTGGGCAAGTGCATCCAATGGCTCGTAAATTGGCCGTTCGAGGGTCATCTCAGCCATGTATGCATGATAAAGAACATCAAATTTTCTGAGATCAAAGCTTTTCAGTGCAGTGATTTTGTGGGGAACATGTCCATATCTGCGAAAGTGTTGAGATACGCGAAATCGGAGGAGATACGCATGGCCGTTTTCGTCCAATGCCTTGGAAGTAGGAAACCTGACTTTGAGCCTTTGCCGAATCTTGTCGAAGCTATCGTAGTCGCGAAGGAAGTCCTTGACAGACTGATGCAAGAATTGGACAACAGGACCAGAGTACTCTCGGCCTTGTTCATCTCTAGAGAATGAGTACTGGATCTCAAGAAAACCTCGACAACGGCTCAGTAGTTGAAGCTCCATTTGTGGGACTGGAGGAGTAGTCCAGTCATAGTTCGTTTCGCCCAAGGTCATTAGCCCCTTCGCTTGAAAGAACTCGACAAGAGGCATTGGCTCGTTCGCGGCGTAAGCAACCCATAGCATAAGAAAGGCCTCGTGGAGATAGTTTGGTGTCAGTCTTAGGAGTATTCCAGTATATAGTTGATGAAGGTCGCCGTCTCCTGGCAGTGTGTCCAGCTTTTTTTGCAGCGAACTTGGCGCATCACCATCCCTGAGACCTTCAATGATGTCAACGACAATAAGTTTGACCCAAAGGAATACGCCCTCAGCCCTTCGACAAATGCGTTCACACAGAGTCTGGAAATATGTCGTATTGTTAGAATTCGCCACTAGGTCCGGCCGTGAATGTAAGTACTCTGTCAGTCGATTATTCACGAACATGTGGATATCGGTCTGCGTATGTTCGTGTATCCGAAATCCTGGATAACCTCGAAGGCAATCAACGAAAATAGTTTCCGGCCTACTGGTTAGGCATAAGAGCAGCCTTACAACTCGGCCATCGGCTCTTTCGGTGAGAAGGCGGAGATAATTGAGGAGAGTGGCATGATTCTCATAGTATCCTTCGCTCTGTTCGTCCAGTGCATCGATGAAAAGACATATGTTGATAGGGACCTTGCGTTGCTGAACAATGAGCTTCAAGGCATCTTCGAGATATATTAATAGCCATCCATGGTGCTGAGCGTGCTCGGAGAATATTCGCTCAATAAACGGCAAGAGTTCTTTTGATTGGCTCAGCAGTTGGAAGAGGATCCGTTGCAGCAAACCTTCTACGCATCTTTGTTCTTGTTTGCCACGATTTGTGAAGAAATAGTCGCCAGTGATCCAACGATTTGCGGAATTGTTCCGATGTAAACTCTCGTACGTCCTTGTGTCCGAAACGGCGAACTTCAACAATGTAGACTTCCCTGATGCAGGTTTGCCACTGATCCAGAATATGCCGTTGCCCCGCTGAAGCCATTGGACGAATGATACGGTGTCTTGATAGAGCCATTCAAAAGTACCTTTGTGTGCCTTTTCGACCTGGTTTAATCTTTCTTCATGGTCGGGTAGGAAGAGGCTTTCTAATACTCCTACTCCCGAAGAATAGTGTCAGTTCTCGTGGCAATGGGTCAGATTGCTGTCTGCGTACTTTGATAGACACCTCTCGCTAGTGAATCGATAAGTCAGTCCTAGTTCTGTACTGCTTGAGCAATGGAGAGCATAAGTCAAAGCCTTAATGAACAGTTGGGATATATCTACCTTGCGATGTTGCTTGTATACCACCAGACAATACGTGCGCAAATGCAGCATTGACTTTCTCGTAGCCAACATCCTCGGGTCCGGAGAACCGGCACATATCCATATGATTAGCGTAGATATGATCCTTGAACTGGAGTGAGTACTCGAGCGATGATGATATGTCATCAACGACCTATGGAGCATTAGCAACGACTGCATGGAGAATGCCACCGCACAGACCTTTCCAGATAATGGTCCAAAACCAGATATCCCACTTGCTTCTTGAAACGTATACACTATTGGTCTTCTTTCATCAAGGAATTGTGTGAACTCCTCACTCAACATCTTAGCTATACTTGAGTCGAACTTCAGGTCTCGAAGAACCTTATCAGAAGCATCAAGGCCGCTGCAAGCCACGATCTTCTGTGCAGTGAGACCAATGTTGATGTAATTGCCTCCGCGGTGGGGGGTACCGAAGAAAATGACCCCCTTTGTTGCTGAATAAATGGCCTTGAATCTAGGATCAGTGGAACCTCGCGCACGACGCAGTACCTGGATCGATTTTAGCGATGGCTCCAGTCAGGACTCGTCCTTTACAAACATCCTTGAGAACCAATCCACCAAGACTATGGACGACGAAGAGAAGGGGACGCCCCGCATCCTCTGCTCGTCGCGCTGCTAGACCAGAGATCAGGCTCTCCCCATGAGAAAGTATGTCTAATTGCATCGCTGGTCCTTTAAACCAATGTGTTACATGCGAGTCGTAGCCATACGTAAATATCCGTAGATTTGAATAGCTTTCACAGAGCAGGTCCTGCGGCCAGAAGACCTGATGCTTTGAGACTCGATCGACTTGTTCGGGACGGCTTCTAAGCGCCTGACTGAGTCGCTCTCTGAATCCGCGACGGCGGCTTTGTGACTGATCGGTTCGCGAGACGTTTGGAGGGTATGTCCACGTCCCTCGAGGGTGGCCTTGAAGGCCATGGATGAAGAAGACACTGATAGTGATGAGCAGACCGCTAGGCGCCAACGGGTCGATTACCACAGGTTACTCACTCAGCTTGAGGCTCCGCCGGATTCGATAACAACGTGAAGCCGAATTCTTTTACCGCAATACCAGCATTAGTACCCATAATGTAGTTGCTCGACAATCATTAGGCATGTAGGAGAGAAATATACGCAATAAACCGCAAGTCTCAGCCGCACGCTAGCTGAGGGCACGTGGGTTGGCTTAAATCGTATGCACCCCAATGGTTTGTCTAATCACGTAGCGTATGAGTTTCGTTCATATAATCGCTTGCTTCTTCCAACATCTGAACCAGACATACCGAAGACGCGTTGGTATAGTCAGAATTGTGTTTCTGATAAGCCCTAGTATGCGATCGGCACTTATGTCAGTTTTCGGCTGCTTCGTCCCCGTGGTCCACTTGTACACATCCACTCGCCCCGCATACCCACCACACCTCTGCAACATCTGCTAACATTTACTTTTCAATACATGCAGTCCTAGTGAATCTTGAAAGTTTCTGGTAGTCCTTCCTTGAGAAACGTTAAACGTCGACTTTTAGTGTTCTCGTGGCGGTGCAAGGGAAGGATAGTAGGGATGTGGCGTGGTCAATAGGCGGCTGAAAGTAGGTGCGGGGTTGTCATCGGCCCGAGTTGCGATCCAAGTCATCCACTTCTTCGCGCGATGTCCGCAGAACGTCCTTTACTATATATCTCGCTATAGCTATTGACATTATAATCATCGAGTCAAATCCAGTCTCAAATAGGCCAAATTGGGACCTTTCAAGGAACACTTCAGCGACAAGCTACACAAACCATGACTACTCTAGAGTCAAACATACGTCGAGTGCTCGACATACTTCTCCCTCGGATCAGAAAGCGCCAAAAAGAGTCATCAGATCCTATCATACTCGGGATTACCGGACTTCAAGGCTCTGGAAAATCTACATGGGCGTCAATGATCGTTAGCATTCTCGCGTCGGAACATCAACTTCACTCAATAACCATATCCTTGGACGACTTATACAAGACACACAGCGATCTGATAGCACAGAGAGACAAAAACCCTGATAACAAGCTTTACCGAACACGTGGACAGCCAGGAACGCACGATGAGCAGCTAGCGGGCAAGTTCTTTACCGACCTGAAAGAGTACAGAGGAGAAGGTGAACTAAAGATCCCGAGCTTCGATAAGAGCAAATTCAATGGAGAAGGAGACCGAGCTCTAGAATCTGAATGGCCACGGTTAACTAGAAAGCCCGATGTTGTAGTGTTCGAAGGCTGGTGCGTCGGTTTTCAACCATTGCCCGAAGCATTGGTCGCAGAAAAACATACCCTTGCAATTGCCGGAAAATTACCCATCAATACACCTGCACAACATCAGCTTGCACATCTTCTAGAAGTCAATGATAACCTAAAACGGTACTGCGATGCGTTTATGGGACCGCAACATTTCGACCTTTTTGTACACATTGATACAGATGACCTACGGAATGTGTATACTTGGCGGCTGCAACAAGAACACAAGATGATTGAGACTAAAGGGTCGGGCATGTCGGATGAAAAAATCAGGGCCTTTGTAGATGGTTATATGCCGAGTTACGAGTTGTATCTGGATAGACTGCGGGAGGGACTTTTTGAGGACAGGGGAAGAATGCTCAAGGTTGTGTTGAACAAGGAGAGGGGTGTTGAGAGAGTGGAACAGCTTTGAGACGGATATAGTTGGACTCAAGAATTTGAGCAAAAGAACCCCTTTCTTGTATGTTCTAGTACTGCGACTACGCTAGTGACTTGGTTAATCTAGTTCTTACACGTGGCACTGTCAATTCGCTCTTTCCAACTACTATGAATACTAGATGTCACTTCGAAGGAAGAACAATAAACACGATCTACGGGATGGGAGACTGAAATCTCAAGGACGGGGAGCTTGATTTTCTACCGTGTTCGGTTCGCGGTTCGACACTGTTCTTATCAGCAATGTAGCCAGGCTACTGGAGGGACACGGAGAGTTCTCCTGAGAACGGCGAGCCTGTGGGTAAAGTACTGCTTGATACTGTGTTCATAACGATGTGCTGAGATTATTCCCTATTGTTCTTCGGCTTCCAAGCGCTCGACATCTTTCGCCCACTCGATGTCTTCCATTCGCTCTCTATGCTATATCATTTCCTCGCGAAGCTGACCATGTTCGCCAAAACATGCGATAATATGCAGATATTGCATTAAAGAGTCGGTAATATGATGTCCCCGTATCCTTAAATCGATGTTTCGCAAAGTATGGTTGTTGATCGGACGTTCGAAGGCTAGTTTGAGATAAACGAGGCGGTGGGTTGGCTCAGCAAGATGGATAGTCGATAGAAACATTGTTACGGGCTCTAGGAGTCGTCCTGGAATCAATGCTATGTATGCCTTTGTATCGATGAACTATAGGGAGAAGATCGCACAAGAGCTGGCAGATAGCACAGAGTATGTACGGTGGACGGTGGACGGATCCGGATCATGATCCCTTTGCTAAGAGATAAGGTGTTAGTAAGGGCTGAATGAGCTCAAGGTGCGCTGTACATTCACTTTGCCTTCTTTTAAGGCAGCCTAGAGTCCTTCGGCTCCTCATGACGCTTCCCAAGGAGTATCGGAATGTAGCTGAGGGCCTCAAGGCTACCTTGCCATGTGAATTTACTGACTAGCAGTTTGTCTATACTCCTACTATTGTCCGCGCTATTGTTTGTCATTGTAGTGAAGGTGATTGCCCTCCCATTACAACCATTGTCTCAATAGTGATATTGAACTATTGTTGATAACTCGTCTGCCTGAGCAGCCCTATGATCAAATCAGCGTACTTTCTTTAGCTCTTCTCTTGTGCCTCAAGCCACATTATTTTCTCATACTTCTTCATAACCACTTTACATAGATCACAATGCAGCGCCGCCAGATCAAGAAACTCGCCTCAAAGGCAAAGGGCACGAAGCTTACCAACTTCGATGCCCTCCTCCATGATATTCGAAGCAAGCTCGGCCCCGACTGGGAATTCTATCTAGAATTCCTAGATGGGGCCATAAGGGCTACAGCTCGTGGGCAGGATGTTTCTGCCTGGTTCGAGCAGGTCGAACAGTTGGTGGAAGGTAGAGAGGACGTGGCGTTCAGCCACCAAGGTGTGCTGTTCTTGCTCGCTGAGATGGGGGTGAAGGTACGGAGTGAAGGTAAAACATCTTATTATTCACATACGACGGCACAATATTGAGTTGTTCTAGCTCCTTCGACCAACAGCATGCCACCTCCACCACTTCCAGCTCCTCTTGTGCCACTCCCTTTACTACCCTCCGAGATACAACCTGCTCAGCATACCGCCGATTACCGCTCCAAACTCCCCCTCGACTTCAACCGTTCCACAAGGCCGCCTATGCCCTCCTCGGCAACATCATCCTCGCAACCTAGGATGTCCAACATCGCTTTCATGGGCTCTAGACAGGCCGTGAATGCGAAGCCCTCCGCGCTCAACAATGGCGTAGACCCAATCTTTTTCACCGATCCCGCCTTCAAGCGAGACGTGCAGGACTTCTTCGGCATCTCAACACAGAGAAGTGGCACGCGCGACCATACAACAAGACACTACAATCAGAACGAACTGGTGCTGCCTTACAACGCAAAGGAAGATGATCTCAACGTCTGGAAGAAGCGCGTCGAAGCCGGCTACGAGGTGAAGGACAAGGATGCAGAGGGCGCGTCTAAGCGAGGCGAGAGGGTGGCACTGTTTGAGCAAACGCAGCAGATTGAGCTCTCTGACTAGGCGTGAAGGAAACGGGTACGAAATGCTGGCCATGAACTGGATCTTGATTGCATTGGATCGCGCGGGAATGGCACAGATGATATCCTACTGGATGATTTCCATGGCTTTTTTGTGCAGTGCGGGTACACGAGGTTGGTTTAGCGAGCAGGATAAATCACTGGACACATGGCAGGTATTGATCCTTCTTGTTGGACACCGTCTGTGGCGCTGGTTTGGAGACAGAAGATACCACATGCAATACTGAACGGATGGGCTGTCTTGATGTCGTCCGCTTCGAAGTTGGTGGGTGGTAAATCATGTGGAGAGTCACACTGAAGAGTTTGACGATATCTCGAGCTGGGTAGTGTGACTTGGGGATAAAGCAATGATAATAATGGTCAATCCTGGGGTTCTTTCGGAGTTGACATTGTACGATTGCGTGAGGTTAAGTATAGTCGACATGGACGTCACTTAGAATGCTAATTCCAGCGTTCGAGGTTCGACTGATCAAGCGTCTCATTTGTGTACAGTAATCTATGAAGTGCGGTGAAGTAGCTGACAATGACCCTATGCTGATGTGCAGTCTAATCTCGGGACAAGGTCCTTGCATAGAACTCGTATGGGGGCGGTGGGTAAGCATGACATCCATAAAATTATCGCTCAGAGCTCCGCTAAAACCTTCTTGATCGTCTGCTCAAGGTCTTCCTCCGAGAGCCCTAGTGTGGAATTGGCGAAGCCTTCCTTGTCCTTCCAATCCGAAGCAACAACTCCCCACACTGCGACAACTTCCTCCATCGCCTCTCTATCGCCATTCAACATTTTAGGCCTGACAACGTCCAGCTCCGCTTGACTCTGTTGGTCGATCCTCTCGAACTTGTCACCGGTGATCTTCTCCAGCGCGGCAAGCACTTCAAGCTGCGTGACATAGTTGCTGTGGATGTACAACAGCTTGTTCGCCGACTCTTGTGGCTTTTCCAGAATCTTGATGACCGCCTTGCCGATGAAGTCGAGGTTCGAGCCAGAGAACTTGATGTTCCCGCCATCGAGAATATACGCTTTGCGGCCCTTCACATCGAACTTCAGCAGCCCGCATGTCAGACCGTAGTCGAAGAAGTGCCCGGTTATCAAGCTTGTCCATGTCAGCTTGCCCTCTCCAATCTCGCGCTCTTTATCCTCTAGCGACACCAAGTAATCTCGCACGACTTTCTTGCCCTTCATCAACGGGAGAATCTCATTCGTCTTCTGGTCTGCGGAGTCGCAGCTTCCAAACTCCGCAGGCATAACTCGCTTCACGCCGCCTTTGAAAGCAGCGTCGATGAGCTTCTTCTGTGATTCGACATGGCTTCCAGCAATCGTAATGATAAGAGCGTCGATGTGGTTTTCCCGGAGGGCTTGCGCCACGGCATCAACATCCAGGTCATCTGGAACAGTGATGACGGTCGTTTTCGGATATACTGATTTGGATGTTTGGCGGTTGAGTACGAATATGTTGAACTCAGACGCTTTGAGGGCCTTGAGGACCGGTGCACCTAGCGTTCCGGTACCGCCCACGAGGGCGACGTTCTTGATTGTCATCGTGGCTTCGTTACACTGCCGAGAGGTTGCTAATGGGCTGCGAGGAAGATAACAAGATGTTCGCAGTTGGCTACTCAAATCCTATACTGGCGTGGGTATATTGCGTAGGTGTGAGGCAACGGGTAACAGTCATTGAGCTCCGCCCGACCACCTACGCTAGTAGTGCACTACGGCTTCGATCGGCGCTTCAAACAATGTCGTCAGGCCGTGTCTCAACTGCATAGATATATAAGTTACATGAGCATGGTGCACTTTGTCAACAAAGCGTGCGCGGCCTTGGATCTGGGACGGGCATCCTGCCATTCCTATGGTAATAATGGCAAGTACCATAATGCTGAAATCAGTCGAACGTTCCGAACGCGCACCCCGCACCGAAGGTATCGTCGTACTGACAACGCAGCCTGTAACGGATAGAGGCGTCTTGTCGTCCAGGCATGCAGATGTTGTGAACAATATCTCTTTCAACTAATAAACTGTTCAACAAACGGTGGTCCGGGTAGTGTGGATAGCCACTTGTTAGTCTACAGCAAGGGGTACATGTTGCTTTCAATCTGGTACATTCATGCGATTGAGGAAGTGATGCTGACTTGGAAGCATGCCTTCGTCTCGACATTGGATAGAAGGCTGAGATAACTCAAAACACTCGGATCGGTAAAGCCATACTCGAGGGCAACCGAACGAAAGTAGTGTAGCGCACCATCGAGGCAAAGGAGCTCCCGAGGTCAGCTCAACGACGACAGCATCGCATTATGCTGGATGAAGGACGATGGATGACATCTCTGTCCACGCGATTGGGGATCGAGCGCCTTGGCGCACCGACCTTCTGTTGATCTTCTTCTGGTGGTTCGATCGCAACCACCAAACATGTCACGCCATGAAATCTTACGACACACCACACCACCTCCAGACCCCGCCTGTTATGGATGCCTTATCGACAAGCAGCCATGGCGTTTATAAACACCTCAGCTTCGTTGGAGGACGAAATTCACCTACCTTTTCCCGCCTTAATCCAGTGACATCATCTGCAACGAACCCGCAATCACAACCTTGAAGAAGTCGTACACTTTGCAACGTATCACTCGTACACTAGCGACAGAAAATTACAATGTCGAGAATGGCGCCGCTCGCTCGCCGGCCGATGCAGCACATTGACCGCAGAGAGCTGTACACCAGCCTGGAATGCCGGGTCCAATATCTGCACTCGTTTCTCGATTTCAGTTCACGTACGTTATCTCGTTCTCGATCCGTAGAGAATAGTTGTAGGAGCCAGCTCACTGACCTTGATAGGTGACATTGAAGCCCTCATCACAGGAGCCAAATACATAAAAGTTCTTATTCCAGCTGTTGTCAATATCGTCTACAAGAAGCTTCTCCAATACGACATCACAGCCCGCGCTTTTGAAACACGGTCAACATCGTACGAAGGCCCCGTCGACCCGAACTTGAACGAGAACTCACCGCAAATCTTACACCGGAAGTTGTTCCTCCGAGGGTATCTGAACAAGCTGTGCAGTGACCCGAGTAAGATGGAGTTCTGGGAGTACTTGGACAAAGTGGGCATGATGCACGTTGGCCAGGGACGCGTACATCCCCTGCACGTGGAATACGTGCACATTGGGGTTACGCTGTCGTTTATACAAGATGTGCTCATGGAGGCTATTCTGAGTCACCCGAGGATGAAGATGGACCGCAAGATTGCCCTGGTCAAGGCGCTGTCAAAGGTGATTTGGATCCAGAACGATCTCTTCGCTAAATGGTACGTGCGAGACGGTGACGAATTTGCCGAGGAGAAGCTGGTGCCTGAGATTGAACCTGAGGGATATCTGCATGGGAAGAAGATCCTGCACGATGGAAGTGAGAGTGAGGATGAGGTGGAAGATTCGGAAATAGCGGTGGGCTCGTGTCCGTTCAAGAACTTGGCTATGCCGTCGAGTGGAACCGCGAACGCAGACAGTGCATTACGGAATGGGATCAAGGGAATGAGCCTCGACGGGCCCGCATCAGCACATCATGCTAACTCTCCTTCAATACCCGGACCTACATCGCCCAAGTCTGACGGGTCTGCTCATAACCGGATACCACGAGCTGTCGGCAGCGGTACATGAGCGGCTCGAGTACCGTAGGGTATTCGCGTGTTGCTCGATCTTAGAGGATTTTTCTGGAGACATGTTCAAATGTACAAATTATGGGTCGCATTTTTACTAGTAGGGCTGCATGTCTTGAGTGCAGTTACAATGATTCAATCCGGGTCTCAAATTTGTAGAAGACGTTTAGGCTGTGTTTTGCAACGGTGCAGGATGTATTAGTAGCCTAAGGTGTATGAGAAAGACTGCGTTTAGATGTTCGCGACGCTACGTTATTTCTAGAATTTTTTAAAGAATAATCAATAATCAATAAATATAAATAATACTCTGCTGTGCCTCGCGATCACGGGGTCGACACGGGAGGCCCGGATGTTGATTGGCAGGGAAAGGGTAGAACCGGAACCGGGCTTGGCTCCGCAGCCGAGGCTCGTATCTTGGGATTTGCAACGATATAGCAGACGTTCGCCTTCAGCATCGCATTGTCGAGAACAGCGGGTTGGCAGTTCGAGAAATGTTCCAGAATGTGCGCGCATTATTTGGTTTGTTTCATGTGAAGAGCCAAGTCACATGATACTGGTGTGAATGGGCAGGATGACTGCATCATGGTGTTGAGGTTGTTTCAGGCGTGGCTGCAGTTGGTGGCGTATTTAGTGGATCGAGATCCCGGCTGCGTGCGCATCCCAATCATGACAAAATTGGGCCAGGAAAGCTGAAAGAGGTGACGGTATGTTCCACAGCGGCGACGACGCGCCTCGCAGTGCATTGTTTGCAGGCTCCTAGTAGTACACTAGAGGACTGCAGGCTGAGACGATTTGGGGACTCTGGGGAAGCATCACAAGGTTTTAATGGACAAGAGTACCAAGTCTGCATTATGATGCAATCGTCAAAGACGATCAGCTACGCCCAGGCGTCCGCTTCACGCTATGAATAAAATAGCTGCCTAGAGGTACGCAGTAGAGGAAAGTAAAACATGGCTTGATCGGACGTGTTCCTGTTGGTTATGATATGGGGGATTATCTTGGATGAGGCATGTGCCCGCGGGGTGCCGGCAAGATACGACACGACACGACACTACGCCACGCCACGCCGCTGAGACGGGTTGACTCGTTGAACGTTTGCAGGCAGCGACTTGGCGATGCGCCCGGGTTCAGGAGGTCCCCGTTGAATGGTATGTAGAGAAGCAAGTGTCGAGGTATGCCCGAAGCAAGGGAAGCCACAGCAATAGTTGTAGACAATACAAGAAGAAGAAAAACGACTCCAAACAATTGCGAGAATTGCGCCGGATGCATGGCGGTGCCAACGAATTCCACGGCTTCGCGAAATGCACTCTCGCAATCCCTGCCTAGCCTCGCCAATCAGGGCATAGTGGGGCGGAGATACCCTTGCTAGCGCTCTCTCCTTGGAAGCTGATCCGGATTAGCGGAATTGGGGACCTGCGACCTTCAGGAATCGCAGCCCGCCCACCTTTCGCTCCATCATCACAACACTCATCATCCGCCCACCAAACATCCCCCCCCCCTCTCTTCACCCACCACCACGCCTTTTACCGGCCTTGTATAGCGGTGCACAGCTGCAGCACGCACGTCTCCCCTGTGTCCACGATTTATTTCCTGGAACTTCGCGCTGGTGCGGCGGTTTCTCTTGTGTCAAGTGGCTCCATCCTCGCGCCTCCTTGCAGAGCTCCCCCTCCACGTCACCATCTCAACGGCTTAGTTGCTTGTTGTTTTCCTTCTTCCACTCCTTCGCCCAACTGTTGATACCCACTACTACCACTTGTAATACTTCGCTTCTTTCCACGCTTTTTGTTTTCGAGTGCACGATAATCGTGTCTTGCGCTTGCTGCGACGTCACCCTGCAGCCTTACTAGCTCGTGGTCTTCGATGCGAACAAGTCTCGCCACAACAGATGATCGCTGTTTGTTCTAGGCTTCCACTTCTCTCACCATGCAGTCCATGTTCCGCCTCCCATGGAGTACGGAGTCGCCTGGCGACAAAATCATGGAAAAGTCTACGCTGCACAAGTCAAGGCCAATGCCGGTCGTTGAAATGCCCAATTTCATGAACAAAATCAAGCGAAAGAGGACCGACAGTCCCGAGCCGGCATCTGCGCAGCATGTGCATGTAGTGAAGAAGTGGAAAGGCACTCACGGAGAAGCAAAACCAAACTGGATGACAAGCTCCAACTCCAACTCCAACTTTGCACATGGTGTCGTGTCCGAGTCCGCAAAACCCACAGATGCGCCCAAGGCAGCATCTCCCGAACTCTTGGAGTCGCGACCGAAGGCGCAACCGTCTAGAAAAGAGAGCGCGATCAAGAGCAAGGTGTCGAACATTCAAACAGCAACTGCCAAACCCGCGTCTGTCAACACGCCCTCGACTGCCATGGAATCTGGCTTGACTGCTGTGCAACAAGCAATCGAGGCGCAAATCAACTACGAGATCTTACTAAAGCACAACGAACTTCGTTTAATCGAGCAGGAGCTAGCCAAATGCCAAGTTTCCCTAGAGCAGCTGAGGCGGTGTTCGATGATTCCTTTCCCCGGCACCGAGGGCCTATCTGAGGATCTCAGCCTGGGTGTTGGAGCTGCGTTGCGCACGCCATCTGGTTATACGGAACCCCAATATGCCGCACCTTGGGGCGTCACAGATGGGCCATACACTCGTCACTACGCCAAATGGTTGATTTCGGATGTCAAGTTCGATCCCGTTTCGGAACGTGCGCTCGCTCAGCAAGCTCAGGGCTACTTTGGCATCGGTGAGGGCAGAACGACGCGCGGCAGCTTTGCTGACTTCGGGTCAACAAACAGAGGCCGCACGTCGCGAACTTCGACTGGAATGTTGAAGCTCACGCCTCTTGGTGAAAATCCAGCACCTGCGCCAAAGATCGATCCTCTGCTGCACAAGCGATCCACAGATGGGCAATGGGTACGACTGTATTGCGCTCAGTGTGGCCACAGCAATTTCTCAAACACGCAGGGTTTCTTGAATCACTGCCGGATCAAGCACAATCAAGTGTTCAAGAGCCACGACCAGGCAGCCATCGCTTGCGGTGTCCCCGTCGATATCAACGAGGCTGGCAATCCTGTCACTGCAAGTGAACCGGTCAGCACTCCTGCCACGACACCCGCAGTCGCGTTTCCTACTCCCATCACTCCCGGCATGGTCCACCCATTGGCAGCACAACCCTGTCCACCATCACAAGCCAAGGCGGTGTATCGTGATCCTACCTTGTCGTTATGTGATGAATCAGGACTTGTCTCTCCCGCTAGCTTTGCAAAGTCATCGTCTACTCCGTACCTGATGGCCCGGCTTCAAAATCAAGGTTTCCAAGGCGACTTGAAAGGGCTTGTGGAGACTGCGCGATCAAAGGTTGATCTTGACGTGATGGAGCCTTCAGATGACGACTTCGCGGACACTAGTGCAGCTCCGACGCCGATCTCGACCAAACCGCCGCAGCTAGCGCGTCTTCCCGCCAGCGCTCCTCATGCCGTATCAGCAAGCAAATCTACATCTGCACGACCAAGCAGTAAGAAGGGTAACGCTCCAAGCCACGCGCGCCTTCCGCTATCGTTCCCTTCGCCTGTCAAGTCTGAGAGTGATCATCATATGCCGAATTCTCCAGTAGGCCTCAGCCCTACTACCTTTGAGTCCAACCCGGGCCTGGTGAGCGATCACGATGATGACGATGACGAAGATGCGGACGATGCCCACAGCCAACCCGACCTTATCATGGACGATGATGATGTTGTAGTCGAGGATGCGAGCGATGTGGAAGGTCTTCAAGAGCGCACCGGCTCTCGACAGGGTCTCAATGGTTGCTTCGAGAAAGGCGAAGGTAGTCGTAAGCACTAGGCAGTAGGAGCGGGTTAAGTCAGGCTCCTACTGTCATGATCTGGAAAGATTGTGGTTTCGATCATCTCTTTCCATTCACTTCACCTCTTCTCAACGTTCTCATGCTATAGAGTTATTGTCTTTTTTTTTTCTTATCTGCGTGGCGACTTGTCTTTTCTATGATACACGGTACCAGCAATGGTTTAGGGCGGTTTTTGCTGGTTAAGTTTTGCATAGGCTTTCCATGGCCCCTGCGAGTGCTTATACCTTGTCATCTTTCTTTCTTCTTGTTAAACGCCAAACCCAGAAATCTCATCTCACATGTGCGCCAATCAGGTGTTCTGTAGGCGCAGGCACGTCTGTGTATTATCTCTTGTATGATTCGGTATAGGACTTGGGTATTGGCGAGGCTAGATTGAGGCGGTACTGGGTACACTTTTGTACCACGTCGACACTTGATCGAGAGGTCGAACAAAAGCCAGTGAGCGTAATAGTTCTCTGTTTGTATATATTCTTTAATCTTACGACGGCCCGAAAATTATTGAATATGACTCTATTCTGCAATATTGGACGCTGGAATACTGCTATGTCTCGCCGTTGCTCTGCTTAGGCTGCGTGCATATGTCCTCCCTAACCATCGGAACTCCTAAACGCCTCGCTGAGAATGCTATCATGTGCGTCAACGCTTCTCTCCCAACTCGAATAGTAATCTTCAATCAATAGAAATCCTCAATTGCTATCGGCTATCCCATAAACTCAAGCGCCTGCGGTCGTCAGCTCCACTCTCTATTGCATGCACTTGCATTCTTTCCTCGGTGAACATAGCTCAAAGCGGGTCTACTTACTGCCATGACCACGCAGGCAATGCTCACGTATGGGCTCAGCCTCTCTCCGACGCGTGCGGCCTTCCAAAATGGCGACACAAAGTAGTTATCCTTGTTGCGGTCGATTATGCCTGGGAAGACGTAGTGTGCGTAGGTCGACGTGCATATAGTGAGGAGAATCACGAGGAGGAGGGATTGGAAGTTGAAAAGCGCCGTCTGTGGACATTGTCAGTCATGCGTCTGGGCGACTGTGGGGAGGACATACCATCTTAGGTGACGTTCAACAGGTAGGATAGTATGAGATTATGGTGGCTCGAGCTGCGGGATGCGTGGGTAGGTGTCGTGTGTACAGTACGGCCGTGAAAGGAGGCGACGCGACGACGGTGAAAAATGTAGAATCCTGTTGCCTGTGACCAACTTGTTCTGGACAGATGTCGTCGTCGTCGTCGCATCTGGTTCGGCGGGGAAAATCATTCACGCCGATGCGGGCTTCAGGGCCGGCCTGTGCGCCTCCCGCGTTGATGATCGTCATTGTGCCTGCAGGTCTAGCTTTCATCATTCAACGACACGCTCTGTTCTGCAACGGCCTTCTGCTACCCTCTAATTACTCTGTTTAGAATTCGGCTGGTAACATCAAGTTGGGCAGGAGGGGATAACTGTTGGTACGCGCACGGGTCCAAGGCAGCGAGGTAGAAGACCAACTGAAGGGGCGGATGGAGAGAAACGGCTACCGAGAAGAGTATATTTGAAAGTGAAAGAGGGCGCGAAAATATTTAGTGCACGTTATGACGGAGCCACGCATGAGGCTGCGCCAGAAGGGCCAGCAGTTTCCCACGCAAGACTGTAAGTGAACTCACCCTCGCTATTCACCACGAGCTCGCTCGCCTTCGCGTTTACCTTCACTTGCCTTCCAATTCTGTCTACTATCTTTCATAACCTCTTGACCCCTGCCTACCGGCTACTTCACGTCTTCCAGTCACAACCGCTCGACGCAGTAGAGATGCCCATCCCACCTCTCCCGCGCGTCCCCCTCAAGCGCACCCATGACCACACCTCTGAACACCTCTTGACATCCCGAGAAGTAGAAGCCTTCCTCCTCGCCTTCGGCGACAACGACTACCCGCTCCCCGAAACCGTCCGCATCCTCGACGAGATAATAACAGACTACATCATCGAAACATGCCACGAAGCCGCATCAGTCGCACACCACGCCCGCCGCGCAAAGATCAAGCTAGACGACTTCAAATTCATGCTGCGCAGGGATACGGGCAAACTGGGCCGAGTCAGCGAGATGCTCGAGACGGACAAGGAGCTCAAGAGGAAGCGGAAGGCGTTCGACACGGATGAGGGCGCTGTGCTTGCTGAGAAGGACAAGGGGGATGATGGCGGTGCGAATGCTGAGGGCGCAGGTAATTCAAATGCAAAGGAGGGCAAGAAGAAGATGGGTAGACCGAGGAAGGCGGTTGTGGATGAGGACGGCGACGACGGCGAGCCTAAGAAGAAACGCAAGAAGAAGGGCAAGGGTGCGAGGACGGACGATGGAGGCGATGACGCAAGTACAGTGCGTAGCGGATGATGCGCCTCTCATTCCTACACCGGAGAGTGTGTTTCAATGGGCCGCCTGCGCGCAACATAAATTCTGGCGTACCGTCGATTTGAGCATTGCTGGGAGTTTGGTACAAGGAGTATTGGGCGGTGCAGCCTATGGTCTAGATTTCTTTCTTTTTGGGGGGTTATTTGTGCATTGTAATACCCATGAGTCAATTATCCCATTGTCCATTGTTTTACTCGATATAGCTTGCTTTTACTGGCCTCGAAATGCAGCGAAACTTTCCCACTCACCACAGCAAAGGATAGCAGCCCTCTCGACACAGGTAGTGCACAGGCGAAAGTCCCAGCAAAGACAGGAGTCTCTTCGTTGGCGTTTGTTCTACTTAATTTAAGATGTTATCCCCGGTGTTCATCATTGCGTCTCAGCCTAGGAGTGTCATTCGTTAATAAAGAAAATTAATTACAGGGAACATTCAGATTGGATGCAAAACTCGTTGTCTTATAGTGTTTATTGCCGGAGCTTCTTGAAGAGCTCGGTCTAATGCTTGTTTGATAGGCCTGCAATAATCATACAAAGCCTCATATTCACCCACACTTTGCCAGCTCTGCACTTGCCATCCGTTCATCATCATGTCGCATGTCTCGGTTCACTCCAATTGCACATCTCTCGGCGCAGTGTCGACCTCGTTCAAGGTCTGCAACGTCTTTGCCGGACCGGATTTCGACCGACCTACAGACGTGCCTTCGTCAAACGCCAATCCCAAGCTCTTCTAACTATCTCTCAAAATTTCATCCTCATGCTTCCTGTTGCCTCTGTTGGCCCCTGCCTTTACCGCCACCCCGTCGATCCCCACCTTTACCCCTGTTGTCACCGCCTTCTTTCTGGGCGTCCCCTGCGAGAGCATCACCACCACCAAGAGTGAGGGCGGCGGTTGCGAGGCGGTTGGAAAGGTCGATTTGTGTGCGAATCGTGTTGGCAAGGTAGGATACGACGAGGACGTCTTGGATGTGTGCGTTGCTACGTGGATTAGCTTCAGGTCAGTATAGGAAGATTATTTGTTACGTACAAGTCGCGCTCAATGTCGGCAGGGTCCACTTTGGGTGCCAGGCTGAGGGCGTTCATCAAGAATTGTCCTAGTGCTGATGATGGCTCTGCCTCCTCATCCAGGACGTTGTTGACGTAGTTTGACACGCGCTCAAGCATGTCCAAAACGTGAATAATGGCGCGCTCCAACGAGTCGAGGTCGGTGAGGATCTCCTGTGACTTGTCTTCGCGATCCTTGGCCGACGAAATGAGTTCCAGGCCTGACTTCTCTGCCTCGCCGTACTTGATTTCGTGGGGTACCGGGATGAACAGACACGAGTCTGCGGCACGCTCGGCAGTCACGCCAATGGGCGCAGAAATGTATGTCCGTGACTCAATCTCCTGGCCCGGCACTGTCGACACGGTGAGATGGACCGCGGGATGGGGCCATGTACCATCGCCTTGCTGGCTGTAGAAGTTTTGGATGAGAGCAGAGAAGGTGTTTAGGTCGCTGCTGGTGGCATACCAGCCGACGAGGACTTCGCGGGGGTTTGCGCGGAGGTGCAGGGCAAGCATTTGCTTCTGGTAGTCCATGTCTACCTCGACCTGCTCGGCGGTCTCGGTGTGCGGGACGGCATAGCAATTCCTGATTTCGATCTCAGTGCCATCTTCGCTGCGGGTGCCGAGCAGGGTGCCAATGACGCGTTCTTGGTCGGCCGGGCGGCGGAGCGAGTGATCGAGTATGGAGAAGACAGCCTAGTTATCTCATGTTAGGACCTGCGCAGCCTCAAGCCTAAACCTGTGAAGCAAGCATCCGTCGCATACCTGGGGCTGGATGGCAACGTTCAGCGGCGCAGTCGATGGCTGAGCGCCGATGGGGGCTGGGCCGAGCGGGCGCGCCAGATGGAGGAAAGAGTCGTTGCCGGCCATATTCGAATGACTGCCTGCCGCGTGTTGGTGAAAGGCGTTGGCGAAGGGGAGGGGGGTCGTCGAGATGTGCGTTGCGTGGTGGGGCAAGTTTGAGATATTCTTCGCGAAATCTGGGCAGGTGCGGTTCGCTAGCACGGACCATCGATATTTATTTTCTGGTGGGGACCTTTTACATGTTGCCGCAGGCTTCAATGATGCACCCGCGCACCGTCGAATTGACCGTCGCACACATTCCTGGAAGCTCTCAGCTGCTATGGCGCCAATAAGAGGACGTGGAGGCTTTCGTGGGGGGGAACGGGGCGGCTCCCGCGGCAGAGGAAGGGGGGGAGCCATGAGCAGAGGCAGGGGTGGCGCAAGAGGAGGAAGAGCACGAGGAAGAGGTGGACAGAGAGGCGGATTCGCTGCTGCAAGAACGAGAGATGAAGTCGAAGATTCGTGAGTACGAATACAGTTTGAGCCTGGGTGGCGCACTATGCTGACATCTGAAAGCAACGTACATATACGCGATTCACCCGAGCCTGAACAAAGTCCGTCAGAATCTTCCGACGACTCTGCCTCTGACGCAGACGAGGATGAAGACGAGGAAGCAGAATCAACCTCAAACGCATATGCCGCCCTACTGCGCTCCTTGTCATCGCGCTCAAAATCTGTCCATGCAGGTCCAGACGAACCACGCAACAAGAAGCGGAAGTTGCGCCACGAAACAGCCGATACTCCAGATTCTCACGACTTCGACGAGCGAGCAGCCTGGCAGGAGAATGGTCTAGGTGGCCTTGGGGAAACAAACGATTCGTTGTCTGGGCATACTGAGGACGAAGCAGCACTCCAAGACGATGATGGTCCAGAGGAGACACAGGACCTGGATGATTCCGCTTTTCAAACCCATTTCGTCAATCCGGACGAGAATGATTTAGCGTCACAGATAAAACGAATTGCGGACAACCAATGGGCGACGAAGAAATTGGAGGCTGGTGGAGGCAGAGGCATATTTCAAACACCGAGCACAGAAGAGACGTCATTATTGCGGCGGAAAGTAAAGAGTACACGCGATGTTGGTCTGAAGGCGCGGCTTGTCGATAATGCGCACAAGGAGATCGGGAGCTTCGAACCCCTTGAGCAGGAAATCGCAACTTCTATATTCGGCTATCAGGATTTGTTGTTTGGCGCAAGAACTGTACAGAATGCCAATCGCCTCCGCGACATCACCTGCCTCCACGCGCTCAATCACATCCTAATGACGCGAGATAAAGTCCTGAAAAACAACGCGAAGCTGGCAGCCGCAACCGAGAACGATGATGCCGAGTACCGCGACCAGGGCTTTACGCGACCGAAAATACTCTTTTTGCTCGAGACGAAACAGGCTTGTGTCCGCGTGCTGGATTCAATTACCAAACTGCACAGTTTCGAGCAGCAAGAGAATAAGAAGCGGTTCCTAGACAGTTTCTCACAGCCCGAAGACAAGTTTTCTGACGACAAGCCAACAGACTTCCGCGAGCTCTTTGAAGGCAACGATGACAACGAGTTTCGCGTTGGCGTCAAGCTGACCCGGAAAACATTGAAATTTTACTCTACCTTCTACAACTCAGATATCATTTTTGCCTCGACGCTAGGTCTGCGACGAGCCATCGAATCCGGTGACCCCAAGAAGCGAGACTATGATTTCCTATCATCTATCGAAATGGTCATCATGGAGCAAGCAGACGCAACGCTCATGCAGAACTGGGAACATGCTGAGTTTGTCTTCGAGCATTTGAACCTCCAACCGAAGGACGCACACGGTTGCGATTTCTCCCGCGTCCGATCGTGGTACCTTGACGGCCACGCCCCGTACATCCGCCAAACAATCGTGCTATCCGCATACCTCACACCAAAAATCAACACACTATACAACAAACACATGCGCAACGTCGCAGGCCGCCTAAAGTTCACACCCGATTATAATTCTGGGCTCATTGAATCACTATCCTACGGCATAAAACAGACGTTCCTCCGGTTCGAGTCGCCATCCCATCTCACTGACCCAGATGCGCGCTTCAAGTTCTTTAACTCCTCCATCCTCCCATCCATTATGCGTCTTCCTCGACCTCTGGAAGGTGGCCTAGGTGTCCTTGTTTTCATCCCTTCGTATCTCGACTTCGTACGCGTCCGCAACTCGCTGGTCGACTCAGACCTCTCATACGCCTCCATCAGCGAATATACAGACCAGACCGACGTTCGTAAAGCGCGGAGTCACTTTATGAATGGCAAGCATTCACTACTACTATATACCGGACGTGCGCACCACTTCCACCGCTACAATATTCGTGGCGTCAAGAGAGTGGTGTTCTATGGGGTGCCGGAGAATCCAAAGTTTTATGACGAAGTAGTGGGGTTCATCGGGAAGACGCTTGAGAGGGGCGAGATTAGTAGGGCGGAAGCGAATGTGCGTGTCTCCTTCTCCAAGTGGGAGAGGCTGGAGCTCGAGAGGATTGTTGGCACGAAGAGGGTTGGGAAAATGATTGGGGATAAGGGGGATGTGTTTGATTTTGTGTAAGTATTGTGTTCGAGTAGATTAACTTCAATAGCGGCGCTGCTCTTTCCCGGTCCAGCAGCCGCGTTCAAATACCAGGATTGCACAGCTGAGTTGCTACTGCATTTTTTCATCCATCGTACCTGACTCCTAAACGTTAGCATATGCTATACGTCAGTAATGTGTTGCAGAAAAGGACCATGTACTGGGTTGAGACGCGCCTTCCCTTTTCTCTTATCCCACCTCCACTTGCCACGACAGTTCATGACGCACCTCTCAACCCCGAGAGCGATACTTCCTGTTACTTTCCTCTTCGGCCACTTCGTATCCAGCACTGGCTTGTGTCCGCTCGGATCCTACTCTTGAGCCAACATGAAACCTCATCTCGCAGCTGGTCTCGTCTTTCTGGTGACTCTTGTCACCACCAGAGTTGTTCCTTCCTCCAAGTCGCCGATAGACGATCTTACCCATAACATCGAGCTCGACACCAGAGGCCTTATCGACCTTCCAGATGAGTGGATCGAGCCCGCAATTGGTGCCGATGGCGGCTCCGCATGGGAGAAAGCGGTAGAAAGTGGTAGGACGCTGTACTCGGCTATGAAGTCCAAGGATAGTGTAGCGAGATGGTTCTTCAAAAACTATCCCGACTTTAGTGAAACAGTCCAGAGTCCGTTTGATGGGGATCTCCGAGAGAAGTTGAAGGAGTGGGGATACAACGATAACGAGGAGTTGAGCAAAAAGCTCGACAAGGAGTGTGACTTCGAGGTGCGTGTATTAGTATCAGAATACTGTTTGAGACTAATGCTGAAGACCTTTAGGCATACCACAAGATCAAGAGGGCCTTTGATGAACTGTCCTTGGGGACGAAAGCGAAAGCTGATGGAGGCCCAAATCAGTGTTTTCAAGTCAATCATCAGGATGGGCCTAATGTCAAGCGCAAGGAAAACGGCGAGCTCCCTGATGCCGAGTTCCAATACTACGATGTCTGCGGAAAGACATACAGGGTCAGTCGAAGACACCGTCTGCATGCTTCTTCTATTCCGTTTTGCTGACTACTGTGCTGGTGCAGGTCACGGGAGGCACCCATGATATCGCAGTGAACTCAGCCGGAGCAGTGATTCTGATGAACGTTATTAGTGCTGCCTATAGCGCTGAGAAGTTTCTCTGGAAAAAGAAGGCAGGTACCAACGAGCTACCGCACATTCGATCAACGTCCGACATAGCCTGGGGCCTATGGAATCGGGTCGCTCCTGGTAACGTCAAGGAGATCAAGTATCTCATTGTCGCCCAAATAATGAACACAGGCACGCGAGATCTAATTAGAGCGGCCTATGAAACTTTGACTCCTCCGCAGAGTGAGACAAGGGTCTGGCCTGGAATCGACTTCAATATGGACACCTCGGGCGGCCAAGCAATCCTAGGTGTGTTTCGCACTCGTTTATGTGAACAGTTTACTTCAAACGAGGGAACTAACGTACTCCAGGATCACCTGTCGGTAGATGGGCTGGCTACTTCCTTATGCAACACAAGAGGCAGTTCGGCGGCAATAGATTCATTTCCAAGGTCCGCATATTCAAACCCGACGGCGCCACTCTACCTTATATAATCTTCTACGTCGATCCGAATCCAGCTCCGGACAACTTTGCACTAGACTCTTCGCCAGACCAGTCATCCGGATCCACACCTAAGAGGTTAAGAGATTTGCACTGGAGTGGCACCGGGTTGTCGCACATCGTCAAGCGGAGTGCAGACGGCAAGACTGTAGTAAGGGAACATATGATTTGGGCCAGACTATAGAAGAAGACTTCACGTGAGCGGTAGGGTAATGCTCGATATGCGACTCTCATGACCGCACGTCGTGGACAGAAAAGATTTCTCACTCAAGAGGGCTCTAGACTTCTCAAAGCTAGAAATTCATGGTTCTGTCGTGTTTGTACTCCCAAACTTTTGTCATGTGTGATTATATCATGAGAAAGAAGATGCATTGAAAGCAGCATGATAAAGTGGTAGAGAATTATGTTTCAAGCTGTGCTGATTCGTGGATAAGCTTTCATGAATGTCAACTCCCGGCACGTTCAACTGACGCTTCTTCACGTTGGCATAGTTCCCTTAAAGCATCCTACTCTCCAAACCCTACCAATCCAAAATGGCATCAGCGCTATCAACTCTAGCAAGCTTCGCCTTTTCATTTAGCTCATTGCACACTAATGGCCACGATTAGTGTGAACCCCCTGACAAGCAGATGAAATACTTACACTGCTCGGCCTTGCAGAAACTTTGACTCTGTGTGTCTTCCTTTCTAGCAGGGTAGAGTTTCCGGCCAGCAAGGCGTTCAAGTCGCAGATGTTCCTTGAGCAAAGAAAGCAGAGGTCGCTGCTGCGGGCTATTGGTAGATTTTATCAAATCGTACTGCTGCTCAATGGACTGCACAAAGCGGCTACAGTAGTTTCGTATCGCATCGTTGTCAGAACTAGTGACTTCGGGTATGCTGGCGTCGGAAGTGTAGACATCGCACTTCATGGTACAATGGGTAGCTGATGCGGGAAGCACGGTTATCATGACCCATATCGGGTAGCCACGAGAGCTGACGATGATAGCCGTAGGCCCGACATGTAGAGTCTGGCATTTGTGGAAGTCTATGCCAGTGTGGCTGAATGCTGACATAACAAAGCCGATAACATGTGACCTGGCGGGGGCCATTTGCGTGCCATTGCGTTCGCTTGCTCCTGTGATTCATCAGTTTCAAAAGGTTCATGTAGTTCGACTGGACTGACCGATAGTCTTCCAATTGAAAGCTCCTCCGTTTATCTCCCATCCAGTGAGCCACTTGTTGCTCGCATAAATACCATGCTGGGAGGAAAAGACGCCTGTGCCCTCATATGCAGGAGCATCATCAATGCGGCTAGCATTGAGATTGATGTGAATGAACTAAAAGCGCATGTATAAAGTCAGTGTAAACTCTCACATGCAAGTCAATCGTTCGGGTTCGTACGCCAGAGCGGTCATTGCAGCTATGAATCCGAAACAAGCCGTTCTCGGATTTGTCAAAGCCTTCGATACCGTCAAACTGAGGTGCTTTGACGAGGTGTCCTTTGGTGTTGTATGACCACCCATGATAGCGGCATCCGAGAATGAGGGAAGACCCGGTGGGCTTTTTAGTGATGGTGTATGCTCTGTGGCGGCATACGTTGTGGAATGCCCGGACGATATTGTCTTTGCCTAGGATGATCAAGATGGGAAAGCCGGCAAACTCGAAGGAGATATAGTCGCCAGCTTTGGTAAATCTGCTGCTATGTGCGATACAGATCCAGGACTGGGCGTGTCAGCATCTGCTCAAGACTAAATGCTGTATGCACACCTTGCTGAATATTGCTCGACGTTCTAGGGCGAACAAGTTGTCCAAGGTCCACCAGCCATCGATAAGATCTGGCTCTTTGCAAACCTCCACTGGTGGGATAGATGACATGGACGATGTATCATATAAATTTTGACTTGGTTAATTGTGGGTTTGGCTGGAATATGAACAAACTGCCATGATAATAATTCAGCCGTAAGAGTGAGTAAGGTAGATATATAGTCTAATCGCTGTTTCCTAATTCTACGTTATTAGTAGTCATGCAGTGCAGGCAGGCAGATGCGATACTGGAGGATAGCATATGATTGCCACTGACATCGAGATGCAGGGATAGTTGACTAGCATTCGACTCGTCCTGCTATCTGGGCTAGATGCAACTAAACAGGTTCATGACGACTGGCTCCTTAAAACCACTGATATACCCTGGATATCTAAAAGATAGTCATAGTGCGCTGGTTAGATCGTGCATATGAAGAATACGGCTTGCCGAATTGGGGTAACAGGTCCCGTTGAAGTTGTTGATTGGCTGACAAATGAGTGCACGTGTTGACTAAAAGCAACGACATATCAAACGAGCGACAACAGGGACAAGTCAATTGAAGATAGGAATTGGGGAGCGAATCGTCTCCTCTAGCAGCCCTCCGCACAAACATCCATATCTGGCGAAGCAGCAGGCGTAGGTGAGTCACTCACGAGGAGGCGGGGTCGATGAGCTGCGTGGCCGTCCCCAACTTGCTAGTGCTAGTCTTGTGCATTTCCACTGGATGAAACCGGGTTTCGTTATCATGCTGAGCAAGTGTCATGTCCAAAACACGTTGCTGATAGACTGAACTTGTTAGCGACTCGGAACGTATTGCTGAATCCCGTTCCTGCACCTACAAGCCACACCGGTCTCTTTGATCGGGTTCAGTATGCCCTCGTAATAGACACCTTTCTCCAGATTCTCTTGTGCTTTCTCGCAGAGCTCGTAGTCCTCCATAGCAACCTGTCTCACAAATTTGAAGTATTCTTCGAACTTGGCTCCCGTCTCTTCATGATAGTAATCGAACTCCATGCGGGTAAAGCCTGGGTTCTCGGTTGGACACACACGAAAAGAGGACATCCCACCGCCGTATACATTCAAGGTACAGTTGGGGAAGAAGTAGAGGAAGAGACCGTCATCTGGCTTCTTTGGATCAGCAACGTGCTGAGAGAAGTTTGTATGGTTGTAAACGGTATAGAATGTCGGTGGGTAGTAGACCGAGAATGCGGGATGGGTGTATTGACAGTGTAGGCACTCCTGGTAACCGTCGACCCTACCTTTGTTAATGGGTTTACGATCCAAACCAGTTGAAAACAGCTTACATGGTTTTCCAGTTGAACTTCCCCTCGTACTTGATGCTGCGCCGATGAGGCAGCTTCGTAAAGTCGACTTTTCCTATCAACGGCTTCAGATCAGAGAAGAATTCATCGAAGGGTGGAGCTTCGTCTGAGATGGTAGAGAAGACTAGACCAGTCTCCGTAATACATGACTTGACTTCGGAGCCCTATGCTATGATTAGATGCTACTTGAAAATCTGGCACGGTTTATAGCTACCGTCTCATTGAGGATGCTGATGTCACGAGGCTCATCCGACCTGCGACAAACTGTCAAGGATACTTGAGCAACTTCATATTTCACCTCCTCGCCAACTTGGTGAAACCTTGTCACGGGCCCGAGCAGGTACCACGACTGGCGATGACGTGAGTCAGTTAGCGGCTCCTGATCATTGTGTCGGAATGTACCTTTAGAAAGACGGCTCGCCGCTCAAGCTGATACAAAGGAGAGCTACAGAACCAGGAAGCAGGAAGAGTACGGGTTAGAGAAGACATGGCATCAAAACGTGAATAGGTAATGGCTTCCGATGTAATGCTGGACTCAATTATCGAAGTAAGGACCAAGATGAACTGTCCGAAATGAAGATTGAAGTAGGTTCACGGTTTGCCAGAAGGGGTGACTGAGTCCGTCCCATGCTAATTGGTGATGTACCTGCAGGAAGGAGAGCTAGCTTGCGGGGCAACACTCGGCCAATCGCTTTGAAGATGATGACGTGGTCGTAGATAGCACAAGGATGAAAAAGGATGAAACTTGATATTGCATACAGCAGAAGGTGAAGGGTATTTGGGATGCGTAGACTGGTCATGTTGTTTCTTACTTGTCTAGCTTCAGACAGCGCGATATCTAGGCTTGGCGAACATGTCCCGCCTTGAGGTTGCCGGTGCAGAGTAAACAGGGGATGTAGGTATCTTGCTAGACCGGTCAAAGCCGCAAAGAAGGGCTGTGAGACGTGTTGATGGTGGTCTTGATGACGTGGAAGTGGTTGAGACTGGGTGGAGAGAAAGCTTGGGAGGAGCAGTTTCGTGCAGAACAGCTCATGTTATCCCAGCTCTCATCATGTATGTGTCAATTAATTATACATGATGTTTAATAACAAGAGAAGGACGGACGGTATTGTATTCGGCAACATGGGCCTCCATACTTCGACGTTGGACGAGTGAAGAGCACGGACCAACTGATAGCTGCAAGTGGTTCCCTAGCCAACCGATTATTTGGCCCGGGGCTGTCGCGTCCCTTCATGTCAGATGGTGATGTACCCTGGCCCATGTACGAGAATTATACATACGAGCACACGGGGCTACGATTTGGCCTTCAAGACATTGCTACGGTTTTCGAGCCTTTCTTCTTTTCCCCATAGCTTGAGTCAGCGCAGAACGGACGCCCGCGCTCGCGCCCTCCATTGACAACAACTCGACAACCGCACACATTCCTCGTACCCGATCCGAAGGCTGCATTCCCTACCACCCAGACTACTGCGCATACGATACAAGAGGCCACGTGAGAAGCTCGGAGAGATGCTGGGCTTTCGCCCACTATCGGTTGGGAAGCGGAAACCGCAGGCGTACGCACAAGCGCCTGTCTACGACCCCGATGTCGAACATGGCACATACAACGAGAAGGCGTATAGCAGCAGCGATGACGATGACGAGAGCTATGCCTCTGAGCCGCAATCAAGCCAGTACTCCTCGCGTCAGTCGTCGGCCTCGTACGACACAAATCCAAACAACATCGAGTCGAGACCGCTCGCCCCAAATCCATCACATCGAAGAGCACCATCGAGGCCGAGGGTGAGCGCATACAGCTACAGGAATCCACGCGCATGCACAAGATACTTTGGGTTGGCCGTGGCAAGCACCTTGCTGTTCTTCATATGGTTCTTGTTCAGCAGTAGCTGGGAGTCGATACGGAGCACAGAGTTGGGACTGCACAAGCCGCCACCACCGCCGCCCGTGTGGGAAAGCTTCCCCTTCCTAAAACGTTACCATGGCGGAATACGGACCTTGGTAAATCGGGACAAGAACTCCGCTGAATACCCCACCAAGCAAGATATTGATCCAGAGCTGCCGGCCGACGAATCCAATGATACGCCCAAGGAGCGGAGATCGCAGGGTGCCCATATAGCCGAATCGATGCCCTTTGATCCCTACCCAGACTACAGCGACTCGGACTACGTGAACAAGTACGGGCCGGTCGAGACGTGTTATCTGGACGCGAACAATACAATAAAGATCCCCGGAGTAAGGGCATACAAGGGTGTCACAGATGGCATGCCGGACAACGTCATGGGAAGCTACGAAGTGCTCGGGTTGAGGGACGACGTTTGCTTCGAACGCTTCGGACGACTTGGTCCGTATGGTATGGGCTACAGCAAGAGGAGGGGTGGCACAGGCGCTGGCATGGAAGGCGACCGCGAGGGGATTGACAAGGTCTGGAACGCTAATCCAGAAGTCGACTTCCGACTGGTCAAGTGGGCTGAGGTTCTGCATCGATGCTTGACTAAGAACAAGGGGCGTTTTCAGACGCAACCAAAGTCTAATGACCCCTCGTTCCAGACAATGGCCATGCAAAAGAGAGGTACTCTCCCTAACACACCGCCTCCCAGCAACGGAAGCAAGATATACACGAATGAAACCCTTCAAGCAAAATCGGAACCTACGTACAAGAAACTCATTCCTCGAACCGCTGTACTCATCCGGACATGGTCCGACTACCAGTACGACGATGAAGACATCATGTACCTCCGCGCTCTCGTCTCCGAGCTCAGCATAGCCTCCGGAGGAGAATATCACGTACACTTCCTCATCCATGTCAAGGATGACAACAAACAGATCTGGGCCGATGAGAAGGTCTACGCAGAAGTCCTTGAAAAGGCCCTTCCTGCTGAATTCGCCGGTATGGGCACTCTCTGGTCAGAACGTCAAATGGGCCTGATCTATGGCGGCATTGAGGACTCTAATTATCGTGGCTTACCTGTGCATGGCGCCTATCGCTCTACGTACATGCCTGTGACCTACTTTGCGCACCAGCACCCCGAGTTCGAGTTCTTCTGGCACTGGGAGATGGATGTCAGATATACGGGCCACTATTACCACCTCTTCGAACAAATCTCCAAGTGGACTGACGTGCAGCCCCGCAAGGGTTTGTGGGAGCGCAATGCTCGCTTCTATGTGCCGTCAGTACATGGATCGTGGGAAGAGTTCAAACACATGGTGCGTGTACAGACCGATCATGGTACAAACAACCAAGCAAATAGATGGTCCTCGCATCTTCCGCCAAACCCCCACGTGCCGGAGACCAAGATTCAAAAGCCAGAGAAGCCCATATGGGGCCCTGAAACTCCGCAAGATTACCCAGATATTGAGATCGATGAAGCTGTTAAGCCGAATAAGTCCATGACCGAAGACAAGTACGAATGGGGTGTTGGCGAGCCAGCCGATCTCATCGTCTTTAACCCACTGTTCGACCCCGATCACACGAATTGGATCTTAGGAGAAGACGTCACCGGCTACGACAAGAAGAACGGTCTTCCACCTCGACGTTCTGCTATCAACACTTCAGGGCGCCTGAGCCGCAGACTCCTAGAAACAATGCACCGCGAACAGTCCCATTTCCGACGGACTATGTTCAGCGAAATGTGGCCCGCCACCTGTGCACTGCACCACGGCCTAAAAGCCGTATACGCACCACATCCCGTCTTCGTTGACCGCAAGTGGCCAACGCAATACCTAGCTGCTATTTTCAATAATGGCAGGAACGGCGCCTCTGGCGGTGCTAAAATGTCTATTTTTAGCGATGAACGCCAACACAACTTCCTAGGCACCTCGTGGTATTACAATGCAGGTTTCGCACCAAACCTTTGGAAGCGATGGCTAGGGTACAAAGTCGACAATGACGGTGGTGAGGAAGAAGAACTCGCTGGCGAGGGAAGAATGTGTTTTCCTGCTGTTTTGTTACACCCTGTCAAGCAGGTCGACCTGATACAGGAACGAGTCGATACCAGCTCTGAAGAAGCACGTTGATTGTCAGCCAGGCATTGTGAGGTCTAGTCTTTGGGGGCGTTATTGTCACGGTCTTAGTATTTGAGTACGGCGTTGTAGGATCTTTTAGCGCTCTGTACGACCGGGCTCTGAATTTGTGACTACTATGGTTAGGTATGATGTTGCTATTCATGTTGTACATGGTATATGAGAGCATGTTGTAGGCGTTTTGTCGGGTAGACTTGCTTTGTATATGTAACACGGGATATTTATTGAAATTTACTCTATTTTAGTGAGTTTAATGCACCATGTTCAGGAAAGCTATTGATAGTCGTTACGTGGTGTCCTGTCAAGTCCCGGCCTCTTTGCATGAATACTCACAATTCTGATAGAAAGGTATGAACATTTACGAGAGTGACATTCGCGAGTACGAGAACTAATATACAAGGCCTCTTCGGTATCATAAAACCCCAAAGTTTGCGATCTTTGACTGATTACTGTGGTGTCAAGCTATCAATATGTGCAAGAAAAAGAACTTCTGAGCAATGCATCCTAGGCCACCTCTATCTAGCCTCTTCCCCCTTTACGCGGTACCAGGCGGAAATGCTGCTGCAATGCCAACTAGTTTCATTGCCAGCACCCGCTGTTTCTGTCCCTCTCTCAAATCTTCCGGCACTGGCCACCGCGCTTCGAAGCGCATACTTCGTGCTTCAACAATCATGGCCACTTCGTAGTACGCCTCCCAGTGTTTCTGTGAGCTGGAATGAGTGCTGAAAAAAGATGGAAGTTGTGGCTCAATGAGACCCTCGTCCTTTAGGAAGGTCAAATCTGCAACGATTGACCCAACCTGTTCGGCTCCTATGTCGCTCGTAAGATAAGTCGTAACACATCACGATAACGGCATACCTTTATTCAATGGATGGCCTTTCCTATAGTGAAGCGGGTGTCGATGATCAGACATCCATAGTTGCTCTTTACACTCAAGCCTTTTCCTAGTGATGGGGAAAGTATGCTTGACGTTGGAAGTAAAGACTTGCCTGTTTTCCACTCTCTCTCCCTAAATTAGTTCATCAGCCCATTTCTTCTGCCACCTACAAAGATAACTTACCGCCTGGATTACCCATTTGATAGTCTCATCGACATATCTCTCGCCATCAGCCTTATTGATGCGACATTTTGTTTCTCTATGTTCCTTGAAAGTCTCCGGCTCGTATGGCTCACTGATCAAAAACCCATAACTGCACTGAGTAATGCGGCTGGGTCCAAATCTCTTGTTGAGTGCCCTGAGAACCGCACCCCTCGCTACTGCTGTAGACCTATAGAAGTATTAGTCCTCTTGTAGCAATGCAGCATATACGCTGAATAGGTGACTGACGGGTTGTTTGGAACAATTAGATCCATTCGCCGATTTGTGACCATCATTCGTCCCTCCAGATAAGGTTTCAGGTGGCTCTGCAGGGATGGAGATTGCCCAAAGCCACCAGTGACGATAACCTTACTAACCCGATGTCCTAGGCTTTCAGCTAGCTCCAGTTGATTATCGAGTACGTCTGTCACACCTTCCAGCGAATCCTTGAAAAGGCGCCTCACGGTACTGCTAGTTGGATTTTAGGGCCTAGATATGGGTTTAAGACTTACTGAACTTACTGTTTAAGTATTATACGATTTTGATAGAAGTCTTTGTGGGGATTCTCTCTTAGATCATCGATGTAAATCGAGACTAATTGTCCCTTCCGGTTGTTGGTGTCAAAAGTCCGTTTCTGACAGTCTTCAAAGGCAGTGGTTTTGGCCTGCACGATACTCTTCAACGTTTTTCCGTTTTTGACCAGATATGTCTCCTTAGCGAGCTTCTGGAGGAGCTTCTGCTCAAGTCGTTCATTAATGTAGCTTGCACCGCATAGCTTGCCTATGGTATTCAGCTTTCATTGAGGACGGGGGTGGTAAGAAGGCTAGTAGGGTGCACTCACTACACGGGGCAACAACCTCAGCAGACAAACGCAAGGGCTCGTCGTTGTCGCATTGGTACGTCACGGCGTCGACAGTTCCGCCTCCAGCGTCAACAATGACTACCGTTTCAGCACGCTGTGCGATAGAATTAGGATATCTACTGATAGAGTGTATGGGGGTGCCTACATAAAGCTCACTCCTTGCTTCGGCGAGAATGCATTCCGCTGCGGCCTCGGGCTCTGATATCAGAAAAAGGTCATGGAGACTGCAGTTGGCTCTCTCGGCCAATCCAGATTCTTGCACCGCTTCTTCGAGCGCGTTCTGCATGATTCGGCAAGCATTCATCGGCCATTTGGCGGGTACACACAGTACAAATTGGACGAACATTTCCGGTTTGAGCTCATTGGAGAGAAGCAATTGCTCTTTGGTGTGTCTTAACAAATGAGTGAGATAATGAGCGTATATGTCCGTGGGGCTCTTGATAATCTTCCGCCTAGTTAAAGATTTTAAAATCATCCTGAGATCAGTGCGAACGTCTTCGGTCTCCTCCTTCCGGTCAAGATTGAGCTTGAATCTTCGTAGTGGACGCGCGTCGTCTCTAGGGATATCCGTCATGCTAAGCCTTTTCTGTACGCCAAAGCCCCAGTATTGTGTAGCTGCAGTGGTGCGAGCCTTTTTATGTTGGTTCTCTGCATTTGCTTCTAACCCGCCGTCATCTTCGAACTGCGATTGCCCGCTTTCCGAATTATCGTTGTCACTGCTAGAGGGATCTTCGTCATCACTGTCTGCAGGCCGATATTCATCGGCTGCGTTGTTGTAGTGACCTTTTTGGGCCCCTAGGAGGCCGTCATCGTACCACAACTCAGTGGGAACATCCTGTCTTACATCCGGTACCCCAGAAGGAGGCTCATAGCCTGGGTAGTTACCGATGCAGTTCACCATTTGTATATCAACTCTTTCAGCCGGCATACCCCATGGTAGTACGGCATACGCAACAGAAGAAAATGTCGTCCCGAAATCAATAGCAACGATGATTCGATTCTCTTCAATGTTGCTGATAGGATCGTGTTCCATAACATCTCCCTCACCAGTGTCTTGTGCATCCTCTTCTACGGTCATCTCCACGTCTGTATCTTGGGAATATTCCTCCAATGTAGGTTCCGGACCAGGGTCAAAATGGTCATATATAACACCGGAGCTCCTTGTAGCCCGAGCCATTATTTCGTTCTGAGATATGTAATTGTTGGAAGACCGAGTAAACTGGACACAAAAGGCCGCTCCGCTAGAATCCCCCTAATAGACAAAAGAACAGATAGGGGGGTGGATGGAAGGAAATTGGCTTGCAGGTGCCTCTATACTGACGGTATTCTAGTCGATTATTAACTCTTCTACTGCATTTATGAAGGATCCCGATATTCTGCCGTACTACACCAACAACGGTGTGACAGGTTTTCGTATATGCAGGCGTGCGGCGTAGCGAAACGTGCATGACACATATTTCAGGGGCGAAAAGCCTTGCTACCTAGACGAGAGACGCCACGAACATCGAAAGAATCACTGACGGCCAATCACTACCCTCCATTTGGATGTGAAATATCTTCAATAGGCAAAGCTTGCTCTACTGGCGCCAGTGCTGCCTGCCTCTAGTTTGTTTGCAACGCGCATGATCGAGATGAACGTACCATCCTTGCAAAGTGTCAGGTGCGAAAGGTGTAATTTCATTTGCCTACCCCCCCCTATCTTTGGTCGTTGCTTTGTTCTTTTCGTCTCTCAAACTTTCCTAAATTACGCAGTCTGTTTTCTCAAGCCCTGACCCATTCCCCCGATCCTTTCACACAGATTTCAGTTCGACCAGAAGGCCACATCATCATTCACACGCAGTTTTATGGCGACACCCATGATGTCAAACCCAGATCTAGTCGAAATTTTAGCACACCTCGACTATATAGTCGCTGGGCCGAAGACGAGGTCACTGCAAGATAGCAACACCGAAGAGCAGATGGACAAGATCCTTGTTGAGCTTAGCGACATCTTACTTAATCGGTATTCGAAAGAACAACTTCGAGAGCGGCTCTGGCAGGAGTTTCGACATGGATACACTTACCCCGAATACAATTTCCCACTTCTCTTTCTTCACGGCAGCTGTGAAGTAAAGACCATCGATTCAGAAACGACAAGTCTCATTAAGGAACGGCTCCGTAAAATTCACCTCCACATGGCAAAGCACATGCCGAGAAGTCGACGGTCAAAGTCTATCCCTCCGGCTTCAATGGTGATGTCCCGAAGGAACCCTAGAAATTCCTCTACGCCTGCGCAGCCTTCTAAGCGATCCAACGCAGGAAATTTGAGTAAGATTGTCAATAAAACAAATACGTCTCGCAAGAAGAAATCTTCATCCAAGGTACGGCTCTGTCCGCGCAAGCCGAAAGCTCATCTCTGACTTGTGAGGTTAGGCTGGCAATCGTGATAAGCCAGTATCTCGATACCACACGACGCAGCCTTCAGATTCAAGCATAAAGACTAGTGAGAATTCATTCCACTTATCCAATGCTTCTTCTTCGACCAAAAACGTAGCTACTCCGGGCCCATTGTCAAACAGGGCACCAGTACGACGACTTACCCCAACGTCCTCTAGCCCTGAAATTAACGAGATCAACACCATCGCACCGAGAAACGCCCGAGCAACCAATAGTCCTTGTATTACCACAAGCTCCCCTGAAAGTTCTGCACAACTAGTTTTCGAACTTACCCACTACAAAAAACGCTGGGAAGAAGCTGAACAGGAATGCAATAAGTTGAAGAAGGAGATGCGGCAAATGGAAAGTTTCTACACTTTGACGAAAGGCATACCAGAAAATATGTTCAAGGAATTGCGTCACAAAACAAGACAGAACATCAATTTGAGGAAACGACTTGATGACAGGCTGGACTTGGAGCCTCATTTCTCCATTCGAACCGCCCTCGGTGAGACACCAACTACTCAAAGGCTTTGCTCTAGTTTTCAGCATATGAAAGTACAGCTCGCTTCCATTTTAGTCACCAACGATACAGAGAAACTATTAATTGACTCTCTTTATGGAATCTCTGCTAACCTAGACGCCCTGCTATGTATAATTTTCGACGCCGACATCCAAAAGGGGACAGAGAAGTTGTCGAATGCTTCTCCGGTCACACTTTGTGAATTAATTCAAGCGCTCACGGGAGCAGCAATTCATCGTTGGGTATTTGAGAAAGGATACCGTTCAAATACCATGACGATCACACCGCTTTTACAAAGATATCGAGACCTCATTCGTAACCTGGGTACGTGTGAACACTACAATCAACCTGACTACAAATGAGCTAATGCGTAATAGCTGGTCATGAAACTCTTTGCGATTTGGATACCACTGCACACCAATCCCTAATCAGGGAGAAAGACTTCAACGAGGTGATCATTCCACGTATGACCTCCGAGTATACAACCCTCCTATTAGATGCTCTCCAACCTCTGTTTAGTAAATCATTGCAGTCTAAGACGAGGGAAGGTTTGAAGTCTCCACTTGATTGTATCTTCGGACTGGCGATGCAGATCCGGTCACTATCTTTGGTAGGCACTGAAGAGTATGAGTCTGTCTGGCCTTCCTCTGGCTCGCTATTCGACAACAATGAGATGGAGACAGAGCAGTCAGAATCAAACAACGCGGCGAATTTGGTCAGGCTGCCTCTTTTACCAGGCATTCGCGCTTACTCCAAGCAAAAGGCGATGGTTGGGTACCACGGTTTCGGGAACGGCGAAGGGCCGAATAAGACGCCGAAATATGTATGCAAGGCACTAGTTCTGATTTGAGACACGTAAAACGGAGAGTCCTTCACTATCCTGTTCATGCTTGGGTTTGAGGCTGTGCATCTTCATGCTAACTTGTCGAGGTGATGATTGACAGGTTCTGGGGCCACGTTAGACCGTCTACCCAGCGACTGTTTCTTATGCCCTCACATTGCACTAATCAAAGAGCCTTATTTAATGCAATGTTGGCCCATGCGTTTTGGTGGCGTCAACTTCTGCAATTATAAATGTCAAGGGCTGTGGACTGACCCCATTAGGGACACAGCCACGCCTAAGCGCGGACCCACTGTCCCTAACCTGGTTCTTTACCTGCAAGCAATCTTTACAGCCTTGTATGGGGGCGACTAGGATTGCAAAGAATCTAAGTGCGCCTTCCCCGCTCTTCTTGTCGACTGTAAACTAGGCTGCTACGAATCCGACTCCATAAAGTGGTATCAAACGTCGCACACGCTGCGTTTAGACCCTCAAAAAGTAACTACGCAAAGTCTCATGATGCCGCCAAGAAAAGAACCGCTTCCAAAGCTGGACCTCCGTCAACTGATTCGTGATCATGGTATTCGACTTGAAGGCCCGGTGCCTCCCAAGAAGTGGCCTCCCGAACACAAGCACCATTTTAGAGTCATTCGCCGAATCGAAGCTATACGATACGAAGATTATAAGGTCGACCAAACGATACCCAAAGAGCAGCGGGCGGATTTCAAGACCCGCGTTAATTATCTCAGAGAGAAAGTGTATAATCTGCTCGACAATGGAAAAGCGAACGAGTCGACATGGCGAGAGCTTGAAGTAACCATTCTGAAGAGGTTTGACGACAGTGTTATTTGGTGTGCAGTAAACAGCGCCAGTTTTTCATCATGACAGCACTGACAGCTGGAACCAGTGAGAAATGCCACCACGAACTGTGGAAGTCAAACTTTGAGGCAAACTTTCTACATTCAGATAACCAAGACAAGCTCGAGGCGAAACGACTCCAAAGGAGATTATGCGGCTGTAAGATTAAACGGACCATCTCACGGGCTGAGAACGAGTATTTTCCCTCTTCTCTCCAGTGCATGTACCGCGCTGATATAAGAAGCGACGATGAAAATCGGGCAATATTCGACTTTGCCAAGGAAGAAGTCTTCTACCACGCTTTGAATGACAATCTTGAGAACCTCAGCATCTCCATGAAACCCGATCGTGTGATTGGGCTTCGTGCCCCATCTTATATACCCCAGAATGTGACTTTCTTCCCGGTCAAAGCAAGGCGGATCCTCTTACCTTTTCTTGTAGTGGAAGCAAAAAAGGAGGATGGCGTACCCGGTTTCCGAGCGATTCAATATCAGACAGCTTTCCCCGTTCGACGGCTTTTGAAAGCTCAAAATGATCTCCTTGGTCGTGAAGTCTCTGCAGAGCCCTGCTTGGTGTGGTTCTTCGGGTACCAGGGCGAGCAATGGCGGCTGCATGCAGGCACGTATAGGAATGATAGAGTGGCAAGTCTCAACCAAGGTGGAATGTGGGTCATGCTAATTTGGACTTTGGGCAGAGAATTTACGATCTATGGCAAGGCACGATACAGTCTCAGGACGGCGCGCTGCAGCTACTGCTGATTGTGGACTTCATATGGTCATGGGCTAGAGATATATATCGTCCCACCGTAAGGAACCTCCTACTCGACATGGTGAAAAGCTTTCGCGATTCTTCTCCAGCCTCCACCGATCGATTCCGCCAGTCTGTTTCGCTGTCTTCCGCAGCAAGCCCTACACCCACGAACTTGGATCTGGAAGTGATGCAAGTCGATGGTGTTGTGGCTGGCACCGACCACCGTTGTCCTCGAGCATCTCATCACAGGACTGAAACCGAGCACGCATCTCAGGAATCTCAAGAGCAAGGGCCCACAGCTATTCAAGATGCGGACTCTCATGCTTTCCTCAAGTGGGCAGTTGGGCACCCACTCGCGCCTTCTTGGACTGAGATTGGAAGCATACGCCACGCAAACATCGTCCATTTCGATTTCAAATACCATGTCTTCTGGAAGCCAGAGATTGTTCAGGTCGAACAGGAAGACGTGGACTTTTGTTCGGTGTTTAAATCTCTACAATCGTCTGCTTTTCTCATGTACCCAAGACAACTTCGCGAACTTGTGGCGCTTTGGACGACCAAGTCGATACAGATTCCAAGCCCTAATGTTACGAAACCTACCCGAGCAAGCTTTTACTTCCACACCTATTGCGATCAATCGACATGGCAAATAAAACGGGTGTTAAATTGCGTGCTGTGGGGCGCGGCACCACGCACAGTAAAAAATACGAGCGCCATGGAACAATTACCCGCCATGATAGGTGACGATGACATACCCGAGTTCTTCGCCTGGACAGACTTCAAAGACGCGTGTTCAGACGCCCAACAAATCTACGGAAAAGATTCCGTCTGGTATGCTCTGCAAACTACCAGCATGCTTCTTTTACCGGGCGAGGAAAGCCGTCGGCCCGAATGGGTGTCATTCGAGACGCTGAATATCCCCAAAACAGCAGCATGGACGTTAATGGATATTTCAAAACGCACCAACCTTGGCGGCGAAATGGTCATAGACAGCGTCAGTCTTTGCGGCGGTCTGTCGGAAGTGGATCCAACTTCCGAGCGGCGCCTGCGGTCGACGATTCCGGATCTGGGACGAGACACGCGACAGGGAGATTCTATGATTGCGGTTCGATCGCCATCGTGGCCGGCAACTTGTCCTCAGTTCTGCTTGTTCGTTCTGCTCAAGGAAGATTATGACGACAAGGACATTCTCCACCGGCATCTTGAAGAGGCTGTTGCGTTGAGTAATTATTATGCCGAGGAGGGTTACGAGTTTAGCCGTTCATGCTGGCGATTACTTCATAATTGGCGTAGGGCTCTCAAGATAGAGACGATTTAGTTGTATTTAGGGCGCTCTATAAATTGTAGAAGCTATGTTGCAACGTGAACATGATGTTTGAATCATCTCTATTGAATAATAGAAAGATGATCGAGAATCTCTAGACAATCCCTTGATTAACTTGCACTAGTTTTCAAATCCAAAAGACTGTATTGGCTCGATATGATTACATACTGGTCATAGCGACCAGAGAACTCAATCCAACCACATAACACGAAGGTGCCGCCCTTTCTTACCCCACCTACCCTCCCTACCACCCCACACGAACATGAAAAAACAGTACAATCATCGCAGGAGCAAAGCATTTCAGAAGTGAAGTTTGAAAAAAAATACATCGATGCTATATCCAACTATCTACCCTGCAACACCATGCTGCCGCACATGTGCAAAACTCTCCAAGTGATTGTGTCCGAAAGAACGTAAATCGAGGTATAGGTAGCCCCAACTCGTCCAATACGCCATACCAACGCCAAGCGCTAAATAAAACATCAAAGTCAAAATGACCGTCCTGCGACAATCCTCCAAGCACATGGCAAGCATAAAATTTCATGAACATGAACATGAACACCAACATCCCGAACAGCTAATCACTGTTGTCTTGTTCCGCGCCCTTCGCCAACGGACGCGCCGCACTACTTCACCTGACACCCTGCTTGCCCAACGACGCCGAGCTCGCTTTCGATCGAATCTTCATCGACTTGATGGATGGCGACGGCGATGGTCTGGGAGAGGTTCGGGGCGTCGTTCTTGAGCTGCTCATCTGCTCAAACCTGCCAGCCAGGTCTTTGACACGGCTAGGTGGACTCCCTGAATCTCCAATCATCTCATCGTCTTCCCTGGGCACAGATAGAATGCTGGAGCGGTCGATATCTGCGTTGACTACGCGCAATTTCGACTTCGGCACGGTGAACATGACCTGTACCACGCGGCGCTCAACGGCGGCTTCGACGTCCCAGTCTCCTTCACTAGCAGGCGTACAAGGCCGGTCTTCAGTGGCCGGGACGCCTAGTTGATCGGGACGAATAGGTGTACGTGGGGTAGGTAGCTGATCATCGTTGTCGATGTTGGTGTTGACGAGCAAGTTCCCTCGCTCTCTCCATTCATGGCGTTGACGTTCTCTCTCCGCCATGGCGATGTCTTCGGGTGCGCCCCAATCATCTCCAGCATTACGCCGCCACGTAGGGTCCTGTTCATCATCCAGCCAGTCTTGCTTCCCCCTTCTATTTCGCCAGAAGCTTGCATCTGATGCTGCACGTCGCGGCGGTGCAGAGGTGGCGGGAAAAGACTTTCTATGATCAGCTATTGAGGCTTCGATGGTCGATATAGGATTGTCGGTATAAGGTTCGTGGTACGACATGGTAGTAGTCAGCGATCTCGTGCGCTCCGTGCCCGATGTTGACCTCGTCAGCACCTTCCGGACACTGCCTAACCAACTTCTTCTTCGCTCCCGAGGTCCGGGCCGCGACATTGCCGTAACGTCTAATGCAATCGAGGTTGCGGGAGTAGCTGTTGCTGCTCGACTATTGCTGCCTTCACTGTCGTGGTATGTGTTTGAGTTCGAAGAGGCCGTTCCTGGTCGGTTTCGCTCGGGATTCCCTCCTAGTAATGCCTCACCTTCAACCTGAAGATGCGCAAAAGAGGAGTGGGCGGTGTGGAAGTGGTCAATCTCCGCATACCCGTTGCTACGGATGCTGGTAAGAGACTGCGTACGAGGATCCTCAGGGGATTGCCGGCCACTCTCGCTATTCCTTCTTGGTTTATCGTGTGTTGGACTTGCATCTGGTGTTTTAAACGGGTTGGCATGGGCTGCATGGTTTAGGATCGCCGAGGCACGTATCGACGCACTACGTATAACGCCTCCGCTCGAAGAAGTCCACGACAAATTGGACCGAGCACTTCTCTCACTGAGATTGGAACTTGTTCGTTCTGACGTGGATTTGTCTGGTGATAGCCTCCCTGTTGGACTCGAAGCACGACGATCTGATGCAGCAGCTGTAGGCAAGGGCCAATTCGCTGCAGTGTAGTCGGCTTGACTAGGCTCTTCCCCAAAGGAAACGGTAGGTGAAGTGCGATGTGTGCTCTTTTGCTCCCCACAACGTCCATGAGGGTCGGTGAAAGGATCTAGAACTGGCGCATTCTCGAGTATCGAGGGTCCTCGATCTTGCCGTCTCTCCGTCATCTCAGGCTGCTTTGTCAAGGGTGTTTTATCGTGCGCCTGTTCCTCATCAGGCTCCTCCTCAAGTTCGTCGATAGGATGAATATGGCCTGGACCCCGAACCCTACCCATTGCGTATCCTGGTCTATTGCTTAAACTTCGTCGTAACCCTCGAGTAGGACTAGGTATCTCGACTAGAAGCCCAGTTCTTTCCGCATCCGTTCTATTGGCAGCCCTCCACCCTTGACCACCTTGAGTGCCAGGCGGGAAATAGTACGAGTCGTTCTGATCAGCGAGGTAGTCTGAGGCATCTGGGGGACCCCCACAACCATCAAAGCCAGGGGAGTACTCTTCGATGTTGTATCGGTGAGCGCCCAAAGCAAGGGCTTGAAGTTGCTTTTCACGCATTTCGCGTTGCTTCTTCAAACGCCGCGTGTACCACATGTAGAAGGCAAACAACGCGCACACGGCGGCCAGTCCGATACCGAGACCTACGCCCAAGCCTGCTTTCTGCCCCGGACTAGATAAAGGACCAGTCTTGATAAGCTCGGGGCGTGAGCTCTCGGGTGGTGGGGAGTAGTCGGTTGTCCACGTATTGGATGTAACATTGAGGAAGTACGCTTTGTTGTTGACAGTTGGTGTGGCCCTCTTGCGCCGTGAGTCGGAAGGTGATATTGAGTATCCACCAGTGATCATCATTACGCCTCCCGGTAGCATGGTAGCGCCATGACCGTAAAGCCCGGAATTGTCCGGAAGACCAGCGCCAGATGTGGATGGTACTGTCCACTGCCAATCACCGTCCCCTCCATAGCCATCGGCGACATTCAAGATTGCGTACTGGGGCTCCGCTGGGGTATTGATGTCGCCAACCCAGCCTCCAAGCACAATGATTCGTTGGCCGTCCGGAGTCAGCACAGCTGTGTGTCCAGAGCGGGGATCGACTGCAGTAGTTTGTTTTCGAATGGCTAGATTTGTATGGGAGGCGTCGGGCTGCTGGACTTCGATGAAGGTCCAGCCTTGTTCGGGGAGAGAGAATAGGGCCACCTGAGACATGTTGATGAATGCAGCACTCGTGTGGCCGCCCACAAGAACAAAGTTCTGCTGCTGAGTCTGCGTATTGTCGCTTCGGTTCGAGAAGGTGGGCGACAAGCCAGTCATGGTGAATCCAGCTTCTGGTATTGGTGGTCCGCGGCTTGAAGACAGATCCAACTGGTAGTTGATCCCCTTGCTCCCAGTGCTCGAGGGTTGCAGCGTGACCATAAAGTTCGAGTAATTGGCCGAAGATTGCCAGGCGTCTGTAGTCTCGTTTTGATTTGGGCACATGCCTCCAAAGAAATAGGCTCCCGTATTCGCAGTGTCACCACCAACGATGGAGGAGAAGGCCATGCCGCCGTTGAGGAAGTTGGCGCCCAGGGTGGCCGCATGCTTGCTTCCCTTGACCGACACGCTTTCCTTGCTCCAGCTGCCCTTTCCATTCTTCTCCGGTGTGTAGCTCCAGACTTGTCCTCCGCTGGCACCTTGGGTACAGTCTCCAGTATACACGGTCAGGTTCCCGCCGTTGTCAAGGATGGGCGTGAACGGGCGTAGCACATGGTCGTCGAGGAAGGGTAGCGTTGGGTGCAGCGTAGTGTATGGGATGTTTGCGGCCACGACCTGGGAGGAGACATCAATCGAGCCTAGTTGGAACTGGGTGTCTGAATGTGACGATGGCTGGAATACGTAGAGATGGCGGTCGTGTTGGAGGATTCGCGTAGGGTTATAGGGCATCTGGGCCATGGTGGCAGGCAGGAGGAGGAGAGCGAGCCAGCACCATGGAGCCGCCAGCGGCATGCTAAGCGGAGGCATAGTATCGCTATGGTGGATGCGCGGAGAGGGCCTTCACCTCGAATGCTGGGTTGAGTCGTCCATGGAGTGTGGGGTATTTGCGGGACAGCGTAGCGTAGCACAAAGGGAATTGGCGATGATGCTGGGAGAGACGACTTTTGCAGGCGGGAGTCGAGGGGTATGCGCAGATCTGTCGTTCATGCACGCGTCCGCTGGTCCAAGGTGGCTGGCCGGGTCAGTAAACAGAGGCCCAAGCGAGACCCCTGCCCGCCCAGCCCACCAGATTGCGCAACAAGATAGCATGGCGCTTGTATCTCCGTTGCAACGGCCAGCAGGCGTCCAATTACGGAGGCGTACTCGTTCCGGAGAGACGAAGCCTTGGAATGGGGCGTGTGCTGCCGCTTCAGCCCGAGCAAACTAGCTCGGCCGCCGAACATGCCAGAGGATAAACACAGTCGCGCGGGGCAACGGCGCATGTGGCTTGCTGACTCGCAGCATGTGAAGGTGGGCGTCATTACCGAGACGCGGGCCGTTTGGAGTCTGGACGCGCATCTAAAAAGACAGATGGATGGCGGTGTGATGGGGTTTCGTGCCGTGTGGTGGTGGTGGTGGGGTGTGGTTGAACTGTCATGTCAGTGTTGTCATGCTGCCATGGAGGGGAGGTTGGGCCATGACAGCACGAGCTACGACTCCTCGCCCCACCACCATGTGTATATCAATCAATCAATCAATGCCATCGACATGTACTTGCAAACACGAGCCACAATATTTGACATGGAACCAACTGTCTTGACCAGGTAAGAAAAAGGGTGCGCTTCCATTTTGACTGTTGCTCTTTTGTTCATAGGCCCCAGTACTACTACTATGCATATGTACTAGCTGATATCCAAGAGGGCTTCCTCTTATTCTCTAAGTACTAAACTTCATGCCACCATTCGCGCAAATCACGCTGCCAGTCGTCCACCCAGCCTCGGGCAGGCAGAGTATGCCCACCACGCCCGCAACCTCCTCGCTGTACGCCGGCCGTCCTCCCGCGTTCTGCGATGCCTCGTAGATTCTCTCCGGGTCGATGCCCTTTCGTGGTGCGGCCAGGGGCGTGTTCTCAATAAATGGCTTGTTCTGCGCGATGAACGACTCATCGTTGCTCCAGTACATGTCTGTGGCCACGGGCCCTGGGTTGATGGCGTTGACCGTGCATCGTTCCGCCAGTTCGCGAGACCAGGTCCGTGTCATGCTCTCAAGCGCCGCCTTGGTTGCACCGTAGATGGACTGGCCCTTGTAGCCCAGCGACGCGCTGACCGACGAGAGGCTGACGATGCGCCCAGAGCGATCCGTGGGCAAGTACGGGATGGCTGCTTGTACTAGCAGGAGCGGGCCCCGCACGTTGATGTTGAATTGCCTTGCAAAGTCGTCGCAGTCGACATTCTGCACCAAGTTGTTGCCTGCCACGCCCGCGTTGTTGATGAGGATGTCTAGCTGGAACTTGCCCGTCTTCGGGTGCTGGAAGTGGTTCTTGGTCACCTCTACCAAGTGCTTGGGGCCCGTCTCTGAGCCCATGCTGGCCTGCACCGCGATCGCCTTGATGCCATATTCGGATTCGAGCTCGGCTGCCAAAGCCTCAGCCGTCTGCGTCGACGAGTCCGACGTGTAGTTGAGGACGACGTTGCAGCCTTTGCTGGCCAGAGCGCGGGCAATCTCGACGCCGATACCTGCAAGAGTCAGTATATAGGAAAGAAATCGTGCGTGAGATGCCAAACATGCCCCTCGATGCTCCCGTCACGATGCCCACCCTTCCTTCAAGCGCGCGTTGCCCAGCGCCGCTACCCAGGTTGGTAGAGGCCGTGCGAGTGTGTTGTGGTCTGGTAGCCATGGTCGCGTAGGTGAAGGAAATATTCCGTTGGTGTTCAAACGTGCTTGGGACAAATTGCGTTTCGTTGCGACGATTTGTGCCAGTATGGTGGGGTTATGGTTGACCTCTTCTATGTTATATGCGGGGGGCCATGGTGGACCATCATAACCTACTAACTGGCCACATTTCGTCGGCGCTTCTGCCGTTTCTTCATCGTGAGGTCGGAAATGCACCGAGCAAGCATGGCCAAGCTTTAGACAAGGAGGATCTAGGTCAATGGACAAGTCGGGCGTGTGGCCGTTCACGATGCTTTCCTCTGGATGTACAGGGGGGGGGAGAGGGTCCAGGCGCTGCCCCAGATTCCATTCCAGAGAGAAGAGAAAAAAAGAGAGAGGGCATTCCACATTGCTTCTCAGTCAGCGCAGTCTTCGATCCCCCTACAATCCAAGTCATGTCATCATCAATAGCCGGGGTCTGGCAGGAATCTTAGTGCCACCCTCTGTTCCATGTTATTCGGACAGCTTCTTCGAACCACGGCCCCCAGAGTGTCAGAATCCTGTTGAGTGAGATGGATGGCCTATCGATAAGAGCCAGCAAAAAAGCTCCTCCGACTCCGACATCGGACATGGAGGGGTGGTTTGCATCCAACAAACAGCAGCAGTCTCTGCTTGAGAAGTAGGTTGCCAGATGGCTTGGAGGAGGATACGTCTAGGACATGTGATGAAACACTACGAGACGTTGGGTGCGGGTCAACCACCCCGGGAGCAGCGGTACTCGATATTGCAGTGCAGCATCAGAGGAGCCTGGGAAGGCGGTGAAGCTGCTAGACGGCCAAAAGCAGACTAGCTCGACCCCGCGCGGGCATGCAGAAACCCCCCCAGCGAAAAGATTCAAAAGCACACCATCCGCCTCTGCTCACATTCTCCTCCTCCACTCACCTCCCCTCCTCTTTCTTCTCTCTCCTCCTCTTCCACTTCCCTTTTCTACATACCACCTTACGCCTTTTCCCACATACTTGTCCAGATAGGACCACAGCCCCCACAATGGTACAGTCATCAGTCCTCGGGTTCCCCCGCATGGGTGCGGACCGTGAGCTCAAGAAGGCGAACGAGGCATACTGGGCAGACAAGCTCTCGCGGGACGAACTCCTCAAGGAGGGCAAGCGTCTCCGATTGGAGCACTGGAAGATCCAGAAGGACGCCGGCGTCGACGTCATTCCCAGCAACGACTTTGCCTTCTACGACCACCTTCTCGACCACATCCAGCTGTTCAACGTAAGCCAGCCAGCAATGAACCCTGCATCGAACAACACATGCTGACAAGACCAGGTTATCCCAGAGCGCTATTCCAAGAACAAGCTGCACCAGCTCGATGAGTACTTTGCCATGGGCCGTGGCCACCAGAAGGAGGGCGTCGATGTTCCCAGCTTGGTAAGTGATCCCACAAGTTGCATGGCAGTCCTCCAAACGCTAACGTCTTGTGCAGGAAATGGTCAAGTGGTTCGACTCCAACTACCACTACGTCAAGCCCACCTTCCAGGACGGCCAGACATTCAAGCTTTCCGACAACCCCAAGCCCGTCGCCGAGTTCCTCGAGGCCAAGGAGGCTGGCATCGTCACCCGCCCTGTCCTCATCGGACCCGTCTCTTTCCTCGCTCTTGGCAAGGCCGACCGCGACCAGTCTGTCGACCCCATCTCCCTCCTCGAGAAGCTTCTGCCCGTATACGTAGAGCTCCTCCAGAAGCTGAAGGCAGCTGGTGCCGAGACGGTTCAAATTGATGAGCCCGTCTTGGTCTACGATCTGCCGCAGAAGGTCAAGGATGCCTTCAAGCCCGCATATGAGAAGCTCACTGGCAGCAACCTGCCCAAGATCATCCTCGCCACCTACTTCGGTGACGTTGTCCACAACTTTGACGTCTTCCCCAGCATCCAGAATGTCCTCGGTATCCACGTCGATCTTGTCAGGAACCCCGAGCAGCTTGAGAGCGTCATCAGCAAGCTTGGCTCCAACCAGGTCCTTTCTGCTGGTGTCGTCGACGGCCGCAACATCTGGAAGACCAACTTCCAGAAGGCCATTGAGCTCGTCGAGACTGCCATCCAGAAGCTCGGCAAAGACCGTGTCATCATCGCCACCTCCAGCTCTCTCCTCCATACCCCCCACTCCCTTGAGAGCGAGAAGAAGCTCCCCGAGGAGGTCAAGGACTGGTTCTCCTTCGCCGTGCAAAAGGTTGCCGAAGTCGTCGTCATCGCCAAGGCTGTCAACGATGGCCCTGCCGCTGTCCGCGAAGCTCTAGAGGCCAACGCCAAGTCGATGAAGGCTCGCGCTTCATCTGAGCGCACCAACAACAAGGCTGTCAAGGACCGCCAAGCTAGCGTCACCCCAGAACAGCATGAGCGCAAGTCCGCCTTCCCTGAGCGATATGCTCAGCAGAAGAAGCACCTCAAGTTGCCCCTTTTCCCCACCACCACCATTGGCTCATTCCCCCAGACCAAGGAGATCCGTGTCCAGCGCAACAAGTTCACCAAGGGTGAGATCACTGCCGAGCAGTACGAGAGGTTCATCGAGAAGGAGATCGAGGACACTATCAAGATCCAAGACGAGCTCGACCTCGATGTCTACGTCCACGGCGAGCCCGAGCGTAACGACATGGTGCAGTACTTTGGTGAGCGCCTCGATGGTTACGTCTTCACCACCAAGGGCTGGGTTCAGTCCTATGGCTCTCGCTGTGTCCGCCCTCCGATCATCGTCGGTGACATCTCTCGCCCTGCTCCCATGACCGTCAAGGAGTCCAAGTATGCCGCCTCCGTCGCCAAGAAGCCCATGAAGGGCATGCTTACTGGTCCCATCACCTGCCTGCGATGGTCTTTCCCTCGTGACGATGTCCACCAGTCTGTTCAGGCTCAGCAGCTTGCCCTCGCGCTCCGCGACGAGGTTGTTGACCTTGAGGCTGCCGGCATCTACGTCATTCAGGTCGACGAGCCTGCCCTCCGTGAAGGTCTTCCCCTCCGTGCTGGCACTGAGCGTGAGAAGTACCTCTCTTGGGCCGTCGACTCTTTCAAGCTTTCCTGCGCCGGTGTCCAGGACTCGACCCAGATCCACTCTCACTTCTGCTACTCCGAGTTCCAGGACTTCTTCCACGCCATTGCCGCCCTCGATGCTGATGTCCTCTCCATCGAGAACAGCAAGAGCGACGCCAAGCTCCTCAAGGTCTTTGAGGACAAGGCTTACCCCCGCCACATCGGTCCCGGTGTCTACGACATCCACTCGCCGCGTGTTCCCTCCGAGCAGGAGATCAAGGACCGCCTCGCTGAGATGCTGACCTACCTCAAGCCTGAGCAGCTCTGGGTCAACCCCGATTGCGGCTTGAAGACCCGTCAGTGGAAGGAGACCAAGGCCGCGTTGACCAACCTTGTCAACGCCGCCAAGTTCTACCGCGAGAAGCACTCTTCTTAGATTTCACTTTGCCATTTGGCAACCACGGCTGTGTTTCATCAACGCAGTCGTATCGTGTAGCATATCAACATGCTGCCGTGTAATGTGTGTATTGACGTTTTTATGATACCCAAAAGTTCAACCTGCATCATGGGTCGTTTCGGTAGGTAAAAAGAAATGGGAACTAGTGCATGAACGATCTCAACATCGGCGTTCATATGACGGCCGAAATTGGGTGATGGCTTTGGCGTACTTGGTAGTCCCAGTTTTGGGACATTTGGTAGTGCGCAGAATTGACTGTGCATCCTTGCATCTTAGGATAGATGATCTCGCCCCAAGTGGGTCGCGTATCAAGGCAATGATGTTCGAATAGAAAGTGTTCGTCGTCAACCAACCTACTCCTCCATGACTGTCCAACTTGTACACGATATATTGCATTCACCTGAAGTATAATCGAGCTATGCGACATGTCGTATTGCTTCTCTCTGGCTGTCAAAGTGCGCAGACACTTTATTAGCTCTCACAGAACGATAAGATCACTTGCACGACACCACACAGTGATCTGAACACTGACTACATGTTGAAACCTGAAGTTTGCTGAAATTCTGCGTATCTGCACTGCAACTCAATTGTGCCTACAGGCTCTCGGGAGTTTTGTGTGAGCCTACGACTCCGACGTCACTTGCGTATTGGTGACGTGCATACCTGTGTAGCGATTGAAGGCGTGTCAACGGGTCTAACATGACACACGGGTGAGTACATATATTCTTCTCGAATCTGACATGCAAGCATGATTGGGCAATCTCTATGTTTGCGAAAGACGGAAAGTGTCGAGGCCCGTTGATCCGCAGCGCGTGCTACACCGTCGAGTTAGTTTGTGACAGTGTGACGGGACTTCCGTTGTCACGGAGATACATGTGAGAATTTGAAGACGACCCAGATGTCCGCGTCTCAGCATGCGATCAATCAAACATGGCAGTATAATTGCTTGCTACTACTCAAGACCGCGCGATGACGGTTGCTAAGCACCACCCGTTAACTCGCCAGGATGAGGCTGTCCACGCACTATTTACCTCCTACGCATCATGATTCCGGAGGGTCGAGGCCTGATAGAGAAACTTTCCACTCCCGTGCCGATGCTGGGGCTCTCTCCGTGAGCAGGCGGACTACCTCTATCTCATCCAGGAGCAGGGTGTTCGTCTTCAGCTCTTGGTACCAGTCCCTAGCAACAAGCGTCCTCAGCAGGGATCGTGGAAGACATATTGCGAGTAGCCCTGGCGTACAGAACCCTCCATCAAACATCCACCGTGCTGACTCTGCAATATCGCTTTCCCCATACGTCTACCCCGAGGAAGACGACATCCCTAAGCGCAATGAGTCGCCGCAAAAGCCATGCCAAATCCCCGATTCGCTGCTCGTCCACTTCCAATTCGAAGACCGCATCTACAACAAACAGCTCAACTACAGCGCCTTCTCGAAGTGGGACAGTGTCGACGCGCTGCTGGTAGATCTCGAGAAAGACGGCGTGCTCGTCGTCCAGCTGTGGGATGTACGCGAGGAAATGCCCATCTGCAGTGGCGACTGGAATGCTCGTGTGCGGCCGGGCTGGGAGGTGCTTGTTACCTGTGTGGACGGAACGCTATGGGGGGATGAGGGCTCGGAATGCGGCGATATCAACAGTGCTGACGACGAGGACGACTACTACTACTACGACCACCACGCACGTGAGCGACTTGATGACTTTGTAGCGTACGAGGGGCTCGAGGCTAGTATAAAGCATTGGTGGTTTACCCGCTGGAGGCAACGAGTCGAGCGGGCGTCGCTGGCGGATGAAGAGTCCGGACTGGACTTGTCGTGGAGCATGATCTTGCTTGGAGGTGTTTCGTTGGCGGCGGTTTTGGGCCTGGTCATTCTGTTTGCTGTCTGGGATATGCGGTCTGCTGGAGCATTCTCTCTTTCACGTTCTTCTTCTCCTTGAGGTCGTAGCTAGAGTTGAAAACGTGTGCGACCGCGCTCATGCATCGCTTCTTTCGTGGTCGTGGTCGTGGTCGTGGTCGAGGTTGTGGTCATACTCATGCCCTTGGCTTGAGCCTCTGACGGTTCGCGCAACATTGCGGTCCCATCGTCTTATCGCTTCTATACCTCTTGATGGGTGCACATTTGTTAAAGACTTCCTCCAGATGCCGTGCTTCGTATAGGTATAAGGTCACGCAGTGGGACCGTGCGTATGGCACCAGCTTCCCCACATCTCAAGCTTCGAGTCTGACAAGCTGCATCTACAATGGCTGACATGATTTCACGAATAGCATCTCTAAGATCACGTTTACCCGATCTTGAATCCGCGCTGCACTCCTTCACAGCATCGCCTTCAAAATTCCGTGTTGTGCGGACGGTCAATGCCACATCAACACAGCCGAGGACGCTCTACATCCTCGACTCGTCGTTCAATCCACCTTCAGTTGCACACCTCACACTCGCGACATCTGCCCTGAAGCAGCATGCACCGTTAGAAAATGGTCCATATAGGCTATTGCTACTTTTCAGTACACATAATGCAGATAAGGCGCCGAGCCCGGCAAGCTTCGTGCAGCGCATTGCCCTGATGACCCTCTTCGCCGAAGACCTGTCGCGAAGTCTCAAGAATGCGGCACCCTCGCTCGGATCTGACGTAGCGGATATCTCAATTGACATTGGCCTAACAAAAGAACCATACTACAGCGACAAGTCGACTGCCATCACCGAGACCACCCCGCCCTTCTACGCGTCGAACCCGATCCATGTCCACCTCGTCGGCTACGACACCCTCATCCGCTTCTGCAATCCGAAATACTACCCAAAGCACGACCCGCCCCTCTCAGCGCTGAAGCCATTCTTCGCTGCAGGCCACAAACTCCGCGTTACGCAGCGACCATGCGACCCGAGCGATGCGTCGTCTAATGAGTTTGGCTCGCTTGAGGAGCAGCAGAAATACCTGCAGGACCTGAAGGATGGCGAGCAAGAAAAGGCAGGCTTTGAGCCAGCTTGGGGCAGTAATATAGACATGACGCGGGCCGATGAGAGTGTTGGTGTCAGCTCGACTCGGATAAGGAGCGCCGCGAAGGAGGGCAGGTGGGATGAGGTAGGTGAATTGTGTACCGAGGGCGTAGCTGCTTGGATCAAGGATCAGGAATTATACAGTGAAGACGCTGCTGGGAAGAAGATGATGTCCTAGGGCCTCTTCGCCGGAGTATGAACGACCAGTGAGTAGAATTGGTTGGGATGGGAACATGCCTACAACTTTGTCATAGTTCAAAATCACCAAACGACCTCTTCTCCACGTGGAAGTCGCACCGTATCACACCATTAATTTCGAGAGCCGGGAGTTCCTTCCACAGTATCCAAGCGCACAAGCCCAGATGATGCAGTTGCCATCGCTTCCAAGAGGTGACGATCATGGCAATATCCGCTCTCACAGCGTGCCTCTGCTTTGATTTCCAGATGGATTGCAATTCTTCAGCTTTGTTGTGCATTTGATTTTCATCCGCTGTGCTTTGGCGTACTCTTCCTTCCTCAACTCTCGATCGTGGGCAAGCACTCCACGGGGCGGAAGGGCCTCCTGGTCGACCGACAGGCAGACGTCAACAGACGAACGCCTCGCTCATCTCTCAACCCGTTTGCATTATGGCGTCGAAACTATGTTGTACAACAGAGCAAGAGGGTCGGCCAGAGTCACCAGAGCTGCCTAATGCTCGCGTCAGCCAAGCCATACCAGTGAATCGGCCTCTCCTGCCAAAGGAGACAGCATCGTCGAACTCTCGTTTTACGAGTGGCCGCTCTGAGGACCTCCATGAGCTCCGCGACATCTTCAACAATGCTCAAGATCAAGCCGACGATGGGCCATCGCCGACGCGAGGTGCTCGTGGACGATTCAGCCGGGGGTCCATGTACAGCCTACGAAGTTTGCACAAGATGACGAGCATGCGATCTATCATTAGACGAAAGTTTTCAAAAGACGATCCGAAGAAGGATCTAGCCGTCCGACCAACCCGTCCCAAGGCAAAGAACAGGGACGTCGGTGAAGAGCCTGGCACTGTGGTCAAGCAGCTGAGAGATGGACCAAATCAGCAACTCAATGTCACCAAGGATGACCTAAGAAAGCATCTTCTGAGCGACAAGAAGCCAGATGAAGGCGGCTACGATTCTGATGCCGAGATGCTGGACGACATCGCGACCAACCTTGGGAAGAAGACACCAGGCAAGAGGCCGAGTATTCACAGCATTGACTGGACACCTTCCACTGGCAGGTCAGATATACCAACTTGAAACACTTCAAGATGCTAACTTCTCGCAGCAAGCCAACGCCAGGATCATCTACCAAGGGCCCCAACAGCACCGAGCGCAAACGCCAGCTGCAGCCCTACCAGATTCAGAGGCCTCAGACAGACGCCTCTCCCCGCTTCAGTCAAGTCTTCAGCACCCCAAATCTAAGATCAGACATCGTCTCCGAGAGCGACAGCAGATCGAGACGCTCGCACTCTGCTACCGCGATAGGCTTGCCCAAAATGTTTCCAATTTCACCACTAAGACTACCGAGCCTCACCACACATGATAATGATGGAGTACCTTGGTCTCAGGCGATAAACGAAAGCCTTCGCCTATCGCAGTTTCCTGTCCCACCGCGGCACATCAACCCTGAAGCATCTGAGACAATCTCAGACCCCAAGCAGCACTCAAAGGAGAGCTATACCGATAGTCAGGGTCATGAGGGCGCCTCTTTGGTTCCTTGCTGTCATTCATCCAATGGCATTGCTGCTCCTTCAGCTCGTGCGGTAGAAATCCGTGTGCAGCAACCGACCTCCATCATCAGTCCCAGACCATCCACATCCGTTCGAGGTGTCCCCAGTGAGAATGCCCCACCAAGCAAAGATGAAGACGAGGAAGACCACCCACGTCACTCGGTGCATCTCCACAACATGCGCATCTCTCACCATCTCCGCTCGGGCTCACTACTCTCGTGGGACCAACTTGCAGATGCTCCGGATCTACCTACACCACCTCCCCCATTCCGCGAACGCACCGTCTCAGATCAGAGCCAATACTCTCATATGCGGAGAGAGCTCGCTCGGCATGAGCGACAAACTTCGAGCTCTGGGTTTTCCAGCTCCAAGTTACCGAGCAAATGGGGTAGAGTTCTGCTCAAGGATTGCGACCTACGACCTGACGTTGCGTCATCTATATACTCCAGTAGGCCGCAAAGTCCGCCAGACAGCTTCGATGGGTCTATGTTGAACTTGTCACGGACTAGCACAGGGCACCACACATTCAGTATGTCATCAACGGATATCAAGAAGGCCAATGGTTCGAATTCACTTCCCAGCCACCAAGATACACCCGGGCCAGCCCAACAGGACGACACTTTGAATATCGAAAGAGCACAAGATTCTATCGTAGAGAGTCCTCTACTTGTGGCACCTCATCCTTTGGCACGAAAAAACAGTGTGGCGGAGACGAAAGTGTCCAAGTTCCGAGAAGAGTTCAGCCCCTCTCCGCCAAAGAAGAAGCTGGTCCCGTCCACGTCGATTATGAAACTGCTAAACTCCAAGCGCCTGAGTATGCGCAGCCAAAGTGAGGCCAATATGCCGCCTGACCCTCTGAGTATGGCTATGGACGGTCCCTCCGACACAATCCCCATTCCCGTCGATCGAGAACGACACGGGTCTATGATGAGCTTGCAAACTGAGCAAGAAGCTCTTGGCAAGAACAAGGGGATCAATCACGTATGGGATCGTGCTCTTGCAGCACATCAAGAAGAGAAGGCATCGCTCTTTCTTCCAAAGAATAGAGACCTTGCCGTGCACGCAAGCCCGTTCCGTGAGCGCAGCGCAAGCATTTCCGCGAAACACACCACTGGTGAAGAGGACATAGGTCTAGACGATCACGCCGTGAACACGGTCAGACCACGTTCTGCATCGCTTGTCGACCCACCATCCCCAGGTCAATTAAGGTCCGAGTCACTTCTGGAAGCGATCCCGCGGCGCAGTGCCTTAACAGGCAGGGGTGATATCAGCCCAGGGCGGGAAGTGTCGAACGCATTCGAGAAGCAAGGTGACAGCATTGAAGTGGTCGGTGCATGGGGTCGCTACCCATCACATACCCGTCATGATCGCATCTTATCTGCAAGAAAGGTGGATCGTGTCGACACTCGCGACTTTGCGCTCGAAGCGGCGATCAAGTTTGCTTCAGCAAAAGATGAAAAACACGATGACGACCTGATCGACCCCATAGAGCGACTCCCTTCACCACCACTGCTCCCCGGTCAAAAGAAGAAAAAGAAGAAGGTCGGTAGCGGTCGCATGGCGAAAAGCAATTCGATGACATTCGGCAAAACTTTCCTCAAGAACTATTCAAAGATCTTCAAGAGTCAAAGTGCAGAGTTCCGAAAGCATGGCCGGGGGCATCGCAGCTCTATCGCATCCGGCGGCACGTTGGAGTTTCCCGAATTAGAGCTTTTACCTGATGTCTGGACCGGGGGTGCCAACGGAGATGGAAGCGCAGAACCACACGACCGCAGTTTTGAGCTTGTCGAGCGACAACTGCAGCATAGAAATAGTGATGTGAAAGGCAAGGGAAAGCTACGTGAAGAGGACTCGATGGCTACGCTTCGCCCTCGCCGAAACTCATCTGCGCCGAACCTCAACGATTTGTCTTTCCACGATGGCGCTGGTGACTCGGAGCATGCCACAGATCGTGCTCGCGTGTGGTCGCATTATTATGAGAACTGTGTTCCGTCTTTCCCTCGTCTAAGCACCGAAGCGGACTTTGGCATCGAAGCCTTTAGCGAACCTGCTCGGTTATCGCTCGACAGCAAGCGCGCGTATATACACTCGCGCATTATACCTATGACAATGGCAAGACACTCGAGGAACGCTAGCCAGCTGAGTCGCGTCACCAATGCGAGTCGACGAAGCGCACGGCCAAGTTTCATTTCCCTGGGTGACGACGGCGCTGGTGAGGAGCAGAGCATGGTGAGTGTGAGACGGAGCACGATGGATTTGATCTCAAAATTCAAGGAGCAGGAACTCGTAGAGCATGAGAGGGTCATGGCTCTTATCAAGGTAGAGAGCCGAACTGATAGGGAGAATATTGCGGTATCGTAAGATGGAAGCATAGTGAAAGGTTTGGTGGATAGGTAATGTGTATTGTTTTGTTGAGCATGCAGCTCGGACGGTAATAGGTCCTTCATGTATGGTAAGAGGTTCAGTTAACGCGAAGTATTTGCGACTTACGCAGTATCTCGAGACTCGTGTGCACGTCGGTCAAGGCCGGCTAACTGGCGCGAGGACGTATCCCTAGGCTTATATAAAACATAGTCCATACATAATCGCATGCCTTGCTATTGGTAGTAACCCTAAAGGTTGACATTTCTCAGCTGCGGTTATTGAATAGAAATAATACTGGCTTTCTTCTGAGTAGTTGGCGCCATTCTCTTAGGTAAAAACTCGCTACAATTGAACTACGGGACAATAAAGCGCATTTTTGGTGATTGTAATTCACCTTCCGAAGTTTAGAGTGTGTTGAGCTGATTCCCCACATGAACCTTGGTTCCTTGATATTTATGGCATTTTTCAAGGCTTGGAACAATAGATGGCTGGAATTGTCTAAATGTATTTAACAAGCATATGGCTTCGTAGAAGTATATCAGTCATTCAGCAACATTCAAAGACTCTCTTCTCCTTAGGCCAGAATTACCTTCACCTTTGCATACTGCAAGTCACCAATAAAAGGTTATCAGCCATGTCATATCGCCCTTTACCAACAACACCTTCCATATCGACTCTGAACCAAAGGTTCATGCAGGTCTTGCAACAAGCAACAACCGATGAAGCTAGACATACTCCCATTCAGAGTCTACCTTCAAACACCCCTAACTCTATTACCAAACGCACCTGTCCTGGCGTTGAAACGCTTCCCAGTTCGAGTTCAAATCTCGCTAGTCCTCCCAACGCCACCACTACTCAGGCTATACCTGAAGATGATGAGACGGATTATGGCGATGATGACCAAGGCCAGTCACCACCACCACCTAGTCAGCGGCATCATCAGGAAAGCCCTGAGTCTCGGTGCCACCCACTGGACCACTTCCGCAAGCGCTATAAGTCGCAACTCACTGCGGCACAACTCCAGCAGGTGGAGTACCATTGGGCGGTAGATGGCAATGCAGTGCCAGTATTGAGTGGACTGTTGGGTGCGGCGTTTACATACTACAAAGTAGCCGCACCTAAGCCGTTGTCGCCGAAGAGGAAAAGAGACCAGCTGGTTGCGGTGGCAGAAGAAGCCGTTGAGGCTCAGAAACCTGCGCGCCTCATCGTCCGGCTACGGTTAAGTGGTGACAAGCTGGCACAATTTCGCGAACCACAGCCTGCGAGTTCTGGTCTGGCAAGAAGCAGGAAGAAGCGCCGTACCGGCGGGCAAGAAGTTGAAGAGCTCCCGGATCAACTATCACCGGACTGTTTGGCAACTCGGTCTGTGTCTGAAGGCCTCCAGGCTCCTCTTTCGCGGCCTGAACCGAGACCTAAACCCAGCTCGAGGCCGCCAAACCAAGCCAACGCCGGCCATAAGTACCCAACGCGCAGTACTAGGCGAACGCCCGGCGCAGTGTGTGAAATCCCACCCTCGCCACACCCCGATCCACCTGCCAATCGCCTCGAGGGATTTTCAACGACCAGTAACGTCATGGAGTCGATCCACCACAATGCGTACCGCGCCAGCCCATTCGACGAAACCTTCCGCATTGAAGGCAACATGCTATGTTTGGGGTCGTTCGTGAAGACTGCCGTGCCCAATCAGGATATGCCGAAGGAAGGGCCAAAGGAGGCGTGGAGGCGGTTGTTTCCGGGCGAGGGGGCAGAGCCGCCGGATAACTGGCGAGAAAGGATGAAGCTCACGAGTGAAGGGGAGTGGGTTGCCAGGGGAGCGGGGGATGCGTTTGTGCCCGTGCCATTGAAGCTTAGCCGGGATAGGAGGTGGGAAGGGCGGTACTGAGCACGCTGTTGATGATTCGACTCGTGCCCCTGATATATCTAGTGATAGAATGAATACCAAGTCCAAATTAACAAAAGGCTTTACTCTTCATTGATCAGAAATACGCAAAATCGTTATCATGAAATATGTACATTGTCCTACTAGTCATCCGTGATGGTTTATTTGATGGCCGCCTCGTCGATTTTCGCCACGGTCGCAGAAGACTTTGATTGCTCGGTCGCAGGCTTGTCATCGCCTTGCGAAGCCACAGCAGCAAGCTGCTCCACGGATGCTCGTGTTACATCGGTCGTTGTTGGGATGGGCTGGGCTTGCGTCGTGCTTGTTTCAGGCTCGGTCTCTTCTTCGTCATATTCCAGTAGCTCTTCAGCTTGGGTAGGCTCATGGCCGTAGCCCAAGTTGCTTGCATCCTCGGGTTTGCGTGCGTACCAAAAGAGACTACAATGTCAGCGTATGTGAAAGCCCCGGTGCACAGACGACTTACACATCGGCGTAGTAATGACGATCCTTGCGCTTGGCTTCTGTCCTACACTCGGCTAGAAATACTTCCACCTCCTCCCGTGTCCACTTCAACACTCTCGTGAATAGTCCAAGCGAGCTACTCGGTAGCCAGTCCATCAAATCTTCATACGCGAACCGGCCAAGCAACTTGAACTTTGCACCTTTGGCCCACTGTCCAACCGGCCACTTGTGCATTTTCACGTTGATGTTGACGAAACCCGCATCGCGAAGTTTGGGCGTGAAATGGCGAGGACCTGTGCCGTCCAAGCCCACCTTGGAAGCCGCCTCAAGGAAATATTCCGACCAGCGCATAAGAGCCGAGTTTTCGGCTGTGACACCAGGATCCATACACTTGATAGGGAAGGCGAGTTCTTGACATTCGACGTAGCCTCCGGGCTTGAGATTTGCGTATGCCTGCTCAAAGAAACGGTTCCAGTCTTTCACGGCTGCTACCATGGCCCGGGTGTGGATGTAGTCGAATTGATCGCGGAATATCCAGTCCTGTTCACAGTCGTCGATAAGGAATTCGCAGTTAGGAGGGACTTGGGCTGGCTGGATTGGACTTAGATCTGTCCCGAGCACACGGGCGGATGGGTGCTCATCGGCATATTCTATGGCCCATATGCCAGTACCACAACCAACGTCCAGCACGTTTTGCACGTCTTTTGGAATTGGGGCTCGATAAAGCTTGCCGTCTAGTGAGAGTCGAAATGCCTGATGCTGGAGGTCGAGTCTGTCGGCCTCGGTCTGGGACAGTCGTTGTCAGCAGCTGGTGCCCCTGTAGGGTGGAGGACCGTGTGCGCACCTCATCATTTGGAACTGGGTACTTCCCCTCGGCATAAGCGTGGTACCGCCTGCCATTCTCGTAGCGAAAGTTGAAGACGGAAGAAGTGGCTGACATGGTATAACTTGTGATGGTCAATAACGATGTCGATGTCGGGTCAAGAAGACAAGGAGAAGAACAGAGGACAGGAAAGACGTACGAGGACTGGCTGTCACCATAAGCCGAGTCGCGCTCGTCGCTCTGTTCGGGCAGCTGTTAGTCGAGAAAGATTATGGCGCCAATAGTGGGACGCACGTCGATTTGGAGGGACGGATCGGAGCTGCTAGCCGTATCGGCTGCAGGGTCGTCATGGGTATGGGTATCGGTATCGGTATCGGTATTGGCATCATGGTCGTTAGCATCCGCATCTTGAATGCGGCTTGAGGATGCCATTCTGGTGGCAATATAGGAAGAAGAAACGACAAAGCAATGGAAAAATGCGCCTCAGCTTGCTGGGAGGGCATTTTGAAGGACGAACGGTATCCAGCACTCTGGTAACGAAAGCGTAGATGACCGGTGTTGCGCTCGTTAGGGTGGCTATCAAGACATACATGGCCAATCACATGGAAGCAGAATTGTGGACTGCGCCAGCTCTGGGTGAAAGGATGGCATATTACACGCGTTTTAATCTGCCACGGGCTATTCGTGGAACGCTATGCAGGCCTCACACGTGTGAATGTGGCACGAACCGCGGGGACTCGGACTGTGTATCGGTGCGCTTCTCTACGTAAGCTGAGCGATACGGTCCTCTGATGATGGCCAGGAAGTATGGCCGGGCTCTTTGCGATAACATGGTCCCTACAACAAGTTAGTCGAAGGTACTCAGCGTAATCCTAGCCCAGATAACGCACCGTAGTCCTATGCGTAAAAGCAGTGCGCGTACAGCGGTTGCCATTAGCCGAAGCTGCTGCATCTCGTCAATGGCTGCATGGAAGCGGGAAGCATTGCAGGGCTAATGCCGCGAGCACCGCTTGGGGAAGCAGGACCGATCTTGGTATTAGAAGAGAGGGAGAGAGAGAGGTGTGGGAATGAAGAGAAGACTTGAAGATGCAAGAGAAGAGTTGTGGTTAGACAAGGCGCATTGTGTCGACCCTGCCAAGAGGACCACCTGCAGTGACGTCGCGACATGCCTGGACGCCATCCGTTCGTCCAGTTGAAGGACATACTCATCGAAACAAGTCCATTGAGTGCTTCATTCATTATTCACGCGTCTTCTAAGCGCAGGTCCCTGGGACAGTGATTGCCTCGCAGCAACAACAAGTGTTTCGCGTCGACACGACACTGGACTGTTGACACGCTTTGCGTTCGTCCGCTACCGGTACCACACGCTCAACCTCAGTCCACAACAGCGCGCAACCCACCATGGCGCGTCCCTATCGCAATAACTGGCACCCATATCAAAACAACAACAACAACAACAACCGGAAGGGTTGGCCAAAGAAGAGAGGCTGGGAGGAGAAGTTGCATCGCGCAGATGACCAAATCGCCCCAACCCTCGCTTCTCGCTCCACTGACGACCTCCAACGCTGGGCCCTCGTGACCGCCAACATGCCGCAACAAGGCCATCGCAAGAACGAAACCGAAATCATTGAGCGCATCCAACGAAGATATGAGCATCCTAATAATCAAAGCCAAACTCCACCAGCGCCGTTCCAGGGCTTGCACCACGCCCCAGCCCATCACGACGCATTTCATGAACCCATAGGGAAAGCTTCCAGTCCACCAATAACTCCATACGCCAACGCCTGGAAACGGCCACGGTCCATGTCACCCCCATCATCTCGACACTCGCTGCGTAACGATCTCAGTGCATTTGGGTACGTGCAATCGATGAAGCGGCGTCGGTCCAGGTCACCATCCCCAGCGAGTTCCTTGCATTTCCCCACCACAAAGCAGAGGCACCAGACTGGCACAGTGGCTGCTAGTGAGGTCGACGAGGATTATGATTATGCTCAATCGAGCGATTGGAGCTTTCCGAGCAGCGATCACGATGCGGCCGACAGCAGATGAAGACAGAGCGACGACCAGGAACGGGAGCTAGCGACTGGGAAAATCACAGGCCAGACACGCCAAAGATAACATTATCAAACTGATGGGAAATGCCCGCTTGGCACTTTGGTTAATCGTGAGGAAGCACATTGTCATGTAGGTAAAGTGGATTAATTCGAGGTGGTAAAGCACACATTCTATGCTCGCCAAGGCCGGTATCCATTATATTCAACCGCAGGGACACGGCTGCCAGTAAGGCGTACATGTGACTATGAAAATAAGCTTACATAGATCCAGTTGGAAATAGATTTTCCCAATGGCCTCTTTAGTTCCGACAGTAGTGCCAACCCTGAAGATGCTTTAGTGATGTCTAGTGCCCTTGAAATGCTGATGCACCCAGCCCAACTCTTAGGTCAATGCGAACACCGAAGTACCAAACTCCAATGATGATGCAATGATTGTAGTCGCAACAAGATGCAGGAATGTCAGGCCGTGATAAAGTCGTAAGATGCGTAAGAGATGATGCTGAAAAGTCAACGATTTAAATCACTTCAGGAACAGGTTCCTTGGTGGTCGTCTCCCTCGTTGTCCGGCGTATTCGGGCCTGGACGCTGAACATGGCAAGAACAATGAGCGCGTTGATGATTAGGATGATCTGCAGCCACTTGACCACAAGCTTGGAGCGAGTCAGTAAAGGCGTCGCGACAAACTGATTTATAGACACTTACAGTCTCGTTGCATGCTACCGAAGCATTGCCGCGGTCCTTTGTTTTGAGATACTTTGGTAGGAAATTGCAGGCTGCCATCTCTCGTGTACAATACATGTTCGTGTTGAGCTTCCCGCCCATCCTGAGGACGTCAGGATTGCAGCCATACTGGTCAGGGCCTTTTTCCGTATAGTGTAACGCGATGGATGCGAGGGCGGTTGCGGCTCCAGTGACTGACATGACGACAACAGCGATGATCCAAAATCGACGCTTGCCCTGCGACATGTTAGCCAGGGTGTAATTAAATCTCCAAACTGTTGCGTCATGTCACATACTGCCGCATGCTGCGAGTCCATGCCTGGCTTTCGCAGCAAACTCCAAGCCATGAGCGACACTATGCCAGCTACCAGATTCAGACATCCAGAGGCAATGGTCACATCGGTGTCCTTGTCTGTGTACCAGACAATGGTAGCGTCCGTCTTGTATCGTTGCGTGCGCTCATCGAAGTTGGTTGTTGGAACTTGCACGGCTCTCGGCATAATCCAGTCGCCGATGATCCAGTAATGTACTGTCAACGCCACCGAAACCAAGGATAGGAGGAAGAACACGATCGACGGAGCGAGCGCGAGGGTTAGTAGCTTCTTGTACTGCATCATGTCTTCTCCACCGTCTTGGTCGCACTGCAGAAGACAATGGTCGCAATCGATAAGAGAAGGTCCAAAAGGCGGACAGGAAAGCAGCAGGGACAAGGGCCTAGCTGCTTGATAAAGTACAAACGACAAACAGGGCCCGTTTCCTGCTTGCTAGCCTTGCTACTCATGACCGCTCAAAGGCTCGTCCGGTCTGGGCACGATGACCCGCCTTTTGCGACTGTTCCGTGACAGGTCCGCGGTGCGCTACACCACAAGCTTCGTAGTCGAGATCGCTTCGAGCGAGTGGATACGAGGAGAGCACTTTGAGGCGCAACCTTGGCACGACGTGTGGAGTCCGTCAGCGGACCCAGCCACGCTGGTATGGACACATGACTGCGCCCCAGCGATCCGTTCCATCCGGTGGGTTGAATTGCAAGGCCTTGGACTTCGACTAGCCATGTTGGAGTGTCGTAGGGGCAGGATGTGCCTGTGTGCCTGCGTATGAGGTGTCTATCGTACGTCATGGGAGGCCCCGCCAGAATAAAGTCCCGAGTTCCGGTTATGATTATTATCGCCAAGCATTGGCATCATCAGCACATTTCAACAAACACCAAATCTCACCGTACTCGGGGTACACACAGAGTGCATGCAAAGGTGTTTGGGAGAATCACTCGTTTCCCGTCTTGTTGGACTGGGAGTACCAACGATGCCTTGGTCTTATAGTCCATCTCACCTAACCTGAGGCTCCCTATTCCGTCCCCTTTTCCAACCCGGTACTACCGCACACAAAAGAAGCGCTATTCATATCACATAAGCTGGTCTCGGTATGTGCATACGCTTCGGTCTCCGTGTAGCCGCAAGGGGCCGATGAGTCTCCTTCTGTCGCATGACCTAACCCCTTGGGATACACGAGCAAGATGGAGAGAGCCATGTTCTAATCTTTAGATCTTGTCCCCTGGACCTGTTCCAGGCTCTTGCCATCCGTTCGCCCGCAAATTCCATTCTTTTCGGGCCTCACAGGGCACACAACCTGGCCAATACCACTCTGGCGTTCTTCCACTTACCGGATTGCGATATTGGAACCACATCCGCTGAATTTCAGGCCACTGGATAGCTCGACCACTGCCACCTTTAAATGTACTTTCCCTCTCGCCTACTTCCGCCATGGTAAGGTCGGGCGGGTACTTCTTCGTCCAAGCAGGCGGTTCAGTAGGAGACTGACTGGAGTTCCCTAGATTTGCCATACTCCACCCTTCTTTCCATGATGTAGACTGCCAGTAGAACTCGTCGATCGTTACGCTCCACAGCCGCCACTGGCCATCTTCAAGAACAACTTGGTCATGGTACATTGCGGAGTTGAAGCTGCCCGCCTTGTTGATAGAGGTCGAGGGTTGTAACAGTCTCGTACGTAAGGATGCGCTCCTGCCATCTTTGGATACAAGAATGACAGGCTGTGGCCGCCAGTGGAACGATATACTCGATCGCAACCCTGAGTGATTCTTCCCGTACGCGGCGTAGTTTGCCTGTGTGATGCGCTCAGGAGTCTGGAAGAAGCCTGCAAAAGGCGATGCTTTGTGTCCTCGCCTAGCGAATAGAGCGCCCAATTTGTCGGCCTGAAGGTCATCGAGGAAGTAGCCGTATGCGTGCGATTGGTTCTCCGCGCCATCATAGGCTGCGCTACGCCGAAGACGACGTTCCAAGTCGTCCACAGTCGTGTTTGTGTTTGTGCTCACGCGGCTACGAAGCTCTACTGGACCACTGATATCCAAGAATGGTGGGATGTAGGTGTTTGGCGGGTGCGTACCGCCGTATCCCCAACCAGAGTAGTAGTCGGCGACTATGAGCGGCGTAATCTCGACATCTTGGATCTTCCACACGCCAGCTTCTTTCACAAGCCGGTTGCGAAACACATTGAACTCCCAGGATGCGTCGCGAGTGTTTGCGTCACCGAGCATTGCGATCTCAATCCCACGAGCAAAAGCTTCCTTTCCATTCGCGTTTACCTCGACGATCATATCGAAGATCGGATGGTCGTTATTGATACCCTGCGTCAGTCCTTCTGGGCCCATACGCTCCAGGACAATCCTTAGCCCCTCTTTTCCAGTGACTCTCGTGCCATTGCTAACTTTGACAGTGGTATTAACTGTGTGCAGATCCACGACATCCGTCCACATCCTTCGGTCCACATAATATCCATGCGCGTGCATCAAATTCCGTACATTGTCTTCGTCGTTCAATCTTTGGATTCTTGCTTCTAGTTGCTCGATCGTTCCATTGTACAGCTGTGGCGTTCCCTGAGTAGGCGGAATTGGTAATCCAGATCCTCCAGGCGTGAAGTGGTAGGGTATAATTGGTATGCCCTTTCCGTCGACGTTGTACCAACCGTCTTCGTACGTACCCTCATACATTGCATAGTAGTGCAACAGAGATATACACCAACCATTATCCGTCATCACATAATCATTCTCGTATATGCCGCCCTGGATCCGCGTCTTGCCTCTACCATCACCCTGAAATCGCATCCCATTCCATCGAGCTTTCGCAGTTCGGCCATCGGTGCTGAGGGTAACGACGGGATTCTCAACGATGGGAGTGTCCAAGGAGCCGGGATATATGCCGTCCATGTTACCAGCATCGCCTCGTAACCATGACTCGATCGACCTGGAGCCATGGACAGTGATATTGCCCCATACAAGGGTACTATTAACGCAGAATAGGTGGCCAACTTGCTGCCATTGACCGAATTGTGCGAGGTGAGAAACCTGCCGCTGGACGTTTTTAACTTGGCGTATCGACTCGACACGCGCGACGTCACGGGCGAGGCTAGCACTATTCAACGCACCTGCGACAAGACTTTCGCCGAGGACTCCGAGGAAGGATAGCACTGCCAGTAGAAGCATAATCACTGATGGCGGGCGGAGCACCACTCCCTAGGTTGTGTATACCAAACTCTTACTTACGCGTTCATTATATACATCATAGGTCTGTAGAGAACAATATACCACTTTCTTATGCAGGTCCTATCGCTATCTGTAGTGTTTAGACGAAATGGGGCAAAGTGCCCGTGCGGCTCATATCCACCTATATTGAGTCGCAGTAGCAAATCGCGTAAAGTCATCTGCCGAGAGTCAAGAACAACGGCTTAGCGGAAGTGCAATACAGGAGGCACCGCTAAAGCACTTGGCTAATTCTTACGGATCTCTCGTGCAGCGTTTGTTTTGAACATAATAATGGTAGACACGTGCGAAAATCTACTGGCGAAGCATGTGAGGAATTTCAAAGCGCCTACGCCTTAGCTGAGCTATCGCGGGTTCTGTGAAGGTACTTTGAGTGCGGTGGCGAAGCATGGTTAGGGCAGCGGGTATTAAGATTAGTATCTTTGCTAATAGCTATTGTTATGAATACAGCCATTCTCCCTTGATTGCACAATTTAGCCCTCATATTAATTCGCAACGTAGCCCAGTTAAACATTTCCAATCACAAACAAATCAGGTAATCCACTTCCACCCGGTGAGAACGAAAGAAACAGTTGAAGGGGTGTCATGAAATTGCGATACTTTCGTATACAAGAGGTAAAGATTGTGCTTCACATGCTGTGTCCCCTAGTCTTTCCTTGTAGTGACACCTTTGCCGCTTACACTTGGCCACGTCGAACCCAGTTGATGAGTGCATAAATGCCACTCGCTAGACCCGACCCCAACAGAGGTCCGATCCAGTAGATCCAGTGATAGTGAGTAAATTGTGTGACAACCGCGGGACCAAAACTTCGCGCTGGGTTCAAGCTTCCGCCGGTAAAGAATACACTGCATATCTGTGCGATGAATAGCGACAACCCAATATACATTGGCTTAGATGGCCCAGCGTCCAGCATGAGAATGGTCAGGATCAATTGGGTGGTGACGAAGGCTTCCAAGAAGAGACCCTGGGCGATTGAGATGGACGGATCTAGCTTGGTAGCGATAATGAGAGGTCCAGGTAACAGACCGGAGACGAAGCCTGCTGCTGCTATTCCCGCGATGAGTTGCGCAATGATTGTTTGGACCGCACGGTGCCAGTGGATCTTTCTGGTGAGCCAGAGGGCTGCGGTGACCTTAATCCCAAGTTAACATCAGTTACAATCATCGTCTAGTGGGCTGAAGAACTAATAGCAGGCAACTTGCGGATGAGGCTCAAAAGCTGGTGTTCTAGGAGCACGAGTAGTGTGGTAAACTTACTGCAGGGTTGAACTTCCCACCGCTGAGCTCTGCGAAGATAGCAACATTGATCGCGAGTGACACACCAAAAGCGAAAGCAATATAGAGCAGTTTGCTGACGTCAGGCACCGCATTAGCAGTCGTTGTCAGTTGCTGTGGACTGGCGGCATTGAGGGCAATTTGCGTGCCAGAGAAAGCAAGCGAAAGAAACATGAATGTTCCAATCAACTCTCCAAGAAAGGCCACAATCTCTGTGCGCAAAGTGTGATGACGGCTTCGATGCTCTTCCGGATCTGCAGTAGAAGACTCGTGCAAGGGTAAGCCAAGCTCAGGTGCTTTATCGTTCATGTTCTTGTCGGACATTTCAGTATGAGTTCCTGCTAATAGTGCTAAAAAGAGAGTAGTTTCAAGGTAACAGGAGACAAGGTGTGTGAGAGATTGGTGAGTTACATTCCAGAAAACTTGGGAGAATATATATTTAGTAGAAGCCAACAATCCTGTCACTCATATGTGAGGTTGGGCATTGTTGGTATGCCGTACTACCAAATCAGAAGATCGGTATGCAGCATGAAAAAATCACGCCCCCACTCTCAGGCCTCAATCATGTCTATTCAGCAGCATAAACCACTTATTAGAACATATACATGCACCTTTCCGAACTCAGGAGCGCTGTCATGGTGTTGGGATATGTGATCCGACGGGTGTGTTGTGAAAGACTGAAGTCAGGAGGTTAGGATTGGGCAGACTTGGGGGGACAGAATGTCACATCACTTTCTGATCGGTATCCTATCACAAATGCCAATGTATGAGCAAGTTGTTCCCCTCAATCACCATCACGGATACGCACTTCAACTGTCCGACCGTCAACGAGTTTCGTACCGGCATGGAAAATAGTTACCATAATTTGCGAGGTGGCCCTTCTCTTGTGACCTAGAATAGAGGTGAGAAAATAGTAGCAGCATCAGTAGTTAATCAAGACCGAAGATTGGTAGACGCACATCAAGCATTAAAGTTTGAAAGATGTGCACCCATAATTCTCGTCTCGACAGGTCGTACCGAAATGTCAGTCGCTGCAAGTCGCCCTGTTTGCACGTGCACAACCTTGAAGTTGACAGGTCATACCGCGCTGCATGTCACCCTATTTACACATGCTCAACCTCGAAGTTGACAGGTCGCACCGTAATGTCAATCGCTGCAAGTCACCATAGTTGTACGTGTCCAACCTCGAGGTCGCTACTTTGGAGAAAATTTTAGCCAATCGTGATGCGATGGCTGCCAACACGATAACTGCCATTCAAGAGGCCGATTTCGGGCGTACGAGCTTGCATATGCTGGTGTAGTACGCTGATGTGACTCGAGTATTCGTGTCGAACTTTCTCCTAGAGAGACAAGAGCACGAGCGCTTTCGTGTAACCCGGAGAACTTTATTGAGCACCCCTCTAAGGCCGCCAAGGGGTTCTTAAGCCTATCATCTCGTCTCTCTTCATTATCTACTACCTCTCTCGATGTAGCGTATTCTACAACTAACTTCTTGCTGCCAAATCAACAGAACGAGAGAACATCTTTTAAATTTTGACAGCGATCTATTCAGCGTAATCGAGCTTTATTACTTTGCATATGCAAAATTGTGGTGTTCTGAGTCGTGGGAGTTGGTGACTTACAGCGTTGGTAGCTATCAGCTTATGGGTGTGGTGAGTAACGTCTCCCGTGTAACCCCCCACTCTATCTGACGTATAGGACAGTGATTCCGATTCCATGGAAATACTGCGTACAGTCTCGGGTGCGGAGGTGATGGGTGGAACGGGCATAGGCCCGAAAGGATGGCTCGTGCTCACCTGCAATGTTACTCAGCGAACATGCCACCCATCCGCCATGAACATGCGACACCTTTTTTTCGCACTCAGCCTACCATCATACTGCTTGTACCGCAATGTGTTTGAGGAACATATGTTTTTTATCGGGCTAGGATGTATGACACTTACTCACTGTTTACTCAACAGACATTGGCGCGTCAACCGCCAAACGCGAAGTAGACCTTGATGAATGAAGCCCCGCTTCTGGTTCTTAAAAGTTAGGTATTGAAGATATCTAGACTCTGCCTGACTTCAATGAAAGGTAAGTAACACCTTCACAATTCATTGCTGCCCTCTTGCGCACAAATATCTATGACGTCATATTTCTGAATCTTGGTGTGCGATGATCACTTCAAATTTTCTGAAGTGCCTGTATTAACATGGGAGCCTCCCCTTAAGCACCCCTCAAAACCATAGTACCATTAATCTCGTCTGAGGTCGAGGTGTACTCTGATCATATCCCGTCGGTCTATCTGACACCCAAATCTCATTTCATAAATCGTTACGCAATCGAGAAATCAAATCATCGCAATCTGCCGGAGTTATATAAATCTAAAATTAGTCAAGATACTCTCTAGGCTACAAGGATCTTGCACGTAAGTTCCACCTCCCGTTGTGCGCATCCGAGATCAAGATGGAAAGTCTTTGTTCATAAAGGAGCAATAAGCGGACATAGCGCTGTAGCTCTAGAAAAGCGGGTCTCGAATCCATTTTCACTAAAATCTTCACAGAATTTGTCATTCTTTTGATCTGCCCGCGCACAAGAAGTCATACAGCAACGTCAAAGCCAACACATGATTCCCATAAAGATACTATAGGAATCTAAAATACAAACTATCGGACTTTACGAATTATGGATGGAGTCAGCATGGCCGTTCCGCTGTCAGTGAGCGCCACGTTGAATTAAGCGATGCTAGCGTCCATCTTCGCCTCCCAGTTGGGACCATCCTCGGTCAGAAATGATCGGATGCCACTCTCCCGTCCCAGGAGAGGCCTAGCTGCCGATTCATCTTGGGCCAGATCCAAGATATTCAGGATTATGTACGGAAAAGATCAGCCACATACGAAATCACACGTGGGCCTCTAACCGCAAGGCAAAGTCGTGGAAATTGTCAAAAGATATACAGCTGTTGTGATTGGGCAGCTGGCTCTGTCATAATCTAGCATGCCAGACATCTACGAACAGACCGCCACTACTGAAGCGTGTTTTGACAGACGAAACAATGACGATTGAGACGGGAAGCACACAGCTTCACGCACTAAGACAGTATATATCGGTCAACGGCCGAACCATGGAAGTTTCTGCAGCTCAACTCATCTTTCAATAACTCACTCTCCCCAACATGCGAGCTTCACTTCTCTTGACCACGCTTGTGGTCCCCACCGCGCTCGCCTTCCCCTGGCTGAAGCCCGAAGGACTCGAAGCGCTCCTGAACCATCCGGAAGCGCAAGCTGAGATCCGTCGTCGCCTCCAGGAGCGCGACGTCGCGCGAGAGGAGCCACGACAGCTCGGGACTGGCTTAGTCCCGGGAGTTATCGATCTTCTGGGTGGCACTGTGAAGGCACTCCTGGATCCTGTATTAGGTCTTATTCCTACAAAAGACTCAGTAAACGGACTGAAGAAATTTCCTGAAGGTACATACCATAACTCAAAAGCTTCAATGGTCGTTGCTAATACATCGCAGCGAAGTACCCCTTCAAAGCTCCAGGATCAACTGATCAGCGCGGCCCTTGCCCTGGCTTGTAAGTGTCTATGCTCATTGACTGTGAGGCAAATACTGATATTGAACTCCACCATTAGAAATACGCTCGCAAACCATGGCTGTACGTACCTCCCATATTCGCTCCTCAGTCAACATCGATCTAATGTTTATAGATATTCCCCGCAACGGTATCGCTACAGTCGGACAGATCCAAGCTGGAACACAAGCTCTTTTCAACATGGGTGCCGATCTCAGTGCACTCCTTGCCGTCGGCGGTGCGCTCGATGGCGGCGACATTGTTTCCACAAAGATGAGCATCGGCGGCCCCGACAAACGCGTCGGCGTACTCAACGGCGCACTCAACTCCGTCCTGGGCACACCATCTGGCATCGCAGGCCACGGCAAGTTCAACGAAGGCGATGCTTCCGCCACACGTATGGACTTCTACCTTAATGGCGACAACATCTCGTTTCGCCCTGAGCTCTTCAAGCAATTGCACCAGCAAGCCCTTGCAAGAGGTAACGGCACATATAGCGTCGATGCGATCAAGGAACACTTCAAGAATCGTTACGCAGCATCCAAAGCAGCAAACTCACAGTTCTATTTCAACTTGCCCTCCGCCGCCGTCGTTATGGGTGCATACTACTTCATCCCGGGGTTCTTTTCAAACGGCACTATTGGCGCGGGCGGCATTGCGAATGAAGCTTCTGTCACCAGCTTCTATGGTGCAAAGCCCAAGGCTGGCAAGTGGAGCGATCCGAACCTCGAGTACACCCACGTTCCGGAGCGCATTCCTGAGGCAGGCTGGTATCGTCGCGCTACACCAATGACAATCCCCGAGGCCGCTGCCGGCATCCTAGACGTATATCTTTATGCCAAACCCGCGCTCGGGGGTTCAGGCAAGGACCAGTCGTGGGTCGTTGGACCCGTTGATATTCCAAACAATCCACAGGCACTGAGCTGTTTCCTATACAACGCCATCTACGCAAACTTCCCGAGCGAGCTGTTCAACTCAGTGGCCGTGCTAGGAACGGTCGTAAATTTCTTGAGTAGTACTCTGGTGCCAGGGTACAAGGCTTTGGGTTGCCAGGTCAACTTCCCGGATGCCAGCGGCTCAGGTTCACGCTCAAGCCGATATGATCAGTGGGCGAAGACGTATGTTGGCGAGGCAAAGACAAAGGCGGTTGGAAGTGGGTGGTATAAGAAGAATTAAGGTATATACAAGATAGCAGAATATCAACAACGTTATTGAAATTTCTCTCACTTGACTACTTTCTAGTGTAGGTTTGCCAGACCAGCACCGGCTTATTGACGGAGATATGAATCATTGAAGGCGGTAGCCTCGAACGCATCCGGCCCTATGCCTCAGGCGCTAAGCTCATAAGTGTTAAGACGGCTCTCGTGTGCCTTAGCGCTGTCATGGCAGAACCAAGGTGGCTAATGATACGTGATGAACAGCAATTGGAGCTTATAGATCTCTTTACAAACAAAGCCTCGTACCTTATGTGGTTCTCAATTGGAGCAGCCAATGTCCTATATCTAACAACAGGATCGTTGGCTTGGTGAGGTGCTACCACTTCGTTATCCTATTTCGTTGAAACCCCCCAAGGCGTTCTACATTACTTTGAGTCGATACTAGATGTATCTACTCACCCTGTAGTTGAGGCACACCGTCTTATTGAAAGTAGACAACACAGAGCACAAGAACTAAGCTTAGTGTCAATACCTCCTTAGCATGACTAGGATAAACCTATGAGTACCTGATATGGTCGCACAAGGATCTGTGTACCTTACGCTAACTAACACGATAAAGTGAGATCAAGCTTCCCCAAGCTTCCTTTAATTGGCAAAACTCAGCCACGATTTGTTGCTAGGTTCTCGGCTTCATAATGCGGGGTTTTAGCGGAGGACTGGGGTGAATGGCCCGTAAAACTATTGAAAAGGCGCAAGCGAACCATCTTCCACATTGCCACCAATCAGACTATCCACACTCGAGCACGACTTTCAGCCTCGGTATGATGGTATGTCACCGAAGAACCGGCGCATATGCAAGAATCTGAGGAAGAGCTGTTCTGCTGTGGCGTTGCCTCTAGGGTTGCGCCGGTCCGTCGGAGCGTCCTGCGTAGTCAAGCTTTTGAGCCTAGAAAACGCCATCTTGACCTCAGCTCACCACACCTCGATCGTTGTACCCAACGAGAGCTTCGGTTTCATACATGTGAGAAAGCCTTGTATTTCTAAACAGCCACGTAAGTGTACCACACCATGACCCATCGCATCCAGATCTTCTCCACACTGGTTACGCACCCCTTGTCACTTCTCGCCCTAACTAAAAGACCCGAGTGGTCTGATATTCATTGAACCTCAAGTTTGAGCACTGGGTCCTATTCCAGATTGAGCGAGACGCGAGTGCTTCAGAGAAACGGGGCTCCCCGTAGCTTACTCGTGGACAGCAGGCAAGCGCGGTGTTGTTCTCCTTCTGGATCTAGAGTTTTGACGACAGACTGTTAAACGAGCACGCAAGGATGCAATGATATAGACTGATCAAGGTTGTATGGCCGATCGGCCGCAGCGCTGGCTATGGTACAAGTATATATAAGGTTACCATCATGTACTCTTCACCATTCACTCTACAGCCATCTTTGTCTACTTCATACAAACACACACTATACCACTGCTTCTTTTCAGACCAAACCTCCAATCAACCACCTCAACGAAAACATGCGTTTCTCCGCCATTGTCCTCCCAGTCCTTGCTGGCCTCGCTGCCGCCCAAAACTCGTAAGTTCTTCCAGTATGCTCCGCATATAATTCAATTTACTCATCCTCGGCTGCTAGTGCCGCCTCTTCGCGAGCCTCCTCAGCGGCAAGTGCTGCCACCTCTGTCCAGGCCTCTGCATCCGCGCAGGCTTCGTCCGCTGCTGCATCTGCCTCGCGCGGAACTGCGTCAGGTGCTGCTTCAGCTAGCCGCTCCGCTAGTGCCAGTGCCCGTCCTACCAAGTCTGCCGGCACTGCTGAAGCTGTCGGTGTCAAGGGCCTCACGGGTGTTGTGATGGGAATGGTGGGTGCTGCTGCCTGGGCGTTGTAAACATAGATCGGAAATGTATACTGTAGTGTGAGCATGGATGGTTTGGAGATGGTAGACGGAATATGTTGAGCTGAGACGATGAGTGATGGAATATTGTGGACTATACAAAAAGAGAAACTATGATAACCTGAACGTCTGTTTTTGTTGTGACTGTTTCCTGGGTGATAAGTTTGGTGATTGATGAACAGGTAGGCCTGGGCGGCTAAGTCCCATCGTGCACATTACGATATGTTTGAATTTAGGTTCCAATCAGGCGTAAGTGTGTACAACTACAGTGTTGGTGCATGCACATGGAACCGAGTACATTGCACGACCGAGTGTGCCTTGCGAAACGGTAATTTTGTCTCAAGCTTGCTCAACGTTTGATGGCCACGTCAGCTTCATGGCTCTATCTGTAGGGAATTTTATGGAGTGTGCCGGTTTGGGAAATTCAGGGCCGATAGGGTGATTCGATTTGGATCGAGGATTAGTGGGACCTCTCATACGTTAACCGCTTCGGCTTCTTCATCACGCAAGCTTAGAGCCATCACGGCTAGTCCTACATATGTTAGCGGTATCACAGTAGCGGCGTTAGGGTTCGCTGCTTAACTGATGTACATGTTGTTCGTGACTAGTGACTGTTTGGACTACCCGTAGATCGGTAGTCAGCGACTGCAACACAGAAAGTGAGAGCACAGCAAAGAATTCGTTGGAATTGAATCATTACTTCATTTACCACGACAAGCGTCGTGCGAACATCCTAAATACTCTTCTAGTCTAAGCTTACACTATCCATTAAACCTCCCTCACCAGTATTATCACTCGTCTATATGATGGCAATTCTTCTGGTCTGTAGCGCCTGAGCCCTTGGAACAGTGATTTTGAGACCGCCATCCTTGAAGCTAGCGGTCACATTGGCGGCATCGATACGCTGTGGGAATCGGAAGGTGCGCTCAAATGATCCATGGAGGCGTTCTTGCTGTTGCTGGGCTGGTACCTCGGGCTGTGGCTGCTGGGCGACCGCGGTGTGTGTAGCGGCGGGCTCTTTGACAACCTTGTCCTTGCCCTTGGGCCGCGTGGTCTCCGAAGGCTCCGTGGGTTCCGTGGGTTCCGTGGGCTCACTGACAGTAGATGATGTTGAGGTGAGTGATGAGTACTCAGCGCCAAGGTCCTCAAAGTCGTCTTCGACGGTAGCTTGATATGATTTGTGCGACTCGGTGTCACTGTCTGGACCAATAGTGGTGGCCTCAGGCGTGGTGGTAGCCTCTTCCTCGGACTCAGTGAGCGCAACGGGGCCGGCTATGGATGTGCCTTCGTTCTCAGACTGTTGGGTCTTGGGCAATGACTTCTCTGATTGCCACTTGGTATTGCCAGCAACTTTCAGCGTGTGTTCATCCGTGACCTCGATGCTGATGTTCTCCTGATCGAATCCCTGGATTTCTCCGACGATTTGCCATCCCTGCTCATGCTGGCCGACAGCGAATTCGGCGCGCAGAGCACGCTTGCGCTGTTGTCGCTGGCGGTGGGCTTCGCGCTGTGCCTCGACATGGGCCGCAAACTGTGCCTGGCGTTGTGCCTCGCGCCGTGCCTCGCGGTCAATCTCGCTTAGCAGCTCATCGACCTGGTTGAAGAAGTGATTGAATGAAGAATAGGCGGGGCGGCGAGGCTGAGGGCGCGATACGTGGTAGGGATATGTCGGACGCGAATGTGGAGTGCAGAAGCCAAAGGGGCTACACTGCGGTGCCTGTGAGGTGGGCGCGAAGTGGGGAGTGAGGACGAAGGCCATTGCTGGTAATCTGAGCAGTACGAGTAGAGCTTATTGCTTGGCTTGATGGAGAGAGTGATCAAGGAGGTGAGGCTCAAGGATAGCGGTAGATGCGATGTTGATCTTTGAGTTTAATGGTGGGACATGGAGGAGTTGCGAGCCATTCTTTTATAGGCATTGTAAAGATGATCAAGGCAGCCGCAGCTTGCGTGCTCGCTGATGAGAAATGCGGATTCCGTAATAAGGGCAAAGACGTTACTGGAAAGCTGTGGAGAGTTCGCGATGCTTGCTGATGTTTCGCGCTTTGTCAGGAAGACGCGACAAGCTTCACGTAGGTGCTCGAAGCTTCCGCGTTATCTTCCCCCGAAAATGGCTAGCGCGGCTTAGGTAAGGCGGAGGACACTGGCTCAGCCGCTATCTTAGTTTCCTATAGCACTGAACAATCGTGGTGAAGCAATAATTCAACATGAGCTTCTTTTCAGTTTTCCTCTTTATCGATGCTTATAAACTTTAAGACATATATACAGTCGCTGGTAGGCGAATAGGTTATAGTACGAATACATTGGGACACCCTGTCGTCAAAAGCCAGCAGTTAATGCTGCAACTTTACCACCTTAAGCCCTGTACCTACTTGGCACTGCGGCCTTGAGCAACTTCGGGAAGTTCGGCGTACCCAACCCAGAGACGGGGTCCCATCCTGCGGTGGCATTCCAGGAGGCATAGGGGATGACAGGACTGCCGTTCGGTGCACCATGGAACCTCGCGTGGCCATCACACCCCGTGCTTCCGCCAAGAATAATATCATTCAGCGCATCGGGGTTGGAGTACAAAAGCGGGTTCAAGAAGCCGAGAGATGGCTTCTTCGTCCTCAGTCTCGCGTCGTTGAGAAGAGCGACTATGCCGCCAAACGCAGGCGCTGAGCACGAGGTACCTTGGTATCCCCTCAATACGCCCGAATTGTAGACTCTGTACCCAAACCCTTGGGCCGACACATCAGGGAAACCACGACCATGACGATTGAAGTATGGCTTGTTCGCCTCGCCGAGGTGATGGAAGTACCCCTTGACAGCGTCGTCCTGGTACGAGGGACGCTTCCAGTAGTCTGAGAAGCCACCAGACGAGAAAAACGTAGCAGTCTCGTTGAGATAGCGTGTAGATCCAACGGAAGTCACCCAAGGGCAGGCAGCAGGGTATTGAGGCTGGAACTTGGTCGTGTTTTTGCCGTCGTTGCTGAGGCATGCCGAACCTGTGCCCGAGTCGCCGGAGGAGAAGATGACGCTGACTCCACGGGAGCCGAGTTGAGCGAAAAGGTTGCATACGGAGAGCGCGTATGACTTGGGGACACTCTGCTCATTTTCACCATACGACGTCGAGATGACCTGTGGAAGATCCTTCTGGGATAGCTTGAGCACGCTCTGGAGAAACTCGAGATAAGGCTCGTTGGCGCTGTCAGCCTCGTCTGGCTGGTCAAGATCGGCGACCCATGGGGCACGACCACCGGTGCTGAACTCCGTGATGGGCAAGGGTTGAGCGAGACCTAGCATGTATTGCAAATCTAGGTTGGCCTCGCCACTATCTGCAGTAGAGTTCTGGTCGTTGAGGCCACCGTGGAACTGAACAACAGAAAAGTTCTGGCCGACTGCCTCCGGAAGAATATTCTTCTCGAAAAGGGCGAGGTCGCTGTAGCGAGCGTACTCCTCTAGATAACTAGCGAAGGCAGCCTTGCTGCCACTCTTGGGATCGGGCTTGTAGTCAATCTTGTAAAGAGCCTTCAAGCACTGGGGAGTGATGGTCTTATCGCAGTCGACAGTGTTATTGGCAACAGCAGCGAGCTGGAGGCCGAAGATCTCGCGCTCGGTCTCGTGGTTCGCCCGAATGGCGGCGAAACGAGTGGTCGGCTGTACCAAATTGATGTGCTGAGCAACATCCTCAGGAACCGAGTACTCGAGTGTGCGGAGAACTTTGCGTGGCTTCGCCTCTTCGCTAATGTACCAAGCAAACTTGGTGTCGAGCATCTTGTTTGCGACACCGACGGTGGTTTTGATTGTCACCCAGTCGGCATCCTGCTCGACAGTCTCGATGCCGGCAGCCTTTAGCCAGGCGGACACGGAAGTGGAAGTCTCCTCACTGGGGAGAATCATCCTCTTCATCTCTTCGTGGGATTGAAAATGTTGTCCATACTTGGCGTTGCTGGGCGTGGACATGTCCATAACAGCCTGCTCGAAACCCTGAGCATTGCTCTGCTGAAGAGCGATTTGGAGCTTCAGCGTTTGCTCATTCGCTGCGGGACCCTGGAGCTTCCATCCTGCATAGGTTATTAGCATGACGAATGGGTAGAGTGGATCATGGGAAGTCACCCTCTGGAATGCCGAAGAGCTTCTCGAATGGCTCGGCAAGACCTTGCGCAGCCAACAGAGAGCCGACAACGAGTGTCAGAAGAGGTGCCATATCTACCGCCGCTATGAATATAACTCGATAGAGAGGAATGACAAGTAGGAATGTCCTCTCGGTAGGGCACCAAGATGGGATTTAAATATCGCAGGCACGGCAAGCTGTTCCTCGGTACAACTCCCGGCTGCCTCTTTCAGTTAAGCAGGGATTCCGCGATTCCCGTTAAATATGCATCGAACCATCCAAGCAAAGACTAGGAGAGACAAGCCTTGATATCCGGTTCTTGTCGAGGCTTGAACACGATGTTGCTCCTGCCTGTTTGGGCCTTAGCCTGCGATAACAAGGCTTTCATCTCCACTTCTAATGCAAGCTTGGTAGTGATAGGTCTGAGCGACGGCACCATTGCGTAGCAGGGATTCGCGCTATGTTTTTGCTGGCTGCTCCGAAGTTCGTTGACCAACCGCAACCTCTTTTACACGGGCGGCTAAAGGTAGGTCGGCATGAACATGCATGAGCACTTTCGAGAAATACGATTTACATAGTACAGCGTAGCAGCCTCGATTGACCCCCTCGCCAACACGGGCCATCGCACAGCCTCTGCAGACGATGTTCCGAGGGTTCATGTGTCCAGGACGGCTATCTTATCATCAGCCACAAGCGTATCTTTCTGGACACACTCACTCCACACCAAAGGCCCCAACGCTACCTATTCCGCAAAGTAAGTCAGGAAATTGAACGACGTATATGTAATTGCCGTAAGTACACGCGTCGGCCTTTGGTCTTCCCACATTTTGTCCCCATTTTTGTCATTAGGGCCCTTCTCCTCGGTCTGCGGCTCGGAATTCTCGTAGGCCGGCTGATACTAGGAGATTTGAGTACATCTGCACAAATTCAATTAACAATACCTATTCTTCTTTAGAGCGTACAACTTCGTAGACGTTCACTAGTGCTCGATGAAGTAGGGTCTTTGCGTGAAGTTTTGCCCATAGATCTATAGTATCCTCAAAGTACAGGTATCTTTCGCACCATCCTTGCCGCCACGCTCAAAGAATGGCACCTCGAGATGGTAGTCACCAAACATTACATAAACCAATACCTGCGACGGTGGGGCAAATGCTGGCCGGAACATGTATTGGATTGCGAAATCTCGACATACTTTAGAGTAGAGGCTATAATCTCATGGTGAAGGGGAAACCAGAGTTGATGAAGTGGGAACGCAGAGGGACCGCTGTTTACATTGCAGCGTTCTGAAGAATCACTATTCCGTAAGATCTTTCGTGGACGTCGTACCTATAACTCCAAGCCCCTAGAACAGCCAGGACTTCCGGCCCTACAAAGAAAAAACCTAATAAGCTCCTGTCTTCAGACTGGAGTTACAGGATGCGAAGCGGGCTGAATCCCCCTTAGGAGGTCGAAATAGGGTGGGAGAAATGACAAAAAACGATAGATGCCGCTGTCATGCTTCCGATCCACGACAGTCATGCTCGGGCAAGTTATGTTGAAAACAGGCCCAAAGTTTCATAGGTCATGTAAGATCGATCGTCTCAATTCCGTGCTTATTGAAGGTAGTTCGAGGTTGTCGACGCTTTGACGAGACGAACGAAATCTCATCATCATCCTCAGCAGCTCGTTTGATCGTCCCAAGCTTATCAGCGTTGCTTTTTTGCTGTACAACTTCTTCTTTGATACCTCGTGTAACCTCATCTCGCTCACTCTTAGGTCGAAGAAGTTCGCGCGACTCGTCTAGCGTGAGAGTGCTGGTATCCCTATCCTCTAATGGAACTGGACTAGGACTTCGGGGAATGACTAGTAGGGATCGCAAAGCCTCTATGAATAGCGAGTATGTCAGTCTAGTTCTTTGAAAAACGGACCGATTACAAACCTTTTGAGCGATACTTGAAGGTAACCACAGCGAAAGGCTGCTTGTTCGGATCAACGTATTTGAAATCTGTGTGGTGCCCTGAGGCTGAGTAGGGCATGTTCACCGGTGCACTCAACCTAAACAAATGTCAGTTGTTGCCATGAGAGTGTCTCTGGAGACTGACCCCGCCTGATGTGAGAGAGCTCTCCCTTTCAACGCTTTTTCTGGAATTACCCCTGCATCAAGGATTTTCTTCTTAGAAGATTCGCTACCAGACGGCTTGCTGAGAACATCTTTGAGACCGTCGATGTAGTACGCCTTGAGGGTGATTTCGCCCATCGTCTTCAAATCATCTATGAGTCGGTCACCCACAGGCTGATCGTGGGAATCATCTAGAAGCTCCGTAAGCAAGATGGCAAATAAAAGCAGAGACAACATACCAATTGATAAATCAGAGAAACAGAATTTCTGTATCATGCATCGGCCCTCCGCGACTATTGAGGTAACACTACCGATTGTTCTTTTCACCCTAGATTTCGCTTTGGCATATTGGGCTTCCGAGACGATACGCGAGCACACAGATCTACCATCTAGGTACAACCTGAATTTCACAGAATGGACTGGAAATGGCTTTTGCAGCTCAATTTGGATTGCGAACTCGGCGCCTGATTGAGCTTCGATATATTTCGTAATAGTCTGGGGGCTGGTCTCTTCCTCATCATTGTCGTACTCAGGCAGTAGCTTTCCCTGGCTAGTAACACTGACATTGATTCCGGGATGCGATTTGGTAATGGCCATGGTGCCTCTCCGTGTAGAGAAGCAAGGTAGTCGGAAGATAGTCGCAAGGCAGTCACAAGGTATTTGTATGGAGGCACAAATGAGAGAACGATGGCTGAAGCCGCCGCTAGAAGTAGAAAGGGTTGAACGACCGAAAGTGAAATGAATCAGAGTACACTGATGAAAGAGATTGTATGCGCGTGAAAGTGAAGTGAGTGACCAGCGATGGTGGCTGAGCTCCTTGTCGCTGCCTGATCGCGCCATCACGTGCAACTACCACCTGCCGACTACAACATTGGAAAGAAACCTTGGCAGTACAATACCTATCACTATTCATCAGCACTGGCAAAGTATGAGACCGCGGGTCCCAGAGACTATATTATGTTACACACAAAAGAGAGTCTATTCCTATTCCTATTCCTAATCTTTGTTCGCAGTAATGGATGCTGCGGACCTACGATCGCGAAGCACGTGTTGTCTTTCACAAACGCTGACTACTACACTGGTATCCGCAAAAGAGTATAATCCGCCTTAAGGTACCTTGATAAGTCCATGCTGTGATAATGAGAAAAAGAAATCACACCGAAAAGCGAAACAAGCTCCGAAATCAAGACAAAGTTCCCAAAAAGAAGGTCCCCGGTACGCCAATTGCATCGAAGCTCTTCCGCCAGATGCTGTTGTTTGTGAACGTGGGTTCAAAGGGAAACGCTATGCAGTCGTTATCGTGATAATAAGCCTTCGCGCAATGGTATTGCCCGTAATTGTACTCGGGCCGTAAGAGGTGAAGTCCTCTGGAAAAGTAAGGGGGCGAGCAGGATGCTGAGATGCTGAGCGGTGTCGATGATAATAAACTCAGTGTGGAGCATGTTTAGGTACTGTAAAAGCAGTCATCCATCTTGGTTGAAGGCCCTGTAGTTTCTTCATGGCGGTAGGTGAGTGAATGCGTCAACTACCATGCACCGATGCGGGCGGGCGACCCGATACCGTAGTTTCCACTCAACAACTGTTGTCGAACAGATAGGGCATCAGCAGGCCCGCTCGCGACAGGGTTCGGCGCATCAGCTCCCATCCATCCCAGGCCTCCACGCAACTCGTTGACAGCCTCCTGCATCTTGCCACCCGAGACTTCATTGTGCTTGGCGATCTTCTGATCCCATCCACCGTATTGTAGTTGTATCCCGCCCGCCTTCTTGGCAGCTTCCCGGATGACTATCGCCCAAGCCTTTGCCATCTCTTCATAGGCCTCCTGTTTGTGCCGGTTGTGCTGGTACGTGTCCCAGTCAGGCAGGCGATGGATGATGTCGGTTACACCGTCGAGAAAGGCGAGTGATGTGGCGGGCTGTTGTTCGTTTGGTGGAAGGAAGTGAGGGGTAAAGTCTTTCAGGGCATCTAGTAGTTCGATGAGCTGTTGCCGAACTCGATTGTAGGCATAATCTGATGACGAGCGGCCGCCGAAGGGGAACGCGGCCTGGAACGAGGTTTCATATTTTGACAGTACTTCCAAGGTTGATTGTATGCTTGGCCGCGGCGCTGTAGAAACGACCTCGTGGCCGATGTCTGGATGGCGCTGGCAGATGGACTGCAGCAGGTTCCGCATCTCGTCGGCGTTGAGCGTCTCGAGGAGACGTGGCAATGGCAGCGGTCGTCCAGACATGTTGGTCCGCATACGCTTCATCCCTCGTGGCGGCGGTCGTGCCGACATGGCGGGCGAGGCGGAGGGAGAGGCAGACATGCGTTCGTCGTCTCCGCCGCTGCTGCCATCGTCGTCGGCTTTCCGCTTGCGAGTAGACATGGCTGAAGAAGACGAGAGAACTGCGCAGGGGTGATTGTTAGTGCCTGAAGAGTAGTTGATGTGTTTCTGGTGGCAGGTCGACATACTGCGATGTGGTGAGAGGCGGTTGTGGTTCAAAAGGTGAGGGGGGGTGAAGTTCTGGTTAACGACATTCATGCTGGCGGTAGCCCGCAAACGTAGTCAGGACGCAGATGTGCGTTGGTGACAGGGTGGCCCAGGAAGCCCAGAAGGTGGAATGAAGGAAGCCTCTTTGCTGCGTCGATGAGCCGTGTTGGAGTCTTGTGTTGTTGCTGGAGTGGAGACAGCAGAGCCCTTCGAGAGGCCCCAGGGCATCCATGCTAGCCGACGCGGCTGCGGGTGTGCCCTGTGCCCTGTGCACTCGTCTCTCATCACGTTACATGCGACAACCTTTGTATTCACTTGCTTGTCACCAACAATACTTTTAGGCACATGTTGCATGCATGGGTCAGATTACAACTAGAAGCTACCTTCAAACTATACATGCAGCCTTTTGTGACTGACATGCGCACTCCAAGTCTACTTTGCTCTTCACTAGGGGTATTACATTCGCCGCATGCACTTTCACGTCAACTAAAACCAAGACTGTTGCTGGGGGATCGTCTGCCGTAGAAGCCCACGGCATCAGATCTAGTCAATTCTATCCAGCACACATTCACACTGTGACTCCTTTTGGGCTTCACAACGCCAATGCCACCTTGCGCGCCCACTTGAGACGCTGGCTGGTCTAGTGACGCATCCTTTGAATCGCATAAAGGGGAACGCCGTGCAAGTGCCGCACTTACTACTACATGAGCGCCGAAAATGCTAGTCCATAGACTCCACTAATACAATGATATACACAATGCCAACGTGCTGCTAAATCAGAGATACAGGGACTGGGCTGCAACCAGATCTCTCCTGACCAGGTCCAGCGCTGCAGTAAACTTCTGCTCGAGCTCCTCGCTGCCCATGACTTTGGAGGCTTGAGCCATTTGCCGCAGCAACTCCTCTAGCCGTCTGAACAGCCGAATCAGACTGCCTTCATAGACGTCGGTCATTTTGCTGGGAAGAGTTAACTACCGTCATGCCCAGAATACAAGTTGAAGAACATACCATATTTCGGCAAATGAGGCGCCCTTGGACCAGGCGAAGACGACCTCCATAAGCTCATACTTGAACGACTTGAGGTACTCCTCTTCATTGACTGTCAGCTTGCTCTCCTGGGAAATCTTCGCGATGACCCTGGCTTGTTGCTGAATCTGGCGATACGGCTTGGCAAGCTCTTCCTTGAGCGCTGGGACCTCGGTGCTCTTCTCCTCGAAGATGAAGCAGCTTAAGCAAGCCGCGCATTGCTCTGGTGTCAGCTCGTTGAAGAACCGATTGAAAAGCAGCTCGCTGAGCACTAGCTCATCACCCGTGCTGATTTCACAAGCGACGCGGGCTTTGAGTTGAACAACATCAGCATCATCAATGAAGCCTATTCGTCGCAAAACGCGCTTCCTACTCTTCAGCTCGTCTAGCTGAATAACGGACAGGGCACTCGCGATCTCTTTTTTGATGTTCTTGATTTTGTCGCCAGTGGCAATCTTGTGCGCATATTGACTGTACAGCTCCGGTAGCCTGGGCGAGTTGTGAAGAGGATTCGAGAGAAGACGTGACTCCAGTACTTCGATTTTCTACAAACGTTAGGGGAGTGTTCAAAAGGAGAGAGAGAAAGGTTCTTACCCGGAGCAGCCGCTTGAAGGCTTCATCCTTGATCTGCATGTTCTCAATGGGGTCCAGAATGGCGATGCCGTCCGGGAAGCGTTTCTTAACCTCGTCTAGCGCCTTGCGAACGGCGTTCTTCTGGTCGGTCGACTTCAGTTCGTTCGGCAGAAAAACGCGGAGATGACCAATAGACTCGATGCAGTTCAGTACTACTGGTACAACCTCCATCTTGCCCTTATCTTCTGGACCAGGTGGGCGAACGCCTGGCGGCAGGCCATCGCTCACTTGAGGCATAAACTTGGTATCGCTTGCAACCAAGAGCAAGATGTCCACAATGTAGGATTGCTGAGGCGGCAAGATCTCGCCCTTGTTCGCTTTGCGTGGTGTGAAAGCTACAACTGCGCCCCAGCCGAAGTCGTGCTGCTTGAACTTGACCTTGACTAAACGACCGGCCTGAAGAAATTGCAGGCAGTAATTAGGATGCATGATCACGTCGCGCATGTCGTTGGTATGTGTATCCAGCTGCTGTCGGAGGTTGTAGTAGTCTTTCACAGTCGCTTCGTCTGTGATCATCATGGATGCTTTTTCGTGCTCTAGTTCTTGCAGCTCTGTTGTCATGGTTAGCACGGTTTGCCAATTATTGCAAGAAGTGACTTACTCTTCTCCAAATTTGAGACGCCGGCCGTGTTTTGGAACTGGAAAAAGCACCTCTCCAGCATGAATTCTGGAGAGATGCCTTCAACTCGCATCAAGTTGAGAACCATGTTGTACCCGAGATGAAAAGCGGAGTTCAGGTTGTCTTGCTGCCCTCGCACAATCTCCTTCGCAACAGCAGGCTCCATTTGCTGGTCAATCATCATGATGACGATGCCGCGATCATCGAGGCCACGGCGACCAGCTCGACCAGACATCTGGATGAACTCAGAGGGAGTGACCCATCGCTGTGATACGCCGTCAAATTTGCGCACGCTGGTAAAAACGACGGTCTTTGCCGGCATGTTCAGTCCAATAGAGAAGGTCTCGGTCGCAAAAAGCACCTTGATCAGACCTTCTTGGAACAGAATCTCGATAGTCTCTTTCAGAATAGGTAACAAGCCGGAGTGGTGAACACCGATACCTCTCCGAAGTAGAGGAAGAATGTGCTGAATCTGGGGGAGTTGGCGGTCCTCTTCTGACAGCATCTCAATGGCGCTGCTGAAGACTTTGGACACCATGGCTTTTTCAGAGTCATCGTTGAACGCGAGCTGGCTCATGGCAAGCGCATAGTTTTCACATTCCCGCTTGCTGAAACTGAACACGATGACCGGGTTGTAGCTCTTCATCATAATCATCTTTACGATCTTGTAGATGTCCGAATTGTCCTTGTTGCCGCCCTTGTTGGTCTTCTTGTCCTTGCCCTTGCCCTTGCGCTTTGCTAGGAAGTCTGCCGGATCGCTCCCAGCCTTGTCCGCGATTGACGACATGGCCTTTTGGAAATTCTCCTCTCGGAAGACGCCCTTCTCGTCAACAACCAAGTGAATACCGTCTGCGCCTTGCGGGAAGAAGTAGTGTTGCAACGGGGTCGGGCGGAAGTCGGTGTAGACAACGTGACATGGTTGGCCGTGTGTTTTGGTGATCCACTCTGCAAACTGCATGGCGTTTGGGATGGTGGCCGAGAGGAAGACGTAACGGACCTTGTCCGGCAGCAGAATGATCGTCTCCTCCCAAACGACACCTCTGGACTTGTCGCGCAGATAATGTACCTCATCGAAGACTACCCAGGCTACTTCGCGCATGATCTCGGAACCTCTGTACAGCATGGAGCGCAGAATCTGCCAACGTTAGTACTTGGTGGTAAGGAGCAGCAGGCATACAAACCTCGGTGGTCATGACTAGGCAGGTGGCAGTAGGGTTGATTGTGACATCACCAGTCATCAGGCCAACGTCGCCAAACTCGGCCATGAACTCGCGATACTTTTGGTTGCTCAGCGCCTTGATGGGACTGGTGTAGATGACTCGCTGGTTGTTCTTTAGGCATTGCGCAATGGCGTACTCTGCCACGACGGTCTTTCCAGCCGATGTATGCGCGGAGACCAGAACGCTCTCGTTCCGCTGTATCGACGCGATGGAGACCTGTTGAAAGGGATCGAGGGTAAAGGGCCATGTTTTCGCAGGCTCTGCGGGCGCCTTGTGCTCGGATATGGGGACGTAGTCGTAGTCGGGCGGGAGTGCAACCTGATGGCGGACCTGATGTGAGAGCACCACAGCCTGGCCTTCCTGGGGCTGCGCTTGCAGTCCGGCAGCTGCGGCGATTTCGCGGGACTGCTCCGTCTCAAAGTCATCTGTCACAATGGGCTCGGGCTCTGCATCGCGCTTTTGTCTCTTGAGGAGCTGTTGTGCGCCGTTTGGGTTCTCGTTCTCGTTCTCTTGGTCGCTTGCGACGTCGTCGGCAGTCTCGGCGGGCGCATCTGCCATGGGCACATCTCCTATGGGTGTCTTTACGTCGCCATTTGCCTGGCGCTTCTTGCTCTTTTTGGGTGCTGCATCCTTTGCTGAACCGCCTTCGAAGACGTCGAACAGGTCGTCCATGGCGGGTGTATAGATACAGTGTGCGCGTTTGTTTCCAGGAGCTCTGGATCCTTTGGTGGCGGGGAACACACTGGCGCTGTTGGCCTGACAATTGTGCGTCGCAAAGGTGCGACCAAAGACAGACTGTGCTTGGTAGCAGACGCGGCCGCTGGTTCACAAAAAAAGGTTCGTGCGCACAGGCCAGCTGCAGCCAAGGCAGGGCCGCCGGCGTGGAAGCTGCGCTTGATTGACCCCAACATCGAACCACCACGACTATCAGCCCTTCCGCACCCTCTCCACTCTGCAATACCGCCAAAGTACGTTCCGTAACCACATCAATTCTACTCTCCGCTGACGTCTGTAGATGCTCGCCCGTGCTACCTTCCGCGCCGCCTCGGCCCCATCGCTCGTCGCTCGCCGCGGCTTCCAGTCGACTCGCTCCCAGCTTTCCAGCCCATACCACTACCCCGAGGGCCCGCGCAGCAACTTGCCCTTCGACCCGCTGAAGAGGGGCTTTGCTTTCAAGTACTGGGGCTTCATGGGTAAGCTTCTGAGGGGTCCAATGGCAAGGCAAAGCTAACCAGGACAGCCACCGGATTCTCCCTCCCCTTCCTCCTTGCTGGTAAGGCCCCGATTTCGATTCCGTCCTTCTGGTATATATTTCTAACCATTGTGTTATCACAGTCTGGCAGACAAAGAAGAACAAGTAGATATGAGGAGACAGAGAGTGGGCTTTGGCTTCGTGCACTGGGGAGACACGGAACTTGTAGAATAAGCGGAGGTCCCGTAAACGACTGTACTAGACATCATATCATTCAATTTCATTGTCCGTGGTCATTCACTGCTCAATTCCTGCTCATTGAGCTCGTCCATCTCGAGGTGCGGTTTGCCGATAGTGTTCACCGTACTACCTGGTGATTACGCGCACAATATCTTATACATTGACTGTGTAGAGAGCAGCCTAATGAAATACAGCTACTTTCTTGGCTAACCTGTAATTACTTGCTGGGTGCCATGCATGCACGTCATATGAACGCTTAACGTGAAGCCTCTTGGACATGCATGCAACCTTCGGCAAAAGCTCGGCGGACGTAGCTTCACCAAAATTTCACAACCACTCATAGCACCCGATTACTACGAATATCAATCACACATCCACTCACATACGAAACTCATGGTTATCTGGCGATGCGAAATCTCAAGATCGTGGGGAGATCGCTCCTGCGATTTTCCGGGGAGGATCCGTTGCCACTTACTGCTACAGCCTGGGACGCCGCTTCAGATACGTTAATATGCGCGTTTGGGCCTGCAGAATCACGTGCAGCCATCGAGCTCAAAAGACTGCACTATGCCCGCAGCGATGCAGAGGCGCGACTCGAGAGCATTGCTTCGTGGGATGCACCGTGCCCGCTACCCTCGCTAAGCCATGACTCAATCTTGAGCCTACACTATTTTTCAGATACATCGACATCATGTTTGATCTTGGCAGGGGGAGACATCGTACTGGTCCGAGAAAACCCTCTGCCGACGGAAGAGCTGGTCGAGATTGTGGGGTCCGTAGATGCTGGAATTTCGGCAGCCGCTTGGTCGCCAGACGAGGAACTACTCGCCATCACCACACAGGCGGACACCCTTTTACTGATGAGCCGTGATATCGAAAATGTGGCAAACATCACTCTCACTGCCGAAGATGTCAACGTCTCAAACCATGTTTCTGTGGGCTGGGGAAAGAAAGAAACGCAGTTCAAGGGGAAAAGAGCCAGGGCGTTGCAGGATCCGACTGTGCCGGAGACAATAGACGAAGGAGCAATGAGCTTGTTCGACGATCGTTCTGTTACCATCAGCTGGCGAGGCGACGGAGCGTACTTTGCGGTCAACAAAGTAGAAGAAGAACGCCGCCGCATGATTCGTGTTTACTCAAGAGAAGGACAGTTGGACAGTGTTAGCGAACCGGTCGATGGCCTTGAAGGAGCTCTCAGCTGGCGACCGTCCGGCAATTTGATTGCAGGCGTGCGACGTTCCACGGACAAGATCGAAGTCATCTTCTTTGAGCGAAATGGCCTTCGTCATGGTCAATTTGACCTGCGACTGCCCGAGGAAGAGCTCGCGTCTTTAACAATACCTTTAACGCTCAGGTGGAACAGCGATTCCAATGTTCTAGCTGTATCATATTCCAACAAAGTACAGCTGTGGACCATGAGCAACTACCATTACTATCTCAAGCAAGAATTATCATTCCCTGAGACTGCTCTTGAAAAGGTCACTTGCACATGGCACTCGGAGCGACCGCTGGTGGTGGCTTTGTCAACTCCAGGTAGGTAAACTTCCCTTCTAAACTTCCCTTCGCTAATTGTCTCCGGTATAGGTACGCTTCAAGTACTCGAATATGTATCGTCCACAGCAACTGGTTCGGTTGCACCCCCGAATGACTTCGGAATGGTTGCATCGATAGATGGACGTAAGTTGCGACACATCTACGGGTTGATTTGGTTGCTGACCACTATTTATTAGTGTCTCTGAAGCTTACACCGCTGAGGATCGCCAATATTCCTCCTCCAATGTCGCTGCATACGCTTGCGCTCCAGCACAAGCCCGTTGACGTTGCACTATCTCTGTCTGGAAATCATCTCGCGGTACTTTCAGATCATGATCTTGCAGTATATGCTCTCGACATGAGCAAAAAACCTCTTCCAAGACCTCTCCTGCTCTGGCGGAGCGACGCGATCAAAGACTATTGTCCACGACATGTCACATTCGTTGGTGACAATCAGATTTACGTTCTTACTGACCATTGGGATGAAGATGGAAGCTATCTCTGGCGGTGCGAAGGTGAAGACCTGCTTCTTCAAGGTCCTGTTGTAGAGGCTGAGGGTGCCTCCTTATTGACGTCTAGTGTTGATCTTGAGACGCTATACCTGCAATTTCAAAACGGAGCGCTACACCAAGTCAGCACCGATGAAGCCACGGCAGATCTACCTCCTCAAACTTCTCTTGTACAAAAGTTCCCTTCGTTCCCTCCCGAAATCCAGGTCATCGACATTGACGGACAGGTATGGGAGATGTCTCAACTGAACTCATCATCTAGCTAACAGTAATAGACTCTAGCTTTCGGTCTTACAAAAGGAGGCGTGCTGTATGCCAATGAGCGGATTTTGGTCCGGAACTGTACATCATTTGTAGTCGCGCCGGCTCATCTCATTTTTACAACCACTCAGCATGTTCTCAAGTTCGTGCACCTCACTAGCGCAAACGGTATGTGCAATAATCGAGCTTCCCGTTCTCGTTCCGACTAATGTGCTTTAGAGCTTGAAGTGCCTGCAGACGAACCGCAGAAAGACGAGCGTTGCAGAAGTATTGAGAGGGGGGCCAAAATCGTCACAGTCATGCCGACAACATACTCAGTAGTACTTCAGATGCCGAGAGGCAATTTGGAGACTATATATCCACGCGCGCTCGTTCTTGCGGCTATTCGCCGCAGCATTGAGGCAGAGCGCTACGACGAAGCCTTCCTTACCTGCCGTAACCAACGCGTAGACATGAACATACTCCATGATCATGATCCGGATCGATTCATGTCCAACATTGAAAGAATTGTGACTCAGATCAAGAGAGTAGAGCATCTTGACTTACTGCTCTCCCAACTTCGGTCAGCTCCCTTTTTTGAAACTGAAGATCATGGCTAATTACATGCAGTAATGAGGACGTCTCGGAAACAATGTACAAGGAAACACTAAAGACGAAAGACTTAGCCGTTATACCAAAGCTTTCACATGCTCAGGTAGATGGCAAGGTTAATCGTATATGTGACGCGTTCTTGGCCGTCCTCGAGCAGTCCCAGTACAAGCACGACCGCTTGCAAAACATTGTCACATCTCACGTTAGCAAGGTACCGCCAGCTCTTGAGACTGGGCTAGAGATGATAGGTCGTCTACAGGGTGTGTAATCATCTCCCACGTTTGTATTACTTGCACTAACATTTTCTAAGCAACTCAAGATCAGCTTACTGACAAAGCTGCGGAGCACATTTGCTTCCTAGCCGACGTCAATCAACTTTACGATACATCGCTGGGGCTGTACAATCTAGACCTTGCTCTGTTAATCGCACAGCAATCGCAGAAAGTATAATAATCATAGAATCTGTTTTACTTCATGACGCTGACCTCGCCTCAGGATCCTCGAGAATATCTCCCTCAGTTGCAGTCGCTGCAGGATCTACCCCCACTTCGTCGCAAATTCAAGATCGATGATCAGCTCGGTCGCCAGACAAAAGCACTCGCACATCTCAAAGACCTGCAGGCCTTCGATGAGGTCCAGAGTTACGTGCAGCAGCATGCACTGTTCCCCGAAGCTTTGAAATTGTATCAATATGATACTAGCCGGCTGAAGGAGATCATGCGTCTCTATGCAGACTACCTCAGCGTGAACAACAAGAGCAAAGAAGCTGCACTGGCTTACGAGTACCTGCAAGACTACTCGTCAGCTTGGCCGTGCTATCGTGCAGCGAATCTATGGCGTGAGGCATTATCGTCCGCTACACTAGCAGGTGTAACCATAGACGAGCTTGAGTCCATCGCGTCGTCTCTCGCAGAAGGTCTTGCAGAGTCAAAAGATTTCCTCTCGGCCTCAACAATAACCCTCGATTATCTCTCTGACATCGCTTCTGCCGCACGACTTCTCTGCAAAGGTTGCTACTTTGCCGAAGCAGTACGCATCGTTACTTTCCGTCGCCAACCAGAACTCATCACCGAAGTTATCGATCCTGGGCTCGTGGAACGAAGCGCAGATATGACCGAATTCCTCGCCGAGATGAAGAGTCAACTACTCGCCCAAGTACCTAGACTTCGCGAACTACGTACAAAAAAGGCAGAGGATCCTATGGCGTTTTATGAAGGCATGGACGACGGTGGCGTGAACATACCCGATAACATTTCCCTGGCCCCTACGGATACGACGTCTGGCGGCACATTCATGACGCGCTACACGAATCAAACAGGCACAGTTAACACACAGGCAACGCGTAAGACAAGTAAGAATAAGCGCAGAGAAGAGAGAAAGCGCGCAAGAGGCAAGAAGGGTACAGTCTATGAAGAAGAGTACCTGACCAACTCGATTGAACGTCTTATCGAGCGCATCAATAGTATGCAGGAAGAGATTCAGCGGCTTATTGAAGGCCTGGCTAGGCGTGATATGAGAGAGCGTGCTGAGGCCGTATCGAACGCGGTCACTGAGGTCATAGAGAAGTGTCATGATGCGATCAAGGAAATGTATCCACCCGTTGTCGCAACGGGCGGTCTGCAGGCTGGGCTCGAGGCCGTCAACGGTGCGACAGGTGCAACAGATGGAGAGAATCTCAGGCCGACCGGTGGTGACGCTACGCTATGGGATAGTCTTCAAGAGGTAGATAAGAAGAGACAGGCACCAGAGGTGAGAAAGTTTGAGAGGTTGAGTCTCTTGGGATAGCAAGTATCAAATTGAGTGGCATCTAGCTTACGGGCACTCAGTTAGAAATCTATGAAGTACTTACTCCTGCCAGTTGATCGCCACCACAGTTGGCTCGTCCAACTAATAATGATAGAAATGAGTTTTGGTTCGATAGTTTGTGTCTAATGCCTCTGGATAAGACGGTAGCACACAGCACACAGCACACACAAACCATCCCGCTCCGCCTCATATACGCCTTTCAAATCGAAATATCCCACCCTGCAACGCCCAGTCACGATCGAGGTTGTCTTCTCAGCTGCAGTCCATATGCTCAAACATGACTCCACTATTTGCACAACCAAACTGAAAAGCGCGCAGCTCTCTAGCACCACCCTTGTCCTTCTCCTTCAGTTGGGTCTTGGCCGTGAACTTCCACTTTGCGTTTCCGTCATGCTTCCCAACAAAGAACACCAGTCGTCGCAAGTCATGGGCGGTCTTTAGAGCAAGCTTATCGAAGTCGGGTTCTGCGCACGGAGAATGGACAAACAGCCAGTCAAGGAGATCACCGTAGCCTTCAGCAGCCTGCGACTCCATGTTGAAGGGCAGCATCTGATGGAACACGCTGCCTAGGTTCACGTGCACCGACTTTGCAGTAGCGGCGCTGGGAACAAGCAACCGGTGTTCCCACGTCTTGCAAAGCAGAGCTACGATGCCGAGCAGATGATCAGTATACACTAATGGATTTCCAAAGTTGAGTTCGTTCTCAGGTACGCTGATCTCGATGAGCCGAAATTGCGCGGCCGCAGTCCACATTGCAGTTTTCCGCGCGTTGTGCTGCACGAATATCGGCATATGTCGGAGGCTTTGGGAGCGGTATCCGTTCAGATACGGGGCGACGGCCCTGGCTACTTCTAGATGGAGGGAGCCTTGCTCGAAGACAACCCATGATGCCTCTTCTCGGATGGCCTTCGAGACCTGGAGGATGTTGAATCTGCCAGCGCCCATCTTAGTGGCGATGCCGTGCTTTCGGCATGTTTGCCGTTCCCGTTTCGTCGTATCGGGTCCACAGCATTGCTTGATGGTCACTGGGCAGTCGATATCGAAAGCGTAGCCATATATTTCTTGGCGTATTTCTTTTGGCAAGGTGCTCATGGTTCCGAAACCACCCTCCCCGACAACCCACGGCATCGGGCTCATAGGGTCTAATGTTGACGCAGGGGTATCCGCTTCTTCGCCTTTACGGGTTGTTCGTAGACTCATGCTATGGTTCGCTTTCTGTCTCTTGAGAGTCTTGTGTGGCCTTTGACATCGTTAGTGTGTAAGTCATCGTTTCTTCCGCTGCGAACAAACCTTTCTTCAGCAGTAAAGTGAGCCCTCTTCTTGCTAGGCGAGATAAAGCGTCCGTCGTCACCCCTTTGTGTGGACTGGACAGAGTTGACTGACTCCGCGATTTCGTTGGCGCTGGTAAAAACGGTCGCATAGTCAGGCACCGGGCTGGGAGATCTGGACAAGACAGTGAGTTCAGAGATATCCGATAGAGCTAGGGATGTAGCGCGAGCCATGCGGTCAGGCTCAGGTCTGCTGTTGCTGTCCGCCATCCTGCTTTTCCTTGATGCTCAAGGTGGAGGACAACGATATAGATATTGTAAGAGCTGATGTAGTAAAGGTTCGACAAGACAGCAGCAGGTAAAAGAAAGAGAGGGAAGGATATGCCAGCTGATCGACTTCTTCGTAAACTGCCTTCACTTCGTCTAGAACCTTGATAGAGTGTGGGAGCTGACCTTCTCCGATGTAGCTAGGAGTTTGCATCGTGCCTCACCTCGGAGTTTGACTGAGTGCGTCTCTCTCACTCAGGATCTAGACCAAGATCTAGAAGTGAGTACAGCAAGATTTCTCAAAGGACATGAGCATCCTGAGAGAAAGATAGGCTCAGTGGTTTGCTAGATGACGCAGTTTATTTCCTTCTTTTACAATTTACAGGACTCTCGAAAAGAGATGGCGAGGATTTCCTGAGAATGGCACGTTGCCAGGCCTATTTTTGGGTGTCATATAAGGATATCTTGTAAATTGTTGAGAAGAGGGAAGAGCATGCGAGGGCCTTTATTTCGAGCAAACGATTGTTTCGAACAAATAGTGTGATTTCGGAAAGGTAGAGTCTGATGAGGCAAGGGCAAGGGCAAGGTTCGAAGCGGAACTCTACCAAGGTTTCTATTGCATATTTTCTGTCATTACTGCATGTTAAGTAGGGGATTGTGGAGAGATATGGTTTCTTCGCTATCCCGTTGATACGATATAGGAGCACTTACTGTACGGAATGCGAGCCGTCGCATGGAGTCGAGTTCGCTCTTCAGGTAGTTGTGTATTTTCAACAGCGTTAGCCCATCAGGAGTCTTCGCGATTACCTTTTACTATACTTCGATTCAAGCATGTCACCATAGACAACTCGTCTACAGCTCTTGTTCTTGCTTGATATCCAACCCACTAGATCAGTATGACGATATTGTCCTATAGCGGCCCGCGCTTTCGCGGGTGGCTGCGTTTGCAGCTGGCTGGCGATTTCACCCTCACTTGCACACAGCGGGTGCCCGCATGAGTTCCCTGAAGAGTGAATCCGCACTCGCAAGAATACCTTCCCCCGCTCACACCGCTTTTGACGTTGTCCATCATGTCCCGAGTGCCCAATCACTACCAGCTCTTGGAGATTGACATCAAAGCTGATGAAGCCGCAGTGAAGAAAGCCTACCGCAAAGTCGCGCTCGCCAATCACCCTGATAAAACGATTCATCTACCGGACGCGGAACGGGCTAGTCGCGAGAAGATATTCAAGTTCGCGACGACGGCGTATGAGGTTCTAATCGATGTGCAGAAGCGAAAGGAGTATGACGGGACTTTGTCTCGGACCACGCGGCCAACCTACAGTCACTCTAGTCAGTCTACTCAGAGTGCGAGCAAGCGGCAAGAGCCTCAGCGTAGATACAAGCGCCCCACTGCAAAAGCCTACACGAGACCTCCGGCGCGGGATCCTTCACCACATCAAGACCCACCTCCGTCGCAATCTCGGACTTTCCGTGCTAGAAGAAGCCCCCCAGTAAACAACGGCACTGCGGACACACCTTTCCAGGCCTTCACTGAGAAGGATGAGGACTCACCAATTGTGACGCAGCACTATCAGGCCATTACATTCCAGCAGCCATACCAGAAGTACTCTCTTGAAGAGCTAAGGGTAGCCGACTACGACCAAGGTCGACGATTCGGTAACCAAAATGGCCAGGCAGGTGCATTCGGGCAGAGTAGTATGCCACCTCCACGCCCAAAGGTTCACACCTTCACTAGCGGAAGCCCACAAGGTATGTTCGGCGCGCCCTCAGATGCATGGTTTTACGCTCCAGTACACGAAGGGGAGGAGCGCATGCACGTCAAGTATAGCAACTGGCGTGGCTGGGACTTCTCCATTGGCGTGTCGAACGGATTCGCATGGGTTGCACGGCCAGTGTTGCCATTGTTGCATGAGGATACCGGAAACGAGATTACCGTACGGTTAGGGATGGTGCGCAAGGCGGCCTCGAAAGGGGGATTGGCAGATAATTTCTTGAAGGAGGTATTGGTTACGGTGAGGAAAACACCGGAAATGCGCCAAACAGCATTATCCTCCATCTTCCTCGAGACGCGAGAGGGTAACATGGAACTGCGTATCACGCTAGCAACGGCGTCAGATGAAGTGCAGTCGGCAATCCGGCATACATCATCACCTACGTGGACATGGGCATTCGATGTTGACCTTGGGTTTCTCGTGCCCTTTTACAAGACGCTCCGGGCAACGCATCTCATGTTCTACCCGACGTTCCCTGCGCACGCGGTCCTCGACGGTGGAGGTGTACCAGAGGGGGCGCCTTACCCAGCTGGTTCACCTGCAGCTGTACTAGCAGAAAGTTTTCCTGACATCAAGTTTGCCAAGCTGTCCAAGCAATTCTACTGCGAGGAGATGGATTGGGCGAAGAAGAAGCTTTGGCGGGTGGTGGCGGTGGGATCAATGTGAGAGGAAGAATCAAAATGTTGGATCGAGTGTAGAAGAATCGAACTGAGATGCCTCCAGTGTGGCCAGGTAGATGAATGTACCTAGATACTAGATACTAAGTGTGGAACGTAGAATTTGATGAATGTAGCCCAGGGCTTTACAGTGGATACTAGGTGATGGATAAGATAAGATAAGAGACCTCGGGAAGATGGAGCCAAGTCCCACCCCCGATTCAGAGGGCAAATTACATAAGGCTGTATCGCGAGCCGTCATTGGCAAAACTTGAAGATTGAACAGGGGATCAATATCTGCTGGTTCCTGGGCTAGTCAAAGACGCGCATGTGGCGAGGAAGATCAGCCAACCGTGGGGCGACGTCGGTCCACATTTCTTCTCTCAGGGTCAAAGCTGCCAACAACTCCAATCGCCCCTCGCCCACAACCTTGGACCTGTTCACTCAATTGTCTCTCCCTCAATTGCTTTACCACGGCCAGTATGCGGTCGTCAGTCTCTACCGCCACGGTGCCAGCGCCGAAGCCCACTGGCAGAGGTTTCACAGTCAAGGCGGAGAAGCAGCCACAGCAAGGGAAAGTCGACCAAGAGCATGTACCTGGCCATGACGACTTCTTCTGGACCTACACCGAAGAGCCGCACAAGACGCGGCGAATGGCCATCATCAAGGCCCACCCAGAGGTATGGCAGCTTGTGAAATCAAGTCAATCCACCTCGAAGCTTACCATGTCCAGGTAACCAAGCTCTGCGGCCCTGAGCCCCTCACCAAATACGTCGTCGCACTCGTCGTGTCTATCCAAGTCCTCTGCGCATATCTCCTCCGCAACACGTCCATGCTCTCATGGCCCTTCTTCCTCACAGCCTACGTCGTCGGCGCTACAGCGAACCAGAACCTGTTCCTCGCCATCCACGAGATCTCGCACAACCTCGCCTTCAGGAACCCGCTTGCCAACCGCATCTTCGCGGTATTCGCCAATCTACCCATTGGCATACCCTACAGTGCCTCCTTCAGGCCCTACCATCTCACACACCACAAATCCCTCGGCGTCAATGGCCTTGACACGGATCTGCCCACCGCTTTCGAAGCCGTGTTCCTCGACTCGGTTGCTGGCAAGGCCTTTTTCGCCACCTTCCAGATCCTCTTCTACGCCCTGCGCCCCATGTTCGTCTACAATCTGCCCATGACCCAGATTCACCTCTTCAACGTCGCCGTGCAGCTCGCTTTCGACTATGCCCTCGTACACTTTGCAGGAGGAAGGGCTCTAGGTTACTTAATTATGAGCAGTTTTCTTGCCGGATCCCTGCACCCCTGCGCAGGCCACTTCATCGCCGAGCACTACGTCTTCGAGAAGCCAAACAAGGACACTACCAGCCCCGCGAACAAGATTCCCCTACCCGAGACATACTCATACTACGGGCCTCTCAACTTCTTCACATACAACGTTGGCTTGCACAATGAGCACCATGACTTCCCTGCCGTTCCCTGGACCCGCCTACCCAAGCTGAATCAGATCGCCCACGAGTTCTATGACGACCTGCCCCGACATGAGAGCTGGATATATGTCATTTGGCAGTTTATCTGGGACAAGGATATCAGTCTGTGGTGCAGAATCAAACGGGAGGAGGGAGGAAGAAAAGTTGGTGCCGGGAGTGGATGGAATGAGGAAGATTTGGGCTCAAATGAGAAAAATGGCCCAATCCCTGGTGTTCGATGAAAATGCTTGATTTGGTCTATTGCATATTTGGCGTTTTGAGCGGCATTGTTTATACATAGAACAAGAATTCAGAAGCTTCTTTCGCTGCTTTTTGAACAGATCTACTTCCTCCGTGTTACCAACGTGTGATTGGAGGAGTCATTGCATCATCCTAAGCGTACCCTAACTTACTGCCAAGTTTCATTAGAGTCAAAAACTTGGGGTATACATCAGCTACTGGTGGGTGACTTCGTCGATGTTGCTGGAAGATGTAATCCCGGCGCTGGGTTCGAGGCGTCAAAGTCTGATGCGGCAACAGCACCAAATCAAGATGGAGGCTTTCCCTTTGAATCCCATTTCAGCAACAGCTAGACACTGTCGAAGTCGGAGAGTAAGCCACTTTTTTAGTAGCAAGTTCCATCGCAGCCCGAATAGCACAGCCTTTCAAACTCGAGAAAGCCATCTTCGAACGAGGAAGATTACTGCTTTTGCTTCTTTCACTCAAATAGCGGACGTTGAGGGAACTGCCCGTACGGCTGCATTTGGAGATCAGTGACCGGCAGGTCACCCTGATGCGCGAGCAGAGTAATTAGCCTGGGGCCCTCAGTCAATCACAGATGTAAACGTACCCAGTTGAATGTTTCTGCGAAAGATGCCAAGTCCATAGGCATATCGTCTAGCCCGAATTGACTCGTATACATGGAGTTATCCACGGCGAACGTTTCGGGGCCGGAGGGTTGAGTGGCGAAATCATTGAAGTCAAAGGAAGACGGTGTCGAAGTGTGTTCGTGTTGTTCTGGTGCAGGATTTGCTGTTTGCCAATGTTAGGTGTCGTTCTGCTGAGAACTAACGTTATCAACTCACCATTCAGGCCATTCGTTGGCTGGTTTACATGATCTTCTGCTTTGCGGAGAACCAGCCTAACAGCCGCAGCCACTTTGCGAGCCTCGTTCGATCGCTTGCTCGCCTTCTGCCATATTCGATGTGCGTCCTGCAGAGTGTCGATGATTTCCTTCCGTGTGGGTGGCGCGCGGTCTAGTTGAAGCCCGCTTCTCGCTACTTCGATAGTAGACTGGAGTGGCGCGACTAACTCTTCGTCGAGATCTAAGATCAAGACTGTGGTCGCGAGGAGAAAATCTTGAGCCACGACTGAAGACATGTACCAGCTTACGGTGAACTAAAAGTAGTGAAGGGATTAGCAATACTCTTGATAGGCGGACGCGACTACGGATACCACAGTCTGTAAATGCTAATGAAGCACGTAAGGCTAGGTACTTACTGTTCGTGTGTTAGCAAAACAACGAACAGTATTCATGGTAGGACTTCCGCACCTATCTGCCAGCCGGGCGACCAAAGCTTCCCACCCGGTTGTATCTCAGAATCGAGCTTGCGCTGAAAGACTAGCATTTCAAGCGCGGCATTGAGACATACTCGTCGAGAGTACTCATACTTTAGATCGGTGCGACCAAGGATAAGATACGGTCGGTGTAGCATGAGTTCCGCTTTCAAGAAAGACAAACCCAAGTATAAGCGGCGCATAGAGGCTGGCGATATAGCGCTGTCGAAGCTCTCCGCGGGCATGGCCTTCGCAGACTCTGGTACTCTGTCATACACGTGTCGTAGCACTGCATCAAGATCCATAATCTCCCGATACTGTGGCTGAGAGGTCGCGTTCATCAAGTCCATGACTTTCGCATGGGCATTTCTCACTCGAGTCAGCATTATAGAATAGAGTAGCTGAGTCAGCTCGGTTTCCGGTCTCGACGGCGGCAGTTCGGCAATATCTTCAAACAGGTCCTCTTCCATCAGGTTGCGAGGCTCTTGAATGTCGTACATGAAAGGTTGGATGATTCGTGGCAGGCCAATACACGAAGATGTGACGAGATCGAGCGACATGACGACCATCCACGTTCTGCGCCGCATTTCCGCCCTGAATGGCGAGATGTTGGGAAATCGCGACGGCTCTCTATGGTAGCCCATTCGAAAGGCGATACGTGTGACCATGCCCACAATCAAAGTCATGCTGAATTGTGTGTCCGCTGACCGTAGATACTCAGTACCAAAGTACAGCAAGAAAGCTTCTACGGTGTATGGTGGACATTTGGTGTAGTTGGCAAGAATGAGGCACTGTACAACCTTTTCGCGATAGTAGTCCATGCGAGCGGTATATAAAGAAGTCGTTGGATCGCCTTGGAGAGCGGGCCCATGTCCTTCAAATGTTGACTGGAAACGCGAACCAAGGGCGAGGATAGCGTAGAGCAGCCCCAACCACATGGTAGGAGTCTCGAAGGGCTGAGTCCAGAAGTCGTTGTACTGCACATGCCGTCAGCAACGCTGTATGTAGGAGAAGAGAGACGGACCTCTCTAAGAAAAGTTGGCCTATGCAGCATTGCTACGCTCATTAGCAAAGAGCCCACTACATTGTGAAACTTACTTACCAGGGGCTGTGTCCATAGACGCGAAAAAGGTGTCAATTAGCAGATCCACATCGGCGCGGGGAGGTAGAGCAGCAAGTAGCTCTTGCTTGGTTGCATGTCTTTGACCGCCAAAAAGTAAATCTGGGCCGCAAATTTCTACTTTATTGTCATCCTTTGCGCTGGCTGAGGTAGGTATTTGATCCAGGTGCTCTCTTAGTTCTGAAATCTAAGGGAAGGTTAGCATGCACATGACATATATTCGAGTAGCGTACTCCATCCAATATACTCGTCCAATGACCACTGTTCGTGTAGCTCGTGGTGTCACCGCTAAATTTCACACGATCCGGAGTGCCTGGGATCTCGGTATTATCGTCGCCATACTGCTCGAGGTACGATAAGGTAGAGAGCGCAGGACTACCACTATCGGTCTCTTTCCCGCCCATCAGGGACGTAACGAGCTTCTCAAGCTGATCGATGCGATCATGAACACTATTGGGTGCTTTAGGTTCCTGGGGTGCCGCGGGTTGCCGAAGGTATGTGCATGAAAGCGAAAGGCCCCGATCGACACATGTTTTGCATGGCTGGTTTCGATCACATTTCAACCTGCATCATTAGTATCTAGTTATAGCAGGTGAGTGACCTAGGTTCAATGTCGCTCACTTCCTTCGACGACAGAGGGTGCAGGACAAGATGGGTTTGTCTCTACGCCGGCTCGCGGGTATAATGCGGTGCGGTTGTCCATCTGTGCTCATTTCGAATATTCAGGCGCAACCGTGTCATGTAGAAGTAGAGCAGCCGAAATCCCAAATAATGTTATTAGTTGTGGTGATGAGGCTCTCCGGACGGGTTCGGCGGTCGGCGGGCGGCAGCCGACACCCGCCGTCATCAGATGAAAGAAACCGACTTTTTGCCCCGTGCTGCTATTCGCTCCATGCGCTCTGTGCTCGGGTTTGACCGATGTATGCACTTCCATGTTCGTCCTCTAATTCTCACCAGGTAAGCGTTGCCGAGGTTCTCCACAGAATCGAGTGGGTATTTGCTTGCACCCTCAGATTGCAGATGACTAGTCAGCCCAGTATGTAGATTCAGTCGTCTACCCAGCGATTAGCCTATCGCAGCGGTGACTAATGTCATCCAGTGAGCCGTTCAGCAACACTAGAGTCCAAAAGAGGAAGCATCCCGAGGCTACTGGGGCTACATCTTTGTTACAAGGTGGAGTATTGGAAGAACCTAAAGATGGCTTGAAATTATGGGGATATATGCCTGGCCGCGTACATTATAGGTACTGGGAGGATCTGCAACTTGATGATTTCTCAAACCACGAGTCCATCACATAAGTCGTGCTCATAAAACCTTGAAATTACGAGGCTACCAAAATCTAGTGCACTCGGGGTTTCGAATGCTCATGGTGCGCCTGATTACGATGGCTTCCAACTTTTGTTATAGTAAGGCCCTCGCTTGTCTCGCCCATGTCAAATGGTGTAGACCTTGATTATTCTCCCACCAAGTTCTGCAGCACCGGTGGTGGCTAGGATATCTTCCCAATATACATTACCTATCCCACCGAGCTTGGCATCTTGTCACGCGTTTTGTTAGACTGGTTACAAAAGGGCGTGAATGAGAGAGCGCAAACTGGAAATAGGAATGAACCCCCTTATTGCGGAACGGACGCCGATGTGCGGTCGATGGGATCCATTGAGGTACAAGAAGTGAGACGCAAAAATGCCATCTTATCTTCAGATCTGAACCGTAGTTGCGACGACACCCAAACACCGAAAGCAAATTTATTTTCTCCCTCCGTATTCACATGAACAATAGGGTCTTTTATGTTTGATTTGGAAACAGAGAATAGATATAGAAGCTAAAGAAGCAGCAGAGCAACGAGAGACAATTAAAGCGTCTGGGGTGGCTGGAGACGCTGTAGTAGAGTTTATCCCAGATAAAGTTTTACCACAAGTGAGAGATCTAGTTCCACACTCCCTTCTGCCGGTTGGCTTGTTTCATGCCCTTAGCAAGAATGAAATTGACGCCTACTGTTCACGTTCTTATGACATGTACATCACATAGTGTTGCGGTGATGGTAGTCCCAACCGGAGTTCAAACGTATACTCGAGATCTCTCAAGTTACATGGCGGGTAAAATCATTATAAAGTTGAGCGTGCATGTGACAAAAGACTATACCAACATTGACAGTGCTACCGCCTTGACCCGCTCTTTCAAGATGTGGGAACGTATGACAGGGAAATGAAGGGAAATGGCGGCAAGATGTCCAGTCGCGTGATGCTGGTTTGGCCTCTCCGACATAGAGATCCACATCTTTGGTCTCGGTCTTGTCCTCCGCCTCCACGCCATCGCTTTCAGATGTATGGAGCGCCGGGGCAGACCCTGACGATCTAATGGGCGGGTTCGTAGACGTGTTACGAGCGTGAAGCAGCATAAAATATTCCCTCTCCAAGTTCAATACTTGTATTTAGGTTGCGCGATAAGAGTTGTGTACTCGCATGCGCTCAACCACTCATCACATTTGCAAAGTGTGCATCTCAAAAACGACGCCCCCAGAATAGAGTTTTGATGTACGTAAGATGAGGCTCCGCTTACCGTCGGGAAAGGCACAGCAAGCTACGAGTGAATGTCGCCTTATTGGTGTATAGAAGTGGATGCGATGGACTCAGTGGTGATAATTTGCGTGCGACGGGCTTTTGAAACGTAATCGGCAACTAGTGGGCGGCTGCCGGCAAGAAAAATTAGTTCCGCCACATTTCAACCTCCGCCTCAACACGGAGATGCGCGACGAGCGCCGGCCAACGTTGCAATGCCCTCGAAGTATGTCAAGCACGTAGAACTCTAGTTCGAATCTTTCAAGTTCCCACGCATGTAACCTTCAGAGACTCTAAAGAAGATAATATGGTTTCCGTTTTGTCGTTCGTGAGACTGCGTCATTGTACATAAGATAGTGGGCCAGCATGGCACCATCGTATAAAGGCTTACACTAGTTCCCATGGCGTGAAAATTAGGCCTGCCGTGTGAGCCTCAACGGCGATGCGTGAGAATCTTTGCTGTGTGGAGGACATGCGACAACTTTGCTTGGGCCAATTAAGCAGTACTTTGTACGTCAGTGGCCCGTAGCGATTCGACTTGGCGTACCACACCAGCGACTCCACACCCAGCAGTCGTCCCAAATTTTGGACAGGACTAGTACCGGGGGGTGAGCGACGGTATATGAATCGCAAAGGCCCTTCACCCTTTCAGTATCATGATTCTTCTGGCACATACTCATTTCGCGGTTTCATTATTGCTCCCCTGAGCGCTCTTGGCGAATTCACCCAATACAAACTTCACCAGCCTTCCAAGCCTTTTAAGCATTCCGTGCTAGTGAAGGTTCAAACGACACCTCCCTCCCAGAGCAATAGCGACAAATAACGCCATCCGCAACAACGAGCCTGAGCAACATCTCCCCAACAGCGACTTCCTCATTTTTACCAAAGCGCCAAACGTCTTTTCCATGCAACAAACCCATCGACGCTAAAAACAGATATCGATTTCTCCCGTCAAAATGCCCCGAACTATGTTTGTCAACCCCTTCAAGTCGCATGATGTATCGGAGTTTCCAGGCGTCCTTGTACCGCTTGATCAAGCCACCCGTCGCGGGTCCGTCTCCTCGCAGCGACGCATCTCCCTTGCAACATCAGACCAACGCGAGAGTGAGAAAACTACAAGAGAGGACAAATCTGGCGAGGTACCCAGAAGACCTGATAGTGAAGCTTCAAGTGGTGTGATTAACCATGGAATGACTATTGAGTCATTGAAAGCAGAAATCGTGGCGGACGTCGCAGCATCAGACACTGATACCCCTTATGACCGTACGTCTTGCGAACTTTCTCATTCCCACAAGACTTTAAGGTCACGACCGTCTACATCGTATTAATCGAACCTTCTGCGACCATGTGAAATGGTAGACAGGGAGGTTGCTTGACATGCTAACACAGCTTAGGGAAGTCAAAAGTCATCAACAGGGCTCTACAAGATATGGGAATGGGCAGATATCAATGGGAACTATTCGCTCTCTGCGGTATGGGCTGGATGGCAGATAATGTGTGGTTGCAGGTAGGTACCATTGTGTTCAACAAAGGCCGCCGAAACTGACTGTCGCATAGGGCGTCGCGCTTACGCTACCTCAAATCGCAGTTGAATTTGGTGTCAGCCAGACAGAAGTTCGATATACGACACTAGCGCTCTTTCTTGGTCTATGTATTGGTGCCTCCTTTTGGGGTACCGCATCAGATGTTGTTGGACGTCGACTTGCGTTCAACTTTACCCTGTTCCTGGCTGGTGTCTTCGGTCTTGCCTCAGGTGGAGGCCCCAACTGGATTGGCACATGCGCCCTTTATGCCTGCATTGGTCTCGGTGTTGGTGGAAATCTTCCTGTTGACGGAGCTCTTTTCCTGGAGTTCTTGCCACAAACTTCCGGAAACCTACTCACTTTACTCTCGGTATTTTGGCCCGTTGGAAACTTGATCGCCTCCCTCCGTGAGTACTTTATCGTCCTAGGTTATATCAACTATACTAATAAGTTTCAGTCGCGTGGGCCTTTATTCCTAACTTCTCGTGCCCGTCCAGTACTCCGGTAGGCCAGTGTCAGAAAGCTGATAACATGGGATGGCGCTACCTCATTCTCACCATGGGAGCTCTCACGTTTGCGATGTTCGTCTGCCGGTTTTTCTTCTTCCACCTTTACGAATCTCCGAAGTTCCTACTCTCCCGCGGCCGTCAGGCAGAAGCAGTTGCAACTGTGTATGGTATTGCGCATTACAACAAGACTCACACTTGGCTTACCGAGGACATTCTCAACCAAATTGGAGGCGACCAAGAAGCCACCGGCGAAGATGCGAAGCTGAGCACGGTCGAGATTGTAAAGCGCTCCCTAAGCAGGTTTTCCCTCAAGCGCTTCGCTGCCTTATTTCAGGATAAGCAGATTGGCCTCACCACTGCTCTCCTTTGGTTCCAGTGGATGACGATTGGCATGGCGTACCCGCTTTTCAATGCCTTCTTACCGCAGTATCTGGCCAACTCGGGTGGCGGCGTAGTGAACGACACAAGCACCGTATACCGCAACTACGCCATTACCGCCATCGTCGGTGTTCCAGGATCTCTCCTTGCCTGCTATACTGTTGACTTGAAATACATCGGTCGCAAGGGCACGATGGCGATTGCAACTGCCATCACTGGCGTCTTCGTCTTCCTCTTCACCATCTCATCCGATTCCGATTTCCAGCTGGCATTTACATGTCTCGAGGCTTTCTTCCAAAATATTATGTATGGAACTCTGTACGCGTACACGCCGGAGGTGTTCCCCGCGCCTATTCGTGGTACTGGCACGGGAATGTCTAGCTTTCTCAACCGGGTCGCTGGTCTCTGTGCCCCTATCGTTGCTATCCAGGCTGGGGGCTCCAATCCAAAGGCTCCGATCTATGCCTCCGGAGGTTTGTTTATTGCTGCTTTCTTCAGCATGCTCGTGCTCCCAATAGAGACGCGGGGCAAGCAGACTTTATAGATGGCGTAAGGACGAAAGATTTGTAGTCGCCGGGCTGTATCACAACGAGATTGTTGTAGCCGCGACGGTTCTCGAGGCCCTAGTCCCGGGCCGTACGTTACGTTAAAAGGCGATTAATCGCTGTAACAGGCTTAGTGTCTCGAAATGCCTACTTATGAATTGGCACGTATAATACAGAATGGAATACTGCAAAATTCTTCAAATCTCATGATTCTGACGTTTGGAATTCAGCCTTCTGTCTGAACAAGCTCCATTTGGTCTGTGCCTAACCTTGAGTCCTTATCGCTATCTGATAAAATTTTCTTCTGGTAGCGTGCCCCTGTCCGTGCGTGGTCTAGACAAATTGCCCCTCTCAACTCCAATTTCCTGTGGATCCCTCGCCAATGCTGGCCTCTATTGAAAACTTACCATGGCAAAGATTGTGAATACTGATACTGTTCATTCGGCTAAGCAATTTGTCTACGTATATTTACGATCCAAGTTTAATAACTTCCATCAATCAAATCAACGGGCTTGTGGTTTAGTGGTATAATACTCCCTTAGCATCTCTAGGACACCTAGAACAGCGATTGGGAGTGGTCCAGGGTTCGATTCCCTGCAAGTCCATTGTTTTTTGCCCTTGTTCTGTTCGTTTTGGTTGGTCCTGTGTGTGTAGCCGTGGCCATGGCAGTCTATTGGAGAGGGGTTTTTGCGTGGCATTTGCCAGACAGACCCCATTTTTTTTAGGATGTCCAGTTTCTGTCCCTGAATATCATAGAGTGATTCAAAGTGAGATGAATATGGCTCTTGGAGGCGATGGAACGGAACAATGGTGAAAACTTATAGTCACGTGAGTAGCGGGGTTAGGTAAAGCGTCATGCATGTGCTACCTTAGGCCGCCTCCCACATGTCAGGGCCAGCCGTTTACTTTGTAACTACTATAAATAACGCCTATAGTAGTTACCTAGGCAGTACTTGGTAATTACTAGACACTAAGGTACAATTACTAATATTTCTATCTGTTAAACGCATGTCCTTACAGTTCTTCGGAGCCCTAACTTGAAGTGCTGACACAGAAAGCCTCACATGTCCCAGACACTCCCTCCGAACACGTTCCTTGCGTCTGACGGGAAACTATACACCATGGACGGGAAGTACGTCCTTCAAAACAATGACTGGATCCCATGCCAAAGCGTCGGCCACAACGATACGTCTAGTCAGCAGAATCAGTTCGATCAAGCTCAATCAGGACCTTCAGTCGGACCTGGCACTGGGGATGACATTAGTGCAGCCATGCACGCGCAATTTGGGCAAGTTCCTCCATCGCAACCCCAGCTGCCGCGCCAGCCGGCAACCACTCCATTTCAACCGACGGGCAGACCGGCTGCTCCTCCAATCGAATTAGACCCGTGCTTCAGGGCGGCGAAGGATCGACATATAATGATTGGGGCTTTTGTCGATGCTTCGGATGCTATATCTGGTCGAAAGGGATAATGGCGATCGATGATATTTAGCCGGTATAGCATGTCCGATGGAATGTTATGGTAGATCTACACTACTGTAACCGTGGATCTTCAATGTCTCATGGCTCGAAGCAATGAAGTTCCTTTCTTTCTCTAATGTCTCGAATGCTCCAATACACCTAAGACTCTGAGGGCAGCTTTCATCTCGTCGGGTTTGAATTTTTCCAACCTTAGTCAATAAAGCATGTCCCTAATGAACTAAATTCATGGCCACTGACGTCGCGATACCGTTAAAAGCCTTGACATATGGCACGTATTTTGAAAAGAAACGTAGAGCACCAACAGCTACACCCCACACGGTGGAAACAGTGTACGGCACACCTCATAAATGGACAGTCAGAGCACCCCCTATTTGCTATCATCGTTAGTAACTATTTTGAATATGGATCTATCTTCATCTTCGTTCCTGTTTGGGAGCGGACCGAGAAAGAGCACCTATCAGACTCTTTATATCGTCTGACTGTGCACGTATATCTGTGGATTTCTAGTGTGGGCAGCGTTCATCTATATCGTGTGATAATTCAAGGCTAAACACCAGGTTCATTTATTCAGCCCTGTCGATCTGCCTTCTCGAAATTTAAACACGCAACGTCCAATCTCGTCTCGCACCATTGTCATCCGATCATACCTAATTGGAAAATACTGTCATATGAATCTCGCCCCCAAATAGACAGGTCCCGGCCGTACGAACGATTTCATGACGTCTCCTTCGGCCATGCTGTCGCCATGGTATGAGGCTCGCCAGACCGAACCCCAGGGAACCGAACAGCTGGGTATCCGGACTCCAATACCCGGTAGCCTATACACACTCAAAGCCTCGACGATCAGTGCTGTAAGAGACGAAAAGTTGGAACGTGCCTACGGTGTCTGGCGGGTGCTGCGTCAATATATACCACACTGTCGAAGCGAACCCCACGCTCCAAAAAGTCTACTACCGGCTGGTTCCATGTCTCGACCACACCACAGTCGCATGAGCGGATAGCCATCTTGCGCTCAGTGCAGCCTTTCGGAAGCATGATGATCGCCCGATACGCAATTGCACTGGCGGGATTGGGCACAATGGGCCATATTGCCCTGTCGCCCTTGAATATCGTCTCTTAAGATCTCAAATTAATTCTAGGGCACGCGACGTAGTTCCATCTAAGTAGCGCGTGTTGTACCTCAGATAAGACCATAAGATTGGAAACAACGGGATGCGCTCCTGTGAAAAATCCCAATCTTGTGTCCACCATGAGGCCAAGTAAGCTGTTATCTTCGCTTGCGACTATTTCCAGTACAGGTATGTGGACCAACAACTAGAATGCAGCTTCGCGCTAAACGATATTCCAGTGTCGGCACAAACACTCAAACGCTACTGTGATGCAACAACATCAATATGCTTCTCTGGGTGGACAGGCACGAATGGCATCACCTTCGGAATCGCGTTGCCTGAAGCGAAAGCGGCACCCTTTGACACCGTTTTACAGATAGTCTCACCTATCAAGAACGGATGGGTTGGGTTCTCGTGGGGAGGAACAATGCCCTATGTGCCACTCACGATTGGATGGGTTAACAATGCATCAAATACCGCTATTTACTCGTCAAGGATGGCATAGTATGTTTTTTTCGTTCCCTCGGGAGGGAAATGCTAACTGCATCAGCGGTTTGAGCTTACCACAGCCCTATGACGGAACCGAGTACTCATACCTCAGGGGCACCGGCTACAATGCTACACATTGGACACTCAACGTACGATGCAAAGGATGCTCCCAGTGGCACGACGTGGATGGAAATCTATCCTCGATAAATCCAACAGCCACCGCACAGAAGTTTGCCTACGCGCTGGCGAGCAAGCTGCCGGCTCAACCAGCAAACAATAGATCCACTTTCAACGTTCACAACTCGTTCGGTAATTACAAAGTGAATCTAACGCAGGGCCAGAACACGAACTTCGACCAACTAGTTGCAGCAAATCTCATTAAAGATGCACCGCCTACATCAAGTAGTGCCTCGGTTCCTAGCTCAACCATCAGTGCACGGCCAACGAGTCTCAGTACAAGTATCCTTTCGTCCGCTACACCCGGACCAACACAAACAGGCGTACCAAGATCGTGTGCTAATGTTGCGCCTCTTCATTTCCCGGTTAATACCGCTAAGGGATGGAGAGCTGTCAAGGTAGCCGGCGGATTGACTCAGCCTCGAGGCCTCCTCTTCGACACTGCTGGCAACCTTCTAGTCGTTCAAAATGGCCTCGGTATTACTGCCCACAAGATTGATCCTAACGGCTGCTTCGCATCCTCCAAAACTATTCTCACTCATCGGAACTTGAACCATGGCATTGTGCTTAGCCAAGATGGCAAAACGCTCTATGCAAGCTCAGCGACTTCGGCATTCGCTTGGGCTTACGACGCAGCAACAATGAGTGTATCTGGAAATTCAACGACAATTGTGTCGGGAATGGACGCAAGAGGGCATGTGACCAGAACGTTGGTCATCCCGCCAAAGCATCCGCATCTACTTCTCGTCTCACATGGCTCGAACGACAACTTTGACTACGGCTCCGCCGACATCAAAACGGGTCGGTCTTGCGTGAAGGTCTTTGATACCACGGCTACGCCAGCTGACGGATATCGCTATGCCACTGGCGGTTATCAAATGGGATATGGTCTGCGAAACGAAGTTGGCCTAGCTTTTGACGAAGACGGTATGCTGTGGGGCGTGGAAAACTCATCCGATGAGATCACTCGAACCATCAACGGGGTATCTATTGATATCCATACTGATAACCCTGCCGACGAGATCAACTATCTCGGCGACCCAGCCAAAGAGAATACGCAATGGTATGGATATCCGACATGTTATACTCTTGCCAAACCAGAAGCGATCACGGACCGCAGATTTGCGGTAGGCGATCAGTTTGTTCTTGAGCCGAACACTACATTCACGGACGACACGTGCAAGTCGAGAAGCGTAGCTGCCAAACTCGCTCTGCCCGCACACTCTGCGCCACTCGACGCAACGTTCAACAAGAACTTCACCAGCTTATACATCACCATCCACGGGTCATGGAATCGCAATCCTTCGACGGGCTACAAAGTGATTGATGTGCCGTTCGCAAAGGGCGCGAATGGCTTTGGACCGAAGGCGTCGCTGAATAGCACGACCGGCTGGACTGATATTTTCTGGAATGATAATGTTGAACAGTGCTCGACGACACAGTGCTTCAGGCCTGTTTCCATTGCGACGGACAAATTTGGAAGGATGTATATTACGAGCGATAGCGGAGCAGAGGGTGAGATGATCATCTTGGGAAGAGAGTAGATGGTGGACTCCAGGTGGAGGGAGAAAGAAAGCAGTAACACAACATCAGGCTATAGAATTGCACAGTGCAGGCTCGGATGATGTCACCACTCTTGTACATACGCTCATTTCGTAAAGTCGAAGACATTATTTTCCCATGCTTTTCAAACGTGAGGGAGCTCCTTGCTGAGAGGAGTGCTTCTGCTCAAGCCTATCTTAGCCGCTTGAACCCCATTCTTGCAGCTCCACCAGCATACTACAGTAGTAGCGTCCAAGGTTGGCCCCCGCAATCGGTGAACTTTGGTAGCTATCCAAAATCGCCTTGGCTGAGCTGAATCGTGCAACATCACTGAGATGTAGGTGCATCCATCCTGCACACTTGCCTTGATACTTGGCAACCCTTGGGTCTCTGACTTTTCGTACGATGGTGAGACCTTATCGATAATGGTGAACATATGTGGAAGGGGTTGCGCAGACTATGCCGTATACGGCAGATACCGAGGCAGAAATCGGAAGATTGAGGTTGTTGACGTACACATTAAGCCTGCCAGTGCATCGAAAGCCAATGGCGCGCAACCAGCGAGTCAACCACAGATGACGTGAAGTAAGCTGACCGGCGAAAATAGAATCCGGGCGCGGGGTGCCAGGCGTGGCGCCGGGACGTACGACGGAACGTATATGTACCACGGCACAGCAGCATGACCCCTGCCTTGCGCTCGACTTGTTCGCCATACACCTCTTCACGCATTGGACTGCATCAGAAGCATTGAGCTATCTTGACTTCAGGCAATTGCACTCAACTCAGTAGACGATATCGACTGCCACCTCCTCCGTGTCGAGTACATTAGCACCCGAGCATCGCTCAGTGCTTTCCCCACAGTCATGGATGGACACGCCACCGCCAACGGGCACACCTCACCCTCTACGCACTTCGACGTCCTCATAATCGGCTCTGGTCTCTCCGGCATCAACGCAGCGTACCGCGTGCAAGAATCGCTGCCCGACTCCAACTTCGCAATCCTCGAAGCGCGCCACGAGCTCGGCGGAACATGGTCGCAATTCAGGTACCCAGGAGTCAGATCGGACTCGGATCTGCATACGCTGGGGTTCCAGTTCAACCCCTGGAAAGCGAGTAATCCTATAGCGAGCGGCGATAGTATCATGGAATACCTGAACGACACGGCGGACAAGTTCGATATCAAAAGGAAGATCAGATGTGGACACAAGGTGGTTGGCGCGGATTGGAGAAGTAGTGATCAGAGATGGAGGCTTGATGTGCAGATTGGCCCAGGTGAGGGGCAAGAGGCACAAACGGTGGTATACTGGACCAAATGGCTCATCATGGGAACGGGGTACTACTCTTACGACGCGCCCATGCAAGCAGACATTCCCGGCCTTCAAAACTTCAAAGGACAGATAGTACACCCGCAGTACTGGCCTGAGAATTTGGACTACAAAGACAAGAAGATGGTGGTTATCGGGAGCGGAGCTACGGCTATCACGCTACTGCCTGCGCTGGTAGATTCGGGGGTGGGAAGTGTGACGCAGTTGCAGAGGAGCCCGAGCTATATTATGAGTTTACCACAGGAGGGTCCGGCCTGGTGGGAGAAGTACGCACCACAATGGTTCGTCCTACGATACAAGCGTAAGGTTTCCCATTTCCTCCTCCAGTCATTCACTCCTTTCTCCGCGTTTGACTGCGGTCGTTAACTGATTATGGTACTATAGGCTTCATGTTCACCCTCATCCCTACCTTGCTCTACTATTTTTGCGTGTACTTCCCCGTCCGCGCCTCCAACTTCCTCCGCAAGCAAGTCAAGCGCCAACTCCCCGCCGACTTCCCTCTCGACCCCCACTTCAAACCTGGTTATAGCCCCTGGCAGCAGCGCCTCTGCCTCTGCCCCGACGGCGACTACTTCAAGTGTCTTGCCTCTGGGCGCGCACATGTCGTCACCGATACCATTAAGAATGTGGTTGCAGATGGCATCGAGCTCACTAGCGGCAACAAATTGGATGCGGACATTATTGTCACAGCTACGGGGTTGAACTTGAGGTTTCTTGGAGGTGTGGCTCTAAGCGTGGACGGGAAGAAAGTTGATGTCGCTTCCCAGCACCTCTGGCGCTTCAGCATGCTCACCTCTCTCCCTAACCTGGGCAACATAATCGGCTACTGGAACGCCTCTTGGACACTCGGCAGTGACACCGCGTCTCGCTTGTTCGTGCGCCTCATCAAGCATCAGAACGAAAACGGGTATACTTCCGTCGTCCCGGAGATAAGTGAAGCTGATAAGCAGAATGTCGTGTTGGCTAGTCCACTGAATAGCACATACATAAAGAGTAAGCTAGATAGTATGCCGAAATGTGGGACTCGTGGGCCGTGGCGGCCGAGAGATTTCTACTTTGTGGACAAGTGGAGGGCCGAGAAATGCGATTTGAATGATGGATTGAAGTGGAAGAAGGTCAGCACTTAGTAGAGCGACTTACACGCGTAAGACCGACCTGGAACTGTTTCGGGGTTCATCATTAGGATTGATCACCCATCTTTGAAGGGTCACGATGCAATTTTCAATTTGACGTCAAATGGTGTGTGCAGAATATAGAGCAAGCTCTGAAGTACCAAGTCAGTCAACCGTCTCATTGAGACCGATAGAACAGCTAGATCTTCGCCCTCGCAGGCGCAGTCACTATTCTCCCATGAACATAACATATTCCCCTAATCTTCTCCGCCGCCTCACCCCAAAGCTCATTTCTCAACAAACTATACACTCCCATCTTAGCTTTCCCTTGAATTTCGCTCGCTTTCTTCAGCGCTACCGCTAGCATTTCCTCGGGATTCGCAACCTCATCCACAATGCCATCCTCGTATGCTGTCTTACCCGTCCATCTATGAGCTTCTAGCAACATCTTGCGTGCGATCTGTGGGTGAAGTTTGAGACGCGGGAGATAGCCGATACCCGGGAAGTGCAAACCAAGGTCTACGGGCGGCATGGAGAAGAAACCACGCGAAAAGTTCATAATACGGTAGTCGTGCGCGAGGGCGAAGGGGCAGGCGCCACCAAAGGTGTGACCGGTTAGAAGGGTAGTCGAGCAGCGTTGCTAGGAGCGGGAAGAAGCCATCGCTATTTGCAAATGGGTTGCTATCCGACTCATCCAATTCCAGACCTGTGCACCAAAACTTCTCGTCATTGCCTTTCGTTACCACACAGCCTTCTGAATCTGGGCCGAGCTCTTGCTCAATGTCTCGCAGTGCTCTTATTATTTCCTGTGTGAATCGTACGTTTAGTCGATTCTCTGGTGCCTTTTGCATGGTGATGACGAAAACGCGATCATAGCGGTCGACGCGTAGGTCAGTGTACTCTCCTAACACCATTGTGTTTGCTGGGACATAAAAGGATTTCCAAAGCGCCTACGCCCGAGTTGGGCTATCGTTGGTTCTGTGAAAGTACTTTGAGCGCGGAGATGTTTGTGACTACATTGATTCTTCCAGGATGGGACAGGATGACTGACACAAGCAAGGCGCGCCACGAAACCGATCACAATGTATTGTCGGCAGCCTAACACTAAATCACGATGAAGTATGGCTATACGCAAGAACAATTTCCCGCACAAGGTTGGTGACGACACTTGCCATTGTGAGGGCAGATGGCACATCAGCCTCGGCACGTGGGTGCGGAGATGTGGAGAACCCCTGTCATCCGAGGATACCGGTACTCGGTGGATCGCTATCGATGTTCTTGAATGGACTCGCTTGGGAGATGTACTATATTTAAGTGCATTACAAGATGGAAGTGCGAACCTTCAGCATGAAAGCGAAAGTCACACGACCCTACGACCATATACAGTATTCTTGATTGCTGCTACTATTTTCCCTCCAGACTCATGGAGGCTCCATGAAGAGAAAACAGGACATCCCACATAAACTTAAATCTTACATTGAGCAGGCGTACTCAATTTAAGTTTCCACGGTGATCCTGCCTAAGCGTCGAATGCATGCTGATCCTTTCACCAGACCTTTCCACCCAATTACAATGCTTCACATTTCTGTGGAGATCCAATTCTAGATCTAGCATTTTGACACTCGATGAGCTATACAACTATCCTAGAGGGTTGAAAACCACTTTGGGATAACGGCGAGAAGATGCTGGATGACTGAGGTCTTAAAGCTTAGAATGCTTGGAAGTATACGTTCATCGACTAAAGAGCGAATTTTGTAGTCCACATACTGCATGCCTGAACAATGCATTTCATGCATGCGAACAACGACTTTAATATCCAGCACAGCCTTTCATTCGAAGCCTTGGTCATATACATCCAGCCTCAGCCTCAGGGCAAGATCGTTCAAGATCGCGCTAGAACATTCATCGAATATTCTATATAGTGCCTACAAATGAGCGCATGCAGAGCGATTCGAAAGACGGCCCACGCCGTCCTTTGTTCACCACACACGCGATCCTAGTGGCGCCGAGTTGCCCAATCATGGATACATCTTAGATTTGATATTTATAAAACCTAAACGTCGGGTTGGCGCCTCACGGGAACTGGAGTAGAGAGCCGGGTAAAGAGGTAGATAAATTAAAGGTCCGCACACTTACCCGGCTTGCATGGTCTTGGCTAATGTATCATAAACAGGAGATCATACCGCTCTTGGACGAACATCCGTTCGATGCAGTCGCTAAAGACTTTAAGGCAAGTTCGTAATACATTTTGCTGAATGAAGTACTACAGATACGCCCCCTCGGCGCTTCACCTGTGCAATGTCAATGCTTCAACTCTAAGCACTTGGACGATTTTCATGTTATTGAGCTTATATGACGGCCCGACGGTACCGTATATCGATGATTAAGATGAGTGTTGGAAGTTGGCTGGGGATACATGCATCAAGCATCTTGGAGTCATAGCACATGGTCTTCTGTGTCTTTCCTGCGGCACGCCATGTCTAATAACACGGTGTATATAAGACCTGGGTACCTACCTTTTATCCTATCACCCAGCGCCACCTTGAGGTCCTTCGTTCATTCTCTCAAGCCCTTCAACATGGTGCAATTCACCCAGTTCGTCCTCGCCACCGCCGCTTTGGCCGGCGCAGTATCTGCAGCCCCGAAGCCACCACCAGCCAGTAATGTGACTGTAAACCCTTGGATCAACACGGACCGCTACGTTGTCCAGTCCTACGGCAAGAAACTCAATCAAACCATTGCTTCTTTCGAGGCCAAGAAGGATACGCTCAACGCTGCTCGTACCCGCACTGTTGCACAGAAGATCTCCACCTTCACATGGGTCACCACGCGCGCCGGACTTACTGGTATCACTACCGCCATCAAGGAAGCCCGCTCTCAGAAAAAGGGCCGCAAGAAGGTCATCGTCGGTCTCGTATTGTACAATCTTCCCGACCGTGACTGCTCAGCTGGCGAGTCAGCTGGCGAGCTTCGCAGCGACAAAGATGGCTTGAACATCTACAAGAAAGACTTCGTCGACCCATACGCAAAACTCGTTTCCGCAGCCAAGGACTTGGAATTCGCTATCGTGCTTGAGCCGGATTCCCTGGGCAACGCAATCACGAATCAGGGCATCCCGTTATGTGCCAATGCCACCCCGATCTACGAAGAGGGCATTGCATACGCAATCTCGAAGCTTCAGTATCCCAACGTGCATCTGTACATCGACGCTGCGCATGGGGGCTGGCTAGGCTGGGCCGACAAACTAAAGCCCACCGCTCAAATCTTCGCAAAGGTCGTTGCGATGGCGAAGAAGATCAACCCTGCGGCAAAGATCCGGGGTTACGCTACCAATGTGTCAAACTATAACCCCCTCAACGCCAAAGTTCGTGAGAACTACACCGAGTGGTCGCCGTCGTGGGATGAGTCGCACTACGCGTCTTCTCTTGCGCCGCTCCTTGAGGCTGAGGGCTTGCCGAGTAACTTCATCATTGATCAGGGCCGTGTTGCGCTGCCGGGCGCAAGGTCGGAATGGGGTGCGTGGTGCAATGTTGAACCTGCAGGCTTTGGTGCACTGCCGGGGAGCACAAGCAACAACACACATATTGACAGCATTGTCTGGATCAAGCCAGGCGGTGAGAGTGATGGCCGCTGTGGATTGGAGGGTGCCCCAGCTGCTGGTGCGTGGTTTGATGAGTATGTCCAGATGCTGGTCAAGAACGCCGACCCGCCGCTTGCGCCAACGTACGTGAAGAAGCCAAAGCCTGAATGGTAGGCTTATGAGTGTAATAGGTCGATAGACAAGAAAGTGTACATAGACCAATAGATTAAAGATGTGTATTTTAGTCCTTTCACTTGCGACATCTTACACGACGGTACACCTAACAAGTAGGGGTGTTCTGATCGAAGAGAATAACATGAAATAAAGTTGGTGCTCTTTCGTATTCCTTAGCAGGTTTTTTGGTCGGTGGCGGTAATGCATGTGCCAGTGATGTGGTGTACAGAGGTCCAAGACGTACGCCTGGAGCACTTCACGTAGCTTTCAGATTTTGTGTAACAACTGCATAAATCCACGAAGTTTTCATGGCATGTAAATGAATATATGCTGGGCGTACCACAACCTTACGTGTAGGATCCACATGCAACGCAGTGAAAGTAGGCGGACGATGCGTTATATTTGGTTTCATACGTGCTAAGTGGGAATAACATCGATCGAGATCCTCTGTTCCCGAATTTGGAGCTAGATAGACAACTAGATCGGTGCGGGAGCGAGCAAGGGACCACTGTGCTCGCTGGAAACCCGGGATCCGAGGGATGGTCATTGTGATGGTAGCGAGAGGTTTCGACCAACAATAGCGGGCCGCGGGATCGAAGAACATGGGTGTATATCAAGGCGTGTGGGAATAAGGGATTCTAACTGGCGCACAGGACGATACAGTGCTGGGGTGAACCTGCGGGACTTGACCCCAAGGAGCAATGTTCTCGAAGCTGATGTTCCTTGGTGTATGCCTGGTTGGATAACAAGTTGGTTGCACTAGCACTTCTGCCCCAAGCGAAGGAATATGTGGCTAGGCTGTCGTCAGCGTTATAGGTTGTACTACTTTGGTATTAGTAGTTGGGCAACAAATGCAAAGGCCTGCCGACAAGGTATTTAGATTTGCCCTGCGTTTGTTTGCTCCACTCGGACGGGTAGCCAGCATAGATTAAGAAGCAAAAGATGGTATTCTTCCAATAGACGGTGCTGGAGGCCCCCCAATGCAGCAAGGCGGGATATTGGATCGTTCTGCCTAGTTGGGAAAGACGCCGAAGACGACGCTCCCCTTGGTCACCCCTCCCCAGTATTGCGCCAACCAGACGATCCTCAACGGTATCCTTGCACCAGGGTCCTGGTACTGGTAATAAGCTGAAAAGCATCTGCACCAACCCAATATTGCAGGACACGAGTTTTTCTGCCTAGATGGCCCAGCGGCAACAAACTAGCCGCTTGGACCACGCGACCGCAACGTCCAGTCCATGGTAACGGTGTTTGAGCCCCGCTGTATCACCGTGGGGTGAGGGGACACTTCCAGGGCCATGACGCTGTGGTGTTGCCATAGGACGTGGTTGATGTATAGAGGATGCTTGGCGATATGCGCAATCCATCTTCCGGGCATTGTCATCCAAGTCGATCAAGAGGTCAAGCAATGATGGACACGCCACAGAGTCATCGCGAGCAGGCGCAAGCATTACAAGCAAACGAGGAGGGCGAAGAAGCTTCGACCCGCGCCATGTCGCGTCCAGGGTGGTTGAGAGAGAGTGCTTCCGGCATCCAAGACTAGCGCCCACGTTCATCTTATAAGTGATGTGATTGGTCAACACCAGCTTCTCTCCAACGATGCATTCGACGACAAACGCCCCACAACGCAGAAGTCCAGGAGCGCGAGAGGACTGCAGCCGCGACTAGACAAGCCTTTGTGGCGGCCTGGGCTTGCGACAGAGCCCGTCACTCGTTAATGGGCCCGAAACACCGCGGACTCTCCGAGTTGGACACTGCAAGTCTGGCAGGCGTGCTGGTATGGCGGCTCCTCATTCGTCGAACCGCCGCTTCTTCTATTGCAGATAAGCAGTGCCCTGGGACTTGGACAACGCCTCGCCCAGCATGTATATAGCTTGGCCTGGCACTCAATTTATCCTCTTCAGTCAGCTCGCTCCTTTCCTTCCCGCAGTCAAGCCTCGTTTAATTCCTTGACTCTGTCTCGGCAAAGCTTCACCATGGCCACCAAGACGGCCGGAGGCAATAATGCCTTTCACAATTTCCACAAGTTAGTAGCATTCACATACATATACACAGGATACCCTTAGAACATGCACTAACTTTAATCCTAGCGACTTCGCGCACATCGAAGATCCCAATGAGCGTCGACGTCTCGCGCTCGCGGAAATCGACAAGGCGCCATTTGGATGGTACCATATCCGGGCCATTCTCGTTGCTGGCACTGGCTTCTTCACCGACAGCTATGACATCTTCTGCGTGTCGCTGTTGACCATCATGTTGGGCATCGTATACAAGCACGACAACAAGGGCACCCTCACGACTCAACAAGATACCGCCATCAAGCTGTCGACATCTGCTGGCACCGTCATTGGCCAATTGTAAGCGTCCATGTACGAATTGCATGTGAGACAGGCACTGACTTTCCTTAGTGGTTTCGGTGCGCTCGCTGATATCGTCGGCCGCAAAAAGATGTATGGACTCGAATTGATTCTAATTATCATCGCCACGCTCGCCCAGTCACTCGTTGGTCCTGGCCCAGGAACTTCAGTCGTTGGTCTGATCATTTTCTGGCGTGTGCTCATGGGTATCGGTAAGTCTCGTCATCACCTGCCTAATCGGGAAAAGGGCTAATCTCAAATAGGTATTGGCGGTGATTACCCTCTATCGAGTATCATCACCTCTGAGTTCGCTACCACCAAGTGGCGAGGTGCCATGATGGGCGCGGTTTTCGCCATGCAAGGCTTTGGCCAGCTTGGTGGTGCTCTCGTCATGCTTTGCCTCGTTGCTGGTTTCAAGCACAAGTTGGAACCTGCGAGCGGTTACGGCACCTGCACTGGCGATTGCCAGATTGCTGTCGATAAGATGTGGCGAGCCCTCATCGGAATTGGAGTGGTTCGTATACCTCCTGGGTCGGTTATGGGACTTTCAAACTAACTCCGTATTCGTACTAGGTTCCTGCATGCATCGCTCTTTACTACCGCCTCACCATACCCGAAACTCCTAGGTATACCTTCGACGTCGCTCGTGATGTCGAGAAGGGTAACGAGGACGCAAAGCACTACCTTTCTGGTAAGAAAGGCGAAGGATCACCGGACGAGATTACCCAGGTGCAGGCTCGCCGTCAATCTGTCGCACAGCTCGATGTCCCTAAAGCTTCATTCGGGGACTTCTTCAGGTTTTACGGAAAGCTCAAGAACGGCAAGATCCTTTTCGGAACCGCCATGTCGTGGCTTCTGCTTGATGTCGCCTTTGTAAGTGTTCACGTGCGATGTATATATGAATCATACGCTAACTTTCATTAGTACGGTCTTGGTCTGAACTCGTCCACGGTCCTTCAAGCAATCGGCTACGCTGGCGGAGACAATCTCTACCACAAACTCTTCAGATTGGCTGCAGGTAACTGCATCCTCGTCTGCGCAGGCGCCATCCCCGGATACTGGCTTGCTGTTGCCACCATCGATACTGTTGGACGCAAGCCCCTCCAACTTGCTGGTTTTACCTTACTCACAATCCTCTTCATCATTTGGGGATTTGCCTACCATCACCTCAGCGGCCACGCCATGCTGGGCATCTACATTCTGATCCAACTCTTCTTCAACTGGGGTCCAAACTCCACTACCTTCATCGTCCCCGGCGAGTGCTTCCCAACCCGCTACCGTTCCACGTCGCACGGTATCTCTGCTGGTATGGGTAAGATTGGTTCGATCATTGCCCAGGGTGCCATTGCACCTCTACGAACCCGTGGCGCTACTGCCAAAGTCGCCAGCCCATGGCTCAACCACGTCATGCAAATCTTCGCTGCTTTCATGTTCGCCGGTATCTTTACCACTCTTCTGATACCAGAAACAAAGCGGAGGACGCTAGAAGACTTGGCTCAGGACTGGGATATGGGCAATGAGAGCATTACTGGTGGTGAGCATGCGAAGCATGTCAACCGTAGCAGTGACGAAGGTGTCACGGAGATCAAGTCTTAGAGTCTCAAGTGATCTGTCGCTCTTTCCATCGCTGGTCGGAGGACAAACATACCATATCATTCATGTATCATACATCCCCCTAGACCTTAATATCATCTCACACGTGTGGTGCATACACTTTCACTACTTTTTGCAAGTGCCCATCAATTGCTGACCTCTAATCTCTTGTGAACGATCTACATCTAGAGACACAAACTACTGTTAAGATTCGATTTGTACTGGCCAAGTTATATCATGTCTCTGCTCTTTGACAATCCGTAACATTCTAGTCTACAGAAGTGTAGCCAAGGAACATAACTACACAGGTATCCTCAGAGAAGCGCAACATAGTTAAAGTGAAGGTGCTGAAATCCTCCTAGCTCTTATATTGTTAGTCAAGTAAAGGTGTTGAAGTCCTCCTAGCTTCTATACTATTAGTTCAAGTAAAAGTGTTAGATTCCTTCTAGCTCCTGCATTGTATGCTAAATCTTTGATGTGTGAGGAGTGCTGTAGGGTGATTTCCAGGCAAATTCAACTTTCTCTCATACCTATCATCTCAAAACAGCGTCATCAGGACGAAAACCACTGTACTCAGCCATATTTATCCTCTTGGCGACTTCACCATTCACCTCATCACGCGGGTCGAAGTCCCTTCTTCAACAGATGTGCTCGCACTTGCTGGGGAGGCGCACCGTCAGGAGATGGCGGAGAATTCGCCTTTGGTTGTGAAGACTCTGGTGTGGAATTTTGTGCGTTTGGATTCCTCGGTGGGCTTTGATCCGATTCAGGCTCCCGCGTGTGCTGCTGTGAGTCCTGTGGTTGAGGTCGCTGGGACGCTTGTGGACGCTTCGGCGATTGAGGAGACTTCGACCCTTCTGGTGGAGTAAGTGTCGCATCATACTTAGCACGCAACACAGCATCGCTCAGAACTTCGTAGGCATTGTTGACGGCCTTCATCTTGTTCTCGCCGGCAACCTGTACATAATCTGGTTCGTTGATGAGCTTGTCTGGGTGGAACTTCAGAGACATCTTTCGCCGGGCTGCTTTGAGGTCCTCGAAGGTGGCATTTGATGGAATGTCGAGGATCTGGTAATAGCACACCTTAACCTGTATTCCCTGGTTCTGCATAACGGGTAGCGTCAGTGGGTTGATTTGGTGCTTACCCTGGGAATGCTACTGCTAGTAAGAACTAAGGAGCCTTACTTATGTGGGAAGGCGAATGCTGGGTAGCTTTTCCTGGTGAAAGGCTCTGGCCGAAGAGACATGGAGGAACAGAACAAGTGAAACGCTGAGGCACCCCCCAGCAACTACTACAGCATACCAATATTGTGTGTGAACGTCTCTTCCCAGGGATTTGATCGTCGAGGGAACGTCATCTAGCACTTCAAATAAGAAAAATGGCCATTTCACTTCCCGGTGCACCTGTTGACGTCTGGGATTTATGCTTTCACTACGAGATTGGTCCTGGAGCATCTTCAATAAGTTCTTCTGGCGTTGTTCCACGGATTGGAACATGCAACCTTAGTGCCCATTCACCACATCGATGGAAGCGTTATTTAGTACTAGTGACGGACTATAAGCTAGAGAGGGTTTATAAGCACTGTCAGGGATTAGCTGCGATTACCGGAAGAGATCTAAAGGACCTCGGCTTTAGCTTCCATTGAGAAGTATGCAGGATCACGCCTAGCTATAACACCCTGGTATCCCCTAGTTGTCGCCATTTCGGTATGATATGCGCTCAAGTAGCCTTGATTTTAGCGAACTAGGGTTTGGTTATAAGTGTATGTATTGAGCTGTCGAAGCAAGGCTCATACTCCTTTGATATTTTCGATGTGGATTTCTATCCCTCGGCATTTCAATGAACGTATTCGAGAATCAAAGCTTTCTTGTACTCAATAACATCAGGAAGTACCAGCATCGAGTGTGTAGCAATCGAAGGGGATATGGAGTGAGAGGGCGCGGTATCATGGCTGCGGCCGCGGAGCCACGAACGGCATCCTCAACCGAGTTATGGGTTTAGCATCTCAGCCACATACGAGCCTTGCGAAATAATAGATCAAGTTGCAATGCCAGCACTGGTGGAAGTTGATGGCACAGACGTCGTTCCCCAGCATCCCCGCTGAGCCAAGAGCCAAGATCCAAAGGCCAAGAGCACGCGAACTTCCTCTTCCAGCTGGGGAATCTGGGGTCCCATTCTTCCACCACTCACCACTATGCTCTCCAGCCACAGGCCCAGCATGATGCATCATCATCTTATATTCGTGAGGCGCGATGCCATCTCGGTTAAGATGAGCTGCAGCTTCACAACAACGATACTCAGTGCAGTACGCCATGGATCAATTTACCGGAAGAATTGCAGATGCACCAAGTCCGCGCCTGTCGGCACGCTGGTCAGCACTTGGAAGGATGCTTTGCTCCCCAGGTTAATACTTGCGTGGTATAAATAGGAAGATGATATCGCTGCTCGATATAGGCTGAATTGTCAAGAGCTTTCAAGGTCTTTCATTGACATCTCTCTCCCCGGCAAGATGAAGCTGTCAATTCTCTCTGTCTTTGCTCTCGCACTCAGTGCTTCTGCCGGACCCGCAGGATCTGGCTTCGAACTCGTTGGCTACGGCAAGGACAATCCGATCGGGCCAACGACTGGTGGTGCTGGTAAAGACGGCAAGACTGTTACAGTCTCTACCGTTGATGAATTCCTCAAGGCTATCAATGGTAGCTCACCGACGACCATTTACGCCAAAGGCAAATTCAACTTCACAGCGCGTCCGAGAGTGGGAAGCAACAAGTCTCTCATCGGAGTTGGAAAGGGTGCCGAAATCACTGGTGCCGGCCTTACCATTGCAAACAGCACTAATGTCATTGTTCGTAACTTTGTCATTCGGGCTATTGTCGACAACGATGCCATTACTATCTCGAACAGCAGTCGTGTATGGATAGACCATAACGAGTTTACGTCCGGCAACTTTCCCGCGGCCGGCCCTGATGCGTTTGACGGCCAAGTCGACATTATCCGCGCCAGTGACTGGATCACAGTGTCTTGGAACTACTTCCACGATCACTGGAAGAGCTCTCTCATTGGCAACAATGATAAGTTTAGGGACATTGACCTAGGCCACTTGCACGTCACCTACCACCACAACTACTGGCGCAATGAAGGCACGCGAGGCCCTGCTGGACGATTTGGCCATCAGCACATCTACAACAATCTGTACGAAGATTTCCTGTACCAAGCGATCCACAGCCGCAGCGACAACCAGGTACTCGTTGAAGGCAACATTTTTTCCGGCAAGACGAGGGAGGCCTTGAGCACATACGGCTTGGTTATTCCAGAAGACAGCCCTAACACGGGCCCGAACGGCGATTATGAGCTTGACGGGTTCGCCAACCTCGGTGCTAGTAAGTTGGCCTTTTTCTTCTGCCAATTTGTGTGGTGGTGTGCGATAGCTGACTGTATGTTTAGAAAACGATTTTGGAAAAGCAACCGTCAACATCACTCAAGTCGGAAACTTCACACAGGCGCCGTACAAGTACAAGCTCACTACGCTGAAGAAGCTGGAGAAGGTTGTCAAGAAGGGTGCTGGTCTTGGTAAGATCTAAGGATGATGTAGCTGCAGCAAATGGGAGGTCACAGTTAGACTCTTTAATTGTAATAGACATAGCGATATTAGACTATCGAAGTTAATGTCTTATTGGTTAATTCATCTTACAACCGTCCTTATCATACTCATAGGCGAGTCGTCGCTACCTGAGAAGGTAGCACACATATCTGTAAGCGTTTGAGAGAATTCTGTAGTGACTACAGTAGATTTTACACGTAATAAATATGCCTCTGTTCGCCCAAGTGGTCATCTACTCAGAAAGTACAATATTAGTACACTTCACTCTCTAACCCATATACCCTCAGGCATGTGCCGGTGCGCCACCCTTGGGCGCCTGTCCCTGTGGTGTATTCGGTGCACTTCCCTGACTTCCCAACTCGTCAATGGCAGTCTCATACTCCGCGCTGCTCATCTCCGTACTACTGCCGTCGTCCTGCTGCCCGCTGAACATCTGGGCACGCATGGCCTGCTCATTCTCAATTTGGCTGGCAGCCCATCTCTTCCAGTTCTCCCAAGACTGATCTTCGAGCTGCATGCCGATCTCAAGGGGTCCTTTGCCAAAGTAGGCACCGACATGGAGGGCTTCTTCTTTGGCGATGCGTGACCGGATTTCGGAGAGGTGGCGGTGGGAATAGAATTCGCGGCGTGCCTGATCGTAGGCAGAGGCTTTGGAGAGGGAACGGTGCTTCATGAGCCACATCTGGCGCTGGACGACGCTGTCAAGCATCAGTATCACTGCAGGCCTAACGAGGCACGAGTGTCGAGGATGGCTTACCTTTCGCCATCCAACTGTTTCCCCGGCTGCACAATCTTACTCCAGTCGAATCTCTTTGCATCATTCCCGCTGTCTTCGACGACTAATCTCGGTCGTGCCAGTTCCCACGGGTGGTCGCCGAAGAAGTCTGATCGCAGCTTGTCCTCTGGGTATGCAATGGGTAAAGGCTTGAATAGTTGGCTGGCTTTGCGTGCGTGGCGAGGCTTCGGTATACGCAGAACCGGTCGTGCGAGCGTCTCTCCTGGCGGTATGTTGCCGACTACATCGTACCACTGCGGTAGATTGGGATTTCGTTTGGCGTCGAAGAGGGCCTTTGCCGTCTGGCGCACGCGAAGGGGACGGAAGTCGTAGCGGCCCATGGCGGGCAAGGATGTGTGATTGTGTACTCGAGGCTACTCTCGCATATGGCCAAGAAGTTAGAGGCGCAGGGAGAGCGTAGCGACTGGATCGAAGGCGCAATGGGTGTTGAGTATGGCCTGGTTCAACTTTCTGGAATGCACGAGCTCCGAGGTTTCAGCGCCAAGACCGAGACATGGATATCGACGCGGCGGAAATCTTTTATCTAGATGCTAGCTCTACAACATATCAATCACCAACCCAGCACCCGTATTGTCCGTCGCGAAGGCCTTGACTGTGCCCATCGTAGTCAATTGCAATTCGAATACCCTAATGGAACACGTCCGAGCCGGTTCCCGCTGACACGATGCTCGACCTCTCATGTCCCTCCTCCGCACCCTCGACCGGACCTCCGCAGTCTCGAATATCGCCCACGCACGCCCAATCCTTAGGTTCTTGTGTCCTTTCTTGGATACCAAGACTCCAAAGCGCAGCTTTCACAATGGTGCAATGACCCGTCGGCCCCGCCTGACCACTTCGCGCCAGCACATGGACAACTTCTTCATTCAGGCACTAGTGCGAGCAGGCTCATGTCAGGAGCACGCGAAGCAGCCCTCCGCTCTCCGCACCCTGGTTTCGTCTTCATCCTCCCATCACAAGCCACGACGGAAGAGCACGTTGCAGAAGCATGGCGATAGCGCGTTGCATACTGGGAGGGCAGATAGCAAGGGGCCAATGCACAGGGTCAGGACCTTTGCCGAGAAGGAATTGAAGGCCTTGGTGGATTATTACGGCATCGAATTAGATACAAAGCCGGAAGAAAAGGTACAAGATGCCGGAAACCTGATATGGAATGTTGGAGACACTCACGAACCTTGGCCGCTCCGCGACCAAGCTGACGCTGTGCATATAAAACGGCTAGAAAAGCTACTACAAGATGAAGAAGCGCCCCACGACCATGTATTCGACACTTACAAGAAGCTCCAGTCGCCTGGGGTTGTATACCTCAAGACCGAAACGATCCGCGCTCTACTGCACCACCTCTCCATCGTCGAACGCCCCTCGCCCGTAGCAATGCAACGTTTCCTTTCCATCCTAGACGACATGAAGACGGCGCATATACATATCATCCGCTCAGAGTGGACATCGGCCATCCACTTCGCCGGCCGCGCCATGGGCAATGTTTCCGCAGACAACCTTCAATCCGCCCTGTATATCTGGCGAGATATGGAGCATCGAGCTGGCATCAAAGGCGGCTTCGTGACGTTGAACGTGCTCTTTAACGTGGCGGTCCAAGCAGGGAAGTACACCTTGGCAGAAACACTTATGAAGGAGATGCAAGCGCGCAAGCTGGAGCTGCATCGCTACTTCCGTGTCTCGCTTATCTACTACTACGGCGTTCTACAGAATGGGGATGCGGTCAGGAAAACATACCAGGAGCTTGTCACAGCTGGCGAAATCGTCGACACGGTTGTCATGAATGCCGTCATCGCCTCCCTAATCCGCGCTGGTGAGCCTGAGGCCGCAGAACATGTCTTTGAGCGCATGAAGCGCCTGAACGCTGAAAGGGCAGCTCCCGCGCCTGGTCACAGATTCTTTATGCGTCATTGGCGGGATAGAAGACTCTTAGCTCAACACCTGACGTATGAAGCTCGCCGACTTAACAAATTGGGAGACGAAGAGGAACTCAAAAAACTCCAAGACTTTGCTCCTATTGCACCAGACTCGAGAACGTATGCATTGCTCATCCGGCATCAGGCGACTACGGCAGGAAACATCGATCGCGTAGACGAGCTACTCCGAGAAATGCGCTACAACTCCATTCCCCTCGAAGGTACAATATTTATCGTCATCTTCCACGGTTTCAACTCGTTCGGTGGCGTACGGTACACCTCTTGGACTCCCGACAAGCTTGAGAAGATATGGACGCAATACCTGAAAGCCCTCAATAACAAACTGGAACGCACATGGCTCTCTAGTTTGTCTATTATCGCGGCACTCAAAGCATTCAGCAGATGTACAGATGCGGAGCGCACACTAAAAGCTTGGCAAGAGATCAGGAAGCTGTGGCAACCAAATGAGGAGGAATTAGAGAACGTGATGAGAGCTTTGAGGAGGTTGGTTCCAAGCCAGGGAGAGGGTTTCTTTGATGAGAACCCTGATAGTAAGATATGAGCTGTGTACTTATTACGTGTACGTGTATATGGGTGGTGTCTTGTACAAACCCTGTCTAAGGAGAAACTGCGTCCTATCATGGACCAATGTTATTGATCACAACTACATTACACGGAGTCTGTGCTTTTTTTGTGATGATACTCAAGTATCGCCTCATCTTTAAAGCTCTAATCACAACTTCGACTTGGACTTCGCCTTCTCGGCCGCCCTGTGTATCTTCAAAGCCTCCCGTACACCAAGATCAATTAACACGTCTTCCGAGCCACCCGGCACAACAAAGCTAGGTACGGCACGGTAAAATGACTCTATGCGGGCGCCTTGGCCAGTTTTGGTGAGTCCGAGACTGCGTCATCGTCAGAATTGAATCCAACTGCAAGGTAAGAGAGAGGAATCGACAGTGACATGACTTACCCGCCCATGATTTTCAAGCACTCCTCAGCAACATACTTGCACACGATGCCACTCTCGACCTTTAGCAATGCCGTGGTGCCGCCAAGTAGCCTCGCGCCATCCGCATCACTCAGATTCTCCAGCTCGTAGATGATCTGCTCGGTCCACGCTTGTAAACTTTCAATCATGCGGCCCATGTTTCCGAATTTGTTGCGGACGACAGGCTGCTCAATCAGCGTCTTGTCAAATGCCTCTCGTTTGATCGCCCAAGCAAACGCATCATGAATCGCCACTCTGCAACCTCGAATAGCCTGGAACGCGATCCAAAGGCGCTCGTGGTTGAAGTTGACCATAGTTTGCTTGAAGCCTTCGCCCTCTTTGCCGATGAGATACTCGACCGGTACTTTGACGTCCTCGAACGTAACGTACGTTGTAGCCGACAGCGGCCCAGCAATGACATCCAGTTTGCGTGTTCGCAGACCTTCAGAGCGGGGAATCAGAAGCATTGAAATTCCGCTCGCGCCAGGTCCGCCAGTGCGGACGGCAGTCATGAAGTAATCGCTAAACATGCCATTTGTGATCCACTTCTTCTCGCCGTTGACGATGTAGTGTTTTCCATCTGGGGTTTTCTCGGCTGTTGTCTTGATGTTGCGCACGTCACTACCTGCATCTGGCTCGGTCACCGCAAGACAGATCCTCTTCTCTCCCGACAAAATCTCTGGGAATATCTTGTCCTGCAATTGCTGGCTTGCAAATTTGAGTAGCGGGGGCGCGCCGACGACGAGGCCGATGAAGATGGATGCTAGTCCACCAGAGCGAATTAACTCATCCCAAAGGACGAAGTCGTGGAAGCCGTCCCATTCCTCGGGCTTGATACCGGCTATGATGGGGTACTTTGACCATTGGGGTGGGATCGACTTGCCAAACGCAATGGGCACGAGAAGGCCTGCTTGAGCGCATTTGCTGTAAATGGCTGGGTCAACAGCACCGGTATTGAGCCAGTCTTCGGTGTGTGGAGCGATGTTCTGGGGTTGTTAACCATGCATCCGTTGACTGATGGTAGTTGGCAGTTGATGAATGATTTCAGAAGTGTTAAATAACGGGCTTTCGTACCTCTTCACACCAATTCCTGATAGCATCGCGGAGCTTCCTATGGCTGTCATTGTAGTATGCTGACGGGCGTCCAGTGTACCTAGTGCTCTGTCAGTTCCTAAATCACCCTCTACGTAACGCTTTCCAGACTGACCAGGCCGGCTCTGCCCAAGGCAGTGAGCTTCCATACGGCGCTGACAATCTGCTAGCCATTGTCTGCTAGTACTAGGGAATGCTATCAATTTACATGAAAAAACGGCCGAGATATTATGGGTGAGCTCCCACACTCCTTAGAAGCTCAACTCCATGCTGTTTTGATCGACGTTAACCAACGAAACTGAGCGAGTAAGACGTTATGACGAAGCCGAGGCTCCCCGCTTTATCTGAGCGCACCCTCATAGCGGTACTTTTCAGTACCACGCCCCTGAGATGATGTAGGTTGGGATTGTACGTGCATCTCAGGTCGCAATCCAAGGGTGAGATCTCCTGCAAACTATGATGTTTTGTGGAAATCAGGAGGTGCAGCGGAGGACGCGTGTTCACGTGACTTTTGAGAAGAGGTGCCGTGATGACCTTAAACGATAACTGGAGTTATGATGTCACCTCGTGATAGAAGTGACAGTCGATCAGGAAAAAGGTGAACAGATCGGCTAAATGTTACCGAGAGCTGCCCGTGACAATCGCTTGCCGTTGGTCGTCGCTCGTCCCATCTTCCTCGCGCGTACTGCGCCTATCAGACGGATCGAGCACTGATACTACCGGTATTGTGCAACCATACGCTGTTAACTATGAACTATATCGTTCGCGAGGTGGTGATTCCGCAGATAGTTGACTGGGGTGGCTTGCTGAGTGGAAAGACGGACATTCTTGTTGGTCCAATACGAAGCCCCAATTCTTCATTACAGGGATTTGTGAGCCTGGGCCAACGTATCAACCCGTTGTCCTGATGATACCGCCGCGGACCGTCGGTCAGTGCTCATGTCCGTATGGATGTCACCTCCAGAATCCTGCAATCCTTCATCGATCGATTATTGTCGAAGCGAAGAATATCCTGCATGACCGTCTTTCAGACCATTGAGCTGGTGGGTAGCGCGCAACGTTGACATCGCATATCTGGAAATGTACGCTTATTAAGAGGCAATCACCCTTGGTCTCTGAACTATTCTTGCAACTGTAATTTTGCAGCCTTGCAATGTTTCGACGCGTGCCACGACACGAACCCACCAGACTCCGCTTTTTAAAGGTGCAAGTACCCGGATCGTCGGGCTTTTGCTTTAAATCTCCTGAAGCTTGGGGCACCAGTCCCTGCTAGTTGAGGGTGTCGTACCATCCCTACCCTCCTATATTCACCGCAAGTATTACCGCATTCTCTCAACGGCGTGAGGGGTTGTAACAAGCGACAAACATCAATACCTAGTAAGGACTAGGACGCATAAAGACACACGATCAACACACCTGCAGAACTGCATTGGAGATCGGAAACAAGATGGAACCTGCAGCATGGATAAAGCACTTGCATAGATCTGTACCTAGTAGGCTTTGCCGCATTCCCGCCAAGGACCTGTCAAGTTCGAATACTTATCGTTAGCGTGCCACCTGCACCATGTACCGATGGTGGAACCCCTGCAAAGACGGCACAACTTGAAGCAAGCGTAGGATCGAGCTTGAATCGTGAACCTCCGTGCACATGAAGAGAACAACGGTCTCATCGCTCGTCAAGACCCGCAGTCCCGACACACTCGGTCGGTGGAACTGGGGCTATATTACTTGCCTACCTGCCTTCTCCTGCAGCAAGGCCGGGTATTGCTGTCAGCAAGACGTCCGATAAGATGTCGAGCTTCCAAGAGCTAATCATGTCGGTGATTCTGAACCCGCCAGACGAAAATGAGCCGCTGCCCTTGTCGAATCGAAAGGCCACCATCTTGGGCACCACCATCACCTTCTTGGTACGACAAGCCCCGAAGTAAACATCGCAGTAAATACTCATGATACGTACAGATCGCATCATGGATAGCAGTTCTTTTCCGCCTCTGGGTCCGCTTTCGAATAGTTCGTGAACCAGGCTTAGATGACGCATTTATCCTCCTAGCTGCGGTACGCAGAATCCGTGTTAAACACGATTTAAGAACTAGCACTAACTATCCCTCTTAGATGACCAACACCGTGGCATCCACTTGCGTCTGTCTCTGTAAGCCTCAGCTCCACATGGCATGGACTATACTAACGCTTACAGCCGTCTATCATGGACTTGGGCAGCATATGCTGTATCTTGGTATCCCCAAGATGGAGGGATTCCTAGTGGTATGTTCGACCGACTCGTAGAAGCATCATCGCTGACGAGAACAGCTCTTCTATATCGAACACAACGTGTATATAACGGAAACCGCCCTAATCAAGGTGTCGCTCCTCCTGCAATACTTCCGCATCTTCAAGGCCGGCATTATGCGCAAGATATGTATCGGCCTCTTAGTTCTTGTCAGCCTCTGGGGGCTTGGCTTCTCCATCGTGGGCTGGTTCCCATGCTTTCCAGTTCGAGGATTTTGGCAGCGCACAATTGGTGCCAAGTGCTATGGTTTCGGCTTCGGCAACGTGCAGAGCTTCATTGCGATGTTCAAAGCCCATTCAGCTTCGAACATGGTTCTTGATTTCATCATCTTCTTAACCCCACTGGTGTTGTTCCGTACGCCGCATCTAAGGGTCAAGAATGTGCTGGCCATGACTGGTGTGTTCGCTTTTGGTGCTATGTAGGTTCTTACCTATTTTACTCGTCCCCCTTATGCATAAGCTTTACTAACACTCCTATAGTGTAGTTTCTACTTCAGTATGGCGCCTCTATTCCATTGTCGCCCACCGCGCCGCAACCTACCCTTACCTTGACATTACTTGGTTCTCGCCCACCATGGTCATTCTGACCTGTATCGAAATCAACCTCGCCCTCATCTGCGCCTCCATGCCCATATTCTGGCCCGTCATCGAAAAGTCCTTTGCCTCCATATTGGTTAGCTACGAGCTGGAAATTGTGGAAGAGCGAGTGGATGACCATGGCCTCGCGTATGAGCTGGAGCATATGCGGGACAGAGAGGGCAGTGTGAAGAGTAGTGCGACAAGTACAAGGGAGTTGACACAGCATGATGATGAGGACGGAGACATGGCGAGGAAGGTGTACACAGTGGGACTTGATCCGCTAAGTGAGAAGGCGAGAACAACTGGCCTGGTGACAGATGTCAGAAGTAAACCGAAGCCGAAGTGGGAGCTGTAGAATATCGAGATCCTTCCTTCCACTCCCGTACCCTATGCGGTTCCTCATTTCTCATCAGTGAACATGATCTGATAAGTGGTGCGACTCAACGCCCTATGCTAACGAACGGTAGACATCTCGACTTCTGAAGGGAATCTTTGGTTTTGTTGAGTCTATACAACAGGAGTGTTTCCACTTCAGTGTTCCATGATCCGAATAGAATGTCAACCCAGCCATAACCACCGTTGAAACAAGTTCCTATCTCACACCCCACGTGGCGAACTTTAGAATATACCTAGGAAAAGCACTACTGCTACTCCGTCTGATGCGCGGACGACCAATCAGAGTCTTCTTAGCGTCAATCTTATTCATTTCACTGTTTTACTTCTTTACGATTTCAAGTTAAGCTTCTCACAACTGTGAAATTAACTACTTTGTTTTGTCCATCTCTCCTCACTTGAAACGATCCTTCTTCTCCCCTATTCAGTCGATGGAGGGCCGGATACTGCCTCTACAATAAAGCTAATAGCCGAATTTCTGTAGCCTTGGACCGCGCATCGAGTTTCAATTGTATATCGCGAACTGGGCGTACTATACTTCGAGGTTCATGAAATCGTTGCTTATACAACACATTCGGCTACGTCTTCGAACATGTGCATAGCTACGTGCAGTCCAGATCTGACTGACTTTTCATATTTACTTAGTCTATTCCATTTAGAATTTTCGACTTGCTCGCACACTTCGTAGCCGATGTTGCATATCTTTGCTGCTAAGCAACCACATATTTTCATTCTCGGTTTCCCGTTCACTCTCTGTGACTGCTTTCTTCAAGCTTCACACCACTGCTTTCACGTTCACCGATAGGCCATGCGCTTAGTAAGAGCAGATTGGACTCAGTTACTTTACAACCTCTCGCCGCGAGATCTACAACCTCCGACATCTCATACTACGCGCGAGTTCAAAACTACTCGTTAATCGGCACAATACTACACGTGCAAGATGGGATCGAACGAGAAGTCTCAACGGTCGAGACCCGCCCCTTCTGCAAGGCAAGAGATGACCGATATCTTGCCCACACAACTGACAAGAGCTGACTCCTCACAGCGCGGTGGCATTATCCAGCACGATTATCGTCAAGGTCGGCGCAAAACAGAAGAAATACACACTACACCGGAAGCTCCTAGTATACCATTCGGAATACTTCCGCAGCGCTCTTTCCGGAAAGTTCAGAGAGACAGACGACGGCGTCATTGTCCTTAACGATATCGACACTGATGCGTTTGATATCTTTGTCGACTGGATATATGAGACGAAGCTTCCGACAAGAATCGACACCGATGCGCCAGGAGATGGCCGAACATCTGTCAAATATCGCGCGTACGTTCTGGCGGAGAAGCTACTTGCTACCGATTTCAAGCGCATCCTAATGGATCTCATCTTCACCGTCATCCGAAACAAGCACGCGAATCCAGCCTCGGCGCTTATCATCTACGCCTTCGAGAACCTGCCGGAGAAGGATGCTATGCTTCGGCTTCTTGTCGATGCATGGTGTGTGCACGATTCTCTGAATCGTATGGGGGACGATGACAAGGCCTTATTGCCCCAGTTGCCACAGGTCTTCTTATGCGGTGTGATCATGAAGCTCAATCAACTCGGCAAGGCCACGGTGAAGAATAAGAAGCTGTGGCGTAAGGACTACATTGGAAAGGAGTTGGAAGACAGGGAGGGATATCTCAAGCATGAGCCCGTTTCGTGATTTGAGGAAGATAAAGGTAGTAGCCACGAGTTAGGCTAGGTCAAACAATCGCTGTCTTGAAACAGCGAACGACAATGACTGTAAGTTTATCACAAGACATTAATGAGTAAATGTCAACTCACACTCATCTATAGGTGGCCTACTATACCCTTCCATAGGGTATCGACCTAGTTAAGCCTACAAAGATAATGATGTAAGAGTATGAGGGAAGCGGGGTCTGTACATAGCAAAAAGAGTAAGGTCTTCCGTGCTTTGGAAGTGGGGAGTAGACGCTAGCTTACATAAGTGAGGCTCCGCTACTTGGCGTCGCGCTATGAGCTTCCCCAGCGCCATTCGTCATTTACCGCCGTGAGTAACACTTCTTTCACCTCCATCAGGTGCCGTTCCTTTGACAAAACTTTCACAACCTTTCAAGCGCAGTCGCATTAGCTTCTCGAGCTATATAGCCAAAGCAGTCACTGGAACGTTCTGACACGGACACATTAATTAACCTTGCATTCCTAGTATACTACCACAGCCTCGTGAGTTCAACAACCTACCCCATGATTCCTTCATCCACTAACCCCCCTTCAAGGATTCCTATAGTAGCCATGTCCGACGCCGAGATCGAGCAGAAGCGCGAGGAAGATGAGCGTCTTGATACCGCAGAAGACCCAACTGAGGAGGTACGATACGTCTCCCAGCTGCGCGAGCTTCCCACAGGCATCACCTGCTGCATGGGAACCTCTGGATTTGACGGATATACTCTCTTCTTGGACGTACGCTAATGCCACACTGTAGGAGGAGATCTCTGCGATGAGACGACGCGTACAAGAGATGGAGGAGGAAGCACAGAAGCTGCGCGAAATGCAGCAATCGCTCGACCACGAACGGCACGAGATGCGCGAAAGCAAAGAAGACGTCGATGCGCGAAGCGTCTTCGTTGGAAACGTGGATTATGGGGCGAGCCCTGAAGAGATCCAAGCACACTTCCAGAGCATCGGCAGCATAAACCGCGTCACAATTCTGCTCGACAAGTTCACAGGACATCCTAAAGGGTTAGTACCAAGAGGAGGTTTTCTTTGAAGATACACACAAGTTTGCTCCTGACAAGGTCGTTCTTGATCGACTGCTCCATGTAGCACCAAGCGCACAACGATATGCGCGACGTCAGCGCCACAGTTGCCTTGACGCGCATTTGACTCAGTCATTCCCCGCAAAGATCATCTTTCGCTACCTGGCAAGAGCTTGGCAGTAAGATCGGAACGCTAATGAGCGTCTGCAGGTATGCGTATGTAGAGTTCACTGAACCACACCTGGTCAATGAGGCCCTTGTGCTCGACAACAGCCAGTTCCGCAGCAGGAACCTCAAGGTATGGATTCACCACCTTTCTTACCTCCTTTCCACCTCCAGTCTCAGTCCAGGATGCTTACGTTTTCACAGGTTGTACCCAAGCGAACGAACCTTCCCGGTATGACACGAGGTGGACGCGGTGGACGAGGTGGACCTCGAGGCGGATACGGCGGTCGTGGCTCGCCATATGGCCGTGGTGGATTCGGTGGCGGCGGCGGCGGCGGTGGCTACGGTGCTCCGCGTGGAGGTGGTTATCGTGGCGGTTATCGCCCTCGAGGAGGGCCTGGATTCCGCCCGTATTAAGCCTGTCATCGGCGCGAGCACCCGATGAGTGAGAAGACTTCGGTCGCTTTTTGATTGTAGTTGGTATTGAGGATTTGTGAAAAGACAAAATTGAGCTGGGCCGCAGTCTGAGGGACTCTATTTCTGGAATTCAGGCTGAAGTGTACTATATTAAACTTGGGAAGGTTGCAACAGTATCGCCCCCGGGCTGCTGTCATCAACTGAATCTTTGTGGACATGGGGATGGGGATCTTGGAAATATTAGGGACTTAATCATCTTCATCACTACTCCTTCAAAGCGCACCGTTGCCAAATTGTCGATAAAATGTACTATGTATAGCTCCAGGGGCGATACGCCAGGAGAGAAGGAAGCTGGTATCAAAGCACTTAGATACTTTTCGCCTGTCTAAGCACGCGGGAGCTAGTATATAGCCCAAGGGCTGCTCATCTTCGAACGCCGAGCACCGTGATAGCGCGCCATAACGTCCGTAGCGCGCTGAAATCGAACTCCAAAATGCAGAATCATCATCATCTCCACTGCTCATCCAAAAAAAAAGAGTGGCCGAGGCTCCAGACTGTCATTTCCCCACCCTTCCTGCTCCCTTCTCAGATACACCACGAGCCCCACGACCATTTCTCCTCACCGTATTGCCAATGTTCTTAGTCGCCGGTTGCCTCGTAGCAACATACTACGGCGCGGGATTCTCCCTGACAACGTTGCGCACCTTCTTCTCGTACGCCGCCCGATCCTTCTTGAAGAGGTTGAAGGCGTCCGCTTGGGCTGGGGACTCAGGGTTCGGCTCGTCCAAAAGTGATTGGATCCCGAGCAGGATCTCCTTGATGGTTATAGCGGGCTTCCAGCCTTCTTCTTCGTTGAGGATGGATAGGCAGACGGTGCCGCTGGGGTAGACGTTCGGGTGGAAAAGCGGGGGTACGAATTTGCCTATTGATGAGCGTGAGCGACTTGTCTTCGAGGTGAGAGAGGATGGGCTGGGGGGTTGTGGTGTTTAAGAACGTACACTTCGGAGGCTTCGTGGGATACTCATCCGGAAATATGACTTCTAGCTTGAACAAGCCGTTTTCCCACATGGTCTTTTCCTTGCCTGGTACTCCGCAATCCCACTTCTTTAGGTCCATCATGCCGTTTGCGCCGCGCATGGGTTTGGCGAAGAAGCCGAACGGGTGATCGCGTCTCCATTGCTTCCTAGGAATGTTTGTCAGTAATAGTAGCGATTTGAGGAACGTGAGGGATGCGTACCTCTCCTCCGAGAGGCGGTTCATGCAGAGAGACATTGTGATCGGTTATGCTAAGGCTGCCGTTGCGCCTGAAGTCTAGATTTGGTAGTCTATTTGCGGTTCAGCGGCGGGCGGCGCGAGTGGTAGTCGGGAGCGAGCGTAAAGTGTGGTAGGTTGCGGAAGAAGTGATGCGGTGCGCTTATAAATCAATAGGACGTGGTGAAAGTGAGGACCAAATGCTGTAAACGTGAGGCGAACGTGAGGTGAAGTTGAGTTAGAGATGCACGTGACGGGCAACAATTATCAAAACGGCGGCGCGGACGGGCGAAGCCTAGAACAGAAGCCGCGATCTGCTCAGGTGCCCCGCGCTAAAGGCGTGCCCCCGCTTAACGCGCTGGTTGCTGATGACGGGCCGAGGCTGACGGGGTGTGTATTCGGGATGCGTGACTGGCTTCCTTCTGCATCTATCCTTCTTGGCTTTGCTCCTACACGTTGTTCTTACGTCCTTCAGCTCATAAGTGTGAAGTTGTGATTGCTTACACCATGGCGGACGCGCAGGCAACGAAGGAAGAGCCAGTGCCTTCCAGACTACCCCCTGCGACCTCCCCACCACCCGGAGTCGCATCCGATCCTGAAGAAGACGATCTCTCAGATCTCGACGATGTCCTCGACGAGTTCGCCAATACGAAGCTCGACTCCAAAGCGCCAGCGGCAGCACCGAAGTCTGAACCCGCAACTGCACCATCCTCCTCCGGTCCTGGCAGGCCTGAAGACACATCGCCCGCTGAACTCCTCCTCGAAAACGAAGATGAATTTGCGAAACAGCTACAAAAAGAGATGGAGCAGCTGCTCGGGCAAGGCGACTTCCAGAAGCAGTTTGAAGATATCATGAAGGAGATGAGCCAGGAAATGGGTGGCGCGAACCCCTTGGAGGCTACAACAGCACCGGTAGCAGCACCGGCGAAGGATGCGGGCAAGGCGACAGAAGAAGGCCCGGGTGCAACTCAGGCAGAGAAAGAGACTGCTGCCAAGGCGGAGAAGAGCTTCCAGGAGACGATCAAAAAGACCATGGAGCGCATGCAGTCCTCGTCCGACACTGCGACTTCCGCCGCCGCGTCATCCTCTCAAGACGACATGCTAGCGCAAATGCTCGCCTCCATGGAATCTGGCGGCTTCGGTGGCGAAGAAGGCGGCGATGAGGATTTCAGCAAGGTTTTGATGGGTATGATGGAGCAGTTGACGAACAGAGACATTCTATACGAGCCCATGAAAGAGCTTGACGACAAATTTCCAAAATGGATGGAGGGAAACAAGGACAAAGTCCCGAAGGACGACCTCACAAGATACGAAGAGCAACAGACCCTGGTTAGGGAGATTGTAGGTAGGTTTGAGAGAAAGGGGTATAGCGATAGTAACGCGGGGGATCGGGAGTACATTGTTGAGAGAATGCAGAAGGTATGAATTGCTCAACGCTACTTGTTTGCTGAGCATATAGTTGACTAACATACTACAGATGCAAGCCGCTGGCTCCCCACCACCTGATCTTGTGGGCGATATGAATGCTGCGCAGGAAGCGCTACAAGAGATGGATCAAGGGTGTCCGACACAGTGATCTCTTTCATACGACGACCAAGTTGCCCATCTCTTACAGATACCCAGCATGTACAAAAATCAGCACTTGAATTTTGCCTCGCTTTCCGTGGTGATCGCCTAGTCCAACCTTTTCAGCCGTGTGCTCACGACACTGCAGCCCAAGGGAACACTTGGCGATAGATCTGTGCTTTTCAACCATCCGTCATATCCATATCCATCGCGTCCATGTCTTCAACCCCTGTATTCTCGTGCGGCGGTTGCTGCTGGTAGTCCTGGTCCATGCTTGTCGCACACTCCATGAATATAGAATCGTAATCATCATCATCACTCCCGTAGTACTGCGACCTCGTGTCTGACTCCTGTTCCATCGTGGCGACCAACTGCTGCAGCTCGTACTCCTCCTGTGCAGCAATATAATCGGCCTCTGTCATCTCCTGTTCAAATTGCGGTGCGTAGTTCGGCAACTCTGGGAGTGCCGTGTCTTCTAGTGCTTCTTCGTCGATGTCGTCATACTCGGGTGGTGCTTGACGCGCTTTTTCAGCTTCCCAACGCTTGCGCTCCGACACGAAATCTAATTGTTGGATCTGTTTGTTGGTTAGCACAGTGTCCCATCTTCGTCAACATCCTTGACTATAACATACCTGCTCCCCACGCGCCTCCCACTTTTTATCCTCACGTGCAGTCTGCACGCGTCGAAAGAACATGTCTCTCCGTCTCTTCGTGGCAGCGTCGCGCGTCTGTATGATAGGATTGGCTTTATACGCGCGTTGAGGCACTGGGGGTTTCTTTTCGTTCCCCTGAGACGCCATACTGAAGTCGAATAATCGTGGGGCTGCATTCGCGGAGCGCTCGGAAAGTGGTGATGATCGCGGTGGCGTGTATGCTGGATAATGTTGCGTTGCAAGCGGTAAGAAGGAGTTCATAAGCATCATCGTGATATAGTTCGAGAGCTTTTTAGTGTGAGGGAGGGATTGCGGATGAGGATGGGCGACGTGGTTTTATGCCGATGGGGTTGGGAGGGAAGCGATGATGCGGGCAAAACGCGAACGCGAAAGGACGGCGCGATGGAGTGTGCGTATCGATAACATCACGTGACTATCTTCCACTCACAGCAACCGCGCAACAGCGAGCCTAAAAAGAAGAGAATAGGACGAACACGAATAAAAATACACAAGGCAGGTTAAAGCACTGAAAGTCAGTTTGGGCCTGAGTCTAAGTATAGGACGTCTGGCAACATTTCTAGGCTGATTTCGAAGTACTAGAAACATAGTGATGATCTCACGGTCTGCAATCTTCAGCCTTTCACATAGGCCACCGTTCGCGTTAACGGCGTCCTTGTCCCGTTCCTGACCGCTGACTACTGCCTCATCGAATGCATCGCACCGCGAGCTATATCATTCCCCTCATTGATGTCGACATCGTTGCCCGGCAGCAACTTCATCATCTTGTCGTTGGGGTCGCTGCTACTCGCACTATTGGCGCCCGGTCGTCGTAGATCCTGAAGTTCCTGTCCAACAGAATCTCGGTCCCAAGGGATAGCAAACTCTTTCTTCTCCTGTCCAGAGGTTGGTGCAGATTATGACCCCGTCTGTACTTGTCTTTCGTCTTTCCTTCTCTTCTTTGGCAATTTGACAAGACAAACCGGCTTCGCTTCAGCCAGGACATTTGACAGTCTTGAAGATTCCACCCTCGAGCTGAATGAGGCATTGTTCCTTGTCTCCGCCCAGATCACCACTTACGAATACCACCAGTACAGCCGCATACGTTGCTGTAGCTGCGAAAATTTCCGCCCTTCTCGCGTTTGTACACAGCAACATACTAGAGGCAAATAGTATTGTGTACATTGCCACTAGACCAAGCTTCGCTTTTGGGTCTGTTACAAAGTATAAATGAATGATGGCTCCAATAAGTAGGACAGCGGCAAGTACTAGATCAAAAGCCGCCACCGTCCGCACTATATATGCGTTCTTGTAGATCGTAGTGCGATCGAGTGGATCAGCGGTCCGCCGCTTTCGAAAGAGCCAGTGATCCTGCAGAAAGCGCGATAGATAGTCGTCTTCTTCTGGCTTGGTGAGTGCGACGAGATCATCTGGGTTGTTCAAAAATGCTTTCGCACGCCCACTGATGATTGGCATAGGACTTCCATCTTCATCTTTGAAAGCACTACCATCTACAAACTCTCGAAAAGCAGAAAGAGGTCGTTCACGGGGCCGATTCATCCCATTGATTTGAGATTGACGACATATTGCCTCATCTGCCTCGGTAAGCGCTTGTCTACAGAGTTTGGTACTGAAAGATGGACGCACGATAGTCCTTAAGCAGCTCTTTCAGTTCTTTCAACTTCGTAATCAACCTGCTCTCTGGGGATCCGGGGTTTGCTGCATCATTGGCACGGTTTATGAGCGTCTCATAACGCCTTAACGACTGCCTGACGTTGGATTCGGGACTATGTCGTGCCGTTTCGTCTAGTTGTTCGATCTCGCGTTCAAGTGCGGTCAACTGGGCTTGCAGGTGTAGAATGTTCCTCGCTGCCAACCTGTCGAACTTCCGAAATACGAAAGTTTCGTTGTCCGGATCGCGGGCTATCCAGTCCGCGAGCGCTGGGTAGCCATCTCGAAGCACCCCGAGCTCGATCTCTTCCTCTTTCTGGTTCATCGTGCCATGTCGCGACTTGCACTCATGTGTAGGAAGGACGAAGGGCTAGGCCTACTCCTCAATACCAGTTATCGGGGATGGCAAAAGCCAAGAAATATCACTGCAGGCCTAGGTCAGTCGTGGCTTATTGAAACAGCCAATGAACCTGTCGTACGTGGTATAAGTGAGTAGCTCAGCAGCTCAGCCCCCCACCTACGCGCGCCGCACAGCCCACCGGTCAGCTTTAACGCAAGCTCATGAGGTCACTACCTCAACAAATGCCAAAGTAAAAGACCGCGGTGCCGTCTCGTGTTCACGAAAATTGGATCTCAAACTCCTCCTCTTCGTTAAGCCTCGTTGGTTTTTCTTGGCAAAGGTGATTCAGAAATTGCTTATATTAGGAGCAACACTGACTATTGTAGTTAGAGCCAGCGTCTCGAGCCGTATATTTGGTTACTTGTACTACAGTAGCCTATCGGCCGGTGAAGTGGAGGATCCAGCCTTTCTCCTTATACTTTCGAGCAACACTATCAGACGCCCATCTCCATCAGCAACGCCAACTGCCACTGCCATAGGTACCTGGGGTCCTTAATATAGGCCCCGACATGTCTCGACCTCTTCTTTAAACCTCACAATGAATTCCACGGATACCATCCAAAGCCGCTTTGTTAATGCGCTGCGCACTCAAGGGAAAGCCCATCACTCAGCAACGGCCGCGCTTCCATGTCCCTACCCAGGTCATTATGGAAGAATATTCCAAAACGTTGATCAGCTCTATGACCATGCGAAAGCTGACCACGCATCCAAAATCCAAGGTCTGGATCCGAGGCAGGCACGGATGCACCTAAAGGAGGCAGCTCTGAAATTGAGGTAGCTATTCCCCGACGCAATCGTGCGCATGCTAGAGTCTAACACCAGATTAAGGACCAGAGATCGCTCTGAAGGCAGCGACTCCACGCCTGATATCACTGGCCTATCCCTCGACGCAGGTAGCGTCTTACCAGAACGTACAATGCCGAGGCCAAGGCCACAAGAGCCTCGCCTATATGACCCAAGTAAAACACCTGAAGGTAGTGCTTCCGCATACGGATCAGCGCCGAAGCCTTCAAGTGAGTCTACTGTCACATCGTTGTTGCCGGAAGTGTTACAGTGCAACAAATGTGACAGTAAATTTAGCGGCCTGTATCGAAAGGGTAACCTAGGCCGTCACCTGCGGCATAAGCACGAAGGCGAGGGCCGTATAATATACCCTTGCGAAGCTGTTACTTGCGCTGAAGAATTTACACGGCAAGATGCTCGTCTCAAGCACTATAGAGGTCATCATCCGCAGCTTTACACGGCGCCGCCTATAGCCCGCGGACCCCAGGACCATGATCCCAGATATCCAGGCCTCTTGCTCAAGCCAGACTCTCGTCCAATATCTCAAGAACAGCTCGCCGCTGAGGTGAAAAGCATCTATGCTGGGCTCACTATGGTCGAGACGAAAGCCCTGAAGTTAGAAACACATTTGCAGAAGCCAGCGACTAAAGCCCGGAAACTCAAAAAACAACCGAATGAACCAGCGACCGGTTGTAACGCCTTCACGTCGAAGACCGTCTTTGAAATTCCGGGCATGCTTGCTCAAGAACATTCCGTGGACGCACTTGGCGACACTGGTGCAAAGTACAACTTCATGAGAGAAGAGTACGCCTTGCAAACAGGCCTGTCAATTCAACGCGACGAGACTCGCTCAGTTACGATCACGAAGGAGCACACCGTCACAACAACAGGCACTGCTCAGGCATCGTTCAGCTTTACAGGCGAGAAGGAACAGTACTCAATCGTCTTCCATCTTCTGCCAGACTGTATCCACGATGTTATTTTAGGAAACGTCTTCCTCAAAGCAACGAAAACCTTAACATCGTTTGCCTCCCGTATCAAGAGGAGGGTAGTCGAGAACCTGTCGCAATACAACCTCCTCTATCTTGGCGAATCTGCCCCACGATTCACTGGCTACGTCAATGGTCGCCCGCAAGAGGCCCTTGCAGACACAGGGGCAAAGGTTCTGATCATGGACGAGGATTACGCTCATTCAATCGGCGTACCTATCGACAGAGATCGCAAGGTCAAACTTCGCTTTGGCGACAATTCCACGGCTTTCACATCCGGCATGACGTATGGCGTAGAGTGGGAATTCGGATATAGCAGCACAGAAGCACGAGAATACGAAGACGAGGACGACCAAGGATTTGACGACAACAATCAAGACGTTGCAGATGAGGGCGAAGATGCTTCCCCGGCCCCCCCATATCCTGAAAGATATGAAGCCCAAAATCTCCTCGACTTCCACATTATGAAGAATGCGCCGGCCAATGTCATTCTTAGCGACGAGTTCCTTTTTAGCACGAACGCTTTCTCGGAGTACAAATCTTTCTTGTTGGAAGAAGACGATAAAGATGACGATGACGCCTATCTCTTTGTCATTGATCGCGACATGTCCTATGTGAACAAGAGTAAGTCTGATACCCATTCTTCTGCCGATGCGCCACTAAGATCGAGCATAGTATCTGTTAAGTCCGCAGCCATGAAGCAACACCGTGAAGACGTACGCCGTGGCGAAGAGGATGACCGCATCGCTGACCTTCCTGACGCCGAACAAGCTGCAGAAAGAGCAGTCGAAGATGACCGGCGAGCGCAATGGGACGCCCAACAGGCCGCAGCAATTGTACCGCCAAACCTTGTCGGTCACGGTGGGCCAGGTTTAGCGCAGCCAAACAATGGCACTGCAATCAGCAATGGATCTCCAGATAAAGGACACCGGTGGTATTTCAAGTTCAAGCGTAGAAAGGCTTCAGCGCCGTAAATGATACCGAGGACAATGTCAGCCTTATAAAACTGGACATTCCAGAAGGGTTCAGGAATTCCATCTTTGTTGGTCAGTCGAAATAAGTTTCGAGCCCTATAAATGGCATGCATGCAGTAAAACGACTGCCTTGGTTTGATGACGTTTTAGAATTTCTTCCCTCAGCAGATTAAAGTTACACAATAAAGAAACAGGGAACTGGACGTGTGATGAAAGCAAATCTAGAGTGGCGAAGCATGCGTGGGGCGCAGGGAATGCTGCACGCGGACAGCTTACGCATCAGCCTTTGATTCCAACTTGCTCAGCCACAACGCCTCCCCAACATATCCTCGTGAAGCCCCTCGACATCTTGAAACTTTATCTCATTATCTAACAGCCACTCCACCCTTGAACACAATGAGTATCGGCGTCGACAAACGCCGTAAGTAATAATCATCCTCGAACTTAGAGAGCCCTTCACTGATACCTCAATAGACACGGCGCCGAACGGCAAAGTGACCGCACAATATATCGAGATAATCCGTCAAGGCGAGGAAGAAGACCGAATCGACAACTTGCCCTTCTCACAGCAAGCCGCAGCATGGGAGCGCGAGCATAAGCGGCGAGCAGCGTGGAAACTTCAACACCAACAGAGCAACCATACACCTCCAACGGCCAATGGCGCCACCACAACTGCAATTACCTGTTTGGCCCCTAGCACTGGTGCCAATTCATCTTCCACGTCTCAAAGCGCAAATGGGCCTGTTGCGAGTAGTACTGTGGTGCTGCCGCCGTCCCCTAGTCCGTCGCCTCCCAAACGGCTCCGATGGAGTTTGAAGTTGAAGAAAGGGAAAGACCCGTAGCAGTCAGGGCGCTGCACCAACATCCCTCGATTCGACCTGATGCCCCTTCCCTTCGCACTATCCAGGTATCTCATCCTCTCAGAATGGCAGTCGTTTAACGGATGTGGAGTTTTTGTTTCTCGATTGCGTTAATGATAATTTTGTTGCTTTCATGATTTCCCCATGTATGCATAGCAGCGAGTTAAGGGGATAGGGACGAATTGGTCAGCAAAGGAGTGGACTCACATATCTGTCAAAATAATCGGGTCTTGAGTACCCATTTATGTATCAAAAACAATGCCTACGCTCCACTACTCTTCCTTACCACCATCCGCATCTCAGTTCCTCCTCTTCCAGCTCCTCAACGTCCCCGCGAACCTCCTCCTTGTTACATAGAGAAATGCCATAACAATAATCGCAAATAACACACTCCCCGCACCCGTCCTCTGGTTCTCCACCGCCTGCTTCTTGGCTTCCTCGTAATACCCCTTCACACGGTTTGTAACTCCCTCTCCCTGCGCCAGATTGGGCATTGCCATAATCTTCACCACCAATGCGGTCCAGCCCGTAAAGTGCTGTGTGCGCTGCCCGTGGCCGCCAACAGGATCGTACTGTTCCCACACATAACCAGTTTCTAACCACGAGCTGAACACGGTGTGTACAATGTTGCTACGAAGCTCAACGTAAATCTCGCGGCAGCGTTGTTGTGAGGGACCGGGTGTTTGGGCGAGAGTGAGTAGTTGCGATACGATGAGGTAGTTGAAGTTTACCCATATTGGGGAGCGCCAATAGTTGTCGCCTACCCCGTACTTCTTGCTTTCTGGGCTAAGGCTACGGACGCCATGATCAGTCCAAAGATGCTTGGGATCGCGGAGGAGATCAAGCACAGCAGGGAGATGTGGGTGGTCAGGTCCGACAAAGCCAGTCAAGAAAGGGAAGATGGATACGTAGCCCTTGTGGCAGGCGTAGGTATGCACATCATCTCGAACGACTGTGTCGCAGTAGATGTTCTGCGTTTGCTCCCAATGGAGATTTTCTAGGTTGGTCTTAACGCCGCGTATGTGATTCTGATAAGTGAAAGCATCATGTGTGGTTTCGGTGAAGAACGCGATCTGTTCGAGAGTTCGCGCCATTAAACCAACCCAGCATAGGGCGTCTAGATGTAGCTCGGTGATATCCGGAGGCTCTGCTCGAGGGAAATCATCTAGACCGCTAGCGTAATTGGTCTCTGGGGTACGACCTCGCCATCTATAGCCCTCGTTGAGATTTGCAGACGGGATGGAGTGCACCTCAACGTCTCCTGACTGCGACTTACGGAACCATTCATAGTGCTTCTTTAGCAGCGGGTAGAGTTTAGCTACGAGTGCTTTGCCGGTCTCGGCGTGGGTAAGGTACTTTGACTCGTGACCGAAGTACTTGGTCTTCCCCGCCAGCAAGTCGATGAATTTCGATATCACAAGGAACATGGTCGGCGGATTTGCGATGTGCGGTAACTGTGTGATGAAATCCGCAGGTGTCGCGCTCTCTGCCTCCGCGCCCAAAACCTGCTCCCGGGCTATCCAACCATCGTCATCCATAAGTGCAAGCCAGTTACGGACGACTTCCAAAGCAAGGTCTGCATCCCACTCTAGTACTGGAAGAAGATGGAACCCCTCATCCCACAGGAAGCCTCTAGGAAACATGGCGCGCGATGGTGTGTGCGTGAGAAGCTCATATGGACCTCTCGTCTCTGGTGTGGCATGCTGCTTGGCTTCTTCCGACTTCTCCCAAAACTTTCCGGTAGTTTCTGCGTAGATTGCCTTTTTCGATGTGTCCACCTTGGCAGTACCCACAAAGTATCCTAAACCCCCTAGTAGATTTGAAAAGACTGCTTCCGAGAACGCAAGGTGCTGGTCAGTATTGAAGGGAGCCTTCGGTCCATAAACAGAGACAAAGTTCTTCTCAAAGGATTTGACAGTACTGTCGAGCTCTCTAGTCAACTCAGCAGCTAGAGGCAGTTAGTGAGACAACTATTACTTAGTAGACAGAGTATATGCAGTGAATGTACTCCGATCTCTTCTAGTAAAAGGTTACTTACAAGTCATGGCGCGCGTCGCTATGTGACTAGAGTATAGCACGTCGAACTGGGAAGGTTAGCATCCACTGCAACAACTCATGCTCGACATCCTGACCTCGAATTTGCCGTGACAAATCATCTGCACAAGTTGCATATTTCCAGCACCTGGCGCATTGCGGAGCACAAGATCGCTTGGCCCTTCTTCAGTTCGATCTTTCGTCTGGTCTTTCAACGAATCTAAAAAGGCGGCTTCTTCCACGCAAAATTGTCAGCAAACATTCGCTCATTGGAGTAGCGAGATAATCGCGTATTGCGCAGCGCAGAGTATGAAAGGAATGGAATCCGATGGCTACTCACATTTCGCCTGCCATAGCCTATCCTCTGTAACGTTCAGTGTCTTGACCACTGTTCCTTCATTCCGTCCGTCTTCGCTAATCGACGTCGAAATATGAATTCCAGCACTACCCAGCCGCGGATGCGAAATGTCAATATTGACGGCATGGACCGAGGTATCTTCGCCAGCGCCTAGTTGCTCCTTAGATTCAAGCCTGCACTCGACGCAAGATTCCATCGCCTCCATGCCCACGTAGAACACGACCGTTGTCTTGAGGTCTGCTGGCGCATCTTTTCTCGGTATGCCCGCAATTCTTAACCCCCAATTACCCGCGCTCTGCCCCTCATAACTCTTTATGAACTCGGTGGTGATGTTTATCTTATTCCCGACATCTTCGATAATCTGCCTGCCACCTTCTCGGGTGTCGTAAGCTGTCCAACCGTACTTGGCCATCCCTTCGGTCATGTCAACCGTGTGTCGTAATTCTGTTATTCAATCAGCGCTGCCCCTGTCGTGCTTTGACATGCTTTGCATACTCTTCTCCACATCTTCAAGCTTTCCCCACATCAAGCCCGCTATGAGACTGTCTGGCACCCTTGGGCGGATGCCCAAATACAGGTTCGGTCGGTACGGGCCCCATAGCAGCGACGCATTGTTCGAGGGGAGGCTATCGATGGCAGCAGTAGCGGCAGCGGCAGCGGCATTGGGTATGAGAAGTGTGGAGAGGAGCGCGAGAAGGGATGTCGGAAGTTGCATATCGGATTCTGACGCGTTGATGACACGCTTGTGGTTGACCTAGAGGCTGAAGGAGCAGACTGCGATTGAGATATGGCTCCAAACCATGATTCTATTACATTAGCTAGCAACCAGGCCTTGTGCCGGGTGGATTGACATGTGTTCTCGAAGCCTGGGGACATTTCCAAGACCCCTGGTTTCTCGCGCAGCAACGATTGGCCCAAGCTCGCGGGGCGGCAAAACCCCTTTACTCCAACACAGGGGTAGAAGTAAAGAGTCTTTACAAATCAAGATTTACTGCGATAAGCTTCGCAATGCGATTTACACACAATCTCACAGCTCTAGATCACGTGTGCTAGCTCCCCCGCGAACCGACGTCAGCGGCCGTTCGTGCCCGGATGCAACACCATGTCGAGTCCCACAGCCGACACACGCAAAATCAAGTTGTCCGTCTTGACTACCTCTGATATCATACCTATATAACGACGTAGTTGGGAGGGTTTTATTAGGCTGTTTCGTCTGAACAGCGACGACATACCAAAAAATGGAAGAGCAGGTGAACCGATTAGCCAACAAGATTTGGGGTACTGTTGTCACAAGGTACAATATCGGAATAAGATCTACTAACATTTTGACTATAGATAAATATCAGGATGTCTCGGCCTCAAAACGAATTCTCATTGCAGTATCTGGTATACCAGGATCGGGTACGCACAAGCTTCATATTGCTACTAAAAATCTTCGTTCATGAAGCCGACTATAGACAGGTAAAACCACGCTCGCGGCGATAGTATCGACCAGACTCAATCAAAAACACGCTCAGAGGTCCCCAGGAACTGCCAACAGTAGTCCCCTCTCGGCTTTCATCCCAATGGACGGATATCACCTGTCGCGTGCCCAACTTGATGCGATGCCAGACCCAGACAGCGCACACGCTCGTAGAGGTGCTGTTTTTACCTGGTACGAATATCCCTCCACAAACGCTATCGAATGCCTTACTAACATGCGAATAGTAAGTAATTGATCTGCAGTTTTATACATAAGATCGTCTCAAAGAGGGCTTTAACAGCTATGTGAAGATTGTCTTCCTTAGTATACGTCTTGCCATTCTATAACAGTGCTAATCATGTCACAACTTTTAGTCGATGGCGATTCGTTTTTGAGTCTCGTGAAGAAACTACGACAGCCGATCTGTCCGGAAACGCACACGCTTTATGCACCCAGTTTTGATCATGCGATCAAGGACCCCGTGCAGAATGACATCGCAATTGCTCCATCCGTCCGTGTTGTCATCTTCGAAGGCAATTACTGTTCTTTGAACAAGAAGCCATGGAAGGATGCGGCAGAGCTAATGGACGAGCTGTGGTTCGTTGATGTAGATTTTGATGTTGCGAGGAAGAGGTTAATTTACAGGCATGTCCAATCAGGCATCGCAAAGGACGAGGAAGAAGCGGCTAAAAGAGCTGATGTAAATGATCTTGTAAATGGACAGGAAATAGTAGATAATAGGCTTGAGGTGCATGAGCTAATCAAGAGCAATGAGGATGCGCAATGGGCGCCAGAGAATCAAGGAGTCGGCGATGGGAAAGACGGTGAGATGAAGCAAGAGATGGCGAGCTTGGTATGATATTTGGAATAACCTGACTTGAGCCAAGACGAGGCTATCAGTGCACACCTAGATCCAAACTTCGCACAGCATGTAAATATTCAGACTCGCATCGACCAAACACCCACAGAATGATTTCAAATCCTGTTGTCCGAGTATCCCGCGCGCTGTTCTATTCCGTACCATGTCCACCGATGAAGCCTGTTGCCGATTGCCATGGTTGTTGGAGAAGCTTAGGCCCAAAACGCTGACCTGAGTGAAAACAGATGGTAAAGGTGTCGGTGCAAGGAAGGTACAGAGGCCAGGTGAGTTTATGTTGTTATGTTGCTGCTCACCCACGATGCTGTATGCGATGAGAGAAGCTGAACCAACACTTGGTAACTTGAAACCGTCAAACCGCTGATTACACCCAGATAGACGCTCCTCAAGCCGGGCTACTCAGATTTTACGCTCGACCGTCACACACTGCTTCTGATACTGAATCTCAGACTGGTCGTATGTACCCAGATGCTTCTTCACAGCCCCTTGATCTCCACCAACAAGCCTCCTTGCGCACGCTTCCGCCAACTCCAACATCTTCTGCTTCGCGGCGTTTCGAGTGCTCGTAACGTAATGAATGTAGATCTTGACGCTCCGGAACCGGCCATTCCAGAAACTATTCCATTCTTCAAACACGTCAGATTCACCGTTATTTTTCCAACCAGGGTCTAGAGGTTGCCTCATCCACTTAGTCTCCAAACACAGGTCATTGGATTGCCAGCTCCTCAGAAGGCGTAGGAGTACTCCTGTGGCTCGTGAGCCCCCTGGCAACTGAGAGAACCCCCGTGCTACCGTGATGTTCTTGATAACAATCTGGTTGATGACGAGCGGGTTCAGAATAGCCCTCTGGCGGCGTGGCCAATGGTCGAATCGAAGATTCCGCCCCTCGTACTCTATTGCCATGAAAGTCCGTAACCGGCCGAAGACTTCGATCGCTTCAGCACACATTTGTTTGTTGGTCCGGATCCATGGAGAGAGACCATTTGTGTCGACTTCTGCGGTGTTAGGGAAGCCCGCCGTGGCGAGGAGGGTCAACCCATCGTATTTAAATGTCTTCGGGGCTGTGTCCAGGGCGTATTCGTAGATCTGATCTCGAAGTTCGCGTGGCAAGCAAAAGAATAGGCTCATCTTTCGGGGTTCTAATCGTGTTTTAGGGCGTATAAAGTCTGGATGTTCTTTCCGAGGATGTTTTGAAGCACTCAAATTGATAGAAGAAGCGCGACGTTTCCCTGTGTGCGGTTGCATTCTTGATTATGCTATTTTCTATTTCAAATTGACAGATACGTGATATTGGTCTTATAAGTGGTTGAGCAAGTTGATGCTGAATGGCAAGGAAGGTGGTCTGGAAGAATTGCGTAGCAGAATAAAATATCAGGAGGCTTAGCGCGCCCATTCACTAGATCATAAATACGCTAGCCGATCTATGATCAAGAAGTACTTCCAAGGTTAGTCATGTTTGCTTCACGTTGCTATGACTAGTCATAAATTTCATTCACTCATACCGACCACGCTGAGCTGGGTGCGTCATATAGCGGTGCAACGTCTGAATCTGAACACCTATCACGGCCAGATCCGCAATTTACACGCTATTCGAAGACCAACCACAGCCTTCTGATCAAATGATGCACATAGCGACCGCCTAGAATGGCATCTAAGATCATAACCCCGCGAGGTCCTTCAACATAGAGACTGTTCAATATTGCAGCGCATATCTAGCTCGAAAAGAAGTCAATATGAATGCCCCTATATTTTACTCCATCAACCACTCTGTACAAGCCTTCCCGAATTATAGTAGAAGCAAATACACCGGCATTCTCCTCCGCGCTACCAAGTTCCGAACGCTGGGGTAACATAGCTACACAGTTTCAGGTTTGCGGCGCACCAACCAGGAAGGTTTGTCCAACAGCTCGGCCATGAATTCCGTGAGCAAATACGCTCACATCGCCGATTTCAGCGTTTTAGGTTCATTCGGAGATACTAAATGAGGCAGCTTATTAGAAAAGCATTGAATGTAGGTCGCTTGGCGGGATTTTGGTCCGAAGCCAATCACATGGGGGAAAATTGTGCATCGCACTTGCCTATTACAGAGACACCCCTCCCCTCGCTGACATTACTATCGTCAAGAGCCTCGGAGAATGTAGTGTACTACTACAGGCTTGTGTTAGATTGGAATGTACTGCGATTTGTAACAATGTTGTTTCGCACAAAGCAAAATAGGATTGCTGCTATAAACTATACAGTTCCATCTTGATCCTTCTAGAAATTCCCATATTGGCGTCTTTTAGTAACCTCAAGGTCTTAATTGCGGGTGAGAATTAATATTCACATGTTCCTTATGATTGACTCCGAGGCGACCAAACATAAATCTGTAACAACAAACTACATGCCTCTTCCGCACTCCTTGAACCTCCTCACACTCTCCCGAACCCCATACCCATCCCTCAAAACCCCACCCACATCCTCAAGACTCAGCCCCGCCGTCTCAGGATAAATCCGCCAAATCGTCCCCCACGCCCCAACGCAAACAAGGGCATACAGCGCAAACGTCCCGACCGGCGTGAAAAACTCCATCATGGGCAAGAAACTAAGTCCAATGACGGTATTAGACCCCCAATTCGTAGCGGTGGAGAGCGCAGAGCCGAGGGAGCGGACGGAGAGAGGGAAGAGTTCGCTTTGTTGCCAGGGCACGTTGCCTAGGCCGATGGCGTAGCCTGCGACGTAGGTTATCATTGCGAAGAGGATGACGAGCGGCCAGGTGCGGGCTGGTTGCTGTAGAGTTGTAGTCGTAGCTGCGCGTTCCTCGGGTAATTGGACGAATTTGAAGGCGATGGCGCAGAGTGTTAGGCCGGCGATCATAATGGGGACAGACCAGAGGAGGATCCTGCGCCGCCCGATGCGGTCGATGTATGCAAAAGCCACGAGGGTGAAGAGGAAGTTTGTCAATGCGATGGATAGCGAGGTAAGTGTTGGGGAGCGGAAGCCGACGAGGGAAAAGATCGTCGCGGAGAAGTACATCAACGAGTTCTGATTTTTCGTCAGTCATGCGTCCGCTAGTTATTCTAAAGATGTGGATGAAAATAATACGAAGTAGAGCGGGACTTACAAATCCACAGAGTTGCTGGAACCCCTGCAACATACACGCAATAACCAACGCCCTCCTATTCCCCCCCACAATGATCAATTGAGCATAGTTGTCCTGGATCTTCTCAAACTTCGCTTTCCAACCGCGCTTAGCAACCCCCGGAGAACCGCGTACTTCAGCTGCATGCTCCTCTTCCAGAATCTCTCGCTCTACCCTTCTAAGCACAGCATTGACCAAGCCATCATGCGCCCCTTGCCCATAGACTTTCTGCAGCACGAGTTTCGCCTGTCCCTTACAATTCGCCTTGACGAGATAGCGGGGCGTCTCCGGGAGGAAGAAGAGCATGCAGAACTGCACAGCAGCAGGTAGCGCGCCGAGCCCGACCATCCATCTCCAGCCATGCACTCTCTCAGAGAAAAGCCAGCCGATGATATACGCCACGACCTGCCCACCAGTGATGAACAGACTGCTCACCACTACTAGTCTCCCTCTAAACTTCCCTGGACTCAGCTCTCCTATATAGAGTGGTACGACGAAACTCGCGCTCCCCACGGCGGCGCCAACGATAGACCGGCCTGCTATCATGCCCCATACTGTTGTTGTCCAAGCCTGTAGAAGGGCGCCTAGGATGAAAAGAATGTCCGCACCAAGTATGACTTTCTTACGTCCAAACTGGTCGGCTAATATACCCGTGAGTGGTGATGCGAGTAGGGCGAAGAAGGAGGTACACGACGTTATGAGGCTCTTGTCGAGGGTGGTGAGGGGGTGTGACGAGAGGTCCGAGCCGATGGATATGAGCGTGGAGGATATTACGCCGGTGCTGGAGTATCATGTCAGTCATATGTAGCTTGTGATGTATCGGATGCGACAGCTGTTGAAGGGGGGAGTTGGACGTACTCATAGCCAAACAACAACCCACTCACGCCCGCACATATCGTAAGGCCCCAAATGAATGAACCCGGAGATAGCAGCGCACTTTCATCAACCTCTTGTTCTACCTCATCGTCCTCATAGTGGTCGCGCGCACCGTCTGGCAAGTCGTCATGATTCGAGAATAAGGGTTCCGTGGCGGTATCGGTCATGCTCTGCAACTCTAAGCGCTCCGGCAAAGCCAGCGTAGTGTGAACAAGAGCATTTGTCGGCTATATGCGCGTGGAAAGTGAAGACTAGTGGGATGCGTATTAGGTGAAGTGGAATTTGGAAAGTCCGGGGTAGCCGCAAGCATCGCGGGGGACGCGGAACGCCCGTTGAATCCACACGCTAGCACGTGAGGTCATGGTTGTACCTGCTGATCTATCGTTTACACGCAATCTGTTGGAGCAGCAGTATACACATGAAGGTCACAACTGTAGAACAGAAACGTAAGGGTCGATGACTTGAATAATCAACGCTAGGTATATTTGACAGCAGCCGGAGAGTCCTCCACTTTCTACTCAGACCGCATTGCTAGCTATGCCACGTTGCCACCTTTCATCTCTTACTCAAACACAAACTCCACACAGTCTCCCCGTTGCAACCGCCAACGCGATGCTCATGATTTATTCCACCATAGCAGATTGCGGTCGCGTATACGTCGCGTGCTATCAGGCCGAGCATATTACCTGCAGTGTCCTGCGTGACTTCTCTTCCTTGTCCGTCAGGCCACTAAGCTTTCCATGGTCCTTTTGTACGCCATCCATGCTCAACCAACGCCGGTCACTCATGCTTGGAATCACTTGTTGAAACGTGATGGAATACACGTCACCAACGCTAATGACGAGTACATCCCAGCAAGAAATTGGGAGCAATCCCTGGGTGCTACGACAGCAAGCGCGCAGAGATCTCGATGCCGTTCTGAAGTGAGACTCTGTCCGAGCACTCTCATTTAGACTCGTCATTACCATCTGGAACATGATTGGCAGGTCCAGTGGGTGGGCCTCCTGGCCCCATTGAATGCTGTTGCATCATGGGCTGAGAGTAGCTTCCGCTCGGTGTTCCACGGTGTTGATGTGGGAAGTGATGGTGCTGTTGTGGCGAGCCATATTGACCTTGGTGTAGTTGGGGGTACGGCTGTCGCATTGGAGTCACTGCGGGAATGTTAATAGCATATTTACAATATTTTCATCGATGACTTACTGGATCCTGGCTGCATTTGATACATCTGAGGAGCTGGAGCACCAGGCTGCATGTACATCATAGGTGGCTGCTGGAGGTGCCCTTGCTGCGAGCCCTGTTGACTCATCATAGGTGCACCCGGCCTTGGGCTAGGAAACCCATTGGCACCAGGGCCAGGCATATGGCCAGGGTATTGTGGGTAAGCGGGTCCAGGGGCCGGAGAGTACATTTGCATTTGTGGACCGCCTGGCATTCCCATATAAGGTCCGTTCGAAGGCTGATTCGTCATCATCTGGCCGCCCATTGCTGGTCCAGGAGGGCTGATGAAATGACCGCCTTGCCCATTCCGAAGGCCAACATGCTGTACGTTTGGGCTCATTCCATACTGAGGAACTTGTACCTGCTGAGGGTAGCCAGGCATTTGCTGTGGCTGTGCGCCGTACATGTAAGGTGCCATAGGCCGTGGCGAAGGTTGTATCGATGAAGTGGATTGAGAGAATTGCATATGTGGCGCTTCATAGTGATGTTGCATCTGGCCAAGATGTGGCTGAATCGGCGGGCCACGCGGAGTATGCTGAGGCGTTGGTCCCTGTGACATGCCATTAGGACCCTGAAGGTGAGGAGGCAGCTGATGCTGATGTGGGATATGACCATTGCCCATAGCGTGTTGAGGCGCTGCTAGTTGCGCAGATGAAGGCGTGTGCTCGAATAGTTGCACGTGGCCCTTTTCAGTGTTTGCAGCAGGAAAGTCCCATGTAGGTGGCGTGCGATAAGGAGGTGGAACATCGTTAGTAGGCGGTTTGTCGCTGGACTGTGCTTCTTTCTCCATACGTCCAATGGAATTGAAGGTCATCTTCTCGTCCAATGGTTTCACAGTAGGGCGTTTCCCACCGAAGAAACTGGTCACAGCAGTAGGCCTACGTACTTCTGGCTTTGATGCAGAGGTGGGTCGGGGACTCGAGTTGGCACTTGGAGTCCCGCCAGGTTGAAATGTGTTTGCTGCTGGGTTGGGCTTAAACTCGTGTGCACGAACGTTGAATCTAGTAGACACAGAAGAGGTAGGTGTCTGAATTCCGCTTGACGATTGTGAAGGACCAGCGGGAGGTATACGCGAATCCTGGGCCGGGATTGGCTGTGGCACGCCGTTGTATGGCATAGCCCCTTGCTGCTTGTGTTGCTGCTGATTCAACTGTAGACGAGTGCTGAGCAGTCCTTGTTGCCCGCGAGGAGGAATCTGATTCACATTTTGGTGAGGGCGTTCCCTCATGCTAGTCGAAGAATAGGGGGGCTGTCCGGGACGAGGTCGCTGATTTTGTTGACGATCCACGTTCGCACTCGGGGACGCATTGGTAGAGTCGGGCTTAGTTGCAGGGCGCGCAGCGGCTTTTGGATCCGAGAGATTGCTAGACGTCTTTGGTGGCGTAGTCTTGGTCTCATGCACTTGACGAAGGGCTTTCTCGACAATCGCCTGCTGTTTATTCTCGTCTTTGGCTAATATGGGAACAAGATCCGAAGGAACAGGTGTGCTTAATTTGAAGTTTAGCGCAAATTTCTTGAGGTCGTTCAGCTTAACGGCCTTGTTCTCGCGAGCAAATGCCCTCTGTCGCTCTGACATGCGTAGCTTTTCTGCGGCAGAGAACTGTTTGAACGAGTCAAGCAAGTCATGCTCCACATTAGTAGTCGCATCATGTGGCCGTCCAGACTTGCGAGGAGGCATAGCAGCTAAACCAGACTTGATCGTGTTGCTTGGCTTTTGAGACTGTTCTGTAGTGAGTTTCGACGCAGCCACTGCTTTTGCCTCAGCCTTTGTTGCTGTCTCCTTTGAAGGTTCCGTCCTGGTTTGGGTTGGATTGGAAACTGGGGCTTCGGCCTTCGCTTCAGTCTTAGCCGGCTCGGGAGTAACGATCTTGTCCGCGGCAGGGCTTGCGGTACGTTGTGCCCCTTTCAAGGCTGTGGCGTCGGGTCGCGCAACGGACGATGAGATAATCGCTGGGTCCACTGGTACCCCGGGAACAGTCGCTTGTGCGGCAGGCGCACGTCGCGCAGGAGGAGTGTACCTGTTGGACTGACCGCTTGACAGAGGCGAAAACTCTCGACGCACACCACTATATTTGTCCTCCTCATCACCACCCGCATCATCAACAGATTGACCTCCTCGCTCTTCGCGAACATGTGAGTTTAGTGCACTACTGCCTTCGATCTCGCGGGCAATCTTCTCGGCACGGGCTGCCCTCGCGGCATATTCCGGGTCATTCTTGTTGATGGTGGTGGTGTAAATGGTTTCGTCGTAGTTGCTCCTAACGCCGAACAGACGCTCGTTGGTAGAGAATTGATCCCAATCTGTTGAGCGGCCTGCGGACTCGAGAGTGAGATCCGGGTCGACTTCAGAGGGCTCCCACTTCTGGAGGTTGCGCTCGCGGAGGGCCATGTGACCTGAGATATCCGTGTCGGTACGGAAACCAGCGGTACCTATGGACGTTAGAAATGCTCTTGATAAATGTGCCATGGCAGCACCGCAGCGTTCAACACGTACCATTTTGGCCCTTGGTTTGGGACTTATCGAGCACAACGTTGTTGACATTGAAGTCAGCAACGTCGCTCATATCGAAAGACATGACGTGATAGTCACCAACGCCAATGTAGTCGTCGGAGACGTCACCAGAACCATTGGTCTGAGCATGGCTGGCCGGTAAGAGCTTCTTCACCATCTTGAAGACATATCGTAGCTCGCTGGGATCCAGTGAGGTGCCTGACAGCACACCAGAATACTTCTCGCCATTCTTCAGCGTGATGGTGCCCGGTAGACCCTATGTTGATCGCGTTAGTCCCATTCGAAAGTGCGATAATAGCAGGGCGCAGTCACTCACAGTCAGGTTGGCCAACAGGTACATCATCCGATCGCTTAGGTGTCTCATTGGGAATGCGGTTTCGCTGGGGGGGCCCGTCGCGTTATGTGTGGGTTTAGAGGTACTTGCGACACCGTTGGGGGTGGGGGGGTTCGATGGTCGCTGGGTGATGGGATTGGTGCCCTGGGTCCACGCCTTTTGGGGCGGAGGTTTCCTGTAGAGGATAGGGTGGTCAGCATTGCGGTCCAGTGCGGGTGAGTGAGCGAGAGGTGCTCGAAGAAGCAGCGATGCGAAGTACAGCCATTGACTAGAATTTACGAAGAAACAAGGATTTGGGGGACATGATCGTCGCACCGTGGTTCCATGTGACTGATTGCACGTCACACGAGAACATGCCGCTGGAGGGACGCCGTGTCCAACGAGGCCTCGAAGCGTGGACGGGCAAGAAGCAGCAGAGGGCAGGACAGGGCAGGAGACGTGTGGAGCTGGGTGTAATCGAATGCAGGGAAGAGGAGGAGAGTAAACTTACCTCTGACCCCCGTCGATGGGGCTTGCAGGCTTGCGCTGTGCGTCGATGGCTTTGCCAGTGGTGCTCATCTTCAGTTGTCGGCCAGAAGGGGAGGCAGACGAGTTCAGCACATTGGAAGGAGAATTCGAGGTCGCGGCGGCAGTGGACATGGATAGGACGAGGAGGAATGCGCGAGTGAGAGAGGTCCGGGGGTTCGGGGATTAACTAGGTTTGTGGTTGTGTGTGAGGACGAGTGATTTGCGGGGGGGTCGGGCGTCGTGGTCAAGGGTGAGGGCAGCTCGGGACACTCAATGCGACGGTGGGCGCTGAGACGACTCGGTACAGTGCTGCCCAAGAGGAAGCCAGACGGCGGAGAGCAGGTGGTTTGGAGGAGAGGCTGTGCGAAAAGCAGCCCAGAGGAGGTCGAAAGTGAGGTGCCACGCCAAGTGATCGGCCTGATGAAACAACCTAAACGCGGAGCGGAAGCTAGGCCAGCCTCAGGGAGTAGCCGCAGAGTCGACGCTCGCCTCACAAAGATGCGCCGTGACGAGGGCGTAGGAGAGGATGGCAGCGCGCAAAGCTGGTAGAATGAGGGTGGAGGGGGGGAAGGGACCGTGGTTCGAGTGCGTGTGTAGCCTGATGTTCTGCCGTGGCACTTGACGAGGCCCTTTCTACTATTGTAGAGCTTGCATCGACAGGTTGTAGGAGCAGCTTCAGCCGTTGGACCACCAAGTCGCCGGGCATTCCTGTTGGACGTGTGATTGGGCGCCTCACATAAGTCGTCTATTGTTCGTGGAGGGCTGATGCCTTGCAATAGGCCTTGTTATTCTCTAGCAACCAAGGTAGAGATGCGTCTACGCAATGGTAGGAACTGGTATGGATTCACGCTAACTCAAAGATCGCGTCGAATGGAGGGAAGTAGTGCACTGACAGTCCGAACAAACAACAAGAAGGTATGCCTTGATACATACATACATACATCCCATAGGACTTGTATCCTTCAACCTGCTTCGACACTTGCCCTTGTCCGAACAGACGGTCAATCACGGCACACCAAGCCCCAGGTTGCATATCCATCCTAAACATCTTCTACAGCGCCACAGATGGACACGTTCTGGCTTGTTCCACTCTTCAGAATGCAACTGCTTAGGTATTCAAGTTGCGTTATTTAGTAAGACCAGATCCAAGTAGGCCTAGCATCCAGTGGTGACATCGTGAAGAGCTTCGATGCTCGTACTGCGTCATAGTCAATAGTCTGTTGACTTACCACAACAACCAAACACGGTAGCCAAACAGTACCCGTACATGATCGAAGCGGTGTGCCCATATACTTGTCCATGTCTATACCCTGCCGGTGCTGTATTATAATAGTCAAGGCAAATCGCGTCACAGAAACTTGACCCGGCCGCTGAAACGTCTGGTGATGCTCCAGAGGGGCTGGGACAACCGTCTCCACGTGCCGCCTAGCCCGTCTCGTCTTAGCCCCTATGGGTCTCCATCAGATGTCAGTGCTCTCGACGTGAACGCCAACACAGCCAGCCGAGAGTGACCTAGAGGCACTCGCGCTCCCCCAACATTACCTCCATCGCAGCACGTCTGCCCCAATATTCACCATGACCGAAGACGCCCATTCAATACGCTCCTCACAGGGGTCGTCGAGACGTCCGCCCAAGAATGTGAGCATGTCCTCTGCATTCCGCGCCAACACCACCCTGTCCATCTAGGATTCACCCGCTGACTCTCCATGAAATACAGCCCCAGCAGCAGCTTTCGCAGATCGAGAAATCCGTCACCCACCTGCTGGTCGCTACCAAGCAGCTCCTTGGTTCGTGCGCCGCGCCTGCATCCCCCTGGAGACGTGCTAACACCGCGAAGAGACGTTGACGCTATGGTCACGCGGGACCGCCACCGAGAGCGAGGTGTCGGACGTATACGTGCGCCTAGGATACGAATTCAACATTGCCTCGCGCGCCTTCAACGCCATCGGCGTCGACACTACAGACCTTGGAAATGTGCCCGAGTTGCTACGTGGGATACTGGAGGAGACGCTCAGCCAGGAAGCAACCCAAGTAAGCCTCGACAACTTCCTACCACGGATACGCGACATCATCATAAATCTATTACACGGCTTGAAGAAGAAACAGCAGCGGTTACGCCAGCGTACAGGACGTGATGGGGGGCTCAACGGCAGCAGTCCACGCCAAGGCAGCGTGGGCAGTACTGGAGAAGTGGAGGATGCACAGCAGTCACGCTCAGCAAGCACAAGATTGCCAGCACGGGGGGAGAGCACAGAATTCGGCCCAGACCTTCCGCCACGATCATCGTCAGTAGCCGGCACCGGCAGAGCCTCCCCAAGCAAGTACGATTCGCTTCCGTCGAACCCAAAGGCCAACCGCTCCACCGCTGGGAGCCAACTATCCACAGAGTCTTCCATGTCAAGCTTGACCGCCCAGAACATGCCCGTAATGGCTCCATATCCGGCAGACGATTCCATGCCCATGACCCCAGAACCTGTGCAGCCTAATTATGCCGTCGATTTCCCACCACCGCCGCCTCCACCAAAACACGAAGACGCACTGGCTGCATTGCAAAGAGGGGGTGATTTGGAGCGCAGAGCCTCACGACGATATTCCGCGTACCAGATACAGAAGCACCTTGGAACCAACGGCATACCGCTGCCACCGGTACAAAACTCTCCCATACCGAACCGGGGTAGGGATGTGCGAGAGTCGATGAACGCAGTCCGAACAAGGGCGTCGATGATGCACACGAGGCAGCGATCACAACAGCAAAGACCTGCGGTAGACACCACGTTTGACAAGGCAACCGATGGGTCGAGACGCATTTCAGAAGAAAGTGCCCAAAGTTCGGTACCGAGCATCCTACCACCAAATGAACCCGATCCCGAGGATAGTCCAATGCAAAAAACGCCCGACGACAAGCTTGCAGCACCAAGGTTTCCAGAAGTAGATCATCCCATGACCGCAGCTACGCTCAGTGGACCATTAGCTGAGCCGGCCGAGCTCGCAGCAGAGTCGCCAGTCAAGGAACCGCAAAAGTCAGCCTCTCTACCCACCCGAAATGGATCTCGAAGAGCGAAATCACCATCTCCACAGCCCCCGCAATTTATTCCTGATCAATCACCCCAACCCGGAAAAGAACTCACGTTGTTCCTGCAGTACAAGAGCAAAATCAAGAAGTACGTGTTTGCGGATGGATTTGATCTCACCCCTGGACGACTCCAATTAGCATTCATCGAGAAATTCACTTGGGACACCCATCGCAATGGCGAGTTGCCAGAGATACACATCCAGGACCCCGTCTCAGGTGTTCGTTACGAGTTGGAAGATATCAACGATATCAAAGATCGGTCGGTGCTTGTTCTGAATGTTGAACATCTCGACGAAGTGAAGAGCCACATAGACGACAAGTTTGGTGGGCTCAGTCGCCTGGTAGAGAGTATAAAGACGGTGGTTGAAGATCAGCAGTCAGCCATACAGCGTGTTGCCGAACGCCAACAACAAACAGCAAGAGAGCTTGCTGGTATTGCCACAGCACCGACTTTGTCATCAGCGCGCAACTCTGCACTGCTACCGTCTCGCTCACTTCCGACTGGAGCACCGTCCGAGGGAAACGTGAGCTCGGCTGCCTCACTCAGCGAAGTTCAGTCGTTGCGTCGCGATCTTGCTGTGGTCCGTCAAACCTACTCTTCTTTTGTTTCTGATATCCAGGCCAGTATGTCAACCATTCGCACAAAGGCAAATGCTGTCAAATCCACGGCTGTCAAAGCCGCCTTGCCTACTCTTGACGGTGATACCGGTCGTGCGTACATCAACACCGGCAAGAAGGCGCTTCAAGACGACTCTGAGAAGATTGTGAATCGGGTGGACGACTTACAGGATCTCGTCGAGGATCTCCGCAAAGATGTCGTCCTGCGAGGTGTACGGCCGCTGCCTCGTCAACTGGAGATTACAGCGAAGGATCTTTCCATCGCAACTGCGGAGCTCAAGAAGCTGCAAGACTTATTGTCAAAGGAGAAGCCCCTTTGGACCAAGATCTGGGAACAGGAACTACAGACTGTGTGCGAAGAGCGAGATTTACTCACTATGCAAGAAGAGCTTGCGGCTGATCTGCAAGACGATCTCGAGAAGGCTGCCCAAACGCTGGAGCTCGTCGAACAGGCTACCAAACAGCAGAATCTCGAAAATGAGAAAGAGACAGGCAAGGGGATGCGCTCGGCTAGTGGCCGGAATGTTATCAATGCAGCATCCTATGACAAAGTCGTGGACCCACGCGAGGCTCGCGATGGCGTTCTAGGAGAAGTCAAAGCGCTGCAGCCGAACCACGAGAGCAGGCTGGAGGCTATTGAACGTGCAGAGAAGGCCCGGCAACGCGATCTCGCAACAAGGAATGATGACGCCTTCAAGCGAGAGCTCGGTGATTTTGTCGAAGAAGGCAAGCTCAAGAAGAGTGGTGGTGTAGAGGAAGCCGAACGCCTTCGAAAAGCAAAAGATGAACGAGCCCGCAAGGAGAACTTTGAAAGAGAGGCAGCCAGACAGAAAGCCAAGGCTGAGAAAGCAGAGAGAGAGGCTGCCGCTGCTGCCGCTGCCTTAGCCGCTGCCGCTACCAATGGAGACGGCGATGAAGCAACGGCAGAAGGGGAAGCACCCGAGGAGAATGCCGAAGAAGCTAAAGAGGATGAAGGTGGTGCTAACCCCGCCTAAACACCATCTGCCATACATTCTTAGCTTTCTCACCGCGTTTGTGCTGATGCTAGGGTTCAGAGCTGCCGCACTTGCTGCACACGGTCCGTCCGTGGGTCAAAGGCGGTATTCCACTGTCGATGCAGATGACGTTCGCTGCATCGTCAGGCATTGGAAGTCCGATAATAACACATACGAGCGCATCCGCGACCGTTACTGAGGCCCACAGTCCAATGGTCGGCCTCGTAGAAAGCAGTACTCCAACCTTCGACTCAGCAAAGGCATCGCTGCGTAATACTGGCACCGGCGTTCCGACGTCGACTCTCTCATGTAGCAGCACAGCTCAACCACCACGGCGAAACGAGTCTTCACGGCAAAATCGGACACCGAAATCCTCGTTGAGCTTCAAGTCTAGGGAGAGACAAACCTCCCATACACCACCTATGCGTCCAAGAGGCAAAACAGTGCCCCTAGATGCCAAGCCACAAACACCAATTAAAGAGAGGGAGAGAAACAGGGACACTGACAGCGTACTATCCTTCGCACCTAGCACGGGCGGGAAGAATCTTACGAATTGGATTTCCGGGCTACTAGGGCGATAGCAGCAGGGGGGGTCGCCTGCGGATATCATCGTGTTATAGGAGTAAAGGAAGATGATTTTAGTATAATATTGTATTAGCGACTGTTTGGAGGGTCCAACCGGGTTTTCCATTCAGCCTGGAAATTTGTTTTGTGCAGCGTTTTCGCATGGCGTTGATGGTGTTGTTGGTATCTCGGTACCTATTCAAGGAGCATGCATGAGAATGCACTAGTGCGTTGTGTGCACCAGGAGGCACACTTGCATGTATAGTTGTAGTGATGGATCGGTCATATAGAATATTGTAATGAGATTCAGGCGAGAATGAACAAGTAAGCACCGTCTTACATGATGCCACAATCATTACACTTTTCATTACTCATTCGTAGTTACTTATGCTAGTAGTAGCAGTGCGATATACACTCGCACCATCAATCGACAGCACACTACAGACATGGCTAGCTAGCTCTTTGGACGCACACCCAAAGACACGACCGATACGCCGACTCCGAAGCAGACAAACGCCCACGCTGATGCAAACACGCAAAACCCACTTTCCCTGGGCCATCACCCGCCTATCCCCCTCAGTTACCCACCGCAGTATCATTCAGCGCGACACACACGGCGCCCCGATGATGACCGTTGTACTGTCGAATAATACTCTGGCTGCCCAGCTCCCACAGCCTCGCATAGTGATCACTACACGCCGTGACGAGATAGGCCGAGTCGGCACTGAACGCGCAGTCCCAGACCCAGCGCTGGTGTCCATGCAGCGTCGTCTCGAGCGGGAATGCAGCAGGATCGCGCTCGGAGGCCGGAGGCAAGTTATCAGCCTGTGTGATGTTGTGGGGCGCGCTGGTATCAACGGACCAGATGCGCGCTGTGTGGTCGGCGGAGCAGGTGGCGAGGTGGCGGACGTCGGGAGAGAGCAGGACGCGGGTTATGTAAGTGCCGTGGGCGAGGAACTTGCAGATGGGCAGGATGGAGGTCGTGTCGCTGCGTTGGATCATGCGCCATACGTAGACGTTGCCCTGTTGTCGTACTGTTAGTACCAGCGGCCAATTTCCCATCCATTCCACAAGTGGAAGAGGAGTACTTACAGCGTTGTTCCCAGCGCACACCATACTTCCGTCGCTCGCAACGGTTACACTTGCCACACTGACGTCGTCCTCGGGAATTAACTGATGGCTACACTTGTTCTCTCCCAGATCCCAGATCCGCACATTTCCTCCGCGGTCACAACTCACCAGCTCGCCCTGATTCGGATGGATGACGACGTCGTTCACAGGCACGCCATGCGTATAGTTGCGCTGCACGTTGCCACTTCTCGTGTCCCAGATCTTGACAGTGCCGTCCTCGGACGACGTCACAAGCCATTTGGACTCGCAGTGGAAGGCGACACCGGTGATGTTGGATGTGTGACCTTCGAAGGTGAGGATGGCGTTGGGGTTGGTCGACTTGATGTCGTAGAGCTTGACCGTATGGTGGCCAGCGGCAGCGAGGTAGCGTTTATCGGGGGAGATGCAGAGGCGGTTTACTTGCGAGTCGGGGTGGGGAATGGTGCGGGAGCAAATACCACTTAGGGCTTCCCAGAAGCTTTGGTATCTAGGTCAGCAAGGACGAAGTAGGCTGTAATGTTTGGAGGCAATATGCGAACCGGATCGTGTGGTCATATCCCGCTACATGTGTGGTTAGCACTGGAAAGGCAATGTGTGGGGTAGACGCTCTACGTACCTGTACATAGAATGACCGACATGCTTAACGATGCTCTTTCGCGCGCTGAAACGTCTTGGGTGGCGTGATAACTCTGTTGAGAGTGAATATGCGACTGCGATACCCCTCATCTGACGGCTCAAAACATTGCGCGCGCTATCATCGACTTGCCAAGGGAATGCTCGTGTGGATGAAGTTGAAGTTGAAGCTCAAGCTCGGGAACGCTTGGGCCTCATTATGGTCAAGTCCGCTGCTTCTTCAGCCCTATGGCGGTCAGCCGATGGGGACTAGGTCCATTCATCCATCTTGCTCCAATGGATCACCAAATCATGTTTGCGCAGCTTTGAGGGGCCTTGCTTGGCTACTACCTGCACTGGGTGTATTTCGTCAAAAAGCAAGGTAAACAAGCTTCGGTTTGCCACACCGTCCCGGCAATATAGGTGATTCTACTGTTTTGTTCAAAGGGCATTCAGAGCGTGAATGACGCGAGGAAGAGTGTCGAGTTGAAGATTGTCGATGGTGAGCTGGCTCTTCACCTTTTACGCTTGAATGTGTATTCAACCTAACAAAACTAGCAGTCGGCGACACGTCATGAAGAGTCTGCTTGCTCAACTAGACACTTGATAATTGTGATACATCATGGAGAAAGATCACATAGAAGCCAAAACGCAAAACAGCTGCTATAACAGCTCAAGTTGTTTAGAGAAGAATATTGTGAACAAAGAGATATATAGGTAATGGAGGAGGGCGACGGTGTATTTCGACGCCAGGTATCATTTCGTGACGCTGCCCGCTATCGTTCCTTGAGGCTCGTTTCCATGACCACCCATAGCTTGATCCTGCTGATGGAAACCAACAAACCCACTGCTTGCAAACTTCATATGAAAGACATTACTCGCACCGCGTGCTTCTCGAACGCCAAGCCTGGTGTTGTAGACGAAGCATGGTGCGACCAGATCAAAGGAGGGCAAGCTACTTCTCACTTGTCTGCGCTTTACTCGCTTCGGGCTTCTTGTCGGCCTGGGGCGCTTTTGAGGCTGGCTCAGGGGCATCGGACTTTTCAGTCTGTACAGAGGACGGGGATTCGGTCACTTGGGCTTCCTTGTTGTACTTGTTGACTTGCGACTCGAGGTCCTTGTCTTCATCAGCATTGTCGAACATGTCGGCCTCGTGCGCGTCAGACGAAATCTCGGTACCGTCACCCAGAAGAATGACGCGACCGCCGAGTCCGCTGTTTGGCCGGAATCGGTGGTCAAGATCCATGTCGATGTCATCAGGACTATCGTCAATGCGATGGTGAACGCCAGGGCCGCGGAACTCCGCTACACTAATATATTAGAACTGAACTATTCGCCTTCTGAGGCGGGAGAGGCTGGATTCTCTGACTTGCCGTACTCTGGCGGCGCACATGGACCCTCTCCATTGGCAACCCTCTTTGCAATGTCCTCGTACCATTGATCCTTTGTCCGTCCCTGCAGAAGACCAATAATGACCATGGTCATGTTGTCGCAACCAACGCCTCCCGTGTCACTGTTCGACGCCAGGCAGTTGTCCATCATGTTCTCACAAATAGAAGAGAGGTCCTGCTTCGCAACAATTCCGCGCCTAACGAATTCGATGACAGCTTGCGACGACTGGCAGTCCCAGATACCTGCAGTCGAGGTTAGCATGAGTAGCCACTGGGAGGTGAGGATCTGTCTTACCATCGCAGGCAACGACTAAGAACTCGTCGTCCTGGTTGATGTCGTGTATTTCCACATCTGGGAATGCGGTGACTATTTGCTGCTCGGGAGGAAGATCGGCGCTCTTCTTGAACTCGAAGTCGCCTATCGCGCGCGATAGGGCAAGGTTGCCGTTCACACGGCCAAAGTCGACAAAGCCACCTGCGGCTTGAATGCGTGCCTTTTCAGCTGTGCAATGTCAGCCAAGTCGGATTATGCTGGGGGGCCTCGTCTCACCTTCGTTCTGCGGCTTGTGGTCAAATGAAAGCGGCTTTGCCCTGCCCTTGACTCCTAGGACGGAGCGCGAGTCACCCGCGTTGGCCTGTGGCTGTAAGCGACTTTGTTTGCCTGGCTTATAAAGCGAATCAACATACCACGTAGATCTTGTCCTTTGATATGATGCCGACGGAGGCAGTGCATCCCGAGACTTCCTCTTCATACTTTGGATCTATTCCGGTGAGTCAGCCCCATTTTGTCAACCAGCATCGGATAAGGCATCAGGGGGGCGTACCGCTCAGGATGGCCCTGTCTGTTGCCAGGAACCCGTCTTGCAGAGCCTTCTTGAGGTCTCCCTCTTTGAAGGCCTCTTGTTTTGTGACGATTTGATGAAGCTTCTCGCCCGTGTATATCGCTACCTTGTCACCGCCGTGGCCGTCGTATACACCGAAGAAAGCTAATCGCTTGTCTGCGGGGGTGGGCTTGCCGTCTTCGGCTGTGAGGTCGAGTACGGTAGCGTGTGCGTCTTCCATGCTGATGCGCCAGCCCTGCATCGACGACACGCCGAAGATGAGGGACTCGCCTTGGCCATTTTCCGAATGCTGCCGGGGACACCAATGTCAGTACTCTGCTCTGTAGACCAGGAATATTTATTTTTGCGCGTCGCCGTCATGGCCGTCTGCAGGCATAGGACAGACGGGGCGCACAGTGCGGGGTGGGGAACGGCATGGAGGGCAAATACCTTGTCGACGACGGGCTCGGAGAGGGTTTGGCCCATGATTCCGGGTTCCTACGAGGACGTGTGGGAGAGGATATTGGGAAGTGTGAGGTGGGGCGCGCTTCTCCTCTTGAGCATGTATTTGCGAGACGGCACGATGGTGTTGTGTGGGGTATTTGGGATTAGAACTGGTCGCAGTGGCGAGGCGGGCAGCGAACAAGTTCGTCGAGGAAAAAGTTCTGTGTAGGGAGAGAGGTCAAGGGATGGGCAGAAGAATTGCGTGCTTGGCTCGCGGCGAGTAAACAGGCCGGCGTGGTGTTGTGAGCAAAGGTGACGCTTTCAATCTTGCACACTGATTGACAGCGGCGAGGCAGCCCACCAGGCGCTAGTCCGCATTGGCTGGGAGCTAGGTTCGAGGCCGCACCGGTGCAAGACAGCGAGGACGGACGGCGCATTCTCTGCCATAATTGTCCCCCACTCGGCGTTGGCTTCCGCCATGGCTGCCTTGTGACGTTACGCGCCCAGGAGAGAGGGAGATGCAACCTGGGTATAGTTGTACAGTAGTTCCCACGCATGGTGGTTTCCGAGGCAGCAGGCGGCTACAAGGGCGAGCCCCTCGCTGCACCGCGGGCACCGACTGCAAGAGCTCGCGTGCCAGAGCCTTTGCGTCGTCACAGCCCCGATAGCCTACACTCCAAACAGGCACTGGTGCTCACCGGCCGCCTGCTTCTTTTTAGCTCTGCAAGTAGTCCTCTGGCTTTTTCTCCTCGCCAGTCCCTTGCACACACTCCAATTGTCGTCTCGTCTCCGGGGGGCGCAATTGCTTGGAAATGCCAATATCTGCAGGGTCTAGGTGTGGCCATCTGCTTCGAAGTTTCCGTGGAACTCGACTATCACCAGTCACGTGTAATGTACTACTTCTGGGCTTCCTTCGAGGAGTATTTTACCCAGTGTCACGGCCTTACTCTACTAGTAGGTAATCACAGGCTACTCGATGGTGCTCGGCCTGGGTCTCTCTTCACATGCTGGATATCTTCTCCAGAAGTAGGCTTGTGCTTGGCAATCTTCATTACCCTCACACAACAATCAGATTGTCGATACAAAGTGACTTTCTACCTGAAGCCGATTCGAATCATGAGGCTGCTCCGACTAATATTATCTACGCCTTTGTTATATACGCTCTTTTTATAATCTTCACCCTCGTCGTACACCCATCTCAGGTGGAAAGTGCCCTGCCATCAATCAGTTCTCAGCTGATCCCTGGTCGGTTCGGAGCAACATCTGGAGAAATCTAATCTCATTCATCAGTCACATGCCCACCTCACCAGCACTATGCTGCCCCAGTCTTGGCCCTGCCGCGCGCTCCGTTCTCGACAGCAAATGGGCGTCGTCGCGGTCGACCTCGGAACTTTGACTAGCGCGTTTGGCCGTCTCGAGCGCCATCGGCAGCCGAGGCATGTGTCGTAATGGATACTTAGTTTCACCTCTCTCAAACATCTCTCCATCACCCATCATTCCAATCCTCTTTTCAGACCCAAAATGACACCTACGCCGGACTGGGTCAAGCAATTGAAGCCTTCGGGCGTCCAAGGCCACGAGTTGCTCAAGGCAGAGCGCGCAAACTCCGCTGTGCCTGTACACGCGCTGCAGGAGCTCCTCCATACCAAAGATGTCATTGTCATGAAGCAAAAGCTTCTCGACATCCTCAAGGCTGAAAAGGTCTTTGACAAGTCCCAGAACTACTTCATGGGCAGGACAGACCGTTTCGAGAGGGCGCTTGCAAGAGAGAAGAGACTGAGAATCTTGAAGAAGCAGCACAACTGGTCCTTGGAGGAGTTCCGAACGGCTGCAGATCTCATTGGCGAGCCTGGTCCATACGGCCTCCATGATTCCATGTTCAAAGTATGTCTTGGCTACAACATCTCCCAGGTGGAATGCTAATCTTCCAGGTCACTCTTGAAGGCCAAGCCACGCCCGAGCAACAAGAAAAGTGGCTCACGCAGGCCAACGACTACAAGATCATCGGTTGCTATGCTCAGACCGAGCTTGGCCACGGCTCCAACGTCCGTGGACTCGAAACCACCGCTACTTGGAATGCTGAGGATAAAACCTTCACCATCCACTCGCCGCATCTGACCGCCAGCAAATGGTGGATTGGCTCCTTGGGTCGCACAGCCAACTATGCCGTCGTCATGGCCCAGCTCATCATCGCCGGCAAATCATACGGTCCTGCACCATTCTGCGTTCAGATCCGTGATTTGAAGACACATGAGCCGCTCGAGAACATTCACATCGGAGACATCGGTCCAAAATTCGGCTACAATACCATGGACAACGGCTTCCTGTTGTTCAACCATGTCAAGGTACCACACATCAGTCATTTGGCCCGCTACACGTTTGTAGACCCTTCAACGAACAAGTTTGGCCGCCGCGGCTCGCCATCTCTCGTGTACGGCACACTCACCTGGGTTCGCTCGACTATCGTTATGCAAGCGGGCAGCGTGCTGGCCCGGGGTGTAACTATCGCAACACGCTACTGTGCCGTGCGTCGTCAATTCCAAGATCGCGATGCTCCGGCTGGCGAGGCTGAGACGCCTGTCCTTAACTACACCATGGTACAGATTCGACTACTTCCCCTTCTAGCTGCCACTTTCGCTCTCCATTTCACCGGCAAGTCGATGATGGACATGTACCAGGAGAACCAAAAGAAGATTGCCCAGGGCAATGCCAACAAGGACCCTAGCAAGCGAGGAGCAGGACCAGAAGAGGTGCAGTCGGGCAGCGATATGCTGGCAGATCTGCATGCTTCCTCTTGCGCCTTGAAGTCACTCAGCAGCTCCATTGCAGCTGAGGGTCTTGAGGTTTGCCGACGCGCCTGCGGAGGTCACGGATATTCAAGCTTCAGGTAATAACATCAAGCACTCCGTGTTCATGCATGACTGACGCGGCATAGTGGCATTGGACCTTGGTACGCAGACTACCTCCCCACCACCACTTGGGAGGGCGACAACTACATGCTCACACAACAAGTCGCACGATATGTAAGTCTCTCCCCTCTCTCTCTCCGACCGCAATCAACTCACGTCGTCTAGCTCCTCAAGTCTGCCCGCTCGGTCCTGAATGGCGAGAAGCCTACCAACGATACCACCACCATCCTCACCGACTTCCACAACCGACGCAACATCGGTTGTGCCTTTGACATCATCGGCTCCGATACTGAACTCGTCGCCGCCTTCGCATGGCGCGTCTCCTTCCTCACGTTCGAAGCCTCCAAGCACCGCGACGAGCAGAAGAAGCCATGGAACGACCTCCTCGTCGACTTCTATCGCCTGAGCAAGGCACACGCACAATACATGGTCGTAAAGACCAACCTGTCAGCTCTGAAAACTATTGAAAAGGAGGGCAAAGTCGACGCAACGACTCTGGACGTTCTCACCAAGCTATTCCGCCTCTTCGCCCTGCACACGCTCGAGCAGGAAAGCTCCGAGTTCTACGCCTCAGGCGCCTGCTCCAAGCACCAGATCTCGCTCGCGCGCACCAACACGGTCATGAAGCTGCTCAAGGACATCAGGCCGCATGCCGTCCGCCTGGTGGATGCCTGGGGCTTTGACGACTGGGTCCTCGATAGCAGTCTGGGCCGCGAGGACGGCAAGGTCTACGAAGACATGTTCTACCGAGCCAGCGAGCTGAATCCTCTTAACAACATCACTGTCGACCCGTATCCGGAGAGCAGTGTCTTGTTCAAGAGGGTGGAGAAGAGTAAATTGTAAATATATATAGATATACACCGGTTGTTACAAGAGTTAGAGTCTAGGGTTTAGACATTAGACGTAGAGTTTACATGTTAGAGTAAGAGTAAAGAGCGAATTGCATCATAGTACCCCACCCATTATTTTTATATCAATATCGCTTGTAGCTACGTGCGGTGAAGAGGGGGTGCGAAGCCACATGAGGCTGGCAATGCTGAGCTGTGATTTGCTGGCTCTTATCAGAGCACGAATGCTCAGCCTCGTTGGCCATTACGCCTATATGCCACATTCGTATTGGCAATGGGAACTGTATATCGAAGGATATCTGTGGCTTAACTAGTGGCGTTTTTGAAGTGCGTTCAGCTGCATGTGGCTGTCTATGAGCAACTGCAGCGCGCGTGCCATTGGTAGCCTTGTTCACCGCGCGGTGTGCAAGTGAGTTTCGTATAGGTCGTTATCAAGGCGGCTAGAAATGTGGCTGCTACAGCGTTTAAGATGTGGAATATATAGCATCCATTTGATGCCTTGCGGTCGCCGTCAATCTGGTCTTGCCGTCTCTAGTCATGGCCTGCACGCTCTCGTCCACCACCAACCACACCAAAGGATTCGACTTTGCTGAACTATACAATGTATACCTGTACCTTAACCACACCTGTGCGCCCGAAAGCGACATCTTCTCCAGTGGAACGCGCATGTTGACCGCTGCGGTATGCAGGAAGATGACGAGGACCAGCACCTCCATCTGGTCAGGATGGACCCCGTATCCGATTTCTGACATATGGACGAGGATAGCCGTCTGGAAGCTGCCATTACTGCAGCTCATCTCGCAGTTTCCAAGACCGCCCCTGGGACCCAGTGTCGAAACTGGCGTCATGTTGCATTTACTGGGTGATCCGATTGACTCGGTAGCGAGCATGCTGTTGACCTTGGCCGTGTGCCAAACTCGCGTGGAGCGTGCGAAGGAGCTGTGTGTTCATACTGGGGTGGACTGTACTCATCCTGGGTATCATCGCACATGGAAGGGTTTGGCGATCATCATGGCATCATATGATGAGTGTGGTGCCTCTGCAAAGATCGAAAACTTCTGCACAACGTAGTAGGTTTCCCTCGGCCGCACTGATATTTTCATGTCCGCTGACCATTCGGTGCAGTCGCGAGATGAGAGGGAAGCCGAGCTTTGACAGCGAGATCAGGCACATATATGAAGAAACAGCAGGCTCATTAGCAGCCGATCGACAGACGCGTACGCTCCCAGTAGTGATTGCGGAACTCTTCTTCATTGGCGGCTGGGTCATATCGCTCGTAAAGGCAGCATCGTCTGAGCCAAACCCTACGAATTGGGTGAATGTCGAGGCTCAAAGTATTGCCATATCAGCCTTGTTCTTGTGGGTCACGTCGGCCGTCGTTATAGCCTCGGTCATTGGCGCTTCCCAAACTGAAGACGCTGTTCCGCGGATACTCCATGCGTTCGAATATCATATCTCGGCTTTTCTGGGTGGGCGCGCTCGACGACCATCGATTCAAGAGCGAATAGAGACAACATGGTGTAGAAAATCGATAGATCGCGCGGTACATGGAGGAACGTACTCTTGGAGGCCAACGAAATGGAAAGAGGACTGGCCAAAATCCAGTGTCTTGTTCGCTTACGCTGCGATCGGCACCATTCTTGTCAGCAGTAGCTTCTTCATATCAGCTCTGTTGTCGTATCTCGTTTCGCCAAAAGGTTTCAATTGCCGGCATATTCCCGAGGCCATGGTGTTAGTAACCCCATACTCCCACTGAACATGCCTGCTGACGATGTTGGTAGACTTGCCATCTGGCTGCTAAGCTCTGTTATTGAGATCATTTGCGAGAGGTATCTAAACCGGAGGCTCTTCTGGGTTATCTTCTGGAAAGACACTTTATGTGCCTTGAGCAACATCGCCATCATCATCGTTGTGCAATGGGGGATAATGAATCGCTGTTCGTGTTGGTCCGGGTGGGGCTCGACTGGGCTTCATCTACCGCAGATGCCGGATGTAAAACCTGAGCTAATGTTTTTCATAAGACATATCGCGCCTTGGATTGTTTTGGGGGCCGTCGTATTCCATTTGGTGTTCTGTGCCGTAGTAATCTGGAAGTATTGGGATGCCGTCCGTGTGTATATTCAGAGAGATGATGGAGTGTCAAACCTTGGCTGGGAGAACCGCAGACGGGACAAAAGTAATACGTATGTCTCGGAACACGGGTCAAAGAGTTGATATAATGGTGATCAGATTTCTGAGTTGGCTTTGATGAGGCTTAATCCGTTTAAGTGTTCGAATAACTGCTTACGTGTGAATGTTTAGTGAAGAAATGTACAGGAAAATACCCCAGAAAATAGATTAAGGCTATCTCAAAGTATCTTGAGAAATCTGTCAGGCAGTTTTCAAGCTCAAATTGTGAAGCCATGATGTGTTCAGCGTGATGGTCCAACTGGTCAATGGCCCACGTTGCGCTAATGCACGCCAACACGGGCCACGAACTCTTGGCCGATGAACTCCACCAAAAAAGTTCTCGTTGACACCAAAGTCGACTTGCAAAGCGATCTTGACTTCCTCCTCCGCCCAAGCTACTCAGCCTTGCGCACTAGAAGAGCATGGCGCCACCTTCTTTCTCACCCGACACTTCCATTTCATCGCGCACTCTCTCGATAGGTTCTACACAACCGCCGCCAATGGAGCTCCAGCCTGCCTCTGGGAATTCGTCAACGGCATTACTAGCAAGCCCTCTCGCATTTTTACAGCCGACGACACATTTGAATTCTTCCTTTCTTGCCGCCGCAAAACGATTCCTCGATCCAGTCGCCGCCGCCGTTAGTGAGTCGCAAGCTCAGCGCCTACAAGATGTGCGCAGGAAGCGGAAGCGGGGAGGATATGGCGACGACACCAGAGTTCTGCACCTGAAGAAGGTGCATCTGGAAGGCTTTGGTGTGAACCAGGTCTTTGAACAGACGCGAAAAATCGTTGAGGCAACTGCGGAAGAAATTGAGCTCTCGCTACCCGAAGAGGGTGGGCCGGTCGCGGTCCTTGACAGTGTCGATGACGACGAAGACCTTGAGGCAGAGGAACAATACCACACCGATTCGAGCGTGGGCGAAGAGGGTGTCGATTGGGAGTACGACGGAGTGGATGATGACGAGGATGCAGAACCATCGGAAGGTGCACAGTCTGGAGATGAAGATCTTGAAATGGGAGACGAAGAAGAGGACATTTTCTCCGACCAAGAAGCCGATGACGAGCCCGCCGAAACTTACATACCCGACCCCAACGGTCTCAACGATGGCTTTTTCTCTATCGACGACTTCAACAAACAGACCGATTTCTTAGAACAGCAAGACCAACGAGGCGAAGCTGCGGAAAGCGAAGATGACGAGGTAGATTGGGCCACAGACCCTATGGCAGGCAAGGGCAAAGCACAGGGCGGAGTAGAGGACTTTTCAGCCGACGAGTCTGATGAGGGCGGTCCAACGTTCGGCAATGTCGATCTCAATGCACCCGAAGGCGATAGCGACGACGACGACGCATTCGGAGACGGCGATCTTGATGGCTTGGACGATGGCACGAATGCCAACAATGTCATGTATACAGATTTCTTCGCACCACCAGCACAGAAAGTAGGCAAGAACAAGAAGAAGCGAGGGCGGCCAAATCCTCACAACTTCCCCGAGAAGCAAGAGGTAGCCGAGGCTGAGAAAGAGGCGGATATGGAGGGCACTATGGCTCGAGTGCATCGCGATCTTTTCGAGGATGACGACGATATAGAAAGCACGGGCGACCTCTCAGACGTAGATCCCTCAGACCCAAAATCACGACGGTCTACGCATGAAAGGAGACAGGCTAAGATCGCGGAGGAGATCAGGAAGCTGGAAGCCGCCAACGTCGCAAAACGCGAATGGCAGGTCTCTGGTGAAGCGCGCGCAGCTGATCGGCCGCTTAACTCGCTACTTGAGGAGAACCTAGACTTTGAGCGAGCGGGCAAGCCAGTTCCCATCGTCACAGCCGAAGTGTCTGAGGACATTGAAGCATTAATCAAACGGCGCATTCTCGCTGGCGAATTCGACGAAGTGCACCGCCGTCGTCCAGATGATCTTGCCACAGGACCCAAAGTCCGAAGAGGTCGCTTTGAACTCGACGACACCAAGTCCAGCAAAGGTCTTGCGGAGATATACGAAGAAGAGCACCTGCGCGAAACGGATCCCAACTTCGTCGAAGCCAAAGACGAGAAACTGAAGAAAGAACACAACGAGATCTCAGCCCTGTGGAAAACTCTATCCGCTAAACTTGACTCGTTGAGCTCATCACACTTCAAGCCCAAGCCCGCAGCACCGAACCTTGAGATCCGTGTCGACGCACCAGCCATCGAAATGGAAGACGCGCGCCCCACTGCCGGCGGCGACGTCGCTGGAGCCAGTATGCTGGCACCACAAGAGTTGTACAAACCCGGTGAGGAGAAGAATAAGACTGAGGTCGTTACTAAGAGCGGCATGCCACTGGCTCGCGAAGAGATGAGCCGAGAGGAGAAGTTGAGCAGGCGTAGGCGGGCGAAGGAAAGGGCCAGGAAAGCAGGTGTCAATGCGCCGAAGAGCGTGGGCGTGGAGAGGAAAGAGAAGAAGAAGCAGGAGAAGAAGCAAGTCCTCGCTGACCTGAAGAAGGGCGGCGTGCAGGTTATTGGAAGGAAGGGCGTGATTACTGATGTGGAGGGTAAGGATGTCAAGGACGTGGCGAGGAAGGGTGCTGGGAGCTATAAGCTTTGATGTGGCAGTTTAATATATACACCCTTTCTTCTAATTGTAACACGTTCTGGTGCATATACAGTTAGCACTGGGTCTTGATCTCTCAAGACTCAGCTTATTCATTGTGCCTGCTGAAAAGTGAACTGATGATTGAGAAAGAGCGCATTCTAGATACATCAAATTCGTTAGATATTCTTTTCAGCGGGCTCGCCGTGCGAGGCGTGCTATCGTTATTAGAACCAAACGACGGATATGTAATTTTGAGGTGGTGCCTATGTTATATTGAAGTCTGATGCCCCTTGCCACACGTACACTGAAGCTGCTGGTACTTGCCCGAAAGCGCTTATATCAACCCTCACGAACACTGCATTTGAGGGAAGTTATACAACGACTGCTTGAACTCTGACATCCGAGGATTTTTCTAATCTGTAAACAAAGGGAGCCTCGACACGCTTCTTTGGTCTGTCGTTCGCCAGTCCCGATATGCATAGTCTTGCTGGCTATCAGTGGGGGTCTTCGTCGCCATCCCCAATCATGTCTTCTTCATTCTCTGTGTCCCAGTCCATATTGTGATCTGAGTAACCATAGGATTGATCATCATCGGAATACCAACCAGGCTCCCCAGGTTGAGGAGGAGGGATAGGATCGTTGAATTCTAGTGCGTGCTCCTTGCCCCATCTCGTTCGAAGAAGTCGACGTAGTCGTTCTTCTGCAACGGCCTCCGCCTCAGTCTGATCATCACCAGTTCCATCATCATCAACAAACACGTAATTTCTCGCAAGGTCGAAGTCACCGAGTTCTTCCAGTGTCTAAACAACGCGTGAGCATAATAATACAGATTGGGTTGTAGGGAACAAACCTTGAATACAATCTCATCTGTCCCCTGGAAGAAGTTGGTGTCAAATGTGTGGGTTTCATGTCGAGTAGTCAAATGTCCGCCCTCCTCATAGCATGTAAGCCATCGACTTGGCACCTCACGACTGCCAAAATCGAATTGCCGAAGGGAAACTTTGCTTTCCTGCCATAGCAGCATATACATAGGGATTCTGATTGTCTCCAAAAAGTTGAGCATGAGGCATTCGTCATCGATACTATATGGTTTTCGAAAATCCGTTTCCACGATAAACTGCACACGGAGTAGCTCTAATCTTGATATCTGAAGCAAGGGAAGCAGTTGGCTGAATATCTCGAACAGCTCGAGGATTTGCAATTCCTTTGACTGCGGGATGTCCCTTAGGCTAAATGTAATGTTCAAACGCCGGATATGCTGGAAAGGTTTGATACCGATGTCGAAGGGGTCGCCCTTGATGAGATCTGGTATCAATGTGTTTTCCACGAAGTAGAAATTGCTCTTGGAATAGTACACCTCCGCTATCTCTTTCGCCATGTCTTCCCCAACAAACGCCGGATCCATGGCATGATAATGTGGCTGCTCGTATAGACCATTGGGCCCTATTCTGGTCATATAAACATCTGTTATGACAACATAACGGTACACCAAATCGCGTATCTCTCGGGGGAAAGATCTGGTATAAAATTGAGTGGCTATCAGAAGACACTCTGCTTTTGCGGTTCGGGTTATCAACTGCTCGACTTGCTCCTTCAGACTGGATGAGCTGTTAGTGTTGTGTGCTCTGATGTTACCTGTATTGTACGTACGACGCAATTTTATCTCTGTCTGAGGCCATTGTATGGTTACACCGAACCTAAATGGATACAAATTGCTGTTTGAGCTTCGATCTAGAGCGCAGTATTCTTCTTCTTAGTAAGCTAAGCCCCCTCAAAAGTGGTCCGACCGCAGATGGGCCACGTGGCGGCCTAATTCCTCCACCGCCATCACGAACTTGATTCCTCATTTGCGCATTGCACGATCGGAAGGCCCAGGCCATACTGCTCTAAACCGAATATCACTTTGATGACATGAATTTGCAGTGGACGTGGGCGAAAACTATGCTCAGTCTTATGGTAAGGAGCCCATTGATAATTTCCCTAACTTTATACCGAGAAGCCTCACGGCAAGCTACGCCTTCTCATTCGTATCAAAAAGAAGACACGGTTATGCCAGATACCTCGCATAGTCTTCATCATCGTCCATGCATCTTGCATTAGAATCGATTACTACCTCAAGCAATTATTACGCTGGCGATCTCTAGCTGCTAGACGGGCAGACTTCCGCAAAAGCCAAGGTCGTCTTCACAGCAGCAAAGACCCGACAATTCGATGCAGCCGCCGCTGATGCAGGAACGCTGCTTACAGTTCACGATCGTGTTCCCCCGCCCTTTTCGTGCGGGAGACGCGAATCTACATCGGGCCGATGTTCCCAATCTTGGTGAACGCTTTGGTCAGTCGGAGATTTGGAGGATGAAACTACTAGTCAATTTGCGTATTACACGCCGAAGGCATTCGAAATAGATCTATGTAAGTGGGTTTCACTTTTGAGTTCACAAGAGAAGTTACAAGTTGCATCTGCCAGATTTGTCAATACTCGGCTGACTCTGGTAGCATCAAGCCCAACTATAGAGGCAACTGTTGTTTCTTTTCACTCTGATGTGGGCTACGTGAGGGTCAAGCTCTAACAGCCGGCTATCTTGTCTCCGGTTCAGGCGCCAACTAGAGCAGTATTGGCACTTCTCGCCGATTACAGATGGCGGCGGTAGGTGACTCACGTCATGCCAGCCAAATACCAACGCGTAGTGCAGAACGTGATGGAAAAAATGATCATTGTGGAAGCAGACCGGGATCGAGGTCGTTTGCTGAGTCGCGGTGTTGTCGGATGATAAGAAGTGACTTCTACCATAGATCCGAGACAGCATCAGGGTGGCATCAAGCTTCTCTACGGGGTTTAAGCTTGTAGAAGGAGCGGTATGCTACCCGGATAAAAGGTCTTGTCATGATCAGGCGAGAATCCTGCTAGGGTTTTTAGTCTAGAACGGGGTGGGGGGACGAGGGCGGAAAGAAAGAGATGGCATCGAAAGAAGCGAGGTTTGGGTAACTCAAAGGGGACATTCCGGGCGTAGAGGCTGCCCTGTCGCAGTTCGCGGAAACGGACATGTGCTGATGAAATTGTCCAGAACCAAACCAGGAAAATCCCTGGATATAGGAAGCCTACTACTGTAGCAGCTTGTCTCCGACCCCCCAATCAAAATGCGCTGACAATGCCAGGCCGCTCGGTTTCCGACCCATGTAGAGACTGGAGATGCCTACAAACTCTTGAAAGACTTCTTTTACGTATGACAACGAACAGGAGGTCCTCGTGCATCGCAATCGTTCCGCTGTCGATCAACAAAAAGCTTGAACGATCAGATGACATCCAATCTAGGAGATCGAGTGCGGTAAGCAAGAGCCTAATTCGGCGTCGTTGCGGATGTTGGATTGGACAGGTCTCGACTGCATGAGACGCGGCTCAGTGGTGACATGGCCCGCTATGCCGTCAAGTGCACGTGCATTAGTACGGCACACTAGACACGCTCGGCACCCGAGACTGGGGTCAGTTGTTTGGGGATATATTAGCGTGGGATCCCGTCGACGGGGGTCCTTTCCGTGCCATTGCCAAGGTCCGTCGGACTGCCTCCCCAGTGGGAGATCCTGCTCCATGAGCCCACTTTCAAGGAGATGGCGCTCTTTATTTGCAGGTAGCCCGAGGCAAATTCAAGCGGCAAACGCGCTGCCATCTTCTGCGGCCTTATTCTGCCATGCTTTCGAGCTCGCTAATGCAATAATGAGCATGTTTAAGGGAACTTGCTTTTGCCTCGAGCTATCATCCTGGGCCGAAAAAGCAAAGAATATAGGGATACCAATAGATGCGGCAAGAGCGGCATGGGTCCATTGCAACGGCTTTGTGCCACCAGCCTGTACTAGACTTGTCTATTGGCCTCGACAACTTCCAAGTGTCTCACCCTCTGTGCCGGGACGGGGCTACGTTGAATGCAAGCGAAGAGACATATGCTGCATCTGTATGGTCAATGCAGGTACTGCCAGGAACAAGGAGCAAGATACGGCAGCTGCAACCAATTCTCCGACACGACGCACTGTTTGAGCGTGCCCGAACTTCTCCTTGGGCCCAGGAGATTGGGTCTGTCTTCGAAGCACCTTGATAGGATTTATATCTCTTTGATCTGCAATCTTTAGCCGTTGGGATTGATGTGTCAACCGCATAACGGCTTTTTTGTATCTTTCTATTCAACGGTGCTGCAAAGTCACAGCTACGATGAATCACAACTATACCAAGAGTATGATGATCGGCTTGGGCGTCGCCTTCCTCATTCTTCCCTTGGTATTTGTATGTCTCCGCCTATGGGCGAAGAGGTTGATCAAGCGCATCGGCTGGGATGACTATCTGACGATCGCCGCGCTCGTAAGTGATCGAGAGTAGATTCGAATAGTTGTATGTAAGTACGGATAATAACAGAGAGTAGGCTGTGTCTATGACATGCTGTGTATTGCAAATAGCTAGTAAGTCCCTTTGGAGCTCTTGAAGGATAGCTACCAACATCATAGACAGCGGCGATACATGGCTATTTGGGTTCGCACCAACCTCTAGACGCCAATGGCCAGCCGATCATGGATGATCCAGGACTGATCTTCTTCGAGCAAGTGAGTAGTATAATCTCGAGGGATTGATCGTGACGCTAACAGTCCCCAGACAAAATTTGCTCTCAACATGATATCCATCATAGGACTCGGGCTGGTCAAATCGTCCATCTTAGTCCTATACAAGAACATTTTCGCTGTGCGAAAATTTCAGATCGTCGTCTACTGTGCGCTTGCGTACGTGATCGGCTGGACAGTCAGCTTCTCGATCTCGCATCTCTTCACCTGCTACCCGATCACGGTCTTCATCGAACCATATTATGGTAACAAATGTGTTAAGACGGTGCCTATGTTCTTAGCCTTACTAGTGAGTCAACGCTCTTCATATCTGAACACTTTGCGCATGCGTTACATATCTGATAGAATCTTCGGTCTGTTTCCTCGCGGCGTGAGATCATCGCTGACCATGTTCCTAGTACACTGACGTTATCGCGGATATTGCGATTCTTATACTTCCCATTCCAGTAGTTCTGAACGTGAAAATGGAGGCCAAGAAGAAGCTGGCTGTGATTGCAATGTTCACATTGGGTACTGCGTAAGTTTGATAGAACCCGAATACCTCGATGCGTATGACATTACTAACGAAACAGTGTGTGTGCCGTGAGTATTACTCGTGTCGTAGCCACCTATTCCATCGCCGGCCTGTACATCAAGCATCCCGACGACGTCATCTATTACACAGCTCCTGTCTTCTTTTGGACAAACATCGAGCTTTCCCTAGGGATTGTCTGCGCGTGCCTGCCAACCCTGCGGCCGATATGGTTATACTTCTATCCTAGACAAGTGTCGAAGACAGGCACAGGCTATGGATACGGATCATCAGGCATGAACGGGACGAAGAACAGCAGTTTCGGGGGCAGCTTAGTCCGTACGCCATACAAGGAGCTTGACGAGATGGAGCTCACGCGCATCGAGCATCCGCCCCAGACGCCTCCCGAGGACCAATTCTCGCATTCGGGAGGAGGAATACTGAAGGCTACTACGATTCATCAGACATTGGGATAACTTGCTCCTGCGTGGGAAGGGTCTGGAACACTTCACCTCGCTTGTAGAGTTGCAAAGCTTCGTCATGTCGAGACTCACGGCTTACGCACGACGCTAGGGAATCAGGTTACTCGTATCGGTCCTACCCAAGGCTATCAGTTTGACCGTTCAATGCATGATAGCGTAGAATATGATGAAGGGATCACCTGGGCAGCAAGCAGCCGTGCAAAGCCCGCCAATCTGGTTTTCTCAATCTATTGGAGCCGCTAAGCCTGTATCCTGGTACATCGTGCGTGAATGAAATTGCGGCGCACTTCCTCATTCCAAGCCGAGAATACGTCTTCCAACATGACGCGATGATTTCTCAAGAAGCGAATGACGCAAACTAATCCAAGGCGATACTTCGAGTGTCGAAGTTAAGCGATCTCGACGGTCTTTCTTACGTACCAAGGTATAGACTGCGTGGGGTGACCGCCCGTGTGCCGACGGCTCGTAGGGAGCCGCCAGAGCGCCCGCAGTGGGGTGTTACTAAAGACGGCACACGCCCCATGCCGAAGCTATGGTCGGACACTACATCTCGATCAGGCCTCCCAGGCCTCCTCCACAATGCAAGAACTACACCAGGATAAGAATGCTCCGGCGGATAGTTTGCTCGGTTGGAGAGGCGTGTTCTAGAGCGCTTTTCACGAGTCGTAATCCCCTTCTTCCACTTCCGCGGTCCAGGGTCGCTGCACCTTACGCGAGCTGCATCGATGCAATTAAATCTCCCTTGAGCTGCTGTCCATTGCTCCGGGTACCGCCAATCTCTCCCTTCACCAGTGCACACCATGAGGGTCTTGTCCTTCATCACGTTCGTCTCGGCGGTATCTGCTCTAGTTGTCAGGCAAACCAATGTCGCGCAAGATCTGAAGAGTTTGGTATCATCGCCATCCTCAGTGACCGTTGAGCTCCGGGCAAGATGGAGCACCTACTATGCACCTCTCCCTGCCGTGGTTGTTAAGGTGCAAACAGAAAGGGATGTCGCCCTGATAGTATGTTGTTCCAAGAATCGTATTGGGACGAGACGACCGTAGCTCACAACATGCGATTAGGTCAAATACTGCACAAAGTTCGGCGTGCCGTTCCTCGCGCAGAATGGTGGTATCGGATGGGCCAAAACTTTCAGCCTGAGCAAGTTCGGAGTTCTCATCGACTTGGCTGGTCTCAACAAGGTTACAGTCGGTGCGGATAAGAAGACAGCAACGATCGGCGGCGGAGCGAGCATTGGCGACACCATTGCAGCAGCAAATGCAGCTGGTGCATTAGTTATAACAGGCAACTGCAACTGTGTCGGCGCCCTTGGAGCTCTGCTAGGTGGTGGCTATGGTGCGGAATGCTCTAGTGTCTCGAGGTGTATAAGACTAATACCTATGCAGGAAACCTCATGGGTGAAGTTGGCTTCGGAGTCGACAATATCATCTCGCTACGTGTAGTCCTCTCGACCGGAGAGATCGTCACCGCATCAAAATCGGAGAATCCTGATCTCTTCTGGGCACTCCGTGGTGCTGGACCAAACTTCGGTGTTGTGATCTCAGCAACAGTCAACGCCCTCCCTGCCACACCCGAAGACCGTACTGCGTGGATCAACAACCTATTCTTCACACCAGACAAGCTCACTCAACTCGCGCAAGCGGTCGAGGACCTCCCCTTGAAGCCAGAACAACGCATCTACATGGTATTGACAAGCTCCGGACCACCACTCAACCAGCCATCGATCCTTATCACAGGCTTCTTGCGGAAAGGTACGGAAGAGACTGGTCGCAAGGCCTTCGCACCCTTCTATGCACTTGGACCCGTCCTACAGACCAGCGCTATCACTACGTACGACCACTGGAACGATGCCAACATCGGCTTCTGCACCCGGGGAGATCGCAAGCCGGCGTACAGCTCAACCATCAAGACCATGTCGGCACAAAAGTGGCCCGAGATCTGGGAATTGTACAAGGGATTCCAAGCCAAGGGACCAAACACTGCTGTGCTCGTCGAACGCTACAACTTGACCAAGGCCATTTCAGCACCCGTGGGCTCGGCCGCTATGAACGAAGCTCTACGCCGTGATGCATTTGCACAGGCCATTGTCATCCCATGGTACACTGATGCAAGCCTAGACGCCGAGGCTGAGAAGTTTGGACAGAGTGTCAGGGCTCTGTGGACTCGATCTAAGACGCCAACGAATGATCCAACGTAAGCTCATCTATCCTACTGCACATCGATTCGAGTCTTGAAGCTGACAAGCATGATAGCTACGCCAACTTCGCGCACGGTGATGAAACTTCGGAGGCTATTTACGGATCAAGCCTCCCGAAGTTGAAGATACTGAAAAAGTACTATGATCCTTCGGGAACATTCAACCAATGGTTCAGGATCAAGCCATAAGCAGATAAAACATGAATGTCTAAATAGAGTATAGCTTTTCCAAACAGCAGCGAAAGCGTTTACCATCCCTATCACTTCGTACATCCCATCTTGACTACGTCTCCGTCCCCATCCCCGTTTCATCGTCACCGCGAGTTTCCATCAACGACTCTAGCGTCAAATCAAGCATCCCCTCAGTCTCTTTCTCTTCTTCATCTTTACCAACATCCATTTCCACCCAGAACGCCAGGCCAAACCCCTGATCGTAATCCCAATACGAAAAGGCCGCCGGGTGAGAATCACGTTGCTGGCCCGTGTCATGTATATTCTGCACTTTGTACTCCTTCCTCACTTCTTCTCTTTTCGCTATCAGATGTTTTGTCGCTGCGGCTTCGGTGACAAAGAAAAGGGTGGGTCGACCCTGTAGGTATTCATACGTCTCTGGCATCTCATCTTTGGTAGCGTATTGAGATTGCATGAAGATGTGGAGTTTTGGCGGCAGGGAGGTCGAGGTCGAGGTCGAGGTCGTCGTCATTTTGTTGTATATTGAAAGTTGGAGGAAAAGTATAGTAAATTCACATTACACCGCGCTTCTTATGCTAGAGTAGACAGGCTTGCTTGCGAGCAGCTAGAGGTCAGCTAACGATTGTCAAGCAACAAACGGGCTCTAGTCACCTGTTCCAATATGCAAAGCAAAAGACAAACATTTCGAAAGCATATTATGAAGCCCAGGAATTCCAGATGGAAATCAGAGTTGGATTCTAACTATTCCCCCGCTGAAAAGATGATTCCTTTCACTATGTCATCCACCGACACGTCCTACGCCTTCGTTCTCATGACTCTCACCCGCCCCATCGACACGACTCCCTTCCCACCGGCCATTACCGAGCCATGGCAAGGCCAACCAGAAGGCGTCTGGAAATACAACCTCAGCTCGTCGGACTTTCTCAGGCTCAAGATGTGGCGGCTTAGGGACGACATGAGAAAGCTTGATGTAAAGGCAGGTTCCGAAGATGGCACGCCTAATGGTGCGTTTCTGTCCATTGATCATGGTGAGTACAAATTGGTTGGCGGTGGTGAGCCAATGTGGGAGTTCAACATAGTGGTGGGGAAGGATAGGGTAAATGATAAGAATGTGAAGAGATTGTATTGGGTGGAGAAGGCGGCTTATACGCAGGGGTGAGGGGAATGGACTGATTGGGAAATTGGAACGGAGAGTGAGAGATTGCTTTTTCTAGTTGCAGCCACCTTCTTTTGTAGCGAATCTCACCACGCGGCTTTGATCACATCTCCAGGAACGAAAGTGATTCCCCAATCAGGTGTCCACGATCCACCTTTACAACATTCGAGTAGGTTTCCGGGGAGTAGTATGTAGTGGCACGCGGTCATACCCGTTGACACCTAGAAGCAAACATGCAGCGTATATGAAGTCTACATTCCTTGGAAAGAATTCATCCCAAAATTCGATAATCCAACCCAATGGAGAGTTCCACGAAATCGCTACTTTCCCTCATCACCCCCAGCGGACCAGCGCCAGCGCCATCCAAAGGACCACGCCCTCCGAAGAGCCGATACGTCCTGATGAAGACTGTCTCCTCTGCCTGGCCACTCAGAATCGTCCCCAAAGGCCCCTGGAAAGGCAATGCTATCGAAATCTTCGATACGTTCATTGGAGCTAGATTAGCTCTTTTAGACAAAGAAGCAGATGCGACGGGAAAGATAGGACACCGTACTCAGCGGATAACCGAGACTAATACGGTGGCCGAAGAATATGAAGATTGGGACTCAGATTCGACGACTGGTATTGTCCATTGGTATAATCATCAATGGACGCTGTGGTGGGTTCGGGAGGTCCATTACAGGGAATGGTAGAATATTTTGCTGCTCCTTGTTGAATTGCGGCATTGGAAAGCTTTATTAAGCGTATTGGTAGCGGTTAGGGATTTGATTTCGATACATAACGACGGGCCTCCGTAGCTGCGTAGAGTTCGTTTTCTTATTGTTGAAGTTTGAATTGTGAAAGCCGATTCCCCAATGCCTCTTCAGTACGTATACTTCTTCCTAACCATGGACCATACATGAGGAGAGCGGAGACACACATTGGCCATGTGCCGCAAATAAAAGCCTCTTCGAGCGAGTGACTCTCGTCAAAAGTCCACTAGGAACGTCAGTAGACCGTGCTTGAGGGGTCCAGGCTACACTTCTCGTGACTAGGTTCATAGGTCATGCTGCCTGACAAACAACTCGCACGAACACTATATCACTTACCAGCCTTTACCTTCTGTATACCTCTATCAGCAGCCTTCTCACACCAGCCCATCTTTAGCTTGAACATGACATCTTCAACGCAACCTCCCGAACCGGCATCGAACCCTACACAATACGTGTATTTCTTGATCACGCTGACCCGCGCAGTCGGCACCGATCCCTTCCCACCGACCGAGCCCTGGGAAGGAGATATAGTGGGTCGCTGGCTAGACAAAGATCAACTAAATTTGAAGATGACTGAGCTGAGGTACTCTATGAAGAGCGGCTCTCGTTGGACCATAAAGGCTGGTGAGTATACCGTGGCGCATGGAGGAGTGGAGCCGATGAAATTGTTCACGCCTGTTATTGGGAGGGATGTTGAAGAAGGCGGCGAGAAGGTCTGGAGGTTATACTGGGTGGAGAAGAGGAAGATGTAGCGTAGTGATGCGAATGAATAAGCAAGATGGTTGTCGGATGAATCCATATGGTTCGATTCATCTCCAAGGCTATGCACAATTGGTGGAGCTTTGGGTTTGCGTAGTCGGTCTTGGTATGGGCATCGACTCTTCGTGCACTTGTGGGCATATATGGCGTATTGAAGTCCCACGAGGTTCTTATTTCTTCTACTTAAAGTGCCTCCACAAATGGGCGATAGCTCAACAGGTAGTCTTGGGGTATAAGCGCCATGAATTTTTCTTTCTCTCTTTTTTTTTACTACTCTCTGAACGTTCAGCCCCCTTTCATCTCAGGGCCACCTCGATTCTTGTTCGGCTCAGCGTGCCGCCATACAATAATCCCATTCCTAGTAAAAAGGGAATTTCTCTAAGAGAGGAGTAGGATCTCGCTTATCTCAACCTGCGATGAGAGACTGTAGTAACTGATATAGATATAGCATGTGTCAGTGGTGTGAATGATCAACTGATAATGGTTAGGTGGGGTGGAAGGAATTGTTTACCTGGGTGGCTCGCTTGCCAGAACCCTTGAAACTTATCCCACCTCTTTCTAGACACCCAGTCTAGCCTCAGAGTACTACAGATAGTCATGGACTCTCTTAAACAAGGCTGTTCAGACCCTTCATTATGCGAAGTCTGTACCGAAATCGATTTCGACAATATCGCTCCACCCGTACAATTCTGCAAGAAGCCGCGTGACCAAGAACGGCTTACATCTTACCACGATAAAGACTTGGGGACTATCGAGGATATCATCAACCGTGCGGGAAAGTGTAGCTTCTGCGCATTGATAGCTAAGCACCTTGGACAAGATTCCTTGGACCAGGTCGGCCGGTGTAAGCTTCTATGCGAGATAGACTACTGCATTTCGAGCGATCGAACCGAGTTTACTCGCGATGGGCCTCATACACATACCACGACAGCTTGGGTCCAGTTCCACCCTGACGCAACCCTCCTATGGGCTCCTCTCCCTTGGGAGCTCGAGAAGCATGCTTCGCATACGCAAGGTGTGCGACAGCTTTTTCAGCTCCAGGCTAGTTGTGATCCGCCCGACAGCACGCAACCAGTCAAAGCATCGGCCATCCATGGACGTCGAGTACTCTCCCTCATGGACTTGAACCTACCAAAGAAGTGGCTCGATACTTGTGAACGGAAACATGTTGGCAGATGTCCGCACAGCTCAAGCACACCTGGTTGGGAAACGGGCTTTATGCCCATGTTTGTGATCGACATTGAACATCGATGTATCGCAAGCACACCCCCAAATTGCCGTTATGTAGCACTAAGCTATGTCTGGGGCAAAGTAGAAATGCTCAAGCACACATGCGCGAACTCTACTTTTCTCCGCACGCCAGACTCCCTTTGTAAATCGGATCTTCCGACAACTATTCGCGATGCGATGTCTCTGGTTGAAAATATGGGAGAAAAGTACTTGTGGGTCGACGCGCTCTGTATTATTCAGGACAGTCTGATGATGCAGCAAACGCAAATAGCCAAAATGGACCAAATATATGCAAAGGCCTTGTTCACTATCGTTGCTGCTACTGGAGCCGACGCCGACGCTGGTCTGCCAGGAGTGTCCCCGACGCACCGCCAGCAGACGCAAGAAATTCTTCGCCTTCCGGACGGCCGCCACTTCTACACGCTCGTTTACAACGGTACAACAACTGGGAGCATGATAAACACGTCAACATGGGCAGAAAGAGCATGGACCATGCAGGAGCTCCTTTTCTCAGGCCGCTGCCTAATCTTCACCCAATTCCAGGTGTATTGGAAATGCGAAGGTGCCGTGTGGCTGGAGGAAGTTGCACTCGAGCAAACCACCAGCACCAATCTGGAGATCTTTGACGCAGCTGTAAGCGCTAGATTCCCCGACAGAACTCTTGATCCATACGACTACTCGCGCCTCTACGGTAGACTGGTGGCCAACTACATGCAGCGGCGTCTGACGTACCAATCTGATCTCGTCAACGCCTTTTCTGGTATCTGCGGGAGATTGTCTGCGATCCAGAATGACCGGTTCTTCTGGGGCCTGCCTGAGAGTCGGTTCTCCTGGTCATTAGGGTGGTATTTGTACGCAAAGCAAACCAGGAATTACGCTAGGACAAGACTGGCCTTAACAAACGGTGGGACAGAGGAGGTTCCATTTCCCTCGTGGAGCTGGGCGGCATGGAACAGTGGAGATACAACGCCGTGGATCACCTTTCTCCAAAGTAACGCGTATTCTTTCAAACATGTTCATCAAACTGGATATGAATTCCTTCCTGTTATTGACTTCTGGATATCGGACGCTGAGGGAACACTCGTTTCAATCAGAGAACCAGACAGACACGTTGGATCGCAGTCACATGCCTGCCACACGCAGCACCGCCTTCCGTGGCAAGGCTCCGAGAGCCAGCTTCCTGAAGCTCTGGCGACCACAGACACGACTTCGTCGCAACGCCGACCGGGGCTCTTGTACTTCTGGACTAGTGTTGCTAAATTGGAGGACGAGGAGTTGGTCGTAATTTGTAGGACTGACGACAATAGGCCAGCGCAAGATCTGATAGTTTTGACGGTGGAGTGGAGAGAAGGAGTGGCATATCGTTTGAGAGCCACACTGTATCCTGAAGTCGACTGGCTGGCGCTCAAAGAGAGGCAATGGAAATTTGTGACTTTGGGATGATCTAGTTGATTGCTTTTCGTTGACCGGCATGGCAGAGCTATGCCCGGTCAAGGTCGCATAACCTTCAATCCTCCTCTTGTTGCAGAATCTTAACCGTGAACGACTGCTCTCCAAACGCTTGCTTGAAAGCTGCTATTTTCTTCCTCGTCAACCAAACAGTCAGCACAGGCTCCTTCCGTTTATGAACCGTCTCAACTCCCTTTTCCCTCTCCTGCCCGTCTATAACCATCGGCTCGAAAGCCTCCTCCTCTTCTAGTGACTCTTGCGTCTCTCCAGCTTCACGTGCAATCTCCTGCACCTCTTTGTCCCCAGTGTTAGTCCTCCGCTCCGTCTCGACACTCGCGAGCGCGGTATACATCCACCACGTCTCGACTTTCCCACCAGTGTTTATATCCTCCTTCCCACTTGGAGCCACAATCCTTCTGACCATATCCACGATGCTGACCAGCTTCGTTGTCCCCTGGCCCTGTGCCGACACCGCAATCACCAAATCCTCCTGCTTCAACGAATCTGGCATCTCAATGATAGAAGCCGGGTCTCTATACGCTCCAAGATACGTCTTCAGCCGATTGATGCCCGATTTGACATTCTGATTCCTCGTGAACACAACGGGTATAACATTCTGCGTGGACCGTAGGTGGGCTTGAGATTCGACGAGCTTGAGGAGTGAGGGAGGGAGGAGAGACCATGGTTTGTAGAGGGCGGGGTTAATTGTGGGTTGGGGTTGTGGTTGCTTCTTGGTGTCGGTGTTGGAAGTATGACTTTGGGCTATCCTTTTCGTCCCTGCTTTCGACTCCTTCGCTTTCCCGCTCGGCTCAGTAGTTGGGCCGATGACGGGGAGGGTAGGCCCTTCGCTCGAATACGGCGGCGTAGCGGTCGCCATTGTTGTGTCGGCATCTCTCGTAGATGATGATGCGAACATATCGCTCATTCGCTTAGGCTTCGCCATGGCCAGAACCTTTGTAGACTGATATTAGCGTTTAGAACGACCGGTGACAGGCATGTGAAATGCGAGTCGGTAGTGACGAAATTTGGAGTGACGCGCCAATTTCAAGACGCGTCGGACATAAGAGAGCGCTAAGCTAATCGCCGGACTGCTCCACACCCTCTTTCTTGTACGACCATTGATTAGAGTATATGTAAACAGTCACACGAGTTGAAAAAGAAGCGCATGTGCATGTGCTTAGAAGAATGAAAACGAGTATAGGCTCGCTCGTCAGGTCTATATACTCTCTATGCACAGTCGTAATGTATTCGATCGTCCATCTTAGAGACCAAACTGCCCCTCCACCTCCTTCCTTCTTTGCTCCCTCTCCAACTCCTGCCTCAACTTCTCCACCTCCTCGCCCACGCCCTTCTCTCCCTTCTTCCGCTGCCTCTCCTCAAACAAGGCCCTACCCTTCATGATTCTCGCCACAATCTCAGCAGAGTTTACATTTTGGAACTCGTGGTTAGCGATTTCGCGGTATATTTTCAGGGCCTTGGGCACGGCGTAAGGGTCGTAGGTGAGTGGCATGAAAGAAGTGATGCCGTGGTAGACGAGCGGTAGGGTGTTGCCGGTGGTGGGAGTGGAGGGTAGTGTGGGGTTCTGGGGAGTATTGTAGGGGAGGGTCAGGAGGAAAGCTTTCGATATCGAGAAGGGGGCGCCGAATACGACGGAGTGGATGTACTGGGGTTTGTTAGTGGGTGGAGCCAAGTTGAGAGTGGAAGAGACGCTTACTTTACACTGCAGCGCGCAGAGACCGCGCTCAAAGATGTTCATGATGGGGTAGTTGATGCCTTTCCAGTGATTAATGACCTCGTCTTCGTGGATACCTGCCACGAGGAAGACGGGGCCGTAGTCTTCGCCGGCCTTTTCTATTCGTTCTTTCTTGGCCTCTTCCGTGTACCAACCCCGTGCTTTTGCGGCGTTTTCCTCCGACTGCGTGACTAGCCTGAGAAACTCGATGTGTCCAGAGGAGAACAGATCCCATCCTCCATCCACATAGACGACCACTTGGCCTGGCCTTACTCCTTTGCCTTGTACTAACTCGTGGAAGGTGCCCTTTTCTTCTTTCACGGGACCAAGCTGCGAGGCGGATGATTCCTGGCGAATGGTGCCTGGCCGATGCTGCTGTTCGCTCGTCGTGTTACTGGTAGTCGTCCTCCGTAGCTTGGCGGGTCGAGAAGCATGCCAGTACCAGACGTCACAACCAGGCGCACGACCTGTCGCGTCCGTCGCATAGTCTTTGATGCGCTGCAACATGGCTTGCCCAGTCTCTAAGCGCTCCGCCTCGCCACCTGGGCCCTCGTCTCCCGAGAGCCACTTCTGCAGCGATTGTATGAAATGTGACCTTGTGCACAGCAGCATGCGGCCTACGAGGTCGGTCGTCGAGATGCCTGGGGTGCGCTTGACGACTTTGAATCTTCCTGCGGCCTTGACATAGCGGTAGCAGTCCTTGCCGTCGCTATCGGACGTGATGTCATCGCCATGCACGACGTATTGGCAGCCGTAGTGTGTGATCCATGGTAGCGAAGTCACGTAGGGTGCTCTTGGGATCGCTTTCGTAGCCCATCGACAGGCTTCGACGGCCATGACACTATATGGTTGTTAGCTGCCATTGCTTTCTCCTATGCCAAGGTGGATTGCGTACCGCTCGTCCAGGCGCATTACGGTTGGGCCCTTGTTCTCGAGGATGGCCTCATCCGAGTGCACGCCCACGAGCAGCTCAGTGCCCAGCTGGCGGGCCTGGAGCATAGCGCCCGCATGTCCTAGTGGGGTGATGAGCTATGAAGAGAGCTTCAGTGGCTGAGACAAGCCTACCGTGGTGGGCAAAGTCGAAACAGCCGTCCACCCATATGCGGTCCTGCGACACAGGGACGTCTTCCTGTGGGTCTACGGGCCAGTGGCCGTCCGAGGGAATCCACTCTCCCTATTTGGGCCATTAGATGTTTGCTTTTTGCGTGCTGGGGAGGGGGCGCGCATCGTACTCTTGCGCTCTGTCGGCGGAGCATGACGTATTGGGGTACCGCGGGGCTGCTGGCCAATACTGTGGGAAGCTGGTGGAGAGGGCGTGGGGTTAGATGATGGTTGAATGGTGTCGGAGCATAGGGAGAGTTTCGAGGATAGCTGCTGGCGGTGGTGGCAGGGGGTGTGTGGCTACGCGGCGCCATGAGTGGACGTGGGAGGGCTCCGGGCGCCAGCAATTGTTCCTGCGTCGGGGACAGGTAAGGCCTCATTGGCGTCGCATCGTCAGCTGTAGCCGCGAAGGGACACAGGCCCGACGCAGCCCGTCTCTCTGTCGCATACAGCATCTCTCATAAACCTGGCGCAGCTCGCTCCTCTATAATCTACAAACAAACTACGGTATCTCACTACGCTGCCATGCCATGCCGGCCCGCGCTGGAGGGGTCTACGGCTACGGGCCTGTGACGTGAAACAGCCCCTGATCGCTCGGTAGTGCTGCTCCGCACCGCTCTACTGGGAGCCCCTACATGCACTATGGCCGATACTACCAACAACAACACCACCTCCCCCTCCACCGGCCTCTTCTCGCGTCGACCCTCCTTCTTCGGCGGAAAGAGCAAGGGACACAAGCCCTCCAGATCCTCCGTCTCACGCACCGCATCCTCGTCGACAACAGCCACCCCCAACACCGAGCTAGACACCCCCCCTCTTGTCCCCAACCAATACGATTCCCCTCCCAGAGTGCCTACTACGCCACAGAAGCGCAGACAGGCCAGCAGACACAGCATCGCGACCTCCCTCACGGACATCGGCGCGCAATTGCCGACATCGCGCAGCGCCTCGCTTCGCACCAATACATCCGCCGGCACAGGAGGCTCAGCCAGCACCGAAGGGGGCAGCTTGGGCGTCCGACTGGGCAGTAGGGACTCGCACTCGCATAGGCGGACTCCTTCGGCCAACATGGCCCTGACCTATTCACCGGAAAAAGCAATGGCCACTGCGGTACGTGAGGCCCATATATAAACCGCACAGGAGGAGACACGCACTGACATGCCAACTCCCAGCCTTCACTGCCCGCCCTCTCCATACCCACTTTTTCACGGAACAGGCAAAAGAGCAGTGAGAACGTGAAGCCTGAAGGCGGGGGCCAGGCGTACGAGAAGAGCCCCCTCAGTGCCGTCGACAAGCCCAAGACACCCTTCGCCATGGCGGTGCCCATGCCATTGCGGCACCCGCCCACACAAAAGGAGATCCTACAAGCAAACCAGCAGTCAAACAGAGGGCTAGCGCCCGCAGCACCTCTCCCTACACCCAACGGCGCAAACCCCCACATCATCTTCCAGCACATACACGAGCTAGCATCGAAACGAATATCGACGTTGGATTACCTGCGAAAAGCGTACGCCTCTCGTGGCTCCACTATACACAAACATGCTAATCTCTCGCAGACACGAAGGCCGCATATACTGGTTCAACACGCTCCTCTTCGCCAAATCAGACCTCACGCGCCTCCCCTCGTTTATGCCACGCAATGCCTCCCGCCGCGCAACCCATTACCTGCTCCTTGGCTTTAGCCTCCCCTCCATCCTCGACCTTAATGCCAATTCGCCGACCGACTACCTCAAAGCCCTCAATGCCCTCTTGCTGGAGTTTGAACAATACCAGAGTATCCACCCCACTGATGGAAGCACACCGTCTAGTCTGAGTAGGGCGAGACTACCGCAGATGTTCAAGCGCGCGAATTTGAACATGGGAAGCAAGGGGCGGCGGAGCAGCAGTGCGGCCGGCGATTTTCCCATGTTGACACCGAGCAGCAGCTTCTCGGGCGACCTTTCCAGCATGGAGACGCCGCCCAATGACGACCTCCTCCTCCCCAACGAATCCTACACATACCTCCAGACCCCATCTCTCCCTTTCGATCCCGACTTCTTCAGCACCTTTGCCACGCTCTGCGACGTTCTCATCGATTGCTACACAAAGATCCTGTCCATGCTCAATACACCGGAGAGCGTGTCCAGTGCGGGTGCTGGCGTGCCGAGCATGGTGGGCGACCTTTTCAACAAGGCGGATGCAAGGGTGCGTAAGATCATCTTAGCTGGCGTGGTGCGCGAGTTTGAGGAGAGCTGTCGAGCTGGGTTGAAGAGTGAGGTTGGTGGTGTGGGCAAAGTGGTTCTGGGTGGACTGATATAATGTGACATGATGCCATTTAGAGATGAGATTTGACCAAGGCGTATGATTCATGACTACTATGATATCCACAAGAGAGACGAAACGAGGAGTTTTTTGCATAGCTTTAGCATAGTCCTGGTGTTGGAGCCATTAGCGTCCACCAGTGAGCGAGCAGCTGGCTATAGTGTAAATTAGGCGTCGATTGGAAGCTGCTGTATGCGGTGCAGTATAATATCATACTACCCCTTTCACCCCATCAATGCTGAACATGATTTACATCGTATGTATGCGTGCCATACATCTATTCCGAAAGAATGATATCACATCATCCAATCCCATTCTCAAGCCCCTCTACGCCGCCGCCGCCGTGGCCGACGCCTCATTCTTCTCCACCAAATCCACCACACCTCTCCCCCGCCCCACCTTGACCTTCTGCTTCTTCGCCGCAGCAGCCTTCTCCTTGGCGCCCTCACTCCCCACGCCCTCGCCCTCATCCACACCCTCGGACCCAAAAATCGCCTCCTCCTCATCCCTCAACTGCTCCTTGAGATCCGCCAACTCCATCTTCATACTATACGCATCCTCGCCGTCAGCATAGTACTTGGCCTCGACCTTGTCCACGGTGAAACCCAGCGTGTCGCGGTACAAGTGCAGAGCCGCCGTGTTGGACATGCGGACGTGCAGGGAGACGTAGTGCGCGGCAAACGTCTCGGCCATGGCGCGTTGAGATTGGCGCATGAGTTTCTCTGCGAGACCCAGCCGGCGGTGCGTGCGCATTACGGAGAGGGAGGTGATGTGCCCGTGTTGTACGCCGTCGGTGGGCTCTTCTTCCATTTTGGCGAGGACGTAGCCTACGATTTTGGGCGGGTCGTAGGGGGTTTTGGGAGGGCGTGAGACCTTTTAAGAAGGATGGGTTAGCTGGGTGATGAAGGGGTGTGTCTGCTTTGTGCATGTATGCATGTTTCCTCCAGGGCATGTAGGTATCGTAGCGGAAAGAAAGGGCGCCGTCAGACTGTCTGATACAGTCACGTGGGCTTTCTTTTCTCGTAAATGCATACTCGTACTCCTTGGCTCTTCCCTTTTCTTAGACGCTTCTATGCTATTTTGGAACCCCTGCTCTGCTTCCTGCTCTTTCTTCTTCTACTGCATTGCCCCAAGACGATTACGACTCAATTCAGACAAAGTAAAAACTTACATCAACAGCCACATAGCTCAATTGCGGCCAACTCATCGCATGATATAGATAGTACTTGCAAAAGTAATTCTCGGGCAGATTCGTGATATTCGCAAGCTGAACATGCGGTATGTCAGACGGTCGTAGTACGCGGATATCCATTTTCGTCGTGTTGCCTCGTCTCGCCTTTAAAGTTTCGTTCCTGCTCTTTTCTCCCTTCCTGAACGCTTTCTGGACTGGCAGTACTCTTTCAGCGTGAATTCGGTAACCCCGGTTTGATGATTGACCTTTACTTAGGGAAACGGGATCGCTACTGTCGTTGTTGGTGGTGGAGGTTGAAAGTTTGGTGATTGAAGGTGTGGCTTGTGCCGATTGGAGATGTGGATGTGGGGTTTTATGTAAGCGTAGGGCTGGCCAATCGTAGGCTTGGATGCCCACTTCCCATGTTTTCTACCCAATCTTGCACGTCTTAATTGCGATGAGAGTAAAGAGGCATTGTCTTTTTTTAAATTTTGCTTATATATATTCTTATCCTTGAGTCTTATCCAAAGACTTGCTAAACCACGCTCCCTACCAAACCCTCCAACGAGCTTGCAAATAATCCTTATGTTCGCTGTGTTGCTAGATGTGAAATACAAGGAAAAGGATATAATAACCGAGACGTAGAGCTACCAAATGCTTTTGTCCATGCAGCAACGCCATTTCTTTCGCCGAGGACATTCACTTGTTCAGGACAGCCATCGCTTCGCTTCGTGGGAGACTGCCTTCATTTCGACTGTTTGTTACTTAGCGGCAAAAGATCTCGTCCACCCTAGGCTTCACCTTTGGCATGAAGCCCTCTACGATTGGAACACACAATGCCTTCTTGATACCGAGCTCCGTGCCGATATAGTATAGTAGGCTATTAAGCCACTCTCTCTTTGCGGCCACGTCGAGTTGCTTCGGTGTATCATTGATGTCGAGGGCAGATAAGTCGACTGGGAGGTCGTATGGGTGTGCAGGGCTGTCATTGAAGATGTGACCGGTCGTGGCCGTGGGGTCGAATGTAGGTGGCGCGGCAGGTGGGGTGAAGTGCGAAGCGTCTTGCGATGTTGATATTGATGGTGAAGAGTAGTGGTGTTCAGGCGGCAGCAGGTTAGATGGCTCAGGGAACTGTGGGTTTGTTCCATACGGGCTCTGTTCCGCTGATTGCATGCTATGTGGAGCCGTGCTATACGCAACGGGAGCTTGTGACGCAAAACTCGCAGTTTGAGAAAAAGGCGACATTTGTGAATAGTCGCCAGTGTTGGGCGCCATTGATTCCGGGACCAAGCCTGCTGCCAGAACAGAATCCATGGTCCCTAATGACCAGAGGCAAACGTATCCTCTCATACCCACGACATCTTCAATTGTCTTGGAATATATTGGAACAGTGAAGCTGCTTAGGATTGCAGCGCAACTCTCCTCGATCATTTTGATCATGCTTATAGTGGCAGAGGAGTGAAGATTGCGTAATGTCATGTTATCCAGACCCATAATGGTAGGCTTACTTGGTGTAGTGGTTGGCTCAGACTCCTTTTGCGACGCATCCGTCTGAACAATCAGTGGGTCTGGCTCTGGCAACCTGAACATCCAGTTGAGGATCTCAAGCTGGTCTCGCAGTAGGAAGATTCGACTAGTGCGGTAGAAACTCCACATCCAGTATTGTTTCAGAGTTGAATATGAGTGAATATCCTCTGGCGCGCCTCTACTCAAGAGAATCAGCTTTTGCCACCTTTCATCGAAGGTAGCTCGGTTTTCAGGGGTGTTAGGGTCGATCCGATATCTCCAAGTCGGTGGTATTGCGGTTTCCCAGGCTTGAAACTCGCTGTCTAGATGAAGAGCACCGTGTAAGAGCTCTTGCAAGTTCGATCGGTTGATAGGAGGATGGGGGCTTTGTTTGACTTCCTGCCATCTGGCATGTAGCATAGCCTCTTTCCAAATGAGTCGAATGATGAAGAAATCGGCGTTGTTGTAGAGATTGGGTGAGTTTTCTTCAGCGCTGACATCATCCCTCATAGGAAGCGGCGGGCGTTTTCCAGCTTGTATATTACCAAGCAGCTGTTGCCACACGATCAGCTGTGGGTGACGGTCAACAAGGTGAGGAAAATAAAGGGGGTAATCACCATTTGGGCGTACGCCACCTCATAGAGGCGGGCAGAAACTGAATCGCTATAGTATTGCTTAATAGATCGGAGCTGAAGCAACGCATTGGCACCGTGGTGATGTGCGATGAACGTGCCCTGGCGTTGTTGAATGGTGAGATTCTAGTATATGGACATCAGAACTGTCGTTGACGATTAGTTGACGCCTACATACCTCGTAAATGCCCATAAGGTAGACTGAGCACAGTGTATCGTTAGTGCCTGCTAGAATTTTGTCCGCGATAACCTTGGACAACATGGTAATGCCCTTCCCTAAGCACTCTTCTGCTAGCGCCTCGGCTTGCGGGGCATTGCACCTGTTGGCGAAATTGACGTAAGCGACAGCGTTCACAACGGTTGCTAAGCAGGAGTCCTCGGCGGCATTTTCATACAATATTGGAATGAACGAAAAGAGTGCATCAGACGGCTGGTCCGGCGGCCTGTTTGGGGACTTGGGTAAGACGAAATCGTAGATAAATCGATCGTAGGCCAGACGGAGAATATCTGGCTTGACTCTCGGTGCGATGGTTAGCTCATCGAAATGGACGATAGATGTGTTTACGTCGGACACGTGGTAAGGCGGTTCGTTCAGAGGTTCATAGGGCGACGACTTGTCACTCGGGGGGGTGTTGTTGCTGGTGCTACCCTCGCTGATATCACGCCGCTGATGTGACTTTGATCGTTTCCTCCACGATTCTTCCGCTTTCTGAGCAGCAGAAGCAGTTTGGTTTCGGAAAAGAAGGTCTGCCTGATCCCTATACTTGCAGTCATGGCCTGATTTGCTACAGCGACCACAGACTGGGCTCGCCTCATCGCACTAGTGTAACAAAGTCAGCACGGCTATGTCTCAATGCCAACTCGAGTCCACTGCCGCAAGAACTGACGGGATATTGATGGGGAAGGGATGTGTGTGTTGATAGAGTAATAAATCGTGTGACTAACTTTGACTTTTCGAGCCCGGCATGACTCGCAGCCCTTACTGGGCCGCCCCCGATAGGACATGCTTTGTGAGTATGAAGGGAATAAGGGGTATAAAAAAGATAGTCGAATGAAGAGGCTAGACAGGGTATATGCGAAGTACAATGGGTAGCACACGTAGCTGGTGTTCGGGAGGGTATACCATACCGCGAACCTCCAAGCTTGGCTATTAAATTCTCTTTCGACTCCTTTGTCGCGACGCTTGCTTGTTCCGGGGTGTCCCTGAATCTGCAGAGCATCCGCACGTGCGTAATTGGACGCCAAAGCTCTATAATCGCATGGCCTCCAGTCGAGGCTCCAATAGCTGGTAGATTCGATACCGCACAGAAAGGCTGAATACGAAAGTTGGTATAATGTACATTGGGCTGTGACCGACAACGCCCTGCATGCCCGAATTGGAGGCGAAAGAACGTTTTGCTAGTGCTGACTCAGGAACAGAATTCCAAGACCTTGGCGTTCAACGGCGCGCGGAATTAACTGCAACACCAAAATAAAACCTTCGATTCGCGCATTTGATAGCTACGCTCTAGACTAAGCTAAACGGTGCATTCTGTCCCTCGGGCTCCAGTCATAGCAGGAGTACTGCGCCCTTCCCTTCTACCTTACAGCTTCGCCAACAGAATCTCTTCCCTCTTCCAATCTATGATGAACGTCACGCTATTCAACGGATACCGCTGATGCGCCCATGTCAAATAACTCCTCGTATACCGTACCATCATGCCCTTCCATCGCGCTGTTTAGCAATCAGTCAGGATCGACCATGCATCTACTAATCTGACCGCGTGCAGCCGCAGCTCGCTCATCAAGGTTAGAATCGCATCTTGCAGGCCGTACACAGACTGCACGGATGGAGCGATTGCCATCGTGAATGACGGAGGTATGTGTCTTCTGTGTAGAATGGGTAGAGCCAGAAACACACTCGAAGCACAGCTGGGTAGGTTCCAAAAGGGTCGTAGTCGTGGAGGAGAAAGAGTTATAGCAGGTTGTAACAGGGATTTGCTCCGAGTAAGTCCGACTTAAGTTGTACAGCTGTTTTATGAGTATTTTCCAGTGTTTCTTCTCTACTACTTCTGGCTTGGTATGCGCGGTAGGCCAGAGTTCTGCTGCGTGCTATTGGATACGTCCAGTATGTGCTGGTCATCTACATCTCCGTTTCCTTTTACAGCGCTCTGCGAAACCCTATGGCTGCGGTTATGCAGGTAGAATTGAAAGAAGCCATCCGTCGGGTCTATGGGCGGTCGATCTGGGTTGGCGACCTTATCGGTTATTTTCTTGATGAGGTATGCGACGACTTGTTGCGTGATCACCCCGTTATCCCCAATCCACTATCGGTTTAGAAAGGTAGTCGGCGTTCAGACTGACAAAGCCGCTAGAACCGCCAAAGCCGTGCCCGCCCATTGCGCGCCGACACGTTTCAATGCCGTCAGCAGCTAGAGTTACATTTTTCTATAATTTGCCGCAGCTAGTAGTAGAGCTTGTTCGTTGTAAGGAGCAGGAGGACACGGATTTGCACGGTGAGATAGTCGAGGACTTTCACCTCGTCGTATGTGGGCGAAGCAGTAGTGTACTGCGACCGTCATAGCACGTACGAGGACTAGTCTTGCGTGCATGGCTATCTGCACGCTTACATACATCACTGGATGTCCAGTCCGCATGAAACGTGCCGGTACCCTCTGAGACTCCTGCATACCTACTCAGCATAGCCGACCGAGGGACTCCGAAGTGGTCAAAAAGCATATAACCCTTATCCATCAACGCATACTCATACTTCGGACCGATGTCGCCCACAGCGGTGCCCGGGAGCGGCTGGTGTGTTTATTTGTCTCGTATCTGCAACGATGAAGGCCTGCGGGCCGTGACCATCGTAGTCGGCATCGGTAAGTGGGTCAGGAGGATTTTTGTTGGGCTTTAGCAAAAGGAACTGTGCGACTACGATCTACAGAGGCGTTAGCCAAATCGATAGACTCCAGGTTTTAGGCTCGCGAGCCGGTGACACAGGTAGGGCGTGCTCAGGGTGACGTACAGCATGTGTAGCTATTTCTGCGCATGATGCTATTCTACCATTTACTCGCCGTGAGATACGGACTGTGTATTGAGAGCTCTTTCTTGGTCGGATCCCATTTCGTCGTCGTCGTCGTCGTCGTCGTCGTCGTCTCCAAGGCTCTCATACTAATTGCATGGCCGAGCTCCGTCTGCGCATAGCAACCAATAATATGATAGCTCAGGGTCCTGGGTATCCAATATGTTTGCTGTTCCGCGGAGGCTTGTTCGCGTACTGTTGTCACTGCATGGAGGACTTTGTCAGCTTGACGCCCCAGTTACACAAGTCATGCATGCCATGTCTACTTTCGACGTCGCTCACCGAACATGCCCATATGCAGAAAGTACGAGCTCGTTTCATCATCTCAGTCTTCGCCCTCGCTAAGCCCAGATGATACCTCCCCGGTCGTGACAGCTGCTAACCCTTGTTGAACAACATTTCCTTGCTTAACACTATGGGTGCCTTCTATTGTCGCTCGATAAAGCCATTGCGACCGAGCAGGTGCTGAGCGAGTTGAGGGATGTCAATGGCTGGCTTGTCTTGCCGGGCTTAGAGTGCTGCTGTGCTAGCATGGGCAGGGCTCGAGGCGATTGCTAAGGTCTGGCATGGTCGGTTCGATTGTTCGATTCCTCGCAGTGTGATCGGGCGGATACGAAGTTCGACAGGGGGTCGCAGATCGTGTACAGAGAAGCGAAAGAGGCGTCTTGAAGTGACAATGTTCGTTAAGAGCAGTAATAAGCAAACATCATATGCGCTATGAAACTGAAGAATCTTAGCCGGAATAACGCGTAGACATATCTCTACGTTTCGTGCCTCGGCATATGAAGGAGCTGGTGTTTGAGCTGATTTGTACAGTACTACGCAGATGCGTTGATGAAACGCTTCGTAATGCGGGGGTGTCCGCTCGGTAGAGCCAGCAAAGCGGGGGCAATTCTTGGTATCTTGAGCTTTGACCCGAGTCAGTTGTTTGCCTTCGTGTGCGATTATACCAGGATATCTTTGCCTCGGTGTGTAACTCAAAAACTATCTTCAAAAGATATAGTAGTAGTAGATCGAGTAGAAGGGTGAGATATTCTAATAGAAGTAGTGATAATGTGATGATTGGCCGCCTGCACAAGGACAAAGGGAACATAGGGGGTTCAAGTAACACAAAATACCGAGGTAGGAGAGTCGCTCTTTTGAACCAAGCCAGATACCTCCCAAAAGCAGCTATTTGTACAGGATATCAGATTTCCAGACCCAAGTCGTTACCAAGAAAACACCGATAAGCATACCCAATAACCTGATACTCCAAGATGCATATAACTTTGAAAGGGTGTCATCAACAAGTGGTGCATCGCTGCACGAAATAGCCTTGTAAGGCCTGTCATCGACATGCTGGTAGCCGTCACGACGTAACAGTTATTCGATCACCGCATCCGCCCAAGACTTTAAACCACCTTCTTCGTTCAATAAGCGGTCCATGTCTTCCTCGGCAAGTCGTACCAGTACTTCGAAAGGTGCTTCGACGTCTTTTGCAGGTTGTATTCTCCGCGGAAGGAAAATCATGCCCCCGTCACCGGGTCCGTAAGATCGCCTGATGAATTCGGGTCGACCAGCAAGGGAATTCTTGTCCAAATCTGTACCAGGTATACCCCAGTGGAGGTCCGCACCAAAATTCAGCCACGATGTAATGTAGATATCTGAGCCAAAGGACAGGGCAAGCGCGCACTCCGTGTCGGTGATCTGCTTGATCGACTTGAAGAACGTCAAGTGGCGGGTTATCCAGTCGTCGTTGACTGCCAGAATCGTATCCTTGATCTTCCTTATGACGTGGAGGATGGTGTCCTGGGTTACACTGCGTGGTTTGTCAGCTAAGTAACTCAAGATCTAAGTCGCAAAGATCAATGCGACGTCAAGTGCAATCAACTAACGAGACTGTTTTCGGGAATAACTCACCGGTCTTCAGCTGTGAGATCTGCTATGTCAAGCGTGCCTTTTGAGAAAAGAGCCATGTTACCCATGTATGTCGCGGGAACGGGAGGGTGCTGCCTCCTTCGCAAATCGGTCGCGATCCCGATGTTAGTTTCCGTGTACCCACTGTTGGTCAAGCGAGCTGCTCTTGCGCGGGTTACATGCGTCCATACTAGGGCCGCGAGAACGTTACACTGTGTTGGTGGCGTATTTTTAGGGAAATACGGTCGTAGCTGATCCCGATATTCACGAATGCGCGCTGCAGAGATAACAAAGAGTCGTTGAGTACAACTTGTGTCCTTTGGTAAGGTCTTGGGGTATGAATAGGTGCCGTCGCAGTAACAATCGGCAGCTGAGCGCTTATGAGGGTCGGACGAACCCTGCTCGTCGATGGCTAATCGTAGCGATGACTGTTCCTCGGCTACGCTTGTGGAGGCTGGTCTGATTAGCAACGAACGATGATGCTGGAAGGTACAGTACCAAGGTCTTCGTACTCTCCGTTACCTGAGATCCTGGATACGTTTGAGCAAAAGGCTCTCCAGAAGGTAGCGACACCGGAAAAGTCCAATACGGTGTGATGCGTGTACATGGATAGCACAAGTCCACCAGGTATGAAGTAGGCTTGTACTCTCATGACTGGCGCATCGCTCCTTCCGAAGTCGACCTTCCCCTCACCACTTGGCGGAATGCCAGGGTAATTGGCGAAATCTTCGGGTACGAACATGGCGCTCTTGAACGCGCTTGGCGGCATGCCATCTCGTTTGAGCTGCTCGTACGTGTGTGGAAAGCTTTCTTCATGGAAGGGGATCTGTTTTGACCGGAATATGTTGCTCATCTCCTCGTTCGATACTTCTGCTGGATACTGCAGAGAAAGGGTGCCCGCGGCGCGATCGGAGAGACTCAGGGTGCCGGCAAGGAACGGGAATCTCTGCAGCGTGAGGCGCAGTCCATCACCAAGCGCCTGAATGGCAGCCTCTGCTTCATTATGGTCTGGAAACTACACCGTAACTAGTCAATCATGGCTGTATCATCTAATGTCAAAGTCGGGAAAACCTACTGGAAAGACAGACAACGTTTGTGTATAGACACGAACCACGTTTTGGTCCACGAAGGAGAGATGGAATGATTTTGTACGCAGTGGTGGCGGGCTTTCTGATTTAACAATCATCTTGAATATGCGAGAAGCGCTACTGCCGAGGTGATCAAGGAGCTGGGGCTTGCGCAATACGAGGGGGAAATTTAAAGACATGACGGTCCTACTACAGTTAGCTATATACATTGACGAGAATCAGTCACACATACCGTGAATTTGAGTGAGCAAACACGCAGCAGGTGAAGCACGAGATGTCATTTATCCCTTCACCGCATGGTCCTCTTGAGTGCGTCTGTGTAACGGGAGCGCGGCAATGGCCCACTCTTGGAAACGGGCCGAGTGCGCTAGGATCCAACTATGACACTTGTGGAAACATTTGAATGAGGCATATCTCTAGCCGGACTCCCCGGCTTAGCCTGGCTTATTTGAGGATCACACCCATGCTCTTGAAATGCGCCAGACGTTGCTTGCCGCATCCCCCCGTCGCCTTGTTGACCGTGCCTGGGTACTAGACGTCGTGGAAGCGGGCAATGCAGCCGTCGCTTCGCGAACGTTGGAAAACGTGTCCACCGCCTTGGGATGGAAAGGATAAAAGCGTGTCGTGGACTTTCCTTTGTTTTTCGGCTGCCGCGCATTCATTGGAGCGGGAGGTCAGGCGACAACAAACTGAAAACAGATCAATGATGGCGATTATGACATCCAGATCCTGGTAAGCATCCACGTCCCTGCGGTTGCCGACAAGGACTGCGGCACAGCATGGCACTCACAGGACCGCAGATGCTCGCTCGCGCGTTGCTCTTTGGGCTAGCTTTGACCTATGAGTGATCGAGACAAAGCCACCTTCGCAATGTAACAAGCATACGGCCAATCGACCGTCCTATACGGAGAGCGCGTACATGGTGTCAGACAGCCATATTGGGTGTGGCACCGACGCCTCATGCAAGGTAATGCGCAGTTCCTACTACCAGGCACATGGAAGCCTGTGTCCGAGCACCATATCAGGCGCATTTGTACGAGGCAACCGCGTCTCTGGTCAACAAGGCTACAAATAGAACTGAAATAGACGGCGGTGAAGTCCTGTACGTCCTTGAGAGCTCGAGTGAGTGTAAGCAGAGATGCGTCATCGTTGACGACAAGCCCTCTAGGGAGACACGTCGCGGGTGGCCCGTCGGCTAGTGGGTCAAGACCGGACTCTATGCCAGCAACACACCGGTTAGCAGGCGATCGACCTAGAAGCATGCGAACCCAATGGGCAAGACGGTTTGTATGTGGCGGCCCTGCCAGCCGTGTGCAGCTGCAACTCGAGCAATCGGCGCTACTGCAGATATTGAGTCTGTCAGATGCAGGCGTGTAACTCTTTTGGGGATTCTGGTTTGCGCTTAGACGGTGTGCCACGCAATCAATGGCCTTTGTTTGTCTGCGAACGGGCTCGGTCGACACTGCAGGACCACCAGGATCCCGTCTTTATGAAGAGACATTCCAGCAAGCTTGATGTGACTGGCCAGCCAGGTTCGTTCCCTGAAGAGTCACGCAGTGAAGCATGCAGGGAGTGGAGATATCGGTTACAGCAGCAGTCACCAAGTGAGGCTTACTCACCGGAGATGCTGCCGGTGACGGGGTGCGGCGCAACGGGCGATTGCTTTAAGTGACGATAACGAGGTTGAGGATGTAATGCCCGACTGACTGGGGTTAGACAATAGCGGGATGGCTGAGATGATTTCGTAGACTTGTTTGCTGTCAGCTATACCTGGAGTGATAGGATCTTTCTGGGGGGTCTTCACCATGCGAAGAAGTCGCGGAGACAGGTCGCGCATCGACGAAGAGCTATACCAGAAGCGACAGAAAGCGAAGACGGGTGTTTTCTCAGCTCTGGCTATCCTCTGAAGCTTGAGTATGCAGTATGGTGATCCCGTGACGTGACGACCAGTCCGTAGCCTCGCAGAGCTGGTTCCGCGGACGGTGAGGGTTGTTTGTGTTTGCGGGGTAAAGCTCAGGGTAGCTCCTTCCCCGCCATGTCCTGGCAAGATGCACAAATACCGACTTTTGCCATCAAGAGCCATGACCACTGCAATCGATTCATCCTTTCCGTGTACCTACATAGGCACTCAAGGCCAGGCACTGCAGCATACCAGAGCATGGTGCGAAAGGCGAGTAGGCTGATGTTCGTATGATTTCGACGCGGCATCACCATGGAAGATTGGCCCTTCATGGTTCCCCAACACGGTACAACACACCCCACGCTCCAGTTTCTTACCCCAAGTATGACTTCATGCTGACACGTACTATCCTCTTCTCAGTCGGCTACTCTGGTATGCGGGTCCAACGCTGCGTACCCATTTTGAGCTACTCTCTGACATGCTCGCGCTTCGAGAACCCATCGCGATCACGGTCGATACCGCAACACTGGGGGGCGCCTTCAAGAAGAGATGATTTACACACCGCGAGCGTGGCAACTGGCAGTTTTTGTGCTTGGCGCGGCGGCAGTGCCCATCACCCCAGCGCAACGAGTGAGGAGGCTGCCTACTTGGTTGAAAAATCCAGGGCGTCGCTCGTTCTTGTCAACTCGTTTGATTTGAAGACGCATTGTGTTCAGACGCGTGCCAGTCGGACCCTGCACCTACAGTCGCACACTTGATCCTACGGACATACTCATTTCGTCGGACCGCCCCTCAGAAAAGAACGGACCTGCCGCCGTGAGAATTCACAAGCCGCACGACAGGGCCACCGAGAGGTGCAGTCATGAGGAGGGCGTTCATCTTTGACTGTGCGCTGTCTGTAGCTGACCATTACAGACTGACCAACGACGATGTCCTGCTTCATGGTTTGCCAGTGCATCACGCAACTGGAGTGGATATCAACTTTTCTCATTCCCGGTAGCCGTATCGAGTTCCCCAGCGGCAGTGTCGACGAGGTATGGATGTGGGAGCGGTGGAAACAGGGTGCCATTCACCGTTGGCGACGGCTGACTGTCTCGGGCGTGCCGACTATATATATGCGCATGAGACGGTACTCTTAGCGTATCCTGAAACAGCTACCTGAGGAACTAGCAAGATACGCTGCGGGGGCTAGGCGGTTCCGCGCCTGTCTGTGTGGAACGTCAGCATCGCCTCAGCCTGTGAACGACTTTTGGGCCATGCTTATGCAGAAGAAGATCGTGCAGCGATATAGAGCAACCGGGTTTATTGCCATCTTCAAAGTGCACCTAGAGGATAAGAAGGCCCCTGATAGGCCTGTAACTGAGATTGCGAGTGGCATTGACGTCAGGCTCTTTGTTGGCGACCGAGGCGAGGTGCTTGTGAAGAGTCCAAGTAAGTAATGTGATAGTCACAAACAACGTCGCTAAGCAGCCATTAGCATATGTCCGCTGAGTACTTGAATGACCCGAAACTGCTGAAGATGACTACTTCGAACGGGCGACATCGCGCGGAGAGGAGGAAAGTACTATTACATCGTCGGCCGGGCATCTATGGACATTATACAGTCTGGAGGATACAAGATCTCTGCCTTGTATCGAGCGGGAGCTACTAGGATTGCTGTACATTGCCGAGGTCATGGCGGGTGTCGACGACAATGGTTTGGAACAGCGGATGGCGGCCCTTATCCTGCTACAAGATGAGGACCTGACTGACACGTTTCTGAAAACCTACTGCAACACGGAGTACATCTTGACCATTGACGATTTGCGGCGAGACCTCCGCAACAGACTAGCCGGGTACAAGCTACCAACAGCCTTGCGCGTTGTTAGCGGCGAGCTGCCAAAGACTGCAACTAGGAAGGTCCAGAAGAAGCTCTTGGGCCCATATTCTCCCCGCCGAACCTTCATGCTTGGCCCTGAGGAGCAGCGGGTGATTCCTCCAAGGCCGCTAGCGAAATGGTGATTACTAGACTAAATTACGGCAAACCTTATTAATATGGGGTCAGTAGACGTGTATTCGCGGGACGGTTCGTGATGCCGACTGGCGAAATCAGCAAATGTTTTGATGTGGTGTAAGTGAAGTGCAAAAGTCCAATGTGTCGCGAGGATAATCACGAAGATAACGCGCATCACATGACCGACCACGAATTCGCAAATTCTCTCACACAAGACGACGTGTCTAACACTCAGGTATACGTGTGACAACTTTCAAGCTCGTCATGGGTGGGGTGGTTTCATGACGCGAATTAGTCACTAATGCTTTACACTGCTGTGAGTTCTGAGGATTTCCATCAACATTCTTTTAGCTCTTACAAAGTGGAGAGCACAAAAGAATATACGGCTTACTACTATGTCTATATAGGTCACCTACGACATGTTGGATTACTCGACCTGGTTGACAACGCTCATCTCGTGACACACTGAGAATCACCACATGCGCATACAATGTGGCCGCCTTCCGTGTCATTAACATTGTGTACGTACACAAGCCGATTCACTATGAACACAGTCCTATCATCGCATGCTCATATCTAGGGCCAAGTCTTTCCCACTCAGCAGATAACCCCCAGAACATAGACTAACTCCAGGATACTCAAACATGGCCATGTCTCGCGGAAACTCTGTTGATCGTTTTCTCATAGATACCCTGAAAGAATTTGAGTGGCATGTGTACCGAGAAGACCCATACTTGCCACCCCCGTCCCTGACGAACGATGTCCTTCCAATGTTCATAGAGCGTTGGGCTATAGGCCGAGGTCAACATACGCACGAATTTTTCCAAGACCTGAAGCCAGCTCTGCAGCTAGTCTCCATGCTGTTCACTGAACAATATCCCTTGCTTTGGTTCAGCCATCTGACCTTCGGCGAGCGCCGTCGTAGCTCTTCGGGCGTGTACATCGCACCAACGCCATATTCTACTTCTCCTGAAGCAGTTGCTAGGGTGAGATCGAACTTACGAGAACTTGGCAAAGTAATCACTTTCATGTGGAGTCCTCCCAACTGGAACATATCCGCTTGGGGTCTTACTTACTCCAATAGAGACGACGAACCTAGGTTCTGCGAGTTTCGAGACGAAGATTGGCCACCGATCCGTTCTCGCACCGGATATGCCTGCCCGGTCATTGTGATGAAAGACTGCTTTCAGGTATATTTTCGAAATTCCAATGCGGCTAATTCGACCGTTAACGAGCGATATAGGGCCTTGCTCACCTTTGCTGTAACTCTTGGCCACGAAGTTGCGCATGCTTACGAGTTCTGGCTTGGTGGTCGTGGCGGTGAACCACTATGGTCCAAGAGCGATAAACATGCTGAATTGGGGTTTTCATGGGAAAAGAGTGTCATCGGCCGTGTCCTTAACCCGACGAATAGCGCTACGGATGATAAGGGCCGTTTCCGTACTCTGTGCTCCGTTCAATTGGAGGAATACGGTACAGAGGCTGAGCGAAATAAGCTACTCGATGAGTTCGAGGGCCGTACGAGCGCCCAGTTCACATCGCGGGATGTGGCTGGACGCCATCGCAACTGGCCACTCTTGGATCCACGCGAGTTTCGCGGTGCAAAATGGTATCTTAGCCCCAATGCGACAGCTATCGTGGCCAGCATTCATGCTATTCCCTCCCAGTGGGTTTGCGATTGGTTTCAGAAGGATGTCTTGTTGCGTCGAAAGATGGAGTGGGCGCAGCGGCAAGCTTATAAGCCGCCCCCGCTAGAGGATGCTTTCATGATCATCTACGAGAGGAACGCACACGGGGCGCAGATCCAGCGACCACTCGATCCCTTCTTCCCAGTTGATAGGGATATTCTGCGACAGCGCGCACAGAAGAAGACGAACGCAGCTCGTGTAAAGCGTTAGTATTATGACCTTTGGGATCCACGGTACTGAGTGTTCGTTTCTTCTTACTCAGCTAGCCCTGTTCAATTAGCGACACCGACGTATGGTAGGTGACGTTCTGGGTAGGTTCCACGCTACTGCTTCAAATTGTTTCTCCTGTAGTCTTATGTCAATCAAACCTACGTAGTTCAACTCCGGACATTTGTCTGCTCTGTCTAATTTGTGTTTCATTTTCATATCTCTCGGTACCTCTACAGAACCGGTGATAGCTCAGCAGGTAACACTGGGGCATAGACGCTTTTCATTATTCATTTTCTTTTTCGGTGCAAACTTAATTACATTGGTTCTTTCTGCATGCGACTTGCAACAGCATTTCGGGATTATCTAGGTCGACAAAGCGATACGGCTGTGGTTTCGGGGTGCGATGATACTCCGTGCTTGCCATATATAAGAAACAAGTCGGCTTGCCAAAGTAAGGTAACCCACAGGTCCATGTCTCAGATGTCGGGCAAATAAAAAGGAGTGCGGCCAGATATCGGCGGGGGTTCGCGCCACGCTTTCAGCCTTATCTCCGTCATAAGGCTCTGTCGTCACCGACCCCACCAACACACAGCATTTGAAATGCAGTCGTAAGATTTTGCCATTGGTTACTGGTACGGAAAAGGCCAAAATAGGTAGATTTTTCTAGCGTTTCTGCTGAACTAATGTGGTCCTGCTGCCCCACTTCGAACTGGAGGGAACGACTTAAATCCTTCAATCCCCCGTTGCAATTGTGTCTAGTATCCCGGCTACTACCCATATCCCTCTCTTCCCAGCAAAAGCAAAATCAACTCGGAATCATCAACTATGTCCTGCGAAAATTGCAAGACGGGCTTCAAGTGGAACGGAACACCCACCGGCAAAGAGTCCACCCTAAACAATGCCAAAGCCTACGTAGCTGGCGATTCCAAGGAGGCAGCTATCGTCATCATCACAGATATCTTCGGTTGGACGCTTCCTAACATCCGTATACTGGCCGACCACTACGCCAAAGAAGCCAATGCTACGGTTTACGTTCCCGACATGTAAACACTATGACGCTTAATGACTAGTATATGTACTAACACTCATTAGCTTTGATGGCGAAGTCGTAGACCCGGACGCGCTCTCCGACCCCGAAAAGGCCAAGAACTTCGACCTTGGGGCTTTCCTAAACCGCCACAACAAGGAAGCCCGCTGGCCAGAAATCAAAGCTGCGGCGCAAACACTCAAGTCGCAGTACTCCAAAGTCATTGCCATAGGATTCTGCTATGGTGCCTGGGCCTGCTTGAAGCTCGCTGCCGACCCCTCCCTGATTGACGCTATCTCCGTCGCGCATCCGTCTATGCTCGAAAAGTCTGAGATTGACAGCATCAAGGTGCCGATACAGGTCATTGCGCCGGAGAACGACTTTATGTTTACAGACGAGTTGAAGAAGTACACTCTGGATGCCCTGCCGAAGACGGGTGTGCAGTGGGAGTATGTGTATTTCCCAGGCCTTCAACATGGGTTTGCGGCGCGTGGAAATCCAAACGATCCGAAGCAAAAGGCAGGGTTGGAGAGGGCAAAGAGGAGTGCAGTTAACTTCTTCAATGAGTTCCTGCACTAGAGCCGGTATGTGCGGTGACAAGAATTTGTGTCACAAGGACGTGACATGGACAGTATACACAAGCTCAACTATTTAGTTTGAATCTAGTTCATTGACTCTACTGCTTATCACTACTAGTTACGCACAGCATCACTACGGAGCCTCTGCTGCTGTCGTCCTTCAGAGCCCGTTTCATGACGCGACTAACTACGTAGGTATGTTTCAATAGACGACAATATTCTACTCAAAATGGTTATACGGTGGCAAACTGGACTACGATCGTTAGTTTCAGTATGATCAGTCGATGAGGACCGCTTCTTGTCATCTACAGGCGCCACCGACAAGGGTAATAAAAAGTAAAAAAGCGACGAACGAATCACACAAGACACAACTCTTTTTCAAGCTGACATGATTCGTTCGTCGTCTTTTCAATAACCGTGTTACTGTTACTGTCACTCGTACCACGACAAACATGTCTGTGCTCGCTTAATTTATATTGTACGAACGTAGCTCTAGTTTTCCTGTGCCTCTTTTCCTCCGTTTCCTCAAAGCTAGAGGCACCCTTCTACCGCCAACATCGCAGAATCTCAACTTCGCGACGATAGTCTAGGCGAGGACGCCATTGCCAGCGAAAATTCGAACACAGATCCTGCAGGATGCCCTCTTTCGAAGCATTGCCCACGGAATTAAAGGTTCAGATTCTAGAAGATGTCTATCGAACAGGAACGATGCGAGACTTTACGAACGCAATGAGGGTCAATAAGGAATGGAATGCATTAGGAACGCCCCTGCTGTGGACCTATGTCGCGATCAACAACCAAAGTAGCCTTCCGTTTATTCGCTCCTTGAAGGCTGCTCGACGCAGTACGGGAGAGCTGGTTCGCAACCTGTCGGTTCTCATCAGCCCAATACCACGTGAGTCCACTTTATTCAAGGATATGATACTATGTACGCTCACTATCAACAGCAGGCGCACTCTTCCCTGGTAATATCTATCTAGTTATAGTATCGGAGCAGCTAGCTTCCTTGATAGAAGCAAAGCTAGGTGGTCTAACCACCTTTTCGTACCAGATCGCACCATCAGTCGCGTATTCTCTCCGCTGGAACCCAACCGATATACGTTACGATTCGAGAAAAGCGGACATACAGGTCATTCCTCTTGAACTGGTGGCGACTCTGCTTGATTCTCTGCCATCATCATGCTCAGAATTGGAGCTCAGGACTTGGGGCCACGATTTCAAGGGGTCTGCTGATTGGGATTTGGACCAGCCAAAGGGTAGCAATAGTATGTGCAAGGCCTTGGACAGGCTATTACCTCGTCTCACACACCTTCACCTGGAAGGACAAAACATCTCACCATTCGTGTTTGAAAGTCTTGTCAGAGGGCCAACGCTTCCACTTCTGGAAAGCCTCTGTCTCGGGACTGCAAAAATGATCGTTGCAGACCAGGATCTTGTACAATATGCGAATTTAGGTCCGCAGTACGCGCCTGAGGTCGTCGATAATCAACCGCCACTCGCGAGATCAGTTCTCAAGCAATTACGATTGCAGAACATTATCGCACGAGAGCTGCGCTCCTCCTACGAATCTGGCCGTTTCCCATCAATCAAGGATCTTCAGCTTCAGCAACACGGGATGAATCCCCGAGACAAAATGTGGCGCCTGAACGTAGTCGACATCCTCGAAAAACGCATCGAAGTCACACCAACGGCTGCAATAAGGCTGCATTTCAGTTCAAGATATGGGACTGGATCTGAGGTGGACCACGATTCCCCCTTGATTCTGATCATGGGGCGCGATGGAGAACTCATTCTCGAGACCGAGGATGAGTTCTGCAGCCGTAAATCTAATTCCTGGGTCTCTAGTACGACAGGTACCCGAATCCCTGCTGGCAGGAAAGTTATGGGAGATATCACGAAACATGGCTTTCAGTGGATCGACATGCTCAAGATATGCAAAAATCGTAAGAGGTTTATAGAATGGATGAAGTCTGAAGACAGCGAGATAGCGAAGACTTTCGATGACTCGCTCGATGTTTTGGCCCGTGCACTTGGAGTTCCATACGTAATCAAAGGCCTTCTAGAGTGGTACGACTAGGAAATGAATGAACCCGTGGAGCTGGTTTGGAGAGTTGGGATCTTGGGGAACATTGGCCAGCATAATTTCAACACAATGGCGTGGTATTGCGTGTAAACTCCCCCGAAGACCTTGGGTGTCTAGCATATAAGGGTTTCAACAATCCTGGCATCGATGACAAGGGGTGGTATCATTGATAGGTGCTGGAGGCACACTCTTCTTCTCAAGTTCTCAATTTCCCTCTAGAGTTGCTCAATATGTGACATACAAAAAAACTATACAGTTCTACACATATATTCTATTAATAATACTACAAGAGATACAAGTCTTCAAGTCGCCATCTACGCCTTTGAAACCAGGAAGCCATTCGCCTGTAGCTTCTGAAATACCTGTGCAGTGTCATACTTCCTACTCACAGCCTTGAGATTATCCAAGCTCTCCGATCCATAGCTCGCCATGACGTTCTGATGCGCCCCAGCATCATTAGCAAACAGATTAGGAAGAAGCAAATTGGCCTTGCGCGCATTAGCCGTCATCCACGTATCCATATTCTTCTGGATCTGCGTCATCATATCCTTGTCCTTGTTGTCTTTGTACTGCACGAGAATGGACGTCCAGGTCTGCGAGATGGGCGGCATGTTGAGCGAGTTGGGCACGCCGCCGGCTTTTGCTGTGCCGACGGAGGGGACGCGCGAGCCCATTGGCTTGATTGCGAGGACGAGGTCAGTTTCAGAGCCTGAAGTAGGGGCTTGCTCTAGGATCTGCTTGAATAGGGCGACGTAGTAGTCGGCATTAGGCTTAGTGATGACAGAATCGATCTGGCGCACGACGGAATTTTCAGGCGGTGACATGATTTGCGCGAGCTTGTATACTGTTCCGTTTGTTGGGGGCACGGGGGTTTCGAGGGGAGTGATATTCAGGAGTGGAGCAAAGGCGTCGGGTTTTGCGCTTGCGGGTTCGGCATAGAAGAGTGCGACTTCGACTTCGTTTTTTGCGGCTAGCATGTAGACATTGGCCTTGGGGTCCTTTTCCATATTGGCCTGAACCTGCGCAAGGGCGGGCATGAACTTGGCGTAGTCCTTTGGGTCAAGTGTAAAGAGTGTGTACCAGATATTGTGAACGGGCGACGTCCGCATGTCGAAGCGAGTGACAATACCGAAGTTGTTGCCTCCCCCGCGGAGGGCACGGTAGAGATCCGTGTTGCTGGTTGCATTGGCATTGACTATGGAAGAGTCACCAAGGACAACTTCGAAGTTCGCTATATTGTCTGTGACCAAACCGTTGAGCTGAGAGAAAAGAGTATAGCCACCGCCGAGCGTGAGACCAGAGATGCCGACGCCAGTGTTTAGACCAGTAACTCCAGACTTTCCGACAGAGTCTGCAATTTTCTGGACGTCGCCACCCTTGTTGCCCGTACCGGCATGGATTATAGAGTTGTCGGAACTCAAAGTTAGGGACTTCATCTGGCCCATGTCGAACAACACGCCGCTCCCATCCACACTGGCAAACTTGACATTGGGATTGTGCCCACCGTTCCGGATAGCAAACTGAGAACCCGCCTTCGTCACAATGGAAAGCCCTTTGGCGACCATGTCGGTGCTAGTAGGTGTAAAGAAGCATGCCGCGGGAAGTTCACAATTCGTTGACCAATTAAGCTCCACTTCAGCCTGGTAGTTGGAGCTTGACGAGTCGACATAATTGCTTGGAAAGGTTGCTTTGAGTTGGGAGCAAGCTTTCGCTGCACTGGAGGAGGGGCTTCGAGGAAAGAAATCGGGAATGGCCGTAGCTGCAGATGAGCCTGCTAAGAGGGCGATGACAGCCTTGTACATCGTTGCGCAGGAGTGAGAAAGAAGTCTGACAGGTCAAGCCTCTAGACAGAATGAGTGGTTGACTGATGGTCTATTGATGGCCAACTCAACTCCGAGAGTCCTCTTTATGAAGGTCTTGGAATTAGGGTAGGCATGCCTGCTGACCATAATAAGAAGCGAGACCTCCTACTACTTCTTTCGGTTTCTCAGCTGGCCCTGATCTGGGAGCGCTGATGAATCGCACTACAAGCCACTTGACATTGATTGAAGTGGAATCTGGTAGGTCGAGAGAAGCACTGTTCCTTACCTGGCAGCTCAAGGACGGCGAGTACGAAACAAGGTGGCCAATGGTTACGACCTGACTTCCTGTCACACATTTACCCCCTGTTCATGTCCTAGCTTCGGGTATGCCGTGGTGTAGCTGTCGTGAAAGCTTACCGCATGTTTAGATTCCGGAGTCCGAAGTAAGAAGCCCATCGGCTCCGACAAGGAATCCGGAGCCGGTCAAACCTTGAACACTTTTACCGACTACCTCTTGTTATCCTCGCATATCGTGCGCTTTCTTTTCGATTCCCTTGCTCATACTGCCTTTCTCGGGTTATTTGAAGTTAGCTCTCCTATAGTTTGGCTTAGCAGCATAGTCAGAGCCTTCAATTACCATGGGAACAGGTGGGCGGTATTTCACATACACAATCGTCTAGCGTACGTACAGGTAATGATTTCGCCACCGGCCGCATGAAGTGCACGAATAGAACCGAAAAAGAAACCAAATAACTGGACATTACGCTGCTTAGTGACTAATAATTCCCCCGTCATAATATTGATCCTCCATGTATTATATGGCACTATGCGCCCCAAATCCTGTAGAAATGCTTCGCTAAAATGAGACCCAGAAAGTCATCACCTAATCTTGCGCCAGCCTATGAGAACGTATTTGCCTTCATATCAAAAGAAAATCCGAAAGATATCATACATGAGAATGACTATTGTGGTTGAATGTGGTATCGCTATGCAGAAGAGAAGAATGAGATGAGATTTCCGCCAACGCCTGACGGAATGTGAATGAAGAAATTTTGACGAGCGGCGTTATTGCGATGATGTTTGATGCGGGACGTGTGTTTCCTGACCGGAGTCGAGTGGATCGCCTGTCATCATAGTTGCTACCACTTGCGCTGCTTCTTCCGGAAGTTGTGGTTGTGGTCGATGCGCAAGAGTCGGCTGTGGCGATACAGAGGGCCTGGCTATCTCCTCGTCAGAGGGAGATGTTGACGAGTGTTGAGAATCGTCGTCTTGGACGTAGGCGATGGGTCCCCAAACCCGCCAGTGGAGAAGCACAATATGAGTAATGCGATTCGCGAGGTCGGTCAACTTTGCAGTTTCTGGATGGGGCTGCGCGGATGCAAAGGTCTCGGAGGCGACGGGCTGCGACGGATACGTTGGGTGTGGCGGCATCGATGGAGATATGGACACCAGGCTGTTGAAAAGGTCCATGGGCGATGCGCTGGTGTGACGGTCTATGTTGCCGAGAATCTGAGGGAGAAAGGTGGCCTCCAATTGAGCGGCATGATGAGCAAAACTCTCAGTGAATAGGAGGCGAAGATGGTGATTGGCGTCTGCCAAACAATCGAAATGATATGTTAGCGGTTGGCCAACAAGACGTGATGCTTGCCGTAGGATCTCCAGCGAAAGTGCCTCGGAGTTCATCATCCACTGCTGAGGACCGTGGCCAACAGCTTCGCCCATGATCGCTGAGATGGAGGCCCGGAGTTGCTGTTCGATTGAAAGAGACAAAGGGGCACCATAGCCGAATTGCTTAGCCAATATTGCGAACATGCTCATACAGACTTCGAAGAAGACGAGGTCGTCAATCTCGGTTTTCAGTGTCTGCAAGCGGTCGTCATCCAGGTAGAAGGTCTCGGGAAAGTCGCTCCGACCATCTTTGCCAAAAAGGATGGCGACAACAGCACGAGTGAACACTTCAAGCTGGAAGCCTGCCGCGTCTCGTCGAGGCGTGCACTGCGAACCAAACTCATCGTTTGCATCCGCATACCAGTTTTGAGCAATGTTCATGTTGACCCTTGCCCGACCATGCACTAATTTGTCTAGATGGTAGTGCCTCTCGAAGTTGATCGTATCTTCGATCAAGAGGGTCTTCAGGTTTCGGATTTGGTGGTTTGCAACGTCCTGGAACGAGTTAGCGGTGTCCCCGACATCTGATCCGATCCAAACAACTCACCAGCTTCATCGCCTCCAGTATCCCCAGCAATTCGCACAGCCCCTGTACGATTTTTTCCAAGCTGTTCTCGGTCACACCTTTTCTCGTTGAAATGACCATGGCATCAACCCATTGATCTCTCATCGGCGCACAGTGCTCCTTGAGCAAATGCGCCATCCACTCTGCTAGCCGTACCATGTCGCAGACTCCTCGCTCTATCTCTTGCATCAACATGGAGACGTCCAAATGTTCGTCTACTCTCGAATGGTCGCGATCTGGCACCAGGCTCTTCAGCACATCTCGGATCGTGTGAAAAAATGTCGGTAGCCTTCGCTCAGCATGGCGAGTGATCTCCTCTCTCTTCATGTGTTCTACACCCCGTAGTGGTCGTGTTTCTTGTGAGAGTAGAACATAGAGTTGCAGCTCGGCCACTAACGCCCTCCTATACCTTTCCGTCGCCCTCGTTTTCTCTTGCCCTTTAACGCCGTCCACGTTCGGCCTGAAGCTAAGGTCACGGTCGAAGTTGACGTCATGTCGTAGCTTGATATTGGTGATAATGTTCTGAATATCGAGCTCGCCCAGGGATTGCTTGGTAACAGGGGGTGCATCTGGTCCGTCTCGAAATGACTCCGCTAGCTCTTCCCCGGTTAATCCATTCCTTTCTTTTGCGCCGATCATGGTCATGAGAAGTTCCGCGAGTTGCTCAGGAATGTTCCGTTGGTGGGGTGGTGTCGGTGCGGGTAAGTAGGAGTCCCTTGCTGCAGCCTCCTCTGACGTATACGATCGTATCCCTCGCTCCATGCTTTGCTCCTCTCCAACCAACGGACTCTCTGTACATATGAGAGAGCGATGCCATGTCGAGGCGGATGAATTCCTACTGTCCACGTCTATCGCGCTTGCAGATGGGGGAGGATAGGCATGTTCGGACCTGAAAGGAGAAGCACGGCTGCCAGCGGCGTTGGGCGTCTGGGTCCTCATCTCCTGTTGCCGACGAAAGCGGTTGCAGTTCTTCTGCAACGAATGTCGGATTCTCATGAGATGACGTAACGGGTGGTGAATGACGGTTGAACTAGTGTTGTGTCGGGCGCGTGAGCGGCGAAGTGGTTGATGATAATGTTCTGGGAAGCGAAGGCTCAAGAAAAGCGCATGGGGTTGCTACAAGCGCGAACTGCCACTGGTTAGCCTACCAAACGATACAAGACAGGGCCGTTTGCAAAACACAAGCTGAAAACGTGTTCATGAGTTGTTTGACAGAAGCTGCAGGCTGCCACATGAAACAGCAAGGCAGCTCCGAGTCAGACAAGCCTGAAAGATGCGGCAAGATGCGGGTGTCGTGCTCGGGCAAGGTGTACCTTTTTGCATGTGCCCCCTTGGATACAAGATGTGTAGGAGTTCTTTGCAAGCACTAACTTAGGGCTTGTGTCGTGTTAATGTAGTGATGTGGGACAAAGTGGTCAGTTGCGCTGAATGAAGGACAAGGACGTTTGCGGAAGCCTTAAGAGACGGCTTCGGACGAGAGCCACTTTGCAGGAAAGGCAAAGTGGAGACAGCGCAGAAGAGGACAGAAAACAGACAGGAAGGTTACTACTGAGTGTAGTAGTAACGGTGCAGCAAGGCGTGGGACTGCTGCAAGGTGCGTTGCGGAATTCAAACAGCGTTTGACTCGTTCTTGAAGCAGTGTGTGGTTGTGCGGGCTGGAGGCTGAGGGTGGGAGCGGGAGCCCTTGCATTCTTGTTTAAAGGAAGAGCACAGACAGCATCAGTGCTGAACCCGTAACCGGGTTCTTAGATGTGCGAATTAATACTTGGATACGCAGAGGCCCTCGCTACTGGACGACGACGGGCGCTGGGCGTACCTCGGAGGCACCTCCTGAGTTATGAAGCTGCAAACCAGGCCATCCCAACGACTCACCGCTAGTCATCCGCCGCGTCGCCGTGTCGAGGATCCATACCGGTGTCGCGAAGCCGCAGTAGCGCTGTCCCGCTCGCTGGCATACATTATTAGGCGAACAGTGTTGTGAGGGAGAACAATGCATCAAAATGTGCACGCATGCAATTCCATGGCCCGAATGCGGCTAGCCGCAATCGAATCAGCAACCGAGATTGGCCGGCGCATCCCGTCAGCCTCACTTCTGTGAAAAGCAGGGCGAGCAATTTGGGGGTCGGCATTTGCAACCATCGGACCAGGAAAAGATAAACCGCATGATTCGCCCTCGCTCACGCAGCTGACCGCATGATTTCAGCCTCATCCAGCGGACATGTGGCGGAAGGCCACGGGAGCTACGAAGCCGCCGTGTGTGCTCGCGTGCCACCTGGCAAGAATAGATTCCGCTCACGGTCGTCGAGGTTGAGGTCTAACCCGTGCGCATCGTCTCCGTGGTGTTGTTATTGTTGCTGTTGCTGTTGCTGTTGCTGTTGTTGTTGTTGTCGTGTATCCAGTGTAGGCGCGAATGTGAGTGAGTGCCATTGCCACTGCGTGACATGGTAACTGAAACGCTACCGCCTCATCCCAACCTCGCAGATCCGACGAATCGCCAAGTGTGCGACGACTGATTCGTTCGAGATCATCGCCAGCGCGTGTTGCAGGAGAGCGAGGATCAAGAGGGCGCAAAAGCAGAGCGACCTCTCATGCTATGACAGGTAATGATGAGCCAGCGACCGAAGGCTGCTTGTGGGGAGATGGCCGGACAGTGGGGAACGTGTGGTGATTTATGTGCAGCAAGCGTGGGTTATCCTTGCCGGAGGAGGCATGGCCGGATCGAAGAACGGGAGAGGAAGAAAAAGAAACGAGGGGCCCATAAAATATATGTAGTAGGGCTGCGCGAGTCCGCCCGTCACATCCTTAGGCAGTAACGACACCACCATGGAAAACGCGGCGATGTCACACGATCTCCTTCGGGGTTGGTCTTCTTCTTTAGCATTGCAACATGAGTGGTCACTTACTTTACAAGGCGCTTGGAGGACTCATTGACACATGCTATCTACTATCCACTGGATTGCCCCGTTCCGTTGTCGCCAATGCATCGACAGACCCTTGACGCCAGGTATGCTTGACCGGCTTTCCTCTTTAGTACCTAAGATCTAAACCCCATCAAACTCCAAACTATGCTAGTCGCCGAATGCAAATGCAGGTCCCCATGTCCTATTCCAAAACCCTCTCCATCTCATTCTCTCTTTTTCTCCCCCTTCGCCACTCAGCAGATCCTCCAAACTGACCACGACCTATCCTATACCATCTCCCAACGCCCACTAAACCCACACCTCACCACCTAACAAACCTCCCACTCCCATACCCCCTCACGAATCCCTTCCCCCCACCACTTCCGTCCTCCCCAACAGAAGAAGAATCTCTAGCAGAGTCCATCAACCGGCCCTTGGCCCACTCCCGCCTCTCATTCCGCGCCTTCTCCCTCCCCACTTGCCTACACCACAAGCACGCCCCGGCATACCCCAGCGTCTGGCTGATTCTGCTCCCGACCGGACACGCTTTGATAGGATCGTGCTGTCGGGCAGCGGGGCAGAGACGTAGGTAGGGGTATGTGGGTGTAGGGGGGCAGGAGCATGATGCTGCGGTTGCGAAGAGGACTATGCACATTGTGCCGGTGCGTGGAGAGTTCGATGAAGAGGTCGCTTGGTTGATGGGTGAGTGGGTGGGTGAGATAGATGTTGTACCGACTTGGGAGGGCGAGAAGAATATGCTTGTGCGTGTGGTGGTGATCCGTTGTGATGTGCGGAAATGAGTGGTAGAAGCGTACGATGACTCCGAGTATAAGTGTGATTGAGAGTATGGACTGTTTTGAAGAGAATCAGACGGATGGTCGATGAGCTTTAGCATAGTATGCGCATGCAGTCAACGACCTCACTTCATTACATATCTGGCTGTTAGCAATCCATGGTCAAATCCGACAATAGTGACAATGGAGATATCCGAGAGGAAACAGCCATGCGATTGTTCGTGGGACAGCAATGCGTTTGGTACAAGGTTGTTTGAGGACAGCAAATCAAATCGTGGATTATTATGACGATGAAGAGCAACTCCATCACTACGCCTTGTACATACAATCAGTACAAGACGTTTGGGTAGGGAAACCGAAGATTTACAAATGTGAGAAAGGGGAACGCAGGGCGGATGCTTGAGGCTGGGGGCAAAGGTAGCTGCCGGGCCGGTATCATATCAAACCTCATTTTGCTAGCGACGCCAAACAATATACTAATCACTCCCCGACTGCAACGTGCATGCGCATGTCGCACGGGTGTATCGTTCTTTGCCAATAATGTAATCATCCATTCGAAAGTCGGTCCGACTTCCCATTTGGTATCTTGATGCAGGCGTTTGGTGGAATCAAGCGCTTCGTTGTACATTCAGTAACCAAGCAAAGAAACGAGTCGAAGGAGAGAAAGTCAAATTTGTGGTTTAGAGATTGCGAGGAAGGACAACGCAGGCTTCCTAAGCCGCAGTATCCATTGGTTCCGACTTCGTTTGTTTGCCAGCGCGTCCGCGGGGCGCCTCTTGCGGACTCCGCGCCTCATGCTCGTCAGAGCTATCTTGGTCTGACGGGCTCTGCGGTCTGCTGTCGTTCAGATTGCGGCGGCTGCGAGCCATCTATAGTATTGTTAGAACCTGGTCTCTACCAAAAACACTTGCTGTACTTACCCATGAGCGCACTCCACCAATCAAACCCAAATTATATCCAGCAGCGAACTCGGACGATTCCCTCGCATTGGCGCCGGCACGCGGTATATCCAAGTGACTGAGTCGCGACAAAGCAGACGGCGATCGAGCGGTCGCAACCTGAGCGTCGAGAGCATCGGGTACCTCCCGCGTTGGCGTCCTGGCAGGACTGGCGGGGCGACTTGATTGCCAGAACTGGCGGAAATCCTTGCTGAGTTCTTGGCCAGTCGTAGCCCAGTTCGATTTGATACTGTCGCGCAGCTCCGCCATGTTACGCTTGATATCAAGCTCGTTCTTCTTCAACCATGAAACGTTGAGCTCCTTGCGGGATGTTCCGCGCTTGAGCTGGCGGTCAATGTACTGGTCGTAGTCGCGGACGATCCTGTTATGAATTAGTATCTGTCAAAACGTGGAGGGCGGGACACGCTTACTTGGTAATGATGCCTGTCGTGCTCAGACCCTCCGTTCTCTGGGTGACGAGGAACATGCCCCTCTCTTTGATCGGGCCGTAAATGTCGTCGCCTTCATCTGCACCATAGGGAAGATCGTCGTGGGCTACATAGTCGATCTGGTGTTTGTCGAGGAAGTCGGTGGTGACTATCCATGGGCAGTCCTCTATGACTTCGTCCACCCACTTGCAGTGGCGCACGCTCTCAGCACGCTCCCGTGCCGACAGGACTGTCAGACCCTTTCTCTTGTGGGTTTCCTTGTTTCCAGTAACGCCGACTATAAGAACAACGTCTGGAAAGGCAATCTTGGCTTGTTGAAGTGCGCGCATGTGCCCGATGTGAAACAGATCAAAGACACCATCTGCATAGATTCTGACGGGGCGTCCCTCTGGCGGAGCGTTTGTCTTATAGCCTACTGGGTCCACCAACCCGGCCTTTGGAGGAGCTTCCATGCGCATTGTCCCCGCCTCTCCTTGCTCTCCGTGATCGCCTCCAGCAATGGACGACGTGCGCCGGCTCTTCTTGCTCGCACGCTCCTCTGCTTCGACATCACTATCCTCATCTTCGTTTGCGCTCTTCGCGGCGCGTGTTCGCTTTGAGGCGCCATTGGCATCAGCCTGACGCTCCTTTTCCGACACCACGACCTTGAGAACGGCATCCTCGGCGCCTTCATCGGACGCATCGCGGGAAGAGGGCTGCGCAATGTCCATGGTGGACGATTTGATCGAGGAAGCAGCAGTGGATCGCTTTCGTTTCGGCGACATGTGCGTGTAGTCTTTAGGTGTAAGAGTTGCGATGACGCGCGGGCGCCAATCGAACAGGGAAGGACGAGATGAGAGGACTACACAACCTGACGTTGAGAAGCACAGTAGAAAGAAATCACAGGTAAAATGGCGCGAGAGAGGACGATGGATTTATCGACGAGATGTTGACACGCGTAGATTGGCAGCAGTTCATAATTTTGGGCATGTTCCCTGATCCAGATCGGCACCCTTGGCAGATGACGAAATAGGCACATAATGCACCCTGCGCCACACCTGGTGCAAGAAGCTTGAATAATGTCTCACCCACGAGCAAGTCCTGCCAACTTTGTTTGGTCCAGTCGTCAAGAGTCACATGTGACGGAGTTGGCAACGTGGAAAGAGGTCATAGTGAGGACATTCTTGTAATGGTGGTGTAGCCCCTGAGTCTTTGGAAGCATCTCCTATTCGCAAAGTTGTGCTACAACGCTAGTTTATGCATGCTCACTTGAACGGCTGGGCCACGGCTAGAAGCACTCCCGTAGGCAGGTAGTAGGCCTTCACGCTTGCGATACACCCGTCTCATCCAATGTCCACACCCTGGCCTCGCCCTCATCTCCAGTGCTAACAATCACTTCTTCGTCATCCCATCTCTTGCCCTTGTCAGCCCTCTTTGCCCACGAAACATGGTTAATCTCAAACACGTCGTGTGCAGAGATCAACTCCGCAACCACTACCCACTCCGTCAACGGCTGTGTATCTTCAATTGTCGCGCCCTGGTCATCATGCATCTCAACGCCGTTGGCCCCCTTCGGTGTCTGAGCCCTCCACCTCTCTTTGTACACTATGATTTTACCATCGCTGCCCGCACTAACAATCATGCCTGTGATATGACTCCATGACACCGAGTAGATGGCGCGTTCGTGTTGTTGCGGCAGGATGGCTTCTTGGTACCAGTCTTCGTCTATCGCCACTGAGCGGATGATACTCGGGATTCCCGTGTTACTCGACGCATTCTCATCCCGTTCCTTCGGCTTTCTCCGCCATACACGCACCGTGCAATCATCGGAACAAGTCGCTAGCCGTGGTCCTGACCGCTCTAACGCCTCAATATCACGCAGTTTCTCTCCGTCCAACCCGACTCTTTGTGCCCTAAAGTCTCTCTTGCTCATGTCGCTGCCTTCGAACTCAGCCCACCACACCGTCTTGTCGTGTCCATCAATCATGCTCACTTGCACCCAATCGTCCGCATCCTCCCGATATAACCTCACAGTATCATCGTAACTCGTGCTGACCAGCAGGTCCTCCTCTGGATGCCATGCGACGCACTTGACATCGCCATCATGCTCCTGTAGCACAGCAACCGTCTCGAAATTATCGTCCTCTAGCTCCTCCCATATCCAAACGCTCTTGTCTCTCGAACATGTAGCGAGGTATTGGCCCGACGGACTCCATGAGAGGCTTTTTATTTCAGATTCGTGGCCGTCGAGGATGCAGGAGAATTGGTAATCATCTGCTTCGTCATCCTGATCGTCGTCTTCTGCCGAGCCTATGCGCCGGTTTGTGAAGTCGTCCTCCAGCGTGCCGCGCTCGTCTCTCCTCCATATCCCCGCTGAGCTGTCAAAACTGCCTGTTGCCAGCACACTTTGCCCCTGGGTCCCGGGCTTCCAACTCACGCTCCGCACGCTGCGCTTGTGCCCACCAGTTATCGAGTGGAGGAGCGTAAAAGATGTGAGGCTATACACGCGCACACTGCGGTCGGAGCATGCTGTTGCGACAATTGGAAGTGACGGGTGCGGTGCGCTTTGCCATGTTCGCGAGTTTGACGGCGGTGTGAGAGTTGCGAGGGGCGAAAGGGTGTATGTAGGTGAGTCTGGAGGGGCAGACATTCTGAGGGGCTGCCGCGGTCGGACTCGATGTGCGCGGAGCTTGCGATTGCTGGAGAAATGGCGCACTAGATGACGAGTGTGTTCAATGATATGTAGAAGTGCTCTTGGTGAGAAAGCCGAGCTTTGCTTAAGACCCAGATTAAGCCCCAACGTGGTGAATGTTGGTAGAACGTGGGGCGTAGAAAGTTTCCAGAGCGTCATTCGCCAAGCGTCCCGCTACCTACCATGGACCAGGATGGGCTGTCGAGATATCTGCATCTCCCTTTTTTAGAACCATTCATCGTGTTCGCATTACTAACTTTTATCTTTATACAGCATAAATATAATATTATAGTACATTCGAGCAAACCGTCCGGAATGCGCTCCAATCAAATGTCCCCCAGTCCAGCCCAGTCCAGCCCATCCCGCATGAGCAATGTGAGGGTATTCGACAGTATCTCGAAGGAAAGAAAACGGCAATAAAGTTCGTAAAGGAAAACATATACACATTCACACAGACGGTTAGCACCCGAGTTAAGCTATCACCTCCGGCTGCTGCCATAGTAAAGAGTTTTCGGCAGCGCTCGAGTCGCGTGAGGATCGCGGAATCCTGTTATGATAGACATTAGCTTGTCGGCCATTGTCTGTTGTTCTGTTTCCGCAATGCCCACTTCGGCCTTCACGCCTAAGTCTTGCATTTCCATATCAAAACCGTCCTTCGTTTCGTCAATGATAACGTCTTGAGTCGAGGTCACCATGATACCTCCCCATGGATGGGTCGTCATCTCTGTTTGGCCCATGCCATTAACGAGGCCTTCCTCAGAACAAGAGTCCGCCCGCGAGGTCATATCGACAGATGGTAGCCTATTCGCTCCCAGCCGCCTGAGCCACTTGTTACTTGGATGAGTAGCCGGTGGCTTGGTGATGGACGGGACTTGTTGAAGACTGCTGAACTCTCTATGGTTCTTCTGCGCGAGAATGGCATGGTCCGGACATCCTGGGTACGACCTAAGATAGGCTTGGAAGAAAGATAAAGGGATTGTTTTCAGCGTCACGCCTTGCAGCGACTGAATATAGATCTCCCTAATGCCACAAAACGCAAAGACAGTAGCTTGCCTGGATTCCTGTTGGCCGGTCATGCCATGTGTGACGTCTAGCTGCCGTGCGGAGAAGATTGCGCGGCGTAGTGTTTGTTCAGGGCAGTCTCGCAGGAGATCGAAGATCTTATTGCGGAATTTCTTTAGGAAGTCACCATCGACTGACATCGTTCCGGTTCGCTGGCTAGTACGTAATAGGCAGTCCTCCAGGGAAAGTCCATTGAATGAGGCGATAATGCTCATCTGTCGACTATCGAGCTCCTCGTCGCTCAACTTGACCATGGGCAGGCGATCAGGGGTAGCTCGGGGCACAATAACTTCGAGACCTTTCATGGCGGGCGACGGCTGAATCAGGAAGGATGCGATGTAGGTACCAATCTCTGGAATGCACGCCTTTCTTCGGCTAAATGAATGCAAACGGCTGACCAAGTCTTCTAGGTCATTACGAGAGATCTGGAGGCTTCGAGCAAGTTGGTCACTAACTTGGTCAATGCTTGCGAAGCCATACCCAAGGTTCTGTAGTCTGTTTGCTTCGTCTGTGTCGACCTGCTTGGTAAGTACCAGCATTTGGCCCTTGCCGAACAAGATAGGACTTATAATGCCTGCTTCGATGTCCCTTGTCGAGGTTGCAACATCGGCCGCCAGGATTGTCTTGCTTCCATAGCTGCTTTGCCACAAGATTCTATTCAACAGCGTTCCCGTCGTCAAAACCTCCTCGTATAGGCATCCTAGGTTTGGAAGACTAGTGTCAAGGGTCTTCGCAATTTCATGGGCTGTGACACAGAACAGCTCTCGGAAAGTGGCAGAGTAGCTCGTGTCGTCATCATCACTGGAGGATACTCGCTCATTGCCTCCATGCGTTGGCGAGTTGGCTTGAAGGTAGCCGGTCATCTGTAGGTGTTCTCGCATCGAGGGGATGAGATCTAAGATGCCAGACCAGTTACGAGATACTCGAAAGATCCATTGGAAGACTGGATGTGAGGTATTGAAGTCATCATCAAAGGTCTACACCAGTCAGCCAGTGCGCGTGTTTACATGGTGTATGCTTGAGAACTCACTCTTTGGTGGAATTGCTGAGTGATTGTCTGGCAAGGCATCAATCCGCTCTGGCTCACTAGAAGCCTTCCTTCTGCGTCAAAAGTGGCAACTGCTAGCACAACCTGCTGTGCGCGATCCTTGAGCAACCTTCGCTGGCGTTGCTTGAGGAACCCGAGTAAGAAACACACAACGCAAGCACTGAGGCACTAATTGAGATGGTTAGTATTAATTCAGTACGGGGGCGGTTGACTTACAAGACAGAGGGAAATGATGAGATTGATGTTTCTCTCCCGTCCTGGTCCCACATGGTAGCCGCGGATCTCGTACCATGTGCCTGCTGCAGCGGTCCAGTGCCTTTGGATACAATGTCAGTGTATGTCATACATTCACTTTGGTACATCGACGTCACTTACATGCCCGAGACGGCCAAAGCGAGGAAAAAGGCCACCACAATACGCCTCCAGATGTTGTTCATCCAATGCTGACTCCAGTGGAAGAACAGGCTGAACGATAGGAGGCAGGCGCCAACCGCGATCCCAGCAGCACCGACTATATGAGGCCAACTCAGGTGTAGGTGGTAGTTTGTGGTACCGTTGTTTCCGAGGTAATGCATTTCTGTCACGGCGGCTCCGGCGCAAACTCCACACATCAAAAGCGAAGCGAAACGGGTCATCGGGCGCTTGCTTCCTTTATAGAAACGGTCAGCGACCAACAGGCCTATGAAGATGACGACGACAGGAAGAACCGCAGACACTGTCGTATATGTCAGGCTGTAATAGAGTTGAATCTCTTGTTCTCCATCCCCAAGCACGATGGCGCGATTGCCTACAAAGTGCATACACCAAATAGCCACTAGACCGAACGAAACTGCGCAGCCAGCGACTTGAACCCTACTTCGCATTAGTTGTGCGTAAAGGGATTCATGGGCGGACTATGCAAACCATGATCTCCACCCTGATCCAGATACTCTTCGGTTGAGTAGCTCAACGGTTGTGAAGGCTCCAATAAGACTGACAAGATAAGAGCAGAATATTAGGTACGGTACGAAAGATATTGCTGGTTTGCTCCCAATGGGGTATTTGGCAGCAATATCTGAAGGCATAGCGGCCACAAATGTTCACAACGACTTGCGTCGCTTTTATAACTTAGGGCTCGACCAAATGATCGGCTTCCGATGAAGCGAGTTGCATCTTTTAATGTAGACAGACCCTGGTGTGACGGTAAAAGTATATAGGTCGAGGAGGGTTTTGTGTATCACAGTTGAGTGCAAAGTAAGTGAGAATAATGCTTTTCCCAGAGAGCCCGACCACCATGTGCGGTGGCTGTCTGGATGTATGCAAGCCTCCTTATGCGGCAGCCGGAAATCGACTAATTATTGGCGCGGAATTGTATCCAGCAAATTGCAAGATTTGAATGCCTTGTACCTGCACTCGCGCCAGCAAGAGTCTGCTTCGTACCCGTCCCGTTTACTAATTACAATGCTTGCCATCTTTTAGTTTGACACGCTGCTTTGATAGTGGGGAATACGATAGTGTTTAGTCGCAACCCTCAACTGCTTCTTTGAATTATAACCAAGCTAAGCGTTGCCACGGCTAGATGCAAGTCCAGCATCGTACAAACTCGTGATCTCAATGCAATCGATCGTCGATCAGGCCAGGGGATTCAAGCGCAACTCGGGTAGCTGTATCGTATCTACCACAGCCGTGGGTTTTCGAGCCACTCACACAACTGCTCTATACGAAAGGGTCGTGAAGCGAGACGCCAATTCGGACGTTCTCAAAAACCCTTTGCTTTTGCATGCGAGATGAGGTAGAACTAGGTTTGCTTCTTGGTTTGAATGTTACGTAGATCGAGCTATCCATACGACCCGTCAAGCGGCCCAGGCAGTTGTCCATATGTCATCGCATAGTTAGCCCTGAGCCCGAAGTTTGGTTTGCCCACGCGAACGTGCTGACACTAATGTGAGCGACTTTCGCAGACGTCTATTCGTCAGCTAAGCAAGGGAATCGCGATCCAATGTTTTGAAATTCAAACATGAGACATGTCACGATCCCATTGTTGAGTCCTTTGGCTTCTCCGTGGTCGCCGATCGCTTATTGACTAGGCCAAGTAGCGGGTACAACCATGATTTGATTTGGCAGATCTAGGCCAAAACCTATCCTTGGACAAGCATTCGAGCGCCTTGTACGCACACCTTTCGCGTCTTCTTGCCCTCAACCAGGATTTGGGTTCCGACTATCCAGAACGCCGGACGGTTTCAATCACTCGTGCGCAATTTTCCGCCGAAACGTCGCCTTGGAGCCACGAGATGAGCACCTCATCGGTACTCGCATATCGCAGGATTTCGGTGCGTAACCATTGCCTCATCACGACCAACTCTGTAACATCTCGTGTAAAATCGCCTCACAACCAGTCACCGGTTTCCTGAACCGACGGAGCTGCGGGGCGTTCACGGGAGTCCTGGATGACTTGACGGCGTGAACTAGGGACGTGCCCGGCTACTGTACCTGCGGGAATGGAAGTGAGGTTGAAGTCATAACTATATATTGGCCGGTGCCAGATGAATGAATGTGGATCTGCTCGTTTGTGGATCTGGGGTTGGCGGAAGGTGCCGATTACGATTAGGGAGTAACTATGTTTCTTCGCACGACCACGTTCACATCCTTTTCCTGGGCTCCAGCGCCGATGATGTCTGCCAATTGCTGAAAAAGAAGTTTGTCAGGAAAGCTCCTCCTCCACCACGATGCCTCGTGAATGAAGGGATCAACGATATCAAGCATGCAGCCTGTAACTGAACCCTTGGCAGGTACCAGTTGATTTTTAAGACCAATGCAAATAGGTCGGACTACCGTGGAATAGTAGACGTTCTAGACCGGGGATTGACGTATACTGTGCGCGTCTTTACTTCAACTTTGGGCGATTGCTTGCAGCGTCGGCCCAGAGATAAGCTTGGTCATGATTGTTTCCGGGTACCGGGTAGCGGGCCCCTTGGGGTAAGCACACTAGGGATTTCCTCTTTTCCAGGTCGTGCAACGCAATTAATGATCAACCCCTTTTTGAGTTCCGCGGATAGCGCAATCAAGATTGCGATGAAGCAGTCGAAATAACAACCGCACCTTTGTCTACGGGTATCGGCGCATTGCTTGGATTCGAAAAATCGAAAGCATGTCATCCGACCTCAATTGTTATCTTTACAAAATCTAACTGTTCAATCTAGGGAGGCGCAAATTTCAAACCTGCTTAATGAAACGGACTGGACTGCTGCCTTCAAGTGAGTGTAACTGGCACCACTAGCAAACTTGCGCCACTCCTGATAAGGCGCCCCATATTCGCCAAACAATAAATCATCTTGCGGCTGTTCGTTCTTGGCGAGAAACGGAAAAGGACGGAGGCTAGGAGCGGTCAAATGGCTGTTTCGTAGTCCAATTCGAGTCGAGGCTATACTGAAGAGCTTGTATGGGCAGCTTGTTCGGAGAGACATCATGACTCGGAAGCGAATCGCTTGAGCCAGAGTGTAAAGAGCGAGACTCGATTTTGCTGAAGAGGTTAACAGTCGTTTTGATCTCCTGGGACACCGGATCAAGCAGTAGATCGTCTCCAGTTTCTCCGGAGTCATGATCGATTGTTGAACTTTTAACAGTACGCTTTCTCAGCAGATTACCCTCAAGTTTTGTGGACGACCAGGGGGCTTCGCGGACCATTGACTCTCCATCAAGCAAATGGGTGTCTTCATCTTCGTCGGCGCAAGGTCTAGGTATATGCTGATACTTCTGTTGCTGTAGCACTTCCTCCAACATATCGTCCGACTCCGAGTGAGCCGTTGTTCCTGAACTTGAGGTCATAAAACCTTGTAGTGTCGTCGCCGACTTGCTCACCAGATTTTTCTGTAGGTGCTGCCAAAGCCGACTAGCGATAGATGAGGTAAGTCGCCCAATGTTTTGTTCCGCGACAAGATCTGGGTGAGTTAGGATTTCGGATGGAAATTGGTGTGGAACAGTTATCAATTCAGTCAATTTGTTCTTGAGCGATAGGGGCATAGTCCTTGAGCAAGCCACACGACTGAGAGAGCGACTGATGGTGGGCACCATCTGAGCTCTTAGTGATAGTGCCTAGCAAGAACATCAGCATACCCGCGATAACGGGAAGTCTCTCTCATACGGGCAAATATCCTGGTTTCCACAAAGCAGGAGCAACGTCCGCCAGACCTCGAGAAAACGTGCTTGCTTTAATTTTAAGACCAGATTTCGACCTATTAGTCAAGCTACCACACACGGATAGCCGTAAGGCTCCATCGATTATACTTTCAAGTTTCCCTCGATCAGAGGCAGTGATTATTGTAAGCGTATTAGGCTGTCGATTAGAAACGGACGTTAGTTCCATGCCGTCTTGAAAATCTGAGCGAGGCGTCGGTGACGAGTTTGATCTTATGCTGGATGTCATCGACAACTTTTTGCGCTTCCGTTCCATAGGTAGTTCTACAAGAGTAGGAGTGTAAGTAGTGTGCAGCTTAGTAGTAGCTGGGCTTGTCTCGTCCGAGATAACATCGAACACTCCTCCTAATTCTTGATCTTGTGGCCTGTCTTCTAGTTGGACGTTTTCACTCTTCCTTGCTGACGCTTTCAACTTCTTGTTCGCTGCCCTCGGTAGTTGCTTGGCCTCAACTATGTCCATGCGAAAACGAACCGAACAAAGAGAAATGGTTGGAAACCCTTCCGGTGATCGTACGTCTGAATTTGGTACATCTGAAAAGATCCTATGGCGTCGCTGCTCTTCTTGCGGTCCACCATCGGCAGCGTGGTTGATATTGAGATGTATGACTCCGGGCTCCAGCACGACGTCGCTTGGAAGTGAAGGCTGTAGCATCAACTGCTCCCACACCTACAAGCCCCATCAGACATAGTGAGGTTAAGCCGCGCAGGCTATGCTTACCGGTGCCTGGAGGATTTTTTCGACCAGATCTTGGAGCTGCCTGTACGGAAGAGGCTCTTCCCGCAACGTAAGTAGTAGCTCAACGTGCATCCCATGGCCACGGCGAACCCAAACATTCCCAGTCGACATGAATTCAAGAATTTGCGCTGGCTTGAGCTGTTGGGTGTTAATATCGTCCTGCTGTGGTGAGATTGTGATCAATGTGGTGAGCCAGAGCTCAAGATTCATTGTAGGTGAGCAGAGAACCGCACGTCCAAGCTCAATCGACCTAATCATCCTCTCGAGACGTCGATTTCGACCGTGGAACGGGGCGAGAGCGCGACATTAAGATCGTTGAGATGCGAGAACAGGTGAGATTGAATGGGCATAGGGGCTGCCAAGACCATGACTCGGTAAGCACCTCAGACGTCACTTCCTCCGCGAGCTTCGTGCCTCGGAAGTTCTACCCAATCCACCAACATGGGGCTCATCGCAAAGACTGCGCTGCGACGTGTCAGTCAGGTATCACGATGCAATTGCGTCAAATCAGGCTCTTCATTGATACCGGCAACCGCATTGGCGACTCGAGGCTTCCAATCCAGCGCGCCGCAGCGCACTGATGGCGTTTTCCGCGAGCTCACGTCAATGCGAGTGCGCACGCCCTGGGTAGAAGCTCTACAACAGCAACAGGCAGAAAGCAAAGAGCCGAAAGCGCCTTCTAGCAAGTCTGAGGTGCCTAAAGAGCGCGATTTGACACCGAAACATATGAATGACAGCTATCATTCTGTCGTATTACCGCTAGCTCGAGATCCATGGCTCCTCGATACTTATCTGAATTCCTCAGGCCATATACGTCTTGGAACTATTTTTATGGATCTTGATGCCCTTTCTGGCGTCATTGCGTAAGCCTCAATCGCTACGCCGAGTAGCCAGACTCAATCTAAGATCCCATAGGTATAAACACACCGGAGACGCTGTGACGACGGTAACAGCTAGCTGCGACCGTATTACAATCCATAGCCCACTCACTGAGATCTGCGACCTTCAGCTGTCCGGACGTGTCACTTATGCGACTGGCAGGAGCAGCTTGGAGATTACGATGCAGGTTGCAAAGGCGCCGAAAGAGGGCGAGGAGGTCAACGACAAGGACGTGCTGATCAATTGCACATTCACTATGGTATCACTGGATCCAGCGACAAAGAAGTAGGATCCAAGGAATCATTGGGGTTCTTTAGTCACTAATCAGACACACAGGCCGGTGAACGTCAACCCATTGATCGTCGAGACGCCAGAGGAGAAGCGACTGTATGCTCTAGGCGAACGCAACTCGAAGATTCGGAAGGAGCGACGAGATACTTCGCTTCTCAAGCACACGCCTAATGATCTTGAAAGTGACCTCATCCATGCCTTCTGGCAGAAGCAACTCCAGTACCATGGTATGTCCAGTATCACAGGCTCCACCCTACCTAGCTGACGTTTCCAGATCCCTACGATGGCCTAAGGCAACCCGAAAATGTCGTATTCATGGACGCGACGCGCCTCCAGACCGCAACGATTATGCAGCCTCAATTCCGTAACCGACATCAATTCATGATATTCGGTGGCTTCCTCCTCAAGCAGACTTTCGAGCTTGCTTTCACAGCTGCCGCAGCCTTCGCACATGCACGCCCTACCTTCGTCTCGCTCGACCCATCGACATTTCAGAACCCAGTGCCGGTAGGCAGCATACTCTACCTCACAGCGACTGTGGTATATACGGACCCGCCGCTCATCAGAGCGCCTGGTGAAAAGGCCAATGCCGATAGCGAATACACAAGGGTGCAGATTCGGATAGATTCGAAGGTACGAGACGTGGAGCACGGCTTTTCGAAGCCGACAGGCCAGTTCAACTATACGTTCACGGTACCCAAGAACATTAGGGTAATGCCGCGGACATACCAAGAATTCATGATGTACGTCGACGCACGACGACGAGCAGAGCAGGTCCAACGGACGCTGGACGACGGGTCTGGTGTCAGTCCCAAGACCGCAGAAGAGAGTCTAACAGAGTAGACTGCCCAGTATTAAGATTACGTTCGAGCAGTCGGACGATAGGTAGGGGTGGAGGGGATGCTGACTGTCTGGGACTGTAAACGATACTAGTTTATTGGAATCTAATCTAGAGCCGCAATGCCATAATGTGATCTATATTATGTGCGCAATGAAAAACTAGTGCGAGCTGAAATTCCCTAATAAACCAAAGTCAAATTCAAACCCAAACGCCATTGGGAAGCCATTTTACATGCACCCTGTAGCTGTAGGGATAGCACCTGCAATGCGCCGATAACGCTCATACAACTAACCAAATGAAAAGACATAGCGCTCAAAATGCAGACAAACACAGCGTGTACGTGGAGAGTCGCCGTTCGTTACCGCGTAAGTAGTTTGAGAGAGAAGGCGGTGAGTCTATATCCGACCAATACGTCCGACGGTGAAACCAAGCCATGCAGAAGGGTGGGGAGGAGCCCAGCCATTCGTTCGGGGAAGGAAACCAAGTGTGAGCTGAGGTGCATGCATATACAAGTCAGTCGTTCTGCAATGCATGCTCCGCAATGATATTCACCCACATCGGCGTTTCTCCCGCATCCGCAACGCCACCCAGGGCAACGAGGGGTCGATAAGTGAGGCTTACCAGCCATCAAGCGGTGAAGTCTACAACTCGTCCAGCTCATACTCCAGCGCAACGTCCTCGGAGCAATCGGTGCAGTAGTAGTTTGAGAAGCCGCCGCAGGACACGGTCATGTTCTTGCACATGTCGATGCTCCACGCGTCGTAGGAATAACCAGAAAGCAGGCGGGATGAGCAGACTTCAATGCTGTTGGCCCTGCGACATGTCAGCCTCACTTTCCCCCATGTATGGCCTGATTGTGCATTGGGGACTGTGCTTTTATGCTTGAGCTTACCAAATGTAATAATCGTGGTTGCAGTAGTACCACGAGTACGTGTAAGAGCACATGCTGACTTGTTCTGAGGTGATATTGGATGGTTGGGATGGTATGTTTTGAGCTGTCAGGTATGCGTTGGAGCTGTTGGAAAGTCCGTACAACGAGCTATATGCGTTTTAGCTGACCGCTTCTTCTCCTGAGAATCCCATGATTGCTGTGCTACTGCGAAACGCTCCAACGGAATGGATGTGACGCTCTAGACTTCTATACCCGACATCGTGGTCGCCTGTCCGGGGCTCCGGGTGACAAGGCAGGATATGGCATTGAATCGGCAGAAAATGGACAGGAGTAACTCACCTGAAGGTTCCTAGTCACTGAAAACGGTAGAAGAGAGAATGGATGCAACCAAAAAGCGAAAGCACGAGTGAACGGTTGGTTGTGAGTATCCCAACTTTTCCTCTTCGACGCCCCCAAAAATTTATTATACTAGCAGAGCAGTCTTCGCAACGGTTCGACCTAGACTTGAAACGAAATACAAATGCGTATATTCACCTACTTCCAAACAAAGAGAGCGAGCGATAAGCTGTATTTATGCGTGCCTTTGTTTGACTCCCTCGAGGAGCTTGGGCCTTGGGTACGTAGTCGCGCCGAGAGTTCCACATCCCCCGGATTAGTTGCAGCTTTTGATAACGTGAAGCGCGAAGCGACCCCAGCCGGACCAACCGGATGTTCTTGTGCCACTGATATGGACGCCAGGTCGGGTGCCTGTCACGCTTGTGTGTGTGACGAGGTATGGCGGTGCATGTGGCATGCTGGTCTGGATGCCTCGGATTAGTTGCATACCTTAATACTCGCATTTTACAGTGGCATTATAAGATGCGATTGGCCCTCAGAGACAGATAGTGTCAGACGAATGGATTGACCTTCTAAAGTTGTGTACTCGTCTTTCCGGACAGTTTGCTTGCCTCAGTCTCTCTATCTCGCCGATAACGGGTCCGTCTGGACCCTGGATCCGCACGACGCTCATGCAGGGTCTCGCTTAGCCTGTTCTAGGGTGAATTGTTCCTCGATAGGCCAAATGCTACCGAAGAGGACATGAGATGGGCGACTCACTCAGATCGGGAGTGTAGTCGGCCTAGAGCAGTCGGGTTGAGATGATGTACGGCAAAAGTTGGAAAGCCGCCGATGCCGCTAGGTTGTCGATCAGAAAGTCTTCCCAGGCTCCACGCGCCCTCACAAAACACCACCAGTATCCTACTCTGTGTTTCGTCAGCGGCAGACGAGGAGGATATATAACAGACCCACATGTTGTAGGCATATCGAATACCCGTAAATACCTCTGCCACGTGGACCTAGAGCGCCGCCACTCAGTCAAGCTAGGCAATGTCGCTTGTAGTCAATCACCATCAGACTCATCAATTAGCGTATCATAGCCGATTAAAAGGCACGGGTAAGATGCTATTCTTGCGGTTCTCGAGTATTTCAGGGCCTTGTTGTATTCTTCGTGTAACGTTTGTGCGTTGAGACACTGGCATGGCGCCGGGGATAGACATGATTCGAGTGTCGCTCTAGACAGTATCCAGAGCGATGACCGACTCAAACCCTCGCACGAACACAAGGCTGCTGTATGGAAGACGTCGGCCGTGGAATCCCGCGTTGCCGAGTGCTTCCTATGCTTTGTGGGAGAGTTGCCTGTCTAGGCAGGTTGAGTGGAGGAGCGGGCGGCAGAACGGCGACGAGATTCCGCTTCCTTCTTACTAGACAGTCAGCGACGGGTAGGTAAGAAACTAGCCCAGCAGCGTCAAATAGCAATGACACCCCTGGTGGCTTATAAAATTTTCGACGTGGTTGCGGGTATGCAGTCAAGAAGTTCAGGCAGAAGTTATCGTGTAGTGCGGGGCAACTTGCACAGCTTCAGCCACCTTCTACTTTCGCGAACAAACTCTGGGATGGTACAACATAGTCTTCTTACATTGCCAAAGCAAAGCTATACACAATTCTCTATATGTTCACAACGGCTTGACCTTGGATTTGAGTCTTCACATCTACATGGATCCGATTTCCACCAAATCTAAGCCACTACGACAGAAGAGCGGCGCAGTGGTATCCGTTGCAAAAAGTCAAGTCGGAAGCGTTATGCTGTCTCCCGGGCTGATCTATAGATCTGGTGCGTAGCAATAATACTGGGATTCCTTGATGAAATGGTCGACTTGGATATTGAACGCCGAAACGCCATTTTTTTTAAAGCCATGAATAGATCGTGGATCTAGTTACTTAGCCAGTCCAGGAACTCTGGCGTGAAATAGGTGACAACTATCGAAGCTCCCGCTCGTAGGATGCCCTGTGTGGCCTCTTCGGCCATTTGCCTTAGATCAAAAACTCCGGCTGCCGCTGCAGCATGGATCATAGCGTACTCGCCGGACACCTGGTACGCTGCAATTGGCATATCCTTTCCGAGCTCCTTTGCGTCGCTGATGATATCTAGGTACTGGCTGGCTGGCTTCACCATGATAATGTCAGCGCCTTCGCTGATGTCTCTTATAATGGCTCGCCGTGCTAAGCCTCGGCCACCGGGAGGAAGCTGGTAGCATCGTCGGTCGCCGAATGAAGGACATGAGCCTGCAGCGTCGCGGAAGGGGCCATATAAACATCCTGAGAATTTAGCCGAATACGACATGAGCACGATTTGGTGAGCTATGCCAGCTTCGATGAGCTTCAATTTGATAGCACGGACACGGCCGTCGTTCATATCCGAGGGGGCGACGCAGTGAGCGCCAGCCAGTGCGTAGGATATAGCCACGTCACTAATGCGCTCAACCGATAACGCGTTGTTCAGACTGCCATCGTCCCGCAGGATACCACAGTGTCCGTGTGAAGTGTACTCGCAAAGGCAGACGTCGGCAACGATGAAGAGGTCGGGGAACGCTCGTCGGAGTATGCGGATCGCTCTAATGACTGGGCCCTTTGGATCGTCGGCATTGCTACCCAGGGCGTCCTTCGCATTGGGTGCAATGGGCACACCGAACAGTATGACCGACCTCAAGCCCTTCGCAACGAGCGGTGTGAGGTATGGAACGATCTTATTCAGGCCTCGGCGGTGTTGGTTCGGTAGGGAGGGAATGAGCGTCTCCTCGTCCGGCTGGTCAGAGATGAAGAGGGGGTATATGAGCATCGACTGTGCCTAACGTCAGTTGCTGTGTAACTTCCTAACCATGGCGATTCCGAACGTACCTTTGTGAGCTGTCGCTCGGCCTGCCAAGACCGCGACAGCGGGTGGCTGTACCCTCCATGCAATTGACTCTTGATATCTCCCGCTATGCTCACGCTGGTCGCGGCAGTGCTAGCATACGATCGCGTCGACCGCGCCTCTGATGCCTGCGAGCGGAAATCTGGTCGTTCCGAGCTCCGGTTGGCAATGTCTGAGACGAGCGAGGAGAAGGACATGATGACAGGTAGAGGTTTGTTTACGACCGAGGAGGTATGGAAGGGTGCGTCCGGGCGGCAAAGTATAGGGAGTGAGGACTTCTCACGCCGCTGACGTTCGCCTTCAGCTGTTCTCGAAAAGTTGATGTAGTAAGGTGGCGGACGTAACGAAGGCGGATCGGCAACCGACGTCAATGTTTCACTTCCGAGGCAGAGAGGCACGAGCGGTTGGTGAAGTGGAAAAGAGGTGCAACGTTTGGAGGAGAGAGGCGATTAAGACTGACGAGGAATCGGAGCAATTCATATCATATTGCGCATGACAGGACACTTTGCGCTGATGGGGTGCAAATCGCTGCCGAATCATCTCCGTAGCCAACCAGAAGCCCGAGATTACTGAAGAGCAGCCATCCCGATACGGTTAGCCCTCGGAATAGAATGGAAGTCTACAATTCGGCACGACTCCATTGAAATTCATACCACTTTTCTCCAGAAGGCAATAATTGGACTCAGGATCTTTGCCCCGAAAGCCATATGACTATTATCATGACCTCTACGGGTAGCTAATTGCCACCATCCCGGTTATACTGGCTTAATCCAACTGTTCGTCACCCGGGGGGGGGGGGGGGGGGTACTCTGTTATTCCTGATATTGGCACTGCTTCCTAATCTGAAGCTTCAATTATGGCTGATCATAGATATAGAGACCTTCACGGCCCGTGCGCCGCAAGACGACAATGAAGGCATCTTCGACATACCCCTCAGCTTTCTCCTTAACTCTACCTACCCACTTATGGGCGTGTCCTTCACAATCTTTATCCTTTCACCCGTTGTTACGATGCCGTTTGTATAGCAACAAGAAAGGCAACTACGTGTCCGGGTGACCAGATCAAAGCATCACTTGAATGTTCTACTTCTGCTGCATTTTTTTCCTGCAACTCCATACTGCACTCGCATAATATCTCACACACGCTTAAAGACAACGAATCAGAGTTTCACACGCGTATCCGTCTTGCACGCAACTTCTCTGCACCCGCTTCTGCTTCCTGAATCTGCGTCTGCATCTACAACCTGCGGCCAGAAATCGGGCTTTTCTACACGCCTAACGTTCCGTTCTGAGCTTCTCAAATCTCGTTATTGCTTCGAGCGATCGTCTTCATACCCGGTCTCACCTACTACATCGCAATGGCGCCCAAAAACTCCCGCCACTATCTCCCAATGAACTCAATGCTCTTCAACAGCCAAACTTCCCTGCGCTCATCGTCTCTCGCCATCAATCAGGACCCAGCCCTGGCCAACCTCCACGAGGCACAAGATATCACTATTACCGCACTCCCGCAGCCCGTCGCTAAACAGCTGCCGACTACCGTCAAAAAGGTCACCTGGCGCCGGGTGCTCCGGAAGATCAAGACCATCTTCCGTCACAAAAGGTCAGTGAGCATCGGCTCACCCACTAAATTCCGGCACCTGGTGACGGGTGGCGTCGAGCCCCTTAGGACTGCACCTCCTCGCGCGGTAGTGGTTTCTGGTGCGAAGAGAGGTGCAGAAAAGGTTGACGTGGAGAAGGATGGTGATAGCGATTGGGAGGATGTCGATTAGACGAGTCTATCTGGCAGGACTAGGTGCTGAAGTGCTGAAGTGCTCCTAGGTCTTGTATGGTATGTTACATCTTGAGTGTGCATGGAGCGCTCCAGAGTAATTTCCGAGTGAGGCTGTGTGGCTGTGAGCCTCTTCCGGGTGCTGTAATTAATCTCTGTCCTTATCTCTTCAAGCTGGTAGGATCCGCTCCGCTGCGTTCACATCCCAGCTACTAGGTGCTCTCCACCACTTCCCCATCCGAAATTCTCTGCTCTTCTTACTTTCATCAGAGAGTGCTCGGGACGAAAATGGCCTCGTACCCCCACCACTGTGTCTTTGTACCGGGAAAGTGGCTTCGAGGTCGACAGTAATTCCACTACTTCTGTTTCCTTCGTGCTCCTGCGTCTCCCTTGAAACAAGTCTCTCGAACTTTGAGGCCAGGCCTGGGAAAGCGAGAAGCATGATGACCTTGATGCTCGGTGCGCAGGCGACTATTATAGCGAGGTGATTTTCGATAACAGCGCAGATCATAGTTGCTGCAAACTTGTACGTGAAATCCGGCTTCCTGGCCTGAGCGCGAACGTAGTAGACGCGAGCACCGCTGGCTGCCAATACCAGTCCACCCAAGGCGAACAGGCAGTTCACACCAACCCTCTGCGGCCTTCTCAACTGCAGTTTCCAAGTAAATACGAGCGGCATCGCGTACAAGACTAAGTCGGTCGCCAACATGAAACAGGAGTTGAAGTAGTTGAAGTCATTCATGTTGATACATACTCCTTTTACATTCATATCCCACATGGCCCTTATCGGGGTACACTGGAAAATCGTCGCGCCAATACAAGTGCACCCGAAGGCGAAAGCTATGCCATGCATGATGTAGATGCTGCGTTTTGGCCAGCGGTCGATGGTGAGCTCCGTGTAGAACAGCAGCAGCGAGTGCTTGACGCTCCAATTGCATATGAAATAGAATAGCCGGGATGCCATGACGAGTTTATGAAAGGTCCTCATATCCCGTCCAGGGACGACCTGGCTAGGTAGGCCGAGACCAAAGCGCGTGGAAACCATTTGCAAGATAGAGAAAACTGTGGCGCAGAAAGCGGCGAGAGCGATGAGTGCTGTTGGATTGTCAGTCAGAGTGCCACGATGAAGGTCGAGATTAGTCTCGTGAACTGCTCACCATCATGCCACCCAAACGATCGCACAAGGAAGATTCTCCCCCCGACCCGACAGCAAATCGCCGCAAGGCTCAGAATAATCAGCGCTGAGTTGACCGCGAAGATGGCGGGCCTCAAACCAGACATGGCAACAATGAACGATGTCGATGATGTGTATGGTTTGTTATCTCGGGTCTGAACTTAATCCAAGGTGCAATATGCTGACTCTATAACACCCGTTATTAAGGGTGTTCCGAGACCGTTGCACCTACTCAGTGCCCCGCGGTGGCGCTACGGCACGTCGTACATTGCGGATCCCATTTATTCGACATTCTCTAGTACACGTCGGCGACATGAGTGGTCGGATGAAGAGCTGATGCCATCCAGTACCGCAGATACATTCTTTGCTATTCTAAGCTGCCCAGGCGTGTGCCTAACGCTACTGGCTACACCAGGCTAGGGGGTTAGCGATTCTGAGTAAGCTTTACTAGTCTTCACTCGTACGGTCCCGCGCGCAGGACGCAGCCCTAAATCCCGTCAAATGTGCAGAATTTGTGCTTAGTCTTCTTCTTGAATGCTTCCACCTCGCTTATGCTTGTAAAAGTATGTATTTTTGGGACCGACCGGGATAATTTTAGGATCTCGAAGGTTTAGGTGGATCTTGAGAAAAGCTTAGACAAGCAGAGCGAAAGCTTAGGATTTCTTTTCCCAAAGCAGGATGTTTTGAGAAAGCGATTCGATCAATGTTGCACGATCCTGAACGGGTGCTTCCGCAGGGGTCGGGTTCATGTCAGCCCTAACCGAGAGCTATTCCGAACATTTCAAATAACCGATCCGAGGCTGCGAATGCCGGATTTCGGTTCGAATTCCCAGTCAATCCAGCCAACGATACACGAAGACATTCAGCCTCCGCCTTCAATTAGTAGCTGCAACAGCTCGTGCCGCTCGAGTCATGATACCACTCTTATTGAGTTCCAACGCCACTCTGAGTTTCGACGACCCCCTTTCTTCCTGCCTTGCTGCTGATAGGGACCTCATAACCTGTCGAACTGTGGAACTGTTGAACGGTGCGAATACGGCTGACGTATTGGGTAAAAGCGGATCAAGTGCTATGGGATGTGTCTTTCACCGGTCGTTCAGCGCAAATATTGGTGTTGGCAATGCGTTGGTGAGCTGACGTAATTACCTAGGTATGTGCCTCTCACTCATCAAGACATCCAGTCAGGGGAACGTCCAAGTCTGTTCGTCACATGCCTTCGTAGAGAAGTCATTGAGCTGTGTTTCCCCGGATCTACCCCAAATGATGGGGTAGACCACGATTGGCGGAATTGAATCAGCCACCAATCATCAAACGTCCTGAATTGACATTTCCCCGCAAAGTCACAATGTACCTCCCGCGCGGAAGAATTGGAGATGGAAAAGAGATTGGTGGCTGCGCTATTGGATCATAAAGATATGTGGATTCCCGCAATTTATCATAGTTACGCACCTTGCAGAATCGTCCCGACATGATGGAAACCTACCTCGCACAGATTTTTATATCCTTAACCTTTCTTTGCATGGTAATCGCTAGTGGAAGCAAATACGAGCGGACCAATCCTAGCCGGGGCTCTCTGATCGTGGATGCTTCCAGGAGATATCCAGGCAGCTACACGAACATCAGTGCCGCAATCGCTAGTTTGCAGAACAGAACCGAGTCTCAGACGATCTTCATCTTCCCTGGAACATACACTGAACAGGTGTATATCCCTCCTCAAGCCGGTCCCCTCATAATCCAAGGCTACACCACCAATGCTCGCTTGTATAAAGAGAACGAAGTCACCATCACCGGCAATCTCTCCCGGAAAACGCCTGGCTTAGCAAACAATGATGCCACAGCTACAGTCCGTCTTTGGACGTCGAACGTCAAATTTTACAATTTGAATATCGCCAATACTTTCGGCGCAGCTGCAACAAGCGGACAAGCTCTTGCACTCAGCGCACAGAAGAGCAATCAAGGTTTCTACGGGTGTAACTTTACCGGTTGGCAAGACACCATCTATGCCAATGAAGGTCGTCAGATCTATGCGAGGTCATACATTAATGGAGCGGTGGACTTTATCTTCGGGCTACGCGCTTCAGTATGGTTCGACAAGGTGGACATCGAGTCCATCGGCTCCGGCTTTATCACCGCGAACGGACGGGAGGCAGCGAACAACACTAGCTTCTATGTCTTCAATCACGCCAAAGTTACTGGAACCAGTGGACCTAACTCGACGTACCTAGGTCGGCCTTGGAGGCCATATAGTAGAGTTGTCTTCCAGAGGAGTTACCTGGGAGACGTGGTGAAGTCAGAGGGGTGGTCAAGATGGGATGCCGTTCAGAGCGTAGAGAACGTATTCTACAAAGAGTATAAGAACCATGGACCTGGTGCTGCTGTCAGATCACGTGCAAACTTCAGCTCGCAACTCACAGCGCCAATCAAGGTTTCGGAGATCCTTGGGAAGCGATTCGAAAAAGAGTTTTGGGTTGACGTAGACTATCTCTCATAGGTTACAAGGAATAGGTTGGTTCAAGAGCAAGACGAGAGACATCATATTTCAAACGAAGATTGGCAATAACTCTACTATATATACTCGTGAAGAGGTGCTCCGTGTGGAAAATGCATTCTACCTCATTCGCCACTGCCGGCGTGTAAAGGAGAGTCTTCCAGTGGCACAGCTTCGTCCGATCGCACCCTCTCGAACGCTCTCCAAGGGACATCATCAGGCCACGAAGGCCAAAGTGTGCTACTCGGGGTAATGCACCTGGTAATTCCCGGGGCCTTTCCTTCAAGTGACCACGTCAATTCCCCGTAAACCTCTGCTACCAACTTGATGTTGGGAAACCTACAGCACTGTTCTTCAAGACGCAGAAACTCCTTCGTCAAGCGCCCATCCCACTCCAACCACTGCCGCGCCTTCTTTTGACCACCAGCGTGCACGTAATATCTCACTTCCCAGTTCGTGTTTTTATCTTCGCCCATGATCCGGATCAGGTGTTTTGAATTATAGCATCCGGCCATTGTGACCATGTGTCGCCAGTCGGAGAAGAGATGATCGAAATGAACGACAGCTTTGCGCTTGATGCTGCCTTGGCCAAGTTGTTGGACGACGAGCGCTGACGCACAAGAGTAGATTAGAAGAGCTTGACGGGCGCGACCATAGCTATATGCCGCATTGGGATTGAGATTTGGCTCTTCGTCGGCCAAATCTTTAGACGGCCAATAGCCAATGTGCAGGTGGAAATGAACGTTCATGAAGGTTGTCAAAGCTGCGAATATCGTGCTTTGTGTCGGTGATAGTGACAATGGTCCGTGCTGCAGAACGCTGTCGATGAGAGCTACGTAGTTCATTGACGCCGTGACCGGAATGTACGCGACATCGAAAGCTTTCATCATTGAACTCGCTTCGATATAGAGTTGTTTACACAGGCGAAGAGCTGTGCTACTTCCATGTTTCATTCTTTGACCTTTCGAAGAATAGCTTGAGTAAGGTATGCGAATACTTGAAGTCGGGGCCGGGCCAATTTCAAGCGCGAAAGTGTAAACCTTGTTGCGTAACTCGGGTGGGAGCCTTAGAAAGATATTTTCTGGGTCTTGTTGATTAGGCACCAAGATGGTGGCTAGACCTTTCCAAAGTAGCAAACACTGTTCGATGGCGGCGTTGACATGCTTGCGTTTGATTCTCGTATCGATGGTGGGTATCGTTCCGTCCTTCGACATGAAGTTGAAGTAAGGCCTCATGCTCTTGACGTACCAGAAAATGATCTAGACGATACTTATGTCTGATCACTTAGTTGCCAAGAGGTGCTTGTAGTTGGTGGACTTGCAGGGCTCTGTAAACAAGTGATGTTGCTGGCTTTATTATCACCCAGAGGATCAGCTTTACGACTTTAAGTGAGCTTTTAATGAAACCCTGTTTTTCTCAGGGTACCAATTAAGAGAGCGATGATGAGGGTTGAAACCATGGTTGACTTTGACCTATCCTAGATGATTCAATGTAATCACAAACTTCCCCGTACTGAAAATACCTCTACAGAGCCGGCGATAGCTCAATGGGGAACACTGGGGCGTGGGCGCTTTTGGAATTTTTGTCTTTTACTTAAGGTAAAGGTAATTTACATGACTCGCCAGTGTTCTTAGTTTGTGGACTAGGTATTTCTATCACTGGTTCACACCATATCTTGTGTATAGTTGCTGTAAAGCTCATTACTGTCCAGTTACTTGTGCGCCTTCATCTCTTCCCATATCGGTTCGTTGTACGTAGGCAACATTGCATTCTTTCAAGTGAGATCTCATTGCGTCAACGATATGTTTGCTTTAATCAATTTTGCCGGTCTGGGTCTCACCTTCTCTCCACAGATTGCGATATTGGCTAGTTTGAATGTCGTCGTATTGATGTGCGTGTCAGTCTTTAGTATAGCCTGAATGGATTCACAGTATTCAACAGCGCCGTCTCGGAAATGAAAGTAGAAACACATGACCCCAATTCCGTTTCGTTGTGCACATTTGATCACTGCACATATACATATGCGAAACGCAGAACATATATATTCGTCTTCGCGTGGCGGTCGGGCCTGATATGAGTTGGGCCTCCAATGATGAAATATGACTCCATTTGACATCAAAAACGCTTCGCCGTTAGCACCATGAAGAATGTTCGCGTTACCTTAGGTCTGCCAGTTGAGTTATCGCAAGTTTGTGAGTGCAACTTGCGACTCTGTGAAGAGTGGAAACTCGTAAGACAACTCTTAACCGAACTACCCCTTAGTTAGCGCATCGTAGCATATACCTCGGAACGTTTCAACGTGCACCGTTTCTTGGCAATGCTTTTCGAACTCGAACTCGCACTCACAAGACGGAGAATGTTCGGAACACGTCTATGAGCTCCACAGCCACAGCGTTTTTCCTACAGCGTTTTTCTATTTCAGGGCTACATGACTCACGACGACATTCAGGCACTGCAAGTTGCCGTATTCCGATGGCGGTTTTGACAAGGTAGGCAAGTGGAGGCTCCCGTTTCGAAACCGTCAACATGGAAACGACACAAGAGCTAGTGTTTGAGATGAGATGTTGGCCAATGACAAGCATGGGGTTCGTTTTAGCGGCTGGCTATCGGCCCGTCGATTAGAGCTTACTCCCTAAGTTCCACAACCAACCTATATTCGCGGCGGAGATTGCTGTCTTAGGCATAGAATGCCATGGGTGCGAAACCTGTTGGTATTAGCTAGGGACATAGGGAAGGCTACTTCCTGCGTGCCTAACATAGTATAGTAGTAAACTCTTAGTTAGGCATATATATTGTCAAAGTCGACGTTTTCTTACATCTCCAGCATACCATTCATTCTCTACTTCCAACTTTTACTTTCGTTTATTACACTCATTCACAAGACACAGGATGTCTCCTTCCATTCTTTTCACCGCGACCCTGCTCGCCCATCTTGCTAGCGCATACACCCAAGTCAACGTAAACTCGCCGTTTATGAATAAGAACGTCGACCCGATCGTCTTCCCCGGCCAATACGACAAGTCCCATCTCCACTCGTTCTACGGCTCCGATGCCGTCACCGCCAGCACGAAGACCAGCGCCGAACTCCAGAAGGGCTGCACAAACGCTGAGAACCCCAACGATCTATCCGTATACTGGGTGCCCACGGTGCTGTATACACCCGACGGCGGCAAAACCCATAATCCCGTGCCAGTCATGCGGTTCAGCGCATACTACAACCTCGGCGAGACTGAGGCCGAAGTCCCCATCCCACAGAACCTGCAAATGGTTGCCGGTGTAGCGACGGCGACAACGCAAGGCGCTATGGACGCGAATGCGAAAGCAACCTTCTCTTGCGAAGGCGGCGGCGGCGGTGCGCTTGATGCCAATGGCTTCCCCAGCTCAACATGCGCCATCCATCTGCAGCAACTGCTCTATTTCCCACAGTGCGTCAACACGGAGACACTTAAGACGGCATACAAGGCTCGTGCAAATGGTACTCCTAATGGCTGCCCCGCGGGCATGAAGTCCATGCCTCAGCTCCGCTTCTCCATTCGTTATGATCTGCGCAAAGTCTTGCCCAACGGTTGGTCTGGAACGGCGCCGTTGAAGCTGGCTTGCGGTGCTGCGTGGTGCTCTCACGGCGACTTTATCAACGGATGGACTGTTGAAGCTGCGAAGAACATGCTGGCTACCACGAAAGAGAAGCAGCATTTCTCGCCTGTCAACGGCGCTCTAGGCCAGTTCAAGGCTGGGCCTAAGTGCAAGTCTGCTGATGCTGACCCGAGCCATGGTACGAGCGATTATGCAAAGAGCGTTGTGGCGATGAGCAAGCGGTCTGTCAGTGCCTGGGGCTGGGAGACGCGCAGTAGGCTCGCGAGATTGGTGCATGGAGCGTAGGCCGTGAAGTTCACTAGGTGCTTACGGCGTGGAGTATGTTCCCTGTATATATTCAACCCCATGGTTGTTCCTCGGAATAGATAACCTACCCATCACTGGGCCTATCCAGTTCAGCACTATTTTCCAAGTCAACTTAGGAAATTCAAAATATCATTGGTATACCAATTTCAAGTCAAATCAATGTTTAGAAGTGAGATTGACCAAAGTAATTGTGGAGATTTGCTAATGTTGACGTGAAATGATGTTCAGCACGGCACAGGCTCCTAAGACTTATACACGAGTCTTGTCACAAAACTTTGTCAAAATGAAATGAGAAGGTGTAGCATGTTGCCATGAAGTGTCAAGGTGTGGATAAACAAATGTTCTCAAAGGTTGATTCTAATCCTTTCTGTACAGCGTCAACAAAGTGACTAACTAACATAGATGTATATTTACAAACAAGACTTTCTCAAACGCTCTCTAACTGATCCGCATGCTTGCTCTTCTCCACGAACACATCTCTCACGTCATCCTCTTGCTGCTTCAGCCTCTCCACCATGACGCCATGTGCCTTGACGGTGGGCTTGATCTCAAAGAGCTCGTCCATTCTCTCAAGCGGAATGCCCTTGGTTTCAGGGATCAGGAAGTACACAAACGGTACGGAGAGAATCATCAGACTGGCAAAGAAGAAGTACACGCCATATCCCATCTTGAGGAACATCTGGGGGGTGAATCGGGATACGATGAAATTCCAGAACCAGTTGTTTGCGGCGGCGGAAGCCTGACCGAGAGAGCGTGTCTGCTGAGAGAACATTTCCGAGTTGATAACCCAGGGCGTTCCGTTCCAGGAAGGCGTGTAGAAAGCGGTCCAGAGATAGAAGAAGAAGATGGCTGCGATGCCGCCAGGTGTTAGCTTGGCATTAGGCTTGCCAGCCTTGCTCGCGGGATTCGAGATCTTGATGTATGCTCCGATAAACCACATGCACAGACTGCCGCCAGTTGCGCCAATCATGAGAAGCTTCGTACGACCAAGACGATCAATGAGCCAGAGCAACCAGATGAACGTGACGATTGTCTTGACGACGCCAAAGAGTCCAGTGGTCAAAAAGCCAGTTGAGGTTCCCGTAATACCGATGCTCTTGAAGACCGTCGGCGAGTAGTAGTTGATGGCGTTGATACCACTTCCGTTTTGCCAAAGGAAAAGCATGCCGCCGAGGAAAAACCTATAAAGGACCTTTCGCTGCTTGAGTGCGACAAAGGGGCTAAAGAATCCAGGACCAATATGGACGCGGTCGTGCTCGAGCTGGGCGTCGATAGCCGCGATTTCTTCCATAATGTATGGGTCATTCTCGTCGAGCTTACGGATCCAGCAGAGATTTCTTATCGCCTCGTCGCGTTTACCGTTCGCAAAAAGCCAGCGAGGTGACTCCTTCAACCAAATAGCACCGATCAGTAGGCCTCCGGCCGGAATAAGTTGCACGGCAAATGGTATGAGCCATTGTCGGTGCGAGGGGGCCATAGTCTCTTGGAGGCCGTAGTTGATCCAGAAGCCGACCAGTCCACCGATTTGCCAACCCATCTCATAGATGCCAACTAGACGTCCACGTACGGCAGGCGGACTCAACTCCGAGATGTAAATGGGAACCATGTTCGACGCAGCGCCAACACCCAGACCGGCAAGAACACGACCTCCAATAATAAGGCCGAGTCCGCGTTCGCGATTCGCACCCAACATCAACCCGGCACCGAGGATGAAGACCAGTACCCAGATGATAAGGGACTTTCTCCGACCGAGGAAATGACTGGAGGCATACGCGCCGAAAGATCCAAAGAAAGCACCAGCCTGGTAAACAGAGACGATGTTCGCCTTGTGGAGCGCGAGATCGCTGGCACTCATCTTGTCGAAGCCAAATTCCGATACAAAAGAAGGCAAGGCCAATGTGGTGCCAATGAAGGCTGAATCATAACCAATCTACAAGGCCAGAGTCAGCAAAATGGCATAGATAGGAATGAAAATCTCGATTCTGGGTATGCAAAAACTTACCATGCATGATGCCCACGAGGCCACTGAGGCGGCGGTATACACACGCCAATTGTAGACAGACTTTGGCGTAGGCCTGTCTTCCACAAGAGCGAGAAGACCCATTGTGCAAAGTGCGTCCTTGTTTGGCTCGATGGGGGTGGTGTGCGTACCCTCGAGGTGGAGGGACAGGCAGTGATAGAGGAGTCTTGGGTTGAAGGGCAAAGCTAAGATATATTATATATCCCGACAGCGGATTAGACACTCAGCCCAAACTTGTTCGCGTTACCCCGGAATATTTCGCCGACGTCTCCCATTGTGGGGAACTAGCCATTTGGAACAGAGGTCCCCGCTGTCCCCAGGATCTGGCTTGCGGAGCTGTAGAGCTCGTGGGCGTGAACCCGGAAAAGGGGAGAGTGTACGCATGCACAAAAAACGCCATCTGGGGTGTCAGCGGGATGGGAAGGATGCCGTTTCGCTTGATAGGAAGCATGTTCGTGGTGGCGGGTTGTGATCATCCCATCGCTGATTGGACGCGGACAAGCCTCGGTCAACGCCTCGGGTAAGTCCTTATACGCGAGGACTTAGTGACCGACCGCTAGAGAACTTCTCCGATTTCGGGACAAGTTCATTCATCCACCTAGCGGAGATTGGGAAAAATCCTCAGACTTGGCGTCCTGCGGCGTAGAGACCGTCATGGCTAGTACTCCAAATTGTCCCCCAGTTCGGATCAATCAGCGGAGGACCATTATCCAAGGCCCCCAGACAGCTTCGCAAACTCGTGAACGTCATTATCTGCTAGCCGTCAATCGAGATGCCGGATACCGAAGGAAGAACGGTAGTTCCAGAAAGCTCCCATCTCGAGCGCCATGGGTACCTTTTCGGCCACCCTATCGCGCATTCGATGTCACCTCTACTACACCAGACTGTGTATGATGGGCTAGGCCTCAATTGGGCGCAAATCCCTTTAGATTCCCTTGACATGACCCTGTTTTTAAGGTTAATACAGGATCCGAAGTTTTATGGTATGTAGTTTCTACAGGATCTCCAAACGCTAATGCGCGCGTCCTTATCTCAAGCAAGCATAGAGCTTACATGAGGCTGTATCGCGAGCCATCATTGGTAGAACTTCAACACGGATGCGCGCCACCCTTTGAAGACCTTGTACCTCCTTGCAAGTGGTGTGATTTCCACTGACCTCTTAGCTAACCATGCTCCTAGGCGCCTCTGTGACGATGCCACATAAAGTTGCTATACTCCAACACCTTGATGGTCTAACACCCGAAGGCCAGACTGTGGGTGCTGTCAACACACTTTTCGTCCGACATGATCCTGAAACCGGCAAGCGACTGTACATGGGGACCAATACCGACGTGATTGGCGTGCGCGACGCTTTTTACTTTAATGTCAAGGATCCCGACTCGTGCGTTCACAGACGACCAGCCTTGATTGTTGGGGGTGGCGGTGCGGCTCGAAGCGCGGTATATGCGTTGAGCAAATGGATGAAAGCAACCAAGATCTATCTCGTGAACCGAGACCGTAAAGAGGTTCAAGCCATAATCGATGAGTGTACCTCAAAGGGCTATGGCGACGGGCTCATTGATGTATCGACTGTTGAGCAAGCAGAACTGTTGGAGGGGGCTGGTGCCATTGTAGCTTGTGTCCCCAACGTTCCAGTTCGGACGTCTGAGGAAGCAGAGGCAAGGCGCGTACTTGAGTGTTTCCTCAACAAGCCGCACAAGGGCGCCCTGCTTGAGATGTGCTATCATCCTTCGCCTTGGACTGAGATTACAGCTCTTGGCGAGAAGGCTGGATGGCAGATTATACTAGGGACAGAAGCGATGATCTATCAGGGACTGGAGCAAGACCGATACTGGACTGGGAGAGGCGTGGAACAGCTGCCAGTACAAAAAGTGCATGAAGCTATTGCTGCAGAAATGAGGGAGTCGCGGTTGTGTGATGTGGTCATGTGAGACGTTGCAACAGCACCAAGGAATTAGGAAATAGAAAGCCAAACATCTTTGATAAGATGTCAATGTTTGATTCCACGTGGGAAGTCGTAAGACAGAAGTCGATGCCCAGGTGTTCCCGTTTACTCAAGAGACGCTATACTACAACGGCCAAGATCGATCCTTTGGAAGATGCATCTGGAACGCCAGGCCGCTAAACTTCAAATGGCAGACTTCGGGACCCCACCCATCCACCATCGCCCTCAATTACATATGCACGCACACTTGGACTTGGACAGCTCTTTCCATTAGCCGCTCTATATTTCATCAGTGTCCACGGGTCTGTCTCTCAAAAGCCGGCATTACATGGCCCCGGTAGCCATGGCGGCCAATTGTTTCAGAAGACCCGCACGACCCGAGAGGGCTGTCAGTGAGATGGGCGGGACAACATGCCAGCCAGTAGCCAGCCAGGGACGTCTCTGAGGATGCAAGTAGTATAGTTTTTTTTTTAAGTTTTATATACATGTACAACGAGATGGGGTATCGCAAAATAGAGACGAGATAACACAACCCAGGAAATCCCCTCTACCAATGTAAATAGAAAACACGAGAAGCGTGACAAATGAATAGTATAGTATATATAGTTGGTAGGCTTCTGGGACACCTGAACTAATCTGCGCGTGTCGGTGCTAGTGTCGTAGAGAACCTGGTCGATGTACGCAAGGCGGCAAGGGCAGTGGCGATCGAGAAGCGTCCAGCCCTGTCCTGTCGCAAGAGGCAAACTCTCACCTTCAGGACCCCACGTCGTGGTCTTTGTCCACCTCACCAATCCTCGTTTTCATTCTCGAGCATGCTGTCGTCCACGGAACCTTTGTAGCGCCTATCTCGGTGCCCTGCGCCCGCCTGCCTTCTGTAGCACCCGAATAAACCCCGGCTTCGTTCGTCATGAGCCCGTCACCGCCGAGCGGGAGGGACACGACGGAAGAGTTGAACCGGGAGCGCGAGGAGACGCAGAAGAGCCGCTCGGATCTGAAGAGGGAGCGCGATGTCTTCTTGCTGTACGGTTCAGCATTTCGCAATTCCCCACGTCTCGATCAGGACGTAGAGAAGCACGTGCCCCGCCCATCTTCCGATTCGACACTGACGGCCCTATGCCAACTCACCGCGATTCGACTCGGATGCCAGCGATCCATGATCTCACTCCTGGACGATCATCGCCAGCACATCCTTGCAGAGGCTACCTGCGACCTGTCTCTTCGCCCTGGAGCTCCTGGGGATGCCCCCCTCGATCTGTGGCTTGGCAATGTGAGCATCCCGAGATCGTGGGGAGTATGTGAAAAGGTACTCGAATTGGATCCCCACGAAGCAATACCAGTCTTTGTCATGAACAACCCTGCGCAGGATGACAAGTCTTCTCACCGCGCTTATGTTCAGAGCCCTCCCGATATGCGCTTTGTCGCCAGCGCGGCGCTAGTGAGTCCCTCTGGAGCTCGAGTGGGAAGCCTCAGTGTTTTCGACAACAAACCGCGTCATGGCCTGTCCGAGACCGAAATGCGCCTCCTGCAGGATCTTGCCGTGACCGTTGTTAATTACCTAAATCTGTATACCATCAAGGATCGATATCGACGCGGGGAACGATTTACCCGAGGCCTGACCTCTTTTGCCAACGGGGCGTCAGCTTTGCAACCATTTGGAAATGCCACTCAGCGCGATACTGTAGCTCCGCCTGGAATGCCCTCGAATGACTCTTCGGTGACTCAAAGGGACGTACCTTCTACAGAAGCTATGAAGAACGATCATTCACCAAGGCATCTGTCTCCGCCACCATCGACAGCGTCCCAGCGACCACCTGGACGACAACATTCGAAGTCGACCTGGGAAGAATCTGCTCGGCACAGATCAATCAGCACTCTCCAGGATAACATATTGCCAATGGACTCGAAAACCATGTTCTCGCGTGCTGCCAATGTTTTGTTGACTTCAAGCGACGTAGACGGAGTCCTCATCTTGGATGCTTCAGTTGCAGTAAATGGACAGCGCCGTACTCCCGCTGGTAACGAAAGTAGTACTGAACCTCCTTCAGAGTCATACCATTCGAGATCCTCCTCCAGTGACGAAGAGGGCAACGAAAGCCCAGGCAGTACTGCAGGGGCTCCAGGTGGGATACCGCCAAAGATGTTCTCATCATCAAAAAGGTGCCAGGTGCTTGGGGTTGCAACTAACGCAGAGTATGGATTCCTCCTTGAATCAGACCTTGCTCGGCTGTTACACGAACACCCTCGGGGTAAAATCTTCACCCTAGCCGCTGGAGGCCTACCCTTGAGCTCAACTGAAGATTCGGCTCTATCAAGTGCTACTAACTCTGAAAGAAGTAATTCAGGGGTACCAGTACCTCCGAAGCGCAAGACCAGAACGCGGGCCCATAAAGGTTCAAAAGCCCTGCAGGGAATGTTTCCTGGCGCTCGTAGTGTGGCTTTCATACCTTTTTGGGATTACGAACGGTCAAGGTGGTTTGCTGGCTGTCTTTGCTGGAGCAACAGCCCATACCGATTGCTCTCTGCTTCTGTGGATCTCGCCTACTTTAAAGTCTTCAGTCACTCCATCATGAGGGAACTTTCGCGGCTGGATGCTATGGTACTGGGTCAGGTACGTCGAGTCTCATGCATGCTTAAACTAATCTTAGTCTGTCTGAAGCACTTCGCATAGCTCCTCAAATGCCTAATGGGGCTGGGAATGGCGTGCAAAGTACTCTAGATGTGTTTGTGATTTGCGTCGCCGCCGTGGCCCACTTATATCAGAGAATCACATTGCTAACCGCCCTATCACTTTCAGGCCAAGACAACTTTTGTGGCATCGATTTCGCATGAGCTCCGCTCGCCTTTGGTACGTTGTCGCCCATTTGGAGACATCTTACAGGAGCTTACTCCTGCAGCACGGCATCCTGGGTACATTGGAGTTTATGAATGACACGACTCTCGACTCCTTTCAAACTAGTATGCTCAATTCTCTGAATGCATGCGGGCAAACCCTCCTTGACACTATCAACCACGTCATGGACTACGCTAAAATCAGCGAAACTAGACGAAAAGTCTCGTCCAGACGACTGAAGGATGTGAACACAGTCCAACTGACCTCGAAGCCACTCAAAGGTCGTCGAAAAAAAGATTCTGCATTCGACTTCAGCATCGTCACGGAAGAAGTGGTGGAAGCAGTATTTTCAGGGTCCTCATACGTTCCGGTGGCGCCTCCGCTAATGGAAACACCTTCATCTCCCTCGGGCGAAACGTCGAGCTATTTTGATGGACGCAAAAGGTGCTTCATTGTGCTCGACATGGTTGGTGAACAGGACTGGATTTACAACTTCCCGGTTGGCTCTTGGAGACGAATCGTCATGAACATATTTGGCAATGCTCTGAAGTACACTCCTTCGGGACACATCTACGTTTCCCTAAAAGCGAGCGATTCGACGAAAATCACAGATCCTCTCACCACTATTACTCTCACAATCAAGGATACGGGTCCAGGCATGAGTTCTCTTTTCCTCGCAAATAGAGCCTTCCAACCATTTTCCCAGGAGAACCCACATGCTTCAGGCACGGGATTAGGACTTAGCATTGTCAAGCAGATCATTGAAACTAATGGTGGAAAGGTCGAAGTCAGCAGCAGTCCCTCCACCGGCACCAAATTCACGGTCAAGCTAGCTCTTACTAGGTCGGAAGATACTGCTCAGCTTGCCACAGTGCAACGTGCACAGTTCCTGTCATACCTACCGCGGTTAGAAGGCCGACGCATCTGCATCCTTCACAAAACGATCGGACAAATCGCTAACCAGCCGGATGTTTCACGGATAGACGAGGGCCTCATTCACTTCACTAAAGCTTTGGCAACAACATTGGAGAAGCATCTAAAGATGGACGTTTTCTTAACGTCAAACTGGGAGGGCAACGACACCGATATTGTCATCTGCCCAGAGCTCTCTTTCGATTATCTTTCCGCAATCCGCCGTGGGAGGGTCAATGACCAGCGGGCGCCAGTGACAATTTTTGTCGCAATGGATGCACTGGAAGCGGCCGTTCTACGTTCCGACGCGCGGATATTAAATCGCGAATCTGTAGTTGAGATTATAACGCAGCCGTACGCCCAGAGTCCCCATCTCGTTTGAGATTTTATCACTGACATTTTGCAGGTGCGGACCGTACAAGCTAGCTTTCACTCTCAACAGATGTCTTGATCGCTTCGCCCTCGATGAGGAAAACCTTCTTCGTTCCAGCCCATCAAACGCATCAAACCATTCAAGTCTCATCGAAACTGCGGGACTGGAGCCAGTGCCGCTGTCTCTGCCACCGAACGTATTACCTTCTACTTTCACGTTGCCTGCCGCCGCTTCTTCCACAGCCGGATTTTTGATTGTTCAGTCTGCAGGTTCTTCAATGGACGGGAAAAGTACACGTACACGGCACATCCTCATTACGGTAAGAGACTCGGTGTACGAACTGAGTGGAAGACGCACACTAACTCTATACTTCACTTTTCAGGATGACAATTTGATCAATCGGAGAGTGAGTCAACATTCAAGCAATTTCTGACAATTTGCTAATAACACAAGCTCCTTGTTGCGTTCATGCAGAAGCAGAACTTCCTATATCAAGAAGCCACAAACGGGCTAGAGGCTTTGGAAGCATACCGGGACCGCGCGCCCAAATTTGACGTCATCCTTATGGGTAAGAGAAAGGCCTTTCTACCCCATCATCTATACATACCCGTTCGAACTATACAAAGGATATTGCGCTACCATTGCTAACTGCGTCGCAGATGTGTCCATGCCTGTCATGGACGGGATGAGCGCCACACGTGCGATTCGCGAGTACGAACAAACTAACCATTTACAACGATGCTGCATCGTTGCTTTGACAGGTCTGGCATCCTCAAGTGCCAAGTTGGAGGCACTGAGCTCTGGCATCGATCATTTCATGACCAAGCCAATCAACTTCAAGGCGCTAGAAGAGCTTCTTAGGAAGGAAGAAGATAAGAGGAGACGAACCGCCGGAAATGCGGTAGCCAAGGACGAGACAGCCCTTGAGCCCCCTGCCGAGGATGTTGCCATTCTCTGAGAATCTCAGCAATGCGTCAACCAAATACATGATAAAGTTATTACTATTTCGAGGAGAACAATGCCCTTGCTCTCGAAGGACGCTTGATGCCTTGGCATCGCTGTAATCGAGATAAAAACATCCTAGGTCGCATTCTAACGATCTGCTTCGTCGTCTTCGAGGAGATAGACAGTGCAACATGGCCTCGCTACCCTACGCGGACGACAAGGTATGATATTATTCGGTCCCTGGGCGAAGTATGCGAACATATCAAGTACAAGTACGGATGTATGGGTTAATAAAGGAGGTAATATAATCATTACAGAGGCAGTACACGCGGCTTATACAAGAGAAATGGAGTATCAATAATATCATTCTATCAAAATACCAGCTAAAAAACTAAGCACTCTCCTTCAAAGTGATCACGAACTGCGCCTCTTCCAAGCCATACAGCACTTTTCCGTCCAGGACCCAGTTGAACAAGCATGCTCCGCATCCGCTCTGTGCGCCAAAAGGATCTAAGAGCGAGTCAGCGAATGTCCTGAATCCACACCACAAGGGAACATTTACTTATCTCTACAAGCTGTACGCGCCCATTCTCTTGAAGCGCGATATCGAAGCTAAACCCATGCTTAAGCAATAAACCCCTGATCTCCTCATCTAATTCTGTGAACGTATACACAACGATTTCATCAAGCACCTTCTGCGCACCGTCTTGCACAAGCTCAGCAATCCGCTCCAGGCTCCACCCCCACGGCGCCTCGAACACATACGGCCATCTATACTGGCTAATAGCACTAACCGCAAGAAGCTCGGCGTTGATCTTCTCTCCTCTCGCAGCAGGCGGCGGGACGAAAACCCTAAACTCCCTCCCAGGATCCATACCCTCGTCCCACGGATTCAGCACCAACTTCAACACCATCTCCCTTTCTTCTTTCTTGGCGTCTTGCTCCTCGCGCTGCAGACAGCCGTATGCGCGCATACTCGTGCAGAGCTTGGTGAGCACGTCCTCCATTGTAGAAGAAGGGAGTTTACCGCTGACCGGCGAGTCCTTGGGCGACATCTGGTCGAGGCGGATAAACCATTTCTTCGTGCCGTCGAGGAGCGGCATTAGTTTCTTCCCGGATTTAGTGCTCTGCCATGTTTCGATTACTTCGTTTAGTAGCGATGTGTGGATCCGGCCTGATGATACCCATGCGGAGTGGCATGTCATCAGATCTTCGTAGAGAAACGAGGGGATGGTTACTTCGTGGTAATCAGTCATGGACTGGCTGCGAGCAACTAGGCGGTGCCAGAGGGTATAACCGTATGGCTTCCATGGCGGTGGTTCGTGCTTGAAGGTAGGTGTTTCGGGCACGATGGGTAGGATTTCTTCGCGGGAGTGGTCAGCGGTGCTGAAGCGCTGGGAGCGGGATGACGGGTGTGAGGAATCTTGAGTTGCTTTGATGGCTGCGGCGTCGGCGGCGACTAGGGAAAAGGGGATTGTGCGGATCTGCATGTTTGTAGAGTTTATTCCTTGCTGTTGTGGTTCCAGAGTGACGCCTTTGTTCTAAGTAGTTGTGGGTTTGGTTGGGAACGCGGTGGAAGTTATAAAGTGATTATGTTAGGTGGTGTTGACTCACCGACCGACTGAACCATGGGTGAACCGTTAAGGCGACCCTTAGTCACCATACAAAAAGGGCGCTGAACTTTATTGAAGTACCTAGTTTTTAGCGTGGCCTAAATGCCTTCGACGAAATTTTGCTTGAAAGCCGAAAGTGTAGAGGTCGTCGAAGACGTACGTACAGGCCTATCTGTTGTTAGACACTGCGCGCCTGCTTTCACAAACACTCCATAAGTGTGACACACCAACAGTCACTGTTATTCAGAGGGCAAGCTGTGTCCTTGATGAGCGCTAAACTCACGCCCCATCTTCTTACTTGTTAATTCCTTACTTACGCTTGCCTCGGCTACTTGACAGTAAACCCATCTTCGCAAGTAGCCGAGGCATACATCACTATGACAGTATTGCAAAATATCTCTCACCCAATAGCCTGCTTATTATTACTCCTTGGATCTCTAAAGCAGTATACTCTCGATTACCGAGAATTGCAGACATATATCTCTGTGAGCACGCTTCGCCTGTCGTGCATGAGCCGGGAGATAATAAGCCCCGGGATCCTAAGTAGCGCTTTCTTTGCGAGATAATTGGTGCTCATGCAGTTTTCTCTCATCTCTTTGTTCTATAATGTATCGGGGGGATTCTTAGGAGATTTATGTGAATGCATTGGCCGCGTTGCCAACAAATTGAGTGTGAGGTGAGTTGTAGAGTGTTTTGCTTGCTTGACCGACCATCTTGAGAGTATCAACCTATCATGGATACCATGTCTCCAAAACTTAAACGACTAAAATGTTCCCTTCATTTTTCTCAACCCAAGGCTCGATGACGGTGTACGCGGATGTTCTAAATAGGGTTTCCTCATTCGTGCCTCCGGAAATACGAAGCGTAAATCCGATATCCCAACCAATGGATGACGACTGCTCGTTCCACTACAGGATATGTAGCCATATGTATGATTGGTCGGTGCCTGAAAAGGCTTTGGGGTGGTGGCTTTGTAGGCAGAGCGCTAACCTCCAGTCGTATACACTGAGGTGAAATCTTAAGATTCTGTACGAAAGATGGTTACTGCCTCACTTAATCGTTGACGCTATTCCCGACTTTTGGGAGTTAAACGTCACGACTCCATTTTATAGCTTGTTAAATCCGAGGGGCGAGGGTGGTGGTTGCACACGTAGCTGCGTTTCTGTTCCTCCTGGATTCATATAAAGACCGCTCTGTATCATCTCCAGCAATCCAGCTTCATTCAGCATTCAATATTCAATCTTTTCTTCCAAACACAACTCACAGAAAATGCCTCAAACAATATTCATCACAGGAGCCTCAGGCTACATCGGCACTGTTCTCACGTCCCATTGTATTGCCTCGGGCTACACCGTCCGCGCCTTATCTCGTAGCTCGGACAGCGATACAAAATTGCTTTCGCTGGGCGCGATTCCTACTCGTGGCGGTCTCGCTTCGCACGATGTCCTTACGCGAGAAGCCTCTTCCGTAGACATGGTCATTGCCCTCGCCGATGCACTGGCTGGAAATTACGGAAATATGACCATGGAAGAGCGGTCTGAGATCAACAACGCAGCCATCGCTGCTTTGGCGGCAGGTATGGAGGGCAGTGGAAAGCCGCTTGTCGTCACCTCAGGCACTCTACAAGTAGCCGATGACCCACAGGGCAACGAGACGGACGAGACAGCGCCAAGTTGGCCAGAGCCTATATTCGGCGTGGGAGTTGAGGCGACCGCTTTGAAGTTGAAGGAAAAAGGAATCAGGGTCTCCGTTGTTCGACTCGCTCCATGGGTGTACGGAAGAGGTGGAAGTGGCGTAAGATTGTTCATGCAGGGCGCAGTGGTGACTGGTGAGCTCATCTATGTCGATGATGGCTCAGCGCGTACAACCACCGTCCATGTCGATGACGCTGCTCGCCTATTTCTTCTAGTCGCGCAGAACGGTGGAGTGGGAGAGATATACAATGCTACGTCTGAGACGCATGTGACGTTTAAGCAGCTCATGGAAGCTATAGGGAGGACTATCTGTGTGCCGGTCCGGTCGCAGTCGTATGCGGATACGGAGGCGACGAGAGGACGTTTCATCGCGAGCTTCTTGAGCCTGCAGAATAGAGCAAGTAATAAGAAGGCAAGGGAGGAGCTTGGGTGGACGGTGGAATCGAAGGTGGGCATTCTTGATGAGATCGCTGTCGGGTCGTACGTCAGTGTGGTGAAGGAGTTGCGAGAGTCGAAGGCTTCCAAGGTGGAGCTGGACGTTGTGGATTGATATGCTGTTCGTTTGTTGGACGTAGGAATTTTAATCAGGTGTTCAGGGAATGGATCTTGATGTGATTGATCTAGAGTAATCTTTACCTCGTTATCATTGAACGGACATATACCTGAATGCGCGACTGGATGTCCTTTGCGCATCCTATATGTCAATGCAGCAGGTATTACCTCACCCGGTGGTTTCTCGTTCCAGGAGAGACCATTATGTCTCCGCTTCGTGAGGCACGTACCCTTCTGTTGTTCACCGTAGCTTCAGCACAATTGTGCTGAGAAAAACTCACGCCGTATATAGAACATCTCTTCACCCTGCTGCTTCACGATAGAAGCTGATCGCGTTGTTGCCTCCCGCCAATGCAAACATCTCGCTCTTCGTGGGAACTTTTGGCAACCACTTCGCAGTCCACAGTGGCTTGTCACCATGTGAGTGCGTCGCAACACATGATCGAGTTTCAATGCGCCAGACCTTGGCCTTTGAGTCATGGGACCTAGATGGACGTCAGTAATCATACTAGTAACAGGCACCCTGCCAGCGATTGTATCGGCCTACCCTGATAGCAAATACTCGCCGGTGTCGCTCCAATCAAGAGTGAGCACCCAGCCTCCATGGCCAGTGAAGTTGGCTACTTGTTCGCCTGAATTGACATCGTATAGTGCGATGATCCTGGCATCACCTCCGGCTGCTAGCAGCTTCGATGCTGGTGAGAAGGACACGCTGCGAACGGGATGTACGAGACCAGCTAATGAGTGTACAAGGCGGCCACTTTCGTTATTGAAGACGTAGACGGATCCGTTCTCGTGCCCTGAGGCGGTGAAGCTGCCGTTGCGGCTCTGAAGAAGCGTCAGCAACTGGTAGAATAGTACTAGAGTGTGAGATGAGAGTTGAAACGTACCAGATCCACACACAACCCAAAGCTGCCCTTTGTCTCATATTCCCTGATCCTTGGCATACCCTCTTCCTTGTTCAAGCTCCAAACATTGATCTTGCCATTGATGCTGCTGCTCGCCAGATACTGGCCATCCGCACTCAGCGCAATTGCCCATATCTCACCGGGCTTGTTCTGATCTGTAACTTGTATCAGCATTCCATCCCGAAAGTTCAGGAGTCGTCTGTCTTGCAGATGCAAAGAAAGCACGAGGCATACCCACCAACAATCTCCCCATCCTCACTCCACACACCGTCCTCATCCTGACTCCATATCTTCACCTTTCCCTCAAACCCAGCACTTGCAGCTTTCCTTGATTTCTCTTCTCGAGCAGTCACAAGGTGGTGAATACCAAGCGGGTGCGCCTTGTCAAGGGTTTGTACCAATGGAAAGTCGGGTTGAGTGGTGTCGTAGACATTGATGCTGCTTGAGCCGGATGCAGAGAGCAATTGTGTGCTTGTCGGCGCTACGGCGAAGATGTCGCTGGCCTTTGGATGCGCGGCATCGACTGTGTGAAGGGTGAGGTATTGTTTTGACTGTTAAGAGTTAGTTTGGATACCACAGTGCTACGCGCGACAATGGAGCATCTGAACGTACCATTGTAGAAAGAAGTAAGCTTGAAGCTTATAGCACTACGTAAGGCACTGAGAATGCTACCAGGACATATGAGCATCCGCCCGAAGCGTGTGATGTGGAGGCTCGAAAATAGGCGACCGGAAGCTCGATGAGGTCAGTACAAACACACGAAAACGCGATGTCACCGGTCCCGCCAGCCCACTTCGCCCCGCAATGCAAATGCGCCAAACACTGTGCGGCACACGAGCAGGACCCCTAGCTTCACCGCCAATCACACTGCGCAGTACCTAAGTTTTAGGAAATGTTGTTGCCTCGATGCCATTGACTTTCCAAAGAAGCCTAATTTTCTTGTCTAAAAGCCTTGTAAAGAGTTCACAAACCCGCGTCGTACCAAGAGCGACGAGTTTACGATTGCGGCACGCCCAGTCACCATACAACAACCTAGTTTTCCCCCGCGCCTTCTCTCATACCTCCCATAAAATGGCGCCCCTCGATCCCGCACCCGTCGACACCCAAGCCGTGAAATCGCACCGCCCCATCGTCATCTCTGGGCCCAGCGGCGCCGGCAAGTCGACCATCCTGAAGCGCCTGTTCGAGGAATACCCAGACAAGTTCGGCTTCAGCATCTCGCATACGACGCGAGGGCCGCGAGGAACAGAGAAGGATGGTGTCGAGTACTACTTTGTCACAAAAGAGCAGTTCCTGGCCTTGGTGGACCAGAAGGGCTTCATCGAGCATGCGCAGTTTGGGAGCAACTTCTACGGAACCAGCATCAAGGCCGTGAACGATATCGCGGAGAAAGGGCGGATCTGTGTGCTGGACATTGAGATGGAGGTACGTTCCCGTGGCTGTTTTATTTCAAGTACAGGTGTTAGAGCGTAGGCTTACACTTTCACAGGGCGTCAAGCAAGTCGCGAACCACCCAACGTTTCCGCGCCCACAGTTTCTTTTCCTCTCACCCCCGTCTACTGAGATTCTTGAGAAGCGATTAAGGAGCCGGGCGACGGACAAGGAAGAGGATATCCTGAAGAGACTCAACCAGGCGAAGGTGGAGATGGACTTCGCCAACAGTGGAAAGGCACCGCATGATAAGATTGTGGTCAACGATGATCTGGACAAGGCGTATCAGGAGGTCAAGGAGTTCATTATTGGCAACGAGGCATAGCGGGAGTCATCGAGGCAGATCGAAACTATCGTCAAATGACCACTAATATGCTCTTCAGAGGTAATGACATAGACAATGATACCACGACACGATAGAAGGCAGAGTAAGGCACAACATTTGACAATCGTATGCATTGAATTGGAAAAGAAACTATCTAAGCCATAGGGTTTTTCAGATATTGTTTAGAAAATTCAGCAAAGGCCATCCTACCACTTTGGGATTCAGACAGCCTCAGTGCTTGACTCTATTTCTATTGTGATCATCACGTAAACCTGTTGAATGGCTGAAAGAATCTGGCTTGTTCGACCAAGCACGCGTAGCCCGTCCATGAACCTGATCAGTGAAGAACAGTTCCAGGTGACGCCTACCGACAGACCCGAAAAAGTGTGGGATGAACGTTCCTCGCATCAAGAATAAGCCCCATTGAGTTACCTCCCATACGACCCGTTTTACCGGGACGCGGGAAGGCAATCGCATAACCATAAACTGGACGAGAAGACCCTCCCCACCCAACACCTTTCGACATCTCCCTCCTCCTCATATTCCTCAACGTCCCCTTAGCAACACAAGTAAGGTAACTAGCGGACTCATATCATCGCCCAAGTGCCGGCCCCTCCACCCGCGGCGTCGAGAAAGTGAAGAATAAGAGTGCAGACGGAAAAGAGAGCGAAAGATGCTGGAGGCGGTAGGGAAGCCGCGCTTCTATGGCGGTTCGTTGCTGAAAGTGCGATTCGCAAGGAATCGATGTCCGGGGACTTTCTCCCAAAGCGTGCGGAAAGAGATGCCAAGTGGCACTCTGTTTGTGTGCTTCGTTGCGATTCTTTGAGCGAGGAACGTTAGAGAAGGAGAGTTTGAAGACGAGGAAAATTATTTAGCTAGGGCGGAGGCCGGGGGAAGGTAAGACCGGTAGGCAGCGCTAGGCGGAGAGTGGGCTGGCGCCTGCAAGGATGCCTGGAAGCTTGGGACCTGCACGGGTTTCTTTGCGCGGCGCGTAGGGTGAAGGACATAAAGAGATCACGCTGGAATCTTTATTGCGAGCCTGTTACTTTACTTCACACCACGAACTCGGAAAGCTCCGCAACTCTATCTTTCAGGGTCACCCGAGCGCGTACAAATACCCTCGCGCCCCAACTCTCAGCTCGAACAACAGAGCTCCACCACCGACCAACAAACACCAATTCAACCCGCCCTATTAGCGGAATATAACCACAAAAGATGGCACTCTTCGGTCAGAGCAGTGCTGCCGCTGCAAGCTCTACTACTGGAGACACTAGCAAAGACGTCGAAGTTCAACAGAGCCAGCTCCCATCAGACAGCATATCCGACCTGCAGTTCTCCCCAACAAACGACTTCCTTGCAGTAGGTAGCTGGGACAAGAAGGTCTACATCTACGAGATCAACAACGGTGGTGCGCAGGGAAAGTGGCTCTTCGAATGCCAGGGTCATGTTCTCGGGCTCGGATGGTCGAAGGTACGTTGTTTATAGCATTCGCATGAGACTGAGTCGATTAGTTGCTAACATATGCTGTAGGACGGCACGCGCATAGCAGCTGGTGACTCAACCGGTATGCTTAACATCGTCGACTTCTGCACTGCCCCCGCGTCCGGTCAGATCCCCGCGCAGCAAGCCAAGGCTCACAACGAAGGCATCAAATGCGTGCGCTGGTTCCAGTCCAACGGCAAAGACTTTGTTGCCACGGGCTCTTGGGACAAGACGGTCAAGTTCTGGGACTTGCAGGGTGCAGAGCCTGTTGCTACGCTACAAACTCAGGAGCGCGTATACAGCATGGACATCAAAGACCAGTTGCTCGTGATTGCGACAGCGGAGAGGCATATCCACATGGTCAATCTGAACGACCCAACCAAGATCTACAAGACGATCACGAGTCCCTTGAAGTGGCAGACGAGGGTGGTCAGCTGCTTTAGCGATGCGACGGGCTTCGCCGTGGGGTCGATTGAGGGACGATGTGCCATCCAATACGTCGAGGACAAGGACACTAGGTAAGCTCTCTCCAACCTCCAAGTATCTTCAAATCGCAAATGAATGAAAGCTAACACATTCCTACAGCCTCAACTTCTCCTTCAAATGCCACCGCCAACAAGACCCTTCCGCCCGTGACGTAGCAAAAGTCTACTCGGTAAACGCCATATCCTTCCACCCACAGCACGGCACCTTCAGCACCGCCGGTAGCGACGGCACCTTCCACTTCTGGGACAAGGATGCAAAGCACCGCCTCAAAGGCTACCCCGAGGTCGGCGGCTCCATCACCGCCACAGCATTCAGCAAGGACGGCAATATCTTCGCGTACGCCATCAGCTATGACTGGAGTAAGGGCTACTCTGGCAATACTGCGGGGTACCCGATTAAGCTGAAGCTCCATCCCATAATGGGAGATGAGTGCAAACCCCGTCCGGGCAGCAAGAAGAGGTAATCTCTAGGCAAACTAGGGGTTACGCTTTTTTTGGCTTGCTTGCTTGAATTGCTGATACGCATGTGTCAAGTGGCAGTAGTGACGGAACGATGCAGCAGCTGAGGCGGGGCATTTCGGTTTAGTTACTTTTACCGCATCCATCCCTTCCAATACCTGGCGGTTAGTTACACCAACATGGGTTAGAGCGTTTGATCAATTGGACTGCGCATGTGCTAAAGAGGGGAGGAGATGATATCACGGTTGGGGTTTACTTGTATTAGCATTAGCGTTATGGCTGGTTCGGCGCATTTAGGATGAGTATGTAAGCGCCCTCCTGAGGGGCTCGTTTTGGATGGGACGGTATAAAACATCAATCTTGTGCATCCTCAGTCCATCGTCTTTGTGCTCGATTAAATTGTAATGTGACGAAAAATGTCTTTACATGTGAGACGATGAAGTGAGTGAGTGATGGCACTTGTTTCAGTTGGAGCAGCAGTACAATGTGACGCGTTGATTTTTGATGTTATGATACCCTAAACCATGCTATCCACATCTAATGTAGGCCACCAGATGAGCCCAAGGATGTGCCCTTTTCTCGCCGGGATAATGTGAAGTCGAATCGCCTGTCTAACGCCCAACACCAAGTTCCAATCCATCCCAAGACGCCTTGTTCGCCATGTGTACAGCACGGTAATACCTTTCGAGCATCGAAAGTATAACCTCTCTTCAACATTCCATGCTTCCCAATGTACTCCGTATCGTGAGTCTAGGTACCCACGGCTGCAACATTCTCCACTCCCTGTCCTCCGACCCTCTGTTTCTTCGCATCCGGGCCATCGCCACTCGCAACCCCATTTCCGTTCGTGCCCGTATTACTGACATCCTGCAACGCAGGCCTATCCCTTTTTAGCCCATTAGGCGGGCCGGCTCCGTTCGCGAAGGTAGGCGGTTTGTATGCCCCCCGATTTGCAGTAGGACTCATAGCGTAGTTGGGCGCACCGATTCGTCTGTTGGTATCTTGATGTGGGTTCACAAAGTTCGTCGAGCGTCCGAAGCCTGCTCCTGCTCCACCTGGTACAGCGGGTCGTGGTGCCGCTGTACCAGGTGGTTGCGGAGCAGGGGGAGCTCCCACTGCTTCACGTTTGATGGGGACGCTCCGCGCATGATCAACTCCAGGAGTACGTTGCTCCTTCGGAATGGGAGATTCCACGTGAGGATTGAAAGCCGGGATATGGTTGAGAGAAGGCAGGGTGTCGGAAGCTTGCAAAAGTTCGGCAGCACGGGATGTTACAAAGCCGACTGACGGTCGGTTGTTTGATGGTGGCGCATTCGCGGCGGGCGTTGTAGTGCCTTGCACTTGCGGTCCAGGACGCTGCGGGTTAGGTAGTTGTTGTACTTGCGGAGGTGTTGGTCGAAGAGGTTGGTTCTGAGCAGGTTGTTGAGGATTATGCTGCGGTTGACCAGTCTGTCTCGCAGCGGCCCCGTTTTCGCCAGCTGGTGGAGGCATCCGACCACGGTTCGCGTCTGGTCGATGTTGATTCTGCTGCTGGACTGGTGTTTGCGGATGTCGCTGATTTAATGCATTTGGCGGCGGCTTATTGGGTCCTTGGTTTGGTTGATGTTGCATGCCAGGCTGGCCACGCCCGGCGGACGTAGGCTGCTGCATCCTGAGATTAGGCTGTCGAGGGGGGCCAGCATTTCGAATGGGTGATGTGCGAGCGGATGACACGCCTTGTGGTTTGGCTGCCTCGATAGCCTTAGTTGCTACTGTATCTGAAGCAGACGGCGCCTCGAACGAGAATTCATCGCGATGATGCTCGGTCATGTCCACTTCATCAAACAAGTTCCCGTCAAACTCATCGTCAAAGTCCGCCGACACTGACTCGCCTAAGTGCTCGGTACGAGTCCTCAAGACCTGATTCGGGCGGATTGGCGTCCTATGCGGCTCCCGCTTCACAAGTCCCGGCTCTCCCTGTGCAGGTAGTGCGAAGGTCGCATGCCGGTACAAGTTATCTTCCTCGAACTTGATGGGCTTAACCTTCATAGCTTGGACTTTCTTCAGGTACTCTTTGTCGTATAAGCAGTTACCGAGGACGTTTCCGAACGTGCGTAAAGAGCGTTTCAAGCCGTCTGTGGCTGCCTCCTTCTTTGCCTTCTCGAACGACGCAGCTTTGCCTTTCCCATTCTCGATGGAACCGTAGCCAATGTCCTGTCCAAGTTTAGCGTGTGCCAGCGACAGCGCAGTAGTTTGCTTACCTCGTGGTATGTGCCGTCCTTCAAAGTGATCCTCACTACTATCGAGAGACCGAGGCTGACTTTGCCATTCTGATGCTCATCGACCTGCTATGGTAAGTCTGTGCTCTTCTCCTCGGTTGTGTGTAATCGTACATAATCGATCTGCACCTGCCCCAGCGAGCTGGACCAGCCGTTGAACCCAAAAACCTCGTTTGCGAGGGCTATCGCCTTGTTCCCCTCCAGATACGCCACTTTGCCGCCACCATTTCCGGGTCTCTGCGATATGAATTCGGGGCCGAGTTGTTTATTTAGTCTGCTCTGCAGGGTGGCAATTTCCTGTGCTGTGAAGCCATTCACGACGCGTTCTTCGAACGGGTTCTTGACGTCGCCGCCGTGGTATTGGTCGCCTGGCCTGCGATTTTATTAGTCAATATATCCCATATGGCAAACAAGAGAAGGACTTTGTACATACGCAGGCATCGTCGTGTTATCAGTATGTCGAGTGCATAGGGCCCCGCTGGAGTGAGGTTAAGGCTTGGTGCCTGAGAATGACGCGTCTTGGTATGGAAAGAACGCGCGCGCATTGACCTCGTTCACCCGCACTCACGTGATGAACCATGGTATCCATCGATTGCAGCACTATAAAAACTAACGCGATTTGGATGGTATGTGCTAGTATTAAGCATAGTAGCTGTTTCTATTATGATACTCGTCCTAGGTCCCATAAATCGCATCATGGTAAATGTGTACTTCTACGCCGCAGACGCCTGCAATGCATGTCCGGTCAGTATCTAGCCCAGTACCTGTCCCCAAGGTATAATGATGCGCCGCAGAAATGCTCCAACTTGATCATGATCGTTCTTTTCTTCTGCCAAATTCGCTCCCCTCCGCCTCATCGTCGCTGTCGCCTCCTAGACTAAAGGTGGAATCATTCTGTGGCACCCGGTCTTTCTCATTCGACCTGACGTTCGAATGGCCGTTTGCTGAACTCTTTCCCTCATTAAGATCGTCGAGCTCCCTTTCGTCAAAATCTGCTGCCTCGAGATCCTGCCTTCGCTCTTTTCTCCTGAAATTATCGAGGCCCATACCAGTGAGCAGAGATTCGCGTCCCTCATCGCCATCATCACCCTTGTACCCACTGGCAGCACGTCGGTTACGCCAGAGGAAGAAGACCCAAAGACCCGCAACGATGATGACAACAACAAGTGCGACCTCTCCAGATCGGTAGTAGGCTTTCCATTCTGCCTGCTTGAGCTGCTTGGTCTTATCTTCCTCGGCTATGGTGGAGTTAGGGTGGCCGCCAACGCTGGTCATCGGGCCCTTCTCGCCATCAATTTGACTATCGGCTGGTTTCCCACCGATCGCGCCAATGTCGACCCCCATGAAGCGGTCTAGCATGTCTCGCGTACGCCTCGGGTAGTCGAAGGGAACCATGTGGCTGGAATTGTAAAAGACAACATAGGTGAGGTTTCGCGCCTCTTGCCAAGTGCCAGCAGCTTCTCCTTCGAACGTCCAATCCTGCTTAGCACTCAAGACACCCGGGGATACCTGGAAGCCCTTTCCTCCGTTCCAGCTCATGTTCTCGATCATCGCCTCGGTTCCTACGTGGTTGCAGATGAAATCCTTGTCGCCAGAGAAAAGAAGAACCGGGATTTGTTCAATGAGCTCGGGCATAAACTTGACGGCAGGTTCACTGTTCTTAGCACGGAAATGTCCAGAAACAGCTCCATTGCACTCTTGCCAACCAGTCTTCTTGTCGGGATTGATATGGAGAGCCTGAATAACCTCTGGTCGGCGAAGGTAGGGCGTGACGTCCTTGAGATCCGGTGGCCAGTTCATTCCACACGACGAGTCGTCTCGTAGTCGGATGTCGTACATGTTGACGCATTGGTTCATTGGGTCGGCCTCCTTATCCCTGGTCTCATCGAGAATCGCAACCATGATTTGCTCACACTCTGATGTGTCTATGTGTTCATGGCCGCCCTCGTTCAGCTTGGAGACACATATTCTCTGCTGATTCTCAACACGCCGGGCCATATCCGTATCAGCCCGCATGAGACCATTCTGGTAAGCAAAGGGTATGTAGGCGAGATATTGATCGACGGGCGATATCCAACCATTTCCGATGAGTAGACCCTTGAGTGCCCATGGTGTCTTCGACTGGTTGTTTTTATTTCGATTCAGTATTGCGCGTGCGATGTAAGGTATGTGCTGTCCAGCATATGATTCACCAGCGATGTATAGCTACGTTTTGTGAGTGAAGTCCCAAACACTTTCATGATCATAGTGACTCACATCATCGTGCTCGTATTCGGGGAACAGCGCAAACCACTTCTCCAAAAATATCATCATGTGGTCAGCCATTTGGTTGAGATCGGTAAGATAGCTGTCCGTATTGACATAGCTGAAGCCCGTTCCCACAGGCTGATCCACGAAGAGCAGGTTCGAGAACTCGTCCCACGAGCCATTGTTGTATTCCAGGTTGCCGCCTTCCCGTACTCTGTATGGTCCGACCTCCATCATCGCGCCGTCCATCGAGGAGCAGCCGGGTCCGCCATTCAACCATAGTACTGTCTCCACGGTGGATTAGCGGTGGGAGAGAAGGGTGGATCTAGGAGGTAACGTACTCGCTGTCGATCTGCAATGTGGCGATTCTCGTAGTGCCAGAAGAAGAGATTACCGTTGTGCTCCGCATCGACTTCGATGTGTCTGTCGCAAAGGTTTTAGTAACATACTCTCATCCTTATCAGAGAGACGTAGTTACCCTGCATGCATCTTCAATAACGGCTGTGGCGCCCCAGGTAACTCGTGAATAAAGTAGTCCGCCTGTGTTTTCTCTGCCGCGACACTCGGTATCCACGATAGTGTCGCCAACAGTCCTCCTACTAGCGCTGTCCGCCATCGCGACGAGGAAAATATGAGGGCCATGGTGATGCCGCGTACAGGGTCTGATGCCGGGGAGGATCCGGTGCGCTTTCACTATCGCATGGGCAGTCGTGAACGCAAGTGGACGGCTACAAGGCGGAAGTACTTCTAGCGCAGCGAAAGAAACGCCCTTTTGTACTGTAAGATCAAGGCGCTGGAGTTGCTAGATGTTCGGAGTTCGAAGGTGTGGATTAGGTGGCTCTTGCGGCGGCTGACGAGTCCAGTTGGGGTCCGAGCCAGGGGCAGTGGTGGTAAAGACAGGCACACGAGCGTTCCACAAGAGGGATGCTGTTAACAATCAAAATGAACGATAGACAAGCCAAAATCACAAAACGGACAAGTTCAGCATCCTCGATATAACAACAGCAGCCCTATTGAAGGCATCTTGGAGCTTTGTTCCTGCTGCGCCAAGCATTCGTTCGCGGGCGGGAGTGACCCAATCAGACCTCAAGCGCCCAGTCCGGCTACGTGAACCTCCGCGTCTCGAAGTCAGCTCCTTCGATCCACAACGGCGTTGCGTATTGGCTCTGACACGGTTAGAGCGTTACTCCATGCCTCAACCATGTATCATCCACTTCCTTAGGCCTCAGTCTTAAGGAGGGTGCAGGTCTAGAGCTTGACTACGCGTTCTTTGCAGTCCGCAGTCGTTTTGCATTCCAAGACACAGTGTGCACAATTATTATTGTGTGCGACTGGATTGTACAGTATTTCTGAATAGCAAAACAAAAGGCACATGTCTGTGAAGCCATCTTCGAACTTCTTTCCAGGCTGGCCGTCAGCAAGCCGCTGGATACAGTGGCCTTCAATCAGTATGTTTTCCGCAGTACCCAACTTGGACCTCGTTTCCCGTCCAGCATCACACCAGCTACCATTTTTAATACGCAACTTGCTATTCGAATTTCCAGAAGCAGAATGTCTAGAGCACTCGTCGAATGCTGTGTGCCACAGTGGCGCAGACCAATTTCATTGCATGGATGAGGCGCTATAAGATGATGTGCTCAGTGGCAGTGGACGAGCATTGTTTCTATAAGAGGTCGTCGAGGCTCTTTTCAGAGTCTTTGATGATCAACTCAAGCATGCCCTGTTTGATCTAGTAAGTATATTGCTTCTACTGAAAGACTGCATGTTCGAGGCACTTACCTTGGGCATAATCGGCTGTCCATCTCCACCCTTTACATAACGGAACGGCATTTCCGTGCTCTCGTTCTTGTTGATCTTTAGATCTGGGTTGTCGATGTATGGGATCTTGTCGACCGGTACTGCGTCTCGTCAGTATTTTACACCAGCATCACGCTTCGACACAGTCGACGTACCCCTGTCATGGACCACGATCCTTGTGACACGAACTGCCGTGTCGGTCGTCATCTGTACAGGCCCCAAACGACGCCCTTGGTAGCCCTTCTTGCGCAGCTCCGAGGTTCGATCTACATTAAGAATACGTCAGCCGACGAAAAGGAGCGTTTATCTGCCAACGAAGAGTCACGTACCACGAGGTGGATCATCTCCAAGAATTCCACCAAACAGGAAGATGTCAAAGGTATCACCGTCCTCTGGGCTCAGGTCCTTGGAGGCGGCGGGGTCGAGCAGACATACCCTGTCCTTCTTATCGGCGTAAATCTCCTCGATGCCCCTCGTCTCGACATTGAGGCCATTTGCTCCCTGAAGATTTGATGGTAGCTTCAAAGAGGTGGGTACTGATGAAAGAAGAAACTGTGCGCCCGAAGCGTAAGACTCAGAGGCGATGGTGAGGTACTCCAGCGAGGACCACTGCTCCAACTCTGGGTCCAGATGTTCTACCACAAAGGTTTTCCCCGAGTTGGCCATCTTGGTGCTGTGTAGCGGAAGGTGCTGCCGGCGTGCTTTCTTCTTGGTGTGGAAGACCAGGTGCACGGTTAAACGAATCAGAGCGACTGTGGGTCTTTTCGGATCTTCAGTTGCTTTTTTTCTTCCTTTTTTTGCAGCGGGTTCACCTGGGTTCTGGCAATGTTTGGTCGAATGCAAGGAGCGTGCAGTAGTGATTCGCTAGGCGGAGCATGTGGTGTGGAAAATTGCCCGTCAAGGTTTGGCGAAGAGCGAGGCTAGTTGATCGGAGCTAGGACGCAGCCTATGAGGGTGAAGCACGCCCGAGGTTGTAAAGTAAGTGTAGCGTTTGGAGCAAGGAAGATGGCCAGCCACTGAAGTTTGGTGAGAAGAGCAGCCCGTTCCTCTTCCCTCCATGTCTGTCGTAGTCTATAGAATGAGCAATATTGTGTAAAGTCGAACCAAAACCGCTGCGAGGCTTGTTCCATGTGACGACGGCGTGCGGTGAAGACCACAACACTCCCTGGGTTGGCCCTGGCGATCTAGCGGTCTTGGGAGGCCAATGATTAGTGCGTGTGATGCTGGGAGGTATCTGAGTCTGGTAAAGTCGACGATAATCCCGTCCAACGTCTTGCATCCCGCCAGTACTCTCGTGCAGGTTGACCACGGCCGTGACTCTAGCAGGATCGGCTTCTGCTGCCCGTTCCTTGTGTTCCCCGAGTCAATTAAGTTGTCGAATTAGCCACGGCTAGGTAATTGCTGCTGTCAGTCCACTCGCCGTCTGCTACATATTCGCTACATGTCCATTACCCCTCCCTCCTTAGCTATTGACTTGGCTCGTTGCGGCAGCGACCCAAACGAGGCCAATTGACTACAAGACGACGGCACCCGCTGACCAAACCTTCTGCCCTCAGCTCTACTTTTTTTATTTGTTTCGACGCACCCACTCGACCCTCGTATATTCTCAGCACCAGCTGCAAATTGCTAAGCGTTGCTGCCCTCTTGCCTTCTTGCAGCGTCCCGAGCAGTCGGCACATCGGACGATCCAGGCTTATCGCATGCATACAGGATAGAGGGGCATCCTCCCACTCGACGCGAAAGCAGCCGATCCACCACCACCACCAAAACACGCAACAGAATACCAGAGTCCCAGCACGTCGTCGACAGGCTGTCTTGTCAGGCAGCAGCAGCAGCGAGACACGCCCGAGCTCCGTCGACACCCAATCGCCAGCGCTGGAAGCCGGAGCCGAATCCATCACGCACCAATTCACCCTGTCCTTGTCACGTACCTGCCCAAGCTGGTCAGCGCGAGCCAACGACACGCAACTTTTAAACGAGCCGTGACCCGGGACCCTTTACCCTAGCTGCCGCAGAACAAAGAATAAACACAACACTCCTCCGCCCTCTCGCGATAAACTGCCCCTTTGAACAGCGTCCTTCGCATTGCCATCTCTACCACCGCCATCATGAATCCACACCAGCAGAACAAGGTGGACATCAACGTACGTCATTGGCGGCCCATGCGCAACTGTCTTGCTCCCTGACATGTTGTCTTGGGCGTGCAATAACAAGCTCGGAGAAGCTCCATTCTGACGTGCTGGCACAGAAAATGTCCCCGGACGAGGCCCGCCTCTTCCGCCTCTATGGCAAGCTCCCCAATAAGAAGGACTTGCTCCAGAACAAGCTCAAGGTACGCTCTAGACGCAGTCAGAATCCATCACGCGAGCCTAAACACTAACCTCAAGCCCACAGGAGCGCAAGTACTTCGATAGCGGCGACTACGCTCTCTCCAAAGCCGGCAAGGCATCAGATGTCGGCGTCACTCAAGTCGGCCGCGAGCACCCCAACCCCGATAAAATCCCTCATATCGCTCCACCCACGCCAACCGGACAGGTTGTACAGAATGGTAATAGCCAAGAGGTGGCAGGAAGCCCGGTCAAGGAGAGCACTTTTCTACATCGCGAGACGAGCTTGAACCGCGAGACCTCGGCGTCAGACTTTGAGAACGAGGGGCTGCAGCTAGGGTCACAGGAGGGCCCTGCAAAGGTATAGATGCTACGCATCCGTCATTGAACCTTGCAGGCTACCTTTCTTGTTCCCCGTGCGAACTGGGATCATGGTGCCCAAAATGTAGATTGTTGCACTCTCACACGGCCTGTTCACTGCGGATACTGCGGGTTACGGAGTCTGTTACGGCGTTTGGGAGAGCTATCGCTTGTCTTGATGGCCAGCGCTCGGGGTTATGTTCTGGAACACGTCGCCTAACAACGGCTGAATTCCTTTGAGTACGGAAATGTTGGACAGGAAAACGTGATTCACTTCGTGTGTAGTACTTTTACAACGAACAGCGTTAGGGTTGCTTGGAGGCAGTCTAGTCACATTTCGATTTTCACGGCCGGAAGCGTGTACGGGTATGTGAGCACAGGATGTCACAGTGTTTAGCTATGCACAGATATCACATCAATTTTCGACCTCTACAGCTTCCAGTCCAACTTGGAAACTATTTGTACTTTCCTAGCAACGCTATGGTGTTTGTAGCAGAGAACCGTCTCCGAATCCATTGGTTCTGTTACGCTCCATGGGTAAAGTTGGGAAATAGAGCATCATCTGCGAAATAAAATCCAATAAACTTGAAGATCCAGAGGATGTAATATCAAGAGGATTTTCAGCCTCTCTGCCGTGGCTCTGGATAGGCTGCAGCCTGAAGAATAAGGAACTAGGTGAGATGTTCAAAGAGGACACTTGAGTCGTGATAGAAGCTGGAAGCACTTTTGGGTGGCGCTTTCCTCTTGGAGCTAGCTCCATTACGACGGTTCATAGACCCTAGCCAAACAGCAACTCTCAATCATACACTCTGGCTCATACGATCACCTTATAAGTCTTCTCATGACTAGGTCAATGTCACTCATTCGTAAACTATGACTATGACGTGCGCTGCTAACTCCCGTTCTCCACATCTACCCGCAGACTCACCTGTCATCTAGAAAAGCGTACTGACGCAATCGCACAGCATAGCACTCGTATCCTTTTGACTTGAAACGATAGCGTACACTTTCTCCGCTCATTTGCTATAAATATAGCCGTAAGTTGGTCTTTGAATGGTAAATCAAGGCTGAAGAGGCAGTGCATGCAGGTGCTTACTGCTGGAACCTGCGATGCTCCTCATGCTCAACCCACTAACTGCACTTGGATGGCCTGCAAAGACATACTATACAGCTCTGCCAGCACATCATGAAGTAGTTCATTTCTATCCTATCGATATCTGCCTCTTTGCTTCTGCCACGCGCTTTTACCGTTGCCTAAGGCCTTCAACGATCGCTTCACAGCCTCATCCTTCACGCTCAGACCAACTAACAGGGAATATCCCAACTCCGCATCCAGCGCGCCTGACTTGGTAAAGAGCAGGATTTCTATTGTTTAGACAGTGTAGAGTCGCAAACCAACTACATTATTCCATTTGGTGACCTCGCTCACCGTTCGCTCGCTACAACTATACTACCATGTTGTCAAACTGCCATGTCTGCGAGCATCGCAATGAGGCTGTTGCTGCCTGGCCTTCAGCACCATCCCAACTCAATGTGTGCATTGTCACACTCAGATTCAAGATACCTATCACCCAGACACGGACGCATTTACTCATCGCGCTCAACACACTACTGAACAACATCATTGATAACGAAGAATCAACGCCACACCCCTCAACATTCACGGTGTGGTCACCGTGTCTGTCCGATCCGAGGACTGTCGTCATTGTCACAACGACTAGCGACGTGTGCTCGACAGCGACATCGCCCATTTTCAATGCCGTAAGAGAACATCTGTCTAGACCACCGAGTGTGCAACATGTGTACCTCGACCTGGCTGTTCTTTCGCTCGCTGCTGCGTCACCAGAACAACGAGTGTCCTGCGATATCATAACGTTACAAGCTCCAAGCCCCACTGTGGCATCTGCCATCGGCAAACACTTCGGCTGGGACCCTAAACGCTCATGCCTCTCCTCACGGCTACAGAGACCAACAGTCGCCTTCAGCCGACCTGGTGACCTGATCCGCGACTTCTGGGCATGGGCAGAAGTCAGTCCTAGCGGATCACGGTCACCCTCTACTTCTATAGGATCGAGCTCATTCAGCTCACCATCGCTCATGAGTCTCCACTCTGACCATTACAACATGTCATGCTCAACACCCGAAAATGGGGAGCAACTGGAGGATGTGGATAAGGAGACGCTCATAACGATCTTCCAATGGACTAGCCGCGCCGATGCGGACCGGTTCAAGGACCACAGTCAAAAAAGTTACGGTCCCAATGGCGAAGAGGTCAGAAGGGACTTGTGGGATACCGAGTTTGCGCATCCGCTCGCTCATTTGCAGCGCCTCGGAGCAAAAGTCGACACGTACAAGTTGGAGTTGAGAGCCGTCGAACCAAGGTTCCGCAATGGAGTAGATGCTAGCCCGCAGAAAGATGTGCGAGAGAAGCGCAGGAGTAAGAGGCTGAGCGTCATTGCATTTGAGTTTGGTGAAAGGGTTAGTGGACTGTGGAAGTGAAATATCATGTATATAGTCTTCCTGTTCGAAGAGCTGAATAGGGATATACTGGAGTCATGCATCTCCATTGATTTGTGTCACTCCAATAGTAGTAATGAAGTAACGCTATAACATGTACATGGTGCTAGCAAAGGAATAGCAGGTCGCCATCTCGATTCATGATCTGCAGACATACACGTATCGACCCACATCAGACGCTCCGCCTTGACAATGGCATACGACGACATTCCTATAAGACGGAGTCCGTCGGCGCTCTGGCTCGCACGGAGCATCGCAAGGCGCACCAGAGACGCCAATCGCACCCTACTCTGCTATACAGTCCAACCCCATTAGGGGTGCGACAACCTCAGAACCGTCGTAGTGGATGCCTTTTCGCTTCTACATGTATGTCGCGTGCGTAAAGCCGGAGATGCATTGATGCTGTCTTCACATCCTCGTCGCACAGCCCTCGAGCTTTCCATGTACCGGTAGCCAATCATAGATAGTTGCGAACCTCGCCACATGGTAGAGCATCGCCACATCCGCCCGACTCTATTATTGGAATTGGCTAAGCAGCCACGTATTGAAGGTTGTCGGACACGCCGTAGCTGGACTATCAATGCGCTGTACTGGTTTTCATTCAATCTGGAAACTTGGCGAAGCGGGAGTGGGCGATTATGCTGCCGGGTAAGTAGGATTGCGGCTCATGCCTGGGAGCATAGAAGCTGTGCCCCTAGGGCCGTCTGTGCCACCACGCCAGAATAATGACTGTAAAATTGCGTGGAGGTGTGCGTGCTGTATTACTAGAACGCGTATGCGGAGGCGAGGTGGCGAATGTATAAGATTGATTAAGGACCCTAAAGCTGGTGACATAACGTCCAGTGTGCTTTGTAATGGCAAACTCGCAAGTATACAGTGTGTATACCGATTACACTCCTCAGCAATGGGTAGACCCGCAATCTTTCCAACGTGCCTTGACAGAGAAAACCGAGAGAAAGGTCGACAGTCGCGATCTTGTTCAGGGCCGAATCTTTTGGTTGCCGTCCAAGGAGGAGCTGCCAGATCGTGCTGTAAAGCGAGCTCATGGGAAAGGGGGTGCCATTGAGGAAGGCATATACAACCATCCGGTGGTCGTAATATCAAGGCCAGCGGAAGAACGTCGTACGGTCCATTTTCATCTCGTAAGTAGTGTCGTCATGAATCTCAGAATTGTCATTGATGGTTTCCAGATAACCTCGCTACAAGGCAAGAAGCTCGATCAACTGTACAACAAGACGAAGGAATTCCATGTCAGCCGACGCTCCTGGTATTTGCCAATAGCACCGACACCAGATCATCCAGATGCCATATCGAAGAAGACGAAAAAGCGATTCCCAACTCTTAAACTAGCGGGTGGTGCATCTTTACGATGGGACTCGTATGTGAACATTCGGCACGTCTACAAGATCGAATGGTCGCTCTTGAAAGCATACGGAAATCCAGAAACACCGAACACGCAGCTCTACCGATTCGAACGAGAGTCTTCGATCAGACTACTAGCCAAGAGTAAGATCCTTACCATGTATGAGCCCGGTCCGCAACTACAAAGCACGGTTTTGAAGAGATCAATATCGGAGCCAATACGAGTATCGACACATATTACCCAAACAGTCGAAGAAGATCGTCAAGAAGTCAGATCGAGGTCTTCAGACAGGGCATCTCTCGCTTCAATAGTGTACTCAGCGACATCTAGCCCTCCTTGGTCGGATTTTCAAAGGCAAGATATTGAACGCAGTACGATACCTGATCCACTGCCGAAAGTTCCCCCAGATAGAGTAAAAAAGACCATTGCGATGCCTTTCATTCCGCAAGTCATAAGGGGGCCTTGGGATAGGTTTGTCATAGGTGTAAATCATCATATGCTGCCAATTGACGGACCAAAGCCTGTAGCGATATCGTTCGATGTAACCAACATGAGAGGTTCAGTCGATGGGTTTTGGGTTGGTGTAAAGGGTGTAATGGCAGTTGCCATAGCTTCGATGTAGATATTATACAAATAATACTAAGGTTCCATCGTTGGTTCAGCCGGTCTTTCAGTTTTTAGGAACTGCAATAGCCTCTCTGTAAGTGTTGATCCAGTTTAAAGTCCGTGGCACCCGTTCCGATACCGCAGATGCTTTTTTCGCGTTTCCAAGATCGTCGTTGTAGTTTTGAAGCGTCTCATCAAATTCCGTACGTCCTCCAAGTAAAGTTTCCTGCGCCAGGATTGTCCGGATGAACACCCATAAAGATTCATGCTCAAGCCGCAAATTGATCGCATAGCTTAAAATGTCTCTCACCAGGCCTTGTCTCTTTGACACAGGATGTAACCTTGGTAGCAAGGAAAGAAGAAAAGACCAACCCGATATGTCACTCGGGTGTCTGCAGCACCAGTCTTTGACATGACGAGCAAACTCGTCATTCGTTTCAGGACTAACAATTTTTGGCATAAGCCTTCGAGCGTACTGCCAGGCGTAATAGTTCTTAGGATGCTGCTCCCCCGACTTGCACACAGCGGTGAGCTCGGCGCGCCAAAAGGTTGCCTTTTGATCTTCGGATGCTTTCTCTAATTCGACAGACGCAAGTAGATCGAGCAACCATAAGCGGTGATACCACAGAGTTGGAGACTTGGACTGGCGATGGAGAGGGGACGTGAGAATGCTGTTCAAGAAACAGAGCTCCTGTCGCAATGCTTTATGGTAGACTGCTGGGTTGTACGATTTAAACTCGGCTTCAAGTGCACCGAGCCAACCTTTGCGGAAATTCGCAGCCGTGAGGTGCTCCGGGTCAAAGAGAAGCATCACTTTTGTTGCTTGCAGAGCTGATGAAGCCAACTTGCTATCATGCATGCCCTCGAAGAACCGGTGTCGAGCTTCCACGTAAGCTAGAGCGAGTGTTTTCTTCGGGACTCCCAAGTTCAGACCATCTTGCATCAGTATGCCACCTAATGGCTCAATCGCAGGAGGAAGTATCTCGATCTCAACAACCTCGTCCTCATGCGCTTGGAAGTACTGGCTCAACGTTTCGTATGATAGTAGTTGCAGCTTTGCTCGCCCGGGACCAGCAGAAACCATCATGAGAAATCTAAGAGGTAAAACAATAAGATGTGGTTGCTCAGGTGTCGGGTTCTGCGGGTGGGGAACTTGGTCGGGAAAGCACGAGCCACATTACTAGCTCTACTGTTGATGCCAAATTCACCATATGACATAAGAGCCCGACTCGACACCACCATGCGATGAGAATACCCCACACCACGACCCTCTCTCTCGTCTCGCAGCCATGCCGTCTCTACTCCTCGTAGTATTCACCTTGCAGCTGCTGCTCCACATTATCAACACGGTGGGCGCAAGCACAGTGAACGAGCTGGTAAGCCCCGCATCCAGTGCGAACGCACAAGAAGTATAATACTAATGTTTACAGCTATGGATCCTCTACAACAAGCTCCCAACGCCTACTTCTGGGTCTGCGAAGAAAGTGCAAGCTCTCAAGAAGGAGGTTGTACGCTTGAAGCGCGAACTAGGGAACACGTCACCACAAGACAACTTCTCGAAATGGGCGAAGCTAGACAGGCAGCATAACAAGGCTATGGCTGAGTATCAGAAACTAGGTATGTCATGTCGCCCCCTTCCTCTCCCCTCCTCAAGCCCTTTTATACTATACTAACGTGGAGATTACGCAGAGGGCTCCCTCCGTACGCATCAAGCAACCTTCACCTCGGCCGTTTCGACCCTCCGCTGGGTTGGCACACAAGGCTTGCGCTTCGTCCTACAATTCTGGTTTGCCAAGTCGCCCATGTTCTGGCTGCCTGCGGGCTGGGTACCATATTATGTGGAGTGGATCCTGAGTTTCCCGCGAGCGCCGCTAGGGAGCGTGAGCATCAATGTCTGGGGCGTTGCGTGCGCGAGCATGATTGCGCTGACAGCAGAGGCATTGGCGGCGGCGTGGGTGCTTGTGACGAAGCAACCGATGCCTGTAACAGCGGAGAAGCAGAGGGAGAAGGAGGACGCTATGGCTTTCAAAGCAAACCAGAGACCCGCTGAGAAGAAAGAGCTGTAACAGCAGCGGCTGCACATATCACGAGTAGCATAGAAATAAATAACACATTGAATCCCGTGCGACATAGTCGATTGAGATTGGTGTGTATGTCTCCCAACAGTAAGACGCAAAGTCGTCGTGGCTTTCGCTCAGACACTGCAACACGAGTGGGATGACCTTGGCAGGTCGTAGGGCTTCTTCTAGGCTACAAATTGAACTCGTGATCGTGGAGGAGTAGCGATTCGCCGAGTCTTCGAAAGAGCCAGTCTCTATGTAATTACAACAGACCTCGCTTGACGCTTCGACACAGCTCACATTTAGCTGCTCGCGTTCAGACTGAGGGTTGCAGGTTGCACTTTGCGGATGTAGAAAGCTGAGATTTAATAGAGGAAGAAAAAGCAAGTAGGCTAGGGTTTACGGGCCTATGATGAGCCGATGCAGCCTTTCCTCATTGGGATGCTTCACTTCCCTCTACCACAACGTCTTGTCTCGTGAGTTAGATGAGAGTGCACCATGGGGTTTATTTCGGTACTTGTTAGAGTCTGAATATCCTCGTGAACTGTATATTCAGCTTAGTCTGTACTGGCTCTACAATGAACGCGACGAGACTTCGAGTCCTCGAAATAGATCCAAAGTAAAGGCGATACTTGAGCAACTCTCACATGCACGTAGCAGCCAACTCGGTTTTCCTCTAGGATATATTGACATTGATGGCGAGACGTATGGAGTGTAGTTCTTCCGTCTCGATGTTAAGAGCGAAGGTTCGCTTTACAAAGAGTGTATTGTAACAAGCGCATCGTTAGTAAAGCCTCGAATACTGTAAGCAGCGGGGACTGCGTCCGTGTCCTTGGTTGACAATGGCAGTAGACAGAGTCTCACATTGCCATGCAATGATGCTCTCTTGAGGAAAACTCGCTTCGAGGTAAGACGAGAACGTATATATACGTAACCGTCGTAACGTGACGTTATTGACTCGCCGCCTCGGGAGGCATGTCTGCCGAGGAAGAATGAACGTGGGCCTTTTCGCCGCAAAACGCCCGGATGACATGGATGGTAGTGTTCGTCCGTCGAAAAGCTGGAGGCCCGCAACAAGGCGCTCTTTGAGGCTCTGTCGCCTTGTTGTTCGCATGACCTACCGCACAGAACCGCCTCGACGGCTCCTAAGGCTGTTAGCGCTCGCCAGCCCCAGACGGGCGTTGATGTCAGTCTGGGGTTGAGATGCACATGTGGTTGCGCGAAATTAGTTTTTCTCGCCTTGCTAACCCCGTTGAGCGACTGCAAGGGATCGCAACATTGGGCCGCGAATGAGGCGCCTGGGGGAATATGGAGGCCGCGGCGAATTGCTCGGGGCTGGCCAGAGTAAGTCGAACGCCTTTGCTAAAAGACCTGGTCGTCGCCATCGCTGCGCTGGGACGGGCAGATGAGACTTGGATGCGAGACCTCCAAGACTCGAGCGCACCCGTCTGTCAGACTCCACGGCGTAGCTGGGATCAAGGAAATCAATCGCATTGCCTCCGTAACCGGCAAGGCGAGGCCAGTCAACTGGTACGACAGCCGGGGTCTCGGTGAGATTCAGCCGGGAGTGGAGTGCAACTGTCTTTGGTGACGCAGTGGCGTTTTCTCCACATGGTCCAACGCTCCCTCTCTCTCCAATAACATTACACGCATTCTCCCCCGGCCCAACACGTCCCCATATCGATCGCCAGCTTGCGGCGCTCGCACAATGCTAACTCCACCGCGCTCGCCGTCTGCTCGTCGGCAGCTAAACAGTGCGGTATTTCTGGGGTTGGCAGACCCTTCACCGCATCTGCCCGCTGGCCTGCATTGCATGTATATGGTGCATATTAACGCAGCTGCCGCCCGTTCCCCTATCAGTCATCAGTCGCTTTGACACTCTCCACACAGGTGTTGCTGGATACTCGACCACGTCGACGCGCCTAGCGCCAGATAATGCTGTGGCCTGAGTACGAGATACCAGGACGTCCACGACCGCAATAGACCTTGGATCATGGTCATTAGTACATGGCATATAGCTCAGCGCACGAGATGGCCATGACCGACCCCAATGACCACTTCCCGACGAGAGGCCCTGTCGTGATCGGTGTTTCGGCCGCAATACTCGCCATAAGCTCGATATTCGTTGGCTTCCGGCTGATCTCGCGGTTCGCCGTGGTACGAAAACCAGGATGGGATGACTATACAATGATAGTAGCTTGGATGCTAGCATTTGGAGCTTCCTTCTCCATATGCTATGGCGCGACAAAGGGGCTGGGACGGCGGCAGGAGAACATACCGTCAGAATGGCTGCCGCCGATGATGCAGTCTGCCTATGTCTTCTCAGTACTATACGTACGTTTGGGCGAATGTGCAAGCTTTTGGTCTACGCTAATTTATTGCAGAACCCTGCCCTGATGGCGACCAAGACTTCGATTCTCCTCTTCTACCTAACATTGTCGAAGACCCAGAAAGTGTTTCGCTGGGCCACCATTGCAACTCTGATCGTTGTCAATGTAGGTGGACTAGCCTTGACTATCCTCAACATCCTCCAATGTCGACCCGTCAATGCAGCCTGGGCTTCGCATGTTCCAAGCTCCGCCTCTTGTACGAACATCGTCACCATTTATCTTTCCTCGGCGCCCCTTAACATTATCACGGACTTGGCTATTTTCTTCTTGCCCATGCCCATCCTTACCAGCATGCGGCTGCCAAAGAAGCAGAAGATTATCTTGGTCATTACTTTCGGCTTTGGAATCTTCGTCGCCGCTGTGGATGTCGTGCGCATTGCATATCTTCAGGACGCTCAACGCGAGACGCTCAACACCGCCGCATCACAAAAGTCTGTGACTGGAAACGAGCAAAGAAATACAGGCGACTTCGCGTGGTACGCATCGCTGTCTTACATGTGGAGCGCTGTGGAAATCAACATGGGCATAATGTGCGGCTGCGTCCCTGCACTGAAGCCGTTGGTCAGGAGGTTCCTCCCAAGTTGGATCATCGATCACTCCACTATGCGCGACCGTACAGCAACTCATACAAGTGATGAGCCGGTACTTCATGTTGACATGCTTGATTCTCGGCAGCGATCGGATCCATCGACACCACCTGCATCTCCAATCAGCAAACCTCCTCCAGCGCGAGGAGGAGGCGGCGGCGACGACGATCATTTGGGTATGATGGACTTCCTCACAACTCCCGACATGAACGAGATGCCGCAACTGAGACCTTCAAATACCACTGTTACGTATGCTACGACAGGGCGCACTCGGCGCCAATCAGCGACCTTCTTCGATTTCGTAGACACAGGGCAGAAGAAGAACATTACTCTTCGAAGCAATCGGGAGTCTGTTTACCCTGTTCTGATGGTTACCATACTATTCTTTGTCTGGGGCTTCGCTTATGGTTTCCTGGACGTGCTCAACTCTCGCTTCCAGGAGGTTGCTCGCATGAGTGACTGGCAGACAGTCGGTCAGCACAGTGCATACTACGTCGGCTACATCATTGGGCCTCTGACCTTTGGACGCATCGTGTTCCGGACCTGGGGTTTCAAAGCCTGCTATATGGTCGGTCTATCAATATACGCCTGTGGAACTCTAATCTTCTGGCCCTCTGCCGTTCTCAACTCATTTCCCGCATTCTTGATATCGAACTTTATTACAGGCGCCGGTCTGTCTACCCTGGAGCTTAGCGCCAATCCCTTCATAGCGCTTTGTGGACCTCCTGAGTATGCCGAAGTGCGACTGAATCTTTCGCAGGCTGTGCAGGCGATTGGCACAATCGTTTCTCCACTTTTGGCAAAGAAAGTCTTGTTCCCCCCTAATACCGAAAACCTGATTGACGTCCAATGGACCTATCTCGGAATTTCATTCTTCAACATCGCCCTCGCAATCATTTACTTTTACGTGCCTCTTCCCGAGGCCACTGACGAAGAGCTCGAAATGGCCAGCCAACGCACTGTGCCCCTCGCGCGCGAGGCTACAATCAACATTGGTAGTAAACCCGTCAAAGCTCTCTGGATAAGTCTTGGATTGGCGGTTTTCTCGCAATTCTGCTACGTTGGCGGTCAAGAATCTACGTCGACCTCCTATGCAGACTATATCCAACGAATCAGACCATCTACCGATCATGTTGCACAGCAAGCATATGGCCACACTGCATTCGCTGTCTCTCGGTTCTTGGCTGCAGCGATCGATATTTGGGTCAAGCCGCGCTTCAGCTTATTATTCTTTTACCTTGGTGCCGTTGCCTTCTCAGCGGCAGCAATGAAAGCTACGGGATCAGCCGGCACTGCCATCATCATCATGGTCATGTTCTTCCAAGGCCCGTTGTTTCCACAGATCTTCACTCAGGGTATTCGCGGTATGGGTAAGCACACGAAGGACGCCTCAGTGCTGCTCACGGCAGCCATCGGCGGTGGAGCGGTGTTCCCGCCAATCATGTTCGCGGCGCTCAAGATTCACAACGCACAATATGCCTTCTGTGTCATCGTCGCAGCATATGCCGCTGGGTCTCTCTACCCTATAGGTCTGAATGCGGTCCCCGCACTAAAAAAGCTTTCCGATCCCGTACGTGACGAACAAGCGAGAGGACAATCAGAGGCAGAAGAGAAGATAAGAGCGTCAATGGGGGATCAGAAGGAGAAGCGATGGAGTAAGATGCCGGGAAGGGTTAACCGGCGTAAAGAAAAGGACCAATTACCCTCTGTCGAGCACAGAGAGCGGCAAAGTTGGCCTGAAGGTCTGGAGCCGCGGAGTGGAGGTGGAAGCCTGACGATTGAACCGGTGCGTATACGTACGCCGAGCCCGTCGAGTAGCTCGAGCGGCAGGTGACGACGTTGTTAGCATCCCTTATAGGCATGTATGTGATTTTAATCTTTCGACTGCATTGCGTTATGGCGTTTCGGGAGATACCATGGGTGGTTATTTGTGCTTTTGGGGGGCTTTGCACATCTTTTTACTATACTACTAAGGTATGCTGTATCTGTACAAATTTCGGTTCGACCGACTTATATAGCTCGTTGCACAATTAGTCAATCAGGAATATTATTTAGTGAGTACCTGCCATTAATAACATCTTCATCCAAGTATACACATATGGCAGATAGCAGTCAATATGCAAGCAATGTTGTCATTTATGTAGCCTTGCCTAGGCAGCCAACCCACGTGCTAGGCATCCACAAACATATCGCAAGATTGATAGAAATAGACTAGACCTCATCCGTGGTTAGAAGGAAATGACTACACGTGTCTCATAAGTCATGGTTCATCACTACACCTCCCAAACTCAACCTTAAACGTCGGCGTCAAACGTATCGCTATATTCAATACTCTGCCGAAAGATCTAGTTAACTACACCTCGAATTCTCCCTTGATACTTGAATGCATAACTGTATCGGCTTTATAGCAGATATATCTCCTAAGGTCTTCACTGACATATGCTCTTCGTTGCGTGTAATGGTAAAGGAGGCTGTGAACAAGAGTATCATAGGATCACGTCCAAACATCTACTAGGCTGCAACTCACGTACTTCCTCTCGAGCCATATCAACCCTGGTAGAGGTCAGACAAAGATATAACTCCTAATGCACATTCTCTATATAAATAACTCTTGTAGCTAACGGGCTGTCTAATTGAGTACAAAGTAAGTAGATTAATTAGATTACCACTAAGAAATTCTGAAACCTAAAGATTAGACTATATACTATAAGCTAATATACAAATAGTTAAGTTAGTTCTACTACTAAAACTTTGGTATTGTTTTTACTTTTAACCGTAATGTTTTTACCATAAAATAATATATATACCTTTAAAAAACGTTTAATTATAGCTTATAGTTTAGGCAATTAAATAAGATGATATTTTTTTATTCCTCTTGCAAGTAATGCGCCTTGTGCTAAAGACGATGGAGTCTAGGCTAACAGTAGTTTAGGTCTACCTTGCGGTGGATTTTGGATCAGGAGTGATCAAACTTGCTGAGGTCTGACAAAAACCAGTAACACCTTCGCCGGTCAAATTTCCCTCTTTCAACATTAATTGCAAAAGCACTAAGCTCTCTGGCGGAATTATTGCGGCAATTGTGTCCGACGTTATAGTAAACGTCGCACTGCTCTCGGCCACTGGCTGTTATCTACGAAGACGAAGAAGATAGCAACGCATTGAGCAGGCAAGCAAAGAGGTACAACGCAGCCCGGCCCCCTCACCAATCCGGTTATCAGCTGTCGCCATGAGTGCCACGGCCGGCTCTCCGTTGAGTCCAGAATTATCCGGCGATAGAAGAACTTCTGAGCTCTGGTCTCCTCATGGAGGCCACCCACCATCTTCACCACGTGCTCCATACACTGTGCCAGGACCTTCGTCGCCTCGATATTCCACGACACCTCAATCATCGACAGCGTCACATAATTCTCATCCGACGTACGCGAGGAACGTTTGAGTTGGCCCTATTCGCAAGAATTCTCTGTTCGCTTACCTATCTTCTGGAGGTCTTTTCTTAATTGTTGTGGGAGGAGTGGTGAAAGAGAGCTAGTAATCGCTAGACAATAGAAAGAACTTGGTTGGCATTGGCTATCTTTGTATAAAATGGGAAGACATGCGACAGACTGTGTAAGGAATGACAACACGCTCAACTAGCAGATCATCCAGGAAAACCCCTTCAATAAATCGTCCTCATGAGGATCGCTGCCTGAATGGCCGTGGAAGCCGCGAGCAGACCACCACCGATTCCCAATCCAAGTTTGCCATCACCAGTGCTTATACCAATGACTAGACCCACTACAAGAGCGGCGACGAGAGCGAGAGCGAGCCAGATGCACGCCGCGTGCCCGTCGATAGCATAATCGAGGCCCCATGCCTTGGTGTGTCCTTCTTCATCGTTCCTCACACCACTGATGAGCTGTACATAGAGGGTATGCGTCGTTGGGATGGGCGTCGCGGGGTTGAACAGGACGTTCGTCATCATGTCGTGCCTCTTTTTCTCCCCCACGTACCCAGTAGGTATGATCTGGGCTTTGCCAGTTTCAAGCTATACAGTGTTATCAGGCGGCTAGACTAATGTAGGTTGGATGCCAACGTACTGGCGCTTCGAGGAGGCGGACGGTACCGATACTGAGCTTGCGCATGGCTAGGGTATGTAGGGCTCGTTTGGCTTTCTTAGAATTGGTTGCGCGCTCCAAAGACTTGATGCGGTCGACGATTGCGGTATTGTTATCTCCTTCATTGATAGGAATTTGACAGAATTGGAAGTTATTGTCGTCCCTCGAGACAAGGAATGGGATCATTGAAGTGTATTTCTGTGCAGCTGACATGACGAAGTCGAATCAAGCAGCGTGATAAGGTACGGTGCTGGTGGGTTGATTTGTGTATGTGAACCATGGTTGAGAAGTAGAGTATCTAACTTGGTGGTGTTTGTTGTGTTGCGAGAGCGCACACCCTGTGCGGAAGTTGTGTTGGTAACGTTCGAACAGTCTTCACCTATTCTCGCTTGCAACATACATTCTGGACGTAACAATCAAATTCATGAAGTCTCATAGAGGAGCAAAGAGTGCAAGAAAAGCAGTCAACTAGGCCTTGATGACCGCGCTCGTCATAAGAGCCTTTGACCTAGCCTGGCTGTTGCACCTGCAAGCAGGGCACCACAGAACGTCAATTTGACTGGAAGTTGCCTGCTTTTCAAGCATTGGTAAGGAGGCGCAGAGGTTCTGCGTTTTCGCGCTGTGGCGTTGCGGTGTTGAAAGCGCAAGAGCTGTGCGCTTCCACTATGGCCCCGCGCAGCTCACTCACAGTACTTGTACGTTTGGACCGCTGCCAAAACTTCTACAAACCAAACCACACTCTTGCAGCCGCAGGCCATTTCAGACACAACTGATTTACTCTTGAAATATAATTTTCTCCCGCGTAATTGCTCCCTTGATAACTGACCATACGCCCGCGTGCTGAGATAGACCTGCAAATGGGCTTCCCTCATGCCCACACCACTGGGAGCCATGCGAATCCCTTTCGCGGAGTCCCAAAAGAAGCTGGTCGAATTTCACCGGACTACGATGCACAATCACTAGGCACGTTTGAAAAACTTAGTCTTCGTGAATGTGGGGCCTGGGTCAACGATGTAAACCCACATCGACAAGAGAAGGAAGCCGGAGATCCTTTCGGATCACCCTCTTCTCCTCCAGGACTCTCCATTTGCCATTCACCAAGTGAGCATATATTCGAGGTACCCACCGGGCTCAACCGACTACCTCTCCCTCCATCGATGCTCAGCGATGCAGTAGTGAGCACTGACTTGGGACCGGATGTCCTGGAAACCGCCCAACACCCGCAGAGTTTCCATTTGTCTGAGACTGATAACGTCAGTCTTTGGGATGATTCTGAGGAAATCTTCAACTTCCAACTCGATGAATTGCCGCATAGCATCTACGGTAGCTACGGCGACATTGGCGTGAACGAACTGGCTTCCAAAGAGAGTGCCAGCGGCAGAGACTTATTGAGAGAGAAGGACACGTCAAATATTGCACCAGATTTATTCATCGCAGCATCCAAGATAATACCGACCATGACGCCGACGTACAGGCCGTCGTCAGGCAGGACGCCAACAGTTCTGACCCCCTCACGTTCTTTCCTCAGCAAAGCTCATACCAGCTCCTACAGTACACAGATGGATTCCAAAATTGTGCAGGACGCCCACGCAAGTCTCAGCCTACTTCAGCCGCGGCTAATTTAGGACAATCGTCTGCAAACACTGTGGGTGCTGGTGGCACAAAGCGACCGTCGGGTCAAGCACCGGACGATGTGAATGACAGCAACGATGAGGATAACAAGCCAAGAAAAACTCGCAAAGCCAATGCTGATGTCACAAAGTTGAAGGGCGAAAGATATGGTTGCATTTTCCCAAAACACTACCCCAGCGAGCATCGGGATTGTTGGAACTGGAGCTAAGAGGATTTTCAAAGCGCCTACGCCCTGGTTGAGCTATTGCTAGTTCTATAAAAGTACTTTAAGTGCAAAAATATTTATAATTATATTAATTTTTTTTAAAATAAGTTAAAATAGTTACTAACTATAGTTTTAAACTTTATTATTATTATTTTATAGTACTAATGTAAGGATCTATAGAACTAGAAGTAGCTAGCTCTAATAGAATGCAGGGTAAAATCCTTTCTACAAAGGATCGCTATTCTGAACTTGCGGTGATGCCCCCTTAGGTCCGAGAAATTCTAGGGGGACTCGATTAATTGCATCCATGCAGCGTCCCCTTTGTCTTGATTGACGAATGAAGGGAGAATCTTCTTGCAGCCACAAGGATTAGAATATTGCATGAACGTAGACGCACAGCCTAGGCGAGATGAACTGCTATCGAATCCTTGTGTAGGGCTACTTTGGGCGAAAGTGGCGCAGCTGCAGCAAAATGATTTGTTGGAAGGTGCTCTCTTTCGCTTACCCTTACATATCCTGTCTCAATAGGGAACCGGGCAGTTTGTACAGCCTCAAAATGAAAGAATCTAGATTGGAAAAGCACTGCACGCCGAAAAGATGGTATCGTCTGCTGGTGCCTGGAATGAACTGTCACTCTTCCGCAAATTCAATCTCAAGCAGCGCGTGATTGAGAACGAAGTATGCATGGCTTAGGTATATTGTCTTAATGCACTGTTGACAGACTTGCCTAACGAGCCAACCGCCTTACTCTACGATCTTGAAAGTCGCTACTTTGTCTTCGTCTTGCGCGATCATCTTCAACAGCCCTGGCGGTTCTCCGAAAACCCACCCTTCCTCCCTCATCTTCTTAATATCCGGCTTCTCTTCTCCTTCCACGGCGCTTCTCGAAGACAACTTGTTCACGTTATGCAAATCAATAAGATCCTGCATCTTACTAACAACCTCTTCGCTTTCATCTGCTCCCTTTTCCCTATCCAACCCCAGATCGTCAGAAAAGCTGAAGCGCGAGATTTTCTTGCCTTTCAAGCCTTCCGGGTCTTCCAAGGAGCCAAATGACCACCATCGAATCGAAAGATCGCCGGGCCAGACATGGTAGGTGTCGCCGACTCGTAGAAAATGGTCAAGCTTTTCTTGGAGCGAGGTTGAGTCGTCGCCGAGACTCGACATAAGCCGTTCAGCAGAGAGCTCCCACGCAACTTGTACAGAACCTTTTCCTACCGGAGGAATTGTGATGAAAGTGAATCCAGGGGTATCGGGATCCTCAGGGCGTTTGGCAAGATCTGGGTCGCCTGATATCCGGTGGAACGTAATGCGCTTTGTGGGCCGGAGGTTAAGCACTTTTGCAGAGCCATCTACTTGTCGGGTGGAAGAAAATGCGAGTTCCGGTGAGTGCATATCGCCCTTGCGGAACGCATCCTCACGAGGCGTAGTGTCGAGACATGAGTACTTGGTCAAGATAGTAACGGGTCTATCTGGGAAGACCGAGGAGGTTTGGTGGATGGTGGCGATCAGCTTCAAAGGTGATGCCGAGGGGTTAGAGATTGAGAGAGTGGCTGGTGGACAGAAGTTGAACTTAAGGCAGAGCTCAACTCCGTGGTTTTGAGACGACATATGAAACTATTTGATATGGTGTTGTAGTAGGAGACTGAGAATGCACTGCCGTGGGTTGCAAAAATTCAAGACTGCAGAGGGCAAGGTCGAGAAGCTGAGGGTCGGGGGCCGTATTCTCTGACCTTTATCCACGTGCAGTCTAAAGTGCTTTTCCAATGTCATACCCTAACTGTCGGCGATGAATTGGGTCCGAGGCTGGTGCCTAGCATGACGTCACAGGTATTACACCAACCTAACTATTGGATCGCGGAGGCTCAACCCCGCCCCCACATCTTTACACCCCCGACTCTGTTCTATTTTTGTACTCTTCTGGGATTCTACGATTTCAGTTTCTCGATCCTGATCACATGCCCATCTTCAGATGCGCAAAAAGCACCGAAGAACGACTTAACCATCGGAAGGTCTCAAGAATTCATCTGCTTAGGGTCAAACATCCACGAAGCATAGCCTGGAGCCTGAAGAGGACTTCGAACATCCCATTTGCCCCTCAATCTGGTCTACAAACTGCGAGGGGGCAGGTACACATGTGCAACTGCTATAAGCTGATTCAACTAGGTACAGTGTTCTCAAGGGCTGAGATGCTCCGACGATCCGTCATCCTATTCCTTGCGAAATGGCCTACACCTTCATCCTGTATGCCTCTTACGACCAGAATGTCACAAATGTGGTATGCTTTCGTCTTCGTAGGATCGTGTATGAAACATGAGATCGAATCCCATCGTCGATGCGACTTACCATACCTTGATCTTTACTGGAGGCCTGGAAAAACTTACTGTAAGGGATTAACCTCGATTCGACTACCGTCAGCGCCAGTTGTACCTTGTAAAGAATTGTTTCATCCTCCGTATAGATCTGGGTAGTGGTTCCGCTGCGCCGAGTGCGCCTTATGATCTTGTCAGCAGCTTACTGGACCCCAAGCATGGTGTTTCAAACATTCGCATTACCTCTCAAAATACCCATATTGCCCTTTCTTGGCCCCATGTTGTCTTTCATTTACGTCACTTGCTTACATTTGGCACAAAGCTTCGCCTCCACCACAGCCCTTATCCCTCCTTCGAAATCGCTCACTGGCGATGGAGACACAGCCACATCAGGCCACGATGTTGGACAAGTCTTGAAATAGACCAATCCAACGGGAGGGCTTCTCTAAGCGCCTAGCTACACTTCTACTGGAAGAAGATCATTCAGGTACTGTGAACTTGTATAAAAAGGCTACCACGAACACCATAGAGGTCTTTCAATAGCAGGAACTTCCAATCTCTCTTCTTTATCAACACTAGCACGTACTATTCTTTTCAACTCCATAGCCTTTCAAACAGGCTACTACATCATGTACTTCACTCAAGTATCACTTGTCGTGCTCGCTGGAGCAACGATTGCTACTGCTGCACCCCTCGAAGCTCCTAAACATACCCTCTATGGGCGCACAGCGCAATACCACAGCAGTTGCGATAAGCCTGGCCCTGATGGCGGAGAAAACATGAAAGCAAAGGCCCAAAGAGCCTTCACAGACGCATCGCAAATGGCATACCAGACACAGATCCGCCATGACAACAGTGGAAAAGCTTTCACAGAGAGCTCTGCGTAAGTAAAATATCAGGAACTACTAGTTAAGAGTCTGGGGTCTGACTTTGTGAATAGGTACAGGCATTATTTCGCCGACGCGGACAGGGACCAAGTCAAGCGAATGATGCAGGTTATCTATAACAGCCGCCTTCCAGTGGATGACAACGACGGCGGTCAGGGCTACTTCATCGACATTCGCTGTGGTAACAGTGAGGACCCTCAAACATGCAGTGGATCCACTCTGGCTGGCACGAACGCGAGGCCTGGTCAATCAGTTGTAAGTCAGCCCTTCTTAGAGGTATCAAATGCCATACAGATGTTAACGTCGCATTCAAGATGGTTCTCTGCGATCGCTTTTTCCGCAACTCCGAGCCACGCACCAAGAACGACTTCCAAACCAAGAAATTCGACGACAGTCGCAACGGCTGGTGCCAGCCCAACGAAGAATTCCCCTTCTTCGAAATCGCGGGTCTGACAATTTTCCACGAAATGACACATCTGCACACCGTTGGCCAGAGGGCTGGACTCGAAGCCTTCCCCGACCCCGATGGCTACAGCACCTCTGGCACGATCGATGTCTACGAGAAGGGTGGCGACGATGACCGTGCGAAGTACAAGGACATGGATCCCTGGAAAGCGGCCCGGAAGCTCAAGCAGCTTTGGGATGAGTACGATGCGGACAACTCAAAGTACAAGCCCTTGTGGAGCCCGATTCACAACGCAGATAGTTATGCTGCTGCGGCATTGGAGTTTTCGTATCTGGAGCCTTGTAAATGGGATGTTATCTTGCCTAACTCAGTCTGAAAATCTTGTTTGATCACTTCTATTTTGGATACATATTTTCCTACACCTTGTATGGATATTATAATAGACTTGGATAGCGTTCTTATAAGTACATATATTAGACATTGGGATACAAGGCTAATACATGCTTCTGCAAACTAGCAAGTTAATATTTTTTTAAATATTAGAGCACTCTATAGCTTTCTAAATGTTTACTATGTTTATTAATATATTTAAATAGGTAGATTTAGCTTGTACTTAGTCCTTATAAGACTATGTGAAATTATTCGCGCAGTGAACTGTTCTTCTAAAACTGCCGTCTATTATCGCCGAAGCTGCATCTTCTGATAGCGGTGGCAGGGAGGATGGTCAACATATTCTAATCTGAGCGCCATTCAGCCTCGGTGCGCTAAACTCAGGGTCCAGTCTAGGCCTCCTTCCCCCACAAACGTCACCGCACGTGGCTCACCCGTTCACCCGGCAATCGCTGCCTTTCATAAGAAGCCACCTTTCACCAGAACGAACGCGAAATTGCGCTTCGTAACTAGCTCTTCACCTTCATCTAGCATCCCTCCCACAACCACTCGCTTGCGATATTGGAATTTGAACAATCAAAAGAAAACATGGCAGCGCAGCGCCTTCGCAAAACGTTCAAATACCCCTCCGAATCAGACGATGAAGATGCTGTAGAGGCAGGCATGGATGAACAAGGTAAACTTCCTCTCTCCCATCCCCTTCATACTCCTTGCCAACTAAAAGCTTTCGCAGACCAAGCGCACCTCATCTCCTCCCTCTCGTCCCACGACACGTCCGCAACACACACATACACTCTAGCCCTCCTCGTCCTGCCCCTCGCGCCCACAATTCTCTACCTCCCGCGGCTATTCAGTCTCTCAACCATCATACCGAGCGTTGTCGCGATCGCAAGTTTACTAGCAACCGCGTATACGCTGTATTTCCTCCCCCTACCACCCGTCGAGCCGGACGTGGACGGCAGCAGCGCGAATACGAAGACTGGAGCACGAAGTAGCAAGGGGAAGGAAAAGGCGGAGAGCGCGAGAGGCTACGGGTCTAAAGTCCCGCCGTGGGAAAAACAGGCTGCGAAACCAGGGCGCAGACCTGTACCTTACATATCAGATGAAGTCGCGGATTTGCTCGCAGAATATATTGTTACGGTGAATAGGGCGGTATGTGGTATCTTGGCGTTGTTCGAGACCTGGCAGGCAAGGGCGTGGAGTGAAGGGTTGATGATCGGGGGAGGGTATCTACCAGGGCTGATTTGCATGATTATCCTGTACGCGAGGACGGAGCTGAGGATCATTGATGTGAATGGGTTGGAGCGACTAAAGCCGGTGGCGAAAGGGAAGGACTCGTGAGAAATGCTGGTTTCCATATTAAGATACCCATGCTAGTAATGAATAGTAAACACAAACGCCTCGGAACGAAGAGTGTCTTGAAAGATTGACCGAGGCCGAGGCCATGGTCGTGGTATCATCGCGAAACGCCGTCGCCAGGTGAGAAAAAGGCCGGCAACACAGCTATCCAAAACACCGCATTACTCAAATCCATCTACATTTCATACCTCAGATCAAACCAGAAAGAACACAAGACTTTACAGCAGCATGCTCTTCCTTCGACTAGCCGCTCGCTCAGCCCTCAATGTACTCGTTTCTATCTCCCTTGCTCTCGCTTCATCTCCATGTGCCACTGGTATATCGATCTTGGCCCCGAGATCAATAGTGCTTCCACTCGCTGGTAGGACACCAGAAGTAGTAGCAATCTTCCTTTCCTTCACACTCGACGATCTCGCCATCATGCTTTTGCTTAAACTCGTGGTGCCACTACTCCTCACATTCCCACTGGCGGTGCGCTTGTGCAAGCTCGAAAGTGCACCTTCTGCCTTCTCTGCTTTCCGATTTTCGCATGCAGTTGAGCTGGGGGGACCAGGCATGGCAGAGTGCCGCCGTGCATTCCGTGCTGCTTTTGCAAGTTCGGTGATGCGTGTACGCGGGTCATTGGCGGTCTCGGCCGGTGACGAGTCTGTGAAGTCGAAGACAGCCAAGCTGTCTTTTTCCGGTGCTTCCCGCCTGAGTATGGGCTCTTTCTTTGGGGCAGGCTCATGGGATTTCGGGGCGAGGGGTCCGGATACGACCTTCGTGGCAGATGCGCTCAGGGTTGGAGTAGGCGCTTTCCGTTTTGCCGTACTCGTCTCATTGATGAGTGCTGATATCGCTTTGGAAGCCGTAGACCGTTCCTCTGGTTCAGTTGATGCAGGCGAAGACTTCAAATCCTGACCCGTTTCTCGTCTGTCTAGTTTCTGTCTCAGTGGACTTCCCACCTCAACTTCCTCTTCGCCGCCACGGCCAGAAACCGCGGACACGGGCTTCCAATTCAGATCGCCTCCTGCCTCACGCTTGGCTCCTGTTGATGGCGCTGTCTCAGGTTCTACGCTCGTTCTTCGGTCTACGACGGCGTCTGCCAGCTTAGCATCCGGGCGTCGCATCTTTGTATGTAAGCTAGGCTCTTTGTAGCTGACCTGCGGACGTGCTCTTCGTCCTGGCCGACCTGCTTGTCCAATTTGGTCAGATGAAGTGAGATCCCCGGGAGGCGGCGTATCTTTACTCTCTGGTCGTTGCGTTGAGGGCTCCGTCGAGGGCGGAGAGAAGATATCTTCCACGGCGGGCGTCTTAGGTGGTAGAGAATCAAGAATAACTTCGGCGGTATGGACAGGCGCAGGCATCGGTAATGGAAGGAGTTCAGGTTGGATTGCATTGCGAGTAATGTTGAGCCGGGGGCGGCCACGAGGTCTTGAGGGGGCCTGGGAGTTCTTTTCTGGCTTTTCTTGTAGAGAGGGGCGTTGCTTCTTCGGCGATAGAACTGGATCGGTATTGACGGGTTCTGAATCGTTAGTACGGCTCATAACAAGGTACTTCATAAGCTTACTGCTTCCAAGGACAGGTCGCTCCGGTGAAGAAGGCCTGGAATCCTCGTTAGATGCCTCAGTTTCCGAAGCACTTGGGGTGTTTCGGCGGCTGAACCTGAAAGGCTCCCCCTTGGACTGATTCTTGTCCTCGTCCTCCTGGACGTTAAACTTCCGCTTAGCTCCAGTTCGTACTAACTTCGTGGCTCCTTGTTCTGTTTCATCTGGCGACTCGAATACAGACATGCGCCGGATGTTCAGCTTAGGTCCGCTTTCTCTTCGCTTCTTCCGCGTCTCAAGGTTCACCAATAGCGCGGGTTCTCCGTCTTCACCGGTCTCTCCCTGCTGTTCTTCGGGTGCTGGGTAGGGATTGAACGCGATAGGTTCTTCGTTTTCTAGCCGGGAAACTGGTGGAGGCCCGATGTCTGGCGACTGACTGTCAGGGTCCTCCAATATCTCTTGGAGCTCATCCGCCCTGCAAGCTGTTAGCCCAGTCTCTCTTCCCACGCGTCCCCCTCTCGTTTTCGACACTTCGGTTCCCTCGGATAGAAGAATGTCAACATACCCCATAGTCCTTCGAGGATAGTATTTCCCCTCCGTTATTGTAGGAAGCATGCCGTTCTCAACCTCCTGTAATCCCAGCCCACTCCTCCATTGTCTCTCCTCCCCACTCCTTCTCTTAGCCGTCTGACTCCTCCTTCTGCCCTTCTCACCTCCCCGCTTTAACTTCGCAAGTCCCGCAACTAAGCCCCCAAGCTCCTGAATCTTGACTTCTAGCTGTGTTTTGACGGCATCAATGTGGTCGAATGCAGGGCGCGATTCGATAGTGTTGTGTAGCTGCAGTACCTGTTCGCGAAGGGAAAGGTTTTCGGCCAGCAGGCGCGAACAGTCGTTCTCGAGGCTGCGAATGCGAATGCTTTGTTGCGAATTCGTCTTTGCAAGCTCGCGATTCTGCCTCAAGAAACGCCGTTTGATGGCCTCGATGGCTTCTGCGCTCGGCTGCGGCGCAATAGGCGGCTCGTTTAGGCGCGCCATATGCGCAGAAGTAGGTATATCCAGGTTAAGTATAGTTTTCAAAGAGTATACTGTTGCGTGGTGTCGCGATTGAGGTCCAAGGCGGTTCGTTGTTTCCGTCTCGTTATCGTCATATCGAAGGTTCGGGGGCGTTGTTTACCTTAGCAACAACGCTAACGCCGCATGGGTCATGGCGCGGAACGCTGCCACGTGAGTGGGGCATCAACGCGCTCATCATCGCTTCGCGACTCTGGGAGCAACTGCCACTGGATTGAAGAGGTATATCATAATTCGATCAAGAAAAATGTCGAATTACGCACGTCCATTACCCTCCCACCTGCGCAACCAGTCGCTAGGCGGCTCGCAACAGCAATCTCCAGTGCTTCTCGCACGCATCGCAGAAAAGAAGGCCGAGCTCGCGAATTTGAAGGACTTGGAAGCGCTCAGTGGAGGGTTGGCCGACCAGATGCAAATGCTTGCTGATAAGCTGCAGACGCTGTCTGATGGTACGGAAGGTAAGCCTAAAGCTTTATGCTTATTCACACGAGCACTTCACGAAGAGCTCGTTTCCTCCTTCCTCAGCATAGCAACAGCACAAGCACATGTGCTGACATGTTTCTATCATAGCGGTCGCAGCAGTCCTCTCAAACTGGCACAACGTTCTAAGGGCCATACATATGGCATCCAGTAAGTCCCGTGGGAATCTACATGTACAGATCTCATCTAACCAGAGATAGCAAAACTACCCAGACCCAAAGATGAGGAAAGCGTCGAAAAGGAGGGCGAAGACAGCCCACCATTGCCCCAAACGCTTGTCCGCATTCCTACGCAGCATGCGCCTACTGTGATAGAGCAAGCGAACGCGGGGGGTTCCGCGGATTGACCGCGTGCACGGTGTAATCTTGAATACGCGCGATTTGCGCTGAAGGAAGTTAAGGTTTGCTACCTGCATTGAAGACGGAGGGTTCGGGCAGCACTAAGCGATTGGCCCCGTATACATTGCCCTCGATCCGATTCGCGAGAGATGGCGAATGGAGGTGTTGCTGCACGAGAGGCATTTATGCATTCCGGCCCAGCAATTGATTATACAGCTGAAAAGTCAAAGCGAGATAGCATGTGGTTTTAGCGTGGGGATGAACATGTAAAGCATGGGGGGAGGGGCACCCCGATTTCTGATGGGCAAATCAGAGCTTCGATATCAGACGCATATGTAAGCCCCTTTGCGCTACAGAGAGCAAACACGTATATTGCGCTGTAATACCCAATGCCATGAGGGTCTACAATCTAGTATCAAAAGACAATTTTTGTGGAGTGTCAATTCCGTCCGTGTCGCTATGCAAGTAATACAAATGCAAGCCGCTTGCTCAATCATGCTATAAGACTCCCAAAACTCCTCGCTCAGATGGCGGCCATGTAATTCATTGATATCGTATGCGTTTCGTACATGCCAGACTGTGGTGTGGCACCATGAAGGTCGTCAGACATGCCAGTCGCGTGCCTACTTCTTGTTCTTCGGCATCTTCTCGTATGCATTTGGGCTGGGCTTCCGTCGCTGTCGGCTGCGTTTCGGTGGTTTGCCAGAGCCCTCGCCTTTTTCATGGTCGTGCTCGCAGTCGTCGTGGCCGTGTTGGTGCGGATGTCGTCCTCGCTGACCACCAGCCCTCCCACTAGGCCTTGCCGTGCTGTTGTCTGGCTCGGAGTTGGAGTCTGAGTCGGAAGAAGAGCCGTCTGAAGAGTCGTCATCCGAAGATTCGTCGGCGGCGCGGGGCTTGTGATAGATGCAGCACACTTGATGTACAAGTTAGTATTCTTTTCGCCATAAGGTGACACGTTGACGTGATGGGTACCTTTTGAAGACTTTTTACCCATGCCTTCGTTGTCGATCACATCTTCCGCCCACTGGATGTGTCTTTGCTCTGATGGCTCTGCCCGTAATCGAAGCACTCCCGAAGGTGCGGAGAGACGAAGCACAGGCTGGGGTCGAATTTCCATGGTTCTACTGCCGCCAGTCGGGGTGGCAGTTCGCGAAGGCCCAGCCTGAGCGGTGGCCATATTGTTCGAGTTGGACATGACACCCAGAGGGTAACAATGTTTGGCGGTTCAAGAAGCTGGACAACGGCGGGGCTCGTACGCAAAGACGGAATATTTGGCGAAGGACGTCTTGCGTGGGGGCGCTGTCCAGTCACGATGGGTAGGCGTATTCTATCGTGTAAGGCGAGGCGGTAGAATGGAAAGAGGGCAAGCAGCGGATTTGCTGAGGGCGAGTGTCGTCCGTTATGTATGTCTTTGTTGGTCGTCGATGATTTGCCCGCGTGAGAGGAGTGGCCCGTGCGATTCGCAACTTCCCCGGGTGGACTTCCCTCGCGCTGCCGTGGAACGCGATTCCGCACGCCATGTTTCTCCGCCATCGCTTGCGTTCTTTTACGGCACACCACCACGGGGACGCCCCTGAGCGGCTGGTCGGCTGGATGTCTCAGCATACATGCGGCTGTAGCGCCTTTCGTGTTTGACCTAGCACGACCTTCGTTCTGTCAGTCCACTTTCTCACAGCCTGCAACGGAGCTGGTGTGTATGGCAGGTCCATCCTACTGTCATGGTTAGATACATCGATTGGGCGTGCGAAGGCTGAGATTCACTCCATGCTCATGGTCACCTGCCAGCAGCATACAGAGAGATTTCTTCAAGAAAAAATGATTGTGCAAGTTGGAATTGCTTCTTGATAGCTGAGATTCATCAGTTTGACCGTGGGGTCCGACCTCTGAAGACGACTTCGCTTTAATCTACAAGGCGACAACAAAGTCTTTAGTGAGAGGGCTTTATAAGCTGCTATCTCCAGGGCCATTACATGACTTTTTCCCGTTGTTGATTATTTCGATCTTTTTTTGTCTTGCGCAAAGAGTTGTATTCCTTGACGCACAGTTGGGACATTGAGGTTGACAATACTGTCCTTTCCGTCACACTAAAGCCACGATCCCTGTGATGTGTGAATAGGCGGGCAGCCTAGAACCGCTATTACATCACGCTTTTATATTTATATGTCCGAAAATACCGGTATAGAAAGCAAGCCGTCATCTCACGGTTGGGCTACTATACCAGACCCCCTGCCATTATGAGTTCTGAGACGCGATATGACGGCGAGATCTCGCGAGACAGCAATTTGCAGGTTTGATGACAGGATACCCAAGTCGATCCTCGGCGGCGGTCAGCGAGATTGGCTGTTCCTTCGACCAGCCTCGCTCGCAAGACAACCTGGGCGTGTCCCAACAACTACACCAGCGGAACTGCACATATCGTATAAAAAGCCAAACCATGCTCTAGTGCATGGGAGGCGAAGCGGAACCTCTGCCGACGATGAGTTTGCATCGTCAGTGCTTGAGCTAGCTAATCGAGTAAAAGAAAGGAGAATGATGGCATCAGTCGAGAGGAAGAGCGGTGATCTGCACAATTTAGATAAATGAAGGCATCTAAACCAGGGCTGGAGAGGCTAATAGGAGAAAGGGCTAGTCTGATAAGCATGCACCAGTTGACCGTGGACGTGCCGCTGTGCACGCCGCCGCCCGTGCTGGAAGCAGAAGACAGCTCCGACCGCTGTCGTGCACAACTAACTGGGCGCGAGGCGGTAACCCTGTGGGCGCGGGAAATGAAGACCACGGGACCGCAGGTTCTGGGCCGAATGAAGTTGAGTGCACTCGAAAGGGAGAGGAATGCAGTGTTTCCTGTTGGAGGGACAACACCCAGGAATTCGGGTGGGCTGTGTATAGTCTTTGCCTCCTCATGGGGGCGAGATGAGATATAGGGGAAGATGAAGTCGAGGAACGGAGTCGAGCATCCCGAACGGCGGTTCAGGGGCCTCAGGCGCTTCTGACGCTGTCCTGTCGCTGGTGGTGTGGTCTAGAGCGCACAACATGGGACGCTGCAGGCAATCTGCTGTTCTTTATGAAATGGCCAATCATGCCTGTCGGGCCTCTGCGTACCTGCAGTAGCGCGTCCCAGATAGGCTAGCCCCTCCGCATTGGGGGCTGCATCTTGGATGTCTGCAAATAAACGGCCGCGTCTCTTATGCAGCCAGCCTCCTGAGTGTGCGCGCAGAAGATCGGCTGCAGAGCGCGGTACCGTAGATGCGCCACTGGGGAAAATACGAAGAAGCCGCCTCAGTAGTAGAGCACATGAGGGCAAGAGAACAGAGAGAGCCTCTCTCTGCGTTTGTGGGGTACTACTCCTGGAATGTATCCAAGTTGCCAAGGCCCCTTTCAAACATTGTGGCTGCGCTTCAGACAAAACGCTGGAGCCATTCACATCTGGCCTGACAGGCCCTGTCCCGCCTGGTGCTGCGGGTTATTTCCTAGCCAATGGGAGGCCCTGTCGAGCCATATCCAGCATCAAAGCACCCGCGCGGCGCCTCATCAACTCCTCGCACCCGTTCCTTTCCTTCTTCACTCACCTCTTGTGGGCGCCGTTCTCTCCTTCGTATTAATCCCCTCCGCCGTACAACGACTTTCGCTGTCCGCATCTTACCCCAGTCATTCTTTTTGGGCCCGAGAGCGTTTGTTGTTGCTACACTTGGCCTACTGCCATCGACACTCTTTTACCCGCTTCAGAACGACACTCACATAAACTACTCCTCATCAAGCGGCAATCACGACCGACTTACGACCTTACGCTGTTAATATCTAAAACCACTGCAACCTGTTCAGCAACTTTACATATAGCATCTGCCGTCAAGCCGACAACGTTATCGCTTCTGCTTCGATTCCATTATTGACACCATCTATTTGGCGAGGCGAATGAGACAACGGTTCTAAAACCATGCATCACCTACACCACCACAACAACATGCACCGGCATGTGGGGAGAGCGGCACAGCTCGCTGAGGCCAACACCTCAGGAAGCCGAACACTGGTAGACGCCGCAAGTCGCGTTCTTGTGGCCCGCAGCACATCAACCTGCACAAGCGAAAGCGACCCTGGCTGCACCAAGCCCTATTCCGCCTCCACAATGGCCATTGCCATTGCCGTAGTGTATGTTGTCTTGGTTCGCTATGCTACACGCGCTAATTCATCGCAGAGTGCCCGTCGTTGGGCTGCTCGTTGTGCTCTTATTTTTACACCGCAGGCATAAAAGGAAGCTCCGCGAGGAGGATGCAAAGGACAAGTACAAGTCTCTTGACTTCGGCATGGAACCAGGCATGGGAGGACCCAAGAAAGGGAAGAAGGGAGCGAAGATGGGTCCCGAAATGAGCGTCTCGGAAAAGGGCGAGCGCGGAACACATGACCGTGGACTGTCCCTGGAGACTGGAAATCCGTACCTTCTGCCCGTTGGCCTGCACGGCTCTCGAGAATCTTTCCATTCGCTTTCGCGCTCCCAAGTCGATCCCCACGACCCGTATCGCCCCGTCACCTTCCTCAACGATGGCCAGAGCATTCACAGCCAAAGTCGCCGTAATCACGACAACGGATCCATGTACACGACGTCAAGTGCAGGAACAGAGAGGCACAGGATGAACGATGGCCTGTTGAACAACGCACAGACAATGTCTAAATCCTACCCCATTCGCGGCGAGTCTCTGTCCCCCGACGACACCAAGTCGATTAAATTCCCTGAGCCGACCGCTTCCATGAGCCCGCTGAACCCCCGCTACGAGAATGAACCTCTGCCTGCTCCTCCCGCACCACCTGCAGCGTCAGCAGAGCCCAAGGCCGAGTTCACGGCTTTCAACCCATCGACCGTTCCCAGCATTCAAATCCCTGATCCTGCAGTCACCAACAGGCAGGTCACAAAGTCCCCTGTCCAGACTACCCCCAGCCAATCTGCATTCCCGTTACGGGTACAGTCCCAGCAGGCTATTGTACACGAGAACGCCAACACCGCTAGCATGATCAGCACGTCGAGCTACGGCGACGGTTTCCAGGTCACCCCTCCATCACCTCGTCAGAGTCAAGGTGCGCAAGAGATGCTCTCTCCAACACCTCGACATCCACAGGGCCAGCAGAATGTCGGCCTTGGAGTAGACGACTTTGGCCGCAACTCCAATCGTCTGTCAATGAGTGTGCGACCTCTGCCTACGGCTTCGGATGACCCCGAAGAGAACCCAGAGCAGCGAGCGAATCGCATCCGATCCTTCTACAAGGAATACTTCGATGACTCCAAACCCGAGCCTGTCGGAGGCCATGCATACACAGAAAACAATGAGGATTATGCCTCGGAATACCAAGACGGTACCTTTTTCGACGCCCGCAACGGCAACTTTGTTGTCGCTCAACCTAATGCGCCCTATGCTGAGCCAATTACTCGACGCGCCATGACACCGCCCCCCCGGGCACCTCCTAGATTCCGAAGCAACACTGGCCCTCGCGCCCCTCACATGTCTGGCAGTTCAGTGGCTTCGTCTCAGTACCCACCACGTGGCATGTCATCGATGAGCGGGCGGATGCTACCCCCCAAGAAGGCTTTGCCTCCCCCATCGACTCTTTCGTCCTTGCCCACACCCGCTAAGCTCACTGAGAATTCAATGGTTTTCGACCCAATTGACTTCGCACCACCTGTCTCATTCAGGGAGAGGCAGAACGGTATTCGACCTGATAGCCCATTGGGCAATCAAAGACCGTATAGCCCCGCAGTCCGACCGCACACTCCTTTGGTTGGGTCCTACGATGACCTTGCTGTAATGCCTAGTCCACACGCATTGCGCAAGTCAACTCTCTTCACAGCCCTTGACTTTGCGCCGCCACGTTTCCGTGACCCAGGTTCCAACAACGCTTCGGATGCCGGCTCCATCAGATCCAATCGCTCGGGCATATCAGCTGCAGGAAGATTCGCTGTTCGTAGCGGAGCCAACCGTGTCAGTAGGATACCGAAGGGAATGGTCGGTACCAGGGATGATTTCATGGCCGAACTTCGCCCCAGGATGGACCTTGTTTCAAAGGGATAAGGCCGCTTGGTCGACCTTAAAAGTACACAATGGCCTCAGCATACACACTGAAGTTCACTGGTAGAGCATATCAAATGCCCCGACTTGCTTTTCTGGCAGACATGATGAATTCCTTTGAATCGTATAGACAGCGCCCGTTGGCTCATTCCTCAACTTCAACTCCTAGCAACCACGTGTACAAATGTTTGCTTCTTTTCCTTTTCTCATCGCGGCCAACGTTTAGCACCTGGCCGGCAGATTACTCGTTTTAGGGCTGATACAGCGGTTAGCGGCAAGGCATGGCGTTCAATGTCTAATTTCTATTCTATCTTGGAGAGGTGTGGTTAGCAAGTGAGAAGAGCGCGTCCGTGAGTTGAGTTTGTTGCTGCAGTATGGAGGGTGTGGTTGAATCTACCGTTCGTTGTGTGAACTATTGTGCATATAGATGGAAATAGCAAGTGGCAATAAAGTACAATCAATTCGAAGTTTTCTTAACGTAATGCTTGCATCTCATGAGTGAAGAAGCCTAGCTACTAGGTACTGCCTGCGCACAGCATGAGATGTTACCAATAAGATGATACCAAAGATGTCTACGCTCTAATTGAGCTTTCGCTAGTTCTATGAAGGTACTTGTGGACCTTCAGTGAGACCTTGCCGAACACCTTTCTTCAACAGATATGCTCACACTGCATGCAACTCCTGGACATGTGTCGATGTTTGGCTCTTTGTAGCTATCCCCCACGTGGAGCAAGCCTTTGCTCTTTAAATAGGACGGCATCGGTTGTTCTAACCCAACATCACTTAACGTCGATCATCCGCAGCGCCCTCGACGACCTTGCAAAGATCACAAACATCTCACAGTCGACTGTCGTCCTAATAACAGCTCAAACCCAGCCAACCAGATCCAACGGTAGTAACTATCCGACTAAGAGCAATAGTGAGACGTCATCACTAGCCCCAACAACACGCGTCCGGTCCGACCTCGCTGGCTGGAGGCTTAGCAAGTGTCCAGCACAAGCAACGCCGGTCTTTACTGCGTCCAATTGTTGTGCTCTAAATGCAGTTCAATGCTTTGTTTAGCGTCTTGAGTCGTCGTTGAAAACAGCACCGCGCCTTCCTTTTGGTTTTCTAAGGGTCCGGTAACGTCATAGTTTGGGTTCCATCTTTGAGGATGGGTCCCATCAAACTCCGAACTGCTACTGCAGCCGCGCGTATGCGATTGCGTTGCCCCGGCCTCTAGATTCCAAGAGTCGTACAGTACAGCCGCATGTCTATCGTTCTTTTTTTTCTCTCTTCTTCTGCTCACTTGTGTGTTCCTTCTCTCATATTCCCACGTCGTTGCCGGATAGTCCTCAACCGCAACAATGGGCTTCTTCAATCGCCGCCGCGCATCCGATAACACAGCAGCAACGACATCTTCTTCTCCTACCGTTGTCCCCGAACTTTCAAAACATCAAATCAAACGCGCGACTCGCAAACGCAAAACCTGGGCCCTATTAACATGCTTTTTTCTCTTCCTTTCCGTCGTCTTCCTCATTCTCCTACAAATCGGCGGTGTCCGGAACCGCGCCATAATCAGAAACTGGTACTTCATTCGGCTCGACCTAAGTAATATTGTGCCGTCCAGTGTTCCGAATTTTGAGTTGATCAACACGATTGCGCAGACATTGGGTCTCCATGACTTCTATCAGGTTGGCTTGTGGGGCTTTTGTGAGGGGAATCAAGGCGAGGGCGTAACGTTCTGTTCGAAGCCGCAGACGTTATATTGGTTTAACCCGGTGGAGATATTGAGGAACGAGCTGCTTGCTGGAGCGTCGAGTAAGTTATTCTCATTCCTATGAAACGGCCTTACACTATCCATCACCCCGTTGATGACCCTGGCTAACGATTGTTTGACAGTCAATCTTCCGAACAGCATAAACAACATCCTCGACCTCATCAAACTCGCCTCGCAGTGCATGTTCGGTCTCTTCCTTACGGGCACCTGTCTCTCCTTTGTCCTCATCTTCCTCATGCCGCTCTCCGTCTACACACGCTGGCTCGCCCTCCCTGTCGCCCTCCTCGCCTTTCTCAACGCGCTCTTCGTAACCGCTGGCTCCATCATCGCAACCGTCATGTTCATCATCTTCCGCAATACTATTAGTAAAGTGTCGGAACTGAACCTCTCAGCAGAGATTGGCGTCGCGCTATTTGCGTTCATGTGGGTTGCGAGCGTGTTTGCGATCCTAGCATGGCTTGTACAAATGGGGCTTTGCTGTTGCTGTGCAAGTAGGAGGGATGTTAAGAATGGGAAGAAGAGGGGGAGCGAGAAGGCGTATGCTCTAGATCGGTCGGAAAGTGGTGTCAGGACCAGTCAAATGAGGGCTGGCGAGGAGAAGTCTGGTGCACCGAGGACGAAGTACCAGTTCTGGAAGCGCGGTTAGGAGACTCTCGCCAGCCAGTTACGGACAAATCGATCGATGCTACACAGGTGAATGGTCAATGGAGCATTTTGACTTTACAACTAGATTTGAGCAAGCAAGCGTGGCGTTGGTCGGGGATTCAAGCCCTCAGGCACTGCATTTAAGCACTTCCAACCTAGTCTTAATATACATATCATTACACCAAAATGAGCGGGCTGCTAAGCGTGTCACCATTTCAAGGCTAAGTGCATACCATCTTTTATATATCGGCGTCTTTCACTATTTGTGGACCTTGTAGACAAAGACACCAAAGATGATTCATGTCATTTTCGCTGGATTAACCTGATTGAAGGTCGAAAAAGACCTAATGTCAATGTAGTAAGAATACACGCGCAATATAATAACAATGTCGACTTCGACTGCTCCTTGACCCACCACTGTGTATATAGACTTGAAGAACTGACACTTTCCTAATGCCGTGCTTGACACGGATCCATCTGCCCCCACCAATTCCTTTGGCTCTCCATAGACCGTAACAGATTTCGATATAGTTCCTTCGAACGGAAGCTTTCTTGAAAGAACCCACTTTCCTACTCCTCCTCCCTCCCGGCACATCTCTTTATATCTACACTCATCCCTTAGTCGGTGCACCACCCTGAGAGCTCTCAAAACAGTCCGTTTATTTCCTATCACTTCCCACGGTCAACCTCAGCACGAAGTTCACTACGACTGCTGCAAAGAGAGCAATCGTCAAGATGGTCGGGCCTAGCCTATCATCAAAGCCTCCCTGGCCTCTCATCCGTATGCTCTTCGCGCGCCAGTGGAACGTAAACAGCGCATAAATCATAGCCATCATGGCGACGAGGGTGAATAGACCGGCGGAGATCTTTCCGATGTTGTCTCCGAAGTTGAGGAGGCCGATGGCTAGGCCGCCAAGGATAACGGTGAAGTTGAGCCAGGAGAGGAAGGTGCGCTCGTTGGCGAAGAAGACTTTGGGCTCGACGCGGGTGGGCAGGGCAATACGCTTGCCTGGAAATTATGTTAGCATTTAGGTAGAACAGTTCGCTGAAGAAACATACCCGGCGCAGTCTGGAGGAGAGGTTGGGTAGACATGACGGCGTTGGTCTCAACCCCACAGGTGTAGTAACGAGAGGTCTTGAGCGGTTCCCTCGGGTGGTAAAGCGTTCAATTGGCTGGGAATTACTTCCCAGAAGGCCAATGAAGGAGAGTTCGCAGAATGAGGTGGTGGAGAGAAGAAAGTAGCACTATCTTCAATTGAAGAAATCAAGCTCTCTTGTCGCGGCCGGCAGCAATCACCAAACCAGACCCATGCAGCAAAGGCCCCTGCCGTCCAATCAGTACGCCCACGTGATAGCGATGTTTTTAGCGCCGTTTCTGCGAGGAGGTGGATCGTGCGCGACAGGCGGGCGTTTTTGGCCCAAACACCCGACGTAAACAGCACGATACGTCGACGCCTCATACTCTGCAACTTTGTCTTAGACGCAAACCTACAAACCGCCTCTAAAACGCATTCCTACTTAACATCACAATGGCCGTGAGTGAAAAAGGGACAATATGGCATCGCGAAAGGTTACTCACACTATGCAGTCCCAGTCACCGCTCCCCACAGCAGAGCTCGAGCAGATCGCTAGCAGTGTAGGCAATGTTACATTCCACTTAAAAACAGGGACTAATAAAGATTGATTGATAGGCTTGCGAACAAGCCATCGGCGCATCAGAGGCATACGATCACACCAAAGTAGCAGACTGGAACACCACTATCATCGTAAGCAAATCCCCTATCAGAACACCCGTCGTCGCACAAACCCATACACGCGACCGCCTCCCTTTTGCCTTCTTCCTTGTTCAACCCAAAAGCCCCACAAAGCATGTTAATAACACTACACAGCAAACCATCCTCAAAACCCTCATCGCCAAAACCTCGCACAACGCATCGTCCCCCGACACCAAAGTCGAGCTCAGCCCCGAGGCCGGACAACCCGCCTACAAGTACATTGCCAACAGCACCGTCATCCAACACATTGGCTCGCCTTCAGAACCGGAAAAGCACGGCCGTCGCGGCATGCACAGCGCTGTCGGCGCCTTCTGGAACAACGAGAAGGATGGAACGTATAGCTACAAGTGGGAGGGCGCAGAGAAGAAGGGCATGGATATTGTGATTACTATTACCTGGATCGCTATATAAGTTCATGCATGCAGGGCGGGAGCAGACTACGGGTGAAGAAAGGGGGGTGTCTAATGGGTAGTAGACTGAGCGTTATGGCTTTGGATGCCCTTTTCATCATTGTTGGCGTTCAGCTCGAGTGGGTGTATGTGTGCATAGTTCTGCGCCCTTCTTGTCAATACGTCAAATCGACTATTTTCTCCATCCACTTCCCTCATGCATTCTCGGGAAGTGTATTCAAGAATTAATGTTTGCACATCACTAATTTACGAGTTCAAGTGCACGGTACTACTCTCATCCGACCAATCTCACCTCAATATCTATCAACGAAGCTTTGTCATCGTGTTGATTCATGTTGGCCTTGCTCTTAGGTTTGGTAGTTTGTAGTCAGTGGCACTAAAAACACTTTGGTTATTCAGTTGGATTGGAAACAAGCTTGCATTATATTTCAAGTTCAAGTGGTATTGACAACAGCATCGCACTCTGGTCATGGTGTATGTATGTTTGCGGACCCTGATTACCCGCGCCAAAGCGTGGGGGACAATGCGGCAACAAATGCAAAGGTACGCACCAGGCTAGGTACTAGCCGGCGAAAGGAAGAAGAAGACTTGGGGGATCAGAGGAAACGATCGAGAAGAGAATTTTGGCGTTCGCCTTTGGGTCCTAAGCCTTGGTGCCTACGCCGTCGGTGTGCGTAGCGCTACTCCGGCCGTTGTTGGCCTCCTCGTGCTTACTTATCAGCGCCCTCAGTTCGCTCGTAGAGCTTTTGCCGCCGTTCTTCTCCGTGATGAGGCCCTTCAACCAGGCATTCTCCGTCTCGAGTTGCTGGATCCTAACTTCCAAGAGGTTGACTTTGTCGGACATGTCCTTGGCGGTCTTCTCGAGGGCTTGCTCACGCTGCTTCTTCTTGACGCGGAAGCGGGCGCTGGCGGCTGTGTTGCGGCGACGCTTGTCCTCCTCTGCAGCAACGCGGGCGTTCTCGTCGAGATGTTCGAGCGGGATATCATCGTCGAGCTTGCGCTTCTTGGAGGCCTGGTCGAAGCCTGGTGTGACAGGAGATATCGAAGAGGTAGACGAGGGGTATGTGGTGGGCAGCGGGTAGTGGTTTGGCTGAGGCAGAGCTGGCATGCCAGGATCGAGGATTGCGTTTTGGCCAAAGTTGTTGAAGTCGGTGAACTGGAAGTCGCCTGCAAAGAGATCAAAGTCAGCCATGGCTGTCGTGATGGCAGAGTGATGGAGAGCTCGAGTCGCGATGCGAGCCTGTGGTGTTCTCCGCCAGCAGCGCGGGCGATTGCGTGCTTGGAGGGGATGTGATGCTCAGCGGCAGGGCTGCAGACTCATGCCGTGTTCTGAGTGGCTAGTATACGAAAGTGTGGGGGTCTCAATGCAGACGCGAGAGATGGCGGGGTTTTGATGCGCCGCGCCAGCCGCCCATTGGACAACGTGATGCAAACAATATACAACCGCTGTGGTGGGCAGAGTCTCGACCAAGACAAACGACAAGAAGACCGAAGAAGAGATGGAGACATGGGGAGGCTTACCATTCAAGTTGAAGTCCATGTTGGGCGGAGCGCTAGTGTTCTCGGTTGAGGGCGGAAGTGTCGCACCGCTCTTTGACGGCTGAGTTTGCTCTGCGTCGATGTCGACGTCGAAGTCAATGGGAGAAGTGAAGTCGACAGGGACGTGGCGGCCGGTGTTGACGTCAAAGAAGTCGGCGTTGAGGAAGGCGGAGAAGTCTTCTTCGACGGGTGGCGGCTCGACGAGTAGTTCCTGGCTTGGTGGGGAGAGTTGGTTCAAGTTCGCGATGTACTGGGACACGTTGGGCCCGCGATGCCCCTTGTAGGCGGACATGGGCGACGACGTCGAATTTACGGTGGACCACGAGGTGAATGCGCTGGATGTCAAGGTGAAGAAATGGACGTCTCGGAGGGGTTTTGGCGAAATCGGCAAAAACCGTGTTGAGGAACGGTAGGCCCGATGCGGCGCACTGGCGTCAGTCGACTAGTTCCGAGAACGACGCGGCGGCCCTGGAATAGATGGTATCGTGGCCGAGAAGGTTGGGTCGCACAGAGCCGTTGGAGGGTGCGTGACGCAAGATGTGAGTTAACCAGGAGAGGGAGTGATGTTGAAGGAGGAGCAGAGAGATGTGGAAAGAAACTCTTCGGCTGATGGGGCCCCGCGCATCGGACTGTCGCTCTGGTTCTGGTAGTGTGACTGTTAGCGATGACTTGGGCGAACTGTGGCCGGGAGCCCCCCACGCCTCGGCTTACCACAAACGATCGATGGTTCGCTTTGCTTCTCCCCGTTGCAGTCGAGTTTAGTAGTGAGTAGTAATCCACGAGGATGCTTGTGAATGCGCTTTTCGCGGCAACGTCGTCTGAATCATCTGCACTCTTGACTACATTCTCGTGCGCTCCCCCAACCCTTAGTATTGTACTCGGCAGTTGATATCGGGGGTTTTGTAATCAAAGACGTGCACATCCAATCACGTCTCAGGAGCGGGTCCGAGATTCACCCGACGATCAAAGGCGATCATGACGCAGACTGCATTGAGATACGATGCAGCAGAGAGGACGTCGAGCTCTTTGGACGCTAGGAACACTTTACTAAAAGCATCCTCAGTCTCTATCGATGACATGTGCAGTCGCCAGACAGTGGCTTTGGAGACGCGTCTGGGTTCGTTTGTGAGACTACATTACAATTCTCCTGGCAGCTATTCAAGACATGTTACCAAGCATCTCACTCCTCCGTGTAGCATGACCTGCGTACCACCTTGCGTGTGCGTGCATTTGTAATACAATCCCCGTTCCTACCCTCGAGTTGGTAGACGCCTTGGCTGAGAGATACCCCACCGACTCCGCAAGCTGATATCACGTGTCAGCCTGCGCGCCGTGCCCTGTTTCGTCCCACGACGCGTCCGATTGCAACCCTTTGCTGCTATCGATAACAATGATAAACAATGCATACACAACTGAGCTCCTAATCTTCTTCAAATAGACGCGCTGAACGCAATGGCCACCGCCCCAGACTACAAGAACATCCCCCACTCACACCGCTTGCCTGTCCGCCATCGCGAAGTCCAGCGCACCTTCACCAAGCTCTCCCGCCAGTCCCTGGTTTCGCTCGTGCAGCAATGGCTCAGCAAGAAGAATCGCGACTTTTGCAAGCCGTACCTACTCAGCGACCGCAAGCATGGGGAAGAGGAAGACGACGACGAGCTCTATGAGCCCGCCCAGAGCTACGAGGAGCTGCAGGAGACATACAGGGAGTTGGCAACACGCAAAGGCGGGAGAAGAGAGGTCCTCGATCGTATGCTAGACGGCGACTGGAGGACAGGCATATCCATGTACCAGCTTGCGACGGCAGAGATACAGTACCTTCTCGACCACCCCAACGCATTGCGCTGGACAGCCAAGCGTCTTACCAAGATACCGAATGCCCGATCAACCATAACAGACATGGAAGTCACAAACGACTCCGACCACCTCCCACGATTCCAGGCACAGACCTTCATGTCAAATCTAGCGAGAGAGCTGACACCACTCATGAAGGCGCATTACCTCATTACACGGATCAAGACCTCCCCGATGACAATACTTCGCGTCTATATACATGACGCCCCATATAGCAGCGAAGGGTCGCTAGCCGTAGACTCGAACAGTACAGATAGCGCCAAAGCAGTCTTCTTCGTGTGGCCGAATGGGTCCCCTTTTGTCTACTCCTCCCTAGCAACGCTTACAGGCCAAGTGGTTGGGGACGATGGGAGACATCTGAGAGATATCGTGCAACAAGCAATACCAAAGGCTTTCTCAAGACCATCTGCACGGTACCAACTAACAAGTACAAACTTCACCACGAAATCGCTTGATGCACTTCTCACCTATCGTGGACCTGGGAAGAGCAACGCGGCAGCTGGAGGATGGAGCATCTTCCAAGACCACAGTTTTAGCCAAAACGCGCTCGACTTCATTACTACCCAAAAAGGCGACGGCCACGAGAAGGTGTCTGCGGGCAAGACTGCCGTAAATGGTGGAACAAAAGCTGGGCCAGGGCGGCCAAAACGACCACTAGATGAAAAGGAGTCTTCAGAAGCGAAGAGGAGGAAAGAAGTAGTAGCAGGCCGCTTCGGTACATCCGCACAATCTGATGATGACCAAGGCCTTGAGCGCTTCGAAGTGCGCGTCGACGATCCGTTTCCTTCACTTGATGGTAGCAGTACCGCGCAATTGGACGATAACACGTCAACCCTCGATGCCCAAGCCTCGAGTCGATCGCGTCGAGGTCGCCCTTCTCTCCTCGATAGGACAGCTGAAGACCTCGAGGAGATTGGGAACGGGCAGGATTGGGTGCCCAACGTGCGCATCACTTTCCAAGGCACACATGTCTTCGCAGGCATTAGGCAGCTGGCCGAAGAGGGTGTTGTAGACGGCGAGAAGATGCCTGGTTGGATGACTGGAGAGGCAGGCGTGACTATCGGGGCAGTAAGAGAGGGCAGAATGCGGACCAAAGAGGGCGTCCCTGGTATTTAATTTCAGTTTGAGCATTACGATGCGGAGTCAGCGGGCGTCTTGATATCGGTATACCCACAACGCGGTGTTTGGAGTTTCTTCGATTTGGTACGGAAGCAACGAATGCGACCTATAGGGATGACTTGTATTGTTACATTGTCTACGCAGATAAACGATAATGAGCAATGTTATATGGAACTCCTTACCGCGTGGGAACGTTCCCTTCAATCACTCATTATATTCCCTTCGTCTACTACACGCACTCACAATCTTATTTCCGTAAACATCCTCAATATTCGTGTGTCATCCAAGCACCTTATCTCCGCGCACAAGCATGCTCGGCGTCTCGAACCGTTCACCTACATCGAAGTCTCCCAGGCTTTCATTCGCTTCACCCTGTACCTCGTATTCCAGGAGCCGGCTATATCGACGCTTTCGAGCTCGTCCCCGGTAATCCCCGGTGTCCGCTGTTCTTCGCCGACCGAAATGACAGCCTCATGTGGCTCGTGCAGTGGATGCGCGGCTCAACAAGCATCTCTACGTAACCACTGAGTGGCACCAACCTTCTTACAACCAACCCCAAACCCCTTCTGACCACTAGTTTGCAAGATCGGAGCCTCTCCGGTCTTCAATAATGGCACGAGACCATCCGCCTAGCAGTCAGATTAACAACGATGTCATACTGCAGGACGTGCTTCGCGGCCTTGCATCTGAGGCTCACTGAGAGGCACTAGATTGGGTGTGGCTGTTGTGGCTAGTGCGCACGTCCTGCCGTTTAGCCGTCGCGGCGTAAGGCTGACATTCACTTTCTTGCTTGCAAAGTCATGTGCCTGCTCTTCCTAGTAATGATAGGGCAATCAATGCATACCAAGTCGGGAATAGCAGAGCGTTTGGCCTGTGGTTGGGTTGAAAGATGGGTCAAATGAAGGATGGGTAGGATTGATGCGTCAACCGGTGACCCACTTGGGAAGCTTGGGAACGGGAATCATGTCTTGACTGCGTGGATGCTGAGATATGGACACTTGGCGAAGTTGGAAGAGGAAGCATATATACCAGCTCGATTTCCTGCGTAGAAGTGCTTCTTCAGCACGAGAGCTTATCTTCATCTTCTCGAGCATCACACCAAACCGCACATTCCAACACAAGGCTACCACAACAAAACAATATCAACTAGACACATCGACGTCATCAACACCACCAAGAAGAATAAAATAAATAAGACATTGCCGATGACAGTCACTTACGCCCAACCCACCAACGCTCGAGACTCGACCACAAGCCTCAACACGCTCGGTTCTCCCAAAACAAATGGAGACTCTCCCAACGCTCCAACAATGTCCCACCGACGAGCCCGAGCCACCTCCCTTGACAGCCAAATCTCGCGTCTCCCACACTTTACAAAGTCCCCCACCATGTCGACAACAAGCAGCACCGACTCAAACATGTCGTCGTCGCGCCTGGAAATCGTCTCCGCAACACCCAGCTGCAAGACGCAGCGCGAAAGCGTCGAGATTGCACCGGGGAACTTCTCCAAGCCGCGCGTTAATAAACGCAGTCGTCGGGATACGCAGGATAGCTCTCGCAGTGAGGGTGATAAGGAATTCAAGTACTATGGCCGCCATGCGAATCAGTGGTTGTTCAACGACTTTAGCGTTACACATGCTGTGTCCAAGGGGTTTAAGAGATTCTTTGGCAAGGATAATGGGGGAGATTGGTATGAGAATCGGGAGAGGTAGAAGTGTGGTGGCAAGTGTAGAGGAGGGTTGGACATTATGCTCATGTGTTGGGTTTACTGTGAGATACAAGGTGGGAGAGAGAGAAAGCATATTCTTACAACGCGTTGGTAGGGATGAGGAATATATTTATATACTACGACTATCTTCCGATGGAACAATCTCGACGTGAATCTGCTCAAACTGTTGTCGTGTATCTGATTGTAATGAACTAATCTAGCAAAATCTTTTTTCAAATTCTAAAAGGCACCAGCCCGCGATGAACATATTCAGTATAGAACAAGGAAATCTAAAGAGAAAACTCATTCATCAGTCCGTAAAGTCTAAACGAACTCAGTCCAGCATGCCGCAATCCTCATCGTCACTACCACCACTCAACACACTCTCCGAAGCAACACTCCCCTCGACGCTGACTTTCACTCCATCACCCTCAACAGATACTAGTCTCGGTTTGCGCAAACCCCGCTCAACCTCATCCTCGAAATGCCCCAGCACATGTTTACACCGCGCATCCCAGCCCCCTTCCCCCTCGCTTTTCCACCCACAAATCGGACACCCCAAATCTCCCCTCGGTCTGTAATCCACCTTGCTCAGCTCCAGCACCTTTTCTGGCATCCAATCTTTATGGCTCTCCTTTGCATGCTTGAGGAACTTGTCCTTGCGGCTTACCATGAAAGGCTCCTTTTTGCCGTCAGGCTGACAGCAAAAGGTACACAACCATATCTCCTGCGGTTCGTGCGTTTCTTCGTGGCGTCGCCAGTCAAAGGCACGCTTGGTGCGGTACCCGCAGCCAAAGGTGCAGCGATAGGGGCCCGTGTTTACGCTGCGGCGGCCGTCGGTGCGGGGACGTGGGCGCCGGCATGCGGTGATGTATTTGGCAACGAGAAACAGTGTGCTAGGAGGGAGGTGGGCGTTTGCTGTTGTGAGAACGTAAGGTTCTACGGGTAGGCACTGCTGCAGGGAAGGGGTATCGACCTGCTGATTTGCTGAAGACGGGCTAGTGTTGCTGAGGCTTGGGTAAGTTTTGTTCAGATATTCATATACAATTTGGGGTCGAGCTTGGATGAGTGTTGCTAACGCGCTCATGGCTTCGTTCGAGCGGGCGAGTCGAGAGTCAGAACATGCAAAGGTTTCAAACCAATGCCGGACAAACTTTTTTTGCTTGGCTGTCAAATATTCTGAACCTCTTTGATAGGTGCTCAGATTGCTGTAATCCTCGTCCTGTTGATCGTCGGTGAGGTTCACACCTTGAAATGAAAGCGCGCCCTGGAATCCACCTGAGGATCGTCGTTTCCTTGAATGCCTGTCGGTCCGCATTAACTTCAAAGGGCGCTCCATTCGACTTATGGAGTCGGCCCTACCATCTCTGGGGGTGTCCTGAGATCTTTTTCTAGATGTCGTTGACGATTCTGTCATCTGGCAGCTATCGTCGGATAATGAATCATCTTTGAGTCGGGGTTCAGACGAATATGATTGCATGCCACTGATGCTGGAAATGGATAAGGTTGGAGCTCTGTGTGTTCCGATAGATCCTACTGGTTCGTAGATGATAGACTGTTGCCTGGAGGGAATAGGGATATGGGGATAGTGGTTCCAAGTCGTGCCAAATGAATGATGAACAGACGGCACAGCCGCGATGCCAGTACTTGTGCAGTTTCTGAAGAAGAGAGTGTTCTGAAACGTCAAGTTAGTTCTGAGTTGTCTTTACTTAGCACATGCGCTGGACATGATTCTTCAAGTCATACGTGGGCCTTCTGTAAGGCTCATCGAGCTGTGTAGATGTGGAACCGCTCACCAAAGGATCCAAATGAAGCGACTCTCCAGTCGAAAACGCCGGCTCCAGGTCTGCTGAGTTGATGCATGGGAAACTTGCTGGCCAGATAGATTCGAGGCTGCTGAAGGCAGCTGCATCTTTGTCCTCGGGAATAGGCGGGGCTGAAGAGCATGGATAGGTTGTTTGGGATAGCTTAGCAGTCGCGGCATATTCTGATTGGCCTTGGCCGTTGCCTAAATATCGCTCGTGGTCAGCAGCGCTATATCCAAAATGGCGTAGCATCTTCAATGACCAGGAGGGTATTTTTCGGGGCCAAATAGGGCTAGATTCATCGGAAGTACCCTAAAGTGCGGGTACATCGCCGTGTGGATCATTCTTGGGTGGAGAGATCTGGTGTGTAGACTGAATCCAAGTAGCTGAGACGCTCTAGTTATTAGACTTTTTTAAGCGGGATTTTGGGGACTACGCCCACGCCCTTGGCTGTGCCTTTGCGATTAGATTCAAGGCGTATTTGGCAATTCGCTCGCCCTGAACTCGTCACGTTGCAAGGAAGATATCGGAACTTGCGGTTCTCATCTGAATGGAATAAGGCGGAAGTTCAGTAAAACACATGAGTGGGGCCAGTAACACGAAAGAACGAGAGTCAGACCATAGTGAACATCAAAATGGCAGTCGAGGGTCGCAAGTCGCAATCCTGGGTGTTCTACACTGGAGTCTTGAGATTTGTCGTGTACTTCCTACGGCTTGTCGGTTTCCTCGAGAGAAAGAGTATAACATTGACGCAGTTCCCTTGATGAATACCGCTTACGCGATCAAGGTAACTAACCTCGAGAGCTCCTTCCAAACAGTCCTCCAAGGTTCGAGGAGTCTGAGCGCACTCTGCTGCTCTTTGTGCGTGAGGCTTCGAAGTGCTCAGAAAGAGCGCCTCCCGCTGAATATTGCTATAGAATACCATGCTCATAGATCGTTCTAATTTTCACTGAAATAAATCGGTGGCTTGGTTTATCAAGACGCTGTCTCGCATGGATGACCTTCTTTTCGGCCGAGTAGTCGACGCCCGCGGATAAGTCGTGATGCTGTTCGATTCTACCAAATAAATCGCTGCACCATGCCAGGCTCGCTAGGCCATGCGAAGCCTCTGTACAAGAATATGTACATTACGACAACATTGATAGCCAATAGCCAGACTGTCTCTAGCCCTAGCCGCATATCATATGACACTTTGCCAGCTGTCTTGTCTTTCGAAAGTGAAGCTGGAGTATAAGGCAAATGCAGCCGCCAGATGATCCACGGAACAATGAAATAACGAGGCTCCACTAACGGGGCTGTTATTACAGAAAGGGCAGTGGTGACCAACCAGATAGTAATGAAGCTGACTTGGCAGGGCGGACGATCAGCCTTGTCGCTGGTTGGACGAGCGATGCGCCTTGATCTAGTAGTCTCCTCGCCATCGCGAGACGAAGCAAGCGATTGGATAGTTAACCAGGCGCACGCGAAGTATACCGGAACCGCCAGATATTTGATCGCTGGGTGCTGCCGGAGGATTCGGAAGACGTAGAAGACATAATGTCGGTTGTCGGCCAAGGTGTACGGGTGAATTATGGTGTTAAAATGAACGGCAGCCAGACCACCAACGATAATCAGAGTAGATATTAAAACGGTCGGCATCGCCATGTTTGAAGAGATATTGAAATTGTCGTTGCACAACGTGCGAAGTGGTTTGGGCAATAGCGGAAGAAGAGGTTGAAGTAGCAGTCCTACTATAAGCGGAGCGGAGAAGAATGCGATATACGGCCAGAAGTAAAGCATCTGTGGAATGTGAATGGTAGCAGTGTGAGCTGATTTATCCCCTATTGACGTTAGCTTTTGAATTACTCGACTTGTACTGCGAGACTTACCAAGAACCACGCTACCATTCCAAACTACGAAGGTAACGAAGAGCGCTAGAAGAGTAATATATGGCACGGCAACCCTCATAATGAGGAATATGTTTTTCAAAGCTGCAATTGGTAACGATACCAAGAACAAAGCGATATCTGGTGAAAGTCAGTTATAGCGCAGAGCAGTAGATTTTTTCCATTCAACATACCTTGAGGTCGGGCATCTTGTATGGAACAATCATGTATCACACCTTTATCCCAGCTTCTTCGAATTACTGCGCTCGTATCTCCTCTTGTTGTGCCCACAGCTGAAAAATTGTCCCCCTTGAGAGCGTTGACTACTGCAAGGCCAGCTGGGAAGACAGCCACCCAGAAGATGTTGGTCTGTCGAAAGAAAAGTGCCATAATGCCGATACACACAGCATTGATGTTCTCGAGGATGCTCCCAGATGCCGAGCTTTTCTTCAGGAAAGCACTGTAGCTCAAAAGAACAACCAATGTAGACATGACATCAGTGTAATATAGTGCTGAAAAGAAGAAGAGCGGTGGGAATAGGGCGATATTGAGAGCCGAGTGAGCGTCTAGCACAATCGTTGGATCAATAACAACCGATTTCTCTTCGATTGTCTTTTCATCAATAGGCTCTTGTTGACCTGGGTTGATACGGCCTCGGAGTATGCGAAGTATGCCATAGCTCAAGGGGCATATAAGACAAAGAGCTCCAGCATTCAAGGCTCGAAGAGAAGATGTGTCACATCCGAGTAACGGCTCTAGAAACTTGCTCACAAGATATCTAAACGCTTCAGCAAAAAGACTTCGTTTCAGGGGCTAGTGCTGTGGTCTTACAAGCCTGGAGGGGTGGTGATTTTGGGGTCCCACGAGTAGTCTCGTATACAGTATTTCTGAGCTTGTGGTACATGGAAAAACTCGTCCTAGCGTACGATTAGAATTCTGTCACTAGAGCAATATAGACACTTACAAGATAGGGCTCTGGCACTTTATTCGAGACCACATTATACCACGTGGCCGTAAGGTTCACGATTGCCAGAAGAGCAGCGGGCAGAGCCCATGCCTGCAGCAAGGAATACATATGTCTCCGCGTACAGATTTGCTTAGAAAGAGCGATATGGGAGGAATAATGTCGTGCATCTGTGAGGCTAGAAGGCGCGGCGGGTGTTCCTGAAGAAGCTAGGCCGAACCCGGCTACTTTCCGCGGCGCGTGTTCACCTCCAAAAGCTTGACAGCAGTTCGATATCACATCTCTACGCGTCTATACCATGGCATTGCCTCTCCCACCGGGCCTGACGCCCCCGGAAATTGCGTTCTTGTGCGAAATGGAACTTATCACTATCATACCGCGTCAAAGACTCGAAGGACTTGAGCTGCTTGGAGTATGTCTGCCCCTCGGTCCCCCGCAATGCTTCACTTCATTCACCTGTCTATATATATAAGGGCTGACAACTGATATTTTTAGGGCCCTCTAAAACCTCTCAATCCGCCTCACAGAACCAACATCCCCCTCTGGCTCGCCCTCCTTCTGAAGCGCCAACGACGCGCCAACATCATCCCCCCACCATGGTTGAACACACACTCCCTCACCGCAATCCTCGACCACGAAATCGAAAACGAGGAAACCTTCTCTCCACCGCCGCGCCTACCACCACAGCCGTCGAACAACACGTTACCTACCTCACCACCATTCCTACTGACGTCTACGGCGGATGCGGCGCCAGATGCGCTACCGTATCACTGGCTGGAGTTGGGAGAGATGCTGTTGGAGGCTGCGAGCGACGATTTTGAGGAGCCAGATAATGTAAGGAAGTTGCTGAGGGGATTGAGGGAGGTGAGGATGGCGAAGTTGAGGAGTGGCGTTGACGTGCTGGATTCGGGGGGTGGGTTTAAGATGAATGGCGTCGGGGGCATGGAAGTTGGCGAAGGAAGGTCATTTATTACAGGCGTTATTGATGGCTTGAGGTGTGTATGGGTTAGAGTGATGCTCTGGGAGGTGTGGGCTAATAGTGGACAGGAAAATCGCAGCATCACGCGAGCAGCAACGCAAGGATCGGGACCGAGAAGAGCTGGAGAATGGATACTCTGGAACAGCAGGCGATTATGACGATGATGAGATGGACATGCAATGAACGCCTCGCACATGAGCATCCAGGGGCCAGCAACAGCCACTACATGCGCCCACCGTTGCACAAACAACTAGGACAGACATTTCATCACTTCATGGACGCTCCGATGCGGACGTCGTCAAGGCCTGTCACCTGCATCAGGCAGGCCGCCAACTGGGCAGCTACCGTACCTCGGGTACAGTCTCGAACCTGTCACACTCGCATCACGCACCGACGGGCCTAGCGCATGTTGTTTGAGAGCGAATCTCACCATCCACCGACTCCTGTCGCTGCGCCTTGTGACTTTTGGTATCGCAAGACAATGCCTACGCCAAGCGTATCGCTAGGACGCGGAACTCGTCCTACGAGTTCGTGGATCGGGGATTGTGCACCTGTCTTAGGGGCACGAATTACACATATTCTTTGTAGCATGTCGGCAAGATCCAGAAGTCATTACTACTTACAAATGGTTTTGCTCCAACGCCTTCAATTTCAAGGCATGATGGAGCCGAGCTTGAGCAAGGAAAACCCCTGAAGTCGGGCTGCCAGAATCTTCGGCGGGGTGCGAAGGCGTTGTGTGACAGCGGCAGATGAACAAGATTCCGAGAGGCGTTCGCTATGCAAGATGCACGACTGACACGTGCATGACAACCTTGTCCGCATGGGGCACTACATGCCAACTTGGAAGTCTATCATCGCCTGTGATGGCCACAGTCTCTTCCATTTAGAGCTGGGCAGCGACCCATGTTCTCGTAGTATTACCTAAAAATGCTTAAAAGTGTGAAGAAGCTGTAGGAGATTCACTAGGACGAGGACGTCAGTACAGGAGTAGCAGAGATCGCTGCTGGAATAGGTCATCTGACGGTCCAAGGCTATTGTCTTTATCTCTGGGGCTGGGGTCTTCCGCAAAGCATAGGCGATCATGGCAAGCTAAGAGGTGCGATATACATACCACCTTCTCTTTGCGTGAGATCCCGGCACTCTGATGTAACCGTCTCTCAAACAAATCTTAATCCAGAGACACGATACATCAATGTCATTATGTCGATCCGACACCAATTCTGCGATGTGAGCGTGATGTCCGAGTTAATCCAGCTACTGGGTTGAGAAAAACTTTTGTCGTGCCTTTGTCCTTTTTCATTCGGAGATTTCGCGTCTGACTCGTGGGGAGCGTCGCAGGATCAGGTCGACGACGCATGGACAACAGCGTGATCTTCGGCGACCTGCTGGAGCGCATGACCAACGCGTAGTCAACGCGCAGGCTGCTGCCGCACCGGTACCGGTACGCTGGTGTAATTGTTTGTTGATTCCATAATCTTGTGCCCGGGGGTTCCTTCCTTCTCTCCGATACGAGAGTACTGGGATGCTTGGTACAAGATCAAACTTTCTCGGATGTCTTGCATAAAGATTTTGACTCGTTGCGAACCGTTGGCGACTTGTTGATTGGAAACCACCATAAAGGATCGTAGACGCGCGCCGTCATTCGCGTACCCCGAAACTGTCATTGTTGTCAGACTGGACTGGTGATTCGACTTGATCGGTCAACTTTTGTCTCAGCCAGTGGGAGACATGTTGCTTTTCATCTTCTGTATTTGGAGCCATCTACAGTGTGGATACATCCTCGCCGTGGGCATATCCCCATCCCTAAATCTCCACCCTCCTCTCAAGACCCATTCTTAATATCATGATGCATGCTTTTTTATAACGGCAATGCTGCAATAACTTGCCAGGGTGCTCATATCATAAATCGACACTTGACCCTCAACTTACCCTTTGAAGTATATTCCGTACATGAATCGAAGGAAGTGAGACGCCTCAAGGATGATCTGCTGCTAGGTGAAGTAGAAAAGAAAGTGCAGAGGAGATTAGAGTTCGTGACGGCTGTCAAAAGAGCTCGTGGTGGTTTTTCCTCCACTGAGAACGAGGCGGAGCGGGTCGCGATGGCTGCTTTCGGAGTGGTGAAACGCAGACCCGGGAGCGGGAAGAGATTTGGAGATTTGGAGATTTGGAGACGCGAGACGATTAGCTTCGAGCTCGTAGGACGTTCCTTATAACAAGTGTACCTGATCGGCTGGTTCATGTCTCGATGCGCGAGCGAGCATCAATTGCTGTCATGAGCGAAAAACCCTGATAGAGGAGGCTAGAATGTGATGGAAAGTGTTGATGGTGCTAAGAGAATAGATCGCACTCCAACCCTGCAGTTTGTACGTACCCTACCTTGCAGTTGCATACACGAGGACGCAGGTACGAAATAACTAGCTTGGGTGATTTAATGGATGAAAATTGGGTACTGCGGCTACATAGTGGAGTGGTTGGGCTCTCTACCGCTTTGCCGGGTGTGGGGCACAATAATGTAGATTGTGAAGATCTTGATCGAGACAGTGGATTCTGCGTTCCTTCGGTGCCCAGGCACTCAGGTAATCGAGGAGCAAGGAAGTCGTGGTTTGCTACAAGTATAGCAAAATACGCTCGACAAACTTCTACGAACCGAAGGCCACTGTCCTGGACAGAATGGCCCTAATTTCCACTAGAATCCTGCCAAATTATTGAGCGAGCGATTTTGTGTGGCGGTGGAGTGATTGAGGGATATGAGGCGTAGTCCTGAAGAACCGTTGAGCTGGCAACTATGTGTGGTGATGATGTGATAGAAGGGCATGCGGCGTAGTCCTGCAGGTGCAAGCTTTGCACGAAAAGCCCCGCGCCATGGACCACGGTATTGGGGCTGTCAACTATGCCTTTTGAACGGATCAGTCTTTCAGGCTGCTTGCCCCGCAATGAGGGCTGGCTGTTAAGACGCGAAAAGTTTGCGTAGGCCCAACTACCGTCTTTTGACTTCTAGCCATGTTCTTGTCTTTGCCGGTCCGAATCAATAGTCAACTCTTGGTAATTCTAATCGTGGAAGATCTCAAGGGCGCGCTGGAGGATCGACGATCATTCGGACCTACGCGTCTATCGAGTCCATCGACCCGGTCTGCCAGAGTCGAGAAGAAAGTGACGAGATACATGAGGGCATGGGGTGTATGCAAGGGGCGCACAAGGGGGAATGAGGGGCATGCTTGGCAGGTACTAGAACGGGTAACGTTTCGGCGTGGAGGTGAGGTGATTGTGGTGTCGGAATTGATTCATCATGAGATGTACATCGTATTGAACGAGTAGAAAGTGGCCGTGGCAAAGGTGAAACGCTTAGAACGCTCTGTGAAATCTCAAGTATCATCATTACCTAGTGGAGATATATACAGGCAGTTGCTGTATAGATGCAAGACTTTGGGACAGAGTGAGACGGTACAGCGCCAAACTTCATTTCGACCCATCGTAATGCCTCTCGTATGCTCAATTATGCTGATTCATCCCCCCGCGCTTTGACTCGGAGCAATTGGGACTCGCGTCGCGTTGACAAATGCATCCGTTGGAACCGGACGATGAGAAAGATGTCTTCGGACGACTTGACTCGCAACGCTACTGTTCAATTACGAAAGCCATTGAGAATCTTCCTTCAAGTGATCTTTCTGTTGAGGGGCTGGGACGAACCGTGTGTTTTTTAATTGCTCACAGCTAGCCGAAGAAACCACGACCTTGTCTATGCGCAGGCTGATACTGGAGCTTCTTGACAGATGTGCAGCTCTTGCGACTGTGCCGCAGCCCAGCGCTCATAATTTGTGTTCAATCCTACGGTTCCGCGTGGTGTCTCACTCACATGACTTCAATGTCTCCTTCGAAAGGGGTTTGGATCCGCCTGCGCTTCCTTAGCCTCGGTGCATGTGCATCTAAGCCTGGCCATTCGGGGCCGGGGGTCGGAGTGCGCTCCTTGCTGTCCGGCGGTCGTTGTTGGTGAGCACGTGGAACGGAAGCGCGAGCGGTGATGAAGGTGCTGTTTCGGGCGTTGGGCTGGGCATCAATAGGACATTAGACAGAAAGGACATTGCGAAGGAGCGGAGTATTGATACCTGCCGAGTCTGTTGGGGAGAGGATCTTCACACAAGTTTACATGCTAACGGGATTCCGGTAGATCGCAACGTGCCCAGCTTTTCAGAATTCCAAAAGTGAGGTCGTTTAGAGAATTAGGAAATGCTCTGCAGTCGGCGCATTTATACCGGTGACTAAAGTGCATCTCGGTAGATGGCAATGCTTGATAGCGCCAGTAGTGTACCATTCTGCTTCTGATTCAGTCATGCTTATGGGTTTCGCCAAGGATGGCTTTTGGAAGCTTTGCAGAGGAGACCAGCGGCCTTGATTAGGAAGTGGAGAGAAGTTATCAAATCCGCTGTATCGTAGGAGGTGCCGCTCGAACGATAAGGGGGTCTCACCCTCGGGCAACGCGGTCCCTATCCTCGCTAAAAGCTAATCGGGCGAGATCGGGTTCGGGGTTCTAACGAGGAAGAAGGGCCGCATGTCGACATTCGCTCAAGTGTGGAGATCGGCGGATAGTACAGATCGGACTTGATCAATTAGGACAAGATATGAGACCTAAGGTCTTTAATAGAGCCGGCCTTGATGCGAACAAGCGTCGTCCGCTGTTAGGGTGGTCGGGCTTGTTGATAGTTGATAGCTGAACTGCAACTCTGGCCTGACGTAAAAATTTGCTGTCGTGCTATTCGCAAGAAACTTTAAAGAAGCCATGACGTAGAGAAAGCGGTACGAATGCATCTGCCGAGAGACGACTCCTTAGGTTTGCGTAGCTACAAACTTAGTTCGAGTGTCGATAAAGTGTATTTTGGTAACTACAGTGTAACACTCGGTTGTTCCTGCTCCATGCTTAAATCTCAAGGCTACAATAAAATAAAAATCTGCAATGCATATAACTAATCGCACGTGCAAACTGCATATTGTAGTTGTATGGTACGGGAGGCCATGTGGATTGCTGGGGGTCAGGCTGACCGAGCAGTTTGTAGACAAGGATCATCCTCGGGTATGTTTAGCTCCTCAGTTTGTGACTGACGTACGCGTCTGACATGTGGAGCTATTTGCTAGTTGCGATTGCACTAAAATCGTCGGCGACTGCGTCTGTTTCAGGCCCCGGCAGCAAAGAGATTTCCGGAAGCTGGGCATTCGGGAGCCTCATACGCGGTTGATCCCGTAGTGACGTTTAGATCTGGAGCTACTGTAGGTCAAGCGACGCGCCCAAGAGCACACTGGAAAGTTACTTTGACATGCGCTCCTAACAAGTCGTGATTCGAAACTGTATTTCTGCATTGGAACCGCGTTCCTACCCCGCGCATGAGTTGTCTAGGCATTAAACTTTGTTCTTTTCAGCGACACTAGAAGCGAAGGTTCAGGACAAATTGCGGATGTGACGAGTACCCGCAGCCGCATATTTCACCGCGAGGCGATGACTGTTGGGGGCAGTTGAACCAGGCCGGTTTCCGAGTGCACGTGAGAGTGCCTGCCTATCGAGTATTGTGTCTAGTTTATGTTGGTTGCCAGATATTGTCGCTTTCATCAGGTCGGCGTGGTGAGCTGCAAGATGCCCAATACATCACAGCTACTGCAGGGCCCATGGGTCTTGATGGGGGTCTGAATTGGGCTAGTGCAAACACCCCACGTAGTGAAGATTGATGTCCCTTGTCGGGGAAAATGACAGCCAAGAGCTCTGTATGGAGCGCGCGCAGCCATAGGTTGCGTTTTTCCTGATGAGACGAGAGCGAAGCGAAGAGTACCTTGGTTGGCATGGTTTTTATTAGGCGTACCTTTGCAGGCTCGAGGGATTTGACGAGCGGCTTGCAGTGCCGCAGCTAATGGCTTGGGATCCTTTGAACATTGGAGCATCGGGCCAGTAGAAGAGCCCGAAGCGGTGCAGGAGTGCGGGAGAGCAGCTCCGGATTGATTGAAGGCGTTGACCGTGGCAACCGGGGAGCCTAAGCCGTCGGCATGGCTCGAGCAGAGAGCGGATCGTTGCCCTTTACAGGCGTCGAGGTGGTGAACCGGGGCAAGGGACGGCGGTGGGGGCGTGCAAGCCTCGCGCTGCAGGGGCCTGGTTCGCTTCTGGGTGTGTGCTCTACGGGCTGTCATGCAGACGGCCGTATTCAATGGTGTGCCAACTGCGTGGGCCTTTTGCTGCATGGGACCTGACGGAGCACACGAGTCGTAGCGTGAAGCTGTCACAGGTGTCATGGGCCTTGGCATTGGGTGGGTTGTTTAGAGGGATGGAGGGATTGAGAGCAGCCATGGAGAAGGGGGAGGGGGAGGGGGAGGCAAATGCTGTTCGTCCACGTCCACGTCGACGTGTCGGACGGGGTTCGCATATATTGGCCAAGAAAGTCGATCTGCTGAGGCAACAACGTTTATTAGGGAACAGGGCAAGGGCAGCGAACGGTGGCCCGCCCGTCACGAATCGGGGTCGTGTTGCCGAAAGGGCTGGGTATAGACTGTCTTTACATTGGTGTGTCGAGGTTGGGTGGTTACGAGGCCGCAGCTCCACCAGCGCGCGCCCTGGCTTGAAGCACCCCTGGCATGGCCCTGACAGCCCGCCACGTCCATGCGTCAACTATCGCTCGTCAAGTACTGTAGCGCTTTTCTCGAAATGGCGTGGGCCGTGGGACGATATGTGATGTGATAATAACGACGCCGTGTCCTGGTCGTGGACTCCCCGCAGCTTTTGCGCATATCCTCATTTGCATTGTATACTATCGTCTGCTTGCAGGCAACGCGTCGAGTATAGTAGCAGCAGCAGCAGTAGCAGTAGTAGTCGTGGTTATTCTTTTGGTCGCTCCTTCCCCTTCCTTCGCCTTCGCCTTCCCCATCCCCTCCTCGCTTGGGTCGCGACTACCCTCGAGGAACCGAACGACCGTTGAGAAGAAACCCCAACTCCGCACGTCCTTCCTCTCCCTGCAGAGGCAGGCAGGCTCCCCGACCCTTGCAGCCCTCCAGTTGTTCTCCATTCCCCCCTCCTCTCTTGATCGCCGTTAGAAAGTGCGACGCTCCTGCTTCGCTACTCCTCTCAAGCCTTCGCCTGTCCCTCCTTAGCATTCAATCCAATCCAACGCCTCTCGACCAGCTGGATCCGTCGACGAGAGACAGTCCGCGTCTGAGTACAATCCACGAGCACAATTCGCCCTGTCCCATCTCTGCGTAACGGAAACGACGTCTGTCCCAGCCTCTCCCCACGTACAGCCCGTCTGGCAAGCTGTTTCACCACTCTTTACTCGTCGGCCTGCGTCCCAAATAGGTAATTACTTTCACGCCAGAATCACTCATTCGCTGCACTTTGCGACACGGCCAACCGCCAATTGTCATTCACCACCATTCACATCCTCGCCCGGACCTATCATCGTCGCAACGGGTAGCCTGTCCTCCGTTGGTCGCGTCCTTCTCTCCGCATTCCTAGCCGACGGGTCTGGTGCCATCATCGTCATTCCTCGCTTTTCTGGCTCAAACACAATAATAATAACACTCGCAACAGCAAAGAAAACAACAGCAGCACACCAACACCAAACCATCTACCCCGCAGAGACGCCATTTCCACTCATCCCCACCCACCTACCGTCAACTATCGACAATCGGCCTACGGTTCGGCCGGCGTCACCTACTTGCCTTGACTAGATGCTCGATACGCGTACCAGTGGACCTGCGACGCTCAATTAGCGATTTGCCTGTGGCCACGCAACTCCCCGACATAACTTGCCCAGTGGTCATTCACCCCTGCTACCTTCGACATGGCCGAGTACATGTTGGAGCAAGAAGACATGGACAGGAACTCGAGTGCAGTCGTTGCGCCCTTGAACATACAAAAACCACCAAGATCGCAGGTCAATGTATTCAGGCACAGTCGCCAGTCGTCCTCACGAGGAACGCACTCGACCCGGTCGCAGTCGCAGTCGCAAATATCTCCGCCTCTGACGCCCAAGACGTCTAGCGAGGCCATGGTCCAGCAGCCTCCCCCGCAACCCATCTTCCACAACTACCTACGCGCCTTCTATCACTACAGTCCAGGCTCCACCGTCTCGTCGTCAACCGACGAATCCTCCATCACTGTCGCAATCAAGCAAGGGGATGTTATCTTGGTCCACTCGGTGCACCCAAATGGATGGGCAGACGGTACTTTACTGGCATCTGGAGCTCGTGGATGGCTACCCACCAATTATTGCGAGCCCTATGATCACCCCACCATCCGGAGTTTACTAAACGCTCTAACCCATCTGTGGGATCTTGTTCGTGCTGGTGAGAATGGCGACCTATTCGCCTTCACAAAACAAGACTATGTAAGGGGCATGATTGCCGGAATCAGGTTCTTCCTTGTAGGTGGTGCAACATACTCTATCGCATATGCGTGTCTATGAGTCGTTACTGACCACGTGTAGGAGAGGACTGGCTGCTTGTCAAGAGATTCGCGTCTCATTGTCGCACATGTCGGTCTGCGACGAATGCGGAAAGGTCTCCTAGGTGATCTCTCTACACTCGTCAAGACGGCCAAAGTGCTGCAGGAGACGCTGCAATCAAACGACGCGCCGGTGCCAGTGTTTGAGCATATGGACGAGCTCGTACTCAAGTCCTTCAAGCTCGTGACCAGAGCCGTCCGGTTTCTTGACATTTGGGCCACGGATGCAGTGGCGCTGTCACTGTTTGAGCTGGGTGATGCCACGGCTCAAAGACCATTGACTCCGCCGTCTGACGCTGCTGTGCAACCGCCACCAACATCACACCGAACGGGCGAAGACACCCTCCCGGCGAATGCTTGCGAATCCCCCGTTACACAAGGAGTATTTTCCGCGCACGAAGACTGGGACTCCGCAACAAGTCAGCTATCACGTAACTTCAACCGTCTCTCAGTTGCCTTTTCTCTACCCTCGGAGCCAGACTCGCTGCATTCGCCCATCCTACCTCCTCAGTCTCAATGTCAAGTACATCGACTCTCGGTCACCCACCGTTTGTCTTACACTGGAAAATCTCAAGGTGCGCGCAAAGGAAATCTTGCTTCCGAGCGGCTGAACACCGCGCAAGACGCTTTTTTGGGCTTTATTGGTTCTTTTATTGGGTTGCACCTACAATCGCGCTCGTCGGAAGAGCTCGCGCATATCACCCAGCAATCCGTCATTGCGTGTCGTCAATTACTCGTAGTTGTGGAGGAAGTATGGGAACGCGACTCCAGAAGGTCCCAGCCACTAGAAGAAGCCCGAGACACCATGTACGCACGACTGACCGAACTTGTACAAGCGACAAAGGACATGTTCTCTGCTACCGACGCTGAGGTAGTTGGAGAGGTTGTGACGCCAGATTCTGGGAAGCAACTCGTTACCGCTGCCACGAGCTGCGTTCGGTCTGCTGGTGACTGTGTTACCAAAGCTCGGCTTGTGATCGAGAGGATAGGGGATTTCGAGTTCGAAGTGGCGGGCTTGGGACTATCCGAAGCCATCTTCCAGCAACTTCCATCAGTCGATCAACAACAACAACAACAACAACAACAACAAGAGGACAGGCCTAAGACGCTCAGACTGTCGGAACCGCCACTAGAGACTAATAAACCACTTCCCGCCCCGCCGGCTGAAGAACGTCAACTTCCGCCTCCACTAGTCATCTCTGAATCAAAGCCTTTGCCCGAGGTCCCGCAGCCTTCGCCTGTGGAGAATAATAGAGCGAGCCTACGACCTGCCCAACCTGCTGTCATCGTGGAAAGTCCCACTGCGGTCTCGTTCAGATCTTCAAGATCATCACTGCCGGGTCTTGGTGCAGTACCAACTTCAATTTTACCCCCACTGAGCGCAACCGAGACTCTCGACAGCCCTGTCAGTATCACTGGTGGGCCCTTCACCAGTTCGGCCAAGACCGACAGTGTCAACGTCTCCGTAACCGACTTGAGCAGTAGCTACCACTTCAGCATGCGAGCTGGTTCTGGAAGCGTCGTTTCTCACACATCGACAAGGGCCACCACTCCTGAACATTCGCCATTGAAGAAGCAAAGCACTCAGACATTGGTTAGCAGCTTTGGCAGTTCATCAGAGCTTCGGTCTCTGGCAAGCGAGGACGTCGCGGCCGGTGAAGAGCATCTGTTGGAGACCACCTACGTGCATGAGCTCATCTACAACAAGGAAGGTCAAATCTCCGGCGGGTCTCTCCCAGCTCTTGTGGAGCAGCTTACCACATACGAATCTACGCCAGACGCCATGTTTGTCACTGCCTTCTTCCTCACGTTCCGTCTCTTCACCACCCCGGTAGAACTTTGCCGATGTCTGATCGATCGTTTCGATTATATTGGGGACAGCCAATCAGTCGGAGTGCCAGTCCGTCTGCGAGTCTACAATGTCTTCAAGGGTTGGTTGGAAACCCATTGGTCAGGAGATAGCGACTCTGCCGCCTTGGGTATAATCCTCGCGTTCGCTACGGGAAAGCTACGGGGGGCTATGCCTGCGGCTGGTAAACGCTTAGCGGAACTTACCTCCAAGGTAACCGAAGTTCGAGCAGGAGCTCTTGTACCGCGCCTAGTCTCTGCCATCGGCAAGACGGGAGTCTCACACACGGTGTTCACTCCTGCTGACAGTAACGTTCCATCCTCGAATATGACTAAAAGTCAACTCAACGCACTACGCGCTAGCAAGGAAGGCAAGTCACAAAGTAGTATCCTTGACTTTGATCCTCTTGAGCTAGCAAGGCAATTCACCATCATCGAGTCGAGGCTATTCTGCGCTATACAACCAGAGGAACTCCTTGCCTTGGAGTGGACCAAGAAGGGCGACTCGAAAGCACACAACGTCAAAGCAATGTCGACTCTTTCAACTGATTTGGCAAACTTGGTAGCAGATACCATCTTGCATCTTGAGGATGCAAAGAAGCGATCCATCATGATCAAGCAATGGGTCAAGATTGCAGCAAAATGCCTAGAGCTCAACAATTACGATTCGCTCATGGCCATCATCTGCTCTCTCAACTCCTCGATGGTAACGCGCCTGAAGAGAACCTGGGAACTTGTATCTGCGAAAACAAAAGCTCGCCTAGATGAACTGAAGACGATCACCGACGTCGGGCGCAACTACGCTGTACTTCGCCAGCGTTTGCAAAACCATGTCGCTCCATGCATTCCATTTGTTGGCATCTATTTGACAGACCTGACATTCATCGACGTCGGCAACGGCACCACGCGGCAACTCCCCGGTGATTCTGGCCGCGACAGCGTTTCGGTCATCAATTTCGACAAACACATGAAGACTGCCAAGATCATTGCTCAGATGCAATCGTTCCAGGTTCCGTATCGTCTGGCTGCCATCCCAGAGATGCAGGATTGGATGGAAACGCAGATTCAGCGGGTCCGCTCCAGCGACCAGGCAAACGTACAGAGCTACTACCGTCGCTCTCTACTCCTCGAACCAAGGGAGTCTCAACATTCCACAAGAGGTTCACCATCCGTCGACAATAGCGCACAGAGCATGTTCTCTGCAGACAGCCGCACCAATACCAAGGACAAGTTCGAGTTCCTGAACTTCAACTTCTCTACAAGCAACCTCCGGGGTTGATGAACACTTGTACAGCGCTTCAATGCGCCATTCTTATACGGCTGACCTATGTGGATCATACCTGATAACGGTTCGGCATTCCCTATATTTTCACAAGGCGTTCGGCCATGAACATACCTAATGTTTGCGTCTTTACTGTTATATCTTTTTATTCTGTCACGGACAGTCACGATACCAATGCTCGATTTCCTTACTTACCTTATACCACTTGAGCGATTTCTTTTTTGGGGGCATTTATCACGGTGGATCAAGCATCTGCCCATTATTTGTTAATGTTAAACCCCATTTTGGGAGCTTCTCGAAGCACATCGAGCTGGGTGATTGGCGTTAGAGGGAAATGGAAATGCTATCAAAGCAACGAATGCAGTGTTGGGGTCAGCGGATAAAAGCATCGACGATAAAAGGGAAGATGGGAAGAGACGAGGTGTTCTTGTATAGTCATGTACCATGCGCATATGCATGGCATCAGGAGTTCAATCTGCCGATTGCGCTGCACGAATGAAAGCAATCATCCAACAATAAACGAGTGCCAATGTGCAATGCCTCCCACGCGATTTATACAAGTTCCAATTACGTGATTCCCAAAGTAAGTCGACGCCCAAGTGGGTCTGCGTAGTGCGCGAGACCCCCGCGGCACCTTTGAAGTTTGACCACTCCCCTCCCTGTCTCTCCAGATCGCCAACCACGAAACCCCGCGACGAGCACCCGTCCACGATGACCTCACCGCAACACCTCCTCGTCGATGTCCGCTCTCCCCTTGAATTCGCATCCGGTGCGCTCGCTAGCGATATAGCACCCACCGTGAACATCGAGTTCCAAATCATCGACCAATTGCCCGAGATATACGCTGCGCGCGGCATCGACGTCTCCAAAGACGACGATATCACGCTCTACTGTCGGTCTGGAAGACGGTCCAATATTGCTTTGCAGACGTTGAAGAATATGGGGTACCAGCACGTTCGTGATATCGGGGGCCTGGATGAGGCGCGTAGGGTGCTGGATAAAGAGCAGGTGGACAGACAGTTGGTTGCAGAGATGGCGGAGAAGGAGGAGAAGGGAGGGGCAGGAGGATCCGAGGATCCGAGGACGCATACGAGGGTGAAGAGCTTAGCTGCGTTGGTGGACGGGCTGAAGGCGTTGGAGGACTGAAGAGCAAGGATCATACATCAGGGAGTTGCAAGACAGCGAGTCTGGCCTTGTAGACTCCCGGGAGTTGACGGGCATACTTCAGAACGAGGAAGGACACGAAGCAAGATTCAGCTCGGTTCTTCGGAAACAACGAAGATGCAATTCAAGTCTTGAAATAATATACAGGTAACTACCAATTCCCCTTAAGCGAGTGTGTAAAGTTTGTTCGCTGCAGTAGAACTTGCGCTCTATGCTATACTCTTTTCTGACACACCTCCAGTTTACCATCCACTACACGCCGCTAGTGGATACCCTATCTCTTAACCAAGGCTAAAACGTGTCACACGCAGCCATTTAGCCTCGGAGACGTCCTCCTGCTAGTCCTACTGAGGAGGCCCCTGCTGATGCTGCTGATGCTGCTGCTGCTTGCCATTTCGCTGTGAGCCTTGACCATGGCCCTTTGCAGGACTTCCATTGCCGTGTTGAGGAGCGTTAGATTTTGCTGCCTTGTAAGACTGGGTACCGGAAGTTGAAGCACTCGAAGCAATCTCACTGGCAACAGAAGCTGAAGCAATCGAGGCAACCTCACTTGCAACAGAAGGCGTCGAAGAGATGACAACAGTGCTCAAGCCAGTACTGGCAGCGGCGACCGCACCGGTCGGTATTCCAGAGCCAGTTGGCCTAACACCAGACGGTGGGCCACCGGAGCCACTAGGGGGGCCACCGCCCATACCGCCACCAGCGTTCGCATTTGCAACACCACCATTCTCAGTGAGATACGCAGCAGGCGTAATATTGAACGAATTCGACGTGTCCATTCCAAATGATAGCCATCCGAAGAGACCTTCAGACACATCATCACCCAGGAGAACGTACTCGATGAGTGGGTCCACGGTCGCAGCTTCTTCGGCAAGGATGGAATCTTCGGCGTTGGTGGTGAGCTCTTGTGTATTGCTGGCGTACGGTTCCTGCTGTTCGACGAGCGAAATGAGGTCCTGGTCGAAGAACATTTGTCCTACGTGGGTGACGGAACCGCCGGAGAGGGTTTCGTTGGCGTTTACGGTTGCGTCCTGGGAGGTCATGACGTGAATATGCGGCGCGCGGCCGGTGTAGTGGCCTGGGAAAAGCGTATCAAACACCACAACACCATCATCGTCAGACTGCTGAATACCACGAAGGAAGGTGTTGTCCAGGTTCGTCGTATCGTTCGTATTGCCGTTGCCGTTGGCAACGACACCAGAGTACACACCCGTGGAGTTGCAGTGCCAGATCTCCAGGAAAGCCTGCGGCACAGGTTCGCAGGTGGTGACATCGATGATTTGGATGTCGAGTGTCAAGTGCACACCTTCTTGATTCTCGGTGACGTTTTCGCGGACAAGTTCACCCTGAACCCAGTACGGGCCTTGGGTTACTTCGGGGGTTAATATGCAGGAGTTGTTGCTTGCGAAGAGGATAGATGGGTCGGTGTCTACGGTGACTCCGGTGAGGTTGGAGGCATGGGAGGTGGCGAGGACGGAATCAACGTCTCGCACTCGGAGGTAAGGTTTCGCTATTCCACTCATCAGCTTTTGTCCACGGGACTGTTTAACGGGGTTAAGACGTACCTTGGCTAATGGCTCGTTTAGCCCTCAACTTCTCCACGGCAACACTCCTGCGTGCATGCATCGCAGCATCATTTCCACGAGCCTTCAATTTCTCCGCGCAGTGGGCCAACGAGCGCTTGTTGTTGGCCAGATAAGCCCTACGCTCGGCGATCTCCAGCGCATTCTCTTCAGCGCTCTGGCCAGGGTGGGCGATGGAGGCCTGGAAGAGCATAGCTGCACCTACGAGGGTGGAGAGGATGGCGGACTTCATGCTTAAACGGTAGAAGCAAGAGTTGTAAATGAACCCGAAAGACGAGGCTAATGAAGGATGAGAGAAGTGAGGATACTGGTTGGTGGTGGTGATACTCTCAACAGCTCGAGGGCTTCCAGTTTTATATTATGGTCCTTGTACACTGCATGGAAGCAGTGGCCCCTATCGCAGTGGGAAACAACATCGTCACCCCGGCTTGTTTGCCTGTTGTACAGCCTCGTTCACTATACTCGTCGTCACAAGCATACGCAAGGCGCTAGACCCCCGGCTTGGCAGCGCGGCAGTGGACATTGCAGGAGCTGATCCTGGGGAACTTGGACTTCAGATCTGGCTGTACTCTTGTCTCCTTCAGATACTAGCCGTCCATGAAAAACGCACTCTTCCTGGGTGTCTCTTCTCCAACATATCTCATAGACCAGAGTACCTACAAAGAAATTGTGAGTTCTAACAGAGTGCAAACTACTAAGAGCAATTGGGCTCTCTCTGCCCAAGCTAGCACACTATACTCATGCCTCGTCGTTTCGAAACTCCACAGGGCCTGCATTCGAAGACGCCACTTCCCTTCTCGATGTCTACGTAATACTCGGCTCGCCAATCAAAAGCGGTACATTCCAAAGCACGACGTTGCCATATAGCTCGCCCTTGCAGCAGCACGCCCACAGACCTGCAGCCAACACTGTGTCTACGCGTCTCCGTAGGCGGTCAGTATAGTTTTGTTGACCTCGGGGCCGGCATACGTACTTTGTCTTAGCGCGACGCACGTAGTCGGCTGAAAAGAGTAAGGTCCGCCGAAGTTTAACCCTCCCTTCATGCTTCTCATCTACGAAGGCATCCAATCAGTAGCATTGCGATTATGCATTCGTTCTCAATGTGGGGCTGTTGTTCTTATTGAATAATACAGCATGACGGTTGGCGCGTGATTGCTTGCGTACGGGACGAGGCGCGATACGAGCATTAAGCTTTGGGTGATAGGGCTTGCGTTTTGCTTAGTTTACTGCTATTGTGACGCTAGTAGATCTCTCTCTTCGGCGATATGAAACCGCGTGTCTTGGTACGATGGAGGAATGTGACATTGGGGGTGACGAAGGGTTTCGCTAGCTGCAACGCAGCCTAAACGGATGATGACTCTAGACACCAGCAAGCCTGTCAAAGTACGCAAACATGTTTCATATTTAGACTGTAAGTATGTGGTGACATTTAGGGTCGAGCTATTGCGTAAGACTCTCTAGACAGTTAGAAAGATCTACATTAGGCACTCAAAATAGCCATAGACAATCAGCGTTGCGTTATCTCGTCCGCTTCATGTATCAAAACTTAGTCGAGGTGCAGCTCGCCCTCACGCTCCGCGTACGGATAGTACTTTTGGGTCTCTGTCCAGAGCGTCTCCTCGTCCATCTGGCTGGCGTCTAAACCGGCGATGATATCCCTGTGATGTATCAGTATTTGCACGCAATTATCTTTTAGAGTTTACCCACTTATCCTCAGCCAAGACCTCGAATCCTGGCACGCAGTCGATGAGTGCATAGATGACATAGCTCCCAATGAACGACCAGAAGAACCCAACAGAAGCCTCAACAATTTGCACACCCAGCTGCCGAACATTGCCGTCGAAGAAGACACCTCCAGCGATCTCCGTGACGCCATCATAGCCCGCGACTTCCTTCCGCGCAAAGCATCCAGTTGCTATTGTCGCCAGAATACCGCCGATGCAATGGGTTGCGAACGTGTCGCCATGATCGACCCAGCGCCAGCGTCGGGCCAAGTCGGTGAACTTGATTCGAAGCGCTTGTCGACAGACTAGAGCGCCTAGTATGCCAAAAAAGAAGGCGGTTGGTGTGTCGATGAAGCCGGCCGAAGGAGTGATCATAATGAGCCCGGATATTGCACCCATGAAGCAGGAATCGAGACTCCATCGCCCAACCTCGACATATGTATATAGCATCCAGGTTAGAGCCCCGCTAGCCGCACATAGATTCGTGACGCACAACGCCATGACGGATTTGAAGTTGAACGCTAAGGTGGTTCCAGCATCGAAAGCAAGCCAAGAACCCCAGATACTGATCATCGCGAGCAACTGGCAAAGCGAATTGACCGGCCGGTGTATCACGAGATGTGATGGCGTGCGGAGCGAAGACTTGCGCGAGCGGAACAGTGGATACGAAAGGTAGACGGACATTGCGGTTGCTGTTGCGCCAGAGTTGATGTGTACGGGCGTGCCACCAGCAAAATCCACCACACCGAGGTCCATTAGAAAGCCACCTCCCCAGACCATATGAGCGAGGGGATTATAGACGAATGTAGACCATAGCTATAACTCAACGTTAGATATGCGGAGAACAATATTCTACAAACCATTACTCACGAAGATGAATGGTATCAGGGGCAGCAGTCGTCCCCTTTCACAAGCCCCTCCCACAGCAATGGCACAAACTGTAGCCTGGAAAACTAACTGGAAGAAACTAAACAGTACGGCGGGTATCGTGCCGACCGGTTCTGCAAGCACGTTTCTATGGAAAGCATACGTAAAATCTCCAAATATATCACCTCCTTCCCCATATGTCAGGGTATAACCGATCAAAAACCATTGTATGGAGCAGACGGTAACGGCAAGAATGGCTGGCATGACAGCTGCAAGAGAGTTAGAGCGCGTGGTGTATCCGGAGTAGGCTATGCCTACTGCGGGGATGATGCCCCAGCCTGGCAGAAGTAAGCGATCATCATGGAGGACGCATAGAATTATCCTCGCGTTGCGAAAGTTTGCAATGTCATTAGTTTGGTAGACATACAGAAGACAGAACAAACGAGAACGAAGAGCGTGTCGGTACGGTCGCAAGCCTCCCACGCCTTCAAGACATCTGTAGGAAGACCCATGGTGGCAGTAGTTCAGCTTCTCAGCAGCGAAAAAATGGCATGGGCGGCAGAAACGAGGAGCAGAAGTGATGAATTTAGAACGAGGTTGTCCGGTAGGCCTTCTCTATGTAGCGCTGGTACAAGCCAGCCACCACGGCTGAACGCGCCCCGGCAGAAGGGGACTCTGCTCCTCTTTCGATGACGCTTAGTACTTAGGCGTATGATATGCATCGTAGCCCTTCCTGAAACTAGAAAGGATTGGTTGACAGAGTGAAGCTGGGAGCATGGAAGCTGACGCGCTGATAAGATAAGGCATCTGGATGCGCTTCCAGGTTGATGAATGCCCCCCACTTGTTCGCACTAACCGTTCCTAGTTACGATAAAATTGGGCCTTCACATCCTGGACTCTCCAGGGCTGCGTCCTTGATACCACTACTAACTTGACTACCGCAATGTCTGACAGCGAAGAGACGGATGTCTTTGGCGTAAGTCAAGGCCTCGTGCCCTCGGCGCCCATCAAGTCCGCTGGTGTGTCCGAGGTGGACTTCGACGGGTTATTATCCGCGCCGCTCAAGCTGAACGAGGATCTAAAAAATGGATGCGGCGGGCAGCTGTGGCCGGCAGGCATGGTGCTCAGCAAGTACATGCTACGAAAGCACAGAGATGATCTCGTCGACAAGGAAGTTCTAGAGCTGGGCGCTGGCGGAGGTCTCGTAGGTCTCGCAGTAGCGATAGGCTGCAAGACAAACACAACATTACACATTACGGATCAAGAGCCCATGTTTGAGCTCATGAAGCAGAACATTGCTCTCAACAACCTCGGCTCGCGTGTCACTGCATCGATATACGACTGGGGTACACCTACTCCTTCGCAGCTACCGTCACACCCGGATGTCATCCTCGCCGCTGACTGCGTGTACTTTGAGCCTGCGTTTCCACTTCTGCAACAAACGTTGAAGGACCTGATTGGCGACAAAACAGTGTGCTACTTTTGCTTCAAAAGGAGGCGGCGAGCGGATCTGACTTTTATGAAGACTGCAAGGAAACTGTTCAATGTGCAAGAGGTGGATGATGACCCAGATAGAGAGGTGTATTCGAGAGAAAAGTTATTCCTGTCAGTTAAGTTCAAGTCATAAACTGGACGTATGTGGCTCACTCCAGATAGATACCGAATTACGGCCAAGAAAGCTTGAGATGACGGATGTGTGGGTCGTGCTATTTTATGAGATATGAAAGAGTTGCATTTCCAGTTCCCGGGGCAGATGAGCAAATAGGAGGGGAAATGTTAGATTTAAGGTCTAGCATGTTCATCACCAGCCTTAACTATGGAACCGGCAGTCCTTTGATTACTTGCACGCTTCAGGCCGAGTTTACGGTATTCCGCAAAGACTCGCTGGAAAGATATCGACCACGGCTAGGGGCTTGAACAAAAAGAAGGGCAAAAAAAACATACAACAGCGGGGATTCGCTAGTGGTCACCCACCTAACTACTAATCCGCCGGTATCCTGCTTAAGTACCGCTGAGCGAACGGGAAGCGCTGAATTCAAGATCCTATGGTCGTATGTGGAATAATTGGCCAGAAAGGATATATATATAGGCACGTATACTCGGTGGAATGTCATTTGGCTACGAAAGAATGTGGAGGAGAGGATTGCTAAGAATGTGCATGAACTAGTAGGCTTCCGGAGTCTATTGAAGTGCCCCGAGTCATCGAAGCTCTCCACAACGCACTATGTATATTGAGATATTTCCCTAGAATAGATATCTCTCTACGCGATAGTTAAACAAGGGCATTGTAGCCAAGGCTGCAAATATATATGGCCGTGGCCTATTGCCGAAGATAATATTGTGGGCAGACTCTAATATGGTATTTTGAGTGTGCAGAGGATATAAGGGATGCAAGCAATAGTAATAGGAAAGGAATCTAAAGACTATTTTTAGTCTAGTATTACTTATTCCTTAAAGTCTGCATTAAATGTATGCACGCTACTCTAAGAGGATTTTCAAAGCGCCTACGCCCTAGTTGAGCTATCGCTGGTTCTGTGGAAGTATTTTGAGTGTTAGGCTCTACAAGCTAATTCAGTCTGGCGCCAAGTACATCGCTACTCTTTACTTTTAGCGGGAAATCGCCAACATTAATACGAGACTAGGGGTTCTGGTCTATAACTGTGTATGGTGCGAATTAGTATCTTGTCCCGAATCCGATTGGGCGCACTTCTGTTGGTAAGACATTCAACCTGATATAGTAAGGGAGCAATGAGACTGTATATGGCCTACTGGCGAATGCGTCTAGGGACGGCCTATTCCAGGTCCTATTTCAGCCAGTTAAAATTGTGCTGCCGGCGAATTGGACGAGTAACTGGCTTCCTGTGGAGCGAAACTTTTCATTCATCAGTCAGTCCCTTTTTCCCTGTCGGTGAATGTTACAGAGCTGACTCAATCTAGCACGCTGGTGGGTAACGACTATGTACGAAATGCATTTGTGATATACTAACCTCGTACCTCAATTTTAGGTATGTACCGCAGCCGGATTTGACTACTTGGTCATATGTGTATCCGAAGGTAGAAACTATCAAGTCTATTGTATAAGATAGCAAGATGGAGTGTAAAACAACTGTTCGTGGCATTCATATCACGGGGCCGTACTACTGGTAAGACTGATTTGTGGGACTAGTCACAAGAAAGCAGTCAATCCGCGATTTTAAATGTATAGATGCTTATTGCACCCATTTTAAAGATTGCCCTGAAGCTATCTATATGTTTCCCCCAAACGTAGTATTCTTGTCCATGCTACAACCTCACAGACCGAATTACGACGAGCTACTAAAGAACTCCTCAAACTTGCTCTTCCCTTCCATCTCCCGAATCTCCTTCTTCAACGCGTCAATCCGATAGTTCTTAAACGCCCTCTCAATCCTCTCCCTACTCTGAGGATCCTTTGTAATGGTCTTAGCCGCGCTCGCCGTGCCTGTCAATAAACCAAGCTCTCCACCGAGGAACAGGCCGCCGACGCTGAAGAGGAAATACGTAGCTGCATCACCCCAGCGCGAGGGGCCTGAGAGCTTTGCGCTAATGTCGGGGATGGGCTCTACGCGGCCGTCGGCGAAGCGCACCTCTACGGGCTTTTCCATCGCGCGGAACGCATTGAAGTATGCTAGCCGCATAGCGCGTAGGCGGAAGGCGAAGTAGATGCCCAGGCCTAGGCCGATTCCAGACGCGATGCCCGCGTGTGTTGAGACCTTGCTACCTGCGCTCTTGAGGAGGTCGCGATCTTGTTGATTGAGGCTATCGATGGTTAGACATGGGAGGTTTCATGCAAAGATCGGGTGGATGTACTCATGCTGTAGGTGCTCTTCTGCAAGTTGGCGGAGGTCTTTGGAACGGCGGTCGCGGAAGGCGGCTAGGGAATCAGACATTGTTGGTATCCGTATCTAAGTGTCAATTGGGAGCCCAAAGAGAATGTATGATCAATTGAGGTCAATTGAAGATGGTAACTTCAACTAGCGAAATGATTTACCTTCTTCGTCATTCTTAGATACCTAGATATGACATCATGTGGAACTCGGAACTCGTCGGAGTCTAGCCGAACTAGGATCGTGAACACACGAGCACGAAGTCAAGAGAGTATTCAGATTTACTTACGTGGGAGAAATTCCTTGAGGTATAAGTTGAAGTTTCTAGCCTATCGTACATCTATCTAACTAGGAGCCTGCATCGGTCGCTCGAAACTTTAATTGGGTCGTCAAATGTTTTTGGTTTGAACTGTTGAGATCAGTTGTATTCCTTTCTTTACGCGGTGCTATGTGTATATGATTTAATATTTGTACAGCTTGTCTGCCTTGTTTAGAATATATAAGTATAGAAGAGAAAAATCGCCCAAATGGACTTATCATCAAATCCAAGCATGCCCAAACAAACCCACTCAAGTTCTACAGCTCAGATTGACGCCCCAGTGACCTGCACGCTGTATTGCAATCCTTGGTTCAACTCGGCTGGGATGGCAAAGGCGTCATATTGCACGAGCGCTGGCGTTTTGGCGATAACCACAGAAACTTCATCACCATTCGCGACCGCGGTATTGGCCTTGCCGTCCACGATATCAGTGTAAGTGATCTTGTCTCCGCTCTTGACGACCAGAGTACCGGTATACTCCCCTTCGGAGGTAATGGTGACAGAGACAGTTGTGCCCTCAACCTTCAGCGGGATGATATTGGCGCCCATATACCTCGGGGCGCGGTCGCTCTTGACCGCACCACTGGCGTCCAGGTGGTCGTAGTTCAAAGACGTCCTGCGGGCGAGGAAAGCTTCGTGAGCTTTTGCGTGACCGATATCGACATAAGCCATATGTGCCCAGTACCTGCCCACCACCTTCTGGACAGTCACACCAGTGTCAGCGAGGAGGTTGGAGAGGGCGTGTAGGGGAGTGTCGTTGCTGTTGAGAGTGTATTTACGGAACATTCTCAACAAGGTATCATTTCCAAGACCCTGGAAGTTGTCCGGGTTGTTGTTCAGGTAAGCAATGAAAGGCCAGGACTCGTAGTAGTTTCCGGAGTTAGGTGTGCCGTCCACAATTACTTTATACGAGTTGCCGATCACTGCATCAAGAGCGATAATTGATTCGCCTTCGGCGGCAGGCAGGCGTTGCGCAGACTTGGCCGAGGTGCAGGTCGGGGTGGAGATGTATGTGTCGGCAATATAGTTTGCAATGGGCTCCCACCAAGCACCAGTTCTGTGATTGTTAGTTTCCAGTAATCTTCGGTGCTTGCCTTGAATGCATACCGTCCTTGATCGATCCAGTTCTTCTCGGACACACTCAACGCATGCCCGTACTCGTGCACAAACACTCTCGGATCCGTCAAATATTCATCCACAACCTCCAGCCACGTTAAACCAACTGCTGGATCGGCACGCTGGACGCCAGCCGCACCATTCAGCTGGCCGTCCACCTTGCTGTAGACGTTCGTCTTGTACCAGGTATCATCGGTGGCGGAGGTCCAGCTCAGAGCTGGTGTACGCCATCCTAATTGCTCTACGAAACAAGAATGTGCGGCCTCCAGATGTTGAATGGCAGTGTCAGCGGTAGTCTCAGATGTGCCATAAACGCGGAAGTGTGCTGAATCTTTGAAAGAGGAGCCACCGCCACCGAGAGAGGGGTTTGCTGTATAGGTCGCTGGCCCGGCAACGTTGGCGACGATGGTTGGGTTTTCGACTATCTCAGGAGTCTCGACTGGGGAAGACTGTGGGAAAGGAGCTGGTCGTGCTGAAGCCAAGATGCTGTAGTGTCCCGCGACCAGCGCGATGATGGTGTTCTTGTTCAACATGGTAACGGAAAAGACTGTAACGGGGAAAATATAAACGAATGAAAACAGCGAGCGAATGAACGCATGCTAAAGACCGGGATACAAAGCTTTATAGATTTCATCGTCAACTTGATCCTTGTGTACATCATCGTGTGGACATGCCTTCGAGCCTTCATTAATTATGCACAGAGCTTTGGGACACCATGTATGTTTAGTGTTGATGGTGCCAGCTTGGCGACGATGGGTAGGAAACAAGCTAGCGGGTGATTGAAACAACGCATTGAATCACTTTCGCAATCTTAGTTCATCGAAGCAACAGGGGCAGTTATCCTTTAGGCTAAAGCGATGACACTTCGAAACGACTAGTAGTATGGAAGTGGAGAACGGGGGGCGTTCGGAGAAATTTTCCAGAGGTCAGTTTTCAAATTGACCAAAGAGGTGGAGTGTTCCTGTGTTTCAGAACTAGGTGCTATACCTTTAACAGTTGTACATACCAAACCGAGAAATAATCTTCCGCCAAATGTCACTCTCTCTTACCGTGAACGCCTTGCGCCGAAAAGTCCAGAACACCGCGCTAGACGTATGTGGGTACATGCTGAGCCGACGAAATGAATAGTGGGGTACATCGTCGACGATGCATCAATTATCAGTGAAATCCAACCTGAGGCTTATAGCTTCGCCTTAACCTCTGGTGCTACTGCGCTGGCTTCCTTATTTAGTGTGACGTTTCCAGTGCCTGTATCTTCGCCGAAGAATATAACTTCGACGGTCAAGTCATCCCTGATTGTACTTAGTCAATGATTATAGTTTATGTTTTGGGCTGTCACATACCTGTATCGTCGCGAGAAGGGACTCGGCAGTGTAAGCAGTGCACTTAGTTGATCTTGATCTTTTCCACCAAGCGCATTTCGCACCAGATGAGTCGCTGCATTTTTGTCCTCGACCACGAACCTCTCGTTGAGGCTGGTCTTGGTACCCCACTGCTGTTGACGCATCGGTGCTCGCTGGCCTTCGCCACTCTCGCCCGCTTTTTGCTCTACTGGCAATTGCTTCTGTGTTGACCACCAGCTCTGCAGCCAAGAATGAGTTTGGGAGCCTTGCTTGCCCGGGGTGCCCTGTGCATCGAGCCATTGGCCAACTAGGCCAACGACCTCCTCGTTGGTGAGCATTTCCCAGAGACCATCAGTGGCCATGACGACAAAGTCACCTTTTTCTGGCTCGACTTTGGTTGTAGTAATGATGGGCTCGGCGGTTACATAAGGCGGTGTTTTGAGAAGTGCCGACGGGGTCCGTGCAAAGTATGACTTCTTCAGCTCCGCATTTGTCTCGAGCGTCCACTTGTAGTAGGCGTCGCCAAAGGCACGAGATGGTTCTAGCCCACCAAGGATGCGGCCATTCCTGACTACGTTGGGCTCGCCAGGGTGTTCTTTGCGTAGTCTTTCGGCCTCGCTCGTGGTGCCTCCGGTCTGGTCTTCTGATAGCGGGGTTGCTGTCCACTTGCCGTTGGTGCCGCGTCGTCCGAGAACCGCACGGGAGTCACCAGTACATGCGACTCGAAGAAGCTTTGAGCGGCTATCGTAAAAGGACAGCAGAGCGCATGATCCAGAAAGGGCAGGTGCAAGCAACTCGGCAGCGGCAACTTTGGACTGCGCTTTCTTGACCTTCTTCACGGACTCGTGTACAATCTCGTTGTCTAGGCGGACGAAGCCAGTCTTGATGGCCTTGTCGATGGCTTCTGGGGTTGGGAAGTGGAGAGAAGGATCCTCTACTGCGGATTTGTAGGTGCTGTTGAGCTCGCGTGCAACGTAGGAGATGAGGGTTTGGCGAAGTTTAGCTGAAGTGACCCAGCCACTGTGCGAGTTAGTAGTGACCTCATACTGGCATGCATTGGATCTACCTGTGTCCGTCAAAGACGCCCCAGAACATCCAGTCGCTGGCCATGGCACCATTGTCAGTAGCTGCCAGGTTTGAAGGCACTTCTACAATTTTCTCGGCATGATCGTCCTCAATGGGATCATTGCTAGGACCTGATGAATGTGTTGTTAGACAGTGTCCAATTGAGTGTGAACGTTGAGGTAAGAAAAACCGCAAGTCCAAGGAGTCCAAGATGTCGGATATTGTTGTAGGTTTAACCGAGCGCAGAGCTCGACTTCGACTTTGTCGCAGCGACATCATCGATATGTTTCTTTGTCTTGGAGTGCCTGGTCAGACTCTGCTTTTCTGGCACACTGGAATCGCAGGTGGCGCAATAGTACGTCTTGTTTGCGCGACGAGCTGCATCCCGAGCTGTCTTCTTTTGGTTCTTCGCCTTGGATACTCGACCGACACCAGAAACCTTGGAGAGTATTAAGGAAGGAAAGAGTTACATACACTGCACAACATCGTATCGCACCACACCCTGCCCCCTGCCTACAAGCCACGACTCTTCGTTTTTCCTCAACTTCGCTGTCGCCTGGTCTGGGTCTAGCATTTCTAGCACCTTCCTGCCGTAGTCGTCCGTCTCTTTCGAGATGGGCCCAGTGCCAGTGATGGTCCCCGTATACAGTTCACCGGGGCCTACAACGAGCGCTTTCCTGGTCGGCTCGCTGTTCACAGCGCTCGTGAGATTCCTGGCTTGATCGGCGGGAGATTGCGAGTGACCGGACGACTGCGTCCCGTTGTAAGCATAGAAGGCACCCGAGGCGACAGCTGCAGCTACCAGCGCACCCGTAATAGCGCGGAACTGCATCGACGACGTGAGGACGACGGGCGAGGTTCGCGGGCGGAGATAGTGGTGGGCGCGGAAGACTAGGCCATTGCTGGGCGCGAAGAGGCCAACACGGGTGCGGGTGAGCTTGCGCAGACACGGGCGACGGGCTGATCGAAACACTTGAAAAGCAGCCCGACGCATTTGGCTGACAGTGCTGAATAGCTGAGGAGGGAGAGGTTGACAGGAACAAGAACAGGAACAAGCTTTGGGAGGACCATGCCTGTCGTTGGAGGAGCACCCGGGCGAACGAGCGAACTGCCCCGTGCGCAAACACCACAGCCAGACCAATCAACGACATCTCGTACTAAAGCGTCCAACTAACGGCTCGGAGAGGAGAAATCGTTTACCGTCACCCCGTCATAGCCTCACCATCCACCAGAAGATATTTTCGACACACATAAAATGTCTTCGCGGGCGTTGCGGAGAGCACAGCGGGAACTGGAAGAAAAGCAAATACAGGAAAAACTTGCACAGGAAGAACTCGATGAAGAAGAGGAGTCAGAAGACGAAGTGGCGCCCAAGTCAAACGCAAAACCTAGTTTGTTTGCCATGCTAGGAGATGGCGACGACAACGACAACGACGACGACGACGACGAAGAAGAAGAGGTTGAAGATGCCGAACGACAAGCTGAAGCCCAAGCCTCCGATGACAAGGCCGAAGCTGCGAACGCACCCGCATCAAACCCCTCAAGGAAGAGCAAGAAAAAGAAAAAGAAAAAAGCCAAGGGAAAAGCTGCTTCTTCAAATTCCGAACCAAAATCTGCATCTACAAAGGCCCCATCCGGTCTCGATGAGATTGACCAGGCGTTGCTTGCACTCAATCTTGCATCGAATGGTCGAATGGACACTGACTTACAGCAACAAGGCTCTGCCGTTAGCGAAGAGAAGCAGCAGCTGTTCGCCGTGCTGAGTGTCGACACGCAGCATCTGCATGCCGCAAATGAAATGAAGAAGCTTTTTGGCCGGGCTGCTCTGCAGAATACTGACGAAGAGCAGCCGCGGGCACGACAAAGAGGCCAAGGGCAGCAGGGCGGTATTGCTGCTGCCATCGCAGGTCGCAATGCCCCTGGTAACCGTAATCTTGCCTCCCTAGGTCTTCGACGAAACATTTTCATTCAAGGCAAAGAAGAGTGGCCACGAGCAACATCGGGAGGCCTGGGCATGGAGATCGTTGAGAAGCGAGCCGACGGTAGCGTCGAGTATCGATTCGTGCACAACAGCATGTATCAAGAAGTACAGCGACAATTCCAAGTATGTGTCGGCGGTATGGATCCTGATCGCATGGTCCAGCTTTTGCATTTCAACCGTAAGTGGATCAACTCTACCCTCGTATGAGAAGCTCACCTCCTTATAGCATATCACATCTCCACGCTTCTTCAAGTCTCTGAAATCGCAAAGCAACAGCGCGATAATGCGACTGCGTCCGATCTCCTTGAGCGCGCCCTCTTCACCTTTGGTCGCTCTGTTCACTCAACATTCTCAGCGAATCTGGCAGCTGGAAAGGCACGGCTCGACTTCCGCCGCCCAGAGAATCGTGAGTTCTGGCTCGCTACATGGCGCTATATCAGCACACTCGGCGTTCGAGCGACGTGGCGGACAGCACTCGAGTGGGCTAGATTACTGGTGGCTATGGACCCCGAGCAGGACCCGTACTGTCTCCGCCTGCTCCTCGACCAGCTAGCTTTGAGGGGACGAGACCCACAGGCACTGGTGGACCTAGCAGAGGCAGACTACCTGCAACGGCTTTGGAAGATCCCGCCAAACCTTGCCTTCAGCGTTGCGCTTGCCTATGATCGTCTCAAGCAACCCCAAAAGGCACGTTCAGCGTTACGGAATGCGGTCAAGGAGTATCCATGGCTGGCAGCACGACTGTGCAAGGAACTCGACATTTCTCCGATACCCAAGCCCATTTGGGGCAAAGAGCCAAATGGTGACTATCAAGAACTGCTATGCCAGATTTACGTACCAAAGGCGAAGGATCTGTGGAACACGACCGAAGGCACAGGTCTTCTCGTTGAGGTCTGCTACTCATTTGAAGAGGAGCTCGGTGCAGGAGAAGACCCTTACTGGCTGGCTCAAATACCAGAGACGGACTTGGCGAGACATGTCATCCTCTCCGACGACCGCAGTCTCCTCTCGCTCCTCGAGACGCGTGTCAAATCCAAATTCACATCCGTCTCCGACCCTTTGCCTCCTGATAACAACCTAATCTCATATGACGCTTCCACTGTCGGGTCAGGCCCTGGACATGACCGCCTTGCTGCAATGCGGCGAGAGCTCCTCGCCGAACTTGAGGAGTTCCGGGAATACTTTCAGAGGATAGAGATCGAGAACCTAGTGGGCGGAGGGCTGACGGAAGACAGTCTCATCCAGGCACTGGAGCAGGCAGGTAGTAGCTTGGACGAGTTCAGAAGGAATTCGGAGCGCTTCCAGATGATCCGCACGGGGCTACAAGAAGCAGGTGTGCAGGTTGTGTTTGACGGGGAGGCGGAGGGCCACGGAGCTGGGACGGGCTCAGAGACGGACGGATAGACCTGGATAATGAGATGTATGCCCAGGCGACTTGTTCTGCCCAGCGTTTCGCGGATCTTGTCTGTGATACGTGATGCGTATATGTATAGCCCACCCCATGTATCCCTGTTTCCGTCTGACGGAATTCGGATCCGAGCCCACTATGCTCATACGGGTAATATGCGGAGACGTAGCTTGCATACAAAAGAAGACCAGACGTCTGAAACAAGGTGAGTTGCACGCCACATCGAATCAAACTTGGCCACGTCCGTGCACTAGAGGCTCGGAATCCCTGCCGCCGTTCCCCAGAGTGACGTCTCTGTTGTTTATATGTGCACCGCCTAGACCCAAACTGCACCGCCTCAGCCCCTCAGCTTCTCTTTTCACTCTCCCATTTGCACGTGTCAAACCAAGCAGCCCGATTCCATAGAGCGACGACTTTTGACCAAGTCACATCAACTGTGCTGAGTAGTTCGCGACGCCATCCTGCTCGCAGCCATGAGCGGCATGCGCGCCCACATCGCCAGCCGCTTGCGCAGCTCCTCGCTTTCGGCCGTGCCGCCTTCTCGACAGAGCTCTGAATATTCTGGAGACCTAGCTAAAATTGCAGCTTCTGTTCTCTATCGCTCTCCACTTCCCTCCAAAGAAGGTAGACCTGTCTTTATCCTCAACGCTGCCGCTCTACCCGACTCCCACGAAGCTGACTACGACACTCTACTCCCTTACGTCCTCGCACGCCTACCGGAAGAAGACGACTTACTGAAGGGCTTTGAATATGAGGTCGTCTTCTTTGCCGGCGATGGCGACATGTCGGCCACGTCGAAGAAACACAGGCCTGGCTGGGGTTGGTTTCTGCAAGCGTACCATGTCCTGTCGAGGGCTATGCGGAAGAGGCTCCAGAGGCTGTACATTGTGCACGAGAAAGCGTGGGTGAGGATCCTGACGGAGATATTCTCCACCATCGTTAGCCCCAAGTTTAGGAGGAAGATCTATCATGGTATGACCCTGCCCTGGTTCAACTACTTTCAATCATACTGACTACCTCCAGTCTCGAGCTTAACTAGCCTTGCCCTCCAGATTCCTATCGAGAATCTCCTCATTCCTCCCTCTACGTACCTCACGGACCGCCGCATTTCCGACGACATCTTCGTGCCTTTTGCCAGCGGCAAACGGGCCTTCGCCGCCCGCAACCCTTTTCCCACAAGCAGCAATGGCAAGACACGCTTTCCCCGCGTTCTTAGGGAGTCCACGGGCTTTGTGCTCTTGGAGCCGAACATCACATCCGAAGGCATCTTCCGTATCCCTCCAAACTCGAAGCTGCGAGATGTCCTAAAGGAAGCGTACGACAGGGGCCAGAAATACATCATCTGGAAGGATAACGGGGTTACACTGCCCATACCGCCGTATCCAACTGCGGAGCTCCAGGATGACATACTTGCTGAGGTGGACCCGAAAGACGGCTATTCAGTCTTCATGGCTGCGGCGCTGATCAAAGCGTGGTACGCGTCATTGCGGCAACCTCTCTTCCCCACGGAGTCGTATCGCGATCTGAAGAGGTTATATGGAGATGTTCAGAATGTTCCCGACCTTGACCAGCTGACGGACTTGTTTTCTCCAACGTCCGAGTGGTCTCTCCTGCCTGGCATCTCTCGCCAGATTATCGTTAGACATTTGTTGCCACTCTTGAATACGGTTGCTGCTCGACAAGAGCAGAATAAGATGACAGCCGAGAATTTGGCTGTCTGTTTTGCGCCTGCGCTGCTGTGTGGACCAGACCACATTGAAGACGCGAAGATGTCTTCCATCATTAGGAGGATATTCACACGAGCGATTGACATGTGGTCAGAGGGACTCCGAGAAGCATGTGGGCAGAGGGCGAGCGATTTTGAGGTGGAGTTGAAGTTGCCAAAAGACGAGTCCGACTGGGATGATCCGGTAGAGGGAAAGAGAAGCTCAGCGGACGACAGAGAGTCATTGGAACAACAAGCGAGCGGTATCACACTCCAAGACAATGAGAAGCTGCCTGTGTACTCCGAGTCACGCTCAAACGAAGGAGTACCACCTCCGCTACCGCCGCGCACCCGAATACCATCCGCAACATCCTCCACCGACTCCACCAAACGAAAACCCGCGCCTCCGCTAGTCGTGCCCCCCAGGTACTCGACAGTCATTTCAGACGCCCCTGAACACGTCGCAGAATCGCCGTTAACCTACGCTGCCACCACCGACGGGTTTGCCCCACGACGAGAAGATGACCAACAGGGACCCCCACTACCTCCACGGTGGGATTCAGTGAAGGATGAGAAGAAGTCTGGTACGAGCAATCCAGTTTCAGTTTCAGCTTCTGCTCGATACCATGTTCAGGATGATCCTCAATGTCCTGTTTCTGCTTTCGCATCTAAACTCAACCTTCCAAAGAGGAAAACCCTGACTGCAACACAGATTGATAACGTAGAGAAATCGGTCGTTACACCAGTCGACGTGGATAAAGCGTCTGAAATCCACGGTTTAGGTCCGGGGCATATGGTACAAGGCGGATTTGCCCTCCCTGGTCTCGTGACGAAACACAACAGCAACACTGGGGTGAAGAGGGCCCCTTCATTCACATATACAGGGAGTGAGACGTTGTCTCCCGTTCCATCAAGCGCCGTCTCAGCACCAGCATCCGCTTCTCAGTTCCGTCGCCCTAGTATCCCCGCCTCTGCTTCCCGCACACCGAGCATAACCTCTCTCGCGCGCCCCGTGTACCCCGGAGCACAGCATAACTCCGCAAACCCAACTGCCAATCGCCCAGCGTCCAAATCGACAAGTCTCCCCGCTCCTGGTCCCATGCCAAGGCTACGCGCCCCAAGTGCAGCGCTACTGTCACGCATGCCGAGCTTTGAAAAGAGTCAACAACAGGAAGAGCAACCGTGTCCAGTGAGGAAGATGTTTACGCCGAAAAAGTTGAATCTCAAGAAGCAGTCTGTGGAGGATTTGAGACGGTTGTATGAAGAGCGGGCGGGAACGGCGAGTGCGCTTATTGAGGCTGGGCGACATCGGTATGCTTGAGAGCGCTTCCTTTATCCTCGTCGGATCAGTGCTTTGTTCTTGGGATACCCTTTCTTTTAAATGGCTCACAGCAACCTTTTGTAATATTAATTTCCTATACTCATGAGCAGTGCTTGCTTGGTTTTGCGTATAACGTGATTCACTTAATAGGGGGCGCACCCCTCAGATATATAGATGGGAAAACGAGCAGGGTTCGAGGCTAGGAACTATATTAAAAGTTGTCCCTTTCTTCATCGATGATATGCAGGACACTATCGATCGCACAAACGAGATCAAAAGAAACAGGGGTATGTACAACACACAAGAGCCGCAAACCTAACGCCACACCATCACAACAACAACAACAACAACATTGGTTACCCATGGTGCCTAGCCCACATTCCGGCCCGTCAAGATATCGGGCCAGGATTGTCGTTGGCATTCGGCCACCACCCTGGATTATATTGCCCTTGTCCGTGATGCTCATTCATCCCCGGTTGCTGATACGCCACGCTATCTCCAGGCTGAGCATAACTCATGCTGCCTCTATCATGTGCATAGTTGCCAGCTGCGGGGTCATTTCGAGTAGCACCATACACACTGCCGGCAGTACCCGTGTTGAATCCATTGACGTGACTAGACCGCCAGTCCTCGTTGATTTTGAAGCCGTCGCGTCCAAGCCGATCGCCCATGTCTGCGGATTGCAGTACGCTTTCGAGACCCATGGGGCTGGCCTGTAAGAAGTTATTACGCGGGAGGATTGGTCCTGGAATACCCGGCATAGGAGTCCAGAAGAGCGCTTCTGTTGTTTCTGATTTTGGCGAAACGCCTGTTGTGGGGACGGTTGACGGGACTGAAGACAGTGACTGCGAGTACTGGTAGGAGGCGAGAGTGATACTAGCATTGTAGGTAGCATGCGTTGGAGCGTGGCCGACAACAGGCGACGGGTGGTGTTGGCTTGAGACGACGCTGCTCGATCTTGATGTTACGGGATGTGTTGCCATTTGCATACGTGGTGCGAACATGGACAAACTCTCCCTTCTGTTTGCTTGACTAATGGGCGGATAGGTCACAGTTAGTCCCATAGTAGTTGTCACCGTGTTAGGCGCCACCAGCAGAGGGTCAGTAGGAGGACTAATTGCCCCTTGTGGCTTCTCCTGTGGCACCAATTTCGAGTTCCTTAACTCGTCTGGCCAAGCCAGTTTCCACTTTCTCGCCAACGTATGTATGATGCGGAAACTCCTCGCTCCAAGATAGTGGCACTCGTGTAAATCCTCGAGGCCTTTGAGGCCCTCAACAAGATTCTGACGCGAAGTGTTGTTGTCTTTTGAATAGAGCAAGTGCACTATGCAGACAGATAACAGGATATGTGGTATGAGCAGGTGTGCCACACGGAAATCGTAAAAGGATCGGTATATCCGAACTAATCTTGAGACATTGTTGGCTGCATCGATGCAGATATCGCGGGGGTGGACATCCGAGTGAATAAGCTCCACCTTGAGCATCGGGCGGAAAAGATGCACGATGATGGTATAGTACAACATGCTGTTGTCCGTTAGTTTTGTTTATGCAAGAGAAGAGTTACTAGGCGTACTGTAGCACCAAAATGTGTGGCTCAGGCTGTTCTTTGCCCTCTACACCCAACGCAACCGGTAGCCTTCTGTACCAAGCCTGATATTTGCTATAACAATCAAGCAATCTAGTGCTTGTGAGCCGTTCCCTTGGCGCAAAGAACATGTAGTTGTTGTCGTTTACAAGCTCGGAAAGCGACGTGAACTCCTGCAAGAACATTCGTGTAGTCACGATGCCGGGCGGGACGCTTGAAGCGCCGGGAAAGGCTTCGAGGAGGCTAGACGATTCTTCCAAGATGGGTTTATCGAGGGTAATAGCAGCTCGTGGGAGTTGGGCTATGCGGCCTGTGCAGATGGACCAGACTCTGCTTTGCATTAGTACAAGGAGCATCAAGATAGTCAAAAGAAGCACGTACGTGTCTACTGTGAAGCAGCCCCAAAAAGTAACCTTCCTGACCTCGATTTCACTCGGTGTTAGGCCCAGCACAGGACTGGCACTATTATTCAGGTGAAGGCCAAGCTCAACGCACATGCGAATGCACCTTCCAATGTAGCTGAAGCCCGAACTGTCCCGTCCGCTACTGGGTTCGCGCAACGACATGACGCAAAGAGCCTGTGCTGTTGTAAGACTCGGAGTCTCGTCCTCGAAGAGTAGTCTCTTGGCTTCTGCGAAGTAGTGATCGCCGGCGGTGCGGAAGTTGGTGGGATCGGTTCGGCCTGCAGCATCGTCGGTCAAATGGCAGGCATAGGCACAAACGGCGTTGACAAGCAGTGGTGAGCAGTACTTTTCGCGCCCGGCTCTAAAGTCTTTGTAGAAGCACTCGCGGCTGAAGAGGACGTAAAACGGGTGGCTCCATGTGAAGTAGAGGGTGAGTAGCTTGTCGACGAAAGCAAGGTCATTTGTCACTGCGGTCCATGTCGATCCCTGGCGCTCTGGCATCGCAGTGTTGTTGCGCATGCGGCCACCAGCAAAGTTCTCTTGTTCAGGGACCAGACCTAGGCTGGCAGAGTGCCCAAAGTGTCTGCTCTCGCCGGTAAGGGTGATGGCTGGGTTCCCAAGCAGCACACTGAGGTCCGACTCGAGGCTGTGTACTTGGACAGGCGCGCTCGGGGGTAGCGTGACGGTGGAGCGCCATGATTCTGCGAGGGTAGCAATGTCCAGCTTGGGGTCCTTTCGGAGGTGCTGAATGAGCTCTTGTACGTGCTCTTCGGGGAGCTGGCGGAGGGAGTCGATGATGAAGACGGCATTGGAAGCATGTTCGGGGCTCGAGGCGTCGATGACGGATGATGCATCGCGCTTTATGCCTGTGGTGGGTGTAGATGAGGAGCCCGACTTGGAGCGGCGACTCTCACTCTCCGCATCGTAGTGACACTCGGTCTTGTAGACGGCAGTGCACGTTGCGCAAACCGGTGTGCTGCCGTCGCACTGTGGAGGAGGTGTCAGCAGCCGGCCAATTCACAAAGGCCGGAGGAGTTCCCGCTGCACGAGGCGATGGATGCATGGTCAGTCCCCGCGGAGGCGACTCGAGGTAGTGTCCAACAAACATCAGACCATTTTTGCATTGGTATTTTGGCGCCATGGATTGAACGAACAGCGACTTGCCTTTGATTTGCGTTTGCGGCATGGAACACATGCCGACTGGACACAGCGACGACGCTTGCTGGCCTTTGATGAGTATTCCTGGGCGTGTGAGTTGTTGTTGTCCCCGTCGTCCCTGAGCGAGGAGGGTTCAGCGCCGCGGGCCATTGCTGGAGCACTGCAAAGAGTGAATGGGCAAGAACTCTTGCGCTCCGGGGAGGGTCAGGTCAAGGCATGCTCCGACTCAGTAGAAGAACGTCTAGGCTCGGTAGCAGCTGTGACGTTTGAGGCCCGTCGCGACTTTCCAACGAGCCTCTTAGCCGTGTCGTCGGTAAGCTACCAGGCACATCGGGTTCGGCGAGGGTGGCAAAGGGGATCCTGGGAGCTTCGGCGGAGACGAAGAGGCTCACTAGGGCCGGATGCCAAACGATCTAGAAGAGGATGAATAAGAACTGGCTTGTTCCCGTCGACGGTGCTGCAAGTGGCCGAGGGGCGAATATGACGGGATGGCATTTAGGGGTATCAACCATCGACATGTGGGCCCTACATGGGCAATTCGTATCGAGATTGGGAGAATGCCATATTATAGCGAGGGCTTTGCGCCCACCCACGCTCTCCCTTTCGGCCCTTTATGACCGGAAGTATCGAAGCGGCCTCCTGATGAACTGCTTCCGTCAGTTGGCTGGCGGGTACTGCCATGAAGAGTCCCTATTCACCACCTGGATACCTAGCCAGGTAAACCGTTACGGCTAGCCGGCTTTAGCGACCATCGCCGATGGATGCCTCTACCCGAGCGAGCGAGCGGGCATCCTGAGGGCTGGTCTTCTCCATGAACATCTGCTTGTGATGGAGGAGGGGAAGAAGCAGCATATCTCGAGTGAGGTGATCTTTCTTGTTGCAGACCACAGGATGATGCGGCCCGGTTGGTCATTCTTCGCAGTCTGTCCGTCCGTAGTAGCACCGCATTTACCCTCTAGTTGGGCCGAGACTACCTACTTGTCACCTCGGCCAGATGCGCCGAAGAGTAGTCGTACGTCTGTTGTAGTGTAGTAGTCTTACAGGATACGACTGTCTCACAAAGGCTAGTAGTACCCAACTACCCTGATCCGCATCTTCCAATGCCTTGCCATAACCAAGTCGTAGTTTGGCCGGCTGCACAGATTGAAGAACGAATGTATACCAACCAACATGCCTCCAATCGAGACAACAATTGGAAGTCCTAGCCAACAAGCCATCCGTCAGCAACTAACTTAGCATCTCGTGGGGGAAAAGCCCCGCTTCTGCCGTTTCGCCCTGCCCAGGTCCAGGAACGTGCCTCTTTGGTTTTTGCCACCCATGGGACGGCTGCACACGACCCGGACTATCTCCGCGCGACGACGAGTGGCAAACATGGATCAAGCAAGGCCTTTTCATTCATCTGGACAAGAAAGTCTTCGTGCTTGTGCTGTCGCTACGGGTAACCGGCAGTCGTTTAGCGATTATAGCCCATGGTTTGGATACCATATCCTCTTTCAGCTTTTTCAGACCATGTTATTAGTGGATAATAATGTCCAGTCGGTAGTGGGAATGAAGCGAAACTATAATTCATTTTCCAACGGTATTTCGGTTTGAGCTTACTGACAGCAAACGTATTCTCGCAATTCAAAAAAATACATGCCGTCTTCTACTCCCGCGCAAATCAAAACCCACAACTCTCAACCCTAGTGTCTACCCTCGACAGGTATGACGCCCTTCAATCGAGGCAGCAAACTCCTCGCACCCAGTCTCGCCTGTTGCGCGAGCACAGCATCGATGATGACAAGCGCAGCCATCGACTCAACGATCGGCACCGCACGAGGCACAACACACGGGTCATGTCTGCCCTTGGCCTCCAGCACGCCATCAACTTGATCGTACGTGACCGTCGTCTGCGATTGCCCGATAGTCGCCGCAGGCTTGAACGCTACATTGAAGTAGATGGGCGCCCCGTTTGTAATGCCGCCCTGGATGCCGCCCGAATTGTTGGTTTTGGTGGTAAGCTTCGGCCGTAGAACATTCGCTGATGGGTTCTCGCCTGCCGGCACCGCGGGGGCTTTGATGAACGCGTCGTTGTGGATTGAACCTGGTATTTGCGCGCCGCCGAACCCAGAGCCGATTTCGAAGCCCTTTGTGGCTGGGATGGAGAGCATCGCGTGTCCCAACTTCGCTTCGAGCTTGTCGAAACAAGGCTCTCCCAGGCCTGTAGGGCAGTTTCTTATAACGCACGTCACTGTACCGCCTATGCTGTCCTGAGCATCTCGGTACTTTGCGACCAGATCCTCCATACGCCGTGTGACATCCTCGTTTGGACACCGGACGGGAAGGAACTCATCTACTCGCTTGCGTGTGATTGTGTCGATGAGTTTAAGGTACTCTGGGTTCGTAGAAGCGCAGGGGTGCTCTGGCGTGGGAGGGAAGAGGAATTCGTTTCCAACAGAGTTTGTGAACGCCACAATCTCGATGCCGTAAGCCTCGCGCAGATATTTCTCTGCTATTGCGCCAGCTGCGACTCGTCCTGCCCAAAGTCAGCTGTCGTTGCGATGCCAATTGAAACAATGCGACTCACCGATGGTTTCTCTGGCGCTACTCCGTCCGCCTCCTGAGCTGGCCTTTACGCCATACTTCTCCAGATATGTCCAGTCCGCATGACTGGGTCTTGGGTACAAATCCATCGTCTGGTTGCCGTAATCCTGCTTGCGCTGGTTCTCGTTCATGACCCTCAGGCCAATCGGAGTGCCCAATGTAATGCCAAACTCTGTCCCAGACTGGATTTCTACTCGGTCTTTCTCATTGCGCGGGGTTGTGATGGCCGATTGACCTGGGCGACGGCGAGTCATCTGGGGCTGGATGTCTTGTTCGGTGAGAGTCATGCCGGGCGGGCAGCCGTCGACGATGGCGCCGACGGAAAGACAGTGGGATTCGCCATAGCTGTAGATGGTCAGAGTATGCCAATCGAAGTTTTAGAGGTCATGACGTACGTAGTGACTTTGAAATGGGTGCCAAAAGTTGACATGACTGCGACTGTGTAGTGGGGTTCGGCTTTCCTAGGAAATGGGCGATGGTGTCAAAGAAGAGTCGTGCAATTGCTGCCAGTGTTCAAAGGCAGGCTTTGCTATGACAGAGGGAGAAGGTATTTGTACAATTGAAGGCGTAGACGCGTGCTGCTGGGAATAGATCAAAGAGTCACTAGGACTTTTATTTGTTAGTGGGGCGCGGAGCTGACCCGATCTGCATCCCCGACCTCGGCCGCCCATGGTAAGGCGGGTTATCGATAACTTCATTCTGTGCTGACCCCTTCATTTTCGGATCCGATGTTTAGTCTTCTTGCACATGTTGTCGGTTCCGGAGACATGAAGAATGATCAGCAGAACAGACAGGCACCGCTGGATGTTGACAGTGATTTTACTCGTAAAGCCAGACTCTGGTCACTAGTCAAAAGGGTCGACGAACTTTGCAGTGACCGTTTCCATCCGCTCAGCTGAACGTCACCGCAGAGAAAGTCGACGAAGAAGAGAAGCTGGGAACCTTGACATGGGCGTGATCGTTACCCACCAAAATAATCTACCCCTAGGAGTCGTCTGCGCGAATGAACAATTGCTTCTGGCTACCTTTGAGAGCGACGAATGAGTCCAATGGGCAGAACTAACAAAATCAAAACTATATTTGCCTCTAGACAAAAGGATTGGTTGACTGCCGCAATATCCTTGGTCTTTGCCTAGCTACCCGTTAATCAGTCTAATGCTCATCCTATACTCCTCTGCCTCTGATAATCCACCCTGAGATCTCGCAGCTGTAGCGGCACTCCTCCAGCAATGCGTCGCCGTACAGTCCTCTGGTTCGACAAGTTTGGCGAGTGTGCTGGACAGGGGCGGTCGACTGCATGAAATAACAGTGTGTTGGCGTTTCATGGAACCGCATCCATGGTTGAAATGGGTACCTGACAGCGAAGACAAGCTGGGCTGACTGTCTGTCCTGGCGATGCGTGAGGGCATGGCAACACAGGTACCAACACAAAAAAACTCTTGCAAAACTACCAAGCAGATTGAAACTGGTACAGCATCAATCAAGGCCGAATGGATGCAGAGTTGAAACTAAGCGCACGTTGTCGCATCTGTGGTCCAAATGTCGAGCTTCAGCCGGGGCCACCCGGTAGCGCACATTTGGCGTGTGCCCTGACCTCACCCTACACATGAGGTGTTTTCTCGTCTCGCAAAGCTTTACTCCAGTACATAACCACACCGCCCCATACCATTCTTCAACCCCCCCAATTCTCCCCACAATCCGCCATCATGACTGAATACGTCAAGGTCGAAAAGGTCATCCCCAAGTTCCCGCCGCCGGCGTTCAGCGACATCGCCAAGGCGTCGAACGATGTACGTGGTGGCTACCTATCCAGAGAGGCAGGATAACACAATCGCTGACTTGACCCCCTCCAGCTCATCAACAAGGACTTCTACCACACTGCCGCAGGTCCGACACACCAATTGAACTCCGCGCGCAACTACTGACACAGTTGCAGCTGCCCTTGAGGTCAAGCTCAAGGCACCCAACGGTGTCAACTTCACCGCCAAGGGCACCTCGGCGCATGATGGTCCCGTCACCTCCTCTGTAAGTGGCGGCGCACACACACCCTTCAGACAAAAGGCAGTAGCTGACGCAGCAACAGCTCGAGGGCAAGAAGGCTCTCTCCAACGGTACGGCGCCTCGTTCTTTTACCCCTCGTTCTGCCCGACTCGTAATACCCTTCCACTCGACGCCTCAGTTTTCATCGTATATATTTCATATGGCGCAGCCTCCGGGCAAATTTGCTATGACTGGTGTCGGAATCTCCCTGCTGACGACAGAACGCGCAGGCATCAGCATCACCCAGTCGTGGAACACCGCCAACCTCCTTGCTACCAAGGTCGAGCTCAACGACACCTTTGCCAGCGGCCTGAAGGCTGAGGTCCTCTCCAACTTCAGCCCCGCTGCTGGAAACAAGGGCCAGAAGGTCAACTTCCACTTCAAGCAGCCCAACTTCCACGGCCGCGCTTTCGTCGACTACTCGGCTGCTGGTGCTATCGGCACCACCGCCGACGCTGTTGTCAGCCACGAGGGCTTCGTCGTTGGTGGTGAGGTTGGCTATGATGTGCAGAAGGCTGCCATCACCAGGTACTCCGCTGCTCTTGGCTATACCACCCCCCTCTACAACGCCGCCGTCACGGCCACCAACTCCCTGAGCGTCTTTTCCGCCTCGTACTACCAGAAGGTCAACCCGGCCGTCGAGGCTGGTGCTAAGGCTACCTGGGACTCAAAGTCTGGCTCCAACGTCGGTCTTGAGCTCGCTGCCAAGTACAAGCTTGACCCTGCCTCCTTCGCCAAGGTATGCATCGGACACTGATTTTCGCACATGTTGTACTAAAAGAATATAGGCCAAGATCAACAACCTCGGCATTGCCTCCCTCGCCTACAACACCAAAGTCAACAGCGGCCTGACCTTCGGTATTGGCGGTTCTTTCGATACCCAGAAGCTGAACGAGGCCGGCCACAAGCTCGGCACCAGCTTCACCTTTGAGGGTTAAACGCTCTTAAAGGGTTGTCCATGTAGATACGAGTGGGGAGGTAGCTTTTTAGATTCCTTTGGTTCTATAGCGAAGCGGACTAATCTTCTCGATCGATGTGATGCAGTGAGCAAGTGTAGTATGGCTTTTGGGCATGTACAACAATCTGTCTCAGCGCATCTTCTGGAAACGCCATTTGCAGTGTGATGATGCATTCCGTGATATCGGATCCGCGTATGTACAGCCCCGACGCCAGCGGGGTCAAGGTCCACTTGTATCATGCTTCCTCTTTCCATTTGCCGGTGTTTTTGCCTTCCTTCGTACCCTCATGCCCATCCCCAAATAGTTTCGCGGTTATGCCAATCATTCCTATAATACCCGAGACCATGAGGAAGTTGGCAAGCATGCCCCCTCTATTGAACTCTTCTTCGACATGAACTCTTCGTTGCGTCCTGTGTCGCCGTGCGTAGATGTGATTATTCACATTATCGTGCATCTCCTTGTGCCGTCTATCGTCGAAGTGAGGTACCTCGTGCCCTTGACGCTGTTGTCCCGGACCGAAGCCACCCCACTCTCCATAGCTCTCTTGTCTCGCTTGCTTGTTCCCCTCGTGGCCCTCTGTCGCGCCATGATACGCGTATTCGGCTCGTTTTGCACCGTGTTGTCCGTATCCTCCAGCTTTAAAGAAGCTAGGCGGCGGACCGCGAAAGGTACTCCTCTTCTTGTTCAGTCCGCTCGCCGGCCTGGCTCCGAAGCTCGCACTACTATGACTCCCCTGCGGATAGCTACTTCCATTCCACTCCCAGCGCGATTTCGATTGTGACTGTTGGAGTTGGGCATCGTACTGCGCTCGCTTCTCTGGTATGGAGAGGACATGGTATGCTTCGCTAATTGCAACAAAGCGGGTTGATGCAGTGGGGTCGTCAGGGTTGCGATCGGGATGGTGTTTCTTGGAGAGGGTATAGAATTGACGCTTAACGTCTGCAGCGGAGGCAGCTGATGTCAGCTGCAGGGTCTCGTAGTGGTTCGGGGTGTTATCGCTCCAACGCGTAGAGGTCGTGTGGAATAGCAATGTCTGTATGCGCCGTGGAGGGGAAGAAGGGCGAGTACGGCGAAGACATGCGTGACATGTCCTTGGTGGACGGGCGATTGCGATTGGGCGCAGGAGAAGGAGGGTTGGGCGGGGTGGCATTGCCCATTACGAGTAGAGGGTGGAAAGACGGAAAGCTGCGTTTCAGTGAATGTCCATCCATGGATGGCGCGCATAGAGACGTCATGGGTTGGGAGCTTGACAGGGGAGGTTTAGCGAGTTCCGGACCCTTCCAACGGCGTTCAGAGTGGGGAGACTCGAGATTCCTCGAATTTGCACTAATGCCCTCGAGTTTGCCACAACTCCACCCTTCTTACTGGAACCATGGCGGCCAAAGTGGCAGACGATGTCGCCAACTTGAAGTGTATGTATTTGAAGTCTATCAGCGACTAGGGCGCTAGTGCTACTAATAAACATGCAGTGGACGACTCCAACGGCAAACCAACCAACGGCACAACACAAAACGGCGACAAGACGGCAGGTGATGCAGAGCACGAAGACTCTGATGACGACAACGAAGCTGAGGATGGCGCTCCCGAAGCTGGCGAAGGCGCAGCAAAGAAAAAGAAGAAGAGAAAGCCGAGGAAGAAGAAGAAGGCTGGCGCAGGTGCAGCAGGTGTCCCCAAAAACCAGTCTTCACCACCCCGTGTGCCCATCGCCGACCTCTTCCCGAACGATTCCTACCCCGAGGGCGAGATCTGCGAATACCGCAACGAGAACGCGTACCGAACGACCAACGAAGAAAAGCGCCACCTCGATCGCATGAACAACGACTTCTTGACCGAGTACCGCAAAGGCGCAGAAATCCACCGCCAGGTCCGACAATGGGCACAGAAGTTCATCAAGCCTGGTATGGGCCTCACCGAGATCGCTGAAGGCATCGAAGACTCGGTCCGCGCACTCACAGGGCACCAAGGCCTCGAGCCGGGTGACGCCCAAATAGCTGGCATGGGATTTCCCACAGGCCTGAGTATAAATCATTGCGCCGCCCATTACACGCCAAACGCTGGCAACAAGATGGTTGTAAACTACGAGGATGTAATGAAGGTGGACTTCGGCGTGCACGTCAACGGCCGCATTGTCGACAGTGCCTTCACCATGACTTTTGACCCGGTGTACGACCCCCTCGTCGAAGCGTGCAAAGCCGCCACCAACGCCGGCATCAAGGAAGCTGGTATTGACGTCCGCATGAGCGATATTGGCGCAGCAATTCAGGAAGTTATGGAGAGCTATGAAGTCGAGATCAAGGGCCAGATGTTGCCGGTGAAGTGTATCAGGAACTTGAATGGCCATTCGATTGGGCATTATACGATTCATGGAGGAAAGACAGTACCAATTGTGAAGGGAGGGGATCAGACGAAAATGGAGGAGGGGGAGACTTTCGCTGTTGAGACATTTGGTAGCACTGGAAAGGGATATGTTCGGGATGATGTATGTCTTTCGCCTTTCTCCCCGATATCATTTCAGACTATTTTTGCTAACCTTCTGTTACAGATGGAGACATCACATTACGCCATGCGCGGCGATGCGCCCAAGGTCGCCCTGCGCGTCTCGTCAGCGAAGACACTGCTAAACTCCATCACCAAGAACTTCGGAACACTACCTTTCTGCAGACGCTATCTTGATCGTTTGGGTCACGATAAGTATCTGCTAGGCCTAAACAACCTCGTTAGTGCTGGCATCGTCGAGGCATATCCACCGCTATGCGACGTTAAGGGAAGCTATACGGCGCAGAGTGAACACGTAAGTCATCTTTCTATTCCCATCACGATATGTTTGTTATGAAGGGAATGGTCGACTAACAAGGGATAGACATTCATCCTCAGGCCGACGGTCAAAGAGGTTATCAGTCGAGGCGATGACTATTGAGTTATAATAAACGAAATGAAATAGAGAAATGAGTTAGGAAATGTATAACGACATTCGGCTGGCAAGTATACACTCATGGGCAGTTCAGCTTCGGCTTGGCGTATATCGGGATCATGAAAAGAAACAAACATTACTCTAAAAATTCAGACATTCAAAGCAGCAGCCAGACCCTAGGTGAACAGACTGACTCTAGACAAGGACTTTAAGTATGGCTCGCATACAGTTTTTTCCGGTGAAAGTGTAGTCTCGCACTGTTGGAACGCCCCTGTATAAGGCTGAGTGAGTGCTACGTCAGAGGGACTCTGACCAATGAAGAAACAAGAAAAGTTACTTGATGCGAGATACGAAGTCTATTTTGGAGGAAAGCAAGCACGCGACACTAGGCTGATAAGATGCAGGAACCGAGCCTCTGGTTTGAGTTTGGGGTTAAACACATGCATGTGGTGAGCTTGATCCTGACATCAGGGGGTTAAGGACCTACTAGAAAGATATGAGCTTCCTCGAAAAAAGATAGAATTCAACTGCAGACTAAGTTCCCTCTTAAAGAATCAAAGCGAGACGTTGAATACTTACTAACGAATAGTTGGTGACACATCTAATTACAACGATGGTATACAGATAAAATATCTGAAACGTCTCAAGATTGGAACCCTACGGTCTTCCGGACTAACGCATCACGAAAAGATAACGGGTGCAGATAGGACCGACACATGTCGCTTTGCAAAGGTTAAGCTACTAAGATACATATAGGTAATGTCAGTCGGAGTCTACCCTATGTCGTTCACAAACGTGATGTCACTCGTATACACTCGATCATCTGAATAGGTCCCCAGTCAGAGTCCTAATTGCCTGCCCCGTTTCCCAATGCCTTGACCTTGTGGTAAATCGCAGCGTCAATTGCTTTCACCGAACTCATCAGCTTCTTTGTCCAATCTGAAATCGGCTGCAAAGGCTCGACGTCTTTGCCCAACTTGTTTCCTTCGCCGAACTCATGGATCGCCAGGAAAGCCAATTCCTCACTCTTCTTGCTGGCATTGCTGTGCTGAAACAGCAGGTTAAAGCGTGTAGTACGTTTCCAGCCAAGCTGCTCGGACATTTGCTGATTGTGCTCGTCGCGATACCAGGAGTCAAGATCGGCTTCACCTCCGGGAGCTGGTTGCATCAGGGCAAGCATGATAATATCCGCAGAATCTGTAGCGTTGAGTGATTAGTAAGACTTATCGTAGTTGACTTTATCGATGTTTTGCACACCTTCATCCTGCTTCGATGTCTCAAATTTCTGCACGAAGGAAAAGATTCTTGTGTCAAACTCGATGGAAGCATCCACGTCTCCATCAAACAAGCCGTTCTTGCTGCTTCTCGGGATTTCCTGGACTTTCCCGGCTTGTACCAGCGCGAGATCGGATACTTTGTAGACCGCTAGATGTTGTTTGTCGTACGATGGATTCGCAGCTTTGTAAAGCCACGCGAACTTGATAGCTCCAGTCGCGAGCAGTTCAGGTACGTATTCTTCATCGAACCATTTCTCTAGTGTGTCCAGTGATATCTTCGACGAATCGTTAAGCTTGAAGAAGTTGAGAAAGACGCCAGGACCGGACCAGGGTTTGGGATCATACATTTTTCAATATTGATTAGGAGTCAGATAAGTTGTTCAGGTTGGTGGAGTGTTTTAGCAGTGAGAGACTTTTACTTATATCCTATATTCTAGACGCCACGTGATTGTGAGTTGCGGGGCTGCAGAACGCCTGACTTCGTATAATCCGAACTTCGCATTGTCCGCTAGAAATCCTACACCTGCACCAAGCTGTACGAGTGGAATACCTTCTCCACTTATCTGGCACTCATGGAATTTGACTATCGATTGGCTTTTCGATTCCAACTCAATCCTCCACACGGATAGTCACCGTCCCGAGCCCCCGGATAAAACAATACACTGGGCCACGAATTATATTGATAGGAGCATGGGAAAAGTCCTCGAGATGTTATGTGCAATCGTAAGGTTCATAAAACGTAAATGTGGCATAACAAGCCATGGCCTATAAGACAACCATAGCAACACCAGCTGAAAACGCAGCAAAAGCCATTATGTACACCGAAATTCCTGACACAAACGAAGCCGTGCTGGGCGCAACCTTCTGCGAAACACCAGACTGCCCTGACCCCGTAGCCGTGCATTGCTCACCACACTCGTAGCCATTCGGACAGCAGTTTCCACCACGATTTGCAGGGCAACTGTACCAGCTATTTGGACAAGAGCCACTTTGTGGAGCAGCCGTGGTCGCCACACCAGCCCCGGTGGGCGCTACGATAACTACACCGTTGCTGCTAAGGATCGTTTCGGTGGGAAGAGCACACGACCCCGTGGTTTGACAGTCTCGTCCGACTCTGCAACATCCCGATGGATAGTACGCGCTACATACGTAGAACCCAGTCGGACATGTATCATCTGTGGATTCTGCAGTTGTTGAGACAGACTCTGAAGAGACAGAGCCACTCGTTGGTCGCACAGGGGCGGAAGGTGCTTGTGTACTAGTTAGTCCATCGCCGAGACAAGAAGCGCCTGTTGCACAGGTCCGTCCGTTTTGACAGCATCCGCCACCCACATTTGCCGGACAAGAAAACCAGCCGGTCGAGCAGGTGTAGGCGGATCTCGATGTTTCTGTCGAGGTGGTCGAAGGTGTAGTGGGGACTACGACCACAGCTGTTGAGGATGGTGGAGAGGGTGGAGAGGATGTCGGCGGTTGAACGTAAGTTATCGATGTACCCTCGAAAACACCTATTAATTCAGATATTAGCTCATATCCTTCTATTCACTTCAAGAATAACGCAAGGCTTACAACCAATGCCCTGACAGCGGAATCCGGGTAAGCAGCATCCGCCATTAGAAGAGTTGGGGCATGAAGAATATCCTTTAGTGGTATCACAGCTGATGGCTCCCGCACAAGTCTGACCCTGCGGGCAACAACCTACTGAACCAGCATCGGTGTTTCCATTGACGTTTATGCATGTACTTCCAGTACCGCAACAAACATCTGGTGCGCCTATCGAGGAGCAACTATTAGTTCCTTGTGGACACTTGAATTGCCTCTTCAAAAGAACATTTCTGATGTGAATATGTGAGAAGAAGTCTTCGTCGGCAAGGGGCCTTAGTGGCGAGCGTGCTTGACTTGTCCCATTCCCAAGGTCTTCAGAGTCCGATCTCTTGTCCAAATCAGACGCGAATATCCAGTTGTCCAGCATGAACATTTCGCCCTCGTCTACACTCATTTTCTTGACCCCAATCGGCCTCTCTTTCTGGAGTTTTTCCTTGATACTCAAGCCACGCTTCGCAAGCACTTCATCTTCTGGGAAGTACTTCACGTGACCGGGCAGATTGTGCGGCCATGGTGCATCGGCGGATGATGACGTTGCACAGACGAGTAGGATAAATGCGGATGGTAGAGACAAGAGGCTTGGAATATGCATCTTGCAGTAAAAGGTACGCTAAAATGATAGAGACTGGGTTAAAATGCAGAGTGAGGAATGCAGTCGTTTCTAAGAGAGGGTTTTTGTGAGGTGGCTGGTGGACCGTGGAAGCACGAATCAGGGAATTGGCGGGGCTGGGTATGCGCTGGCGCCTCACCGCGACAAAACTACAGGGGCATCCTGTCGCGAGACTAGAGATGGGAATAAATACATACCGGTTGTTTCTTGTTCAAAGTGTCATGGATGTCAGAAAGTTGTGAAGGTTGTTGAACGTCATGTCGGCCGTGGAAGTTCCGTCGATTCCGCCCTGCGCCTCATCTTAGCTCTTCGAAACCTTGAACCCTCACCATTACTCTCACTATTCCATTAGTTCAGACTTCACGTCGGAACACCGGAGGATCTTACCGATGAATATCATGTTTGCTCGCGTCGTCGCTAGACGCCCGGCTCTTATAGACGCGTCGCTATGGTTTGAGACGGAAAGTCTGGTCGTACTGGAGGACGGCAAGTTCATGGCGGTACGTACACATGGAAACACGCACATGGGTAGTGGCAAGGCTCTATCGAAGGACTAACAGAGAATGATGCGATGAGCTTGTCGCAACCTGCTCATGTACACTCGCATGTCCAAGTGTATCACGGATCGAGCACTACCAATGCCAAGTAGTAAATATTTTGGTGTATAATCTGAGCCCTTGGCCTGTGACTCTGGATTCGATGATGACGATAATATATACAGAGAACTGTCCCTAGATACTGTGACACTTTGGAGCTTCTGATTCATGTACCGAGAGGAACTTCCACCTTTACCTCGTCTGCCCACGTTCTCGTTATTTTGACGCTGTTGACTTGCGCACTGAAAAGGTAATTCCACCTTCACCTCGCTTCTGTTCACGCTAGGATTGCTTTGCCCAACGTATCCCTCAACTATTTCCTCCTTCAGTTGCTTAAGAGTCCACTCGACCGCTACTTACATTCCTCAAACACTCCATCAAGGTGGCTAAGATAGATATGCCTCAGTCAAAGCCACCAACGCTCGGGTAAGCCTATCAAGCCCCAAACACGGACCCATCAGCTAACAAATATATCAGTACGGCTGTTACCAAGGACGTCGTCGTTATCGAAGTTGGGCCGGAGCGGAAAAAGTATTACCTTCACAAAGCTCTACTTGTCCACCACTCGGATTACTTCCGCAAGGCGCTTGAAGGACCATGGACGGAGGCACAGGAAGGAGTAATCAAGCTTGAAGACATTGAGCCGGCCGTAGGTACGCAATATCTGCTCTCTGACCCGAACATTAACTTCGCTAACTTTGAGAAGTAAATTGGTTTGTCCATTGGCTGTACACTGGCACGCTGCCTGGGTACCGTGACTTCAAAGAGGAGAACCGCATCTTTGATAGCCCTATAGAAGGACATATGGCTAAGCTTAAGTCGTACGCCTTCGCAGAAAGATTCCTCGTTCCTGAATTCCGCAAGGCCGTCAACGAAAACCTCGTGGATGACATTAGCAAAGAGGGTTACTACATCGAAGTGCACCAGATGTTAGAGTTGGTCCAAGAAGCATTTACGACCATTCCCTTGGATCGACCAATCTTACAGCTTCTTGTCGACGTACACTGTTCATTGTGGACACAGTGCTGTGAGGATGATACAATATCGGTGAACAAACTCCCTCGTGCGTTCCTTGTCCGCGCTATGAGGACACTCCATGAGGAACTGAGGTGGGAGAGGGAGAGTGCCGACGAGAAGAAAGTCTATTGCTACTACGAGCACGCTTCGGATGAGGAACAAAAGGCGTGTCCGAATCAGCACATGAAGTACGACGCAGAGAGAGATTTCGGATTCTTCGAGGAGCGGGTTACCTGCTACAATTGCTCAGGGTACGAGGATTCCAATAGCGAGGACTGAGAGCTTCATGACTCTATCACGACGAGCGTGGTCACTTCGCCCAGAAAGTAGATGAACTGAACGGAGCTAGGCTCTCTAGCCCAACATTCAAGATTTCCTCTATATATCCATACACATACTGCTCTATACAGGAGAGATCATGTGCAGAAATCCACATATTTGTGTTACCTCTTAGCTACTCCAGGTGCCCACTTTACTTGATTTCAATCAATGATTAAGTTGACATCCTAAGCGCCGCTGAATGTCCTCGGACTTGGTGACATATTGCAATGCTCGTTTATTCCAACACAGTCGCCTCAACTAATCAGCCATTGAATAGCTTGATAAGCTAGAGACCAACTGTCTCTAAATGATTCAATCAAGTCTCCATCCGACAGACGTAGATGTTGACTATAGACAAAGCGAGAGTTATGCACAGAGACGAGGGAGCAAAAACCGCGCTAAGCAATCAATATGATACATTGAGCCTGAAGAGCTGTCCTCTCAGACGCTACTACCCAGTAACTCACTAATGGTACAACAGTTCAAAGTCTTTCTCCTGCCTTGACAAGGTATAATACAATAGGCATAACCGCAACATCGTGCCCTTAGTCCGTACCAGAGAGGGGTATACAGTGCCCAGAGTCGAGAAAGTGCCCAAAGCGCCTTGGATATGCATCAATTCGTAAAGTCGTTAGTAATCGCAATGAATATAGTCGTCCAGCGATGCGATTCCGGCGGCGCCCAACGCGCATTCGACCGCTTCTATGCGGTCCCAAAAGTACTCTCGCATCCACGTAGACATCATGTCTAAGGAAGAGGCTGCAGTGCTGCTACTCCAGGTTTTGTCGTGCCGAGCCCAGGAAGTTTGCTGCCATGAGGTCTCCGGGTACTGTTGTTGGAGTGCGGGGAGTAGGCAGCGTGGTGCGGCCGCTCGTACTTTGTGCAAGATGCCGGTCTGTACTAAGTGCGTGATGCCGGATGCAATACTCATGACGGCAATGAGATTGGGGTTACAGCATTGTGCGGTGAGAAATGATGTCGCTGATACCGGCAATTCAGTTGAAGAGAAGGATCCAGGTATAATAAGAATGTCGAATAGAGGCGCATTTGCGAAGGAATTCTATGAAACCGTCAGTATTTGCTCATCATATTGGTTGGGTGTTGACGAAGGATAGGGACAAGGGCTGGTGTTAACCTTTACCTCCCCGCCAGACTGGCTCTCAGATGGCTACTTATAAGGCAGTCAAGATCGGGCGAATCCAGCACGACTAAGAAGTGGCTCTTCTTGGCCAAAGGAGTTTGGCTTGTGGGGTATAACGACGATCGTGTACGCTGTGGAGCAAGTCGAAGTTCTAGCTCACCGTCACCGGCATTCGGCTGCCAGAGGTGACTGGATACGATCCCTCTCCCGTCACCGATACATATCGGATGTCAATCTCGTCCATGGCCTGCTCCATGGCATTTGTTGAAGCCGCAATTCTCTGAATCCTATTCCTGCCTAGCATGGCCAGCAAGTCGAGTGCTGCAAGGTCGAGAAGTTGAACCTGGTCCTGTCCGAGTACTACAACACCAACTCGTAAAGAGGACTTCGATGGAGGTGCATAGTGGATATTCAGGTCCTCTTCATCCGTTGACGATGTTGTACAGAAGTAGAACAAGTCTGCTTGACTTGGAAATGAGGTATAACTTCTTGGGGGAGACGGCATCGGGGAGCAACGTCGAGAGTGAGAGATAGTGACTAGGGATGATGACTTGAAGAAGGGAAGATTCTCGGAAGAGTAAAACTTGGGGTGAGTGAATGTCTCACCTTGTGGCCTGGGGATGAATCTTATATACATGCAGTCGGTGAGCCGTCTTGCATCACTGAGTGGATCGAAAGCGAGCAAATGCCACTCTGAGGCGTCATATCGAGGACGGATGACACGCTTACCTGAAAGCAATCGTATAGTGCGAGGATATGCATCGATGAAGTTGGCACGGGTTAGTTCCAAGGAGGCTTGGAGTAGGTCCCCGGATGTGGTCGCTAGTGCATGATCCGAAGCGAGAACTCCCGGGCGTCACAACTTGTCGTTCAGCAGGGCGCGCAACGAATCGTATTCTTTCGTATTTGGTTCAGCCGTAGGATTATGGTTTGTTCTTTTGAATGACACCCACACATCGAGATGAAGATTGCGTATACTGGCTGCCTGTTGTATGCATGCTGTCGAAATGGCAGATTGAGGCTGCCAGGCAACAGAATTACCATTCATCCCGTTGGGGGAACGCCCTGCGCTATGCGGCACGAACAACGGGAGCGCCGAGCATGGGTAAGCACTTGGAACCTTCAAATGACTGGCCATCTGATTACAGGGTGGCTGTGAGCGGAGTGGAACAAGACGGAGACGTGGGATGAAAGCTTGCTGCTGAGAGGCTGGGAGGAAGGCCTCGGGGTTCAGGCACAAAGTTTTAACGGTCATCTGCCAACGGGATTACATCAGGGCCGGGTAGTTGCTATGACAAAGATAGCAACGGCATTTACCAGAAATGAGTCCAGAGACGATGGCTTTCTCGATGAGGCAGCGTGAACCCGACTTTAATTCGTGGCATGTGACCTCAGCGCTCGGCACAAGGAATACGATGCCTTGAACACCGAGACGCCGTACCGACGTAATTTCGGTTCAGGTATTATTATTGTAGTAGCTGTAGAAGAACCTATATGGTTGTTTTGCATATATACCCTTGTACGGGCTGCCGCCGTCATGAACGCTATGGGTGCAGCGCAGAATCACTTCAAGCTCGTCAACACGTGGGACACGTGGAGTCTTACCTCACATTCCATGAAAGCTGTGAAACTGAGAGAATAGGATTCGATTCAAGTTGCTCAAATGCAGGGTCTATATCCCGCACGGCCAAGTGCCGGGTGCCGTGGCGAAAGCATAGAGCTCAACCGCAACATTGCCGTGTTATCCATCGCTCGCTGCCAAAGAAACAATATACCAGAAAGTGATCGCTGCGTTCTTGTGTCCATTGCCTTAGATATCCCTCGCCTCGCCATCAGCCTCTCCAGACTTGACGGCCTTTCCTGTCTTCTTAATCTTCTCGAGCACGGTCTCGTAGGGGAGCGAGTCGATTGCGACAACTTCGGCCGTCTGCGTCTCGAGCGAGACGTTGTACGATTCGACACCTGCAGTGACGGTCAGCAGCTACTCCAGCGTGGAAAAGCAGAACATAAGTCTGACCTTCGAGCTTCTTGAGCACGCGCTCCACGGCGCCGGAGCAACCGCCGCAGCTCATGGCAACGTTGAACTTGTATGTGTGGGTCATTGTGTAGGTAGGTTGTAGGTTATGAAAGGTGCGTGGTGGAGGTAGGCTGGGGCAAAGATCGAGGTTTCGAGTTCGGGTTCTGGGGTTCCGATATGGTAGATGAAGAGCAGAGGCAAGCGGTTGGTAAGCTAGGCGCGGGGACAGGTATATATAGGATTCACTGGGGATAGTGTGACAAGAGGATTGCGCAAGTTTCAAGATGGTGTTGTAATTCGGCTAGATTGTTATAGATTGTCATGGCCCCGCTGACCATCGAAGCTTCGGAACGACAATGTTAGAGTCATAGAACCATTCATGTAAGCCTGTGTATCGTTTCAGCATCGGACATGTTCCGTGGCGCGAAACTTGCTCATGCGAGCGGCTTCAGCAATACACAGGATGATTGGGACGCTGATGCATGCAATGAGAGGACACTGTGTCTCCGGAGGTACATGGCGACCATAGCGTGAGAGGATGGTGGGCGCGAACTCTGCTGCATGGTCATACTGTAGACTAGGCGAACCTCTTCCCAGACTCCAACCTAGGTGGTACGAAGCGGCAGTCTATTGAAGACAGGCGGAGGCTAGTCTGGTCTTCCCTTTGTCGCATGTGCTAATCCACTGCCATCGGTTCCTGGATCAAGATGCACCCTGAACAGAGCCCCACGCTAGCGCGGGGCAGCAACACTCACATCCATGCGCCATCAGCCAGGTTTAAGCTGCGGTGACGTCTTTTCCGCAAACCCATGGCATGGTAAACACCAAACCCAAACTCCACCATGGCCTCGTAAGTTGGGTATGCAAGGGTCTATTGTTCCACGACTGACACATGGCCAGCAACATACTCTTCCTGCCGTTTCGACGGTCCCACGCCGTCAACCTCACCGAAGCCATCAAGCAGTACATATCCTCCAAATATGACCAGCATCCGGACATGTTCACCAAGGACCTGGAGACGATCGAGAAACTCCGCTCCGTCGCCGTACATGCCCAAGAACCGCACCCGAGCAACATCCCGAAACTACAGCAGTACGCGGCACAGCTCATATGGCTAAGCGGGAAGTTTCCAATCGACATCGGCGTCGAGTTCCCATGGTATCCAGCGCTGGGTTACAATACAAGTCGCCCAGCATCCCGTAACAACCTTCGCTTCGAACTCGCGAATATCTTGTACAACCTCGCAGCCATGTACTCGCAACTGGCTATGTCGTCGAACCGAAGCACACCAGATGGGCTGAAGGTGGCAGCCAACAACTTCTGCCTAGCTGCTGGCGTACTATCACACCTGCGGAACAGCGTCCTGCCTGAGCTGCGGACCGAGCCCCCCGAGGACATGGACCTTATGACGCTGGAGTGCTTGGAGAAGCTGATGCTGGCACAGGGCCAGGAGTGCTTTTGGCAAAAGGCTGTCAAGGATGGGCTCAAGGATGCAACCATCGCCAAACTAGCAGCACGCGTATCGGACCTATACAACGAAGCGGGCGAAGCGGGCATACAATCCGACGCCATCAGTAGCGAATGGATACACCACATGACGGCAAAGCACCACCACTTTGCTGCTGCTGCCCAATATCGAGCTGCTTGCGATGCTCTGGAGAAACGAAAATATGGAGAAGAGGTGGCACGTTTACGTGATAGTCTCACATGCGTAAACGATGCCCTAAAGGAGCAGCGATACATCAACAAGGTTGTTCTTGCAGACCTCAATGGGCTGAAGACTCGGGTTACAGAAGACTTGAAGCGCGCGGAAAAGGATAATGACATGATCTACCTGCTACCCGTCCCTCCCAAAGCCGAGTTGAAGATCCTGGACAGGGCGAACATGGTGGTGTCCAGGGTGCCCAAGGAAATAGCCGAGTCTAACGCACTCCTTGGAGACCACGGTGAACTCGGACAGGCCCTCTTCTCAAAACTGGTCCCATACTCGGTACATTTGGCGGCTAGCATATACGTGGATCGCCGCGATAGACTGGTCAATAATACCATCATCGAAGAACTTGAGGCACTTTCGACCCAGATCCACGAGGTTCTACGCAGTCTCAACCTTCCTGGCTCGCTTCAGGCGCTTGAGAAGCCACTCGGACTACCGCCGGGCCTCAGCACCCATGCCGACGAGATCCGCCAGCAAGACGGCATTAATCGACTGCTACGCTCAATGGAGGACACCAAGAAGCTCATGTATACTGATCAGGCCATCTACCAGGAAGGTGTTGATATACTCAGGTCGGAGGCAGCAGAGGATGAAGGCGCCCGCCGAAGGTATGGTACAGCGCTTTGGACTCGGCAAACAGCTGAGCAAGCCGCTCCCAAGCTATACGCTCAAATCAACGAGATCGATGGCTACTTTAAAGCTGCCACAAACAGCGACAACATTGTCAAAACGAAGTTGAATGAGAACGAGCATTTTATTCGGTTACTCAGCGGACCGGATCATGACCTCGAGAATTATGTACCCAGTGGCCGGAGGCCTGCGATCACCGGGGACGTAGAGCGAGAAGCTGGGAAGTTGCGAGGTTGTTTCAACGAAGTCAGCCGATTGGAGAGCAGGCGACGACGGAAGATCGAAGCCTTGAGGACGAAGGCGAAGCAAGATGACATAAGTAAGTCTCGCGCTTCTACCCATGAAAAACACGCTAATAGACAGCTAGATCCGGAACTGCTGCGCGAAGCCGCTCGCTTAGAGCGGGAGTACCCTATGCAAACTATTGAGGCTGTACAGTTTGAGGGTCTTTTTGATAAGCGATTACAAATGTACGACGTTGACCAAGATATGGTCCAGGACGAAGAGAAGGACCAAGCAGCAGCCATTAAGCGGCTTCAAGATGCCAATGCCGCCTTCTTGATCACTCGCCGGGGAGACCAATCGACGAAGAAGCGGGAGCAGGCATTGCAAAGCCTAGAGAATGCGTACTTCAAGTACAAAGAGATCATTTCGAATCTCGATGTGGGTCGGAAGTTCTACAATGACTTGGCCAAGATTGTGAATCGGTTTCGGGATGACGCACGCAGCTTCGCATACCAGCGGAAATCAGAAGCGTCCGCACTTGAGAAGTATGTCGGAGCCTAGAGGTTGTTTGAAATTCGCTAACTCCTTGCCAGTGACCTCGCAACCCGAATGAACTCTCTCAGTCTGCAGCAAGCGAACTCGGAATCGTTACACCAGCAGAAAAAAGCAGACGCACAGAACCCGCAATACGGTGCTGAGGCACATGCAGAAGCGCCTTTGGCTGCCCCGACGCCCACAAGAGCTGGTGTTGCACCCACATCCGGCATGTGGACCCCTGAAGTGGGAATCCGATTTGGGGGAGTGCCTACGACGTCTGGGAACTCTCGGCCTACCAATGGCCCTTCTCAGGATGGGCGATGGGACCCAGCGAAGGGATTGAAATTCGGGTAGATTGGACACTGGTGTGATTGACTGTAGATAGCATGGAAGAATACCCAACAGCAGAGACAGACTAAAGACATATTTCTCGAGGCACGATCGTAGCTACTTATTCTCATTGAAGCCAGTAATATTCTCCTCCTCGAGCCGAAGTTCAAGGAAGGGCGGATGCATTCAATCTACAACCACTTCGAGCACAACCGCTCATGCGGCTCACGGAAGGATTCTAGAAAGTTTCAAGTGCTATTATTATCGCTGCCATATGACGCAATGCCGTGGATTGTGATGTCGCGTAGGCACGGGAATAATGAGGGTTTGGGTAGGGAATCTGCCTCGCGGAGAGAAAGAGAGAAGAGAGGTGTGCCTCGCAACCATGGTGGCTGTGCAAAGCGATCTTTTGTGGGACGGAGCGATGACTTCATCCACACGAACGGGTACGAACGAGGCGCTGGCTGGTCTACGCGCCAAACAAAATGAGTGGGATTTTTCTGCAATTTGGCCTGGTTGGGCTCGCACCGCGCGCGCAATTGGCTGCCGGTGAAGGTAGTGGTAGTGGTAGACTGCACGCGGCGAGGCGACTATTCTGTCACAGCTTGGCGGCCATTGGACTTTTTGTCGCATCGCAGACGACTCGAGGGACTGACAGAAGACTTTGACGGTTCAACAGCAGCACCTACTACTAGCCACTCTCACGACTGACATCCTTCTCTGTCGTCTCGAACCCCTTCTCTGCGCCTTGCCTCCAGGGCTCTTCGTCTCTCGTTCTTCCTCTACCCAACATACATACATACATCATTACAACAACAACATCAACAGCAGCGCATACCACGCCCCGTCCGTCCCGCTCTTAGTCACCGTTTCACCCGCCTCGAGACTCTGAAACCAGGAACGCAGAGCATCATCGTCAGCCTGCAATCGTAGCCGGCGCGTCGCACCTCTCAGCGCGGGGTCTATTGATAGCACCACCCGCTAGGCTGCTTCCAGAGAGGCATACTGCACAGCCCATCGCTCACCGAAGCAGCAGCACACACACAGCCTCCTTCACTCACCAGCCTCAGCAAGTCAAGCTAGGAGACGTTGCGCGTTCCTGTCGCCCTTTGGACCACTCGTTGTGCCTGCTTCCTGCCCTGCCCTGGAGTTTGACCGAGCCCCCGCCCGCCGTCACCACACTGCACCCACCTGGCCCAAGCGCGCCTGCTCCAAGTCCTCCGCATTTAGCAACACGCAACACGCGCGAGTCAAAATCGCATCATGGATATCCAGCAGCGCGGCCGCTCACCCTCAGCGGGCCAGCGCGCGAATATAAGACATTCGCCCTCGCCCTCTCCCCATGCGCCCTTCCCACACAACGTCTCCGGCCTCGGCTTCGATCCCACCCTCTCCGTCCACGACCCCTCCTCCTCGACCACCTTCCAAGTCACCACCGCCGCCTTTGACCCTTCACACTACCTCACCACGACCCAGGGCCAGCAGTACCCACAGCAGACTTCCCTCGCCGACCAGAGCTATCTGCAACCCACCCAGACGACCCTCTCGCAGCACAACACGCCTCAATTTGGCCCCCAAGGCAACAACATCTCACCCGACCCACTTGACATCTCCCATACCACCAGCCCCGACTTCAACCACTTCTTCACCGCCAACGATATCAATCAGAACCAGGCGATCAATCCCTCGTTCCTTGGCAACACGCTGGACCCCCAGCTGTTGGATGCTCAGCCGCAACAAAATCCATCCATCAGCCCATCTGACCTCATCAGCCAGATGGCGACCACACAACAGGGCGCGCCCACACCGCCGCACCTCCTGCCCACCATGAACCATCGCCAGACTCCAAGCCCACAGGCCTCGCCGAACATGAACCAGGGCCAATTCACGTCCCCGGGCCATTCGCGACACGCTTCCTTGGACCCAAATGCCGCATACGGACAAGGCACAGAGTGGGGTAACATGGCCAACTTCAGGGGCCATAGGAGAGCTCCAAGTGAAACCTACTCGGATGTATCCTCGGCGCATGCATCACCGTACCTAGTTCAGCAAGACAGCTTCGAGACGGATCAGCCCTCGCCCCTCCTGAATGCGCAGAACGACCCACAGCTGTTCCATGATCCTGTGATGCAATTCGGCCAATTCAACCTGAACGACAGCAATGCGCACATTAGTCCTGGCCATAGCCCTCACATCTCGCCGCGCTTGAATCCGCAACAACAGCAGTCGCTTCCGCAGTTTCAGCCTGGCTCGTTTGGCTTGGAACAGGGTATGAACAACCAATATGCACAGCAAGGGATGGGCACATACCAGAACCAGGGCCCAGAGCCGTTCCCGTCTTTGAACCAGGGTATTCCCGAGTTTGGCCAGGCTGACGCAATGTCACCACCTGAGATCAACATTGACTTTGCCCCGCCATCGCGACAAGCGAGCTTTGAACCGCCAAAGCCTGAGCACCAAGCAGATGCTTTGAGTCCTCCAGATCGATGTAAGTATTCTACGCAGTTATGAAGTATTTATCTAACCATTTCAAAGCACGGAGTCGCAACAGGATACGAGCCAAGTCCGATCCATTCAGTGGTGCCAGCTCACGTGCATCTACACCAGGCTCGGAAGTGCACCGGTCGCTATCTCCCAGTGCAGCCAAGTCTCGATCTCCCTCCCCATCCTCCAAATCCTCTCGCCGTTCTTCCACCTCGAGTGTGCCCAACCGCGACTACATCTTAGACCTCGCGGACCCTTCAAGACCTGCCCCTGCCGACGGCTCAAATCCCAAGCGTACACAGAAGCATCCTGCGACATTCCAGTGCACCTTGTGCCCGAAGCGGTTTACGAGGGCATACAACCTCCGGTCCCATTTGCGCACACATACAGATGAGCGTCCCTTTGTATGCAGCGTCTGTGGTAAAGCATTCGCGCGTCAGCACGACCGAAAGCGCCACGAGGGTTTGCACTCGGGCGAGAAGAAGTTCGTGTGTCGCGGCAATCTCAAGGACGGTAACCACTGGGGTTGTGGCAGGCGATTCGCTCGCGCGGATGCCTTGGGACGTCATTTCCGATCCGAAGCAGGCCGCGTATGCATTCGTCCTTTGCTCGAGGAAGAAGCGCAAGAAAAGGGCGGTTGGGACGGCCAGAACCAGCAAATGAACAATGGTAACGGCATGTTCGCACCAATGCCCGCCCAGAATTTTGGAAGCGGAATGATACCACAGCCGGGCTTCGAGCAATTCCCTCAGGGCGGCGGTATGCAAGCACAGCAGTTCTTGCCCGCAGCTCTGCTAGCGCAATACCCTGCACTAGCGGGTATACAGTGGGATCAACTTCCACCTGGTCCGCCTGACGAGGTTGAGGGTGATATCAGCGGACGTAGTAGCTTTGACGCATCTAGTGGAGGCGAATTCTTCGACGAGGAGAGCGACTACCAGAACCAGCAGCCTATTTACGGCGGTAATGGGGGCGGCTGGGCGAGCGACTCGTACGATGGGCGGTGATGTCGTATGGGGTTATCGTAGGGCTTCCTTCGCTTTCCGCTGTCTTCAGTGGCCTTTTGATTCCTTTCTATGATAGCTACGCGTTTACGATTTGAGTTTATGATTGCGCGACGTCTTCGTTTGGATACCACTTTAGTTGTTTTACGCGCGAGCTGGGTATCAAGGTCGGTATACCCCGGGATAGGGCAGCTAGGATCAACTTTGGGTCTTGAGTTGCGGAGTTTCGACGTAGATTAAAGTATAGAATTGCAGCACAAAATGCAGTAATCAACTAAGTCGTTCAACTGCGTGTGTCTTGTGACTTGGCTAGCTAAACATCTATACTGATTCTTTCCAAGAAGAGAACTGAGATTATGGGTCCTTGGGGTGTACGTTCTCCAGAAGACACTATGGCAGAGTTGCTTCCGATGGACTGACTAGATCTATGAAGGAATCTCAATCGCTTAGGGCCTCCCTAAACAGTCGTGCAAAGCTGTCCCTGAGGTATGTTAGAGATAGCACCAGATCACGGGTCCCTTGAATGAGATTAAATACAGCAAGCGGGATCCGCTATACTGGCTGAAATCCTGAGGAGGGTGTAATTGGATCCTTTCGAACTTGCACAGGGATGATAAGAGAACATGAAGGAAGAATTAAATAGATTTCATGATCTCATGAGCCTGAGCACTTCAAGCAAGACCTGACCATTTCACCGCCGTAAAAAGGAAAACACATAGGAAGGACTACCAACCCGGACAAACAGACAAGATAGACCATGGCCACCATTGCAGTCCGAGCCACTCCCTTCCTGAAGCCTCTGTGTACCAGCTGCTGTGAGCCCACAGTAGCTAGAGGATATTACACCAACGTCCAGCAACGAGGTTAAGTAGTTGCCTCACGATCTCTTCGCCTTGGGGCCCAGGATATCCTCCACAAGGCCGGTCCAAAGTTGCCTCGTCATACCCTCGCCGTCTACGATTGGCTTTGTCAATCCCTTGGCAACCTGCGCCGCCATGCCTTGGAAATCAACCGTGTTGCTGTCTGTCATGTCTGACATGGCGGAGGGAGCGTGGATGTGCGTTCCGTCTGCGGCGACAGTGTGAATGGTGGGGACCATGACCTGTACATCTCATTGTCAGCAATGGTTCAACCATTGCCATTGAGTATAGACATGGGAATAAGGTAGAGAAGTAAACATACCGGTTCCTCAGCCTCTGTCACTTCGGCCTGAACTGTCTCCGAGGGGTTGATCCAGGGAAGGATGGGCACGCGGAACTCGACCGGTGCGCTGCGCAGGTCAGGATCAAAGTCTGGGATATACGCAAAGTCGATGGTCGAGCTGTCGCCGACGGCCTTGAGGCTGCGACTTGTGTTGAAATGGCGCACTTTGCTGCCTGTCTCGCTGGCTTCGGGCACGGGGATCGTGGCTGATGCGGGCAGACGAGGAGTCGACGATTTGGCGCCGGCAATGGGCTTGTCTGAGGTGAGGAGGGAGGAGAAGGTTGCTGGGCCCGTCATGGAGAGCTGGCGGGTAGACGTCTTGCTGCCGGCCGCAATGACGCGGGTGAATGCTCGTGAGGCTTGCATGGCTGCGCTGTGTGATGTGAAGATGGAGAGAAAGCAGCAAGTGGTAAAGAAGTAGAAGCGAGTAGCGATTAGTACGGTGATTAGATAGATGTAGGCAGGAAGTAGAATGGACGTCAGGCTCGGAACTTTTCGGAGTGTGCTTCTCAGTCGTCACGTCCGGATGGGTGGGTGGGTATGAGGAATGGATAGATAGGGTCTTACGTTGACGTGAGGGGAAGCTGTCTGCTTTTGAAAGACAGCACTCCAAGACCCTTTTCGGAGCTCTTGGCTGCGGTTCTAGAAGGGCTATGGCAGGCGGTCAACAGTTGTGCAATTGTGCAACTACTTACTTACTCAATCACCTCACAGCAGCCACTGGTCAGTCATAAAGGTGGACCGATGATAGGACAATCGGGGATGCAGCCCTCTGGTCCGTTATCCTCACGCATGTCGATGCGAGGGCCCAAGCTCCCCCCCGTCCCCCCCAACGATGCAGTACTACACTCAAAGCAGGTTAAATCTAACCCAAGCCAATGGAGGAGATCCACTTCGCCCTGGCCTGCACATCCTCCCCGCACTTTTATTAATCACACCTGGAAGCGTGGCTCGAAACACCCATCTCTAGCCTTTATCGGGGCATCTTTATCTGGCGACCCCTTGTGAGCAATCGCGGCAACTGACGGAAGAGCCGGAAAGTATGGCTGGCTGAACGCCTACGGGTGGCATCCCGGGTATCGAGTGAGTCTTTTGCTATCGCGCGAGAATGTCGGTGTGCGGGTCTTGTTGGAAACGCACGTCCACAGGGGTTCACCAGGTCGAGTGAGGTTTAGCCAGTGTGCGACATCGGTACGGAAAGGCGTGTGCCTGTATGATCGGCTCTCCGCCCAGCGACGCCGCCGCATAAGCTTCCGTGAGGTGTAATTATACCAAGTGAGGCGACAGGGGGCCCAATCAAGGACATGTACTGTATACTCCTTCGCCAACGTGACTTTGCTTTTCAAGAACAGCAATAGAAAATCAACAAGGGCATAGGTGATAACGGACATGGTGGAATATGCGAAGCTGATGTCACGATGAGTTGTTGGATGATAAGGGAGCTGACGAGCAGCTCAACACATGTAGCCTCGCACAATCCTGCTCGTTGGCCAATTGCTCCAAAAGTGCTGTTCGCAAACTCTTCTTGAAAGAGTAAAGTCAGGTACCAAGAGCCTTGCATATCGTTAGCGTTCTACCGACCCACATGCCGTCAATAGACGAGGCATGGCCGAAAATACTAGACCCGGCCATTTCATACGCAAATTTTCAGTAACATTATATAAGCTCTATCTCAACAAATCGTCATCAACAGCTCAATTAAAACGAGCGGATCGGCCTGATGGTCTAGTGGTATGGTGAGTATTCGTGATATCTTGCCGTCTCCACAACAACGTCTAATAATAAATTAGATTGTCGCTTCGGGTTTCTCGCCTGGATACAGTGTATCTGTTATGTGACAGGCCCCGGGTGTAAGTGCTATCGCAGCCATAATTGAATCGTAAAAATCTAACATCTCCAAAGTCGAATCCCGGTCAGGCCCCATCTTCTTTTTGCCCTTTTTTGCTCCTTCATGGCTATGTTCACCACAACACGCCTAGGCCCTTTCTGCTCTTTTATTTTCTATTTCTATCCTTTGTGCATTCATTGGGTACATGTGTTTTAGTTGTTTTAATCTTACTAGCATACCGACACCTAAAATACAATAAAAGTTATGCAGTAGACGTGAGTTGTAGTGAAGGCAGTCAAACATCAAGACTTAACAAGCACAGTCGGTGTTCCTATTGAATCATCAAACTCCTTCATGGGTATTATTGCTGGCTTGCATTTGCACACTCTTGCAATAGATCGACGTATACAGCCAAGTACACAGAGTTTCATGCCTGACTATTCCACATACCAAACATCCCGCACACCCGCAAGGTTCATATTGTGTCTACCAAATTGGTACCCTCAGGAACAAAACACCCCACCCAGCCGTCAGTGTTAAAACTTTCAGGCGGTCTGAACGTCATTCCTTTCGACCTCAGCACAAGAGACTCATATGCACACAACCGAGTACTTCCCTGCTACAAAAAAAAACAATGCCCTCGACTATACAGCCCAGACGATTGCAAGACCTTTTATACCACGGCACGCGAGCACCACTCACCTAAGAGCATGCAAAGCCATGGCATACTCGCAGCTAGTCCAGGCACTACTCTTCTGTTTCTTTTCTTTCTTAGTCTTCTTTTCCATCAGACTCGATCCCGCACTGAAGCTTGACCTCACTTCTTGAAACTCATCGCTGCCTCCACCTCTCATACCACCCTTGTTGTGGGAAATAATCACGTTCCCTTGTTCGTCTGGATCAGGCCATGTGGTGCCTGTGTCGCTTTCTTCGTATTGAGTGTCGTACTGTTTTCCTCCACGATCGTAGGGATGGTTGGTGCCAGGGATGTTGGATTTGTCTGGAGCGGGTTGGACGGCAAATCGATCATCTCGCTCGTTGCGAAGACCACTACTGGTGTAGCGGGCTGTGGAAGGGCCTCCGAGTGTGTTTCCTGTGAAGCGAGCGTTGTTGTTTATTGCGGTGGATCCGGACAGTGTGAAGTCATGATTGACTCTAGGCGTGAAGTCTCGTTTGGGGGCTGTGGCGTCGAGGTCTACTGCTTTCCCTTTGCCTTTATCTTGCTTCTTGTTGCTGTCCTTGAGCCCTCTTGTTTCCTGTATCTGCGATGAGGCACCGTCAGATATTCTCTCGAGGACACTAGTATTCATGCGCATTGATGCTTTGCCTCGGCGCTGGTCCTCAGCTGGCTGGTACCGCTTCGAATACGTCTTCGACTTTGGATCGGAAGGCGTAGCAAGAAGAAACCGCGTTACTTTGCCGGCTATGTGGAAGGCCATCTCCATCGAGTTCATGTTTGATTTCTCGTTTCTGGCTGGTTCAAGCACCACAGTACCGGCATCGCTTGGTTGTGGATGCTGCCGTAAAAGCTGATCGTGGCTGTTCTGACCCGGTACATCCCTCTTGAACGAATGGTAGCTCTCGTTCTCGGGCACTCTTCCCATACGTTGTACACGACTTGTTCGTGGTGGTGGCTGTCGACGCACTTGCCTTTGGCTGGCCGACATGCTAGGCGTAATGGTATGGAGATCTGTATCCCGTTCATACTCCGCTTCGCGTCGTCTGCGTTGCTCCTCGTAAATACGCCTTGCCTCGCGGGCCTGCTTGGCCTTCCTGTACGGTCCGGATGTTTGCAACTCTACGAAGCCTTTCAATCTGTCATCCGCAGTACGAGTGGAAAAGATTGATTCAGTATCTTGAGAGTTCATGTGCTCCACAAGATAGGGGTCGGCTTCTTGAGAGAATCCGGGCGCCGGCTCTTTGGGCGGAGTTCGAGGGATCTCACTATCCCACCTCTTTCCCTCTCTAGGAGTAGTTGTAAGGCTTTGGATTGTGGTAGCGGTTCTTTGAGACTCCGGAGAAGACGGTCGATTTTCTCTATCACGAGGCGACATCGGCCTGTAAGTTGGATATTCAAATGTTTGAAGCGCATTTGGCGTATTGGGCAGTGCTCGGGTAGCATAGATCGGCGGAGAACGCGACCCCGTCTGTACAGGTGAGTCCTCATGCCTGTAGGTTCCGCGATGACGATGTTCAGTCGCTAGCCGACGTGTACCAGAGGGTACTAGAATTGGCGGAGAAGCCTGAATACCGAAGTGCTTGTTAAAAATGAAGCTGAGGTTATCATAGGGGTTCTCGTCGGGAGGTTCGTAAGTCTGTTGTTGATGTAGACCATGGCTGTTGGTGCCATATATACCGTAGTCACCTGCGTCATCTACGCCATCGTATCTTTCATTGATAATATCAGGTTTCAGAGACGTTCTGTTCTCGGTTGGGAGGTTCGTCCTTGGGTCAGCTGCGTTCTGAGGTCGCATACTAGGTACTGCTCGGCTTCCAGGATGTTGCCGGTCCTCTATCTTGTTGACCGAACGTAAGCCTTCCATGGGGCCGCCTTTATCGTCCCTTTCTAATCCATTGGTAGGCTTATGTTCTTGGCTTGGCTCCACGTTACTACTGCGTCTCCAGAAAGGCTTAGGGAGCTCCCAACCACCTCTGAGGTGCACTTGAGGCTGTTGTTCCCCTTGTTCTAGGATCCGTTGATTCTGGGAAAGATGGGGCGGCGTAGGCGAACCTGGTGGACACGGCGCCGCAAAATGATCTCGTATGTTGGAAGATATATAATTGCCATAAGCGTCGCGGCCGTTGTTTAGCGGAGAGACTGGACATGTTGGAGGGGTGAATGAGTTGGTAGATAGGTCGTATTCTCGATTGCCAGTCCTCGGGGAGACGGGTGGGAAAGGCGAAAGAGCACGATACTTTGCATCATATCGATCTCGACTAAACTGCCTTGATTGTTCAGCTGCTGGCAGCTTAGCGTTGGGTAGGCCACGTGCTAGCCATCCCTCTGCTCTTGCATCTTCATCTACTTCAGTGCTGTGGGTCCATGATAGTGCACAACCGCCCTCAAAGCTAGAGGTAGCTGTGCTAGGTTCAGATGATCCATCACAGTGGCTACTTGGCAGTCTTTTCAAATGCTCATCGCCTAAAATAGTGTGCTCTTCCTGATCCTCTTTGATGGACTGATTATATGCACTTGAAGTCTTTGACCATTTCCTGCTGCCAGTCGATAGATTATTGCTCCAGTTTGCTTCAGCCTCCGCCTCGTTTGTCAAGAACTCCAATGCAGTGCACTCATCGTCTTCGCTTCTCTTGCTCAATGTTCCATTTTCGGCATCGAGCATGCCTTCGCGTGGGTGCTTGCTTCCCTGGAGGCTATGCACCTTGTTGCTCTCGTATATAGCAGTGACAAGCCTGTGCTGCGTGTCCTCTAGCTCGAGCCCCAGTTCATCAAAGATAGCTTGCGAGACAGGTGATGATGGGTTTGTACATTCGTCGATCATCTCAGCCTGGAACCAGCGTCGTCGGCACTTGTAGTGCGGATTGTCCCTCAGAGGACTGCGAGCAGGTAACGGCGGAGGTGTCTCAGGCGGTTCTCCAATAAGGGGATCGTGAGCCATTAGAAGGGTAAGCCTCGGCGGAGGAAGACTTATTGAAGAGGATGTCGTGAAAGGGATACATATGCAGCGTGTAGCAAGGCTCTTCAAAAAGATATGCATCCGAACCAAGGCTGTGCGTTTGCCATCATTCAATGTTAGCGGTGTGTAGGTGACCATTCATTCGAGGATGGCGTTCGCAATCCATTTGGCGGTGACCTCGTCCACCAATACTTGTTAGATGTTGCGTTCATCCGCCACGTATCAGGCAAAGCTACCTTCAGTACCTAATGATCTTGAATTCGTGAAGCTTTCCAGGTATATTCAAGAGCGTTCGCGTGAAGTAGAACGACGTAGACAGTAGCTACTCACACAAAACAACGCTGGGTAACTAGCTGTCTTGCGAAGGAGCTAACGTGGACCTCCATTAAAAGATCTTCATAAGCCATAAGAAGCAGAAGCAATGCCTATTCCGACATGTTACTATCGCACTATGGAGTGAGACGATGATGACCAGACTTGGCCGTTGAAGTCTAGTGAAACAAACTGGTCAGACGTGCCTGAAATATTGTATTCCGTGTACCCTACCAAAGAGATAGGCCAGAAATGCCAAGTAATAGATTTATCCACCAACATGAAATCGTCCATAATATCCCGTAACGCCAAGAGCTCCGATGCTGCCAATATCTGATGATGATGCTGCGGCGTATGCACACAAATACGAACAGAAACAGGAGTGCTCACTAGGATATCTTGCCCCTACAATCCTGAACGCCCCGGAAGGAGCTCTATAACCCCTCTGAAAGTGCTGATGATGGTATTGCCGACTCGAGTTTCTCACAAATCATCTTCTTGTATCCTCTTACCCTCGTTCTTGAACTTCTGATGAACGAGCTTCAGTCCCTCGAAAGTCATCATCGTCGTAACAGCGGCAGGAACAGCACGGACCATGTTTGTGCCCATTCCGTTGTAAAAAGCTCTCCAGCCTTCTTCTTGCAGGATGACAGTGCAAGTCTTGAGGATACCGCGATATCGAGGCATGTTGATCATGCCATCTGACGACGATGTACCAGGGGGTCGGGTTTGATGCCCTATGCCATGTTGCCCTCCCTGGAACGATATGTTATCGTGCGATTGAGAGGGTAGAGACCTTTGTTGCGTTTGCAACCGCGTGCGTAGAACTTCGTGTGGGTATGTTGCCGAGGTAGCGCAAATCTTACTCAATACGGTAGCGGCTGCGATGCCAAACCAGTGTATGTCGCTTGCTTTAGCATCTGCCTGACCCATCTCTAAGCCGGTAAATTTCATCTTCAAGTACTCATACAGCGGAAATTGGATGGCAACGTGGGTGAGTCCTAGTAGGGCGGGCGTAAGGCCGGAGTAGAAAGACGCGATGCCCTCTTTGGCGTACATTTTTCGAAAAGCATCAAACGTGCTCTTGTAGTGCCACGGCGGGCGATGTTCTTCCGAGGCGCGCGCGCTGACTTGGGACATTAATCTTGTCTTGACAACCCATATGGGGTTTGTGACGAGAGTCGAGCATCCACCGGCGGCGACCGAGGCAAGCGTCCGTGCAAGCCATTTGTTCTCTACACATTGGATCTAGTCAGCTACGCAAGTTTGAGCGCCACATAAGGGTACTAACCCATCTGAGGATTGAGAAAGTCTTTTGTGGCCTCATAGGTGCTCATGTAGACGGCCCAAGTTGGAATGTATCCAAGCAGCATCGGGCCGAGCCCTCTGTACAAGCCGCGAAGGCCGTCCTCAACCCATATGACTCGAGCAGTACCTGTGAGACCCTTGTATACGGCGCGCGTAGGCCCAGCGTATTTTCGTGGGCGAAAGGAGCCTTGGGCTTGCAGGCGAGTTTTGATAACATCGAGCGGGCAGGTCACAATGCCCGAAGCCACTCCGGCAGAGGCTCCACAGAGAGCATTGATGGGTCCATCTGGAAGTCTGGCGACATTGACAGCGAGCGTACTTAGTGGCGAAGTTGATTTGCGATTGTTGCTCGCGTTTGCCATGTCGCGCGGTTGAACAGCAACAGCGGAAGGCGCATACCGGTCTGGATCAGTAGTCGGGGACGGCGGCGCGGGACGGTGCGAGGACATGCTATGGGCTGCAAGTACGGAGCAATTAGATACATTCCCCCTCTAACGTTGGAGCGAATGCATACTGGCCGTCGTCCCCTTTGCGGTGCCTCAGTGCCCCGCAGCACTTGGAGTAACACAATGGCTAGCGAATGTGCGGCTCCATTGACGGGCAAAGGCCGGGCGAAAGTTATGGAGAGGTATGGAATGCTTGCGAGGAGATTCGTGTCGGTTCGTGGGTTACGGCGAAGCGGTGCGAAAGCCACCAAGGCGTGCGCGTAGTGTGTGGTGCAAAGCTTTGGTGCCGGGGCAGACGTCAGAGCTAGGTGAGCACGAGTGAAGTTCCCAGCTCGGCGAGTGGGGACAGCTGAATAAGGCCCGCAGACGACGCTCAGCCTATTGGCGAGCCTTTCTTTCGCATTACGGCCCTCACGACTTAACTTTGACCACCGAGCACCAAAACTGCAATTGACGGCAGCACCACCCCTCGACACCCGCAACCCCCCGTCGAACATCCGCAATCATGTCTGCGCCGTCGCTCGCACCCTACATCCTCAAGCGCCCATGGCTCCAGCGCTGGATGCAGCCGCTCGCCAACTGGTACTGCAACGCCTCCGGCTACAGACAGCTCGGATTGAGGTACGCACTCCCCCAAGTGTGCCAATGCGCTGCAGAGCGTTGGAAGAAGCAGTGCAGGATTCTGCATATCTCGAATTGATGGGCTGACGTGCATTGCCCTCCAGAGCCGATGACCTGCTCCCCGAGGAGAACGACCTTGTCCAGACCGCCCTGAAGCGCCTTCGACCCCAGGCCGCCTACGACCGTGTCTTCCGTCTGCGCCGTGCGCTACAGGTATATAGGCATCATTGTCGATTCCAATGGATCAAATGGCTAAGATACTGCAGCTCTCCATGTCCCATCAGCTCCTACCCAAGGAGGAGTGGACCAAGCCGGAAGAAGTGAGAAATTCGCCAGAGACCAGTAGACTCGATTGCTGACCTCGACATAGGACACGCCTTATCTCCAGACCCTCATCGAGGAGATTGAGACCGAGATGGCCGAGCGCGAGGATCTCGAATCCCTGGTGGTTAGCAAGAGGCAGAGGAACGCAAAGAGTGGACACTAGTCGATGTACATAGGGAACCTGGGAATCTGGAATTAGGAGTAGTTGTTTGCGAAACAAGTGGAGCGAGTTCGAGGGATGTGTATTAGAGTGTAAAACACCAACATCATCCGTATCAAGAAATGCCCCCTTTACAGTCCTTTGGAGCCCCATGCGTAGCTTCGGCGCACAACACAGCCATGGATCGAGCTCGACACCCAGTCTACCAAGATTGGACACTTTATACTTGATCGTGCCTTCCACAAGAGTTATAATGATCAAGTGCATACGGTTCCTCCGCGGGACCGAGTAGCTCAAGTATGGCCGTGTTGACTGAACAAGAGATTTTCTTCATGGGCTTCCCAGCAGCAGGTTGGGACATCAAGGGCAGACTCATAGTAGAACTCGCAACTAATGCATCTCCTGCAATCTGTGTATAGTACGGTTTCATGCACTACGCACTGTAAGGTTACAGGAAATCTCTGCTACACATCATCTTTTGACATCTAACAGGCCACTTAAGCTATGCAAGATCCAATATCTTCTTTGATGCTGCCTTGAGGTTTTCTCACCACAGACAATTGCTCACACGCCCTTGAACTAGATGTCTTCGTGCCTTGGTCAACCAAATTTTAGAAACATGCGATATATACTATTACAGCTCATCGCTACATGCCCCGTTGTCGTTGAGAGTTCAAGGACTAGGCGTACATCAGGGCTGATTGATGCGAAGAATGCGGAGTGTCGAGCTTCCGGATATGTCAGCGTTGGGCACATGACAGCGCGACAGCTCGACTCAAGCTTCCCCGCGTCTCGCGTCAGCTCTCCAGCTTCCGTCAATACCACACAATTTGATGCTCTATCGCACAAGACTATTATCCAAGGCTTTAAGGCACACAGTATGTTGGCGGAACAGTGCTCGTTATTGTATATTAACCAAATGACGTCAGGCCTTTCCATTCACCAGAACGACACCATCTATCCACTTCAGCATGTCACTCAGGCGCTCAGCGCGTGTCGCTAGTAGCAGCGCAATAGGTACGCCTGAAGCAAAAGCCTTAAATGGTACTGCAAAATACGAAAAGATAAACAAATCTGCTCCGGCGTCAAAGAAACGCAAGAGTAGAGCATCCGCGACATCACCATCGCAGCCCACGGAAGAAGAATCAAATGGCACCATCATCGCAGCTCCAGACCTCCCTTTTGTAGTCCCAGAACTACCTGCAACGCCCTTGCCGAAAAGGCGCAAAGCCGCATCTGAGTCTCCCGTGAAGCCACTACCTTTCACACCAACTCCTTCCGGCGTGGGGTTGATCGCTTCAACAACAAGAGAATATGGGCATCCATTGGAAGATCTGGCGGGTCTCAAGTCCCGTCCAGCAGAGCCCCACGCAACCAACGCTCCCCTTTCAACACCTGGAGGCTCACGCGTCGTCGCATACCAAAGTTCTCCCATCATGCCGCCGCCATCTGCATCTCAAGACGCACCACCAGCCTCCCAAGAATCTCCCACTAAGAAGCGGAAAGCGAAAGAATATGTCCCGCCAGACGTTGGCGTAATACCAGCGGCCAGCACGAATATCGACAGGTTATTAAAGGACGCAGAGGAGTTTTTGGTCAAGATTGATCCAAAGTTACAGGGACTGGTTGAGAAGCATCATTGTAAGATGTTTAGTCCCGAGGGATTAAGAGAAGTCGTGGATCCGTTCACGGCGTTGAGTAGCGGGATTATAGGGCAGCAGGTACGTACCCAACGTTCTGTTTGGAAAGTTTATACCAAGATGCGAGTTGTGAGAAGATACCTCGTGACGAGCAATTGCCGGAATTTCAGGTGTTGGACGGGTGGGAGGACATATCTGCGAAATCATACATAGGAAAACAAACTATAGTAAAGTTTGCATGGATCTAATGCGCCCACAGGTATCAGGACAGGCGGCTGCGAGCATCCGCAAGAAATTCACAGCCCTCTTCCCAGAAACACATCCTTCCTTCCCCTCACCCGCCCAGGTCATCGCAAAAGATCTCCCTACCCTCCGCACTGCCGGTCTGTCTCAGAGAAAGGCAGAGTATATCTCTGGGCTCGCTGAAAAGTTCACCAATGGCGAGTTTACAGCGCAAATGCTCGTTAGCGCAAGCGACGAAGAGTTAATAGAGAAGCTGGTCGCGGTGAGGGGCTTAGGGCGATGGAGCGTGGAGATGTTTGCATGTTTTGGACTGAAGAGGATGGATGTATTTTCAACGGGGGACTTGGGTGTGCAGTGAGTCCCCACTTCGCTATGCTCACTGTCCAGAGACACGGCATTGCTTCGCGTCGATGCAGAGATTCTCCGAGGCATGCATGATGTCCAGGGGCGAGCAGGAAAACTGACGTGAAAGCAGACGAGGTATGGCGACCTACATGGGCCGGGATACCAACAAGCTGAAAGCCAAAGGCGGCAAGTGGAAGTACGTACAAGCTACTCTTTTTCTTGCTCCAGACCTGTCTAGCCCTGTCCAGCATGCGCCACAAGACAGTGGGCAGCGTTCCCAGACTGATGACTGTAATGTATGCTGACTCTGAAACGCGCAGATACATGTCCGAGAAGGAGATGTTGGACATAGCGTCCCAGTTTTCGCCTTACAGGTGCGTGTATCTCCGGTGACAGTAGGGTCGTGCAGTGTGACATGAGACTAACCGGACTGAGGCAGATCGTTGTTTATGTGGTATATGTGGCGGATCGTGGACGTTGATATTAGTGTTATGCACTGAGCGCATTTGGAAAGATGTTCAACTATGTTGTCATAGTGAGGTAGTTGCATCCAGCGATTGAGTATCTGCAAAGTTCGTTTGAGGTTGTGGTGGGGTCGGGTTGCAGTACATACGCCAGCTACACAATCGGTCAGAGTGCGCTTCCAAATCCGCATACTTGGTCATAGAGAATAAATGGCCAGCCCCTTGGCGTCAACTCTGGTGAAGTCATACAATCACGTTATGTAATTGAGCGAGGTTCCATTGGTAGATCATCACAGAAGCAATAGGTCTAGACTAGTTCTTAGTTGCTATCTCTAAGTGGTCGACTGTTATAGAAGCTCCCTTGTCTGTGGATACAATCGTATACATTCTCTCTTACCTAGGGTTTGTCATTGCAACGGGGCACTTGATTCATCCGATCTATGCCCCGCATTTGCGCGAGTGTCGTGCATTAGCGATCTGCGGGTGTTTTTCGCACAGTGGCTAGTACCGCCGGAAAGGGCGGTTATCGATGTGCTGTATGTCGCTCTACAGCCGTTCGATGGGTTGAGCTACTGGTGACATGTCGATTACGCTCATCGCCTGGTACCTGCGACAATCTTCAAACGTCGCTGGATTTGCTAGAGTGAACCGGCTAACTGCACGCTTGGTGTTCGGCATGGCAGGCTGATTCCGAGGCCGCGCAATACCTGATTCGTACCCAATGTACATTCCTCGCTTCTCCTACGCCCGTTGGGACGGGTTATTGACGAGCAGAATGATCAATCACTGTGTCACTTCTCTTTGTGGGAAGGCATTAACACGACTGCTCCTGGGGACTCATGCTTTCTGTTCATGTTAGTGTTGACGGATTAAGTACCACCTTGCGGTGTTGTACCCGGGACACCCCTGTTGGTGCGAGTAAATCCTAGAAGTTGTACGCCCTGTCCCAGGCATCTCGATGGCGCTGGTAGCCGTCGATGGTGGAAGGCGGTCTGTTTGAGATCTCATCCGTGCGTCCGATGGACCTGGTAAAACGAGGTGGATCGTCCAGACGTTTGGAGAAGGGGAATTTTTGCTTGCTCAATGTGGAGACGGTCTAGGATGTGAACCATGGGTCGAGCAATGTAGGGTGACGAATGAAGATGGATATCGCACAAGAAATCGTAAACGTCCTAAGACTGATGCTGATGCGGGAGCGCGGCACCGGAAGGAGAGCTCTTGCATGAAGCCCTTGTCTGAGTGTGGAGCAGTGGGGTGAGAAGTATTGGAGGTCTGATGCTCTGGTAGTACAATAACACTTGGCCGCGCCTTTCCTGCGGGTTGGAAGGCGCCTAAGGTAGGTAAGCTCGAGGATTGGATGCCGAACATCGGTCGTCGACAGTTGTACAACATAAGAATACCTGCTAAACCAGTTCTGGCGTGCAAGTGTGACTTCCCCGAGATACACCAGCGTGGGTGTGTAGGACGGCCCTCGTTCATGGTAGCCGCGTGTGCTGCAGCTGGCTGATAGAGTATAGTATGTACGTATGGCCTGATTAGAAGGGTCTGCGCAACCCAGACTTTAGCTTGCCTTTGGGAATTGAGCAAGACGAATTGGAGAGGTGACGTCGAGACGATTCTTCAAGCGACGACACATTAGAGCGATCCGAGTGAGTGAGTGCCCTGGGGACTCATTCTCGTTTCAGAAGAAGCATGCTACTAGTGGAACAAGGCTGATGGATCAATCCGATGTCTTCGGTTAGTGTGGATTGCCTACCCTAGGTAGATGGGGACCAGCGAGGTTTCAATAGAGTTATAGAGGCTCCCTCGGTTTTCGAAGATGGAAGTAGAAGACGTTTCACGTTGATTCCGGGCATCTCGCTTGTAGCTATTTACCGCCGGTATATCGTCGCCGGTATCGTGCTCGATAGTGTCGCGTCGCGCAGCAGCTGCAAGCATAACATAAAAACACGGGCATGATGTTGGATCCCGGTCATGGGAGATGAGGACTCAATATATGCGCGTCGAAGATGGACCTTGGCAGCCGCCTGAAGAACTGAGTTTCGATTCATAAGCGAGGCTGCTCGTTGGCACGAGCATTATCGAATGGCGGCGCGAAAAGGAGATTAGTGACGACATTGTTTGAATGGTGGCCCACCTAGCGCAGCATAGACGCTGAACAAGAGCTTGGGACATGGTTGATCAGGAGAGCCAGGGGAGCTAAACCAGACGAGACTGTGAGAATCTATGCCCTGAATGTTATTTATTGTCGGAGGGCTGTTTATTCAGGATTGCGGCGGGCGGCGCTTGCCCAAAAGGACAATGCCGTAGCCGAGTTGGGATCAGTTGAGGAAGGAGCTCGTGCACGGCCGCAGGGGTGTTGTAGCTAGGGAGGGACGCGCAATCATCGAAGGCGAACATTTGCAGGCAGCTTGGGAAGAAGGGAGTTGCTTTTGCGTCTCTTGACACTGGCACAGGTGTGATGCTGTTTGGAGACGGGACTGCTGCAAAAGGTGCCGCACATGCATTGGATAATTCGTGAGCAAGAGGGACAAGACCAGCACCTTGCCACCTTCGTCGCGACTTCAAGAATAGGAGGACAGATGACGGATGACGGATGCCTTTGTTTCCCAGAGTGGCACTGTGGCGTTGGATGCGGGCCAGATGGAGCAGATGGGGCCACGATGCGAATAAACGTTGAGGCTGCCAAGCCGTCTCCTATACACAGGACTGGACAGGACAGGAGACGGCGGACGGCGGAAGCAAGCATAAAGCATAGTTGGGAGGCTTGTAGTTGTAGTGACACTCTCTGAAACACAAGAGCACGTCACGTTCAAAATGCTTGCTTTTTCCGGCTTTGCTCTGCGACGGGAGGTTACGCGTCACGGCAGACGATGCTGCAGCAAAACATGTTGCCATGACGGCCAACACACTGCGGTACATGGCTACATAATAATAATCCATCAGCTTCATTCACCAGGGAAGTCAGCTTGGGCCGCCCATGTGCAATTCAACTCTCTCGGCGCGCATCCATGACGGGCAAATATGGGCAGGGGCAACCAATTGATATGATCTCCACCCGGAACCGCTAGTCCCATTAGTGTTGCTTGGGCCCTGGCATTCAACTGGCACTCGCGCTCTCCTTTTTCTCTACTACCCAAGTGCCCGCTCTCTGCCCTTCCTTCTCTCGTCTTCATCCACCTTCGCTATTGACGGCCGCGCTTCCCATCGCCCCCCTGGGTTTACTCCATTTAATACTGTCTTCTTTCGTTTGCTGCTTCTTTCACTCGCTCCAAACATCTTTCAACCCATCACTCAGCACTGACCGACCAGCCTTAATATCCCAGGTTCGTACCACGCCCTTCCTTTGCAAACCCATTGCTTGCTTCTTTTCTCGACGCGCCGCTGACCCTCAACTCCAGTTACCAACAAACTCCACTACTCCGCAATGCCTTCATTGCTGAGGCTCGTCCTCCCGGCCTTGGCCGCAGTGAGCACCGCCTATGGTATGTCGCGTCTCCATCGATTGTGCATTCCTGGATGCAAAGTTTCCTAACATGTCATAACAGCCGCCTCGTGCACCGTCTCTGCGACCACCACGATCCAGAATGCCGGCGACGCGACTGGCCTGGCTTCCTGCTCCACCTTCTCCGGCAGCATCGCCATCGCGACCGGCACCACCGACGACATTGCCCTCGACGGCATCAAGAAACTGAGCGGCAACCTCATTGCAACCAACAATGCAAACATGAAGCGCCTCAGTGCCGCCAATCTCGAGACTCTCGACGGCGAGATGCGTCTCGACGGACTGACGCGTCTCTATGGCGTCGATTTCCCCAAGCTCAAGAACATTGACTCGATCAAGTGGAACGCTCTCCCCAACCTCCAGACAATCGGATTCACCGCCGAAGTCGAGCAGGCCAAGAAGCTGGACATTCAGAACACTGGTCTCCGGTCCCTCAAGGGCATCAACATCGAGGAGGTCAAGACCCTCTTCATTGCCAACAACGGCTACATCAACGAATTTTCCATGCAGCTGGGCAACGTTTCCGACTCCTTGACTCTGGCCGACAACAACGTGAACGTCAAGGTTGAGCTGCCGAACTTGATCTGGGCCACCAACCTAACCTTCCGTTTCTGCGGCTCCGTTTCCGTCCCGTCTCTGAAGACGCTCAATGGTTCTTTAGGGCTATATAACAATGGCTTCGAGTCATTCTCTGCCCCCAACCTTACCTCTGTCGGTGAAGCGCTTGCCATTGTTGCCAACGACAAGCTCTCCAACATCACCTTCCCCATGTTGACCAAGATCACCGACAACCTGCAAATTGCCAACAACTCCCAGCTCGCCGAGATCCAGGCTTTCCCTGAGCTGAAGAGCATTGGAGGTGCTTTCGACATCAGTGGTAACGAGTCCAAGTAAGTTTCCTCGCTTGCATCTGCTGAAGTGGTTACTAATGCGTCTCAGGGTCGAGACTCCCAAGCTCGAGAGTGTCAAGGGTGCTTTCAACCTGCAATCCACCGACAACATCACCGAAGCCTGCGACTTCTACAAGTCTCTCCAGCAGAAGAAGTGGCTCCAGGGTAAATACTTCTGCCGCGGCAAGGTCGAGGATCCCGGTACCGCTGGCCACACCCCCAAGGACCAGAGCGGCAGCAGCAAGAAGAGCGCTGCTACTTCGCTCAGCGCAGTGAACGGTGCTCTTGGTCTTGCTGCCATGGCCGCTGTCTTGCTTCTCTAAATGGTTCACGACGCTGGCGTTCCACAACAATTGCATAGACTAATCCCACGACCTGACTTTCTTTGATAGCGTATGGAATCAAGCGAACAAGCGCTGACGTTAGCGATCGGCATTCTGAGGACTGGAGGGGATTTGGGCGACAGATTAATGGACCAGCATGCAACAACACTTGTATGTATCACTTGGCTACGAAGGTCGAATTAGACTTTAATTGGCAGTACACAATAGCCTGCGCTGCGACACGGTTGCAGAATGGCAGGAAGGATTGATTGGTTTGGGAAAATTGCACGTACTCACACTCTTCCCTTGTCTTGGATTCGTATTTCTTGTTGAATGCTATGCATGCATCAAGTGCATTTCGACTCGTTTGTTTTCATGTGTCGTACTTTGGCCGACTGCTCCTCGCTTGCTGTCTTGTGGCGCCACTTCGCGTGCTACGTCTCTTCGTCATCGCGTCGCATAATAATACATGCCTAGATGCATCGCCCTCTAATGCTACTGCTCGAGCCGGGGAATAGGGATATGCTCCGTAGCGTCCGCGCTGCGTCGAGTGCCTACTCCTGCAGATATCCTGGCTCTCTGTGTCACCAGCGTCCTCGGTTAGTTACAACTCCCAACCAGGCCAGCCTTGTCTTCTGGCGCTTCCACCCCCAGCCCGCCACCCACCGTGCTAAAAACAGAGAGCTGTTGGTCTTAGACTTCACGGATCGAGAATCTTGCAGCTGGACCGCGAGCCAGGAAAGCGGTAGCTGCCAGGAGCTTGCTTCTTATCTAATCCGACAAATCTAGGTAAGCCACGATTGCTACCTTGGGCCCCAATTGAGACTGATGGTCAGCCTCAGGATCCAAAAGCAGATGACCGGCTGCAAGACACGCTCAAGCTGCTACAGGAGTGCTACGACCGCACGTTCTGCACCTGACAACGCCGTTCGACTTGACTACTGTCTGTCAAGTGTGACCTTTGTTCAATGATTGTTGCCGTTGCTCCACGCGAGTGCTAGCGGATGAGCGGTGTAAACCCGCCTTGCATTGCTTGGCTATCACTGCGAAAACGTTGAATGTCTTTCCCAGGGAAACCATGCACCTTGACTGGCGGACCGATTCGAGATCCTTGTTTCAAACCGTAAGGGACAAAAAGCGACAGCCAGAGCACATCCTTGCCCCCACATTGTATCACCTACTAAAAAGCACGCTAGTTCCTCTTCCAGCATACATCTGTTGTTACTACGATCTATCGTCTTTTGCCAGCGGTAGCGCCATGACGGTACCGAGTCCGCACCATGACCCTCACTAGCGAAGGGTTACAATGGCGAAGACCGACCTAGTCAAATCACCCGCTTCCGCGCAGCCATCGGTTGGTGAATACTGCACGAAGCCTTGATCCTCATCAGCAAGTATAAGAGAGACCTTCCCGTTTCCCCTGTGCAAGCTTCGTTCCCCGACAACAATTCCTTCTACAAATCTCTTCTCCCCTTTGTGACCTCTCCTGTCTTCGTTTTGCACTGTCTCTCTAATAGTCATGATGATGGACCAACAACGCCACCTGCCAGACCCAACCAAGGTTGGATCTCACGGCAAGCCTGGAGGAAGTCTAGAGTCGATCGTGACGGGGTTCCCTACCCCCAAAGTGTAAGTCGTAGAGCCACACCATCCGGAGCTTTGCTAATCTTGCTAGACAACCGGATTATATATACCAGTTGGCCCCTATGCTTCAGGACCCTATCGATCGCGATGCTCCATACAGCTCCGAGATGTCTCGGAAAGCATCCATTGCGTCCACCTCGTCGTCCGGCCAATCATTCTATCGTGTATCGCGCTCTACCTCTCCGGCAAGTGGCTACCTAGAGCCTTCTTACGATCAGTCACCGTCAGTCAACCGCATCGCAATGAACACCGGCCACTTTCGCCCGTATCCTCCGCCTCATCGATCAGCAGGATCAGGTTCCTGTTGTTCTGCTTGCTTGGAGATTGGCGAAACCATCTTTGTAGATGCTGGCAAGGCGTGTCTTCGATGCGGGCGCGCTGACTCCATGCTCAAGACTACTGGCAAAGTTGCCCGCAGGAAGCGTAATGATCGAATCAAGTTTTCCCGCTTGATGAACAACGACTGCAAGCCTGAGAATGTGTCCAAGGAAGAAGGAGAAGCGGGTCGCCGCTTCGATCACAGCTTTTACTTCGCCAGCCTGCAAAACTCGCTGCTGAAAATCAACCCCAAGTTTCCTGAAGTAGCGGCACAACGAGAAGGCAAAAAGAGGCTAGGCTGGACCCCCCTCAAGTGCAACAACATTTCCGATGATGTCAAGGAGAAGGGTCATATTGAACCTCTCCACTTCAATAAGACAAACATTTTCGAATCCTCTCTCCAGGTCGTTGAAGACTCCACCGCAATCATGGCTGATGCCATCCAAGAGCGCAACGACCTCGAAGTTGAGATGGATGCATTGCTTCGGTCAAAAGCTTCGGCCGACGAGCTGAGACGCTTCCTCATGCGCACATTGCATCGCAACTGGTCAGCCACTTTGGCTACTTCTAACGCACAGCGCGGTGCTGAAGGCTTCAGCCGTCCCTTCCCCCAATCCACATCACGGCTTTGAGGGCTTTATTCGACATCAATTTCCGTTCTTCTAGTTCTTAGCGGCATTGGTAGCTGTGATGACGGGCACGTTTTGGTTTCTTGTGAGCATTTGACTGTGGCAGTTTGTGCAACCTATTCAGTAACGGCGGCAACGGCATCAAAAGTTCCTTTCCTTTTTTTTTTTTAAAGCTTCGGCGGTTATCATCCTGGCGTACACTCTTCGGCGCTCTTACATTTGGCTGCCATCCCATGTACACATACTGTCTTTCTTGTTTCGGCGTTGCATGTCCTATCATCCAGGAGTTTACAGCCACAAAATCTCTCATCATTGCCACTGGGGCATTTCATTATAGGTAAACATAGGTATTCAACGGGACAAGCCCCCCGCACGTAGCACGCACGAAGGGGCGTTCACTCCCGGTTTGGGAAGGGTGACCAAATAATGCAAACTGTGCACCTCCAACAAGCTCTTGCTCTCCCCCTAGCCTAGACGGACTTGTGCTCACAGTCCCTTCCACCTGCAGCAAGCAACCGTTTCACTCCACACCTTCCATGTCTAGACAAAGCACCAGCGCTAAAGGACTTGTTTTTTCGAGCACACTCGTCAATCCGCCGGCTCTGAAGTTCCGCTGCTATTTCCGGCTGAAATGCTCCGCTGCATGACACGCTCCTTCCGATTGCTCTCGCGACGATTACTCACTCGGTGCATACCAGCACCCGACGCTGCAGCAGTGCTCGACTTGAACGGTGAGCGGCACCCTGACAGAACCCAGATCTGCCAGCATCCTCGAGATACATTAGCGCATTTAGCGCTTATCTTCCGGAAGCCGCCCTCGATCCAGATGCGATGCCTTTGCTGAATTCGAGTCAGGATAGCGAGCGCCGTGTCACCTCGATTCCGTAATTTGCAGGCTTGGATGCGCGCTCCCCACTCTTATACCCTCATGTCAATGAGCTAACAGCGTCTTGCCAGTTCAAACACTCTCCGTGTGCAACCGCTGCTTTTTCGAGTCCCTGGTCTGGATGTCCGTACCCGCAGAGTGTTTGTTCTTCTTATGTTGACAATCAAGTGACTGCACATTTGCGCCAAACCCACTCATGTCTCATCATGACAGCGGGTAGCTACTGCAAGAACGTGTTGTAACTTGGGTCTGGATCGTGGATCGAAGCTTATTTCAATCACTACCTAGCATTTGTACTCGCGTACTGCATGAAGGCTTCCTACGACTCACACGAACCAAGGCAACCTGCATGAAGTCATTCTACTTACTCGTCTGGGGAGTGTCAAGGTTCTTGGCCGTTTCTCGCTTCGATTCTGGAGGAGACTGGTCTGCAACTCGCCACACTATCTCCACATGGCCTGACATGTTTTGCTTTTGAGCTCAACGTCTTTTGCAATACTCTGATTGAGTTAGAACCTGTCCAGCTCTCGGCAGTGATGCCCGGTGTTTGAGATAGCTGCAGCTCCCCATTCGCTTTTTTCTGAAAATGGATAGCGCTCAACGCTCTCCGGTGATACTTGCATATACTTGCACCCGCCCAATTCATCTCTTCCGCACATGGTCCTTGCTGAATGGTCACCGGTTCAAGCTTCTTTTCTTGAGCTCCGAGCAATGCAAAGGAGACAAGAAGGAAGGCATGTACGTAGCCAAGGGCCACCCATTGGACGACACGCGTGGCACCAGGGTCCAACGAATCAAAACATCTACTCGGTATGCTAAGATCGATTGGCAACCATCCATTCTTCCGCAGACGCTCTGCTCAAGGTGCCGTCGACGTAGCCGCCTGTTGGCGGAATAACTACATCTACCCATGAAGCGAACGGCTGGAAGTACTAAAAAGCCAGTATCGTCACGATGCAGTATGTTTCAGCTGTCTGCCGCTGCTACCTGTCACTTCTGAGCAAGATTCCTGAATAGCCCGAGAAACAGCACTACAATCAACTAATGGTTGCGCATATATGCACCCGCGTACTCGTAGAAATTGGGAGAGTCCAGGGCTTGCAGCTCGTATCGTTCCTAGCAACGGGGACGTGGGTGCCGTTCCCCGTGGAGCATGGGTTAGCGGGAAGCTGCAGCACAGAAGGCGTAGCATAACCGGTGAGAAGTGAAACTGAGCGAATGGGTCCGAAAAGTTGGCTCGATGGGATTCGACGTTGACGTTGATGATTACTCCTGGCAAAAAAACGTAACTTAATCTAAGAGCTATAGCGAGAGGTCACATTTGTTTTTACAAGAACAGGACATTACTGAACTGCTGGCGCCTGAGCACAGGCAACATGGTGAGCGCTGGCCTCCCGATCTCTCCGTTGCTTTGACGAATGTGTAGATGCACGGTACGGAAGCATGGAGCTCAGCCCAAGTGAGTTGTCAAGTCCTGTTCCAACGGCTTTCAATGCTTCCCGGTATCTCCAGGGCTGTCTCGTATACTATACTCACAACAAAAAGAGCTGAAGATGTCTAGCCTATCGCATTTGTCGCATCATGTCGTCCCCTGATCCCTATCGAATATGGTGCACATTCCAGCCACCTCTTGGGCCCTAGTTGTTTCCGTCTTGCAACGGGACATGCCATGATTGCAGCACACTGTGGTAAGGATCCACTGCCACTGGCCCGTTATGGTCGGTCAATCAATGCGTGCAGGCATATGCCCCTTCCTTGTGCCATCGTCTTCCTCAGCCTTCGGAGTCTCTTCCGAGCCCTCAGCAGGGCTGAGACATGGCTAAAGCCACGGGTACACAGCAAGGCTGCTCGCACATTCGCTGGAAGCTCAATGCGATGCATGTCTTGTAGGCGGTCCGATACCGTGAGACGCCGCTAATTGCGGGCTGAGGACCTAGGTTCCTAAACGCTGTAATGACGTAGAAGTTGACATTCGGCGTTCGCAGATAGAGAGTTCGGTCCTATTTACCCCCCACAAGGAGCGTGACAATGCCAGTGGAGATTCAACCTTGGTGGCATACTCGACGTCAACGGCTGTGGCGCAGGACTAACGCGGGGAAGTGTCCATGGTGCCGCGATCAGCGAATCGCTTTCCCGCGCGTCGCGAGCAGGGGCTGCTAGACGCGACTTTGCCATCAATTGCGCCCGAGTTGTTTGTTTGTTTGTTGACCATGGCCGAACGAACAACTCCTCACAGGATACGGCGCAGCACTACCAATCGCCCGACGGTGAATGCGATAATCCCAAGCTGTTAGAATTTCCAGAGGCATCGTCTTCACTGGACGGACCTGTCGCGGGTGGGATACAATTGCGGGTCAGGACAGTAGTTTCGACTTGTTACCAATTGCACCTGCCTGTCCTTCACCCGTTGCGCTTTCCTCCTCACGATCCCCGCTAGAAAACACGCTTTCACGACCTGTCCACCTAGGCAGTCTGTCGCTTCCGCAATCGCGCCTTCACGACACCACCCAACCTGGGCACCTAGCTCCACCGTAGTTTGCGCTCCGGCACTCAACGCCCCCAAGCTGGCGATCACACACGTACCATCATCACCCCTCCATGCGCAGCGAGAAGTGAACCACTCGAATTACGTCAGGGCGCGCAGTTCGTCAGTGCGTATTTCGCAGAGCAGAGGGGAGGGGGAGGAGAAGGAGCACGCGGGTGGATTTAGATTCAACATGCTGGTCGGCAAAGGATACTCTTGGAAGGCTGCCAAAGCTCGACTACCGCCACCGCGGCACGTCATACATACAGTACGGAGTGCAAGATTTCTTTTGCCATTGGCTCTCATCACGGCAATCATACTGCTATGGCGCTCAATGGGGCCGGCTGCTGGAGAGATGCAGAGGTATGAACATGCATACAGCTGCACCTGGATTGCTTCATGGGCTATGAATGTGCAACATCACAGCAAATGCTGACTACCAATCCCAGGTTCTACTGCTGGGGCCCTTCCAAGCCACCGATGCTCATGACGCCAAACGAAATGGTAGAATGGCACGCCCACCTCAACACCCCCGTGGTATTCAACCACCACAAACCGATTGAAGTGAACAGGAGCGACATCGAGCACGTCAACCTCAACCTCATCAAATCTACCCCCGACGCCGTCCGGAACCAAGAGCGTGTCTTGATCCTGACTCCTCTCCGAGACGCTTCCTCCTACCTCGCGACACACTTCGACCTCCTGTCCCAACTCACATATCCGCACGAGCTCATCGATCTAGCGTTTCTAGTCGGTGATACCACGGACGAAACAATGGCTATGCTAGCAACCGAGCTCGAGAGAGTGCAGACTAACCCCGAAGTCGCCTTTCGGTCCGCTATGATTGTGGAGAAGGACTTTGGTGTCGTCCTTGCCCAGACTGTGGAGGAGAGACATCGTTTCGAAGCACAAGGTCCAAGGAGGAAAGCCATGGCCAGAGCGAGAAACTATCTTCTGGCAACTGCGCTGAAGCCGGAGCACAGCTGGGTGTATTGGAGGGATGTGGACATTACGGATAGTCCGGCGAAGATTATCGAGGACTTTGTGGCGCATGATAGAGATGTGCTTGTTCCAAGTGAGTATGGTTAGGAATGAAGAGTCTGAATGTGGTACTGACATGGTATAGACATCTGGTTTCACAGATACAGGGAAGAGAACGGCAAGATGGTCGACATCGAAGGTCGATGTACGTTTCATACCTACTGTCTTTAGGCTTCGTCGCTAACCTAGATCAGTCGACTACAACTCCTGGCAAGAATCTCCCGAAGGTCTCAAACTCGCTGCCTCTCTTGATAAAAACATCATTCTCGCAGAAGGTACCCGACCCTTATCATTTCCTATCCTCTATGCTCTACACCTACTAACACATCTCAGGCTACAAACAGTTCCCCACAAACCGTCGCTACATGGCACTAATCGGCGACTACCGCGCAAGCAAAGACGAGGAAATGCCTCTCGACGGCATCGGCGGCGTCAACATCATCGTGAAAGCAGACGTGCACCGTTCAGGGATCAACTTCCCATGCTATGCGTTTGAGAATCAAGCGGAGACGGAGGGATTTGCAAAGATGGCGAAGAGAGCGGGGTATGGAGTTTATGGGCTGCCAAATTATGTAGTTTGGCATATTGATACATTCGAGGAGCCTGGAAATCTTTAGTGGTCTGGAGCAGGATGAGAAGACACGGTATGATCATGAACTCTACTTTTGTCTGTCAAAGTGGAGAAAAGTAATAGGCATCTACTGGAGTTTGGCGTGTCACATTACATTTAGAAGGCACTGGGCATCTGGCGACAGATGGGCGTTTCTGCATGTGAGTCTCAAGAAGAGATTTGTACATATGATATGAAGCATATGAAGAGATGACGGATGAATGGTTGGCCTGGGAACTGAAGTGTTCCATCTCTACAATTCGAATCCCATTTCTGCTCCTCTACGCTTGTTCACAGCTTGTTTTCCGCTACACAAAAACATGTGGGCAACTATCGTTGTATTTGTAATTCTAGCAGAAACATGTGCTACTTGAATGAGTGTTACTACAAGCATGACTTGGAACTGCGGAATGGGGCCAGAAGTGTTTAGCTTCCGAGACGGGAGCCCTTCCACTAGTTCTAGTAAACTCGCATTTGAACACTCATACATGCTTGGACACCTCGACATGACGAAGTAGTGCCAGAAGTTTACTTCTCTGAGACGGAGCGCCTCCATACCTTCCAAAGTATAATGTTACATCGTATCGTTACTCATCCCGCCAAGGGAAATATGACTCGCGTGCATTACACATGCCAACACGACCAGGGTGACGGGGCCCTAATGATCATATATGCCAGCATGGAACTTGCGCTCATCGTAGTACCTCGCACGGATCTTCCTACCTCTGAACTCCCACCCTTCATCGAATCGATTGACAGCGTTGAGAGCGCTCAGGACGGACTTGAACTGGATGTAAACCACGCCGTCGTCGTTGTTCTCGTCAAGCTGAACATGCTCGACCGGACCAAACTAGAACCACAATGAGCAACCGGGCCAATGAAGAATACAAGAGCTCTTACCTTGGCGCTGAAAGCTTCGCCCATGTCCTGTCGAATACCGCCATCGTTACGGTCAGCGTTGGCACCCCAATCGACGCCTTCGACGCATCCCCAGGTGACGACAACGCAGGACTCCTCGCCAAACTGCCCAGGTTCGTCTTTCTGCGTCCGCATGCCACCACGCACGTCCCAGACTTGCTGAGACTTGACTTTGCCTCCCTCGTCGTCCAGGGTGCTGGCACCTTGTGGCACTTTCCGCATCTTCACTTCGAGATGAGTGACGACGCCGTCGTTGTTTTTACCCAGACCTTGACCTTTCTTGTAACCCATCTTGGCCATCATTGCTTCTGCCTTGCTGATCTTAGGACGCTTCGCGGGGCGCTCATCGTAGTCTGGTTCGTTGTTGGCGTCTGCCATCGGTACATCAGGACGATCGTAGCGAACTGGCGGGGCTGAGATGGTCGCATTGGCATAGCGAACCGGGGGCGCGGAGATGGTTGCACCTGCGTACGATGTCGGCGGAGGAGGTGGAGGTGGAGCGAAGTCATCCGTAACCGAGGGTGGAGGAGGAAACGTGTGCGAGGGCTCTGGGGGTGGCGGGGGTGGTGCGCTGTACTGCATGGCTGGCGGAGGCGGAGGAGGGGTGCCTTGCTGTTGTTGTAAGAGATGCATGCGACGAGCATAAGCATCTTCTCCAGACTGATCAGGTGGAGGAGCAGTAGGGTCGGCGTAGGAGGGTGGAGGGGCAAACGATGGCATTGAAGCAAACGTAGGTGGCTTAGCGCTTGATGAAGATAGCGGTCGAGATCCGTCGGACGCTTTGGCTTGTGCAAGGAGTTTCATCTGGGCGGTAGCCTCTCGCAAGATATCACCAAACGCTTCTTTTTTACGTCGATAACCCCCGCTGGCTCTGTAGGCCCTCAGGTTCGAGTATCGCTCGGGTTTATGCGGGGCATGAGGATTCCACCGTCCAAACTGCCTCTCGAACTTCTTCTGCTCCTTCTTTTTCTGCCTCTCTTCGTAGTTGCGCTGCCTCTTCTCTTCCATGATGGCAGCGTCGTCGTCTGCGGTGCTCCGGTACCAGTCAATGCCATGCTGCTGCGTCGTGGTGGTGGCCGGCGCCGGATCGGAGGAAGAGGCTGACGATACCACAGGCATGAGGGGCTTCTTGACGGTTGCACCAGCTTTCTTCGCTTGGGGGCGTTTGATATTGTGTGGGTTGTGAAAAGCTACACGTTCACATAAGTCGTGTTTCAAGCTGGTGTGGAGCAAATCAAGTAGATACCAGGTGCTTTCTTCTGCTGCTCGGCTTTTGCCTGCTCCTCCGTGTACTTGACAGGCGCAGCCGAGGCGACAGTTGCTGAGGCATAAGGATTTGGGAGACTCTTCTGCGAATATGGATTCGGAAGGCCATATGGATTGGGCAGGCCTTGCGGCTTCTGAGAGGCCATGTTAGCTTAGCAAGAGGTGCTGCGCCGAATGAAACAAGGCAACTGCTGCTGCACGCCGCTGCGAGAAATCTGCTGCTAGCTGAAAACGAGTTTAAGAAGGCAAGAGGTAGCAGTACGACTGCAAAGAAGAAGTAACAAATGCCAGCCGCGTCGAGACGTGCAGGTGTTGTGGTGGATGGTCTGGAAGTGGCAGGAGCCGTCCCCAGGTCGGGAACCGCGTCCGTTTGTGCCTCCCCCACGCTAACGCTAAGCCTCACCACGTGACCTCATGCAGGGTCCGCATCCATGGATCGCGTCATGCCATGCTACCAACGAAAAAGGCTTGGGCCGATGGGCCGATAACCATCATTTCATTTTGTCTAGGTGCACCTGAGGCTCTGGTGTGAGTAATAAACCAATAGACATTGCATTTCGGCGTTTTAGAAGCATCCAAGGTATCTAGGAACCCAATTGACCACACAATGGCTCGAGAGACTGACCTTGCCAGTACTAGTCATCTCTTATCTTCGATAATACAGTACCGTCACCATGTCTCCAACCACCTTGGAGAACGCCTTCTCGAAGGACTCCTCATCGACCGCCGTCATCATCCCCGGCAGTCCTGCCCTGACTGTCTCCTACCAGAAACTCGCGGCAGACGTGAAGGCCTTCCAGCAGCAGTTGGCCAGGGTTGGTGTGGGCGCCGAAGCCGCCGTATCCATTGCGCTACCGAACACCTACGAGTTCATCGTGTCGTTCATCGCGGCGTCGTGGCAGAGAGCGATCGCTGCTCCTCTGAATCCAGCCTACAAACAGGCCGAATTCGAATTCTACATTGACGACCTCAGCTCCGCGATCGCCTTGGTCCCCAAGGGCGCTTTTGCGCAGGACGCCGCGGCTGTAAGAGCTGCAAGGAAATACAATGCAGCTATTGCAGAATGCTACTACAATGGCAGGGAGGTTGTTTTGGATGTAAAGGAGACTGGGAAATTAGCTGGTAAAGCTGTGCCGCTCCAGACTGCACAACCAGACGATGTCGCCCTGGTACTACACACCAGCGGCACCACTGGACGACCCAAGGCTGTGCCACTTACGCATCGCAACCTCTTGCGTACCATGAAGAACATCCAGGGAACCTATCAGTTGACGCCCAACGATCGCACCATGCTGGTTATGCCTCTCTTCCACGTGCACGGTCTGCTTGCTGGTTTCCTTGCCCCATTGGCTTCTGGGGGTTCAGTCGTTGTGCCGCACAAGTTCTCGGCTTCAGAGTTTTGGAGAGACTTCAATGAGCATAAGGCTAATTGGTACACGGCGGTACCTACCATCCATCAAATCTTGCTCAAGAATCCGCCTCCAAATCCGAAGCCGGAAATCCGCTTCATCAGATCATGTTCGTCCCCGCTCTCGCCGAAAACGTTCCACGAGCTTGAGAACGCCTTTGGCGCCCCAGTATTGGAAGCGTACGCTATGACCGAGGCTTCGCATCAGATGACGAGTAATCCCCTTCCTCCCGGCCAACGTAAGCCCGGGAGCGTCGGTCTTGGTCAAGGCGTCGAGGTGAAGATCCTCGACGATGCTGGCAAGGAGGTGCCACAAGGCAAAGAGGCTGAGATCTGCATCCGTGGCGAGAACGTTACGAAAGGCTACCTCAATAACCCCTCTGCCAATGCGTCTTCTTTTACTAATGATGGCTTTTTCCGTACCGGCGATCAGGGCAAGAAGGACACCGAGGGCTACGTTATCATTACCGGCAGGATCAAGGAGTTGATCAATAAAGGGGGAGAGAAGATCAGCCCGATTGAGCTCGACAATGTCATCGCACAAAACCCCGCTGTATCCGAGGCCGTGAGCTTCGCGATCGAGGATGAGATGTATGGCCAGGACGTTGGCCTTGCGGTTGTAGTCAAAGAAGGTCACAAGCTGACTGCGGGGGAGCTGAAGGCTTGGCTGACCGAACGGATCTCCAAGTTTAAGATCCCTAAAAAGGTATGTCTGTGTCCAATCAACTTCATTGTCGTGCAACCTATTCTAACAGCTTGCAGATCTTCTTTACTCACAACATGTACGTAAGGTCTTTTGGACAAGCCATTTTCGAGACAGATGCACTGACAGCCCACACTCAGGCCCAAAACCGCCACGGGGAAGATCCAGAGACGCGTCGTCGCCGAAGCCATGCTGAAGCAAGAACAGCCCAAAGCCAAGCTTTAGTGTTTTTCGCATTGCCGTACAAATTTGTTTTGCTCTATAATATGTTACTTCTTGGGGACGACCGACGAAGTCCCTGCCTAGAAAATCCTGATGGTGTATCGATAGATTGGATAGATGGACACAACCACTTGCGCACACATTCATCGTTTTCTCATACCGTACTGCACACATCCTCCCTCTTCCTCCCTCACAGTATGCGGGGCTGATGGCGCAACACCTCCCCAATCGCACGCTGCTCTTGGCTCCACGACACTGACTCAGATTTCGACCCCACGGACACGACTAACGCGCAAACAGATACCGTCCGCAGACTCAGACTTGCTCATGTCAAAATTTCCAGTTTACGAGCACAGATGACCATCTGTTTTACTTGTCTTGCGCTTTTTTCACTCAAATCGACCCCGCAACCTAATGGCGTTTGCTTCTTCGGGCACGTTCTGTCCATGTTCGGTGTGGCGCCTGCTGAAGCGACCTTTGCGAGTATAGCTCAGCGGAGTAGGCTGAGGCTGTACGCCTTTCGGCCCCCTGTATGCTGTGCCTTGAGGATTTGTTTGCTCTGCAGCGTGTGTAAGGACGCTTTCGCGATATATTTAGACATCTGCCAGGCAGGCAGTCTGCACTGCCTTCGTCTTCTCAATGTCCTCATCCGCGTAGCTTATCATCTACATTCTGCTTCTCTATCTATTCTCTCTTATCCTTGTCTTCGGGGCGGACTTCGCGATATTCTATTCCGTGGTTCAGCGACATCGCTGTTTAATCAGATGGGTTCTATTGGATCTTCTTTCACTTCCATCGATGAGCTGCACACATAGCCCAACCAGGTAGCCCACCAACATCATCCTCACGCATCATTGCTCAGATTGTACAACCAACGGACGAGAATATTATGCAATGCACCCCGCAATCGAAGGCTACACAAAATATGCTTGTCGGACTTGATTCCTCGGCCACCACTTCGTCGACTCGCTCCAAATCCAGCAACAGACCCGATAGCTCCAAGAACGACAGCAAAATAATGCCTCGCAACTTTGATTACTCGTATCCTAATACCAGTGACAGTAGTACGCCTGTCTCGACGAGGTCGTCGATTAGCAATGAATCTAACATTTCATCGTCGAGCTCGTCGGTGTCGATGCCGAAGCATTCACGTATGAAGTCCAGCCTGAAGGCCTCACAGTCTGTGGGGACAAGCCTCAACAGGAGATTATCACCACCTACAGTACGGTTTGCGGATCCAGAACCATTACCCAAGTCACATACATGGCCAGTACCGAGACCGAAAACACTCGGGCAACCAGAGCTAGGGAGCAATAGAGTTCCGAACCCACTGCTACAGTTCCAACACCATCGCAAGCCATCTTCATCGAGTTCTGTCTCGAGTTTAGGAACAAGATGCACTATGAGCCCCCTACCCTACGCAGTACCGCCTCCGCCAGGCAATTCAAGCCCGTCAGACGCATCGAATAGGACTATGCAGAACCGAATAGATACTCCCGTATCTGCACCTGCACCTCCACATGCGCAAGATTTCAGTTGGTCCAAAGTTCCCCTCCCATCTCACTTCTCGTCCCCAGGTCTCGCTTCGGCTTCTCGCGTGTCGTCGTACCAGTCCACCATCTCGAACCTCTCAGCGCAATCCGAGCCTATTGTACTCTCAACAAATACTCTGATCAACACAACTTCTCCAGGCCAGTACAATCCTCTCCATCACTACCAACCCTGCATGTACCCATCATGCACATCTCACTACACACTCGCTCATACTGGCCCAACGTACTATCTTCCTCAAGGCCCTTATTCGCTAGCCAGGCTCCACGGATACTGTCACCAACATGCTACTCGAGAATGGAAGGAGACAAATGCGATGTGTAAGAGCGAGTGGGAGTGTCTGAGGCAGAATGCCGGGCGAAAGACGCTAGGGTCAATAGCTGCAGAATTCGAAATCTTCCTCGAAGGGTTGAAGGAAGAAAGAGGACTTGAGGACGGGACCTTGTTTAGAAAGCAGAAGATACGGGTATCGGGTGTCGCGCAGCCAGTCCTCCAAAGCCACAACAGCGCCAAAGGGAAAGCTAGACAAGATGAGGAAGGCGACTCGGCCTGGGACTGGCGCTACTCTCCTCGCCCTTGCATTACCTCTTCCTGTCTCTCCCCACCTTATTCACCGTACGCGAACGATTTATACGCCTTCTACCACACCCGACAACCCTCGACATTCCTTCCGCTTCGGGTCCTGTGTCCTACCTGTTCCAAAGCCGAAGTCGAGATGTTCGCGGAGAGGGTTACGGAGAAGTGGTCAAGCAGGTGTGGTTGGGATAAGACAGAGTGGAATGGATGGTTCAGCAATGTGGTCAGGGATCGCGAGATGGAGGGTGAGTTTTGGGAGGCGACACAGGGGAGAGCTGTCAAGGCGCGTGGGCCTGTGCAGTTGGTTGAGAAGGTCGAGGAGGAAGAAGAAGAAGGGAAGAAAGGGAAAAGGTCGATCTTAAGGAAGTTGTTTAGCAGTATGACTGTGTGAAGTGTCCATGTGATTGGGTTTCTAGTATGGGGAGGTGGCTCCTTGATCGTGTTTAGCCAATTTTTCTGCTGAAGGCACTTACGCAGTATTTAAAGAGAATGCAATTGGTAGCGATCGACGATTCTTGACATCAGATCTTCTACCAGCACTTCATCATTTACTTTCAAGGCATATTCAAAACCAAAGCTGTGAATAATGTGATCGAGTACTCCTTCTTTAGGCACGGAGATGGAAGCATGATTAGATGGACACGATAGACATAAGCGAATCGATGCTATCGGAGTTATTGAGCTAGTAACCCGATTATCATTCCTAACTCCATGTAGTTTCCATACCCAAACCTGTGTCCAAGATCGTATGTCATGGCTCACGCAATGTTCTCATTTTCAAGAGTGCGCTTGTGAGATGGCCACCCATGCAATAGAACGCGACGCGAGGGAGACGAAGCTGCAGCTCAGATCTTCCTCTTCTTGCTCGCATGTCCGTCGTGTCCGTTCTCCCCACCCTTAGGTAAGAAGCTCGCAGCGTAGACCTTGAAGAACTCTGTGGGCTCTTGAGGATGGTTGCCCGTGACATTGACGAAGGCAGATGTAGAGATGTAATTCGTCTTGCCTTCACGGACGAGGCTATAGTACTCTAGTAGGTACTGCAGCTCACTAGGATCGGAGTCGCTCTGCGCTTTGAGGACCTTCTTGGCTTCAGCCACGCTAATGTCTTCGAATTCCATAGAGACGCCAAGAGCCTTGGATGCATTGGCTGCGAGTTCGGAGCCAGTGCACAGCAAGGGGCCAGTGCAAATCTATGAACGCGGAGGTAAAGAGTTATTGTATGTTTCTTGCGGGGCTCACACATGGAGCTCTTACCATAAGTTGCCCGCGGTGGCGGTCGTCAAAGCCTTTCTAAAGCATACAATTAGTGAGGTTCATGATAATGGTCAATTTGGGGTTGTGTACCTCGCCTTGACCGGTAAGCACATGCACAGCGAGTTGAGCGACATCTCCAAGGGCGACTGGGGCCATGAGGTGCGATTGACCAATGGGGATGGGAAGGATGCCATCCTTCTGAGCCTGTGGTGCGTAGAGGAGTAGGTTCTATAAGCATATCAATAACTGATGATTATGCTGGGCAGGCTTCACCTCACTCAACATACTTCAGCGAAATATCCAGCGCGAATGATGCACGGTGAGTGGCCCGTCGAAGTGTTGCCGTCCCCCTTCGCAGCCATGACCAAGCACTCAAGATCGATGAACTCGCGCAGATGAGGCTGCTTCTCGCGCTCAGCTACATCTGCTCCCGCAGCCGAGATGAACAAGATGTTGGGCACATTGGCCTTCTTGGTTGCGTTGATGAGCTCAACGGTGACGTCGAACTTCTCCTTATGCGTGGGTGGGATGAGGCATACAGTGTCGCAACCGGAATCCTTGAGCGTCTTGACCATCTCGCGCTCGCGGCCGGGCGTATGTGGGATGATCTTCGCGCCCAGATTGTTTAACTCTTTAGCTTTATGACTAGCAGGGTGTAGGCACAGAACGCTGACGGAGTCGACTTTGCTCTTGAATTCGTTACTCGTCAGGATGAGCTCGGCGATGAGGAAGCCAGTATGGCCATCGCCTGCCGTGATGCAGATGTTGCGAGTCATATTGGCTATTATTCGCTTTTGATGTTTCTTACCAGATGGTTGACGATTCAGTGTTGTGGTGTTGTTCGTGTTGTTAATGGGAAGGTGAAGCAATCGCAACTACTAAGTATTGGTACCTGAGATTGCTCCTGGCCACATGGAGTCATCGTGACGTTAGATGGCTGTGCGTTCGTAGCGCGTCGGCAAACGACACCGAAAGCGGGCTCGCGTAGTGAAGAAGTAAATTCCCGGGTGGTGAAGGAGCCATATTGCCCAATAAGGCCTAGCCAGGCACACATTAGGCGATCATCCATAGTCTGGGGTTGCGGGGGACAGGGTCCATGATGTATGATGCCGCGGAAGACGTTAGGTGCAAGGGATGCAATGGTGTATACAATGAGCGGGACTTGTGATACTCTGGCTAGATTTAAACCTCCGTGTGCGACCGCAAACAAGTCCGGCGGTAAGCATGTCGTCGTGCTCTACATTGGGCGTACCAAACAATGTCTGCCGTGGACTCCGTAGCAAGCCTTCCTACATAAAGGTGGGTACTACTTTCTCATCTTGCAAAGGAACCAAGCTGACAAGCTCGTAGCATTATTGTTTTATTAGCTGGTGTGAAGCCGTTGCCCATAGGTGTGGCCAGGTGCCCAAGTGGCGCGAAGGGGTTTAGTCGCGGGGATACCATACACGCTAGCCAGATTTGTCACAAGCCTAGGAAATGACCCACCCAGGCGCACGCCAGGGCAGAGTGGATCAACCCCTGACTCTGTGCCCAGGTGTCAGGAGGATTGGTGGTCGAAGCTTGGCCCATAGCGATCTCGTCCACCATCTCGGAATTGCCGCTGTAGTGATCCTATCAATCTCAGCAACTCTCATTCTACACCCCGCAAGTTCCCGCAATGCGAGGGAGGACAGCGATCGCAACAACGATCCTTTTCGTCGTCATCATTTGCCTCTTCATATCCGCACCCAAATCCTGGAGGACCGGAGCATCACCACCCAGTGTCACCGGCCACTACCCATATGTCAAGCCAAGTCCGCTCCCATGGAATCCACCTAGCTCCAAGGAACCCTCAGGTGAGGCTCAGGCGGATCGTCTAATCGTCAAAGTAATGCTCGAAGATGAAGACGCTTTGTGGATAGACTCACTATTCCCTACCTGGCGGAAAGAGCTCGTGACCATTGACAAAAGATTCTCAAAATTGCACAAGGGTGGAAACAGAGTGGATAAGGGACGGATAGCAAGTCATTATCTTATCTGGATTATTGAAAATTACAAAAACCTACCCGAGACTGTGGTCTTTCTACCTCCGGATCAACACACCCAACAGACTTCGCAATCGGTCATCTGGACATCAAGCGGCTCCAACCTAAAAACCAACATATCCAACCTCCAAATTGCGTTTATTCAATCCTCTGGCTTCGCCAATCTTCATTGCCCCACCCCATCAAGATGCGCCGATTTAATCCTCCCCTTTCGCTCCCCACCCAACGAATTTCGCACCCTGGAAGTCGCCATGCCAAAAGTCTGGCAAGGCATTTTTGGTAACACTACTGTACCAGAGCAACTTGCTACGGCGCCTGGCGCTGAATTCGCCGTCAGCAAGACGCAAGTGCAGAAGAGGAGTCTTGATGAGTACTTGAAGTTCTGGACGTGGTTGCACAGGACGCCTATGGATGATGATACGGCGGGTTTGGTGTTTGAGCACCTCTGGCATGTCATCTTTGGGAGAGATGCGGTGTTTTGCCCAGAGGAGAAGCAGTGCGAGTGTGAAGTCTACGGGAAATGCTAGACGTCCAAAGAGAAGAGAGACGAAAGATCTGATACTGGAACCCAGGTACATAGGGCGTCCGATATCGGGCGGTGTTAATACATGTAATTCATTACTCTCGAAGCTCGTAGTACCTCTTGATATTATTGTTGTGTTCATGAGGTGTTGAAGAGGTAAGACTTCTTGGATTAATCTAAATAGCAAACGTGGATGTCCTACTTCTGATCACCTTGTATAAAGCCAAACCAAAATCATGGAGAGCCTATTGTATTTTCTCCATGACTAACCTTTTTCCTCGAATCGGAGAAGAGATCGAGCAACAAGAAAGAGGATTTTGATGAAAGAACGAGCAAAGCCACATCCAGCGCGACAATAGGAAGCCTGCCTGATAGTAGGCAATTGAAGGATACTTCCGCTTTTATTCAATAGTAATGCGCCGAAACCGGGCTAGTCCCTCGTTACTTGAGAGGACGATAACTACAATTGTTACATACAGATTAAGGAGGGACGTTTGCATACGTCCTCGAGTTGTGAAAGTTACATGTTATTTTGCCAAAAGGGTGATGCTCGTTCATCGAGTTTTTCCCATCATAGACCCGCTTACGCTGTTCCTACACACGAAGAAAAGAGAGTGACGAGAAAGATCATGAATACAGAAACAAATAGAAACAAACAAGTTCGTAGGTCAGGGAGTGACAAACCATTTAGCGAGAGAAAAAAAAACGTAGAATCCAGAACCAAGAGCTTCCGTATCTTTGATTCTACTGGGTCGCTCCAGTGATCTTCACCATCTCGAAACTGGAGCATTCGGAGTCCGACTCGTAAGCTGGGACTTGTGCAGTAGACATACTAGGCACCATAAGAGAGTTGGGTTGTTGGTAGTCGAAGGGAGGACTTTCGCCGGTGTCGAGATGGCTCAGCTGTTCGACCAGTTCCCCAGCTGTGACTCGCTTCTTCGAATCGATCTCTAGGAGTCTTGGGAGGACGTCTGCAATGTCCTTCAAATCGCCGGTGCAGCAAGCTGACATATCTCTCAGCTTTTGTATCACAACCTCTCGTATCTGGACCTTTGCATTCCTGCTTTCCTCAATGTAGCAAAATCCTTCGTCGTATATACCTCCTGGCTTCACTTGACATAGACGAGCGCTACGGAACTGTACTAGTGCTTCGTAGCCTTCCATGAACCATACAAGTAACTCAAGATAGACACAGCCGAGAGACCATAAGTCGTACGGTCGGGATATCTTTTCATCCTGTAAGTACTCCGGCGCTCGATAATTCGGTGTACTCTTTTTGTTGTCGGTACGCCAACTATCCCGTTTTTGGCCGCTGACGGACTTGACAAGATCACGGACGTTGGCGCACGAGAAGTCTGAAAGACGGAGCCAGTACTGTTTCTTACCATTCTGGTCGTAGATGAAAACCAGAATGTTGTCGGGCTTAATGTCGTGGATGTATCCCGTGCGCGACGACGGTTGCTGCGGTATACTGAGTAGGTTGGGGTTAGGACCTGACACGGCCATCTCCTGATTATGGATGAGAGACAAAGCGCCAGCCAGACCGTAAAGCTGTCTCGCGAGATCTGGCGCGGAAAAGGAGGGAATATCAGTGGGATTGTTACGCGCCTTCATGAACTTTTCTAGGTCATCATCTGCCTTCTCGTATATCATATGATATTTTGAGCTGAACGTAAAGCTTGCTAGGCATTTCAGGAGATGCGAATGGGTGAGGTTTGCCATTGCTAAGTGAAATTCCGGCTCGCGGACACCAGGCGGGGTGACTTTCATGGCAAATGTATTCTTCGTGCTCGCTCCCTGATATTGTTTGTTAGCCTATACAATGCGTTTTTGGAGCCTTGTTTCGTACGCATGAAAAAGAACGATGGTCTTCGTGTATCTCGACCTCCCAAACATACCCAAACGCACCCTCACCTAGTAGAAACGAGGAGTGCTCATCGAATTTTATGGGCTTAGTAACATCGTCCAATTTCTGTGTTGAGTTCAGATGGAAGTAGGCAACGTGAAAACGTCTCTGGTTATCACAGACTAAAGGTTGAAGTACGAAGTCAGAGTATGTTTTACATGTGATATGTACACCGGCGCTACTTACAGGTCGACATGAACCGCCCCTTCAGCTTCGGACTGGAACAGGCGTCTTCAGTAAGCGGAATATTTGTGTCGGTGAGGCCGCTGTCAAGCAATGCTTTTAGACCATTTATGGAAAGTCCAGCGTAGAAACAGATCGCAAACATGATGCGCCCTTTGTCGTAGATCTGAGAGACGAAAGTTTTCTGGGCCTGATCGTCTACTGGGAAGTACCCATCAGCTTCAGAAACTACGAGGTCGATGACATGCCTGGTAGTGCTTTTTTCATAGTCGAGTCTTGGGAGGAATTCTTGTGGCTCGCCCCTGAACTTGCGCTTCACCATGTGATCTTTCATGTACTTGTAGACTTGATCCGAATTTTCGAAGGATTGAGACATTATAGCAATTTGTACAAGGTAGAGTATACTAAGGAGATGATTATTATTCAAGCCCTACAATTATCTCAATGGTCAGAGAGTGCAACACTATGGCTCATCAGATCTATCGACGTACCTCTACGTAGTCAGTGATAGCTAGAATAAGATTGAGCCTTACTCGAATAACGGTTTAGCCTAATGTGCTACTGCTGGTGTAGGGTATTCTCTTGCTGCCTATTTTAGGGTGGTGCCAAAGAGATCTGTATGCGTTTAGGAACAACTTGTGAATGTGGACAAGGCTACGACACGTCAAGGACTCCATATTGAGGGCTTTGCGAGGCATAAATCCTCGAAGTGAGGCTCAGGTTATTCAGGCAACCATCTGTGCAAAAGTGGTGAGAAGATGACGGGCGTTCTTCAAAGGCGCAATGCTGCGCGCAGATAGGCCTACTCCGCAGCATACATTTTCCACCACAACGAGATTGCCGACATGGAGTCTTGTGGCGCCCATAACTCTTCATGCACGATTTGCTGTTAACCCGCAATTTCTCGCAATTGGTCGCCTCGAAAGTGAAGGACTTCGTCCAAGTCGTCCGGTGAGTTCAAACTGATCAAAAGAAGGCGGCTGTGTAGACTTGATGACGCCCATCCAGCCCAAAGCTGGGGAGGTGGGGTGCGCATACCGACACTGCTTCTGACCAGTTATGGGCGCAGGTCGCCACCACGGAACAGGGTATGCGCTTGAGTGTCGGAGCTCACGAACGTGATTTGCAGGATGATGCATAAGCTATGCCATTGCTGTCGCGGATTTACATCAATGAACATGATGGCTACGCTCTCGTGGATGAGTCATCAATGCGTTCCCGTGTCTTAATAGGTATTTCCACTGGTGTCGAACGAGTGAACAGCAGATTGAGACAACCTTGTGAGAAGCCCACAGATTAGCGGACTCGTCATGTTTGGGCCGGCACCTCGGTAAACTGCACTGCTGCTCTAGCTTTCTCATAAGTCTAGGTTACCTATAGGCGTGTCATCGTGGCAGCCCAACGAATGGTTCCTCGGTTCCAAACAGCTGAGTATTCCTCTCTGGACTTTTCCCATGGATGTTGCCTCTTCTTACAACGAGCTGCAAGAGCCTTTCCGAGTGTACCCAGACGTACCAGATCAGGATCGTAAAAAGCGTCAAAGGAACTGATATAGCGAAGAACAACCAAGAATTCGTAGTGTACTCAAGTTTTGTGTCGCCGGTGTCTGATTCTTTTGATTTGACAAATTGTGTTGAGTAGAAATTCGACACAATAGTGCACGGTAGGTAAATCATCGTAATGATAGTGAGGATTTTCATGCTGGCCGAGTCGTGGCTACTTTTCTCAGCTAGTTGTCTCATGATGATATTCTCGTCATGGCCTTGTCGTTCAAGTTTCTGGAGCGCGGCTATCTGCTGGTCGATATTATGGCCGGTTTGTCTTTCTAATAAAGAGGATATCTAGAATTTGCTTAGTCAATGCATGAGACAGTGGAGGTCTCTTGACTGCCTGAATTTGAAAACATACCAACGTTCTCGTGTTCTGAACTTTTGAGAGGAGGGCTTCCGCTTTCTTCCGTGTGTAGGAGATTTCCTTCGCCTTTTCTTTCAATGCGAACATAACGGCGTCAGACCCGTAAGCTGATCCAGATGACGACCCTCGACTCGACTCGTTGTTATCTTGATGAGAGCGAAAGTGATTGTACATCTCCTCAAAAGTCGATACGGTATCTAAAGTGGAGTCAAGGCAGAGCACCAGATCAGATACTTCATCTTCTATCTGTTTTAGGTCCTGATGGTCCTCAACTTCAATCGACATGAACTGCTCGCTAGCGCCGTCGTCACCAATCATGATACCAATCGCTTTATTTGACTAATTTCTGTCAATCTTGACGCAACTCTAACTTGAACCGTGGCGCGTACCTGATATGTCACCAGCTGAGTCAAGTGCACCAAGTAAGGCCTCCAGCTCGCAATCGCAGAATCAATGAAGATGACATGGAGCTCAAACGGATTGGCTTGGTTCAAGTCTTCGATGCTTCTAGTGTACCGATCAAGGCGAAGCTCTGTCCTTTGTGATGCCCCGACTAAAATCCATGTTGAACAGCGACTTTGCTGATTGGGCTTAAATCGATGATAGACTGCGAATTGTCGAAGGGACCACGGTTTCTTCCCGCCGGGGCGGTTGGTGAACTCCACGTAGCGAAGAATATAGGAACATTCTGCGTACATTAGCGAGTCCCAATTGTTGGTCTGAGCATCACAACGTACCAAAGCCGCGATACGCATTGCTATGGGCTGCGCAGAGAGGCCTGAACTTTAGCGGAGGAGGTCCCACTTCCGCGTCGCTTTTCTTGCTTCCGAAGCCAACTAGGTATTCATTAAATCTCGGAAAGACATTGCACGAATTGAGGAGTTGTTCGAAAAGCTGCTTGGTGATCTGAATGCGGCTGTACGAGTGTCTCTGTCGAAGATAGAATACCCGGAAGGTGTTCTTCGTTCGCCGAACGAAGTCTTCTATGTTGGAAGGGACAATTTTTTGAACGCTCAGTTTCGGCAGGCCTGGGTACATTGGTGGAACTAATTCGCCTTGACGCTGGTCTAGAGCTGAGGGCAACGCTGTGCTAGATGCTCGACTTGATAAAGATTTAGCATCGTCACTCTCATATGCTTCGTTTAAATCCAACAGTGAGTGCGTAGACTGGTCATAGTCGAGTTGATAGTCTTTGTCGTCCTCAGAGACTGACTCGTTAGTCGTGCTGTTGTCATGAAGCGTTGGAATGGCGACTTCCGGTCCCTTTGATCCCAACCCTCTCTTCTGTCTTTCCTCTTTTTTAGTGAAGCCCTCATGTTCCCAAGGATCTTGGTGCTTGGAACTGACGTTGGATGGCTGATAGCGGACCTCAATCAGCGCCTTGGAGGCATCCTTTTCAAATATAAGATCCGCAGATCGTTGATAGTACTCATCTGCCGCAGGGCTTCTATCATAGAATAGGGTACGTTCAAAGTACCGTGATGTCTCCATGTTGTGTTTGGGTAGCCGTAGGGCCCGTGGTAAGAAGTTGATTATAGCGTCGGTGGCCGGTACCTATCATTTATGGACGCGTGTAACGCTGTGAAAGATGAGATATCATCAACCGTGAGACATAGCAATATCATTTCAACCATGTGAAGGGATCTGTGGGCGGCACGAGAAGGCTGAGGCAGACTCAATAGAGACGAGAAAGAGCGGTGATTCTGGTAACACTGGATTGGACACGCTAGCGAATTTGCCAAGCTCACCGGATGGTGTCACTGGGCGTACTGATCCACCTACATTCGCCTTGAGTCTAATACACCTCAATCGCATCAGTTTGTGATCTGCCTCATATGCCTCGTAAACCATATCTTCTTTCCTGCTTACAGACAAGTCAGCTTTTGGCCGATCTAGCGCGACTTGATGGAGCGCACCTGAACAACGCCTCGTCTCCCTGCAAAGCGAATCAGAGGCAATAACCATGTTGGTGTCATGCATGCCAGCACACAGCCGCAGGACAACACTTTTTTTGCGATCCGCATATGCCGCCACCTTGTTTAGAATGGGTTTCGGGCTGCATCGCTGTCACAGTCATGTCATCGAGACCAGCATAAGGTAAGGCCTAGTACTGGGGGAACTGATTTCATACCTACTCTATATCTTGCGTAAGTTACATCTAAGTCATAAGGAGTTTCAAGTTATTGCTTTCATCGCCTTTTGAGCAGAAAGCTTACCTGTTGTTGCGACCCTGTTGCAGAATATTCCCATCATGCGATTTCCTGGAAATGGATGCCCAAAACGCTTGAGTGTACAGATAGGACGAGGGACATAGGTCTTCGTTCCTTCACAAGGCAGATTCGATGACAGGAAAGTCGAACTTGCTTGGAGTACTGCATGACAAGACCTGTCGTACAACGTGTCAACGTATCTAGGCCCTGTTCGCTCTGACTCAAACTCTCTTCTACTTAGTAGCGAGCGTAGTCCTTGACCACATGGACCGAAGCCAAGGCATCTAAAGTCGAAATCACTCAACTCTACGAGCACCACTATGTTCGCGTCACTTGCAATGTCACCCAAGCGTCCGAAAGTACAAATCATCGAAGACCGTTATATCGATGAGGATAAACTCCTCGAGGTCTGCAAGCAAAGATTCGCGCCAGGAACATACAGGCTTCTGGTACCTTCTTCAGCTTTTTTGTCGTATACCTTCTAACTCTGCACAAGTTCACGTCCAATCGGTGGTATCTTCAAGCTCCGACTTGGCTCGACGATGTATGTCCTCCAAGTTGCCCCAGCACAGCCCCATAGATCCTGATTCAATATAGGAAACGCTAGAGCAGTGCGAGATAAAACTAAGCTAGCCGTCGTATCGCATCGAAGAGACACACTGGATGGTCAGGCTACCATTACGGAACGTCTATCGCCTTCATTTCGCTCATCATACCACGTCTTTGATACTTCCATTCAAGGTTCTCGCACGTACAGCATGCATATGATAGCATCATCACTAGCGTTAGCGTTATATTGGAGCGCGTGTGAATAGAAGACCGTAGTTTATATTTCCTACACTATACCGTCTGACTGGATTCTAAAACCTAGATGAAAGATGAAAGCCAACCTACCTCAACTGCCTAACTATAGTCTAGCCATAGTTTCCCACTGTCTTCTTTGGGTCTTCCACCTTTTAGTCTCATTGGGAACCGACCAACTCTTCGGGTCAATCCATAACATACGCACAATAGCCTCACCGAAACCTGATGCCCATCCGCTGTGAATTGTGGCTTGTTTGCTTGTTATCGTCATCTTGTCACTTACCGCTTTTTTATCATGGTAATTTGTGTAATCACCATACTTGACAAGCAGATTCAAAGTTGACGACAGCCCACATGGCGGGACTGTAACGCGACTGCTGAGGTAGAGCTTGGGAATCACCTAGAAAAACGCGAGGTCTATCTCAAGTGCATAGCTCGAATTAATCGTGATTTCCCTCATCAAAGGTAAGTTTTGTCATGTGATCTCGCGTCCGGCAGCTTTATCGTGTGATTGGGCAATGGCTATAACCTCCAATCCTCAATCCCTAAGCATGAACTCACTTTTGACACAACACTCAAAACACTGCAATGACTGAACGGTCGTTGCATGTCCTTGAGCCTATCTTGGACTCATAACTTATCAGCTCTTACCAATTTCTACTTCATCCCGCCTATGAAAGCTTCAAGCCCGTCATGGCACCCCCGCTCTCCTCACTCTACACGTTGTCCTTCGCACTTGCAGTTCTAACCACTCTTTTCGTTGCAGCTTCCCTTCGTCTCCTCACGATTCTACCAAACCAACGTTCCAAAAGCACACCATGGCGCAAGCGACCAGTCGCAACACGAGTCCTCGTGGTCCTTGGCTCGGGAGGCCATACGCACGAGATGTTCTACCTACTACGCGACCTGGACACAAGGAAATACACACATAGAACATACGTTGTAAGCAGCGGCGATGCTTTCAGTGCACAGCGAGCTGTGGAGTTTGAAAGAGGGCTGGAGGAACGGGAGAAACAATGGCGAGCGGAGGAAGAAAGAAACGATGAGACTGCGAACGGAAAGGTGAAGATTGAAGTCACGAACGAGGATGGTGTTACAAAATCAACACAAGAGGAGACGATGAGAGGAGAAAGACCTGCGTGTCTAGGCCCCGACCACTACAATATTGCCATCGTTCCACGCGCGCGGAAAATCCACCAACCCCTCCTCACCACCCCGCTTTCCTGCCTCTGGACACTCTACTGCTCCTTTACACCTTTACTCCGTGCACCGCCCTTTCTACCTGACCAACAGCCCACAACGCCATACGAAGCTGCCGCAGCTGATCTCCCAGATCTCATAATAACCAATGGCCCTGCTACAGCCGTCATAATAATCTTGGCTTCGCTGATATTGCGGTTCCTCAATTGGAGGGGTGCGAATAGTAGGAGCAAGTGCAAGACAGTGTATGTGGAGAGCTTTGCGAGGGTCAAGACATTGAGTCTCAGCGGAAGGCTCCTCCTGAGGATTGTCGATCGCTTCTTAGTGCAGTGGGTGGAATTGGAGGGTGCCGGAGGACGGGCGGAATTTTGGGGGGTGTTGGTTTGAAGATGCGGACAAACATGATGAATTATAAAGATGTTCGTTCTTATGAGACATCGCTCCAGGACGAAAGACCTCGACCGTGAACGAAGGTCGTACCAGCTACCCTCCTATCTTGCCGTCCGACAACGCTCAGCATCCGTCGGGCACAGTCAGAGGGAGCCACCCCTCCGAAGCCCGCCGTAATGCGACGACGGATAGAGATAGGTACATACAGATGGAGCAAAGGATGCATGGCATGAATAAGGCGTTTGATATGAATCACGACACGATACCCCTTGGCAATAAAAAGCCGAACTGACCACACTCTGTGCTTCATATGCTATGTTACAAAGAGGAACATCTAATATCTACAATATGCTACATCAAAGTTTTCGCTAAAGAAATTGCGATCAACTTATCTGTGTCTCTAATCAAGATCCTCTGCCTTCTCAGTAGCTTGTGACCTCTTCGGCTTCACCCCATTCTTCTGCATGTGCTGCCCCAGCGCCATCAACAGAGCATCAGTCTCTACCAACGGGCTCTTCTTTTGTGCTTGCAGCTTCTTGGCATGCTCTAGTTCCCATCTCAGCTGCATCGGCGTCTTCATTCTCTCACTCGCCCTCTTCCTCTCCTTTGCAACCTCCCTCGCTACCACCCCTTGGCCGTTAGTCCTCTTCGCCTTTACACTGCTGCGCGGCGCTTCAGGATCCTTCTTTGCGTCGATAGCAAAATCATGGACATCCCCACGAAGTTCTTGACCGAGTGTATCGGGGAAAGGTGGGGCGAGGATGGTGTATGACATGGAGTCTGCGCCTTCCACGATATTGCGCGTGGTGTCTGTGTTATCGTATGCGTCTGGAAGATCGGGGTCTTTGCTGCGTGGGCGCTCGGTCTTCGATTTCTCCAACTCCTTCTGCTCGATGAGCTCAAGCTCCGTAGCCGTAGCTCCCTCTCCCTTCTTCGGGGCTCCTGAGCTTTCTTGCTTAGGTTGCCCTCTCCAGCTCTTGAGACTGGTAATGGGGTGCCGTATCGTGCCCATCGTCTTTCGGAACCACGTTTGGCTATCTGCTGCACTCTCCTCCATTATGCCAATATCATCAAACTCTTCTTCACGTTCCCAGGGCCATTCAATGCGGTGATGTGTTCCGGCGATGTACCGATGGAAGATGGGAAGGCCGCTTTGAGGATCGTATTGATGGTTCTCGGGAATCTCGGCATCGCCATAATCGGTGCCTGTGTATGGGTCTATGCCGGTGGTGTGTCGCTCCATGAAGATTTTATCGACAATGACATCGCTGTAGCGTTTATGTCCGTGTTGGGTGAGTTCGTAAGGGATAACAAGGCGAACGTCTGCGAGGGGGAGGGGCACTTCGTTTTCATGCTTTGCGGCCATGTCTTCGCTCGAGGCGTTGAAGACATTTGAGTCGTAGTATTGCTAGAATGGTCAGTCACAGAGCACAAAGTTAACGTTAGAGCTGTAGAGTACACACCATGTTGATACCTTTGACGATAATCTCATGCGTCCGATCGATGACCTCTTGAACCACTCCAATCTTGCCCTTGTCCCTGCCCTTCAAGACTACCACGCGATCATCTTTTACGATGGGAAAGTACTTCTTATTGTCCACAACGAGCGGGTATTCCAGCTCCAAACCCTTTCTCTCCCTAAATTCATTCCTATTCTTCTGGCTGCGGGTAGGTATTTCAGGCTTCTGCATTTGCACGGACGTCACAGCACCGTATTTCTCTGCGCCTTCGCCAACAGCACGGTTCGGCCGCAGAGGGCCAAGCTGCCAGTCCTCTTTTGCATTTCGCAAAGCCTGGTCTCTGACACCCTTGACGTGTTCATTCTCCCATCTTATGCGTTGGATAACAGCTTGCTTGGATTCCCAGCGCTCTTGTTTGATCTCTTGTCGCTTCTTCCGTTCTTTCTCGTGCCACACTATTGCTCCCTTGACTTTGCGCATCTCCTTGAGCTTCTTTGCCTGTCGGGCGGCATTGCGCCCCGGTCTAACGATCAACTGGCTCATGATGGGCGGAGTAGAAACGGTTTCGTGAGGTTTGCGGACTACCGAGCCATCGGTTAGCGGACGGAGGATGGCGCGGGTGGAAGATGTTCGAGAATTTGAATCGAGTCAATGCACGCAGGCTTCGCCGTGGTGCCCTTCGCTCTTGGATGTGGTGCGTAGATTGTCCCCAGTCGAAAGTGGTGAACTGATGTAAGGTTCGAGGTCGTGAACCAAATTTCGCGCCAGCGGCCGAGCGGTGACCAGAGGCAGAACTTCGAGTGTGCCAAAACACCAGGCCCATGACATCGTGGCGCGCAACGCATCCTTTCACTCAGTGACACATATCACCCTTTCAGAATGGTGCTGCTACGGCGCAGGCTGCGCTGCCATTATTGTAACGTCCAGTCACGAGATGCTGTTTCACACATACCCAAGACATATTCATGTCCGCATTGCGATGCCGTGAATCACTTCGATGAGGTAAACACTCAATACATAAATCTTCCATAAGTTCCCAAGCTTACAGATTTCGAGCGCGGCAATATCACCGACCCACCTGTCGATCAAATCGCGACCGCACCTTCAACTTCCTTTCAATACTTACGTTCACGCTCACCATCGCCCGTCATGTCTGCACCTGGCGACGAGCTGTTCTGCGACACATGCCAGCGCAACCAAACGCTCTTAACCAACCTACTCGCCGCATACCTCCCAGACGAAGAAGATCCAGAGTATGAAAAATTCGAGGCAGCTTATGACGATTACAAGACCGAAGTCGAAGAGCGGTACCCGCAAGTCTGCCAGAACTGCCTCCCGCGGGTGCAGGATCAGATTCGCAATGCGGGCTATGCAGCGAAAGCGGATCATCTGCGGCGCATCATGGAAAAAAGTGAGGAGAAGCGGAGAACGGTTCAGACATCCCGACAGACGTGGACCCTAAGGATCATTTCGCTGGCGAAGTGGACCTACATCCTTAGCACATCATTCGGGGTGTTATGGCACGCCTTTGGACTGATCATGGCTCCTGATGAAGGGATATGGGCCGATAGGCGCTTTAGCTGGGACATATGTCTGAGCCAGGCCATCTTCGTTCACTCGGTCGACGAGAACTGTGTTCTGTCGCCCTACATGGTCAAGTTGTTGCACTACGTGCTTACTGCGGATCTACTCACCATCTGGTGGAACCCGAAGTTGAAGGTCAAGACGAATAGCCTGACGGGGCGAATGCGCGGACTCAAATCTCTCTGGTCCATTCGCGTTGCCGTACTCCTGCTTCGACTTACAAGCCTCCACTACTGGAAGCGCGCCGCCATTGACCACGATACACTCAGGAGTTTCCAGAATACGCACCTCTTCATGTTGATCGCAATGGTACTGTCCTTTGTGCTCACTTGGAAGGCTGTCCGCATTGTTTACCACTCACCCTCCTCTTTGCAACGCCCAGTAAACGAAATTCCCCCCAGCACACCTAATAGTGCACAGAAAGTTACTCGAGCTTCATACCAAACATCACACCCTCAACCGAACACTTTCGATAACATGGCACAAGCTTTCACGTCCAGCTTCCAAGACACCTCCGCACTGCCACCTTCACCAACCCTGACAGCTTCATCATATACTACAAATGACACTGAAGCCACTACACCATACGGGGCGCGAAAGAGTGCATTTATTGATGACAGCATGGATTGGACGCCCACGAAGCGCCGCTTCACAGACCAAACACCCACGATTCTACCCTCGCAGTGGTCCCAGCGACCCAGCACCCAACAACCCTCGCCACCTCAACGACAGTTGCACGAACCACACTCCCTCTTCAGCAAACCCGACCCGAATCCCTTCCGCCACAAAGTCCCCGCCGCGCCCAAAGCACCTCTCCAAGCACAGACAAATCCATGGAAACCAGGAGTCTGGGACCCTCCACTCAAAGACAACACGCCGAACTTCTTCAAGCAGGAACAGAAAGCTCGTGGAAGCGGCGTCGGGGAGGTAAAAGGGTTGGATGGATTTGGTGTGCCGAAGAACGTAAAGAGGGACGCGGAGTTGTTTGCGAGTCCGAAATTGAAATACGACTATTATGGGACAATGAAGGATACAGGACTGGAAGATACTTTCAACGGGTTATTTTCAAAATGAGTCTTAAATGTGGCTTTTGTATTTAGCGAAGGCATATAGCCTGTTGTTTTGGCTCGTCGCTGTTATTACTTGTTCATTGAACGGCTCAATGAGTGGCATTAGTATTGCATAGATAGTGTGGCGTAGCGTGTTGGCGTTTTGGTTTGAGATACCCTGTTCCTACAGTCTTGTCATGTATTTGTGTTGGAGTTGTGGGGCCTTACATGCCAATGTTATAAGCTCACCCTGCTTGATACTTGGAACATAGGTGAGCCTGGATGCCTTCGTAGAGCTTTACATATATGGAACAGCAAACAGAAAGCTAACCGAAGTCACTCAGTCTACCGTGAGAGAGAACAGTGGGTAGTAATCTGACTGCATCCAGCGGGAAAGCATTGCTAGTCAACTAATTCACAGATTAAGTGGGTGCAAAACTGTGCTTGGGCGCTTGAACAGATCAGATTTCTCTATCTAACCCTCTAGCATATCATGACTTTTCATATGCCGAGTAGAAGCACAGGAATATCCCCAATGTAAAGTACTCCGGTAACCTCCCGTAATGATCCGCGGATTCCATCAATCGTTCATGGCGGGCTTCGGTTGTCCACGTTTGTCATCCTCAACTCCTTGCATGCGGGTTGTCTATGACCTGGGCTTCTCCTTCTTCTCCTTCCACAGAGCGGACAGACCGACACCGGAAACCTTGACGACCTTGAAACGCACACCGGGAATATCACCCTTAGCCTTGCCCTTACGACCGAAACCGGCGAGGAGGACTTCGTCGTTCTCGTCGACGAAGTTCAAGCAACCGTCATTGGGAACTGTCGATGGTGTTAGCCATTGCTCAAAAAACCCTTTCCGCCACTAGTCCCGTCCCCTCTTCGTCTTCTCCTCCGCGTGGTGCGACGTACCGAAAGCAGTGACCTTCTTTCCGTTCTTGATCAACTGAACCCTGACACACTTTCGGATAGCGGAGTTGGGCTGCTTGGCCTCAACACCGACCTTCTCGAGGACTATGCCCTTGGCGTGGGAGGAGCCACCGAACGGCGAGGACTTGTAGGCGGTTCCGAGAAGGCGCTTCTTGTAGTGGAGATCGGCCCAGCGTCCCTCGCGGCGATGGTTGCGGAGCTTGCGGGCAGCGTTGAGACCTCTCGGCTTTCCTGGAGTACCTTGTCAGCCTCTACATGGTGATATAGGTGTCGCGACCCCAAATCTGGATGCAGCGTGTCGATTATGGGGTTACGCGGCGAATGGGAGTTGCAATTGCGTACCTTTACCCATGTTTGCGGTATTGACGACGGGATTGCTGGAAGGTGGGTGGTTAGTATCGCGGACGGAGGTCGAAGATTCACGGCAGCGAGAATTGAGCCCGGAGTGTGGGCTTGGCAGTCGCTTGCACTAGTTACGTATACGGTTAGCGCCGCAGCACGACCATCTTATCTTATCGCGGGCGTCGTCATTCGATCTTGAACATCGATGCTCAACCCTGCAATTGCCCATGAAATAGAGCTCTGCGGACTGATATGTTTTGACACTCCGAGACACACCGAGCGCCGTGATATCGGGCCCCTTGAGCTCCTCATAGCACACTGCATATCACGTTAGACTTAGACTGTAATTACGATCAGCACCTAAACGCTACACCGTGAAGCACACCCACACTATGGCGTCTAAAGACAACAAAAAGGTCACCAAGACTCAAACAAACCGCCTGCCAGCTCCTGCACTGTTCGTAGGCCCACCATCGCACAATGCCTCGAATACGTCGCTTCTGCCTCCGGGCACCGAGACTCGCACTCCCGCGAAGACGCCTCTTGTCCGCCAACGCTCCCATCTTTCCCCCGATTCGAAGCGGCCGCTACCACCGACAACCAGCAGTCAGTACGATGGCGACCATCTTAGTCTCATGTCTACAAACACTTCTGCACCCTTCCAACGGCGGCAGCGGCAACAGAGTGAAGCGGCAGATGCCGAAGCATCATCTAGAGCCGAAGCAATATGGGCGGAGATGCAGAATACGCTAGAGGAGGTAGAACAGAGCGCGATCAAGGGGCCAGGAATGACAGTCTTCGGGTCCGAGCATGCGCGCGCATTAGACGAGCTACGCCGAGCGCAGATTGAACTTGCGAAGGCTTGGGCGCGTTCAGAAGCCGAAGAGAACGACCAGTCGACAGGACAACAGAACAAAGTACAGGATATAAGTGCCACTGATTTAGGACCGCAAAATGGTCGCGCAAGAGCGACGAGTAATGCAGGCACTAGCAGGGGAGATAAACTATTCGATACAATCAAGCTAGAAGAAGAGACAGAGAAGGATATTGAGCTAAGCAGGAAGAGGAGGGAGGAGAATGACCGATACTTTGAGAATGTGAATAAAGGTGTACAAGAGGTGGTCGTACGGTTGGAAGACGTGGCGAAGGCGATGAGGGGCGTCGAGAGCGAGAGTAAAGAGATTTGGGGACATGGGAGTGAGGCTGGTGCCGACACTGAGAGTGTCATGTCGAGACCGAGTGTCATCTGAAGCTCTCTGGGGGATTGACTTCTTTTCCGATTGTTGTGTTTGCTCAACCCCACCGAACTCATACACGATCGCCCAAAGACCTAGTGAGACAAGCAAGCGCATGCTTCCTCATAATGGCTTCGAATTATACAAACCGTGTAATTTCGGCAGTTGCACTAAGCGTTACATTCATGATGGCAATCCTTTGGCGTTGATGCTTCACAGAACATTGATTTCCGGCAATAATCCCAGCGTGCCTCTTGCTGGTTCCGCCGATGCGCTTTCTCTTCTTGCTTAAATTCCTTAATCTCGTCTTCGCACCTCTCTGTGGGCTGGTTGATGCTCCCAACATGCTCAACGAGATTTAGCAGCGATGGGGAAAGGAGCTGAGCTGTTACTTGGGCATACTGTTGTTGGAACAGAGCTGTGTGCTCACGGTCTGCTACTTGCTGGGCAGTCTCGCAGTCGGCTTCCTCTTGCTGCAGACGGGATGCGGTATGTCGTTGGTTTACTGCTTGCTTGCGCGCGTATCGTTCAATGAGTGTCTACTTCATCGCGCTTATTGCGGGCGCCGCGAGCGTCTTGCTTCGTCTATATCTTCGCACGAGTTGCCTTGTTAAGTTTGTCCCACGGCTTCCGTGATTTGGACCCTGGTGATGGGGTTTCGGCTTAGGTATCGCTGTCTGATGTGTGCTTTGGCGGTGTTTGTGATTTCGGTGCATCTCCCCGGGAAGGCTCGATCCATGGGCTGAGGAAGGAGCGCCAAAACAAATGGAGGTCCCACGGGTCAACGTACTCTCTTCTCCTGCATCGACATGGGATGGTTGCCATCTTGACTGATAGCGGCCGAGTCCTAGCAGGTTGTCACTGTCTAGCCACGGTGTACACATAACCTCGCTCGTCAATCCTTGAATGGCATTGGGTAGTTGCTCACCCTTTACTGGTAGCGGCCGAGCCCAGGCTCGGTGGCAAACACTTGACCGCGATGCCTCACAGCCTTGCTCGCCATGTGAGCGGGACCTCACATAAATAAACTACCCCCAACGACAGAGTCGCACCTTGCCGAGGGTGTTGGGGCTTTCTACTAAGCCGACTCACATCTCTGGTACGTCTGCTCGCAACAAGAGAAAGACTCTCTGGAATGAGGTCATGAGCCGGTAAGACCCAAGCCATCTCTACTAAGTGCGAGTCGCCATTCTACTTTACTAGGGAGGACAATATAACGGACCGGGATCGGAATCTTTGCGCTAATCAGATGAAGAAGATCCTGGCGACGATGAAGCCTGAAGATGCATTAGAGAGCGGGCATAGGGACTGCCCACACACGCCTCCTTGTTGGGTGGAGGGTACCACGCCTTTGGCCAGTGCAGAAGAATCAGATAGGGTGATACAAAATGTCTTTGCTAAGGCAATAGCCACTTCTAGTATGTGTCACCAACATGGGTTGGACTTCCCGGTACATGTGGGTCGCGTGGCGCTTTATGGTAGCTGTTATTCGAAGCTGCCAACCTACTAACACACTGCAGACACGATTGGAAAGAGGGCAGGAGGGACCACTACTAGCAATGCTAGAAATTCGCTAGAGCTTTGGTACAGTTCCATGCATCTCGAGTATGCATGGTTTTCGGCATATCATAAACATCTCCAGCAGGATCATCAACAGCTAGGCAAATTCCCGCCCTAGACTGGAATTCAGGAACTAGGAAATCAGTGGTTTCGAGGAGTTGGCGAAACGAAGCGTGTGGGCAAGACGGAGGCTGGTTGGGGCACCGAGCAGGTCGGGAAATAGGAAGTTCTTTGGGGTGGTTGACAGATATAAGGCTATACCGCTCGACAATTGGACGGGATGGCGTGATCACTATACGCTGTGAGAATTCATACGTTCGATGCTGGCGAGTGTCACCACAACCGTTATCATCGTTTCGCCTTTCCGGCCGCTGAGCTAGCAAGCGGCGACGCCGAGCCAGTCGCAATGCCGATGTAGCGCTAAAATTCCTTCATGCTGCAAAGAAGACATGTACGCAAGACACAATTGTAAGGAACTATAGGTCTTGATTATATTATATACTACTTTATACTGAGGTATAGGGACATGTGCACCTGGTCGTACAGCAGTCAACTATCGCTATCGCGATAATATCAACTTGCCACTTCTGACAATTGTCTTGAGATCTTTATCTATATGTTCTCCTGTTCTATTCCAACATTCCCATTTTGTTACTTAAATTCTACCACGTGGTTCGCTTTCGCACCTGATATCACGTGGTCGAACTCCTTGGCGCACGCATTCCTCATTCTCTTCTCTTTGTATACAAACAGATGTTCTTATGGATAGAATAATACCAATAAACTCTCTCATTCTACATACTTACTAAAATATTCTCATGGGTTTCTGCTAAGGTGTCAACCTACCCCTCCAACTCTTCCCTTAACTCATAGCAGGTATCGATAATCCGGGCTAAGATCACCCAATTCCGTCTTCTCGTAGTCGGTCAGGCCCACGTCCCTAACGCTTTTATTTCTCGACCTGTTCTGCCACATGCACATTGCGAAGTATGTACAACAACTGAGTGCGCTAAGGCACACGAAGGCGATACTGATCGAATAGCCTGGCGTGTAATACGGGCGGTCTTTCGGGAGAAAAGAGTAAACGGCGATGATGCCTCCTATATTTCCGAACCCAACTTGCCAGGCAGACCCAATAGCGCGCCGATGATGGCCGCCGAGGTTCATGTTGAACCAACATACGATGACTGGCATTGCGGTATAGGCGCCCATAGCTACGAGGAACAGGGCAGCATACTGTACTTGTCGGTGATGATGTACAGTAAGGAGGATGGCGAAGCCCGATATGCATATGCTGATCGGGAAGAGAGTGAAGAGAAAGCGGTGCTTCAACTTATCCGAGAACCACGCAACCACCATGGAGAAGGCGAAGGCAGCGGCCCAAGGTGGAACGCTGTGGAGCTGTGTCTGAATGGGAGAGTAACCATACGACTGGATGATCGATGGGGAGAAGTAAGCGTAACTGTAAGCTGGCACTATGAGACCCAGGTACATGAAGCCGCCGACGATTATTTTTGGGTCGCGGAAAACGTTGCCAACGTCTCGCAGTGTGATGGGGCGCTCTCTAGCGGATGCGCCTTGGTCGATTTGTAGGCGCGCTTTGACGTATGCACGCTCTTCATCGGTGAGCCACTTGACTTCTTCAGGGAAGTTGGGAAGGAGAAAGAAGAAGGCGAACGACACCAAGACCGTCAGCAATCCTTCGAGGATAAAGATCCAGCGCCATCCCTTGTAGCCAGCCACACCATCCATTTTACCAATTGCGGACGCTAAGAGGCCGCCGAAGGCACCGGCTAGTGTGGTGGAACTGAAGAAAAAGGAGTATCGCTTTTGCGCTTCGTGGCGGCGGTACCCTAAGGCACAAGTACCAAGTTAGTGTATGTTTCACACGCAGGTCGTACGTGAGCGTTACGTACACATTCCAATCAAATAAAACGCTCCTGGAAACATGCCAGTCTCAAACACACCGAGGAAGAAGCGAGTGGTGAGCAATCCGCCGTAACTTTGCACAAAGCCTTGGAGCATGGTAACGAGTCCGAAGCCGAACATGCAGATACTGAGCCAAATACGAGGTTTCATCTTCTTGAGCAAAATGTTTGAAGGAATTTCAAACAGGATATACGGGACGAAGAAGATGACTAAAGCTGTGTTGTACTTGTTGCCATCCACGATTTTCAACTCTTTGGAAAGGCCAAAAACATTCGCGTTCGCGATATTGACACTGGTGGTGTTGGTCAGATGCTGTCTTTCAGTAGATGGCAGGAGGTTTCTTTACCGGTCGAGGAAGGCCAACAAGTACATGATGCACAAGAACGGAATGACATGGAGGTCGATTTTCGTCACGAGTTTCGACTCTGTAGTATGCGGTGGACAAGCGACCAGCTCGGGAGCCACATCGTAGGTATTAGCATCGTAGCGAGGCACTGGCTCTTGCTTGTCGAAATGGGCAGACGGGATGTCTTCTGCAAATTGTCAGCCTGGCTCACAGACGATGAGGTACGTTTTGACTCACTCTCTTTCTTGCCGAACATGTTGGAAGATGGTGATGGAGCGGCTAATAGCCTAATAGCACGGGGACCAGGGACCCTGTTATGATAGCCTTATGCGCGCAATCGACCAGACTACTGCAACACACCGCAGATGGTCTCCGTTCCAAGCTTTGCGATGAGATGCAGGAAAACAGAAATCCATCGTGAGTCGAAGGAGATAAACCGCTCTCACCGCATAGGCCGAGGTCGCAGGGGACTAGCTAGGCCACTGGCCACGCTTGATTCGTAGTCGACCTCGCCAACCCCGCGTTTTTTTACGGGCGCCGCTTACCAGCTCCTCGCATTAGAGTAAGCCAAAGGTCTCTCAAACAGGAAGTTGCAGTGTTCTTCTCCCAGCGCACCATGGCAAGCGACCCTGCAGTTGTGCACATGTTGAGTCTTCTGCGGGCGTTGTTGCCGGACTGCTGCTGTGCATGGTTTCGTCAGTGGCCGAGCGGCAACCGGGCCCTTGCACATGACGGCTGCTGATGCAGTGGATAAAATAAAAAACTTGCTCGATGTTTCCGTCGGATGTCACACTGACATGGACGGATGTGGCGTAGGGATCCAATGGCCAAAAGACGCCTCTCGGGACGACATCGGTGCGGATCAGCGAGGATGCGCGCCAGCTTTCCGCATGAACAACGTGTGTGCAAGTACTGAGCATAACTTCATCTGTACTTCTACCACCTAGCCGGCAGGCTGATGTCAAGATGAGAAGTATCTGCCGGTGCCATATAGCTATAGTGACGAGAGGGTACTCATAGCAACCTACCAAACCCATATCCGAAGCCAATCGGCGAAGTCTGGTTCCGTCCTCACTGACCAGGCTGGGCGCACTTACTAAAACTCTCTCAACGTCGACGCTCTTTTCCCGTCTCTCGTCAGCCTTCCTACCTTCGACCCACGACCTAGCGATTTCAGCTCCTTATGATAGCGTCGGGATCACCGCTACAAGTGTTACTGCGTGCGATCCGGATCCTCTCTTCACAGCGGCTGGCCTGCTGACCAGCCATGGTTAATGCGAAAAATGTCGCCTTCAAAGTCAACAAGCAGACTCCGTTTTCCCAAACAATTGCTGGCGCCTACGGCACCGTGATAAATTGCCGGAAGCCAGCCGGCAAAGCGTCGTCGCGCGAGCACAAGGAAGTGCGTTCACATCATGTGCCATTGGCAAATGTTCCTGGAGCATCGAAGCGCAAACGGGGCGAAGAGGGCAAGAGAGAATTCGATGAATCAACAAGCCTGTCCATATCGTCTGGAAGCCATGCGACCGAGATCCTGATACCAACACGCGACCACCCGCTACTCAACCAGCAATGGCAGCAACGAAAGCCAACCAGGTTACGGAGGGGCAAAACCTTGTCCAAGGGCGTTGATCTGGATTGCTGGTTTACCATACTCTCGTTTTCCGACCCTGCACAACTACTGGAGATGCGCAGCAAGATCGCCTCGTGCTACCGGTTCTTACGGGACAACCCGATGCTCTGGAAGCATAGCAGGAACTACTACTATGGAAGCGGCATGCCGGACCCACCTTCCCAGCTCACCGAGTTTCAATATGCCCATCTACGTCATGGCCATGGTTGTATGAGTTGCCACGCGCCCAATACACGCAAGACGTACTGGGCTTTCCTTCGGCGCTGGTGCAAGACATGTCTGCAAGCAAAGACTCTGAAAGAGCATGAGGCCATGGTGTTGCTGAGGAACGCGAACGGCGAGGACATTTCGTATTTGCACAAAGCGCTCCCATCTGGCATCTTCGATTCCTGGGGGAACTTTGTTGGTGTCGGACCAGCCAGCACGCATTCGTTGAAGACGGTCTACCTACTCTCGGATGTGGAGGCGTTGATCGCCGAATACACTCGTGAGCGACAGCAAGACTTGGACTGGCACGCTGAGCTGCGCTCGTGGCACGCTAAGAAGATCGACCTCGTCGAAGAACGCAAAACCTTTGCAAAGAAGATGGAAATGTGGGAAGAGACGACTCGTACGTCCAAGTCATTCGACTACCAAGCAAAGAAATCGGCGCGTAAGGTTTACTTTGAGCGCAAGGCCTTGCAGCTCAACCCACCCATTAGCGTGAGAGACATGGAGGCCTGTCCATCCTACCGCCGCGCAGTGGCCATTCCCAAAGAGCCGAACAACACGTCCTGGCTACAGCTCAAACCAAAGCTCGAAAAAGAAGCTGCAGACCTGGCAGCTCTAAAGGTTCAGGGAGGGACATTGGATTCGCATATATCTACAGCCTCTACTTCGGGCACATCAACGCCAAACAGCAACATGGAGATGCAGCAGCCGTTCATCCCCCACATCCTAGGGTTCACTTTGGGGTTGCCTCCTTCACACGGGCACTTGTTTTGATTTATTCACATACGCAATCATGGAACGAAGTAATAACTGATTTTGCGGTCTAAGTAATAACGGCATGCATCATAGGAGTTTGGTGTTTCTTTCTGCTTTCCATGTTTCTTGGTATGCATAGCGTCGGGTGGACAGATACGATAGCATGGGGTCCGACGAATCACTAGACTTTCCTTTTTTTTTCCCTAGCTTTCCTTGCCCAATAATACGTGCAACACCCTACCAGAGGGTAATGGCTGAAATACTTTGTTCGATACGGCTCACACGATTTGAATGTACACATAGCATTCAACGCGCCCGCGTCCCAAGGTTCCCAATCGTCACATGTAGTCTGAGTAACCTTCTCCTTTTAGATCCTGCCGTGGGTTGCCGTCCCCGTCCCCGTCCCTGGGCATGTGGATCGTACGAGTAATGGAGTCTCGGCAGCTTGATAATCAGCAGCCTGATTGGTGTGGATATATGACACTCGAAAGGGCAAGAGCGACACCTCCCTCCCAAGCATTAATCAGTTTCAAACACGTACAAACAATACTGTAGCATAACATCATGTAGAATCGCCTCCCAACTACTGCGTGTCTGAGATTTGCCCGCAGAGCCTCCTTGCCCGTCACTTTACCCCTCATTGACTTGAATTGCATGCGTCGATCTAGGCCCCCCCATGGCGAATCACAGCGAATCACAGCACCTGGAAGCCCGATGATGCGAGGGGAACAACGTCCAGAACCTGGGGGAGCTACAAAACCCTCCATCTTCTCCCTGCTGGAATATCTTCGTGTAAAAGTCTTTCCTTTTTTTCCGTCGTTGTAAGATGCTTCCTAATCGACGGAACCTAGCCTGGCCGTCTGGCTCCTTCTTGCGACGTTCGTAATCGCCGGGGCCCAGAATCAGCAGTAACCCGCGCTTGTTGATTGGCTGACGGCACTGTCAGAGTGGGTCTCACCCGTTGATTTCCAGCATGCCGACGAAATATTGCCATCCTCCTCGGATAAGACGATGTGTTAAAAGGGCCTCTTATCCCCTTGAAATTTGATTCTTTCTGCTTCTTACGTTCCTTAATTCGTGCTTTTTTGCCTCTCGGAAGCCAATTGAGTTGGTACGAACACAAGGAGAGCGTATCGACAAATACTCGTCAAGCGCATACGAACACAGCAGTCAGCTCCTCCAGACGCGATCGACCACTGCTTCACACACGCACACACACAATGGCATCGGCCTCGCGAACCTTCACCCGTGCCCTGCGCACTGCCGCACCATCCTTTCGCGCTACCTCCACCCGCACTTCGGCGCGCTTCATCGCACCTACGCAGACGGCTTTCCGCCAACAATGGCAACGCGGATATGCTTCAGGCAAAGCGACAGAGGAAGAGCCAGACAAATATGACGGCAACCCAACCGGTCTGATTGTTGGTGCTTTTGCTCTGCTCGCTGGTGCTGGTGTGTACGGTCTATACACCCAGAAGCCCGAGTTGTTCGGCCAGGAAAAGAGGAAGACCTTTGTACCCAGGTTTGAGGACTACCAGAAGGTGTATGATGCGATCGCGAAGAAGCTGGAAGAAAAGGATGATTATGATGATGGGAGCTATGGGCCAGTGCTGTTGAGGCTGGCCTGGCACGCTTCTGGAACGTACGTTTACCCCCGCTACTTTTTTTTATTGCATCAGAGCTGCGACTAACATACAGCAGCTATGACAAGCTGACCAACACTGGTGGTTCCAACGGTGCAACCATGCGCTTCGCCCCTGAAGGCGACCACGGTGCGAACGCCGGTCTCAAAGCCGCCCGTGACTTCCTCGAGCCTATCAAAGAGGCCTTCCCCTGGATCACGTACTCGGATCTTTGGATCCTCAGCGGTGTCTGCGCCATCCAAGAAATGCAGGGCCCCAAGATTCCGTACCGAGCAGGCCGCTCTGATCGCGACTTGAGCTTTTGCACACCTGACGGCCGTCTGCCAGACGCGAGCAAGGACCGCAGTCACATCCGCGCCATCTTTGGTCGCATGGGTTTCGACGACAAAGCCATGGTAGCCTTATCTGGTGCCCATGCGCTTGGACGCTGCCACACTGATCGCTCAGGCTTTGATGGCCCGTGGACCTTCTCCCCCACCACGCTCACAAACGACTACTTCAAACTCTTGATCGAGGAGAAGTGGCAGTACAAGAAGTGGAATGGACCCAAGCAGTTCGAGGACGTCAAGACCAAGACGCTCATGATGCTACCTACCGATATGGAAATCGTTAAGGACAAGAGCTTCAGGCAGTACGCTGAGCTCTATGCCAAGGACAACGACGCTTTCTTTAACGATTTCAGGGATGCGGTTGTCACGCTGTTTGAGCTCGGTGTGCCGTTCGTGCACCCAGAGGATCAGAGATATACCTTCAAGAGCAGCTTCGACTCATAGTGTGTTGCTATCAAAGGAAGATGAGATGTGTGACGAGAAGAGACAAGCATTGCCACAGTACATTTCGAACCAAAGATATCCATTTAGAGTAGCTAGACTGTTTTTTATTATAGAGAAGAGAGTGAGTAATGGAGACATCTCCACTCCAATGTATTTTACCTTCTTAGCATTTGGAAGATGAGGTGTAATAACTTCCAAGATATAATCTAGATACGTTAACTGCGCACATGCTAGTCATCTAACGATTGTGTTCCTATTACGGTTCCATTATAGTTATAGTATTAGTATAATCACCTCTCAACATCAATGCACACGTAAAGGATCTACGTCCTAAACCATACCTCATAGGTAATCACTTCCGTTATTGACTCTTGACATCGGCCATCTTGGCTCGCTAATCGTACAACAACAGATACGTCGTTTCGTTCACTATCGTCCGCTCAATCATTCTGCAAAGCAGTCGCGACCTGGGTAGTCTTCTTCTTCCAGTACTCCTGATGGTCCTTCTCAATCTTGCGGAGCTCATCAATCTGCGCTTTACCCAGCTGAGCCACTTTCATCTCAACATTCTTGATTTCTCGCTCTGCTACGGGCGGAACCACGGGAAGTGGCTGGTTGTGATATCTCGACGGCTGGTATAAGCACGCTGGAAACATGGATATCGAGGCGGCCTTGTGCTCATCACGTCCACCCGGGGTCTCGAAAGTGACGTGCTTCTTGCTAGTCCGAGTCTTGCGCGGAAGCGACGATGTCCCTTGTTCAGGTACAAATAGCGTAGACTCGGGTTCCGTAGCTTTAGACGGGGAAGACGATAGTCCTAGTGCGCCTTGGTCTGTGAAGAGTAGACTCTCCATAATACCTTGGCCCAGACAGCTAACACCCAGTTTCCAGATCTCACCCACAACCATCTCCCACTCCCTCTGCAGTTGGGCAACTTCGTTCGTCCGCTCGACAATGTGCTCTTCGTAGTGAACCATCCGAGTCTCGAGGGTTGATTGAAAACGCTCCTTCTCACCCCGCGTGTTGGTGCGCCATAGCGTGAGTCGGTAAGGTGAGAGAGGTTGGTGGAGCTTCAGAGCCATCTGCTCGTACTTGGCTGGGGCAGAAAGCTTGAGCGGTGAGACATTGGGGTCCTGCTGGCTGTCGTTTGTGGGGACAGTCTGCAAGGTGCTTTCGTGCAGTGAGGTGAGGAGCGCTTCGAGGGTCTTGTTGATCTTCAGCGTCGTGGACTTGTAGAGGTGGCGACGGTAATCGTCACTGGTGTCTGCACAAACAATGTGTCAGCTACAACCAGATGGAACCTTGCAGTCTGTTATAATTCACCTCGGAAGGCTACAGCTAGTAGATGCACATCCGACCTGTTCTTTGAGACTCTCCCATCTGCCTTCTGTGGGTTGCGCACGCTAGACCCTGACCTGACACTCATCGACTTCGCGATCAAGGGTTGTCCCCCAGTTAGTTTGGAAATGCTAGATTCGGCTTGCGGCGTAGTGTCCATTTGCTTCGTCTTGCGCGCTTGCTGCTTGAATATCGCGGCTACTGAGACACTTTTCTTTGCGTTTACAGGTGTGATCTGCTTTGTGGGAGGGCCTAGGTGGCGGTGCGCTCGTGAAGCAGGGCGTTCAACTTCCATCCTGCGTGGCTTCGACCGGAGAGGTTGTGAGGGGTGTTAGGTACTTGAGGGATGCTGTATGGGTGAGTGTGTCGTTAGTCTCAACAGAGAAGGTGCAACAACGCACATGGAAAGCGCACTTAGTGACGTATGCAGGAACATAGTCATGACGACAGTATAAGAGGAAGAGTGGAGATACCCACGACACTTGGCGTCGCAGTACAACAGTATCTGCGCCTAAAATATGTGTACAAATTCCAGTAGTACATTACTCAGAAGCTGCCAGGCCAAGCTCGCAATTGTAGCCCGGCCATATTATAGACTCTGCATATTATATTTCTCTTCAACAATTTGCTCGTCTACTTCGGCGGTTGCTGCTCTCCCTCGGCGGGCACAACCACGCCCTTCTCTTCCAGCATCTTCGCCAACGATCCGTCCTGATGCATCGTCATCAGGATATCGCATCCGCCGACGAACTCCTTATCAACGTATAGTTGCGGTATCGTGGGCCACTCAGAGTATTCTTTGATACCTATATCCATTTGTCAGCATGCTGTCTGTGGTAGCTTTTGGCTCCCCACGCAGTGCGAGCCCCAACGCCTTAATCTTGTGCCGAGATATTGTTTTCGTGAGCGTACCTTGCCTTAGATCCTGATCCTCCAGCACATTGAATGCTGTGAACTTCTCGGGATCTACACCCTGCATGCCCAGTATTTGTATGCTAGCTCTTGAAAACCCGCATTGTGGTGTCTCTGGTGTGCCCTTCATGAACAGAACTACTGGCGCCGAGGCGACAGCCTTGTCTATCGCAGTGCGAACTTCATCGGACAGGAATCGTGCTTGGAAAGGTGTGAGGAAAGGTGTGGCCAGGAGCGGGCGAGCTGGGCTTGCGCGGGTGGCGGCGCGGAAAGCCTGCAGGTAGTTAGAATTCTGGACTCTGTGTTGTTTGGGCGGAGAGTTCACCAAAGGAATTGCACGTCTTGAAAACATTGTGGTGTGTCTGTGGTGATGGTGAAAGGTGGGAGCTCTGAGCACCTCCGCAGTTCGCCGCAAGGAAGTTTTGGATGAGGTCAGGATATGCCAAGGCCGAGCTTGAATACTGATATCACTAATCTCCTATTCGCTCACCATAATTTTTTCTCTTCATTTCAAGGTGATTAGCCATGTTAAATGTAGCTTTCCATTTCATTGCTTACGTGAAGCTCTATATGTAGGCTTCACGATTGTCATTACACCAATAAGTGCACATTATGGTCAAGTATCATCTCCATTGTTCTTCTGTCTTCGTATAGTCGTGTCAAGGCCTTCAACAAAATTCCAACTACAGAGTAATATCCTCCGAGCGGTAGTGATCTGCTACGATGCGGTAAAGATACGAGGGGGCATGTCCACCACTAATGCAGTTAGTACGTGCTCACGCCAGTGGGGATTTCAAGGTATACTTACAGATTGGTGATGTAGAGATCCACGAGGTCTGCAGGAACGTAGTCGTACAGCGGATTCTCAACATCGACCTTGTCCACGAACTCACCATCCTCGTAAGGAACTACACTTCCAGCATCCCCATGCTCGATGAGCTCATCGATATCGAACGGATAAACTGGGCTCAGTTTGTAGACACCGCTAAGGACGACGACAGGCGTCTTGTGTTCCTTGGCGGCTTTGGCGATCATATGCGCTCCGGCTGCTGCGACGAGGCTTCCGTTTGCTAATACGGTATGCGTAGCTAGAATAACCTTGTTCACACGAGACATGATGGCAAAGATATGCGAGTCGGGAATGACATACACCTGGATACCGGCTTCGGTGAGCGGCTTCCATCTATCGCTGTCCTCATCATCGTCTGGATTCGACTCTCGCTTCTTCCCGGTAAGGAGAATACCATGAGTGGCGGTGTGATCGTGTGGATATGTCTCGGCGTGAACTACTGTAAACTTCCGTTTCCGTGCAGCAAAGAGGAGAAACTTCTGAACTGTCGTGGATGCCGTGTGAGTGAGGATGATCTCGTTGGCGTGAATATGCTCGAGGGCAACCTCGGCAATCTGCTTGTCTGAAGTCTCTAGCTCGTCCTGTAGCTCCCGTATGCCTTCCATGACTTCGCCCTTGAGATCGAGAGTCGGCTGGCCTCTGCTCAGATCCGCAAGACGCTCTAGATTAAGTGCAGTGAGGGTGCTTTTGCCATTCGGCGAAGTTTGCCCTGTCGGAGTGCTTGTGTTCGAGGGTGTCTCGGCGGGCTGCGAGAAGAGTCCGAATAGCGAGTTCACAAGAGGAGCGGTAGAAGTGGGAGCGTACGAGGTATGAGAGGTAAGTAACGGAGGTCGTCTCGAAAGTTCGCTGGAATCGGACATGTTGTCCGCGTAGATGCTCGTGTGCATGGGCTCGGCCACGGCATGCTTGAGTGGGCTAAAGGTTGATATACTTGAGTTGAGTGAGGGTCTATGCAGTGAGTCGTGATGTGCGTGTGGTGTAGCATGACCAGGCTCGCTTCCTGTTGGGGTTTGCCCATCTGCGTTCTCGTCGACAACCTCTCGCACAAGTCCTAGAACACGTCGCACAATGTTTCCTACTACGACCTCTCTTGGCTGAGCTGAAGTCAAGCGCCTGCCCACTTGTCTTATGCGCTCCACTAGCTTTGCAGCATCGCGTCCCTTGAATTCTCCCACCACGCGCAAGAGTAGTGCCGTCGTCGCGAGCGCGCATGGTCTTGAATTTCGGATTTGTCGTCGCTTGAGCAGTCTTTCATGTGTTAGCAATGTACTCTGTAAGATTGGGCGCAGGTGAGTCTTCTTACGATATGAGGTGCTCTACTGAGGGATCTACTGGTGTAGTCTTTAGCGACTTGAGGAACGTGGACAGGCCCGGCGCCTGGACTGTTGCGCCTTGGGCCATTGCGAGATTTACTGTGGTGCACTCAGATTGCAAGGCGCTTCTCGTAGTTGGAGGAGGCTGCAGAAGAGTAATGTGGGGTGGAGGGGTCGAACTTTGTGTATTCGTTTGCGATGGCTTGGTTATCTGGGGATAGAAAGCTGTTGGTCAGCTTATTTTGAAGACGCTGGGTGACTCTAGGCCGCGAGCTCGGTCCTAGGAAGAGGTGCGGACAGTGATATAGGTTTGTTGTCAAAGTTCAAGTCGCTGCTGCTATGAGTCCTTGGGCCATTTTGGGCGCTCGGGAAATGCGAAATCAACCTAGCGGCACGGTCCTCCACTGGCATCCCATGCTCGTCCTCGTCATGCTGCACATATGGGCTTTCCATCCTCTCCACTTAGCCATCTGCCCCCATCACCTTTCACGCCTCGGCTCGCCACTATCCCCAGCGTCTGCATTGTAGTTGCATCCACAGTATTGCGACCCCAACAGCTCCATCAGCGCCTCGTTGCTACGAGACATTACTGCCGGCCAAAACAGAAGCAGCCGTTCCCTGCCAACGCGCTGCCCATAGCTACCCCACAGTGCCTTTCCACCGACCCTACCTACGTGTCCCAGGGCGGTAAAGACGACCAGTGTATGGCTCAGGCTGGAGCATGAACTCTTTGAGTGCTCTTGCGAACATTGGTACACCCACACCAACTCCACCTCGATCGCGCGCCGGGTCGCAGAGCAACATCCACGAACCTCGGTCCAACAACACGCAGTCTTCGAACGATGCGAGCGCAGATATAGCCATTCAGAGCGAGACGGGCAACATGGGCGCGGCCAGGGGCAACCGCGACGGCGGTTCTACCACCGAAGCCGTCGCATCCGAATACGACGAGAAGACGCCGCTGCTCAACCAGTCTTCCCAAGGGCCATTTGAAGAGGCAAAACCACGACGAAGGTGGCTTTATCCACAGCGCATATCGGGAGGAATCGTTGCCGTCATCGGAGTGCTGGTATCTCCCGTTGTCTACACAGGGCAGTGCCTAATAGGATGCTTTTACTACGAGGAAGACGGCACTTTCTCCTTTCTCGCTCCTGTATATCACATATCGCGGACATTCACTCGCGCGCGTCGAAAGAAAGTCAAAGCGCAAGCAGTGCCATCATCGGCCTCTTCGAATAGCAATGAAAAGGGGACGCGCAAGAGCCGCAGTTCGACCAGCGCACAATCACAGACGCAGCAATCCACACGGCGCTCACTGTCCATTGCCTCGACATCCACCGCGATAGCGTCCGACTCAGAAAGCGAGCGACCACCTACACGCGATGGAGATGCTGACAGCCCCTCGCGGCACACACGGTCGCGGTCGAATGCATCTTCGGGGGGTGACGAGATAGCGCCCGCGAAACGATCAATCCGTATCAAACTGCACAATGAGGACGCATTGCGGCAACGGAAGGCAGCAAAGAAGGCACAAACCTCCAAAAGCAATTCAGTTTCTCCCGAGGCTGCAGCTGCGCTCAAGTCCCCCACCGGCCCGGTAACCGCGGCTTCTAAGCAATTGACCAAGTTCCCACGAGCACCTCAACCCCCGCGTCCGCTAGTACCGCGGCGCCAGCCGTCTTACTCTGCATCAGGCTCATCCGCTGTCGGGCCGCACCAGAAAACGCTGATCATTGACCTCGATGAAACGTTGATCCACAGCATGGCCAAGGGTGGTCGCTTCCAGAGCGGCCACATGGTTGAAGTCAAACTCCAGGCATCGGTTGGTGCTGGGGGGCAGATCATCGGTCCCCAGGTGCCCATTTTGTACTATGTTCACAAACGGCCATATTGTGATGACTTTTTGAAGAAGGTATGCAGGCCAGCTTCGGGCTACCCGCATTTCACTAATTTGGTATCAGATTAGTAAATGGTACAATCTAATTATATTTACCGCCTCGGTGCAAGAGTACGCCGATCCGGTTATCGACTGGCTGGAGGTGGAGCGCAAATATTTCGCGGGAAGATATTACCGACAACACTGCACGTTTCGTAACGGGGCTTACATCAAGGATCTGGCTCAGGTCGAGCCAGATCTGAGCAAGGTCATGATCCTTGATAACAGCCCCGTGAGCTACGTTTTCCATCCAGGTGAGACCTTCCTTCTCTTATCGGAAGCGCCGAGGGTCATTGTACTAATATACTAAAACAGACAATGCCATTCCAATCGAAGGCTGGATCAGCGACCCGACGGACAATGACTTGCTGCACCTCATTCCGCTCCTCGAAGGCTTGCAGTATGTCACCGATGTGCGTGCATTGCTTGCGCTTCGGCTCGGCATGCCCTCGTCGGCGTAACAAGGTAGCCAACCATAGATCAAGTGGCGTTCATTCTAGTACTCGGCATTTTAATATATTTGTATTATAGACGTGTTGGCTACACCGAGCAGCTGGCTAGGTAGCTGTTTGGAGAGGAGATACCCAAGATGTTTATTCGTTCACGACGGTTCGCATAGCTCACTTCTAGCACGTCCATGCTGTGTTTCGTGTACATTTGCCGTGGATTCAGGATTGACTCACCGGCGAAGAAATAGCCTAGGTACTGTATTGCGTGTCGTCGTATGGACCTGTGGTCTAACCCACGTTCTGCGGGCGCGCTTGGCGTACCCCCATCCTCTTTCGTAACATCTCTTACATCTTGCGCCTAGAGGCCCTCGATTCCGCTTATCTTTCTGCAAACAGTCAGCCCCACGGCGTCCGTCCTTTTTCCCGTGGTTCCATGCAGTCGGGTGCTGCTCCTTTTGTTTTCTTCCGCTCCAGCACGCTATACGCTTATTTACCCACTGCTGTCCTTGTCGTCGTCTCTATGCCGTTACCATGTCATCTTGCTTCTGAACACTCAAAAGCTGTTGTTACACGCCTTGTGCTAATGCATTCGCTACCCAGGTTTGCGCTCGAGTTCGAATGTTCGAATCCATCTAGCAAATGTTGTCAGAAATTGAACCCGTTGACGTAGCAATGGTTGATCATAGGTCAGTCATTCGCAAATGCTTTAACGGGGACTGACGATTTTTTTAGTCTTGACCACTCATCCTTCGTTGAAGCCATAGAAGCCATACATGCCACCGTTTTAGAAGAACATCAACGAGACTTCCATCATAGTAATTCATCGCTCTTTCTGGATGAGCTGCGCTCTTTTTCCACCAGCAAAGGCAACGACGATCAAAGATTAGCTGAGTGTTTCCGCAAGTTCGGGCTTTTTCATCGTATCTTTGCACCGTACTTTGACGTCCTCAGCATCTGCGTGGAGATACAGCCAGAATGGCCCAGCTGGTTCTGGGGAACTGTGTTCTTGGTCTTCAAAGTATGTGCTTCTTGTCGTCTCGTACCAGCTCGCCCATGTACAGTGAGTGACCTGACATCAAAAGCAGGCCGGCAGTCACTACGTGACCTTGCTTGAAAAGATTGCCGATATGTTCGAGACCATTGCGCACATCCTGCCTCCTTATAAGCAGATATACAAGAGTTGCGAACGCAACTACTTGAGTCTTAACACCCGAACTGAAGATACCCATCTGACAGCACTCTTGTCATACGTGTATGCGGACCTTGTGCAGCTCTCCCTCGAACTTTACCGGATATTTTACCGCGGATCGCAAGGTACGTCCAAACAGTTTCCATGTGTCACTGTAACTGCCGGTCTGGGCCGCTCTTTTCACTTCATGCGCCGTCGGGGGTTTTGACAGGCATTGCCCTCTCTATCTTCCATTGTCACCAGTCTAGCGGAAACCAATGGCTCTGCCTTCTCCGACCAACGCCCTTGCGTCCTCCCACTACGCGAAATCAAATCAAACTGTGAGGCTGACGGGATGCAGGCCTTAGATTGCGTCCTTTGACGTTGAATTCAACACAGTCAGCGCTGTGGCGGCCTCTTGATTCTCGTTTCGCCCGCCTCGAGGCCCGAATTTTTCACCATAGGAAATGGCTAGAAAAAGAGACCGAGAATCAAATCCAAAATTACGATGATATTGCCCAGCATCGGAATCATTACATTAGTTATCTGAACCGTCAACAGGACTTGAACGGTTACAGCAATGGAGAACTTGAACACCATAGAATAGCAAAGCGACTAAGGCGTGTCGCTAAAATCAAGGCCTGGTTATCGAATCGTTCGTCTCAGGCGGAGAAACCCGATAGCGGTGCTCGACAACACTCTCCCAACTCATGCGCATGGTTTCTCGAAACGCAGGCGTATCGCAACTGGAAGAGTGATCCATTTGATAGAAGCAAGGCAAACGATACAAATGCTTTGGAGAACACATGGCAGCATCGCGTGCTGTTCGTGCAGGGTACGTTGGCATTTGTACGCCGTGCTTCTGTTTCTTTGAATGCGCTAATCGTGAGGCAGCCAAACCAGGCTTCGGTAAAACATTTATATCGGATGCAGTTATTGACAACCTTGCTGCTGTGGCAGAGGATCCTGATTTCAACGATGAGCCACCTGCGACTGCATTCTTCCATTTTCACCGCAGTCATCCCAAAAGCGGCATTTCAGTTGACCCGTTCCGCGCTCTAGCATGTCATTTGATGCAAACTTATCGCCACGACCGCTCAACCCTCGACGCTATATGTCTTTTGATGCGTAAGACCTCATGTCGAGAAAACGCAACGACAGATGAGGCGCTTGATGTCCTCTCCCTTCTACTTCGACAGCACCCTACATTCTTGGTGATCGACGGCATCGATGGAAGCAGCGACATTAAAGTCTTCCTAGCATCCTTAGCCGGAGTATGCCGTAGATCTGATACCAAGGTGATCTTGTTTAGCCGGCCAAATATCAAGATACCCCTCGAGTATCAGAAATGGGCGTCCGATGCCCCACACATCGTTCTACTCACACCTGAGCACAACGCATCTGCTATTGAACGCTACGTGGCGCAAGACTTGAATCGAATGGCAGATCAAGGCTTCTTTGGAATATCAATGGGCCACACGCTGATGCCCCAAATAGCGCAAACAGCGAACGGCGAGTTCCTGTGGGCCGACACGTTGTTGAAGTTTCTGGGATCAGCAGCGCTGTCAGCAGACGAGCGACGTGCTATTCTTGAGAATATTCAGGCACTGGAGGGTTCGGAGTTGCTGTATCCCACCATCCTCGGTGTGCTGGAGCGCCGCCCAAAGTATGAGAAGCGCATCATTGCTGATGTTTTTCGGTGGTTGTCATACCCAATCAATCGTCTATCCCCATCGGCTCTGCGATCCGCTCTTTCTACGTTTGATGTCAGCGCGACTGAAAATTCATATCTTCCCGATGTTCTAAAGGCTTTACCGGAGCTCACTTGCGGTCTGATCATTGTGGACGATACGGCCATCGCTTTCGCCCATGAATCTTTCCGCGAATACCTCCAGTCTTCCTTATCGCAAGGTTCGGTCTTCAGTTTGTATGATGAGAATAGCGTACATGCGCACCTAGCCTCTCGTTGCCTCTCTTACCTTGCCCACGATCTTCCCAAACGACCGTTAGGCGAAGTGTCACCTCGTTCACCATCTGTACCCCCAGCAATATCGACAAATAGTGGCGCAAGTCGACGTATAAGCAAATCTGGGGACAGTGGATACAAGTCACTGTCATCATCTGACGACAGCAGTAACCTGACACAACCAGTCCCTCATAATCAAGACAATGACGCGGGTACACATGGCATACGCATAACACCCTTGGATACAAACCTCCCCTTTCTGCGCTATGCAGCTCTTTGTTGGCCCGTCCACCTCTCCCGCGCTTTATCCGGTTCCAACGCGCCAGCATACCTCCCCTTATCGCTTGAGCCTCACGCAACAACACCCTACCTTCCCGCCTTGAGTGCTTTTCTCACTTCACGGCTTGCTGTAGCCGCCTGGGTGGAAGCCTCGTTTCGGTACAATCTTCCTCCTACCTTGACACGCCTTGTTGGCCCTCTCTCGGATCTGAAGGGCGAGATACCATCCGCGACGAAAGAGGGTCAGGAGTTGAGGCTGGTGGTGAGTGAGATGAGGGAACTGAGTGAACGGCTAGTGGAGTTGAAAAAGGAATACGTGGAAATCATGAGGGAGAACCCAGGTCTGATATGGCAGATGGGTGAAGGATACTGGCCGATGTGGGAGTAAATTCGACGAGAAATCGCTTCGAGTACTGTAGATATATGTTTTCAAGTCTAGTCTTCGTCGGTTCATAAGCTTCTAGGATAATATATAACTTCACTATTAATATGGCATGACTGTCTTCACGACATCGATGAGTTGGAGTACGCGCACAGAAAATGCATTGGATCCCCATTTGACCCCCAAATGTCGCGATGAAGCACTGACGTTCCTCCACGCCCGTCGCCCCCGGCCCACGATGCACAACTAAACGAGCCTACACATCACCTCGTCCGATTGGTCGCCCCTTCTGCAGCAGGCATCGTGACCCCAGCATGATTGGTTTTCTGCGCCCTTGCCCTTTGCCCTTCGCCGACGGGTTTCAATGGTATTTCTCGATAATTTCCGTTAGAGGAAAGTTGGCGAGGGGCAACGAGGACGAAGGGGTAATGTGGCGGTTGCCCTTTTGCTTGGCCCCTCAATGCCGCCCTCGCCACTCCCAGGTTTGCTCATCAGCGGAAAGCGAATTGATAGTACGAATGCGTAGGGCGAAGGTGAGCGACGAGGGAACGATGAGATGCGGCTAGCTCGTAGAAAGGTGTCGGTGTTCTGCCGTCGCTCTAGCACGAGCTTGGAGATAGAGGGGTGGTTACCTCCGCGATAGGCGTGCTTGACCTTCTCCATCTCAGACTACCATACCGTCTTTGAGTTATGATATTCGTCTCAGTAGCACAGTAGCAGCGCGACGAAAATAGCGTGGTTTTACTAGCCGTTAATCAATCTGAGCACTGCAACATCGATAACGGTCGCTTATCGGCTGTTTGAATATTACGTATCGTCGAAGCTAGACAGGCCCAGTCTTGAACGTCAACAGGCTGCAGTCTTCGATGACACTGATCGAAGGTCGAGGTGTCGAAACAAGAATTCACGGTCCTTATTTTCTGAGCAATGTCGTTCCTAAAGCTTGGGGGCTTGCATGTGTTCGTAACGGGCGCAGCAGGTGGCATTGGCAGCGCGATTGTGGAGGAGTTTCTGGGTACGTGAGCATACATACAAGCCTGCTGGCTTGTATGTCTTTTTAGTGGTTCGTTTTCTAAAGAGTCGACGTACTCCGGCGTCTATATTTGACTTTGCAAGCATTCCAATGTTAGCCAGCACGATACGAGTCAACTCGGGTTTCACGAAGCAGCGATCATTTTCACTCGTGGACCATTTCATTTGGATTTATACTACTACTGACAACTCTCCAGCGCAAGGCTGCAAAGTGACAGCTCACGACATCAGCCCAAATCCCCTGTCGTCAACCACCAATGCCAACCTCAATTGCCTTCAAGGCGACATCAGCGATGAAGACTCGATAGAAGAGTGCATGGCCCAGGCAATAAAAGGTTTCGGACAACCCATCAACATCCTCTGCGCGTACGTAGCATCCAACTCCAAATTGCCTGCGGGGCGTACACTAACTCCAAGTCTACGAAGATAGCAATGCCGGCATCACCGACGAATCAAATGACTATCCCATCTGGGACATGCCAACGACTCTTTGGGACCGCACATACGCTGTCAACGTCCGTGGCACCTTTTTAACCATCAAGCACTTCCTCAAATCCGTGGAGAGAGCGCAGCGTCACACTGGAAAAGAAATCGATAACGTGAGTGTCGTTGTGACTGGATCCGAGTGCGGTGTATTTGGGCAAGCTGGACATGTGGAATATGCATCCGGAAAGGCGGGTCTTCAATATGGCTTAGTGAAGACTGTCAAGAACGAGATTGTAAGGCTGAATGGGAAGGCGAGGATTAACGCTGTGGCACCTGGATGGGTTGATACGAAGCTCATTGAGGGACGGTTGGATAATCCACGGGAGATGTGGAGGGAGGCGGAAGCTACGTATGTGTCACATCTGCTAGACTCTTGATAGACTTATGTGCTGACAAGTACAGTGTTCCGCTGAGGAAGATTGCGCAGCCGACTGACGTCGCGAGAGCAGCGGCGTTTCTCGCAAGTCACCGAGCAGCCGGCCATATTTCAGGACAGTGTATTTCGGTAGACGGAGGCATGGTAAGCGACGTCATGTATGGAGTGCACTTGGGACATACACTAACTGGACACTTAGGAGGTGTCACGTGAACGCCAAGGAAGGATGGTCCGTGCCGGGATAGGGTATATCATTCACCCAGCAGCTAGTTTAGCTCGATAGAACCTATGAATACAGATCATCACCCCCATATCATGACAGGAGGGACGGATCGTGTGGTCTGAAGATGAGATCAAAAAGTCACAGCAAACGGAAATTGAAGTCGTCGCACCACCGTTAGGGAGCGCTCCAAGTGAAGTCTTTGGAACTGCCACGGAGGGAGTATCAATACCCGGCAATAGTCAGCCGTCCGTGATCATCCCAGCAGTCCTCCCATCGACCACCGCTCCAGTCAGGCCCAAGATCAAGATCCTTATCTCTGTGGATTTTGACGCTGTGTCAGGATGGTTAGGCACTGGCCAACATCCCGACAACAACCTCGCAGACTACAGCTCCGGATTTTTCTCCGCACATGTCGGTGTCCCACGCCTACTGAAGCTCTTCAAGAAGCTCGGCATCCAGGACAAAGTGACCTGGTTTGTACCCATGCACTCGGCAGAAAGCTTTCCAGAAGAGTTCACCAGCATCGCGAACAGCGGTGCAGAGATTGGACTCCACGGCTATTGTCATGAAGGCGCACCACAACTTACACCTACCCAAGAGCGCGATGTTCTTCAGCACTGTATCTCCCTGTATCAAGAGCTGCTCGGCCGCCGACCGCTCGGCTACCGCGCTCCGCTCTACCAACTCCGTGAATCCACCGTTGAGTTGCTTGAAGAGTACGCTTTCCTCTATGACTCCTCGCTCTCCCACCACGACAGCAAGCCTTACTATATACCCGCTCTCCCACCCATCAAAACTCCAACATACAACGCAGATGCATCAGCGAAAGACTGGATGAAGCCCCTACCCAAGCCCAGCACCCCAACAAGCAAGACGATGGTGGAAATACCAGCGAACTGGTATACGGAAGACATGACGCCTTTGCAGTTTTGGCCGCATACGACGAATTCGCAGGGATACGTTGATGCGAGAGTCATAGAGAACATGTGGAAAGACAAGTTTGAGTGGTTGAGGAGTGAGGTGGAAGAGATGGGTAACACAGACGTTATGGTTTTCCCGTTGGTCCTACATCCAGACACGAGTGGAATGGCACATGTCATAGGGATGGTGGAGAGGGTGCTCAAGTGGTTGCAAGGGTGGGGCGATGGTGAGGTCGATTTTTGTACCTATGAGACCGCTGCGGGTGAGTGGAAGGAGAAGAACAAGGTGGGGTGATGAGACTCAGAAATATGCTTCTGGTTGATTTTCAGTGCAACCACAGGCTACGGTAGCCTGAACTACTATGAGACATTTCAATGAAGCAAATATACATATTTGAATAGAGCCAGGCAAGTGTTCACAAAATTCAACTGTTTCTCACTTCCTCTATCACAAGTAAGACATCTGATACAAACTGGGAAGTGAGTTGCGTCATCACGTGTTTTCGTGTGGGCTCGGCAGGCGCGATCCAGGGACTAGCTTTATCGATACCGCCACCTCCATCATCTTTCGTTCAACCGCCCTTCACACAACTACTACCTCCAAACTACTTACTAAACGTCATTGACAGTGCGCAAACTTGCGCCTTACCGTGCCATCATGTGTTCCATCACACCAAATGCGGATTCCGAGCTTCGTCCGCCCGCACGTCCCGCGCGCAAGCGCAAGACGGCCACCTACACCGAGGAAGATGATGACACGCCTTTCAACTGCCAGTCAAAGAAACTGAAAGAGTCTATGAATGCCTCCGATGTTGCTAACCTCACCGAAGACCCACCCAAGAAGACGCCAAACAAGAAAGGCAAGCGCAGCAATGGAGACACTACTGAAGAGAAGCGTCTGAGGCGATTTCGTCCGCATGCACCTCAAAGCTACCTAGCAGTAAAAGAACGAGCTCTTACTCAGCGCCTCACCGTCCTCTCTCGTGAACGCAGCGGAACTGACGATGCCCCGGTAGAGACGGCCATCATCGCAGGTTCTACCGGCAACGTCTATACCGTCACCATCGGCCTTGTTCCGAGTTGTGATTGTCCACACGCAAAGAGAGGAAATCAATGCAAGCACATTATCTACATCATGCTCCGCGTACTAAAGTCCCAGGAGGATGTTGCGTACCAATTAGCTCTCACCAGTTCTGAATTGCGCGACGTGATCAAGAACGCACCGCCCATGCCAGGTGTCGAGACAGACGGCAGAGACGGGGCAGAGAAGGAAGGAGAAGACGGAAATCGCAAACCCATCGAGGGCGAGTGTCCCATCTGCTATGACGAGCTCGATGACAAAGAAGCGGTCGTGTACTGCAAGGCCAGCTGTGGAAACAATGTACACAAGGAGTGCATGCAGAAGTGGTCAGCTATGTCGAAGGGCAAATCGACGTGTCCATATTGCCGCGCTAAGTGGGCGGAGGACATGGGATTTGAGGGCAAATTTGGCAATGTGGACATGAAGGGGCTGGAGAGAAACGAGGACGGTTACGCCAATGTGGCAGGCCAGCTGGGACTGAGTGGCCAAAGAGACTACTCAACATATCACCAGTTCTGGGTGCGACAGCATCTGGGACATGGCGGGAGCGGAAGAAGGAGGGGAGGCTCCGAGTCTTACGATGACTACTAGGCTGACGACTTTCGACTTGTGTTTACTTCTGGAAATGGGATCGGGTGCATCTGGCGTTTGGGACATCTATACCCGGAAGAGCACGATTTGGCCGGCGCACATCTGCGTTTGAGGAGAAAAGTCTTATCTCAGTCGACATTTACTACCTATTCTGAGCATTTCCCTCATATGGGGTATTTGCTGCTCATTATATTCTTTTCGCCAGCAGGTATGGACACAGCACAGGACCACTCGAGATGACCTGTGATTAGCAATGGCAGTAAAAGCCGTATGCATATTTATCATTCAGTCAATTGCATTATTCCATCTCATCATAATTCTTTCAGATCTATTTTCCATGTCGTAAGGTCTGCATTGCATGATCATCAACTACTATGAATAGTCAACATTGAGAGCATCAAAGAAAGATGGAGGAGGATCAGCACTAGCATCTGAAACAAGCCTCGTATAACCTTCCAGTCCGCTTCCTGAGGATTAATAATGTCCATCACTCACAACCGCACAATTGCAAGCCATGCGTCGTTGAGGAGCACAAGCACAATAGCATGATTTCATTTCTTCACAAGTCAGGTCGAGTCAAGTCGAGTCATGGCACACGGCAATAGCGGAAGTACATATTCCTAGATCCTGAAGGATTATCCCCGGCGCGACTGATTCTGTGCATAATTATATGAACATATCGAAATGAAGCTAATGAAATAGAGGGAGAAACTAGCAGACCGGCCAAGCGGATCCATGCCAAACTAGCGGGCGGACACTAATACGGCTAACACTTGGACGGCGGACAGCTGGCTAGCTCAGCACACACACACATTGCACGTGCATCAACAAACGTCGATCCGCATCTTTGCCCCCATAGAGATCGATCGCGCCGGTCAGTCCTAGTGCTCTCCCTATCGTATCCCTCCACACACAAAAGCAAAGCACGTTCACTTCTCCAGCTGATCTACATGTTCAACATGGTACTCAAGGCACGCGATACACAAACAACGAGTTGAACCTTAGGAACCCCATTGGGGAGGCGGGAAGGCTAGCCAACATGCACTAAAGTAAGATACCCCTGCCTTACCTCTTGTTTAGGATTGCTTCGGCAGTTCATTTCATAAAAGAGGGTTTATTAGCCGGGGTCGGGGTTAGAAGAAGTTGCGTTGTTTCGTTCCTGGATGGAATAGGGGGAGGCGAAGTCGGGCTGCGGGTTCTTTTACCTTTTCGGAATAGTGGTAGCTGGGATGGAACTACCTGGAGACTGGCTGCGCCTTTCCTGGTGGGTATGCCTGAGACTTGGAGAGGATGTAGGTAAGGAGACCGATGGCGATGAGTTACTACAAGGAACCAATATATATCATGTTCACATGTCTGATGATTGAGACTGAGTAGGTCAAGTCATGTCAAATGCGCAAGCGTAGGTGTGAAGATTGCAGGTTTAGAGTTAAAACGTCGATTCAATTAAACTATAACAAGCGGTAGAAAACTCCGCACCAAGCCTGATGGGTCCTTTGCAACCAATTACAACATAGGAAAGATCTAAAACGCGGAAAATCGTGAAGACATCGCTGCGTCCAATCTAGTCCGTGGTTGAGTCCCAGGAGCGATGGGCAAAGAGCTTATGGAAAGGTACAGTATATATTTGTCGTTTATACATGGACTGAACTCATCCCTATTTTCTTGCTTTCCCACTACAAAGGAGACTATCAACCAAACTCTGCCCAACCCGAAAGGATGTGAGCACCAGACACAGACAAGACATGCAAGAAATGGATCAAATGACCCTACACGGTATGTTTAAATACAAAACGCTTCAGCTCATCTACAGTCCAAGTCGACGCTTAGTATCCCTTTCCGTAGCTGTTGCCAGCAGCGGGAGGAGTGACACTGGGGTAGGTCGGCTCAGTAGGAGTCTTGGAGGGAGCGTTGTAGGAGCCCTCAGTCTTGGACGAGGCCACGCTGGGGACAGGGGTCTTGACGGAGACGGATGGGACTACAACGGAGCTGGCGCTGGACTTGGCAGGCACCGGGGGGTAGGCGGCGCTAGACTTGGCAGGCGCAGGGGTCGTGGAAGGGTAGCTCTCTCCGTTGGACGGGGTCTTGGAGGGAGTGCCAGCGGGGTAGGGCTTCTCAGAGACAATGGAGAAGGGGGGGAGGGTCTCGCTGGGCTTGGTGTACTTGGTGGAGGTCTTGAAGCCAGTTGGGCCGGCAGGGTAAGTGGGGATAGTGCCGTTGTTCACGGGGTACTTGGGGGTAGCGACGGCAGTGGGCTTGGTAGGCTTGCCAGACGACGCGGGGTACTCGGGGTACGACTCCTCGGGCTTGGTGGGCTTGCCGCCGGTGGGGGTACCAGAGGGCTTCTCAGCTCCCTTGGTGACGGTGACGGTCTCCTTGGCAGTGACGGTGACAGTAACGGGAGCGCAGTCCTTGCCAGCTCCTGGGCCAGTGGGGTAGTTCTCGGCGCCGACGGGGACCTTGCTGGAAGGAGTGGGCTTGACTGTAACATACTTAGTGTTGGTAGAGGTAGACTTGATGGTGGTCGTACCGGTGGGGTATTCACCCTGGCCAGATGGCTTGGGCTTCTCACCCTGGCCGGACGGCTTAGGCTTGCTGAGAGTGACAACGACCGTCTTGTACGCAGTGGAGGTGCTGGTAGAGACAATCTTGGTGGTGACGGCATGAGCGGTGGAGCCAACACCAACGGTGTAGACGAAAGTCTCGGTAACGGGCTTCTTGACCTCAGAGACGGGGTAGGTGCTGGTGACGACCTTGGGGGTAGCCTCAGGGTACTCAGGGCCGGGGTAGACGGTGGTGCCTACGGGAACAACGCTTGTAACGAGCGAAGTGGACTTGGCCGGGCAGTTGGTGACGGTCGACGGGCAGGCAGTCTTGGTGAGGATCTGAGTGGAGTAGATCGTCTTGGTGACATAGTCGCTCAGAGGAGTAGAGGACGCAGGGTGCGAGCCAGTGCCAGTGGGGTAGGCAGGGTAGGCACCAGTTCCAGATGGGCCGGTGGAAGCAGCCTCAACGGGCTTGCTGGAAGACTTAGGGCCACCATAGCCGCCTGATGGGGTGGCAACCGAGCTGCTCTTGGCAGGGGAAGGGACCTTGGAGCTCTTGGAAGCAGAGGGAACCACGGAGCTCTTCTCGCCGCCAGCAGGAGGGTAGGCAGGGTAGCCAACCGAGCTGGGGGAGGGGACCTTGGAGCTCTGGGTGCCAGCCGGGGGAGTAGCAGTGGAGCTGCTCTTAGCTGGGGATGGGACGGTGGAGCTCTTCTCGCCGCCAGCCGGGGGGTAGGCAGGGTAGCCGACGGAGCTGGGGGATGGGACCTTTGAGCTGGGGGTGGGGACCGCAGAGCTCTTGGTGCCAGCGGGAGGAGTAGCAATGGAGCTGCTCTTAGCTGGGGAGGGGACGGAGGAGCTCTTCTCGCCACCAGCTGGGGGGTAGGCAGGGTAGCCGGCGGAGCTGGGGGAGGGAACCTTGGAGCTGGGCACCGCAGAGCTGGGGGTAGGGGCCTTGGAGCTAGGGACCACAGAGCTGGGGGTGGGAACCGCAGAGCTCTTCTCACCGCCAGCAGGCGGGTAGGTAGGTGGGCTCACGGAGCTGGGGGAGGGAACCTTGGAGCTCTCGCCGCCAGCCGGGGGGTAAGCTGGAGGGCTGACCGAGCTGGGGGAGGGGACCTTGGAGCTCACGCCGCCAGCCGGGGGGTAGGCTGGAGGGCTGACCGAGCTGGGGGAGGGGACCTTGGAGCTCACGCCGCCAGCCGGGGGAGTGGCGATGGAGGAGGCCGAGGGGTAGGTAGCGCTGGCCGGGACAGTGGAAGTGTAGATGGGAGTCGTGGAGTGGTTGTACTCTGGGACGGCAGGGGGAGCGGCACCGTACTGGCGACGAGCCTGGCGGTGGCTGCGAGCCTCGGCAGCATCAGCGGCGGCGAGGGTCGCCAGGAAGGCGACGGTGAGCTTCATCATGTTGAAAGATATTTCGGGTTGCCGGTGGTTGATAGCGAAGAAGACTAGGTAGAATTCAATTCCACTATTATGCTGATTGATCCAGGAAAGAGTGACTGGATTTGTTCAAAAGAACGACGGTTGGAAAACGAGTGTGGTGAAAGGAAGTGAGCCTTGCAGTGGTGAGGAGACACAGAGGGGGGGGACGACGAGGCACTATATGAAGGAACGGCCTAATGAGCAGGAAGTAGGCCAAGGAAAACAATGGACGCATCGGTACCCCAAGATGATTAGCCCCTGGCAGTTGTTAATTTCATTCAGGGACAGACGGTGACAGGGACCAGTCAGCGGCGTCGTTAGCCAGGAACAAAACCATGGGTGTGCATGAAGCTAGCCACTCAGACGACAAGATGAAGAAACGTCGGGACATGGGAGCCGCTCGGCTGCGTGGGCTGGGCACGTTGTTCGCCGCTGAGAGGCGAGTGCCATGATTTGCGAAGGCGCCGTAGGAGCGTCACGATGGCTGCGAGGTGGTGTAGTCTAGTGTAGTGTGTAGTCTTGTGCTGCTCGCCGCTCGCTTTGGCGCCCCTTTTCGCTGACTGTGGGAGGGAGCAGAGGAATCCATCCTGCCTGCTGCGGCTGTCGATGGCGATGGCGAGCGGTGGTGGTAGATTGCGTTTCATGGCGCTTGGCCGAAATAGACATTCACCCTGCGCTGATCCTCCCCCTTCTCAAGCTGACACGGGCGGGTACCTGACAGATTGTGGTGGTGGTAGTGGTGGTGGTGAGCATGCACTAGGCGCCAGCTAGTACACATGACCGCGCATGCGATGCGATGCCCCTGCAGGCCGGGCGCAGAGAGATGCAGTCAGGTCAGTGCATTCGCTGTGCGACAGGAAAAGACGACAATGCTCGTGAGGGCGCTCTCTCTCTCGTAGTCCAGTGCGTGCGTGCGTACGTGCGTGGTGAGTGTGTGAGTGAGTTGGTGTGAGTGCCTCCAGTCCAGGGACCAGCCATGGGCTAGAGGTGACGGTCGTGTTCTCGCCTCGACGCTTCCCCCAATCCATCCAGGTGCGACACACACCTGCCCCTGTCCCGTCCTTCACCAGCCGTGTCAATTTTCACAACCGCTGCTGGCATTTTTGTGCAATCTCGCGTCTGATTGAATCAAAGGCCCACTCTCGACACTCGCGCTCATCCTCACTGTCTAGTCACCATGCACCCAACAAACGGCCGCCACAAACCGAAGCCACAGCCTTCTCTCAGCTGGCCCTAGCAAGGCCACACCCGCCTTGCCCATGCTCCCTCGAGGGCTGCCCGCATAAGAAGAAGACTCAGCCACTGTCTCTGCATAACGAGACGTCAACTCTCAAAAGTCCCCACAGACGCTGTCGCAGCTCCTTACCCTACCCTACCCTACCCTACCCTACCCGTGTCCCAGACCGCAGGCACAGTCCAACCTCGGTATTGGAATGGCCAGTACCAGATCGCGCTGCTTTTCATTTGCAACAACGTGAGCTAGATGGCCCTTTCCCACGCCCAGCGCCTGGTCCCTGTCGTCTCTAATAAACAGCATCACCATGCTCTCAACAAACACCGAGCACATCGCCCGGAGATGACATGGACCAGTCCATTGCCTCCTATTCTTGTTTCCCTCCTGCACTGAATCCTACCTGGTCGCCTGTTTGTCGTCATTCTTTTCTTAGCCGCAACGTTGCCGGAAATTAATCAAACCAATATTGCTGACGGCTGCATCACCAAAGTACAACATAGGAAGCGGACAAAACCAACGCCGTCTGCTCACCCCAAATCTCACTGCCCGCGCTTACCGAACAAAATTAGTCTACATGTCGCTCTGTGCCAAGCAGCGACATCCGCCCGAGACAGCGCATCGCGATTCCAACAAACCCCATGGACTCCACGATGTCGTATCCCATCTACCTTGGAATAGCATTAAAACTAAATACCAAGCCTTTCCTTCTCATCAAACTTCCGGCACATAAGCCTCGTAGCTGTTATTAATACCTTCACCAGGCGGCTCGTTCCGCCACTCGAAACAGACGCCTGCTTGAAACGAAACACTCGCTAACAGGGTCCAAAACCACGTTGCCACCGCCCCCTAACTGCCCCTTCATACCCTCTTTCTCCTGGAAAATAAGGCGATAGTATTTATACACAAGTATTACTTGACAAGTGCAGGTCAAATGCCGATTGTCAGTCGGATAAATGTGCGTCTCCACATTATACTTGCAGCCTTGTTGGATAGCGTGCTTCGATTTGTGGTTCCTTAACGTCAAAGCTATAGGTATACGTGATAGCCAGTACGAATAACACTTTCTTCCTTGGCTGACTACGACAGGATTTGAAGTAGCCATCTCAATCCATACCTGTGATAGTCTTGCTAGACGGAACTGTCGTACGCAATCTTTATAACCAGACTTTGCACCATCCAGTATACTCCTTATCCCCGTGGCTCTTCTTCTGCACTTTTCATATATTAGTGTGTTATGCAGGCAGGTATCCATCTCGCCGGTTGTCCCCGTATTCCCCGACTTGCGCAGTTTCTTACCATTGATCCTAATTTGATAGCAGCTAGCTAGCGTGGCATACCACGTCGCTAGATTATGCCATTTCAGTGTCGTATTGATGTTTACGAGCTTTCCCTCTTCTAAAGTCTGTAGTCGATGAAGGAAGGGGTTCGTAGCAGAGGAAAGGTTTGTTGATTTCAGCGTGTGGTATGACAGTAGCGTCGACTTCCAAATGAATCTTCTAAATCAAGTTTCATGACTTCGCTGATTCCTATTAGATGAGTACTCGACAGTGTGTATGGACTTTATTGCCATATACGTTCGACACCTCCCCAACGTCGCTCACTTTGGAAGGACGAAGCCAAGAACTTTTTCTATCACCTTAAGCTGGTCAACGAGCACTAGCGAGCAGCCTTTGATACCTACTTCGTATCCAGGACACACGTATTACACCAACGCACAGCCGCCGACCACCTTGCTACCATATCCCATATTCGTAACCCATTTACGCACAGTATACTCGCAGACAACGCAAGATCTCGATACGCACCTGGCCTCTTTCTTCACGTTGGAGTCGGACCTGCCTTCACCTGGCCACGCAAGCCTACCAAACTCGCCTTCACCGCCTCACCGCCTTTCCACCCACAATAACAACGGCGTCACCGTCGACGCAGCAACTGCCGCAGTCTCGCCTATTACTAGCGCCCGTCTCGCAGCTCCCGCAGTCTATATAAACCCGCCCTCCCTCGCCCTCCTCCTTCCTTCCTTAGCTCTCTTTGCCTTTTGGCTTAGATCAAGTGTAGTATCTGTTCTTTTTAGTTTAATCACTAAAAGTCTCCCACGGGAGTCCTTGATTATTCTCATTTTTGACCTTAGTCAATGGGTCACTGAGCTTGCTCATACTCATGGACACAGTGTCGTCGACATTGCACTACTTTCGACTGACGCGACCCTTTTTCATTAAGACTTCTAGCTTGCTAGTTGCTTAAGGAAGAATTACTCGTGCCTTTGCCAAGAACACTCTTTTCCCTTGGGCTGGATACTTCCCACCTTCAGTGGGGATGTTCCATCCCACGGGATTTTTATCCCTATTTTTGAAGACGGTTTGTGGGTCACTGGGCTTGCTCATACTCATGGACACAGTGTCGCCAGTATCACACTATCTCTGGCAGACGCGACCCTCTTTTCATTGAGTCTTCTGGCTTGCCAGTTGCTTGAGGAAGAAATTGTTAGATTTGTGGGTGCGGTGGGCCTCCTAATCGTTTGCGATCTACGTCACTGTTCCTTCCAACCTTATGCTATCCGACTATTATTGCACCCCCTCAGTTATTTCTGCAGCTTGACTGAATCTCTGTGCATTTGAATCGTCATATAAATCACATTCAGAATGAGGAAAACAAGCAACACAGAGGCTCAATCGGAGCTGCAGGTGGTACAAAATTTGCAGCGGGCCTGTGCCCTGCGTAAGCGCAGTTCCGCCCCGCATCGCCCATGCGACATCAACGGTTAAGCGCTAGCGCGACCAGCCTCTGCAGGAACGTTCGTCCACTGGGCTCTCTTCCTGAGGGAACATCGACCTCAAGGACAAGACTTTTCTACAAGCGGTATTAATGCCGTTCAACCTGTTTTCGACGCGCGTCGCTGAACAAGGGACCGTCATGAAACGATTCAGTCATGGTCTGGGACCCATGGATTGTGAAACACGCCGCATGAGTACCTTCTGATATCTGCAATGCAATGCTCATGGCAAAGCGGGCCTGTCTAGGTTCCCTAGCGAACGTGATGCTTTCTTTAAGCCACTCACTGTTGGTATCCACTAGTCAGAGGTATTCTTCATTAACAATCACTAGATCTACAAGGTACAAACTAACTCCGAATACGTGTATCGTACTATAAAACCTCCCCCGCTATCTACAAAGTGGTTACAAACACCGATGAATTCGACAGCTGAGAAGTAGGGAGTTCCATAAGCCTTGGATCTCCAACTTGCCATGCCGAAGGGGTCGTTGAATTCCAACCGCTTGTTGCATTCCAACCAGCTACGCGCACGTCGGCCTTCCCGCTAATACTAAAGTGCGGATTATCTTCGATTCCCTCAAGCAACCGTAGAATAGCCTTTCGATCTGAATCTTGCCAAGTGCGAACACTGTATTGCACACAACGATAGTGCGTTGAACACTCGTAGTGGTCTTCCACTATATCCTGAATATCAGCACAGGGCAAATCACTACGACTTTCCTCTGACCAAACTTACTGCGAGTTCCTAGGATCTTTCGAAACGCGTATCTGCAATCGTCCGAGTTCTTGTGGTTAAAGTCGAAGCCTCTGTGATAGTTGTAAGTCACGCTGTTGTGATCAATAGGCATCATTGACTCGAAACTTACGTGCACCAAGCCTTATCCTTATATGGACTTCCTCCGGCCAAATCGAAGTCCACACTAGCACTGAGTGTCAGAGTCCCCTTCTTGACCAAAAACGGTTTGCTATGCCCTCCATTCTTCAAGTTGTTGTTGCAGTATTCGTCAATTGCTGCATTCGCGTCGTTCCAATTCCATGTAAGTCCACGGGCTTTGTAGCAGTCGACTTGGTGCTGCTTCGAAGCAATGTACATGTCGGCCATGAGTGTTTCTGGCGGGGGGTACTTCTTGACATGTTCTGCCCATGGTGGATCGCCTTCGTGCACACTTGGACTTGTTTCAATGGCATATTCCATGCAGTTCTCTCCCTGGGCTCTGTACCCAAACGTGTAGTTAGAGCCCTTGTCGCAGTCGTTAAGGCCGCCAGTCAGAACGGCTACACAATCTTTTTCCACGAGCTGGCCCTTTGGACATTGCGAGAATGGGCCAGATGACGCACGCAGCCACAACGATTGTCTCTTAGTAACTCCCCAGCCAGAAATGTCCCAGCGATCGTAGATGTGCTCATGATCAGTGCCCTTCTCCGCCGTTTCGCCGTTTCGATTCTTGCAGAATTGCTTAATCGCATCCATCACGCTGGTCGAGCCATCGTCTGTTTTCTCCTTGGGCACTCGCCAGTCTGTCTCTTTACACACGAGATCCCGAGGGCGGTCATGAGGCGACTTCTGATTGCAACTTGCATTCTCAGGTTTTATAGGGCTGGCTCTTTGTCGCATGCGACCAAAGCCCAGGAGCTCGGCTCTTTCGTTCTTAATGTGCCAGAGGATGAGTTGAGCCATGAGGTTATGCAAAAAGGGGCGAGGATGAAATATGCGTTTGAAAGTGTCCGGCAAGAGTGACGATATGGTGTCTGCGATATCTGCAGTCTTCAGTTCATCAGCAGTGTTATTGCGCGGCACGGCCACCGAGGCTTTGGAGAAATCGGCTACTAGTTTCCAATCAGGATGTTGTCGCAAAGCTTCCTCAAACTTTATGGCGATGGAGCCCTCGAATGACTGCTTGGGCATCTCATCTGGGCCTCTTTTGAGCTCTGTTCTGCTCCAGGGATCTTCGGCGCTGTTTTCAACATCGACTGTACCGCGGTTGTAGAAGAGCAGACCTGGCCGATCGATGTCTGGTTCTTTGATACCGGCTTCACAAAACCGGCCTCCAAGGATGATGACATATGGATCAATGTCGACAAAAATGATTTTATCAGAATGGTTCTTCTCAATGACTTCTTTGATCTTGTTGTTCACCCTAACAGCAAGCTCATTCATGCGTTTGCGATTCGCTTTGGTGAGCTTGACGAGATGCACCCCGGGGAAGTCCCACATCTTCCTAGTGGAGTGTTAGCACTTGACACATATAGACCCATACTCAGTCGAGATTCTTCACCTACCAAGTAACGTCATCACACTGATCCGTATTACTATTCCAAAACTGGGCGTAGCCAGTGACGTAGATCTTCCCATCATCCGTGAGCTTAGCCTTGAGCGCGGTGTACAAATCATCAAGCCACTTAAAGAGCTCCTTGTCGATGGCCTCTGAGGTTTTGTCCATGGTGGATTTGCAGTTATCCGACAACGCCGCACCTGGGGTGATTTGGTACACGCAAGCATTGAGAAGATCGCTGAGATAGACGTCGTTACCACCAGATGATAGTGTGATGATCTGCTGTGACTTGTCATTCAGCTTTGGTACTTGTTTCTCTCTGATTTGTGTCGAGGTCCATCCTGAACAGGCATGGTATTTGAAGTCTTTGCCATTGAGCTCTTCGCTTTGGTGCATCAAATAAGGATACGATTGGTCCCAACGAGAGCAAAACCATGGGTCCCGATGGAAAATATCGCCAAGTGGCTTGCCCGATCCGATTCCAGCAGCCTGTTGCAGAAAACACAATGTTTAGCTCATACAAAAAGGATTGAGGTCGTAGTTAAGTCTTACATAAGAGTCGCCCAGCGCTGCCCACGATTTCACGTACGACAAATCGGACGGGTCCGCAGCTGCACCGTCCGTTGCGCGAACATCAAGGGATGGATTGTAAGTAGTGCCGACTGGGAGGAAATCATAAAAAGGAATCGCGAAGCCAAGGCTCAAGATAGAGAATAATGCTAAACCACTGCTCATTGCCATATTGAGACGATGGGAGGAGAACCACGAGATGATATTGCTCAAAGGTCGGCTGTCACCGCAGTTCATATATACCATTATATGAACTGGGGTCTCCCGATTATTTTTTGGCTAGATAGGGTAAATTGGTATACGTCAACCGCACCAGCTACCTGTATAGTCATGCGCCCCGCTAGGCGCTCGAATTTGTAATCTATTATTATCTTAACAGTTACTAGGCGTGGCACAGGCACGCGATACGCCAACGAGGCGAACCCGGGGCTGTTAAGTGGAGCTCGTAAGTCATGGCAAAGTTTATTAACTTGCAGTCCCAAGTCAGCGTAAAAGCTGTGCCGCTACTAGTTAAGATATATTCTGAACTAAAATTCAGGATGTGATCTTATAAGGCGTAGTGTGTAACTACGCGCCGGCTCGAGTCCACTTTCGGTCGGCGCTTGAGGCGCAATCGATGAAGTTATGCCGATCTGCATATTTGGAAACATGAGTTCGTTAACTGAAGATCCTGAAAAATCATCAGCCTCATTGTGGTTCTAAATTAATGTGTGTCTTTGTCATTGGACGCTTTTCAGCCCCATCGAGAAGTGGTCTCGAATAAGCGCCTGGCCGGAGCGAGGCGCACGAGAAGCCTCGCCGGCGTTTAAAGATGACATCGATCTGCCTCGCGGTGGTATCTCCTTCAACATATGATATCCACTGCGAATACTTTGCTATATAACAACACAGTCTGCGCAGATTTTTCGGATAGAATATCATTATCTCTTTTTTCAACACAGATCGCCTCGCTTTTGCTTAGTCCACGTACACTACCAACATGAATTTATCGTTAGCTTTCCTCTTTCTCTCCCATTTACTTTGCTCTGTTCAGTCCTTACGTTTCATTATCCCGCGGGCGGATCCTCCTCAACTCGGTATCCAGAGAAGTACATTCACCCAACATACACACGGAGGAAAGTTATACAACTGGTATATGTACTCAGCGGTGGTAACCTATTCGGATAACGTGAACACACTCTTCAAAGATGACGCACAAGTTGCCGGTTTAGCTTACCAGGCGTTCGAAGAGGCCTTGAGGCTCAGTCAGGATCCATTCAGTGTCACTGGTGTTGCTGTGTTGCTGGTAGGCAATCAAGCTATCTTTGCCACCACTTTGAAGAACTTTGGAAACACTGGGGTGCTCGATACAAGGTACCAATTCCCACCAAACTTCTTCTACGATATTATCCCGTCGAACGCAGCTTTGCACCAGCAGCTCCTTGCTTGCCAGATAGCGTATGGTGGCCGTAATTTCAAACATATCCACAAGGGGAACTGTGGTGAGATCGTTGCAATGCAGGTAAGCTCCGCTCCAATGATTACGACCCCCGAGACTCATACGCACTTTGAAACAAAATTCTGATGCTAGTAGATCTGGCACTTGGCCAATCCCGAGAAAGTCTGGCCAAAGGACGCCGGTGCCAGAACAGCTTTTTGGTCGAATACAGGCCAGACTTGGCCTCCCTGCAACGCAAATGATGCCCCAAATGCATGGGGATGTAAACAATGGGCAGGTTATAATGGAATTTCCTGGCCACAGAGAAATTTCGTAGGCAAGGATTCTGTCACATTGAGCACACACACACCCGTTCAGTCAGTGTCATACAATAGTCTATGGTGCGAAGGGTGGGAAGAGAGAGCGAACAACCGTCCACCTTCACCAGATCTTGATGAAGGTATAGATTCAGATGAATGGGAGGCAGCCATGCAGGGCCTCAATTGATGAATTGAATTGAGTCTGACTGTATATACTGTCTCTTTTGTTCCATCCTTGGTACTGCATATGTTCACGGGTAGTTTTGGGACATTTGGCGACGCTTGTTTAGGTCGGGTTGCGTAAGGGGGGCTTTAAGTGTTAGCATTCGCATCAACAATCAGGTACCACGAATTAACATAATATCACCGAAAGGAGCCAACGGCCCAAAAAGGTCGCAAGGCTCCGTTTTGCTACGGGCAAGTTGCAATAGACTGTGCTAAAAACTATATAATATACTGAGCTCAAGAGGAATGGATGACATCAAAAACAATTACGTCGACCAATTCTGACAACTTTCGCACAAGCTCTTCCTGCAAAATCCTGCACTTGATACCATCCCTTTTACATGTATCCAGCAATTTCTTCATCAGTACCTTCGGCCATCCTTCTCTACCGTACCATTGGTTCCAGATGAACAGAAATTCCACGCGAGCTAGAGCCCTAAGGCTGCTTTTGCGAGCGTATAGAAGATGTTCTAAAAGGTTGATGGGATCGATCTTTCTGTACGGATAATGTGAAAAGTCACTGAGATCATCTCGGAGCCGGAGAGTCTGAATTGTGGATGGCAAGATGGCCGGCCACGGGAAGTGATCCACGCCGGGATCAAGTGTGAACGGATCCTGTGAATCGAAATCAAGTCTATAACTGGCTTGAACTTCCTCGAAGTCTGGATCCCAACCAAGAAGAAGGGCCCAGGAGATTTCCAAGCTCGTTAAATTTGGCATTTTGTCGAAGCCTGTAACGCGGCCAACCAGACAGCAAAAGTAATCAGTGTTCCCCAGATCTTTAATGTCGTAATATCCTTTGCTTTTGAATCGAACTTTGAGCACTAAGCTCTCGAGCGTACTTTGCACGTGTGCTAAAGCCTTGCTCAAACGCGGACCGTGAACGAGGACTTTGGGTCTAACTGTTCCAGTCCAACATAACTCCTTGTAGGATTCCCAGTGAGGTATACCGCATGCAACCATACGGTAATGGTCGTAAACGAGATGCCTTAGTTGGGGCGTACAGGACAGTATCTTTTCAAGGGTATCTTCAGAGGCAGTGCACTTCCGGAGGGTTAAGCTCAACAGCGATTCAGACCGAGGTGTTATAGATGGGGACGGCCACGCAAATACAGATGGTTCCAGGAAGATGGTGTTGAAAAAGGTTATCTTGGGCAGGTAGAAGAAGAGACGAGATTGATCAAGATCTGACCAGATTCCGCTGGGGGTGTGCGGGCCATCAACACCTAAGTCGACAGAGATGAGGTGTGGAAAAACAGCAATAGACTTTTGAGCGTCTATAAGATGTCGGAACACCCTAGGAATGAATTTGGAGCGTTGCATGAACCCAAACCCGAGATCTAACCGTTCGATGTCCTGAATTTGGTGTAAGATCAAAGCCATGATGACATCCACGTTCCCTCTGTCAAACTCTAGAATCCATTCACGTTTGTGCGCGCTAGAAGAGGCAATTGATGAGATGAGGTTGATGACTCTGTGTACGTCTGTAGATTTGAACGAAGATTTCGCTCGACGGCCATCGAGCCATATACTCCGCGCGCTTTCTATTGGTCGCCAGCCTGAGTTACTATCGTAGTCACAGTCGCCGGTTTCCCATTCTTCTCTTCTAACGATTCCACCGCCACGTGATTTGAGTACTTTGACGTAGCTGGCTAAACGAGCGTTACCGAGGAGGGTTCGGAGTAGCAGATGATAGGGCGGAGATGGCTGGTCGTCCTCCCAGGACCAATTTACCGTATGGTAAATGCGAGGTGAAAAGAAGGTATGTAGGATCTTGCAAGTGCGACTGAGTGTGGAATAGTCCGAAACTGACAATGACGAGAGAATTTCTTCGAGCAGCTCCGCAGGGATATCGATGAGCGTCGGCATCGAGCTAACCTAATTTGCGATTGAAGTATCGTGATTATCTGCTCAGGTTACAGAGAGAGCGGTAAAGAGGTTCCAGTATTGTGCTTATCTGCAGTGAAGCTTCAGACTGCCGACAGAGAGAGAGGTGAAGAGGCTGAAGGGGAAGTGACCTGGTACGGCACGGTCGCGCTATTTGCTAAGTCGAATTAAGTTGGGCGTGCCTCGTGCCCAAAGGCGCGCGCGTAAATTCGAGCGACAACAATTGATAGGACCACGCTATCCGGTTGATGAACATTGCATCTCCCAACATGTATCGAAGATGAGCAGAGAATATGATCAACGATAGGAGAGTACTGGGTGCTAATAGTTGTCTTGGGGCAGCGCGGGCGTAACGATCGAAAATATCAGATGCTTCTACTGTCGGCCGTTGACTTCAACTTTTGTCTCCAATCGGAGCAGCTCTGCTATATAGCATTGATGTGGACGCTGCTAGCAAGGTGCTGAGCGAGAAGGAGAAGGAGGTACCCGAGGAAATTGTTCAAAGTTCTCTAAGCGAGCATCGGTTGCAGATCCCATCGACACAAGACACAACTACCATCTTCTGCATGTCTAATTACGTGATTTAGTCACCGCTAAACTCGTTGAATTTGCTCAATATAACGCCAGGAGATCATAGTTTCAAGCTCGTGCGAGCGCGAAAACGCTTAGGTACGCGCCGTTGGTCTCACCATAATTACAAAGACGACCTATGGGCACGCCCGCGGGGGGCACCTACAATTCCCAATGATGAAGATCAGTTGATTGCTGGTGTCACAGTTCTGGAAAGATAGGGTTTGGGTCGTGGACCTAGCCTAAGGCTTGGGAATAAAAGCCGCCACAAGTTCTTATTTACAGGGATCTTTTCATCTTAGGGTGCCTCATGCCAACACACCGGGCTTTCATAATCCTACTCTTCGGTGCCGGATTTCACCGCGGCTTGAATTATTGTTCTTAGGGAGCTTTCTTATCGTTTGCTACCCAGCTAACAGGGTGCCAGTTGTTGTCACAGGAAAAGACCTTCGCGCGGGAGCTCTGATGGAGCCCCCATCCAGACGACCACATACCTAGAGCGAACTGAATCACATTGATTAGCAGCACTCAGTGTAGACCTAAGAGACGTGGTGCTTACGATAGCAACACCTAATACCATAACGAAGCAGTTGAATATCGTCATAGCGACCTTGCGCTTTGTTGACAATAGCGTTCCCTTGTGCTGATACATATAGAGAACCGGTGGAATAGCGTCTACCTTTCGTTAGCTATACTCCTATGTCCCCAATAAAACCGGCTTTTCATCTTAGTCCAACTTACAGCTGAACCAACTCCCAAATAGCGCACCAATCAACCCAAGCAAAAGATTGAAATTCGGAATCGCCTCCGCAAGCACCCAACTCACCACCCAGCACACGCCACAAATACCCCACCAACTCCCCAAACTCTTCCAGCTATTCTGGTGTACAACATTCGTCCCCGACCACATTCTTAGGTAAATAAATTTGCATGCGACTGAGCCATTGATTACACCTGCAATAACAATAGTCGGCAAAGCGATGCCAAAACAAATCTTAGAGATAAGAGGGGATGCAGAGCCAAGTGCGGGAGAGGCCACGAGAGGCCCGGCGTAGTAGTATATGACAACGGATATAAGCATGTAGAATGTAACGGCGATGGCCTGTCCGAATAGAAGCGCTTTCTCGAAATCGCGCGGGTCTTTGAGCTCGGCTTGGAACGAAAAGTAAGCTACATGGCCGGCTTTGCAGCATTAGTGATATTCGAGGCTGATTTGTTTGTAGAGCGGGGTTGAGACGTACTGTATGCGAGGATGATGTTCATGACCGGTCCTAGTCCTTTGACAAGGGGTACATTAGGGCGGACAGCAATGATGTTACCCGCATCTGGCTTCTCAATGCCGATTGCTATCATCGCCACGAGGACGGCTACGAGGACGGATACACAAGCTGTCTCTATTAGTAACTTCTCGTAGTCTTCTCTTAATATGGCAACTTACAGAAGATCGAGAAATAAGACACATTTTTGAAGGTCCTCGGCAACCCTGATACAAAACACACCACTAACCCCATAACACTAAACACAATCGTACACGCTCCATGCTCAGTCATGGCGTTCATCGCAATCGCGAAACTTAAAACATGTGCGCCCATGATGAACAGTAAGAACAACAACTGCGCTACCGCAAACACCCAGCGCAGGACAGGCCCGCCGATGAGTTGGCCGCAGTCGGCAAATGATTGTACGGATGGGTGTGCGAGCTTGAACTCGCCAAGGATACAGCCGGTATAGGTTGCAATGATGCCGAGGAAGCAGATGCAGAGCAGAGCGGGGACGAGACCGAGGATTGCGAGGGCCTGAGGGAGGGAGAGGACTCCTAGACTGGCATTTTCGGCGAGCATTACTGGAAGACATATGGGTTAGTAACATGAGGGGATAGCAGACGACAGGAATGAGCACGTACGGATACCGGTATGCCACCATTTACATGTCTTGTAGTCAATCTCTGCTCCTTTCTCGTCGCCGAAGATGTCGGTCTCTGTGGGCGTCTTGACCTGTCCTCCTAGACCGATCAAAGCGGTGTTTTGATGTTGTAGGGGTTTTTCATATTCAGTGATTTTCTGCTCGTCACTGAGCGCCAGAAGTGCTGTGCTGGGCTTTGTTAACGAAGTGGACGCGCTTGCGTCCGTCTCTCTAACGGTAACCATACTAATGAAGGACTGCGATTCAACGGACTGCGATGAGATCGGGCTGCGGGAAAGGGTATGATAGCTCAAGCTCGAAGAAACAAGAGGCAGTGTGAGAAAGAAGACTTAGGAAAGGATGTCGTAGAGATGGACGAGAGGGTCTTTCGCTCCACATGAACAAACGTATGCTATTTGGGACGTATGGCAGCGGAACCAAGTGCAGAGCGGACCCAAGTGCAGAAGCACTGATCAATGAACGAAAATCCAGGGATTGGAATCAGACGGCGCACGCATGGTCCTGGCATCCAGAGATTGGGTTGATCCCCTAGTCATCCATGGAATTCAAGCGTAGTCAACCCAGAGCGAGTAGAAACACAGAGTTTCATGAGGTAGATGTAATGACGATAGAGGATCGAGTGATGATCGAATCTGAATAACGAGGATGATGCTACAGTACCCGGAAGACACTGTGAGCTCTTTCTCGCCAAGGTCCTTTCGTGTCTCAAACCATACTGTATGTTGATGGGTGAGCCAGTCTCAGATGACTGTATGACAACAGTCGCCGAAAGCGTCACATCCTCTGGGTGTCCCTGAGCCACAGTAAAGCACAGTTAACGTATATTGCATGTCTTCGTACAATATTTTAGAGGCCATCTCGAAGAAAAAGTAGTTGTCAGAGCAAAGATCGTGCGGACACTGCAACGCCGTTGCTGCAGGCGAACGAGTGGAGCCGCCGGGGAGCTACGACTTGTTCAGGCATCCAACCGAGTGGAAGGTGCGTCACAGCCATCGGGCAGACTCACAACTCCTCATCCTCGACAACCAATTACAGCCCTCTACCTACCCCAGGTGCGTCCGAAACAAGCTGGATCACGGCAGCTCCTCAAAACAAAAGACGCAAGCTCATGTAATCTGGCTAATATCGAATATGGATCGCCTGCCAAGGGAGGAGGCTGGAGTGGACAACCTCGAGCCCGACATTGCTCTGCCTTGATATGATATCACGCGTTCCAACCTTAGCTCTGTTGATCTTTACTACGTCGCGATCGCCATTGTACGCTTCTTAATATTGCGCCGCAGGTAGTACGGCAGGTTGCTAGGTCACAGACAACGGTCAGGTCAGTAAGCGCCCGCTAGCCGTCCGACCTGGACTTCTACAAGCTTCACAGCACCACAACATACCACGCGCTCTCATACCCATCTTGCCCTCCTTAAGACACACTCTGAGAGCACATCGCGCCTCTAACGCGACCCGATCGCCAGCCTTTCCAGCCCATCTTCACCATGCCCGTTGAGCTTCGCAAGCGCAAAGAAGCTCCCCCAGCGCCAGTGCGCCCGGCCAAAAAGAAGGCTCCCGCGAAAGCCAAGAAGCCTGAAAGCGAGAAGACAACTGTCGAGAAGGTTCAAGAAGCTGTTGTTGAGAAGGTTGAAGCTGTCAAGGAGGCTGTTGTCGGCAAGACGAATGGCGCGACTGCTACTGCTGGCGGCGCGCTCAAGGTCGGCGACACAATCGACCTGGCTTCGTTTGGCGGTGAGGTAGAGACAAACGATGGCAAGAAGACAACGTTCGCGAAGCTTGTAGAGGAGAGTAAGGGTGGTGTTGTGCTGTTCACGTATCCGAGGGCTTCAACGCCAGGCTGTGAGTGACGCTCCTCTCGATCATGTACCTTTCGCAGTCTGCTGATGTGTATTACTTCAGGCACCAAACAAGCCTGCCTCTTCCGCGACTCTTACGCTCCCCTAACTGCAACTGGGTACTCCATCTACGGCCTCTCAAACGACAGCCCCAAGGCCAATACAACGTTCAAGACGAAGCAGAATCTCCCCTACACGCTGCTGTGCGATCCTGCACAGACGCTTATCTCAGCCATTGGGTTGAAGAAGGGACCCAAGGGCACCAATCGCGGCGTCTTTGTCGTCGACAAGTCGGGCAAGATTCTTGCGTCTCAACCTGGAGGTCCCGCTGCGACTGTTGAGGTGGTGAGAGAGCTGGTTGACGGGAATGCAGAGGATGTTCCTACAGTAGGGGACGTAAAGAAACAAGAGGACGAGGAGGCTGCGAAGACGGCTGCTGAAGTTGCTGATACTGCCGCGAAGGTTGATAGCAATTAGCCTTTGTAGTTAGTCATAGTTTGCTGCGCGTCGATTTCTTCTTCTCTCTATACTCGTTGTTTCATCTACAACTCATTTCTCGGTGGTGAGGAGTTAGATAGGATATTAGCTTATCTGGCAAGAGCCTGGAGCATACATCGGTATCTCACAATGTGTCTCGCATGTCATAAATGGGGGTATCGAAACAATGACAACATTTCTCGTATTCGACATGGCATTGGCTTTGAACATACCCTTCATCACCTGCCTGGTGCAGCATTAGTACGATAAGGTATATAAGCATCCCCAACTTCCGCCACCATGGCTGTGCTATCCAATTCCACAGGTTGTATTGGTTTTCTCGGTACCCTTGCCATGCCTCCCAGCTCTATCGCTGCACTGTGATTTCCAATCGATGTCGTAGACACAGGAGCAGCAGACACAGGAGCAGTAGAAGCCGGGGACAACAACCTATGCCGCTCGGCTTCGGAAGCATCGAGTTCCGCATTCCATTCGGGCGTTTCGTTTTGCGGGCTGACTCTAACCACAGCGACCACCGCAGATCCTCTTCGCCCCGCGACTCCCAAGCTCGAATCGTCGTTGAAATCCGTGGTTGTATGGTAAGGTTGTTGGCTGGATTCGAGAGATGCTTGCAGTCGTCCTGTTTTCTCGTCTGCGAGACTCCTGGATGCAAGAAGTGCCGCGGCCTCCCTGCCATGTTTCTTCCTCCTCCATATGAAGAACACTACTAGTGCTATGATGACGACGAGCAAGGGGATGATGACTGCAATGGCTGCTATCGCTCCAGTAGACAGTCCACCTCCACCACCAGTGCCATTTCCTCCACTTGAGCTCGTGGGTGAAGGACCTCCGCTTGTGGCGCTCCTACGCCCCATGTCGGATGCTTGGTATCTAAGTCGCAAGGCAGTAATAGTAGGCCTCGCAGTCACCGGCCACGCCGCAGCCGAGTACGTCTTCAGTCCGTTCTTCTCCGCATCCGCCCCGCTACACTCGACGACTGGCCATGAGCCACTGCTTCCTGGTCGACATCCACCTCTGCCATCACCGGCAAAACCACCCGGGCAGCATTGCAGCCCTGTCTCACCCGTCACCCACTGATCACCACTCGTATGTGTTGCAACGGCGGACCATGACGGCGGGCATGCGGTAGCGGGCGAGTAGAAGGTGGAGGCACTTGGATGGGCGTTCGATGTCGCCCATGGCATGCATGCTGTGTTGACCGAAAACGAGATCGCAATGCCTGCATCCTGCTCGAAAACGCATTCTTCACCCCATGCTACGGCGTTGTTGAGGTTATGAAGTGTTTGACACGCAGCGGGGGGTGCGGTAGCCCATGCAGTGTCCCAGGTATTTTGAAGGCTTCGCGAAGGCGAAGCCATCCTCGCTAACGATTTCCTGCAATGGTTGGAACGAGAGCTGTCGTCGCGATCAAGTTATTGAAGAGTAGCGAGAGAATAGGTAAACGAAGTTGAATCACGAAAGAGAGGAATTGGCCATTCTGAAGTTTGCCCCATTGCGTGTATAGGAAATAGTAGAAGTTATCAAACCACCATGTCCAGCATAGCCTCGTACGACCCACTCCTCATGTTTTAGGTTGATCCGGATAGACCGGAACTGACGAGATAACTCATCGTATTGGCGGCTAAGCCGCATTGCTGTCTAACTGCTACAACTCAAATACCCGCAAAAGAATGACTCGATGTAAATAGTCTAGATGCCTAATGGTTAATGGGGTTGTTTTGTGGTAGGAATGGGTGCGGAGGATCGACTTAGCCACAAGGACCCACCATCATAAATATGTACCGAGAACGCAGGGGAAAATTCTTGTTCTATTTTGGTCTTCCACCTTGTGTACAACTGCTGCACAACGTAACGGTCTTATCTACACGTCTTGACGAGACCGTCATAGCGCCGCAACCTTCCGTAACTATCATTATGCCTTGTATCCAGCCTCAGTCAACGACTCCTTCAGGCTGTCAATAGCTTTTGTGATATCTGGCCTGCTTGTATCTGTTACGCTGACACCCATATGGCCAAATCGAATGTATTTTGTCGCGATCTCCTTGTGTAGACCACCGGCGAAAATGACGCCCTTCTTCAACATACTGGGTAGGACATCTGGAGGCGTGATGCCCTCGGGTAGGTAAATGGCTGTCATACCAGTAGCCTGGTTCTCGGGCTTGGAAGCTAGCTGCTTGAGGCCAAGGTCTGCGACAGCTTTCTTGACCTTTTGTGATGCAGCCTTATGGGCTGCAAAGTAGTCGTCAATTGGTCGCGAGAGTATCTGCTTAAGGGCAGTGTCGAGCGCGTGGATTAGCTGCGGAGAGGGTGTTGCAAAGTACGAGGGTTTCTTTGCTTCGTAGTTTTGCATGACTGTAGTACTGTTAGCTTTCAAGGACCTCAGACTCGTCACGGAGGTATCAACGTACTAGGCAACCAGTTCTTCCACGAACCAAAGTAAGAGGTTGGCCGTGTCTTCCTGGCCTTGAACCTCTCAATCGCACGGCCGGAGGCCATTATGATACTCAACCCGGCAGGGCAGCCAATACCCTTCTGCGAAGCCGTGAGAACGACGTCGAGCTTCCAGTCGTCAAATCGGATCTCCTCTGAGCCAACACTGCAGACACCGTCCACAACAACTAATGTCTCAGGGCTAACCCTGTGAACAAGCTCACTCAGCGCCTTGATCTCGCTCAAGACTCCGGTCGACGTATCCACATGTGTGACCGTCAGAATCTTATACGACTTCTCCTTCAGCGCTTTCTCCACTTCGTCGAGCTGCGGCCGGTCGCCAATCGGCGCCTTGAGCTGAGTAGCCTTGACGCCATAAGTCTCGAAGCAGTCGGCGAATGAGTCGGCGAAGTAGCCAGTGTGGAGGACGAGCACTTCGTCACCGGGCTCGACGAGGTTGGCGGCGACTTGATCCCATCCGAGTGTGCCTGAGCCAGAGATGACAAAAGGCTGTGAGGCGGGGTCGGTAGTTTGGAAGAGCTTGCGTAGGTTTTGAAGAACTTCGCTAAAGGTGTTTACGAAGGGCGCGCCTACGTGTGATTCACTAAAGGTAGGTAGTCAGTATGAGAATGAGGTCAATTGAGGTCATGTTGTGTACCTGTAGTGGCTCATAGACGTCAGGACCGCATCGTCGAATTCAATGGGCCCAGGGATGAGCAGCGCGGGGTGTGCTGCTTGCTTCGACATGTTCTTTGGTTGTTCCGGCGTAGTCTTTTTGATTTCCTGGATGCTTTTCTTGGCTTCCTTGAGCTTCTCTCGTTTTATACGATTGCCGTGTTCGTCCTCAAGATGTCCAGTACGTTCAGTCGAAAAGGGAGTGTTTAGTTCCAGGAAGGGCTTCGACGAATCTATATGCTTGGAGATCAGCTTGAGGCGGGAGCTCGCCCGTGACGTCGAGCTCATGATTGCGGGGTGCCCGCGGCAATTGACGGATGCAAAGAATCGGCGGGGAAAAGCCAGCTTGCCGGTCATCGGAGATTCGCAAGGAACGTGGACGTGGATAACAGAGGGTACGGGATACGTGCCCGTATGTAGTTGTGATGGACCTGGGCGTCAATTGACGATGGAGATGGTTCTCAAGTTATGGACGCGTCCGTGGGGGAAAATTGCACGAGTTTTGATTGGAGGGAGATGGAGGTTCAGATTTTGTCCATTACTCGTAGACAGTATGACTTGTTATAAGCCTTCGACCAAATCTCCCCAGGCTAGCCAGACCCCGATGTCAACGGAAATGAACAGTGGGGATGGCCGGTAGCCGTTCCGAGTGAAATAAGCTGGTCACGTGCCGTCCTCCAAACTTGGGTTCGCAACGCTTGGACCAGCGACCTGATCCAAACATAGATGTTTGTTGTGATCCACTCTCGATCCGTGCAGCAGCACCGACATTGAACATCAACAATCATACCAAATCGCTTCCGTATGCATTCTATCGCTGCATAAACCCCTCGATACACATACACGACATTTTCCCGTTGAATTCTTGGATAGCGATCATGCGCCTCACTCGCGCGGCGCAACGCGCCCAGCAGGGCAACGACGAGACGAGCGGCGCGACTGACCTTGACGAGCGCGCGCCGCTAAACGAAATATCCCCCAATGCATCCCCCGACCTAGTTAAATACGCGGAGGAGCTACCCAAGAAGGCGCCGGCAAAGAAGGCCAAGACCAAAAGCGGCGCGAAGAAGGGCCCAAAGGGAAGAAAGAAGGCTACTGAAGTCCATGAAGATGTCCAAGTGGATGAAGACGTTCAAGTGGTACTGGAAAACGAAGGAGGAGTAGCGGAAAGTCCTATAAACAATTTGGCTGTGGAAAACCTAGCCCCAGTTGCTTTAGATGGTGAGCAGCTGCGTTGATACCGCGAATCCAATCAGCATCCACTAACGTGGTGATTTGCAGAAGCGGAACCCGAGGCACCGCAAGATTGTGAGGTTGATGTTGAGGCTGCAGAGACGGCACAGCTCGAGATCGAAGCTCCCGAGACGACACAGCATGAGGTCGAGGCTCGACAGACGACAAAGCTTGAAACAGAGCACACAGATTCAACCGCAGCAGAGGTGGTTGCGCCCTCCGTCGAGATAACCTCAGAGCCCGAACCTAAGACGCTTGCCGCCGAAAAGCCATCTGAAAATGCTATAACCCCGGTATCTAGCCGCACACCGAGTAGGCGAGCGTCACGAAGCCCTTCAAAATCACCCATGCGAATCGAGGAGTCGATTGAAGCTATTGACGCCCTTGAGGAGGCTCTGGAGAACGTCGAGGCTGTAACAAGCTTCGACCATTTGAGCGACGAGAAGTCGCCGCGTAAAAAGGCATTATCGAAACCCGCCGATACAACTAGTGCGCGCGGGAAGACACCTAGTAAGACGCCTCTTGCCACCTCAAGGGTATCTAGAACTCCTAGCGCTACACCAAAGAGCATTAAGCCAACGAAGACTTCGCTGGCTCGCGCGTCTAGTGTCCGCGTCGCCGCTAGCAAAGACGTTAAGAAAGGTCCGACAGAGACAATAGACTACCTTGCTGTGAAACGTAGGCCGATCAGCTTGTCGTTCCCCACTCCTCCTCCACCGCCCAAGGGACGACCCCCCACCAGGGCGACGTTCCAGCTCTCGAGTGATGCCGTAGCTCAAAAGCTGAAGGCAGACAAGGAGGAACGACTCAAGCGACAAGCGGAGGGCGTGCCGAAACAACGACCAATTAGCATGCCCCCACCACCAAGATCAACCAAGCCTCCAACAAAATCAAACTTCCAGTTACCAGGCGACAAAATCGCAGCGGAGCTCAAAGCAAGGAAAGAAGAGCGTCTTAAGAGAGAGGCCGAAGCCCCTCAACAATCTGGCGCACCGCGCGCACCACGCCCTATCAGCATGCCTCCACAGCCAAAGTCCACAAAACCACTGACGAAGGCAGACTTTCAACTTCCAGGAGCAGCTGTTGCTGAAAAGTTGAAGGCACAAAAGGAAGAGCGACTGAGGCGGCAAGAGGAGACCGAGGCTGTAAAGAAGGCGGCTGCTCTCAGGGCGCGTTCAGTACCCCCTCGGAAGCCCGTAACGGTCCCTATTCGACAACAACCTGGCATTACCATCCCTCCATCCTCACAGCGCTCGTCTTCCCTCGCCAGCAAACGCAGCAGCATCCAACTCTCACGCTCAGACTCTACCTCTTCCACAAACCGCCAGAGTCTCCTCCTCAACACCAAATCAACAGTCACGCCCATCGATGCGGCACAGCAGAAGCTGAAAGGTAGAGAGGTCTTTAACCGCGATAGGATGGAGAAAGAAGCCCGAGATCGTGAAAGAAGGGAGAAAGAAGATGCGGCTAAGCGGGCAAGGGCGGACGCTGCAGAACGCGGTCGCATCGCTAGCAGGGAGTGGGCAGAGAAGCAAAGGAAGAAGATTGTGGGTGCATGAGCGTTGTGACCTATATGATTTGCCTTGTATGGACGGTTTGGAGTGTTTGATCCAATGCGTTGGATGTGCTGCTTGCGGAAGTATCCCTCTGGTACTTCACCGTCCGAAAGCTTCCATAGCTTACGTAGCGCTCACTTTGAGACTGCGAAGCTGATGGAAGAGTTTTGGACAGTGGCGGCTGTTGTCCTATTTCAATCTTCAGCCGTTGGATTCTTGTTGTTCTTCTTGTTTTCACTGTTAGCGTTTAGGGATCTATCGGAGTTGGACATGTACTGGGCATGCTTACTTTTGGGCGTTGCCATGGATTGGTGGATCGAATTGGGAATATCCGGTATCTGGACACAGTCCGGCCATGGCGTTAGTCTAGTTCCACATTACGGAATCTGGAAACAAGATAGTCACATTCTTGATTTATTTAATTTTGACGGACACCAAGCACCTTGAGATCATAAGAACCCAGCCATGTTAACGTGCCATGTGACTGTAGCCTGGCCCCCTCATGAGCATGGGTCGCATACGCTCTTCAAACGCATCACACTCTACCTAATTCGATCGTACGACAAATAGTGAAGACAGTCGGGTATAGTTGTAAGTCCCTTGTGCTTGTCGGGCCGTTGATCTGAGGGCGTGAATTGGGGGGGGATGGGATTTGTATGCCGGGATGAGCGTTGTGGTTCGTCTGGCTGTGTTCTCCGTGTGCTTTAATCAACTCTCCCCCTCTACTACTTCTTCAAACGAGTACTCTTCCTTACACCCTCCACCGGTGAGATGGACGCTCTTGCCTTGCGTTTCGTGCGTTTCGTTGACGCCTGTTCAAATACGATTTCCTTGGCATCCTCCGACTGTTTCTTCGCCGTCTCCTTGTCAGGCTTCTCATTAACAAGCTTCTTATCTTTGAAACCTCCATCATCTTTAGATTTAGCTTGCTCCGCCTCCTCCTCCTTCCCGCCAATGTCCATATCAGCCCCCGCCCTACCCAACACCCAAGCAACCTTCTCGACATCTACCGCTCTAACCTGTAGCCTCTCCACTATCTCTTCAACGCGCCCCACCAATTGCTCGTACTCTTTCACATTGTACTTGATCTTCCGTTCCCACCCATCCGAAACCCCTGACTCATCCCAGCAGCACCACCGAAACAACTCATCCGAGAAAAATGGGATGACTGCCGGTCTCATCACACTCAACAACAAACTAGCCGTTGCAGGCCCAATCCCCTTCAACCCCGTCAAGATCTTGAGAGCAGGCAATGGCGATAGATTTGATGTAGAGATCAATGCAAACGCCTTCTTTGTTGTCTCTATGATGCTTTCGGAGGAGTTGCTTTGAACGAGAGATAGGAGCGTGGGCCGGAATGTGCCATGTTTCCTCAGGGCGTGTTAGCATGCTGTGTGAAGTGTGAATAGGAATAAGACGATGCATTTACAGTTTCCATTCCACAAGTTTTTCGACTTCGCTTTTCGACAAAAAGGCTGCGTTTTGCCTCGAGACGACTTGTGCGGGTATGGAGGCATAGCGCAAAATATCTAGCTCCTGCAACTTCTCAGGGACGGTGGAGGGATATTGAGATAACACATCATTGAAGGTTCGTAGTGATATTGCCTTGATGTGAAATTCAGACATTGTGGAGTTTTGCTCTGGTATGGAGGATGAGAAATGAGATGGACGCGCAAAGTCGTAGTTAAGTCGCGGACGCGCGATCACGTGCGCAACGTGGCACGTCAGTCAAAACCATTCAAGTTTAATTTCCCAAAGTATTATATTCATATTCAAGGTGCTTAGCAGATTGAGATTTGATGGGGCTAGTTTCTTGCGTTGCAAATAGCACCAGAAATGCTTGCCAACGCCACCGAGGCACTCGACAATCTCTGAACAGCAGCTTCGATATCATAAAGGTATTACCAATCATTCGAGCATGTAAATTCAATCATCACAAAGCCTTGTCAGACACAGACATCCCAACCGGCGCCTCCTTAAGAAACATGACCAATGAAACAAACTTAGCCCACGCATAGGGATCAGAATGCATCTTCCAGAGCGCCATGATGAAATCGTAGTCTACAACGTCTTCCTCGGACGGCCTCGACCGCGCTTGCCAGTGCCCCGCGTGGGTATCATAAAAGGTCTACCAGGCGGTCTACCCACAGGCTTCTTGGGAACGGGTGCGCTCGCAGGGATGTCTTCCTCACTATCCGTGTCAGATAAATCAATGGCCTGAACCTTCCTGTGAGTACTCGGAAACTTGGCTGCTGGTGCAGTCATGGTGGTCGTTGTCATTGTCGATGTCTTGGCCGACCCTTCGCCCTTACGTTTAGATGACGATGCGACAATCGTGATATTCTTCCCAATCATTCCAGGACGGGCGAGGATAGAGTTAGTCGTATGTGGAAGGGCTCTGTGTTCGGTCGCTGTGGCCTCCTCCTCGGACTGTTGCTCATCCTCCATCTCATCCTCAGTGGTTATATCACCAAGGAAGCCATCGATTAATTGGGCCCCGTCGTCAGAATCTGGGAACAAAGCCATCTTTGCGCGAAGATTATCTTCGGCTTCTTGCGCCGCAGCCGCAGCGCGTGCCTTGTCTTCTTCCTCCTTTCTTTGAGCATCGAGCGCTGCAGCAGCAGCTTGTTGCGCTAGGATGAGCGCCTCACTGTTTTGATCGTCTTCGTCATGCATACCGTCTTCGTCAGATATATGACCATTGGTGTTTCGGTTTGGCTTCTTCGACGGTCGTCCGACGGGCCGGATGCCAGCTCTCGGTTTCTCAGGCATTGACTTCCTTTTTTCGTTGTACGCCCGGTTTCGCTCACGGTCTTTCTCACGGTTGGGCCTTACATCGCCATCCCTGAAGTCTACCGGTAGTTCGGTTGGTAGATCTTCTTCGCCCTCATTCCTACGGGCCAACCAATTCGACGCGCGTGCACGCGATCGGCCGGTGTATTCAACCTCGTCTTCTTCGGCACCAAGCTCCTCATCGGACTCAAGGGTAATCTCCTCGAAACGTCGAGAGCCGCGAGTTTTACTAGGTTTGGCAGCCCCGCTAATATCGCCATTCCTTTTCCTCGTTGAGTATGCCTCATCGTCCTCTACACGCACACGATAAGTTTTTGCGTCCTTCTCCTTATCAGCAACGCTCTTGGAGACACTTGATTTGGGTAGAATATCGGACTGAAGAATCGATCGGATGTCTCCGGAGACGTCCACTTCTTCTGGGGTCCTCTGTCGCTCGACTTGGGGACGCCCAGCAGCCGGCCGCTGTCGGATTCCCTCGAGATTACGGACGCTCAAAGGAAGCTTGACAATCTTCGATTTGCCCTTCATCCTAGCAGCAACCATGATGAACCTGTCTTCGCGCTTCGCCTCTTCTAATAGCTTCCTCTGCACTTCCTTCTGATATTGTTTTCCAGATACGTTCTTCGGCTGAAGCGGTTGCGCGGCCTCATCCTTGTTCCTCGTCTGCTTCTTTGACTTATTCTTCTTTCGCCGATTACCCTCTTCGTCCTCCCCGTCGTCGCGACCACGCTTCTGGCCTAGGCGCGGGATCTCGCCAGCCATATCAGGGTCTTGGTAGTATGATTTACCATCTACAGTCGATGGTTCGGCATAGGTAACATCACCATTCTCGTTAATGTTGCCATTACTGTCTTCTACAGGAGAGTAAGTAATGCCATACCGAGTGTAGGTGTGGTCTTCGTCAACAAATCGTGAATCGAGAGATGGGTCTGCCAACTTGTCCACTTCCGCTTGCTGCATTCGTCGCTGCATTGCACTTTGAGCCATGCCCTCATCTTCCCGTAGCCAGTTCAGGTTGGAAACGCTGAAGTCAACAAGACATTCCACGGAGCGCACATCTGCTACTTTCTTAGTGTCGTGACCGAGAAGGGTTCCCGAAGGTTCGTAGGGGTGCTGTCTAGGATCGCGTCGACATGCACCAGTATTGCAAACCCTCCTGCAATGTGGACATTTCCAATTGGGATTCTCCATGACGTTCACGGGCATCATATCATGCGCCCGGAAGAGGGTTCCGTAGCAGTAAGCTAAGTCGCAGTTGGAGCAAAACGCCATCTTCCACTTGGGGTGTCGGTGAAGGCAGAAGTGGCATGATTTGTACTTGCTGAGCCATTGTTTTGACTTCTTGTTGGCGACTTTCTTAATGTTACCGTACTCATCTACGATAGGTTCTTCGTCATCGGAAGCTCCTTCAGGCTGCGGGCTCTTGATGTCGACAAAGGGACGTAACCGTAACTGCTCTTGAGATACTTGGGCCAAGGTCTTCTTGCCAAGATACCTTCGCTCCTCCTGTAGCGGAAGTGGTGTCTTCTCTGTCATGTGTCCATCAATGTCGATGATTTGAGCACGCCACTCTTCGTATTTATGCAGCAAGTCTTTCCATTTCCACTGCTCAACCCATGTGTAGCCCGACTGGCACCCACAGCTCCGACCCATGCAGTAGCAGTCCATGCAGACATCGTAGGGTTCTTCAATCTCGGAGCTGAAGAGGTTCTTGCAAGACTTGCAACTGAGGAAACGATTGAAGATATTGCATCTGCAATAGGCGCATGTCACGTTGCTGTCGTACGGCAGAAACTCGGGATGCTCGCGGGAATCCGGTGCAAACATTTCTGATAATAGAATGTTCTTGTAAAGGTCGAAGAGTCTCTTAAAGTCTCGCTGCACCTGCCGGACCTTTACAGAGTGCTGAATGGCCTCGGCTTGTTCCCCACCTGACTCGACTTGGGCTCGAGCCGACTTGATGAGACTAGAATACTTCAGTAGTGTATAATAGATGATGGCCTTATTCTTGTATTGTTCGTCGCGACAGACGACCCGCGAGTTCGGTAGCGCTTCATTCAAGGCGAGCTCAAGAGTCTCGGCAGTCGTGCGATTCCATGCGATCTTCATGGTTCGGGTACCACGGTTCCAGACCTGATGCGGAGCCAGAGGCGGGATCAGAATGAAGTCGCCCGGGCGCTGCTCGACCACGTATGTTTTGAAGGGTGCTTTCTTCCAGGCAATCAGTTGCGCAAAGTGGTTCTCGACTTCGATATCGTGACCCAAGACGGATAGCCAATACTCGGACACAAGGTGTCGGTCTTTGGTCTCCGTCATAAACCAGATAGAAGATCCAGGGCGCTCTGGTTTGCCGTCCTCACTGATGTGGCCTGAAGCATTTACCATGATGTTTTGACCCAAGGATGCGCACATCTCTCGATGCGCGGGTGTGTATGTGCCCTCGTGGCCGATATAGCACATGAGATTCTCTGCGCGCATATCTGGCGGCAAGCTGCTCATGAGATCTCCAGCGCGTGCGATGCCCCGGCCTTTGCGGCCTCCCAACTCGTCCAGTGCGCCAGGCCCATCAACTTCACCCGTGCTCTCATTCAGGTAAAACAGGCCCGATGGGATGTGCTCTTTCAGCTTGTCTTGCCATACTTGCGGGCAATCTATGTCTTTCAGGTATATGCGCTGGCGCGTTTTGTCTCGATACTGTTCCGGCACATCGAAGAACTGATCGGTGAGTCTACTCATATGCTTGAGATAGTGCTTGATGGTGAGAGGTATGTTCTCCTTGCTGGTAAGGTTTCGTGCGTTCTCGACTATAGACAAGTCAGCATGGCGTCCGGAAAGGGCCTCTAGTCTGTTGCTCACCTTTGTCGCCGTGGTTGTCGCGTAACCATGAGGGGGTAAAGGTCCACGGGTCCAATACCTCCTCGAAGCCATCGATGACCAGAGGCTTCCCCCCTATTATTACATGCAGCAATATCAACTTCTCGAATTGGTCGACGCCGTTGTTAGCGATCATCTCATATGAGATACGGTCGACATATTGGAAGTTGTCGGCAGTCTCGACAAACGTTCGGACGTCGAAGTCGGGCGGTATAGGCTCAAAGGAAGCCCGAGGGCGCGCGGCCGGCATCGTGGTCGTTGTTGAAGACCATCTACAGTGGGGTTGCAGGTCGTGCTGTCACCTCCGCGGCGCAATCGCAGTCGCAACGAGGAGCGAGCGCGCCACTAGGGGCGAGAGACAGTCGGAGGGACGATTTTGTATTGCCTTCGAACGCCTGCAGTTAATACTGCGACAGCGTCGAGGTAGGCCCAAGGAAGTGGGCGACGCGACTGGGAGCTGTGTTGGTGTTGAACGGCTGGAGCTACGGCATCACGTGTCGACGAGAATTAGTGCGCACGGTCCGACCTTCACTTTCCGCACTTCACTTTCACCAATAGCGACCAAGTTATAGTAACTCGAGACATCTCGAACATACAATGACTCTCCATATATTCAGGCCTAATCCTGCTTCACGATAGCATCTTGATCTCCTTTCCTGATTTACCGCACATATATTCACCAAACGTGAGATCTGCGATCCACTCGCGTGCAACAGACGGCGATCTTTCACGACCATACTCTACCTCAATCATGGCTTTCTCACGATATTTCGCGGTCCGATCTGAATCATTGTTATCTTGTAACATTGGCAGACCATCACGATCACAATGGGCTCAGACAAGTTTAATCTCGCTACGATGGAGAAGAGAGCACTCAGCAACACCAACAGCACCACTATTACCTGCGAGGTATCATCCAAGATCTACACAACTTGTTAGGTCAAGACGTTTTGAGTCTTTGTTTCAACGCTCGAACATGGCAACGGCGGCCCAAGATATGTCACCAAGAATACTTCCAGAGTATACGCCACCAACCGCAGGCCTTCTGTCCTACCTGCCCCAAAAGGCTGTTCCGTACGCTGAGTTGATGAGACTTGATAAGCCAACTGGGACATACTATCTTTTCTTTCCATGCCTTTTCAGCACACTTCTCGCTGCTACAATGGCCACGCCCATTGCCGCACCATCCGCAGTCATCAGCACGACGGCACTGTTTCTTACCGGAGCTCTTGTGATGAGAGGCGCTGGCTGCACCATAAACGACCTTTGGGACCGCAACCTCGATCCCCACGTTGAAAGAACACGATTACGTCCGATTGCCAGACGAGCAGTCACACCTCAGCAGGCTATCGTCTTCTTAGGGGGTCAGCTCACGACGGGTCTAGCCGTTCTTCTTTCGCTCCCATTCGAATGCTTTTGGTATGCGACTCCATCACTTTTGTTCGTCGCCATCTACCCCTTAGCCAAGAGAGTCACATATTACCCGCAATTCGTTCTTGGACTCACGTTCTCCTGGGGTGCAATGATGGGATTCCCCGCCCTCGGTGTCGATCTTCTTTCCAATCAAGTTGCGCTCACAGCGGCAGCTTGTCTATACGCTAGCAACGTCGCATGGACAGTTTTATACGACATGATCTATGCGCACATGGACATCAAGGATGATGTCAAGGCTGGCATCAAGAGCATCGCGCTCAAACATGAGAAGGAAACCAAAACGATATTGTCAGGTTTGGCTGTAGTGCAGCTCGGACTGCTGGCTGCCACGGGATCTGTGGCAGGAATGGGACCGGTCTTCTTCGTTGGATCATGCGGAGGCGCCGCGCTTACTCTCGGCACTATGATCAGGCGAGTCAAATTGAAGGAGGTCAAGAATTGTTGGTGGTGGTTTGTGAACGGCGCATGGTTCACGGGCGGAGCGATCAGCCTTGGCCTGGCTGGCGAGTACGTTGCACACCTTTATGGCTGGTATGAACATGGCCCGAAGAATGATAAAGAGCAAGAGCAAAACCTTGTTCCTGTCTAGAGGTCTACGGTTCGAAGGTCTGCAAAGGCAGGCGAGCTGCATAAGGTGTAGGTTCAAGTACCAGCCTCATGATGTATCAACATTGCTTAGTCGCTGAATCGGGTAGAACTACTAACCTTAATACCTCAACAGTTTGCAACATAACGCAACCACATTTGTTGCTTGTGATATATATGTAATTTATCGGGCCCGCACATTTTCTAGCTTATTTACATATTTTATACACAAATTGATTGAGGTCGTGGAGTCGATCAATTCATTATCGTTGAGATCTTATCTTTTTTGGGAAGTGTGAATAGCCAAATCTGTTAGATTTGAATCGTTGGGCACATCCAACCATGGAACTGCATCGGACTTATCAGTTATGAAGGGACCTACTAGGCTTCAGTACCATGGTTTACTGTCAACGCACAACAAACAGCGAACCTACCCGAAAAGCGGCAATAGAATCGTAAACACATGTGCTTTTAGAATTATATCAACACACTAGCGATGGAACATCAACAGGCGCGCGATAGCTTAAAAGGTGGTCCTAGGGCCGAGGCACTTCTTAACTTGTAATTGCTGTATGATCCTGCGCTATCTAACAGTCATCATGTTTGCTACATCTCGAGCTTTCGCGATGCTTATGTTTTTAGCTCTTTCTTCAATTGTACCGTCTGTCGTCGCGTCATACGCCCTTCTACATAACTTTACGGGTACTTCTTTTCTATCAGGTTTCAACTTTTTCTCGGGTTCAGATCCAACTCATGGATTTGTACGGTACGTTGATAAACCTATAAATTACCATGGATGTCTTCGGTGCTCATAGGTTCACGCAATTCTCACTACTTAGCAGCTATCAATCCGAAGCCGATGCTCGCTCACAGGACCTAGTCGCTGTTTCGGACAACAGTATTTACATTGGCGTGGACTACAAGAACAAAGCGCCAAACGGACGCGCGAGTGTGAGAATAGAGAGCAAGGAATTGTACAAAAAAGGCTTGTTCGTGTTGGATTTGGCACACATGCCTAGTAGTACTTGTGGTGAGCCGAATCTTGTGAAAAGCTAGCGCTGAAAAGCAAAGAACGTCAACGACTCATTATCGCTAGGTACTTGGCCCAGTTTCTGGACCTGGGGCTCCGAGGGGCGTTGGCCCGATCTCGGAGAGATCGGTAAGGCATACTGATTTTACTGTTGGGCGATATAAGGCTGATTGATACTAAACAGACATCATCGAAGGCATTCATACCAACACCATAAATGCGTTTTCTGTCCATACAGCGGAAGGCTGCTCTATCGATGGAAAGGGTATGTTCTGTGTCTAACGCCCCTCGTTTTCGTGAAATATAGCTTACAAACATGTGAGGTGCGCTCGGTACACTCAAAACCCTCAACTGCTACATAGGCGCACCAGGTCAACTTTCCAACGCTGGGTGTGGAACCGAAGCATCCTCCCCCAGCTCTTTCGGGTCACCTTTCAATGCCGCTGGCGGCGGTGTATATGCCATGGAGTGGACTTCGCAGTTCATCAAGATGTGGTTCTTCCCAAGGAATGCTATTCCAACGGATCTCGATGGTAGCGGTACTGTTGATCCGGCTGGATGGGGTACGCCCCAGGCCAACTTCCAGGGTGCTTGTGATTTTGACAAGATGTTCGGAGAACAGAGGATTGTACTGGATACTACGTTTTGCGGGGACTGGGCGGGGGCGGTTTGGGATAGTTGGTAAGTATGAAAGTTCGCTGAACAAAGTGAGAGGCTGATGGTGTACCAGTAAAAAGGTGGGAAGCGATTGCAATACATATGTCGCAAACAATCCGGAGGTGTTCAAGGAGAGCTACTGGAGGGTCAACTATTTGAGGATCTTTGAATAGCAGTGAGAGCTCTTCGCTCTTGGACCTCAAAAAAAGCCATCTACCTTAAGCCTATGCATAACAAAGCGAGTAAATTATTTCAAGCCTTCTTTGTAGCCTAAAATTACTTTGCCTCAGGCGTCATTACGATGGTGAAAAGTTGAGGGAGACGTGTGAGAATGGCATATGCTTACGTCATCGCCCATCCCTGCCAAGGGTCCATTCTGCCATGGACCTCCGCCTTGACAGTAGCTTCTGAACAGACGCCCACTTTACACCACAACCCCACCATCGTGCCTGAGGTGCTTTATACGAGATCCTATCTCTTCTATAGGCTGGCGCAGGTTCAGGTCACATCATTCTACGCTCAGAGTGCGTGAAGATACACTATAGCTACCACAATGGCGTCGCGACTGGTGCTTGTCTTAGGCGACCTCTTCATACCAGACAGAGCTTCAGTATGTCTCAATAACCGTACATAAACAAATCTAGACCTCACAAACTTACAGGCTACATAGGATATACCCGCAAAGGTACACATTCACCACCCTTCATAACCATCCGCAATCCACTGTTCACTACCAATAATTTCCCCATCTCACACGCGCATAATAGTTCAAGAAACTCCTTGCTCCTGGCAAAATTGGACAGATTCTCTGCTTGGGCAACTTGACCGACCGCGATACCTACGACTTCCTCCGCGCCATTGCGCCTGATCTCCAAATCGTGAAGGGCGATTTCGATGTCGAAGCGCCCAACCTTGCCTTATCGAAGGTAGTAACCCACGGTAGCCTACGCATAGGCTTTACGCATGGACACACTATTATACCGCCGGGGGATGGCGACAGCTTGCTGATAGCGGCGCGGCAGATGGATGTAGATGTGTTATTGTGGGGAGGCACGCATAAGTTCGAAGCATATGAGATGGAGGGCAAGTTCTTTGTCAATCCGGGGAGTGCGACAGGGGCTATGAGTACGAGTTGGTGGACGGAGGATGAGGATCCTACGCCAAGTTTTGTGTTGATGGACGTAAGTTTGCCATACGAGAACTATACTTGTGAAAGGACCGGCTAACAGCGGAACAGGTCCAAGGCGATGTCCTCGTGCTATACGTGTACCAGCTCCGCAAAGACGCGGAAGGCAACGAGAACGTTGCAGTGGAGAAGGTGTCATTTCGGAAAAACGGCGGTGGTGTATCATAGCCGCATGGTCGAAGGTCGGCTTCGGTCGGCTGTTTGAGCGCATGCATATCACAGGCACCGAGCGGTTTCACAGCTTCAATATTACCCCCTCAAAGATCAAAGGCTTCAACGAATAGGCTCTAGTCGGTGCGCCGTTCTTCTATTCCCTGTCGTGCCACGATAACTGCACATGGTGGTCTTTACGGCTAGGGGCAGGATCGAGACCATGCAAGCTGCAAATTATATGTCGCTCAAGCAGTTTTGTGTTCCCCTATCTGTCACAGACCCTGGAACTCAGCTGAGGCTCATGCCATCATCTTCCTTCGTTTACCCCACATTCTCAACAGTGATGTGACCGTTCGGTGAGGCTCTGTAGCACCGCTGTACGCCCTGTCACGGGTTCGCCTCGCCTCGCCTCGCACAGCATGGAAGCGCTACCCATCTGTGAGGGCCGGAGACCGTCGGTGGACCTTCCTGCATCACTGCGGTCTCCGTCCGAGCACGTCTTTCACGGCCCGACCAACCTCCTCAAACAAACTCGGCATCGTAGCAATCATGCCCCAATTCCGCTCGCCCTTGATCTGCCTTCCCTGTCCAAAATCAATCTGCTCGCCGTTGAAATCACTAATCATTCCACCAGCTTCCTGAAATAGAATGTGTCCACCGGCGTGATCCCATATATAGGTAAATCGGGAGACATTTTTCGGTACTCGTACCATGACATCTGTGGATCCAAGTGCTAGCGCAATGTACTTGAGCTGCTGCGACCAGAGGACTGTCCCGGGCCAAGTGGCGCCTAGGCTCTCTGCAACAGCCTTGTGTTCTGGTTGCGAAAGCGATGTCTTTCCCAGTGTGCTTTCGACAAAGTTCAGGCTCGTGGGAGACTTCTCGGCTAGCTGTGTGAGATCGATGCGCCGTGGCTCTCCAATTCCTTTCTCTTCCATCTTGCGGACGCAAGTGCCTTGCCCCTTGACAGCAGACAGAACCACACCATACCCGTCCTCATCCACTTGATCTTCATGGATCCTGGTAGTCCCCAAGGGGGCATTGACGTCGAAAGCCAGATTGGGACAACCGATGACGCCCACCTTCTCTACACCATCGACTAGCAGACAGAGAGCAACAGCATACTGCCGATTTTGCATAAACGATAGCGTGCCGTCAACGGGATCCATAACCCACACTCTACCCGATCTCGTGACTTCCCCTTTCCCACCAAGATCGATAAGATCGAACATGGCCTCCTTGCTTGCCGGGAAAGATAACGTCAAAGCTCCCTCGTCCCCGCTCCCGCCCGCAGCAGTTCCGCTCCGCACGTGCTGCACGTCGCTCATTCGGGTCTCCTCCGCATTTTTGGCTTGTAGCACAAGCTGCCAGACTCGGTCCGCCAGAGTCTCATTTGAGCGGAGTGCATCGGCGCTCTCCTCTCCAATGAATGCATCTTCTGGGAACACGGCGTGCAGGACTGAAATGAGCAGGGCCTGTGCGGCGAAGTCCGCTATCGTGACGGGAGAATCGTCGGCTTTGGTTTCGGCGGATACATTGTTTTTCAGGCTGCGGAGCACCGATTTCGTCAGGACGGATGCGGCATGGACGACTTGCAAGGCGAGACGGAGCTCAGCGGAGTATGGTGTTGTCATCGTTTAATCGTGTAATGGGTGTTTGTTGACGTGATTGTTGGGGTGTACTATTGGGTTTGGAGATTAGTTCCGAATGTTTAGTTTTAGATGAGGTGAGGTTCCGCGAGAGCTTAGCGCAGTCGTTAGATCGACAACATGCCACAGCTTTTTTTTCTTGCAGGCAGCCGCCTTAGGTAGTTTTGTGACTGCTGAAAAGCGAGTACGCCGTAGTGCAACAACAGTCAGGCTACCAAAAGATACCAATTACGGAATGTGGCCGTCGGAATCAAGATATACGACCAGGGTATGGACATTCGTGAACGAGCGCGAGTCATCGTCCTGTTCGGATCCGAACAATATGACACAGTGAGACAGACACCAGCCGGACCGATTCAATGCATACTAAGGTTGCTGGCCTCACTAGAGATGATGAAGGCTCGCCTCCCCCGAGTATTTCCGCAAGGGTCGCGAACGTTCGGTAGGAGGTCGCTCCACCACAGTGACTACCAAACGGGCCGACACTCGGGAGATAGTCCTTTAGGGGTCAAGGAGCGTCGAAAGGCGAGACTGTTTAAAAACAGTATTGATCTCCGTTACAGCCTGCGAGCCGTGCAGCGTCCGCGATTCCATGCTGATGGGTTACACAGCATCGTTGTTGGTGAACATTGCTTCTTAGTAAGTACCGCTGAGCATTCCGCATGGTACGTACTCTTGTGTGGTAGTTCCATAGTGTCTCCCGCGAGTCCTCATAGTGCTTAGCAATATAGAAGTCGACAGGTACATGCGTCATACATAGGTACAGTCGGGTGTATGCTGACCTATAATATAATGCAGGCGCGGGATGGCTAATACTAGTGCATATTGTACATAGTGTGTGAGGAGGCCGAGACTCGTGGAGTGATGTTGTTGTTTATTATTGACGAGCAACCACGACACTCTACTGTCCTGGCGTCCCTGTCAGTTTACGGCACAACTTAGACACTAGGAACAATCCGGGCACGATGCGGCACGGGAGCTAAAAACAGGACCTGGCGACTGCAGAAGTTGGCGGTGGGGTTCCCTTTCCCACAAAAACAATGCGGACACCAGTCTTGTTCTGTCAGGTATTGCGGCATTGCCAGAAAGAGCACCCTGCGTTCCAAGCATACATCGCAATTTTTCAAAAAGGTAGGCAGCCTCTCCCAGGCACAGGGGCGGTGCTAGGAAAATAGCGCTTGAGCCTTGGGATAGGGGCTTAAATGGCTCAGAGCTAATGCGCAACAATGTGATTGATTCTCAGCATGGTAAGATAGGGATACGGATATCCAACAAGCTTGTCAAGCGCGATGATATCGGATCAAGTCTCGTTCCTGCAGCAGCCTGTCGACACCATGATGGTTTCCATCTTGGCTGTTTAGTGTCGTGCTGAAGTTGGAAGAAGGGGTGTGGGGGTTCGTCATGCTCATTGCTCAAACCGACAAATTATCGAGCCGATCCATCTGCAAGTCACTCCTAATGGCGTCCCGACACGAACAACGTGCATGACCTTGCAGAAGGCGCATTTCGCAGGCTGTCTGCGAAAGTAGGATCGTTATCTCCCTTTCCGAAGCCAAGAGAACACCGGAACGCTCATGGCAAGCGTTTTTCTGCAAGACACTAGCGCATGGAGGACGTCTATGCTTCGCTTACACCACTCAGCGCTCAAGCCGCTTCATCCCAACCGGTCAGGCGGCAGGACCATCCTATTCTTCATCGGGAGTCGGCGAGGGCGAAGCAACTATTGATCGGTGGTCAGAACGCCTGTTTGGTTGCCCTTTTTGGCTGTTCATGGCTTGCGCAATAGGCATCGACGAAGCCAGAGGTTGGCCTGGATAGGTCCAAGGTGTGCTAGGACTTTGCAGTCGCTAGTCAGCTACAATAGATGGCAGGTCCTCACGAACATGGCTGCAAATTGTGTTGAGAAGGCATGGTATTAGACCCTACACGACGGTACTGGAAAGGATGTTGTTTGTCGCAGATCGTTTATGCAGCATCGAGACGAGGTCGCGTCAGCTCGCAAATAGAGATGGCGCAAATAATTATCCGGGCGCGAGCATGTCGTGCCCCTAGGTTGCGACAGATAACGTCTTCGGTTGTTGCAATGCTCTTTTAGAGGGCTCGTCGACGGTTGATGCGTGATCAGGACGGGACATGAGGATACGGGTGCATTCCAAGGTCGCGGTGGGCGCGAAGTGGAATATCTTTCACTCAGCATTCCGTGCGTGCAAAGTTTTGTGCTTACGAGAGATGGGTTGATGTAAGAGGTGTTGTACTAGGGCTGAGGGCGTCTCACGGACGAGTCCGCTGCATGGGAGCATCATGTCTTCGCTCGTCATTATCACCGATGATAGCGAAGACCGGGCCTAACGCTGGGGTAGAGGCGGCTATGTCTAGAGGCCCACAGTGCACACGCTCGACGGATAGCGCCATGGGGGTCCCAGAGATGGCGCAAGCGTGTGTGGACACACTTGAACAGTGGCCTGTCGAGCCAGGATAAACGAGCATCGGTCCACTGGTTCAGCATTGGGGGTGGGAGGAGAAGTGGACCCATGACTGCTGAAACCGATATCTGGATGGCTCGTTTTGCGCATGCCATTCTGGAATAGGCTCTCGTACCTACATTTGCACGTCAGTCATCTGCCTGGCCGGCGCAGGGTAGAGCAGATGACTAGCGAGCAAGGCAAGTCGATTGTTCCGTCATCCATCCAGGGAGTTTGCTAACCGTGGTGTCACTCTCGGTTGCTCGAGCCCATCCCGCGGCCGAAGAGTTTTGGCCTCCTCCCAGCAGCAACCTATACAGCCAACTAAGGAGCCAACTAGCTGGCGAATCGTCGCAGCGCAGCGCGAGGGCGTGCTGGCAGCACCAGAAGGGTGGCCAAATGTCTGCCTGGGCGAATAGCAGGCTACAGAGGACGCTCATGGCGCAGGCATGGGCTAGCGCGAGAGGGGGTGCCCAGGTGCATTATTACTGGGGGCTTATGGCGCTTAACAAGAAAAATCGCAGAAGACGTGCACTGCGTGGGACATCCATGTCATGTACGAAGCACCGTCCGTGCCTGGGAACCATCCGCCTTTAACACGGCTATCCGCTCTCGTTTCTCCACATCTACAGAGCTCTGTGCTTCCTTCCGCTGAACTCTCAAACCCCATCATCATCATCATCTCATGACTCTTGTTTGAGACCCTCACTTCCTTTTCAAACAGCTATCCTTCATTCTCTCTTCCAAGTCAGCCGTGGCACTGCCTCGTCGACGCCCCACCCATCTTTGTCAACTCCTACCTCTCCTCCCAGCCCTAACATCTCCCATTCCCATGGCTTCTTCCTCAATGCAGTGGTCTTACGACTTCTGCCTCTCCTGCGACCGCCAGATTGCGGAGAACTGTGCCTACTGTAGCCAGGCCTGCCGGCTCGCCGACTTGGAGAAGGCTGGCAGCACACAAGCACAAGCGCCCTCGCAGCTGTCATCATCTGCTTCCTCTTCGTCGTCATCATCGTCGTCGTCGAACAATGGCTTCTATCTCCCGCCAGCCGTCAACTTCTCAGCATACAAGGCAGCCCCAAGCTCACGAGGATCTGACATGGCCCCTCCCAGCCCGTATCACTACTACCCAACTGCAAACGGTACCTACTTTGCACCCACAGCAGCAACAACAAGGCAATCACCACAACGTATCCTCACGCCATCTTCATCACGATCATCACTTGCCTCTGCTGCCTCTCAGACCCAAACAGGCATCTCGCAACAAGCGGCTACACAGCTGAACAGCTACATGCGCTCATTCGATCAAACCCGAGACTTGAAGAGGCGGTGCACGCAATACTAGACGCAACCGTCTAGCTTTCTCCACGCTTGTCTCAGGCCCTCCTGAGGCACCTCACATGACTCTCCAAACGCCCAAGAGCGATATTGGAAAGCTGTGCAAGTACTCTAGGACGATCTATTGCATTCTGGAGTTCGGTATTACGATCATCACGACAGACCGCACATCCACGGTCCTGCATTCGGCACTGGCATCGGTTTACGGAGTTTATTTCAGCATCACATCGATCACCGCCTCTCTACGTTTCATCACTGTACTATCTCCTATGTTATCCTCTGAACGCGTCGGCGGTGTACGATCAAAAGCATTTTATATCCTGTGGTGTACCGAATTTGTGTTATTACGAGCATTTGCACCCTGGTGGTTGGGTTTGGCTGCATCGGTGCCTCAAGGGCATTCAGCCCATGCGTTAGCATTGTGGTCATTTCGGTTGGATATCCCTCTCTCTCTATTAGCCTTGTTATCAATAACGCGTCTGCTTTCTGCGCTCGCAATACCACACGGTGCTTAGATAGCTGCTGCTTCGGCACGCATCAAATGGAAGGGACGACCATGAGCAATGGCCCATGGCGACAAGACACACCAAAGACCGTTTCTTCTCTCCCTATTTTGACGTCCAAATGACAACCTGACATGTCTCACTGTCATCGCAGATCCCCCAGCCGACCCCTCAAACGATGGCACGTGATCCCTGCATCACTTGCGCAAGCATTCTCCCGTGCCTTTGTCCTACGATAACGCAGCCACCCACACAGTGCCAGCCTCCACGGCACCCTGATTCGAGGCTAGCCGGAGAGGCCCCGTGCTCTGTTCCCCCCCTCTATTGTTGTGGCGCCTGTTCGATTCTGTGAGATACAGGGTCGGGTGCGCAAGACATGGCCGGTTGCTCTCTCCACACGGCTTGCTGTATCTCCTACACAGACCAGGAAGAATTTTCACGACGATCCAGATGTGCAGCCATGCCCGCCCCCCAACAATCTTCGCAACGACATGTGGTAACGGTTGCCACAGGGTGGCGAAAAGCACACACACCCCTCGAATGTTGTTGAGCTCTCCAGCACCGGGTCACCACCAGGACGGCACCCCAACTGTTCCAGGGGAGCGGCAAGAGAGACGGTTGGCACTCTGCGGTCCCTTGGCCTCGCCCGTATACCCTCAGCGTATTGGACCTCGTATCTGCACGCTTGTAGGCCGCGACACGCAACTGGACGGGTCTCTCTGCAAGTGGCTCCTTAGCCTGGCCTTCCCCGCATCTCTGAACGGGCCGCGAATTGTCATGGGTGCTGTGAGCAGGGTCATCCCTTCATACGCAACGAAAAAGCAAACCCCCCCACGTACGCTCGTCTCGTCATGCGCCATGTCGGACATGAGAGGGATCGCCAACATTTGTCGTTATGGCGCAACACGCCCGATGTCATTGATGTGACCGTCTCTCGTGGTGGTGCATATCATGGATTGACCAGCAGCAGCAGCAGCAGCAGCCTTGCAAAATTTTCAGCGACGCCTGGATAGCTTCACGCTCTAATCGGAGACTGCCAGCTCAGTCGTCTCCACTTCGCAAGCGAGGCCCGGAGATGATTGCCCTTCTATGGCTCGTCCGAGCAGCGTCCCGTTGGGATCCCGATCATGCAATCACGACACTTAGCTCCGTCCCTAGCAATCCCGAATTGTTATGTCATCGCCAGTGATCATTTGTGCGACATGAACGAGTCGTGTCACGCATAACCCTACAAGTCACGCCAGCATGGTCAGAGTGCATATTTCGCTAGCAAAACCTACCTACGCAGATCTGTCGATCCAGAGGATTCAAGATATCCGTCGCGGTCCGCTTCCTAACAAATCGACAATCATCAGGCTCCTTTACACGGGCCGATACGCTTTGTTTGCAAGTCAACGACAAGCTGCATCGAGGCCCGGCAAATGCAGGACTAAGTAACCAGCGCAACACCATATTTTCGCAATGAATAAGCCCGAACGCACATCTACACAGAGTTTTCACTACGGCTCGGAGAGTACCAGCAGGCCCCCGACAATCTCATCATTTGTGGAGTCAGAGATGGTGCTCGGAGGCTCAACGAGGCTCCGAAGTTCGCTGAGGAGACGTGAGTCAAGGGAAACCCTGCCGTCGCAACAACATCCTGCCGACCATCGCTCGATGCGACAGACTCCATCCTATGGCCTGTCCACCTTTTCGAGGGCCTTGGCAGAACAGCATCACGAACTTGCGACATGTTGCAACAGGATCCATGTGGATTTTCACTGCTATCAAGTAGACGCCTGGTGAAATCCAGTCTTTCCTATGTCTGAGGGATGTGCATGTAATTGAAGTATTCAGTTTCCCTTGCCCTCAAGAAAAGGAGCGATCCTGGTGATCGCGCGGATTAGCTAACTAGGGATTCGCGACTCAGCTGTCCTTATCGTTCCACAGAACGCACCAAGACCACCTATGCTTCCCGTCGCGACATGTGAGCACTGATCTGGTGGTCTGGGATACTGCATTCACCAAATCCGCGCGCACCAACGCAAGCCTTGTGCCAGAAATGTCAAGACCTCGTGTATGCCAGGCACAAGATTGGTCGCTCTGCACGACTTCCAAAGTCGTTCATTTGCGACGGAAGATCTATCCGCGAATAGAATAAATCCATGGCATGCCCGAAGCGTTCGACGATCGTCTTGTCGTAATGCAAGGCACCCATTGCGCACGCCAACACTTCCTGAAACGGAAGGTTGGCACAATCAGGAACTCTACTAGGCGTCATCAATTATTGGAGTCGTCGATATGCAGAATGCCATCCTATCAAACGCCCTCGCTTATATAGCATCTGTCTCGATCCTACAAACTCAGGGCGTAGGCACACCCACACGTACGATTAACTTTGCGTCTATCCAAAATAGAGTTCCGGGAGGGTGCAGAATCTGGTTCAGACTGTTTGCACGGCGCTAATGTGGTCACAATATCCACCTAGAGCATTGGGAGAACTACGCAATATCTTGGTCATGATATACGCCAAAGCTCATGTCACGGGCTTCACTTGGGATGCCTCAACCAACCGCCGAGTCAGTTCAAGACGCCACTCATTGACGATTATGTCAGATATTTGTTGGCTGCAGCTCCCGATAAGGGCCCGTGTTGGGGATTCCCAAGAATTGATAAGGTTCAAGCTGTGGGTCATTAGCCGTCATACCCGCCCTCGGTATGATCCGTTAAAATGTGGAGCTGCAAGCGATTCACAAATAGGGTCCACAATACTTCGCCAAAGGAAGGATGCCGGATCGGCAACATGAGGTTCTACCTTTTCTCCGTGGAGGGCCGCTTCTGATGACCTAATAATGGATACTTCCACGAAAGCTCACTACGCTCCATAGGTATGGGCAAAGCTAGTTCGACGATATATGAACAGCTCCCACATAATCGATTCAAGGTAAATCGTATACGCTAGCAACACCTGTTCATATAACAGTCTTGGTGACCCACTAGCAGCAGAGCTATAGCAACCACAGTCAGCAGTCTGGGCCCCGGGAATCACCTCCCAAGCCATTCAGAGTCTTCCAACCCAGTTTCACATTTTAACAGCCACATAGCCACGAGCCTGATCAAGCATATCATGATTCTGGAACATATTGACACGCGGACGCCATTCCCCCCACCATCCACGGGAGATCAGCCCAGCCAATAGTAACGCCCCCATCAATAGATTTGCTTAATTAAAGCTAAAGGAAACCGGTATTGGTCTTATCCATGTCTTATCCATGTAATATGCATGCGTACCATCAACAAGTTTTGTTCTTGAAGCGGCAATGACCAAGGACTGGGATTCTGGCGAAGGTGAGGCTTGCGTGTCGACAGACCTCCTATCTTTAGCGAGAGTGCCGTTTGATGTGCCGAAGCTATTCCGGAGGAAGTATTCCAGTATTGCCTCCAAAACATCTACCAGGCTTCCTAGGCAAGAGTCGAGTATCTCCACGCCAAGTTTCGCGCAGCAGCAGCGAAGTAGTACAGCATAGTGACGCCAGGCCTGTCGTCATTCGCCCTTAGCTACGGGTCGATCCTCGAATAGTATCGGTTTTCGGTATCCGTCTCGACATCGTACTCGCCGTTGGTGTGGTGAATGATAGACTGTTCTTGCTCCTGCTCCACAGCCTATTGTATCCCCCTGCCTTTCCTTGTCGACGTTGTCTTTTTCCCCTCTACCTTCAGCCATTTTGACCTTCTTAGCGTCTGCCTTATCTCTCTCATCTCCCTGGGGAGGTGGGTGCTTTCGAGTGTCATGCTGACGGAGGCGGGTGCTGGATTGGTCGTCCATGTCGTCGGCGTCGATATAGGTGTAAATGTAGGTGTTTGCGTAAGTGTTTCTCGCCATGTTGTACAGAGTATGGCTGGCAGTTGCTGGCAGGGTGAGGGGTGAGATAAATTGAATAACTTGGAAGGCGAGGTGCTACAGATGGAACACACTCCCACCGCCAGCGAAACAATTCAACGGATCAACACGCATCAACCCAAGCGAACCACTCCGAAGCTACCAGGAATGGACTGATGATGCGATTCAACTGTTGAGAGATCAAAGTATCTTAGAGAGTTAGATACTTAATGACGGGTGGTGGCGATGGGTCTCAATTTCTGGATAGACAACCACACGCCGCATATCATGTCCATGTCCATGTACTTCTTTCGGATATTAATTTTATTCCTCGGTATCAAGGTCAACAACCATAATTTGATACATGCAGGATCCAATTAAAAAGCCGCCGACAAACTAGGCGGCCTATCCTCCACTCTGGTACCCCATGCACTTTCCGTTTCCCCAAGCACTAGTTCCAAGGTCCAGCCCTGGGTGAAGAATTCATGACCAATCCAGTTCTTCCTATAATCTGCACCGTTCAACCTCGCGCTTTGGATATAAATATTCTTGTACTCTTTGTCAAAGTTCACGTTACGAATCGTGGCAGTCAAGTTGGTAATCTGATTAGTGATACTGACTGATTGGAAAAAAGGAGGAGTAATGAAGTAAACGTTCTGGCCTGGATTGGGGAAGAGGCCGATGGTGGAGAAGAGAGTGAAGGAGGCCATGGCGCCAGAGTCGTCGTTGCCCGGGAGCCCGGCATGGGAGGTGTTGAAGCGGGATGGAATATCTGTAAAGATCAGTAGGAGTTTGTTCGGGGTAGATTGCTGCCTAGACTTACAAGTGTGCACGCGCTTTGCGGAAAGTGCTGGCCTGCCTGCATAATGCGGCATGTATACTGTCAAAAAGACCGGCTCATTCCCAATGTCAGCGAGCCCAGAGGTATGGAAAAAGTCCAGGCGCTTCAGGAACACTTCTTCTCCACCAAGTAGTTCAATGACTTTTCCGATATCATGCGGCACAAAGAACATATATTCCCAGCAGCTCGACTCAAATGTCTCAGACGGGTTCGAGGTCAGCGAACAGAAATTAGCGAGAGGACTGCAGGCAATCGGATCCTGATAACCCCAAGTACCATTCAGATACTTGGGCTGGAAGAAGCCTGTGAAGGTGGTATCCGTGCCATTAATGAAAGACTTTTGGTCTGCTTTGTAGAGGTTCTGCCAATTGCTTGCTCGAGCAATGTACTTTAGGTATGTGTCCTTCCCCAATCCTTTGGCAAGGGTAGCGAGATTGAAATCATTGTAAGCGTACTCTAGCGTCCGGGATATACTCCGCGAGTTCGTCCCAAAACCGACAGGATCGAAGTCAAGATACGGTACGTAGTTCAACTTTTTCCAGCTCGTCAAGCCTCCTCGTCCTTCGACGCTCCATTCCAATGGTTCGTTCTCTGCGTCGTTGACAATGGCTTCGTATGCGAGCCCCCAGTCGATTCCTGTGAGGTTCTTGACGTACGCGTCGACTAGGACATTATCTGCATCTGAGCCTCCCTGCGTCCAGCCTTTGCATGTACTCATCATACAGTCCGGTAGCCATCCACGGTGCTTATAGGTATCGAGTAGGCTGCGTAGTAGTTTTGACATCATCTTAGGATCCAATATAGTGAGAAATGGTAGCTGAACGCGCCACATATCCCAGATGCAGTAGAAAGAATCGAAGTATGGTTCGTCACTCTTCCAATGAGGATTTTCTCCAGTATAATTCTGAGGAGATATCATCGTTCGGTAGATCGCACTCCAAAAGCTGGCTTGCAAGCTATCATCCACACCTCCTGTTTCGATCGCTATTGGCGTAAGCTTCTCGCGCCATGCATTTTCCGCCGTGTTGACTAGACCGTCAAAGTTGAAATCAGGACCAGGTATCTGTTTTTTCGCATTCTGGCAAGCCTGCTCGGAGCTAACGAAGCTAAGGCCCATTCGTGCAAGTATAGGTCCAGAAAGCGGCCCCTGGAAGCGAATGAAGCCACCGGCTTGTAGGTAAAAAAGGTTGAAGCCTCGTGTGACGTAGAGTTCTTTCGGCTCGGTACCCGCTCTATCATTGACCCAGACTCCTGAGTCTCTGACCTTCCCTCCAGTGACATCTAGGCAGAAGTAAAGCACATAGGAACCTGCTCCAAAACTCGGGAGGAAGGTACCGTTGCCCTTCATCCTTCCAGTGTCACTGCCGCGTTCTGCCTCAATACTTATCGACGCATTCTGACGGCTAGCCCAAAGATCGGTGAGATCCAGCAATATCAGCGGATTGGCGCTTGCATTTCCAGACGAGGTCTGCGAGAAGTCGAAGCGGAACAATGCCGCATGCTCCGAAACAGTCATATCAGCATGTATGCCGTTATCCAGTGTTACTCCAAAATACCCTGGTCGCGCCTTGACTGAGTCATTCTTGGAGGGAATCGCGCGCGCTTTGATTAGAAATTTGCAAGTATTAACATCGTCTCCTGGGCAGATCTGAGGAAAGATGGGGAAGTTCCCTAGGCTTGGGTTTCCTCCAGTCCCAGAGTCATGCAGCGCTGAGAAACCAGTGATGTTACTTCCGTCTGTCGAAAACCCCCCTGTGTTTTCACCATCTACATCGGCGACGGCTGGAAGCAAGTTAGTAGCTAAAGAGAATAGGTGTTGACATTCGAACCTTTTGCCATGCCGTATGGCAGAGTTGCGCCCGTGAACACATTGCCGCCACTTCTACTTCCGATCACTGGATCTATCGAGTCCAGAATATCGAAGTCTCCTGATTGTCTTGAGTATTGTATTGCTAGTGACGGTATTACAAGTTCAGTGAGAGTGTAGAGGAGGTAGATGGGACGAATCATGCTGTAGTAGGTGAACAAATATCAATCGCGAGGGTGGAAGGGACGCATTCTGTACGTGATGTCCTGTTGCGCTTCAGTATGACGACGTCACTTTAGATGAGGTGTTGAAGCGCTCCTTCCAAAATGAGTGGTGCACATTGCGGGGTAGTGTAACCGGCTGTTTGGTACTTGTAGCATAGCTGTGACGTGCGTGCGCATCAACGTCTTCGATATTGTTACGGCTATTGATATGAATCTGTTCATTCAACTATTCAAGTCAAATCAGGAGTATGTTGCAAGCTATCTAGTCCCTACTAAAAAAAGTGAAAAACATTCGGGGTGTTGTTATCTCTTGTGCAAATATAGTTGGTTCAACGAGCTGAATCGCTCTAAGTTCCTTCGTTACATGGTCTACCAACTGATAGTAGACAACTGTTACTTAAATCCAGCCTTGCAAAGCCTTGTAAGACGACTTGTTGCGGCAGCCCGTGGGTTGCATGGCTTGCAGTGGTGCAATACGGCACTCCACTAGCGGCTAGTGCTGCCTCACCCCACAACCAGTTCTCTGTGCTACAATAACCACTTATAATCTGCCTAAGGGTATTCCATGCACCTGTGACAAGATTAGAAAAGTGTCGTGTGTGATGCTGTTCAGCTTCTCACCCGTAGATGATTCGGAGGCGCCGTCAGTGGCAGATACTACCGTCAAAGCATTATCCTAAAAAGGTAACCACCAGCAAAAGCAAGTTCGTCACAAGTCGGCATGGAATTGCGCCGGGTATACGAATTCGTGCGCATGTCTAGCAAGGCTGGATGCAAGGGCCTGAAGTCAAGCACACTGAGAGTTTGTAGCCCCCACAAACCAGAGTCAACGGTATTGCGCTGGTCGCGGGTAAGTGAGCCGCAAACCCGGACGTATGATAAAGATAGAGCATGGGTTTTGTTTGAATTGACAGAATCAGAAATACTCACACCATTGGTATCTATAGACATTTGCTATACAGATGTTCCAATGTTGCAGCCAATGACGGAAGATTTTCGAAGGCTATGCAGCTTGCTGACGCCAATTCGCGGTCTGGACGTTACGCCTCTTCCCTTTCTAGGTTGGTAGCATGATGGACTTGTATCTCCTCGTATTGTCCGTTGATGGCTGCATTGTCGCAGTCGCTGTGACCCTCCTGTGCCGCGAAGGTAACATGTGCTTGCGCATTCTCCCACCCACTAAATATGAGAGCCTCGTGGCTTCCCGCAGCCATATCACATCGCCAACCGTGTGCCACCCTGAACGGATGGCTGCCTTGGAGAAGTTGTGTGTGCCTCATGACAGCCTGATTGAATGCGTTGATGTAATCTCCTTTGACGCTCAAAATCTCGATGGCTAAAACAGGCGCATCCAGTGGAAGCGAGCTCATACCGTCTAGCTCAATATGAATGGTCCAAGAGAACTGAAGCATGTTCTCTTGGGGGCCCAAAATCTCGTGCCGCGCTGGAGAGGCCAAGAAGTCCAAATGAGCTTCCAGGCTCGGCCATGTACCCAAAATATAGATCAATGTGGGGTCCTCAATGCAATGGTAGAACTGTGAGTTGGTGTGCAGTTTACCTCGGACGACTGATAGGCTGTGAAGCAATACTGGGTCGTCCGCAGAAAGCCTCTTTAGACGTAGCTGGGTGACCTCGAGGACCGGCATGCTTCTCCGCGGGCGTAAGGTCGATGAGATCTCGTATCGCGTCTCCTCTTTTAGCACCAGGAAACGGGAGTACGTGCGAGACGAAGAGTGGTGGAGCCCGACAGACGGGGAAGGATACACGGTCGTACGTTCACCCCGCGTATAGGAATGTACCTTGGCGTAACGCTCTTAGGGCTGCCGTTGTGCTCGAGGGTAGTCGAGAATTTGGGGACCCCCTTGGACAATCAACAATTTGTCGCTGCCTAACTAGCCTCGGTGCCTGATACGCCTATTATTCTGATGAGCCTGCAGAAGTATGCGAATGCCCCCCTAGCCTGCAACGCGTCTTGGAGGGGTTCTGCCTAGCCATTAGCCCTCTACCGCGCGGTCAACGTTGCATCGCGAAGCTTTCTGGAGCAGCATGATGCAGTCTTGCTTTCAGCTTCAGCTATTATTAATCTACTTTTGTATCCCCTCTTCTTGTGGGTCAACGAATGGCGGAACGGCAAGAGCGTCGTCGCGCCCTTTGAAGAACAATCGACCCTTGCGAATTCACCCTATCGGCGCACATCTGGAGCTTGGCCACTTGGCCATGGCTGTCCTCCTCTCGCGATACTAAAATAGTCCGCCAGACAGCTGCACGCAAGGCCGAGGCGTCTGGTGAAACTGCTGTCTCGTGGCACCGCGACGACAACGCGATGGTCGGAATGACCTTTGAATAGCGTTGCGGCTCGATGGTTCGCTCGCAAAGTCTGCCTGGACTGATCGCAAGGCATATAGGCTCTGCAGGTTGACGTACCATGGCCGCACAGCCCTCGAAGCCATCAACCGTCCGGCCGCATACCGGTCAGTTGCCTCAAGCCAGATGTTACCCATGCTCAAGCATCCGAGGCCCTTTTGGGGCTTCTTCATTGTTACAGCCAAGCGAGACTCCACCCCATTTGTTGGAAATGGGTAACTTACAGCGTAGGGCTGTGTGAGTCAGCCATGTTCAGCTCGCGTTGCCTTAGGCCTCCCCTGACCAGACAAGGTCTATCCACACTCGCGGGGTCTACAGTACGCCCCCAATTTCGTAGTCCACTTGTCGCGGGCCGGTGCATATCGAACAAGAAGAGTATATATCGCCACTGGGGAAGACTGCCCCGCGGCTCGCGTATCTTGACCCTTTCTCATGCCTTTATTGTCGATGCTGTCTCCTCAGAATCGTAGTATGCAGGACAGTTCTTCAAGCGACTCACCAACTCTGTCGGATGGTCGAACCGAGAGCGCCCCATCGCTACCTCGAAAGCCAATACCCAGAAAAGGACATACCAAATCGCGTCGCGGCTGCTTTAATTGCAAAAGGCGTAGAATCAAGTGCAATGAGAAGCATCCAGAATGCAACCACTGCATCAAGGCAGGGCTGCAGTGCAAGTATCCAGCCAACATAATACAATCCATGCAACGGTCGCCTACACCACCACATCCACAAGAGGTAGCGAATCTACGATCCACGCCAGGCATGTTTGTGAGTGCTCTTCAGGCATACAGTCAGCTCTGGCAGTACCTGATGATTATAGTCCATGGCCGACATGCGCTTATTCCACCATTTCCTCATCACTGCGTATCCGCATCTACCAGTAGGTGCCGACAAGATATGGATCACTGTGATCCCAAGCTTTGCGCATAACGTAAGTTGCTTTCCATTCGCCTCGGCGCTGGCAAAGTAGACATGGCTGCCGGGATCCCAGGAATATCTCCGAAAGACGCCCCTTTTTTGAAGTCGAAACAAACTCAACAATAGCATCAGGCTAATAACTGGTGCAGTACGAATACCTAATTCATTCGATCCTTGCACTAGCCGCATCGCATCTAGATGCTGTATCGAGCTCCAGTGTCGCTGAACAGGCACTACAACACCGTATCCTAGCCGTCAAGTCGCTAAACGATGCGCTCTCAGTACCACCAAAGACGAGATGCGAGCGAGACGCCAGAATGGCCGCGGCGCTGGCACTCGCCTTTCAGTCAAGTCATCTGCAGGATGGCATGGCCGAATTTCTGACAATGGTCAGAGGCTGTAATCTGATTGCGGGCGACGAGGCGGTCATGAATGCCGATTCAGCCTTCCATGTATGCTGCCCCCTGTTGCGATTGCAAGCTTTCTAGCAACCGATGAAAACGAAAGTAGGTTGACAATTGCAGGCATTCCGAGAAGATGGTCATCTCCAAACGATGCGAAATCGGATCGATACATCACAGTTGAACTACGTCAATCAAGAGGATCTCGACTTAGCTGCCATGTCGCTTCGCGAAATCGAAGTGCTCAACCTATCTGACTGGGAGAGAACGTATTGGAATATCTTAGTTCGCACGGTTGACAACGCCTATGAGAGACCGGTGGAAGCGTACACTACTTTCGTCTTACTGTACAACACGCCATCGAGATGGACGCATGACGAGTTCCAAGCATTCATTGACCCAAATAACAGCGTGGCCCAGATTCTATTAGCGCACTTCATTGCTATCCAGGCGATCCTCACACCCATTCTCTACCTGGAGCGAGTGGGCTTCCAAGGTGTCGATGCGCCAACGGCTGTTTTAAGTTGGATTGAAGGCATTTATCGGAATGTGCCGCGTCACTTGCGGCACCATGCCGAGTGGCCGAGACAAGTGTCAAGGTATCCATTCATGCGCTTCCTGGGACAGAAGCAGATGGATTTCTATGAAGAGGATCTTTTACTCATATAAACATCGGTGCAACAGGAATTTGTGGGGAAGAAGGGTTGAAGAGCTTGTATCAGTAAATTAAGGGGCAATGGATATTGCGTTCGCCTAATGGGAGCTGATGGCGGTAGGGAAATTATGATTAGATGATACCCGTGACGGTCTCTTGGCCTGTCTATCATTCGCTTTGCGAGCATTGCCGCTTGCTATGTAACGTCTATAGCAACACATAGCTCGAAGAATTATCTGCAACACCATCTCGGAAAGCGCCATGAGCACCTTCCCTTCCGACATGTTCCCGAATTACCGGTTACATCATTGGGTAACAGCACTTGACCTAGTGGCACTGTAGTAACACTGGCATTCTGATGTAGCTTAAACATTCATGGCCTTGAGTTGACAAGCGTCTGCGTTCTCAAAACATGCCATCGTCGAAGTTTGATTGCGGGCCTCACAGACTACCAAATAGCACGGCATAGTACATGAAACTTGCGGCCCCAAATGCAATAAAGTCTGGATTAGGATAGAACCCGTGATGATACATAAGAAATAACTCCATGATCCGTACCCATATTCACTGTCGTGTAATATTCCCAGGTGAAAAAAAAGCATAAAACAATAGCCGCCCAACCCAAACAAGGGACGCTCGACAAAAATAGTTGTTTCGTCTTTACCCATTTAATTTCCTCTTGAACGCCGTGTGGCGTGATCCTTTACCCAACACCTAGTGTTGATGATGCTATCCTTTTGATCAGGGACGCCGCACTGAAAAGTCAAAGTAGCCGTACATATTTTGACAGTCGCCTTTATAACCCATGAGCTCTCAGCCCTTGAGAGCCCAGTAGAAGTAAACAGTAGAGAAAGGAAATAGTCTAAGCCAAAGGTTTCGCAACCGCCAGAGAGGTGAGTGACTCTGGAGGCGAGGGCGGCGCAACTTCGAGCTCTGGTGCAGCCCAGCCTTCTTGACGGGCCGCCCACATGACGAGACTGAGATCGAAGTTCTCGAAGAAAACCTCGTCGAGGAATCGAGCTTTCACACCGGCATATGTGTGATACTCGTCGCGAATCGCATCTAGGTCGAGCCCAATGATCCTCCGAAAGCAGGCGACTGTGCATCCGGTGCGGTGCTTGCCCTTGTTGCAGTGGATGAGAATTGGATGGTTGGCGCGGTCCATGATTAAGCGCAGAGCCTTGGCCATTTCGGACGACTCCACGCGGACTTCAACCTTGTTGGCCCTGATGTGAACGTGGAAGTGCTGAATCCCGGCGTCCGTCATGAACGCTTGGTATTCGGGGGAGAGGGGCTCAGGGACAAGGGTGAGAATGCTCTTGATCTTGAGGTCCTTCAAAAACCCGTAATTCTTCTCTTCGGGATAGCTGCTGCGGTAGATGCTTCCAGGCAGGACGGCGCCATAGTTTGTAGGAGGTATAAGAGAGTGCAAGCGTTCTCGAGCCGATCGAATAGAGGCAGCAGGGGTGGTTGTGCCGCGGGACTCGGCCATGCAAGCGATCGAGCATTCATGGTCGTGTGGGAGATCTTCATGCGTGGTCAAAGCCGCGTGGTATGTAAGCCCATCGCTCGCAGAGAGTCCGAGACCGTGAACGAATTCCTTGACCTTCTGGTACATGCTTTGCTGGGTGTTTTGGCCCTGCTCCGCGGGGATGGTGGTGTCACCGTTGATAGACATTGTGCGATGCGTTGCGTTGGGGGTTTCGGCCTTTTGTGAGAGGAGTGGTACTGATTGAGTTGGGTGAGCCATCGACTCTGCTTTGGCTGGGCCTATGTGACGGGATTAGATTTGAAGCTAGCTTTAGCCTGTGACATTACATACCTTTCAAGTACATTGTCTGCTTGGATTAGACAGTGTTGAAGGTTGGTATGTCGGAGGTGGGTGTCCGTGTCTATGGGCGGCGTGTCTGAGTGTTGAAGCGTTGAAGGGTGGTCTACGGGAAAGGGGGATGTCCGGACAGAAGCCGACGCGGGCAGCCTTTTATGAAATTAGCAAAACGCGTAGAAAGCATTATCGTGAGTTTTTCGGCCTTGAACTCTGGGAGTTCGTACAGCGACCCGAGGATTCGTGCAACTGCGACAAAGAGCATGCTTGCGCGATGCGAAATGCAGGACACGGCTGACAGGGCGATGATGAGGAGTGACGGATTTACTTACTGCGCTGTCACCGTCTGGTCAAAGCAGACATGTTGAAGGCTTCTTGCGGATATACTGCAAAGAGGCGAGATTCATAGTGTGTGGAGGGTAAGGTGAAGAGGCGGGTTGTAGAGGCCACGCGATATCCTGGGTGGTGGTGAAGCACAGATTGCGGAAGCGAAATGGTCAAACCGTGTTACGCGGGGGGTGGTGCAAGCTCAGTGTCAATATATGGGTGCCGGTGTCGTGGCTGTGGAAGAAATCGGGTGGTTCAGAGGGTCGTCTTTCACTGGAACGACGGAATTATGCACGCTTACCTAACCCTAGGCAGGCGGAATTCCAGGGTCGCCAGTGGTATGTACGTCACTTGCCGCAACGTCCGGGGTGCCGTTCAAGATGCAGGAACGCCGCGGATGCAGCAGTCGTTATCTTTTGTTTGCTGGAAGCTCTGCTACCTCACAATGAGATCTAATAGCTTCGGATGCGCGATCACATCACACGCACAAAGCAAGCGCCAAGTGGTCTCGCGTCGAGCTGCTCATTATCCATCGCCCCGCTGGGAAAGCGTGGTTTGCGGACTTAGCGGCGCATCTCACTACCGTCTCGGTCCCAAGGTCTGCGAGAAAAATGAGCCCGAGCGACCGTCATCACACCACTCACGACTGAATCTCGGAACGCGGTATGCGAAAGATTGGTTGGTGAGCCCATGCAGTTCATCTGTGCAATGTGGGCAGTCTTCTCATTTGTTGGCTGCATTGTGAAAACCTGGAAAAACGCAGTTGTAACACATAATAATGTCAGTCGTGTCGTTGGTCGTGTCGTTTTTGCACCCACAGAAATTAGGCCAAGATAATAGCGACCGCCCGGAGTTCTCGCTTCCACCCAGAGTTCAACAGAAATCTCATCTAATGCGAGATGTTGGCCTCTCTTCCAAGGTTCTCCACTTTCACGTGAAGGCGCTAGTGATCGTCGGCTAACTACAAGGGGGATGAGCTTCCCGTCCCCAGAGAGTCTGTGCGTCGGCCAGGAAGTTGGATCGAACCTCGGTCACTCCACCATTCAGTAAACAGATCAAACTTTACTCTCCCTAGTACTCAGTAGTTTCTTTCTCTTTATCCCCTTCCACACTATAATGGAATCCCCTCGCGCCTCGTCGCGTTCCCGGCGTTCCTACCCCAATCTCCACAATCTTTCCCTGGCCCCGCTCAGCGCCAAATATCCCATTGATGCTGGCACACCGCCCTCACCAGACGAACACGTCCGTACCCCGCGGACCTCGTACATAGCACAGAAGTCCGCGCCAACAACGCCAGGGATCCTGAGCCTAAGCCAAAGCCGCAGCAACTCGCGCCATCGCTTGAAGAAGGCGTTGGCCTATGATAGCTTCTTCGCGGATCCCGAGCATATGCGTAGTGGGGAAGTCAGAGATGCAGGCGATATACCCAAAGCGAAGAGCACAAGCACTCTACATCGGGATGTGCATGTGGGGTTTGCGGATGAGCTGGCGGGGAGCGAGAAGAGACATCACATAAGGAAGGGCACGGCGCCGTTACCACTACGCATGCCGCTCGTCAGACACCACACCAGTGAAGCGAGTGATGAGTGGTTTCACCGTGCTGGGCTCGCCATCGCAGGAGAGACGCGAGATAGTAAAGGGCAAGGGTGGCTTGTTAGGCGGGAGAGCTCGACCAGCCTTGTCCAAGAGAGCGATGGGTATGAACTACACCCCTCACACGACTCTCGACACATGGCCTTGCTATCGGGCGAACACGTGGGGGATGGGGACTATCCTGTGTTTTTCTCGCCTCGCATGTCAAGAGCAGCAAGTCGTATCACAAGTCGAGTGGGGTCTCGCGTCCCCAGCGCGCGTCAGAGTCGACGCGGCAGCCGCGTCGGCAGCCGAGTGGATTTGATGATGTCTGCTGGAAATAAGCCGCAAAGCGGGCGTCAGAGTTTCGAGGAGCTGGAAGAACACTTTATCGAGCCCGACTTCATCGAAGGCGATGAAGAATCTGACGGCGACGAGGAAGAAGTTGCACGACTAGCGCGGGAACGCGCATCTGGGCTTGGAGGGTGGATGGACAGACTCATCGGGTGGACCTTGTTCGCTGTTGACGAAGACGGAGAAGGATCAGACGAAGAGGAAGAGGAGGATAACATCGCGCCGAGGCTTGAGAGTATGACCAAAGATGAGCTAAAACTGCGACGAGAAGTTGAAGCGAAGAGACGGAAACTCGAGCGCGAGGCTATCGTTGCTGCTTCGGCGCTCAGAGCACAGGAAACGAGCAGTAGCAGACCTAGCACGGGTGATCCGCAACAATCGCCTGTAAACGAAGAGGGCGGCGGATGGCAGGATGCGGCGTGGCTTTTGAGCGTTGCGTCCAAGGCTCTATTGACATGACGGGTTTGGAAATCTTGTCCTACTTTTGCGATTAGCAAGCGAATCCTGAATCACATAGAATCATCAAGCTGAAGGCATATACAAAGAGTAGTATCATATTGATAATTCAATCTTAGCACACTTTTCTTTTAGACAAAATCTTATTGATACAGTATATTACAAAGATACGCCTTAAGCAGACCTGTGTACACGATGTGTCTACACTCCGTCCAAGCACCACACAATGACATCCCCAACCCTTCGATGATCATCGTGGAAGTGGCTATTGAAGCCTCTCCAGCACTCCGAATACCTTGTGCCGTCAAGGTGTTTTCTCAATGTATCTTCTAATTGCTCAAAGAAGACGAGGTTCTGTGGCCACTCGTGCTTATATTTCCGCTTATGCTTTGGATCCTGCATCATCCAGAATTGTCCAGACCGCGATCCGCCAGACCTGATGGTGTCCGTGGACTCCATATTCGAGCGCAGCCAAGCGACAGGCCCAGGCTTGATATAGAACTCATCTGCTTCGTCCAAGTAGGTGGAGCGTTCGGAGAGCGGGACGCCGAGAGGTGGCTCGCATGTCAGCGCCCATGCAGCAATTTGCGGGTGGACGAGGTGGGAGCGCCAGGGTGTGGAGTGGCAAGGCATTAGGAAACCTACGGTGGTGTTGGAGATTTGGCGATCATAGCTTGTGCTACTAATTTCAGACATGCCATTGCGTGTTTCGTGTTTATGGCGAATGTAAGATAGCACGTCAATGACGCCACGCTGATGTACCTGGGAGACATAACCAGCAAGTAGGAGATTCAAGGCAAAGAGAATAGAGATGACTGCTTTGCGGGATAGTGAGGCGTGGGGAGGCAGGAAAGAGGATACCTGTTTTGCGGCTATAAGGTGTAGGAAAGGCAGGATTGGGTACAAGAAGCGGACTTCCTTGTGAGATATCAGGCTCAACGCTACTGTCACGAGAATTGATACCCATGCCAGACGTTGCAGGATTGAGCGCTGTATAGCACTTTCAGACGGTGCAGCCACTGTTGTGTTGCGAAAGCCCAACGACTGCCACACTCCAACGATAGCAAACGGCAACGCTGTTGTTAAAAGGAGTGGTAAGCCCTCAGTGAAATAATAGTCTGCTCGGTTCTTGCCATAGAACACGGCCAACGACTGGGCAATGTTGAAGTAGAGGAAGCGAAGAGGCGGGAGAGTCCAGACCCCGTAGTAGAGTCTGTCGGACATAATTGAACACACGAGGACGGCGGACCTAGCATTGTCAGTCAAACCAACGTCTGGTGACCATTTGCCCACGGTAATTCCCACGATGCTGCATGCTTGTAACCGAAGCTACGCAACTTGCAGGAAGAAAAAGGTGCAGCGGATGCAGGTAGAGCACTTACCCGCAAAATAAAATTTCGCGGACCAACACATACCGCAGCCATTTCGAAGCTTGCCATAGTGTTGGAACGAATACGGACAACCAGACTAGGGCATTTGTGGGTCGGAGGACGCAAGCAAGTGCTGCTAGCAACAGCGACAGACGTAACCTGCATGAGCATGAGCCTAAATTGGCGGCGTACAAACGAAGCAGAAGAGTCCGAGTTGCACTACTTACTCTGGAAGTGAGCCGAGGTGCTGGTGTTGTGCAATCTGCGATTTATCCTTGGGCCTAGTATCGCTATCGCTAGCGGTACCTCGCCAATGCCAAGGCCAATAGTAGATGGCAATGACCGTGATGGTCGTCTCAAGGCAATTGGATAGCGTCCGAGTTGAGCAAAACCAGTGCCAAGGGCTGCAGACGGACAAGGCAAGCTAGAATGGCGCAGGACCTACTATCAGAAATTGGCGGAGAGAGATATTGCGGGACGGCGACGTACAGTAGCGAGGGCGGTGCGACTGCCACGACCATGGACTTTTTCCGCGAGTTTCCATGTGTAGCAGTCGAGCAGCGCGGCCATGACAGCCTGGGTCAGCTTGGGCGCTGCGAGGAGCAGTTCGGCTCTCGCAGGCAAACTCAATCCACCAAGGGCTGCCAGAAGTGCCGCGACACGATAGACGGCTGCAAATAGCGCTGGATGCAGCGACGAGCGCAACAGCATCTTCCACTCCTGCTCGCATCGTGAGACAATAGTCGACTATGGCAAGGCTTGCAATTCTGAAATTACCCAGGTGATGCAGGCATGACTGGTCTCGCCAAAGGCCAGCTGCCATGCAGGCTCGAGGGACTGGAAGAACTCATCGGGCTGGAAGAAGGTGCGCAGCGTCAGGGCATTGACGAAGCGGAAGGCCAGCAGCAGGGCGAAGAGGGCTAGCGGTGGAGCACCAGTCGCGCTCAGCGTCGTGGCTTTCGCGGAGTCGCTGGCGGACGGCATTGGGTAATGACGAAGCAGTCGAGCACAAACAACAAGCGGGCGGGCGGCGGGCGGGCGGGCAAAGTGAGAGATTCCATGCAGAGGTGACGATGCAAAGTGGATGGTCTAGTTGCTTGGCAATATGCAGCACCGGCCAGGGCATGTCATGCACCAGAGCGTTTGGGTGGGAAGTGCAGAAAATTGAAGCAGTGCACTTTACTGCATTGGGTATTTCACGATGATTGACGACGAGCCTGGCCGGCGCCTAGGCACGGCTTCGTCACGTCTGTGCAGCTGGTGCCTTTATCTAATGCAGCGCCGACAGGCAGAGGGGGCCCGTGATTCTCACGATAGGCGCTGTCTGTCTGTCTGCCTGTCTGCCTGTCTGCCTGTGTGTCTGTCTGTTTGCCCTTCCCGTCGGACGTACAAGCGTCGTGTCAAGGCTGGAGCTACCGGCCCAACAATCATAGCGACTTGTTCGCCAAGGGTCGTGACGAAGAAATGAATGGTGCGAGGCCGACCCGACGTGCCCAAGTGGTATCCTGGACGCAGCAGCGGGAACGAAGAAGCAAAACTCCAGACCATGACGAGGGCAAATCTGGGGAAAAGCGGCTGGAGAGAGGGGGGTGCATTTGTCGCTCTTATCGCGGCTGAGCAACAATTTGTCCTCTGTAGCCATGTAGCATGGGCTGGCTGCTCAGCACTCGTCCCAGCCGGCGTAGACCGGCCGCAGGAGAGTGGGTCCCGCTGAGCGAGCGGAACAAGATACAGACAGGCACATGCTGCTGAGCGAGCGAGAGAGCGAGAGGGAGAGCCAGCAGAGGCGTTCGTGCCCAGCAGCCAGGCCACATCGTATGGGCGCTCAGCAAGCGGTTTGCGTTGAGTTGAGTGCGCCCCCTTGGTCGCCCCCCTCTTCCCCCCCCCTCACCACCACGGAGCGCCACTGTTGAGAGCCTGCAGCAGCGGGCCAGTCAACCCTTTAGCATGCTGCATGGGCAAGGAAGCCATGCCCGTCTGGTGTGCATACATGTTTTAGCGTCCTGCAGGTGATTCTGCTCGGGTGAGGGTGGGCACGGATCCTCGACAGACAGAGAGACAGACAGACGGACAGCAGACAGCAGACAGCAGACAGACAGATAGAGCAACGCGTCCCAAAGCGATTGCTGGCCTGCTCAACGAAACTCTCGGTCCGCCCTGCCATCGCGTCGCTCGTCGTTGTCGAGGGCCGCGTCCAAGTAATTAATTCCATCGCCTCCTGTTGTTGCCCGCCCACCCACACGGCCCTTTGTGTCTTTATCATCACCTCTTTGCGCGCCCCCAGTCGTAGCCTACTAGCAGCGTCGTCCCCACCACTAGCGAGAGTTGGTCCCGGCTTGTCTCTGCCCGCTTCAGCGAGCGTCATCTACGCTCCCCAAAATAATTACCAACGACCATCACTGCCGCTTGGGGAAAGCGCCAGCCCGGCCGATCGTCTCTCTCTCAACCAAACCCATATCCACCCGTTGAGCCCACCACCGACAACGCCCTCGACTCCTCCTCCTCCTCCTCCTCCCACGTACAACGTTCCGCCGCGCCAGTAGCCCGCCAGCCTCGTCTTCCCCCGTCTCGACTCGACTCGACCATTTCCTGCGCCAGAGCAGCATGAGACGCGCACCCGACGACTTTCGCCTCGACAATCCATAAGAAAGGCCTGACATGGTTGCACGGTCAGGCTGATCTGAGACGTCTGAGCTCCGGTCGCCATGGCAGAGCCGAATCTGGGCCTGACAGCCAAAGGGAGACAGCGGGGCGACGAGCCAGTGCCAACCTCGCCAGCGTCCTCTGTGTGCTACATGGACGCCCAAGAGACGCACTCGCATTCCACACCACACACCGCAAGAGAAGGAGCAGAAGAGGAAGCGGAAGAGGAAGCACAGGCACAGGCACAGGCACAAGCACAAGATGGCCATGTCACCCCAAGCCAGCCCCATGCACCGGGCCTCGATCTGGACGACAGCACCCCACGATCCGAGCTGCCCTCAGTCCCAGAGGCCCTCAGCGCAAATCTCCTCACCCAGAGCCACGTCCTCGAGCCAGAACCAAGCTACTTCTCTCCGCAACCCCTCCGCCTCTATTCCTCTCCCATCCCCCGCTCCACGCCTGCCTCGACCAATCCCTCCCCCACCGCAAGCACCAATGCTTCGGCCGCCTCCCTTGGCTTGATAGAGCTGCCCACTGTCCACGAGATTGCACACTCTTCTGGCCTGGCAACACATCCCGACCGCCCAGCCTTCCTGCGAGACTTCTCCACGTCCAGCAATGCTACAGTGCGCGCAAATGGGTTAGATACTACCTACACGTACACGACTCCTTCACGGCAACGGGATGGGCCCGTCTACCCCAACCAGTCCTATGCCGCCCTACACCTTCAGCAATATCCCATACCGCATGTTCCCCCCATCGTTCGTTCCCGCAGTTCGCACCCCTCCCACTCCGCCGCAAATTCGCTCTCTAGCCTCTCGGCATTTGGCCTTTCAGACGAGCACTATCGAGATATCATGGAGTCGGGCCCCCGGACGGTTGGCAACTCTCCAGTTAGCAGTCCAGGCCTCTTCGATCCTACCAACCGTCGTTCGCGAAACTTTGAGCAGCCCGACGACGGCCTCTACTCGAGCCCTTGGCTACACCACACGCACAGACAACCTCCCAAGGAGACCCATATCGCCGACGTCCAAGCCGACCCCGTTTCTGGACGCAAGATTGTCAACCAGTACGAGATCATCGACGAGCTTGGCCGGGGCGTGCACGGCAAGGTCAAATTAGGAAAAGACCTGATGCACTCAAGGTATGTCGCCATCAAGATCGTTGACCGCTACTCCAAACGCCGACGCTTGGGCAAAAACACGAGCCACGAGGACAAGATCAAACGCGAAATCGCCATCCTCAAGAAGGCCCGCCACCCCAACATCGTCAGCCTGCTCGAAGTCATAGACGACCCGGCTAAGAAGAAGGTCTATATCGTACTGGAGCATGTTGAGTTGGGCGAGGTCAAGTGGAGAACTGAAGGGGCCAAGGAGATATGTCTGGTGGAATGGCGTCGCTTCAAGCGGGAATCCCATGGTATTTTCGACAATGACAGCGCAGCCTTGGAAGACGAAAAGATCATCAGAGTGGCGCACCAACAGCTTGCCCGCCAACAACGTCGTCTGGCTAGGGAAGCACACATCCGCCGTAAGAACGCTACATCCAACCAACCTTGGAGTCTTGAATTCGGTATGGACTCAGATGACGAACAGTCCGAGACTGGCCGGAGCTCTCAAGCTTCCAATCATGATGACGACCGTCTGCCCAACCAAGTTCAGTTTAAACAACAACCCTCTTCAAGTCACCACAACGAGCATATGGAAACGGCCTTCCGTTCGTCGCCCCCTGCTACGAATTTGCGATCTGATCAAGCTGATGTCGCCACCGGGCTTGAGGGGACAATGTATGGCGCGTACGACACAGAACTCGTCAGGGGTCGCACACCAAGTCTTGCCGATAGCATCTCTTCTCACCTGACGGATGCAGAAGAGGACATACCCGAACACTTTCACTACGTCCCTTTGATGACTACCCAAGCTGCTTGGGAAGCTTTCAAGGACACCGTCTTGGGCATAGAGTATTTACACTACCAAAACGTCATCCATCGCGACATCAAGCCCGCCAATCTTCTTGTAACAAGAGAGCACCGAATCAAAATATCCGACTTTGGCGTGTCCTACTTGGGCCGGCAGAAGACGGAAGAAAGCAACGGAGATCACGCAGAGTCCGACTATCAGGAGGTCGACGAAGCCATTGAATTAGCCAAGACGGTAGGCACCCCAGCCTTCTACGCCCCCGAACTCTGCCGCACTGAGGTCGACGCGGATACTCCACTCGTTGATGGCGGTATCGACATCTGGGCCCTCGGCGTAACACTTTACTGCCTCATCTATGGTCGTGTGCCCTTCCACGACACGAATACTTTCACCCTCATGAGGGTCATCAGTGATGAGGAGCCATACATACCAAGGTATCGACTGAAGCCTGTGGCTGAACACGCCAACTCGCGACCCAACTCGCACGGACGGAACAGTCAGCCAATGATGAGCAGCAAGAGGGCCCCACACGATCTTGAGTACGAGGAAGTCGATGAGAACTTACGCGATCTTCTACGACGCTTGCTAATCAAGGATGCCCGACATCGCATCACCATCCCCGAAATCAAACGCCACCCGTGGTTACTTTCCGGCATCCCCAACTACGATGTATGGGCTGAAGAGACGGATCCGAGCAGATCATATGATGGAGGAAAAATTGAAATCTCCAAGGACGATGTCGAGCAGGCTGTGGTTCCCATTGGCTTCGTCGAACGTATCCGTTCGGCCGCCAAAAAGACTGCAGACTTCGTGACGAAAGGGTTTACTCGTAGTTCAGGTTCAAGACGTCGCGCTCAGAGCTCTGCGACAAACCAAGAACCGCCTCCAAGCATCAGTGCGACTTCTTCGAGCAGCAATATCAGCCAAGACGGAAGGCGGGGCAGTCTGGCACCTAGTGCCATTCTCGAGTTAATAAGTCGGTCACGTGAAGCAGAGCATCCTCTTTCACATAGTGTTACCGCAAGCCCAGAAGCAAGGGAGCGATCGAAATACTTTGATAGTCCAACCTCTCGCACCGCGTCTCCTGCACAAGGTGCTGAGGGTTATAGACCGCTTCTACAAGACCGGGCCCTTTCATCCATACAGACGGTTAGGCAAGCAGATATGCTTCAGGGTCGATCCGGCTCCCCAAGCTTGCCACCAGCTCTCCCTGGCACTCCATTGGCTCTAGATTCTCCTGGTGGTTCGCAACTGGGTGGCTTATTTGGAGGGCTCCCCCGACGAGTGGTCAATAGTATGAGGAGTAAAGACAAGCTCAAGCCTCCAAAAGAACACTCCCGCGTAAAGTCAATTGATAGGCTTATTGGAGGCGACGACGATGCTCACGGCGTCCCCAGCCTTGCAGTAAGCACCACAACCGCCTCTGGCCATGTAGACCAGCCGGATGCCCTAAAGGACCTATCGCCTGTAGCCCAAGGATTGCTGACCAGCTCCCCCGACACATATTCCCGTGGAGCGCTCAATACCACCTCGCGGCAGTCATCAGTGACATCTCTCTCCTCTCGGCTACACCGAAACTGGGCGACGGCAAACGAGCTTGAAGTTGGTCCTATGTTGGGCATACCTTCAGATACCAGACCAGAGTATTCGCATTTCCCATTGGCACAAACGCAGCCTCCACAAGAATTCTATGCCGGCAGAAGGCCATCATATCCTGCGCCTGCGCCACATGCTCGTGAAACATCGGATCACAGGTTCAGTCGCGCGAAGGATGAGTTCGTGCAACGCAAGGTCAGGGAAGAGAACTTATACCGCGAAAGGTCGACTTCTGCAACGTATCAAAGGCCATCTTCATCACTCAGTCAGACTGCGTGCCCTCCAAGTCCGGATGACGAAATGCATTTACAACGTCAAAAAGTTGAAGATTACTTGAATCGCAACGACGCGTCCTCCGAGAATAGTCCTGTTGGTGGACAAGAGCGAGGTCTAGCCTTTTGTTCGTCCGAGGAGCATTTCTCGCCCATGTCGCAGTCTACATCCAATCCTTCGATCCCTTCGGTTGCATCTGCCGGCTCCTCAGCGCCGGACGAGTGCGGGCCGTTGAATCATTTTGCCGACATGATGCCCGTGGCATCAGCGGACTCATTCCGCATCAATCATCTTGAAACTCATCTCGACGATCCTACGGGCTACGACGGAGACCACGCCATCGAAAGTGATGAAGATGACGAGAGCGACGATGACGGACTCTTTATCATCAAGAAGCCCAAGCCCAAGGATACGTCTCACCGAAGTAATTCAATCTCCAACGCCGAATTATCGCGCTCGATTGTGCACCAGGATATTAGGGCTACGGGTCGTCGCCGCTCAACCCGCAGTGGAAGCAACGGCACTGTCAAGAAGATACTTCCTTCGAGTGAGCCATTCGACGAGCAAACCCCCACACCTGAAGCGCCAGCATCTACAGGACAATAACACCCTGATTGTCGCTTCAACAAACATGGACTACCAGTACCCAAACTTACTTACGTGTACGACTACGCATACCTCGAATTCTTCTTTCACGTGTGTACAAATACGACCGAACTCATATGATATTAATCATTTCCAAGGCAGGCGCTGGGCGTTTTCAAAACCTGGAACAGTATGCATGGGTGCGAGTGTGCTAAAAGACAAGGGTGGCGTTTCTTTCTATTTCTCGGCTATATTGTAACTATGTTCTTATCTAGCTTTGGTACTATTTTGCATGGCTTGGGCTGTGCTTGTGTAAGCTCTTTTCGTTGCTTGGGCTGTTGGCTGTGTTGGAATGAGGGACGGATGACGTTGACGATTGAGATGATATACCTATTTTTCCTATGTTCCCTCGCTGGGTTGGGATGAGCGACGCGTATATTCGATGCACGGTTAGGCCTGGGCCACGTTCAAGCATGTTTGTTCGATACGCAATAGCAAGCAAGCCATGGTTGGCATGATAGAAAGGGGCTTTACTTGGATCAGTTCAACAAACTCTTCTCCCGTATTCTAGCCCACTACTATACGTGGCGAACGCGTAGCGTTGTAGTATAATTAAAGGGGAGCAAGCAAAATGCTTGCTCGTGTTCAATATTCTCAAGAGTGTAGATCTTCGACTCCTTCCAGCTTGCGATCAACACGCCTCCTCCATCGTACGACAGTACGTGCGTCGTTTCGTTCCTCTTCATGTAAGGAACAGAATCTGGCAGTTTCGTTATCTTTTGTACCACCCACCCATGCATAACCATGTTCCTTGTTTCTCGGTTAGGACTTTCATTTCAAATGAGCGCTAAAATATCCGTCTGGTGTCGCATCGCAATCTCGCAAATGCCATTACCAAACGCCACGTCTCCTGAATAAGCTGAAACACGGAAAGCATTCCAACCTGTGCCGGTTTGTTTTTTCTCTCCCCAGATTTCAGTCTGTGCGCTTTGGTAATTTGAACATGAGGACGTGCATGTTTGTATGCATGTTTGATGCATGCAGCTATGCGCCCCTGCAACGTGCGAAAAAGCTTTGATGATACGATAGATAGGTACGGATGGATAGCCGGTTGTAGATATGTATGCAATCTATGTATGCATTATATCATGCATGCATGCAGTACTTCCCAAGACACGGGATGGGCTTACTTTTCTTCAAGAGAGGATAGCGTGATTAATTTATCGGCATATTAGAACGAGCGCACTGAATGTCCAGAGAGAGGTGCGTTAGATCTTGCTAGTCGGATAGTAGGATATGGCGCTTTGCTAGACTAATTAGGAATACGAAAGGGTGGTGTCTTTATTTTCACAAAGGAGTATTTGTCCTTTTGGGAGCTGTAATGGGCAAGGAAAGCACTACACTAGATTGGAGAACCATTCACCAACACAGGTTCGAGAAAGCATGGGTGATTCAAAAGTCTTCTTTTCAATTCCTCTCGCCACTCTTGAGGGCCACATGTTTAGTATTGTTATTCCCATATCGTTGTACTCTAATCCTTCGCTTCTTCCACGTGTGTACATTACGTACGTCACGGCCCCAAGTGCACGCTCAGCAACATACACGACATAATCGCACCTCGCATCAAACAACGCTACCCGGGTATTCCAAAACGTATGCTACCTTGTCGACATCGCACTTCACCTCACCTCATCTCATCCCATCACCTCACCTCACCCCCTGACTCCACTCACTGACTCAAGCTTCTATCCCAGAAAACAAGACAACACCAGACGCAAGCATCATCCATGCCCTGTACGCCTCATCAAAGGCAGGGGCTATCCATATCTTACTAAAAGCCATGACACAACGACATGCAAAACTTAAATGTTGCGTACATGATGCTTATGCAGATCACATGTGCATTCACACCGATCAGGCGCATGTCTCGGATGCTTGTAGGCGACCGATCAGCGGTGGAAGGGGGGCCTTGTATGTAGGATGATCAGAGGTAAGGATTTATGGGGTAGGGCTGAATGCACCCCGCTCTCGTGGTGTGACGGTGTGCGAGAAGTTGCGAAGCCGATGGTAAGCGTCATCGGTGGTGCTTATGCTCGCACTGCAGGGGCGTTGATGAGAGGAGTGGACAAAAGGAAATTGCTCGGCCGAGGAAGTAGAGATGGGCGAGAAGGGAGAGATTGGACTAGAGTAGATTTGTTTGGTGTTGGCGAATGATGGTTCGCTGTTCGCTGATGTGCGAAATCATGGTGAATTCGAGTGCTCCGCCCAATGCTAATGTGTGGTATCAGAATGCTCTTAGTGACCAAAACGCCATGTGCAACCCTCAGGGTCCTGTAGACCGTTGGAACGAACTACTATCTGGCTCGCTCGACCTGCAACGCTACTAACGTTTCCATGTTCTTCAACCACTTCTCCGCGAAACCCCGATCGGTAAACCGCTCTGCTGACTTTTGCGCCCTATGCCTCATCGCAAGGGTCTCCGTGGGTGATAGTGAGAAAGCTTTGCGGAAGCCTTCTGCATACTGTTCTACCGTCGTTGCGTGGAAGCCTAGCGGAATTTGTTAGACAAGTACCAAGAAGTGTGATTACAGCAAACGCTACTCACCAGTCGGCTGCCCATCCACCTCAACCACAATGTCTAGCTTCGGCCCTCCAGAGTCATTGACCACTGAGATCAAGCCCGCAGCCTGATACTCCACGACTCCAATGCCAAAGTGCTCATTCCACATACCATTCACACCTACACTTGCTTTGCGCATCCACTCTAGCATCAAGGGCCACGGTGCGTCGCAAATAAACTCGACGTTCTCTTTGATATTGAGCTCGCGCGCGAGCAACCGTAGGTTGTATACACGTTTTTCATCATGCGAGTTCCTCACTGATCCGATCAGGACGAGCGTCGGCGGTTGATTTGTGTAGGTGGCCGTCTCGAGACTGGAGTGCAAGAAAGAGGCGAAGGCTTCGAGTATGAGTTCATGGTTCTTCTCAGGTCGGAATTGTGCAATATAGAGAAGGTAAGGGCCACGGTTCTTCTCGCTTGCTTCTGAAACTTCGACGGCTTGTAAGACTTCTTCGACTGCGACGGGTGGAAAGACGACGTCAATATCGTTAGCTTTGCTGCGTTTGATGCGGTAGGGTTCCCAGAGTGATATGATGTGGCTTTGCGTCCAGGTCGAGTTTGTCATGACTACATCGATAGTGCTGCCAACTTTGCTATAAAGCTTCGCGAAAAGCTGCCAGTACTTCTTCTTGGCTATACCACGATATCCTGCTCCCGTTCCGGCGTTGATGCCTTGTCCTCCTATCTGCAGCGAGTCGAGCATGTCTGTTGAGATGGTGGGGTAGTGGACGTAGGCTCCTGTCGGTACGGTGGGGAAGAAGAGCGAGGAGAGACCGAGGGAGAAGGCATAGCCCATGGTATCTATGAAAACATCCGGAACGAGTAGATGGAAGGCATCGTAAGCGAGAATTAGAGAGCCGAGAGACTGGCCCAGTAAAGTGAAGCGGGGCCAGGTGCTGGCGAGTACCCAATGGCGTGTTGTAAGGTAGAGGAAGTGGACGGTGGGCGGGTGCAGCTGGATATTGAAGCGGTCCTTGACGCGCTTGAGTATGGTGGCTCTGTCCACGTCGTGGTCTCCAGTGTAGACTACGCAAACAGCCTCAGGCCAGCGCTTCTGTGTTGCTCGAATCGCAGCCCAGAGGACTCGCTCGCCGCCGCCTCCTGCGTTGCTAGACCCATATATTAGCGACCTGGTTTGGCCATGTTGTGACCTCGAATCCGTACCAGAAAGGGTGGAAAAAGCCGACGATTCCATTCCACTCGCTGTCGGCTTTGCCGCCGTTTATCGCACTGCCAAGAGCTGCAGATGCTATATTTTCCCAGTCATCGTCCTCTTTGCTCTTTTCCTTGTGCTGCCGCTCGAAGTGCTTTGTTTCATTCGCTACTCTGGCCAGCAGTAGCTCTCGTCGCGTACGGGAAGATTTACGCAAGCCATGTCCCACCAGTTCGGCAATGAAACGCAGGGTCTTGGGGAGGAAGACGACGGAGAGGACTATGGGTACGAGTAGTGAGAGAAGGATGAAGGAGACGCCCATGTTCGACAGCGCCGGCTGGAGTATCGCAGAAAATCAAAACGCGAAGAGGTTTCACCTGAGTGAATGTGCAGCAAGTGAAGCTTGACAGCTGTCCAGGTGGGATGGCCCGACAGCGTGGGACCCTGGCCCGAGCTTGGAACTTTCCATGTTCCTTCCGCTCGGAAGTCCGATGTGAGGCAGGCCAAGCCAAGTGCACCACCACAGACAACATCGCGACATGCTGTCTACACGCCTGCTGCGGCAGCCAGCATGCCAATTGGCCTCGCGAAGCTCCGTCACATCTCAAGCATCAAGGCCTCGCCCGTCGATACGCGCCTTCCACGCCTCCCCGCCACGGCAGGATCCCGTCCTCGACGCCCTCCTCTACCTACCACACGAGATGATGGCCTTGATTCATACCACCGCCCCCTGGTATGCCACCATCCCGCTCACTGCCTTCCTCACGCGCGGCCTGCTCGTCACTACGGCTGGAGCATGGGCGCGTTCGCTCACCGCGCGCTACATTGGTCTGCATCCGTTGCGACAGGCACTTGCCTTCCAGAAACGTGATCAAGTCCTGAAGAGCGGCAACTTCAGACACCCCAAGGAAGCTGTCGTGTTGGTGCGGAAGGAGGTCAAGGAGGTGACGACCAAGCTGGATAACCGGTGGAATGTCACGCTGCGGGGACAGATCGGGTGGACGTTTGCCCAGATACCCATCTTCTTCGCCATGGCAGAAGTCATACGCCAGAAGTGTATGGCTCGTGACGGGTTGTTGGGTTTAGGGTTTTCTGCTTTCAGGGGTGGGGATGATGTTGCAAGCGCCAGCGCCAGTGAAGTCGTTAATACTACTAGCCGCTGGTTTGAGCCATCACTCGCAAACGAGGGCATGCTGTGGTTCCAGGACCTACTGGTTCCGGACCCAACAGGTGCACTGCCGTTTTTGGTCTCAGGCCTCATGTTCGCCAACATCTATATCACGAAGAACACCGTTAGTAGCGATGCCAAGTGGCCGCTGGTCATCCGGAGGACGTTACTCGGTGTCGCCCTTCTTATAGGGCCTCTGTGCCAGCAAATTCCGGCTGCCTTGCTACTCTACTGGGGATCAAGTACGTCTTCTGTCATGCTGTGGAACGCCTGGCTTGACTGGAAGTACCCGGCTCCGAGAGGCTTTACGGCCTGCAAAAGGCCGCTTCAGATGCCACCTAAGCCAGTGACTAAGGGACGGAGAGTGTAGAATATTTATACCAAGATGATTGCCCTATGCCCACTATATCACTATTGTAAGAGCTTCCCGACAAATTTACGTTCATACCGAGCCACCGACGGCCAAGGCATGCGCATACAATAGCCTATCGCCTCCAGTGCCATGTCATTCACAACAAACGATCAAGATCACTTTGAAAATCCGCACTTGAGCTGGCGACCGCGTGTATCACGGTCGCGCATGGGTATGTGGACGTGATGGTTAAATTGTGCGCTCAAGATTGAACGGACGTCCTGCGAGATATCGCTTTTCCGTCAGCACAGAGATAAAAGAAGAAGCAATGATGCGAGGGAATGACAAGGAATGACAAGTAACAGGTCTGTGGACGCCAATAACACCAGATTGCCCTTACACCGCCTCCACCTCCAGCCTTCCATCTCAGCCCTCTACCCCACGCTCCTCTACCACAAACTCACACGTCCTCATCCTCGCGTTGTGCACTATGTAGAGCACAGCTTTCCAGCTATCTTCAGAAACCAGCTTCACCTTTGAGTCCGATGGTCCGATTGAGCCCCCTCTGGGCATAATGGCACTGGTACGTGCCTGTACGTCAAAGCCCACCTGGGCGCTAACTAGCTCGATGAATCTATCGAAGCTCATATCATCGATAGCAATCATCGACCCGCGACGAGACGTTGGGATCAACTGCGAGGTATGCACCGCGGCACCGGTAGTGCTATTGACGACGCGAATCAGGAACGCCGTTGGGTGAAACATGTCCAGGTTGAATGTAGGAGCAGCGGCGGCTTGATGGTCAGGATTCTGAATCAAAAGTCTGTCTTCTTGAGGAGTGGCATCTGCGTGTTCTCCTATACCCAAGTCGTTGAGCGATGCAGCCAGCACCGAGGGCCGATGAGTAGGTTGGCGGTCACGCGAAGCTGATCGCGGTATAGTTACCACCGGCGTAGGTTCGTGCCCAGCAAGATCGGGCTGAAATACTTCACCTTCTACATTTGTAGTAGTAGAAGTAGGGGGAGGAGCAGGCATGGGAGCGCCGGCTCGTCGATGGACCTTCCCTACCTTGACCATGAAAACGTTGTGCTTTTCGTTGCTATTATTGATCATAGCTCGAGCCAGTAACAGCTCGTCCAGCCTCTTACCCTCAACCCCCGTGTCTTTGAGGAATCGCAACTCGCGCTTCGCAGTCTCGATGACCGCCCGAAGAGGCTCATCCTGCAGGGCCTTGGGCCTGGAGCTGAACGTAATCTTTCCAAGGATGTCGGCCTTCTTCATCTCTTCGTTGATGAGGATGCGCATTTGGTCGCTTTGCTCTGGAGTCAGGCGAAGCTCGATCTCAATGTCGCGTACGCGCCGGATCTTGCGGGGCGCCTTAGGATCGTAGTCTAGGTCTGGATTTGGTACATCTACATTTGATCAGTTGTATTCAGTGGGAAGTGTATCAGACTTCTGACCTTCTACGCCCTCACCCATCTCTATATCAGGACCTGGAGCTTGTTCATCATGTTCCTCCACCGTCACGCGTCTCTTCTGCCTCGGTTCGTTCTGCAATGCGTCTTCAATGTCTGTCGGTGGGTCGCTTAAGCCACTGCTAGAGTCACTCAGTGAGGCTGTCCTGGTCGCTTGGGCCGCTTGGGCACGGGTTTTGGGCATGCTTATGGTAGACTTCTTGTTGTTCTTGTTGTAGTTGTCTGTATTATTTGTGTCCTTGGTGTGTGAGATAGAACATCTCCCAGGCGGACAGCAGTGTTACTCTTATTCATATTCCATGTCTCAAAGTTTGTTCTGTGTGTCAAACATGACTGGGTGTGGAACAAAAGAGGAGATTTGAGTCAACGAGAGAATGTCATAGACAAATCTGTGACTTCGTGGTAAACATGCTGTATGATTGTCTCGTAGGTCCATCTGAAACTAGCACGAGCAACTGTTGCTAGCTGCTCTCGTATAGTTCACTTTCTGCCGTAATCAGCAGTCCTCGCGAGCTAGCATCTCCATCGTCTCTTCTGACATCAGCCTGTAGACACAGGTACTAGGTAACTTTCACCTACCAGCAATTACCCCTGATCTGCAGGTCTCAAGTTAAACCGAACCGCAATTCCGAACAGAACACACAATTCATTCCCTGCTTGTAGCTCCGCCGGTCTGAGCGTATGAAATCCTCTTCCAGTCTTCCTTCTCTTAAGTTATGGCGTAGATGAGCATGCAAAAGCTACCCCGGCATCGACGACTTGAATAAACTTTTCAAAGTTTGGCGTAGAATCCGCAAACATGCGTGGAGATGTTTTGGTCCTTGGGGAGCATGCTTCGAATATAAAAGAAGCCTGTTGGCCCTCTCGTTAGTTCAGCCATCATCTGCTTATTGTCTGCAGCTTCTCATTCGTCCGACTATAGTGTCACCCGCCACCTCTAGGCAACATGCTCCTCCCCAACCTAGCTGCCTTTACAACTCTTCTCACAATCATTACTGCCACGCCTACCCCTCTAGAGGACCAGAGCGCCGATAACGGGACGTTTCACGCGCTTGTTAGATACGAAGTCAAGTGTAACGCGGGAGGTAACACCCTACCACGCTGCTACGAAGGAGGCTCGGCTGGCTGTAGCTGCTCTGGCATTGGTATCTACAACTGCCAAGGATGAAGAGTGCAAAAGATACTGCGGGTGCAGCAAGTATGTGCTCCCAAACCTCCACATGCCCACTATTGCTACCCACCAGAGCCACTCGTCATCTTGTCTTTTCGACCTCTGTGAACATGACACTAACAGTAATCATAGAATCACCCTACCCCAATGCCCTCACTGCCCCTAAGTCAGAATCACCAGGTGTCAGCTTCACCTCGCATGAGGACTTCGACATCTCCATCATCTGGCACAACTTGGATTCTCGGAGCGACTTTCTCACGTTTCGCAAGGAGTCGCAGGGACCGATTGAGCGCATTCTGGTCGACTTTGCAAGAGTGCTGGATAGTGGAATGTTTGAGGTGTATAGTGTGAATGCGAGTAAGCATCTATTCTGTGTGACGGTGGCTTGTGAAAAGAATAAAGATGAGGGAGTCATGGATCTGGTGTTGAGTGTGCTCTAGGGCTGTTTGCGTTTGTTCCAGGCCTGTCTAACTTCGCATGCCTGATTGTCATTCTTTTGGGAACTTGAAGTCTGTTAGCTTATCCATACAAATCTACACGCTCGTTAGTATATGAAGGTCCACTCATGGCTGCGCTTCCTGAAGGGCCCAAAACAGGTCCTCGACATTCAGCAGTAAACGTTCAAGAATCATACTTTCAAAGCTAGCGTGACCAGCACTAACTTAATTTAGAGATATTTCTCTCGTGCTGGTCAGACTGGTACGTTTAGAGGAAAGGGTAGCGGAAACATCCGCTCCACCTCTTTTAGGTAGCATGGTCCGCAGCTTTATGGATGCCCTCACGTATATAGGGGAGCATACAAAAACTACGGTTGCTACGCTGAGGTACTGCACAAAACTGGTGGAATAAAATAGGGCCCTTTCGCGCCTAATTACTCCTCTCGTATTGTCTGCGGCGTGAAGCTGGAACCCGTGTCGTGGCCTACATATGGGCCAATCTAAAATCGACAGGGGTCCAGGCTGAAGGCGACAGGGGTCCAGCCCGCTATCACCTGCGGCAGCTAAACTGCAGTCCTTGTTCCCCGTCTACTCAACCTTGATCAATGCAAAATCTACGGCCAGTCTGTCTTAGACTTTGGCCAGGTATCAACAAACATTGTGTTGGATCGCACTGCCGTCCATGTCTGCCCCATACTCTGATCACATCTCAGAGATTCCCTGCTGTCACGCGCCTGCTAACACACGCTTCTCGCGCCCTCCAAGCACGTACAGTCATGGAAACTCCACGAGCACCATTCCTCTCCACACTGCAACAGTGCCTTTCGCTTGATTCGCCCTGGGGCTTCGTTATCTACCGGACTGCGGCCTATGCGCCAAACGACGCTGCAAAGTGGCAAGCTTTCCAGCAGAAATTCAATTCAATGATCCAGGAATCTTTCGAGAGCGCCGCTGGCCCGGAGGAAGAAGTTGCAGCAGCGCGACAAGGGTGGACAATCCGATGGGAGGAAAAAACAAACATGGCAGAGTGGGCAGCTGAGGATGTCAAAAAGTATTCCTGCTTGCTCCTTGATTTTGAACCACTAGTGACAATGATTAGGCATTACGAAGTTCTCCTTGCATCTGGAAGTCTGCCTGTTGGTCTATCGCACCCGCTATGTTTAATGGTAACGTCTGCAGCGATCAAGTCCATTTTGGATGCGCCATCGCCGCTGCCGCGCTATGAGTATTCCTCAGGCGGACGCGGCGCACCGTTTGTTGTTGCAGTCGATCTTGCGGATCTTGATGACGAGGACAAGAACGAAATTGAAGACGAGAGATATAAAGGGCATTTCAACGTCAGTGTACAGTGTCTTCTTGACGGTCTCTGGCCGATTTTGATTGAGCAGATGTGCGACGTGGAGGAACTGGGAAGAGGAGTGAAAATGGAAGAAGTGTGGGGCATGTAATCCTTAAGATCCCAAGCTTCACGATTTGACTTCATAGAGATGACCTCATCAAGTATTCTTTGTTGGCGCACGTTCTAGCATATTTTCTCTGCATTTTGAATTCAATTTAGTCTACAAGTCCATCTTCATATTCAAGTCCCTACATTGTACCACCACTGTACCTCCAAGCGTTGACTCCCGGCCACCCAATCGCATAGCCATACGCAGCGAAATCGACCTCCTCCACAATATCTCTCTTAACTTTGGCAGACGGCTGCACTACGCCTTGCACGCAATACGCAGCCCCAAGTTGCAAGTTAGAACAGTCTGCTAGAATGTTGGGGTTCCAGAATTGTAGCTGCTTGAAAGTGATCTGGAACTGATCTTGTACTTTGGCACAGTAATCGCCACTGGCTATTGTATAGTACTAGATCGACATGATTAGTATGGATGAAATTGAGAAGAAGCTACTATATCGTACTTTCAGGCATTGGCTTGTTGTTCCAGAGGTCGTAGGGGCGCTAGGTGTAGCAAGCGTTTGGGTGGCACTTGTAGTTGTTGTAGGGCTTGCGGCGGCCGCGTTGATGCAATACGCTGCGCCAAGTTGTAGATTGGAACAGTCAGACTTCAGGTCTGGGTTCCACTTGCTCAACTGGCTGAATGTGATGCTGAATCGGCTTTGGACTACGGAGCACGTGTCTCCGGATTGGATGACGTAGTACTGTAGATAGGTAGTTAGTCATGCAAAAAGGTAGGAGGGCATTTTTTTAACCCACTTCGTAGCAATTAGGCGTCGTCCCTGGTGGAGTCGGTCCAGGTGGAGCAACTGTGGTTGAAGTCGTTGTTGCGTTCCAGTCTTGCGTAGGCCGTACACAGTAGTACGTACCTACTAGCAGATTCGTACACCCAGAATTGATTGAAGGATTGATGGCCAAGAAGAGACTAAGGTCCACTGTTTGATTCAGGGCCAAAAGTTGGCAGTAATCGTTCTGGGAATGTGTTAGTAAATGGCTGCGCCTCGTTGTTCGCTGAACACATACAGGCATGACTTTGTAATATTTCCCGCACTTTCTGGTGGTGCCGGCGCCGACAGCACCCGGCGGAGTAATTGTGGCAGTTGCATAGATACCAGTCTGTGTGACTGTAGCACCTGGGATAGTAGACACTGAAACAGGCCCTCCAGGTGGGGAGGCGCAGATGTTGGATCCTGCGATGAGGTTCGTGCAATACGAATTGATCGTGGGGTTCCAAGCGACGAGTTGCTGGAAGGAGGTATTCTGTGCAAGAGCTATCGCGTCACAAGTGTCTCCGCTCTGGACCTTGTAGCTTCAAGATAATTAGCGGCTGAAGTGAGAAATAGTGGTCAACAATACCTACATCGAACAGGTCTGTGGCAAGCAAATGCTCGCACCGAGTTGGAGGTTTGTGCAATCCGGTAGAATGTTATTCAGCGCGATCAAAGTTCCTGTCTAGCAGCACAAGGTTAGACACTTCAGACGATTTGAGAAAACAGTTGGCTTACAGCAACGCCCTTTTTTTCTGCGATTCCCTGACACCCATCTCCACTAACGACTGTGTAAGTGTTTCCAGAAAGACATGCTGCCTTGGTACCTGTATTTGGTCCAGCATAGCCATAAGAATCGGTCACATTCGTCTTCAGTGCTGGAATTGAGGTTGGAAATGATAGCCCACATGTTTTCTGGATAGAAGCCCATTCACTGGCCAGCCCAGGAGAATAGCTCGAGTAAGATGTACTTGATATCTGCTTAAAGTACTTCACCACACAGTCCGAGCAGGTCTGGTCTTTCGTAGGAGTGCCGGTGAGTGTCGCAAAATAATCTTTGACGAGTCAGTGGTTGCTGACGAGGGTTGCGCTACCGCCTACCTGTGCAGTATTTCCCCGTAGCTGCATCTTTCAGGCAAAGCAAGTCATATACGGCTTTCGATTGCTCGCCCCAATAGGTGGCCGGAAGTCCTGGAAAAGGCTGAGGGTCGTTCTTGCAAGCAGTTGTGACTTTGCTAGTGTACGCAATCAAGGCGGTGCCACATGAGGCCTTGCAAAGTCCATCCTGCAGTGTCTGATTATTGAGGGGTCCATAGTAACTGTCAGACATAGCAAATGTCAAAAACAGATCGCAATCGATTGCAGCCACCAAAGCGTCATTGCACGCCGTCGAGATAGCAGCAACATCAGGACCCAGCCCGCCTGTGAAATTAAAGAAATAGCTATCAGCTACTGCACCGGTGGCGAAGAATGCTATGCTAAGATAGATCCTGAAGTAAAACCCAAAAGTTGTTGAGTGCAGCATAGTGGTTGTGTCTTCAAGGGACTGTCGCGGTATGGGTCGGTGTAGAAAGGACGATTATATCGCAATCCTAATGATGTTTCCTCTACTCCGAGTCCGTAGTCAGATTAGATGCAAGTATGCCTAGGTACAAAGTAAGCTACGCTAGCGGTCAAGCTGATGGTGGGATAGGGACCACTCACACCGGTGTTGGGGGAGGGCGCACCAGACTAAGTCTAGCTCATCAATGGGGCGAAGCGTGCTCAATTCGATTGGTAGTTACAAGGGAGTAACGCAGGGGGTATATTGCCTTGCACATGGGAGATTGAGTTGAACCTTCCCACAATCTCAATAGGTGTGCACGCAACCCCAAAGAGGGCAAGCTCACAGCTAATCCTGGTCAGGTTTGCGCTAAAACATTCACCCTAACTTGTCAAGATATTACCCCGTGATAAGGACAAAAGCTTGTGCCGAGGAAACGGCCTGACACTTGAGCTTGTGCAAGTTAAGCTTGCAGAAGTTCACCCTGTGATGTAGACACGGGCATGTATAAGCTACCGGGGTAGGTGGGTCCGGACCTTAGTCTGGTCGCGCATACTTATTGGCTTTTGTGTGTTCCACGAATAGCATATTCTTCGGAGCCATGAAGGTGTATCGAATCTTACGGCACGCGATTTTCTCCTGCGTTCTGCATGAACTAATACCTGATCATCTGCAAGAGCTCATGAGACAAGCATCCGGTCACCGGCCCCCAATTACAGGGGGCAGCATCCTCTCCTTCCTATTCAAGATATCTGTAATTCTAGATTAGATGACTGAGATGGTGCTAAAATAATATCCGCTGACTCATCCTTTCTGGAGTTAGGATGCATGGCATTTGTTTGAATTCTCGTCAAGACTCGAGAGTAATTCTTCTTGTTACGAAGAAAGGTAGAATCGCAATACACAGCCATGACTTATTCTAAGAGACTCATTCTTGTAGCTGTATGGGTGGCTCTTCTAGCAATTGTACTCGCCGCTGATCCTCCATCTGATCCCTTTTCATGGTAAGTGAATCAAAAAAGAGTTTCTACTGTTGTAAGGTTTTTACTAATGGTTCGTTTCAGTGGACCAGGCAAGCCATGCAAGCTTGGGTGCTGTGGCACTAATAATGTCTGCGGTATGGGCCCAGACTACTGCGCTCCTGGGAAATGTGTATCAGAGTGTACCGCTAAAAGGTAACAACATCACAGTACAAATACGCCTATCTTGACTATGGCTAATCTCTTACAGCGACTGCGATGCTGGATGGGGAGCACAAGTAAGATGCTGGTTTCAATTGCCCCAGCGTTATTCACGGACTCCAAGGGCTCACCAACTAATACTACGCAGTGGTCTGCACACGAAAAATGCCCGTTGAACGTCTGCTGCAGGCACGTATACCCAAGTTCCCCTAGCCTTGGAGACTGCTTACACATATTAAAGCAAGTTCGGTTTCTGTGGAACGACAAAAGATTTCTGTGGTGACGTGAAAGTCAAATCTCCATCATGTGCAAAAGATGGAGGAAGTGTCAACAAGAGAGTGATCGGTGCGTTACATTTGACTACTCAAAACATTCAAATACTGACAAATGTCTCGAAGGCTACTATGAAGGTTGGTCCAGTACACGAGCCTGTGGCGGAAGTAAGTTTCTCGAGACCTGTGTTTGCGTCTACTAATCTCGAGGAGTGATGCCCGAGGACCTCCCATTCCACCAATATACTCATCTCAATTTCGCTTTCGCATTTATAAATCCGAAGACTTTTGAGGTGGCACCTATGTCTGCAGTTGATGAGGCTATGTATCCTCGATTCACCGCCCTCAAACAGCTAAATCCTGGAATGCAAACTTGGATATCCATCGGTGGCTGGTCAATGAACGAGTACGCTCCACGAATTCTTTTGCCATAGCCTTACTAATCACTCGCAGTCCTGATCAACCAACAGCAACCACGTTCTCAGATCTTGCCGCAAGCCCCGGTGCGCAAAGCAAGTTCTTCAAGTCTCTCGTGAATTTCATGTCCACATATGGATTCGACGGCATTGATATGGATTGGTAAGATATAACAGATATGGACTCGACCACCTTTAACAGAGACCAGGGAATATCCGGTCGCACCTGAACGGTCTGGGAAGCCTGCAGACTTGGCGAATTATGTCTCGTTTCTGAAGAACCTCAAGAACGCGCTCGGATCCGGAGGACATAAGTACGGACTGACAATCACGATTCCGTCATCATTTTGGTACATGCAGAACTTTGACATCGTTGCCATATCGAAGGTCATCGACTGGTTCAACGTCATGTCTTACGATCTGCACGGTAAGACTGGATGATCATATTAGGCGCTTGAACACATCTGATGAATTCTTATAGGAACATGGGACTCGACCAATCCTTATATTGGCCCTATAGTAGGTGCTCACACGAATTTGACAGAGATTGATTTGACAATGGATCTCCTCTGGCGAAACAACATAGGTATTCCAGGCTATTTGCTTCGTACTTGGCATCTACTCATATCATTCAGATCCCGATAAAATTGTACTTGGGGTAGGTTTTTATGGCCGAAGTTTCACTCTGACAAACCCATCTTGTGCTGGCCCCGGTTGTGGCTTTAGCGGAGGAGGCAAGCCAGGTATGTATTGGCAGCCATCTCAATCTCTATCCATTGTCAATTTAGCTGACAAGTCCAAGGAAAATGCTCTGCTTCCGCTGGCACTTTAATGTTTTCGGAGATTCAAGACGTTATCAAGGCCGGTGCCAAAGTAACATTGGACAAAGCTGCCGCAGTACAGATCGTCACCTACGATACAAATCAATGGGTATCCTACGATGACGATGTCACGTTCAAATTGAAGGTGGAGTATGGCAATTCGAAATGTCTGGGTGGCCTCATGGTATGGGCTGCGTCTACCGACGATAGTGTGGGAAGTGCAATCCAGTCTCTCAACAAGGCTACTGGTCGGGCGGTATCTAGCTTGGCGGTACGTGCTAATCTTCCGAGTTCTATTGGAACATGCGTTTGGGGCGAATGTGGGAAGAGTTGCGACTCGGGGCTCTCGCCTGCAGCAATCGGGTCTGGGAGAGGAGGAAGTTATGCAGGGATCCGAAGTGGCTGCGACTCAGGTGTCACACGCCCCTACTGTTGTCCTAATAGCAATAAACCCACGTGCCGTTGGGTCGGTAAGTCATCATCATGTTTCGTCTTTTCGTTACTCAAGCTCAAGTGGTCAAAGATCTGACAAAAGAACAGGCGAGGCAAAGTTCTGTGGAGGACCGAAATGCAGCTCTGGCGAGGTGGAGGTGGCTACAGACAACGCTGGTGGAGGAGGAGAATGTTGGACAGGCAAGCACGACCACTGGAAAACAATGCGTTCTCTTATTGACACAAATCAGGGCACAAGATTCTATGCTGCACTGATACAGGTTCAACCGCCAATGCCAAGGCTTGCGGTAAGTATATGAATGTCCTGAAGTGTGAGCAAGCTGACACAATGGTTCAGATTGGGCAGGTGCCGCCCCTTTTTGTTCAGCCAAGGCTGCACTTGGACCTGCTTTTTACTACTCTTCCTATGGTTGTTCCAAGCCAAAGCCCTATGAGATCGCCACTGGAAAGCATGGTGATGGTGGAGAATCCGCATGCTGGCCCAATGGAGGTTTCAAGAGCTATTGCTGCGAGAAACAAGGTACACCAATAATAGCCTTGCCTAACATACTCTTCACATGCTAATGATATCGTTAGATCAATGGAAGAAATGCCAATGGCACCAAGCTCGAAATTCTTGGACAGAGTGGGCACATGCCTTTGGTCAGCTCGCTTTTGGGGCGTCTCTGCCGATCTTCCTCACCGACTGCACCGGTGGTTGTCCGAATGGTCAGATTACAGTCGCTGTTGATCCGACAGGTACGACGGCTTTATTCCTTCCCACTAATACAAGCTCACGTTCTCCTAGCATGTAGATCCGGAACTTACTCGCATTTCTGCTGCGATAACCCCAATGCAGACCTCGTCTCTCCACCGAGCCTTCCGCCCGGGAAGCCAAGCAGTCTTTGTCCTGCAAAGTCGGATCCATTTTACTCTCCCTTAAGTCACGATGAAAGTGGAGATCCATGGGCATGGCAAGAAGCCGAATATTTTGACTCGAATTGTTTCATAGGAGGTGTTGACGACACGGACACCGATCCTGCTTTGCGCCGGCGTGATGACGTGGACTTTCAAGGGAATGAGTTGCCCGGAAACTCTTCTATATACTATGAAGAAGGTCACGGTATATCTAAGAGGAGTGCTGCAGCAAGACTCGGAAAGCAACTTTTGAAAGTCTGCGTTAATCCACCAGGAAAAGGTCGCCTTGCAGGGGCCGTGGACCTTCCTCCTGTATATGCTCATCCACACGTAAACTCTCTATTCCAACAAGGACGACTTGCTCTCATCTATACGGGTGGAGCTACTGGCCAGCTGGCCTGCAGTGCCGCGAGTCTCGTCTTCGCTAGCAAAGACGACGCAAAGATCGTGGAAAAAGTCACAGAACACGTATTCGAAAAGCAGACATACAAAGTAAAGACCACCATTCACTACCTTAAGAACCGGACTGACCGTATTTCAGGATGGTGTTCAAGCTATAGGCGACGGCATCGCTTCAGGCGGTGCAAAACTACCAATGGGTAAATTCTCGGTGACAGAGTTGGTCAGGGTACGTCTACATGAGAGATCTGCTTCGGTCAATTGCAGTTTTCAGATCGAGAATGATAAGCTGCTCTCAAGACCGAGCTGACTAGAACTCACAGCTTGCATCAACGCCGTGGAAAAACCTTCCAATGGGCTCTATCACTCCTCCTGTTGGAACCTCATTCCATGACACATGTGCGAATTTCCTCGGTACGGCCGCGGACATCCGAAACTTCCAGATTTTCATGAAAGGTCCGAACACTGTGAAGATGCTAGTAAGTGACTGATTACTTTATCTATTCATTATATGAACTTGGATATGTTGGGCTGATCATCGACCAGCTCACGGCCGGCAAAAATCTTGCCGTTACAGACAAAACTGGAGCGTGGGTCATGTCCCCACTTGATAGACTCACTAGATTCAAGGACACCCTTGCGTGAGTACAGGATGAATCATGCGAACTTCTACCTCCTAATCGATATTTAGGGTATTTGATTACTATCGGATTGACGCAGTCGTGAAGTCATTCTCAAGCACAAACGGACTCATTCAAGACAGCTGGTAAGTAACCCCAACCTTCTACAGAGAGAGAGGCAGTCACTGATCATCTACGAATAAAGGAGCAACTTCCAGGTCGCAGTAAAGCCACTCTATGACTATCCGTTTGCCGCAGGTTTGTCCTCCTTCGTCTCACAGCTCGTATATATCTTACTGACGTGGAAACAGCACAAGAATTTCAAGTGAATGAGAATTTGAAGTATCAAGTCGTCCTGGGAAAGAAGCTGTTCGACACCTATATCAAGGACGAGATAATTTATTGGGGATCGAAAGCTGCTCAAGACACATACACAGCCGCAGTGGCGCTAGCGAACAAGCAACAACTAGAGGCAATGGCAGCAACTTATGGCACGAAGATTGCTATCGACATCGCGAAGATGCTGGGGGCGAAGAATCCGCCGTGGCAGAGAAAACTCGCGAGAGGAGAGCAGGAAACCAACAGCACAATGTCGACATGGAGATGGAGCTATACAAGTCAGGAAACAGCGGAAGAGACCATTGAAATTGCACGGAAGGTGAGGGACGGTGAAATTAATGTGGAGTTTACCAAGGACATGTGGGTGGATAGGTATGGTCTTGGGGAGCACCTGGAGATTAGAGGAGGGATTGCTGATTATAGTTTGTGACCGTTACTCGGAGATGTATCATGCTAGCTAAGAGAACAGCATAGTTATAGCTACCCACACTGAGGTTTACACTCCAGAAGCATTCATGTTCAAAGTCGAAGATCATGTCGGCCCTTCTTCTCTCCCTTGAAATGTTGGTAGATCGCTATATATTGAGCATGCTCGCAAGAAGAAAAGTTTCTGTGTCTTAGCTTTAATCTTCATGTGTACTTCAAAGGAACAATGCGACGATTCGGGTTCGCAAGGGCTGATTTTGTTAGGTCCAGGAACCAGAAAGCGGGAAGATGCGTCGATTGATGTGGCAAGGCTGGCCGCGCCACAAGCGAGATCAACTGAAGGTCTAGATGTTTGTCAAGCAAAGTGTTTGCACGGAGTGTTTGAGACTTGCCTTGATACTTTGAAGTTTGAAATAAGATAGGTGTCTTAATGGAAAGTTCCTTAGAGCGTATCCCTCACGCTCAAACCAAGGACTCTGTATATAGTAGACAAGGTGTGCTTCAAAAATAGTATTAGCACTTGATTCGTTACCTATCAAGACCCCTCTAGACCCCTCCAAAAAAAAGCTATTCCACAAAAAGGATATTGACAAGAGTGGGACCTACAACACAACTATTAGTACAAATGCCTCAAATGATCAAACAAGTGATGCATAACTTACTCGAACCCACGCAGATTACTCTACTAGCACCTGAAGCTAGCGCCTTAACCGCTCGGCCATCTTGCCTCGAAGTCTCGAATTTGTGTACGATTAGTAAGCATATCAGTTATTTGATTTATATAGAGGTCGAAAAAGAAAAATCGTGGAGTGAGGAACAGACACAACGAGTAATTGGAATTTCTGTGGTGGGACGGTTGAGTAGTCACGGTGGTGGGGAATGTGGGGTAGCTGTGTGAAGATTTACTCGGTGACTTTGTCTGCATGTGACCGAAAGAAAACCCCATTTATTTGAGATGTGCGGCTCTAGTACCCAGCTGAACAGCCCTTGGGAGTTCTCTCAAGAAGAGACATGTCAGTCTGTGGACTGTTGAATTAACAAGGCACCAAGCTCAAGGTCATGCACATGTAAAGCAGGACTGTAATCTAGTATGATATATGCAAATTGGAAATCTATATCGCCCGTGACCAACCCAATGCAGTATATGTACAGCCTTGTAGACCAAAGATGTTACAAGAAATAGAACAAGCGGATCGATCCAAGTAGATCTCTCCGTGTATATGCAATTACCCCCTTATTTCCTTTGTACGAACGCTCTTCTTCCATTCTCTTACACAATGAACCCTCTTTTTACCAATCTATGCAGATTTACAACGCAATAGCCATCATACCAGCGACAACGGCCGCAACACCCATCTCGATCCTTCCAGCGGCACCGGTAGACGCAGAGAGTCCACCCGTCGAGGTTCCGCTCGGATGGGGCTTGGGTCCACCAGTTGCGACTGGGACCGTCGAGTTACCGTTGCTAGAGCCGTAGCCGGAGCTGGAGCTGGAACCTGTGCCGGAGGGAACGATGACAACGCTGCCGGTACCTGAAGGCTTGCTGGTACCCGAGGGCTTGCTGGAAGCGGAAACGGAGGCGGAGACAGAGGTGGAGGAGTGGCTACCGGAAGCTATAAGTTACAAGTCAGTGCCATAATTCCTTAAACCTGTGTGGTGGTCCTCAGACCGTCCTCGCCTTCCTATTTATTTATGGCGTAAAAAGGGGTTGTACTTACGAACACTGACACCCTGGTCCTTGCAGATGTCCTTCAGTGCCTCCAGCGCAGCCTCGGCGTCGTCTCCGCAGATTTTAGAGACCTTGCTCTTCAGGTCCTTGTCCTTGCAGACAGCCTTGACATCCGATGGGGTTTCGTACTGGTTAACGGCACCGAGGAGGCAGCCCGGAGGAGTAGCGAGAGCGAACTGGGCAAGAGCGAGGAAGGTCGCAGCGAAAAGTGTCTTGGCGAGCATATTTACGGCGTGGGGGTGGGAATAGAAGGTAGTGATAGAGGGCTTCTAGTTTAGAAGAGTCGGTTTTTTTCGAAGGATGTAGGAAGGGACCGTGGGTAAAGAAAGTGGGCAAATTAACGAAGGTTGAGTGGGTAGAAGGAGTGCTGATAGAAGATTAGAATGAAAGAATGTCAGTGAATGTTTGGTGGTGAGACGAAAGAGCCGCAGCCAAGGGGCTGCAAAACGTGTGCCAAGCAACGTTGCCCCACAAAAGAACACAAGCTTTTCCCCCTTTCGGCTGCGCTAGCTGTTAGCCAGGCACGGGCGTGAGACCATCTGCATGGATGAATTGTTCCTGCATATCGAGGAACTTCTTGTGTGAATGATCTGCAGATGTAGGGGGTCGAGGGATCAGTGTGAATGTGGGATGTGGAGCAAGTTTGCATTGAGATATTTGAAGAGCAAGTCAGCAGCAAAGTGCGCAGGGTCATTACTCTAGGCACCACTCCCATCATCTCCAATTTGAGAGTCCAATATATACAAAAGTGTGGCAATCATCAGTACGCTGATGTGTTTTCTGCCGAAATGAGTGATGTAGAAAAATGCATTATAAGATATACCGGCTGTCGCCCCCTGTCCTTCCATCCCAGTATGCGCAAAATAAGACATTCAAAAGACGGAGTCGTCTGAGTCAAAATCCAGATTGACCCACGAAAGGCCAAGATCAGCCCCATGTTGTGCAAAGATGACAGACAGATTGATTTATCCAGAAATACAATCAGAGGTCGCTTAGTCCACCCGATGGATCATGTGGTGAGCGGGAGGTTTGTGGATGCAAAGTGCGCCGAGGAACGCCGTCGCTGGTATGATACATGCAGTGATAAGACAAATCGGAAAGCAAGGTAGAAGCGAGAGGAAGCGTGTGAGATCGGGTCGTCGTGAGAGGGCGTAGGAGATCATGATGTACGTATTTGCGGCGGACTCGAATTGCCATTGGGTCCTAACATCGAGGGTATGGGTTTACGACGTGCTTTCCCTACGGGAATACGTGGTACGCCTTGGATCACGCGGGGCTCTTTCATGAGAGTAGGATCGAGCTTTGCGGGGACTACAAGAATGTCAGTCACGCTCACACATTGGGTAATCAAAAAGACCTACTTCGGCTGATGACAGCGCGGTAATCCCCTGGGAAGCGTGAATTTGGTGGGTTAGCAGATGCAGTACGCCACAGATGATCCGTCGTATCAGATAAGAAGTCGACCCTCGACTTATAGAAGAAAGAAGACTTTCCACGGTTGCGCTTCGCAAGAATGACTTCATCAAAAAGTTTGATGGTGGGGTCATCCGGGCGCTTGCTCTCACGCTCGTGAATGAACTCATTGAAAGCTACTCTATTGTTAGCAGACCGCCGTCCATCATAGTAGAGGGCGAACTGACCTTGCGTCTGCTGTAGCGTAGTAATATACTGAACATGCTCGTTCGGCAAGCTCTTTACAAACTCGTCCATCTTGAATTGGTAGACCATACCAGCCTTCTTGCGGTCACCCGTAGCGGGGATAAGGTAGCGCCGATAAGTATACAGCAAGCTAGCGAAGCATCGCGCAAATGATGCACGTACTTGATCGGGTCGAAAGGCTGTGGGACAGACGATACAGATATTGCCCACACACCTACCATGGGCATACGTAGTACAGCCTATGCAGTGTTAGAGCAGGCATTGCGCTAGGCGAATCTGAAACTTACCGGTGCAACGATAGAGCCCATCATCAGACTTCTCTTCGCAGATGGAGCATAAAGCCTTGTCTTCCTGAGGCCTCCATTGCATACAGTGGCCTTCCTGCCATTGGGTGGTAGCTGTGTTGCGCACTTGCTGTACCGCCATACCAGGCATGATGGTTGAGGCTGCCAATGTTGACTGGGCATACACGGATGGCGCGTATGAAGACGCTGCATGAAACTCGTGACTCAGGGATGAGGTCGACGCGCTCGGCGCATGACCAAGAAAAGGCTGAGAGGGACGCCGCATCGGCGGTACGCGCTCGAAGCCAAACTAGCAGACATCATTAATCACTGAACCACTCGGAAGGAAGAGTGAGTGCAAGGCAAACTTACCGATGAACTTCGCCGACTTGAAGTCTCAAAATGGCACGATCGCTTCTCGCGAAGATTGGCCTGAAGTGCGTATCCCGAGTCGCTGCGGGAAATTGGAGTACTAGGTAATGGTGGGAATACGGTTGATACTGGCGATATTTTGGGAGACGGTGGGGAATTCGAAAACGTCTTCACAGTACTTGCTGTGGACGGTCTATCGTTTCCACGACTCGAAGCACTCGACTGTAAGAATGCATTATGGATCAAAGGTCGTGCGCTGGAAGGTCCAGAGACGGCACCGAATGAAGTCGAGTTCAGGCCAACGTAGGTTTGAACGGTGGAAGGATGGGCACGGTGAGTGAACACGCCAGAGTTCTCGGATGCAAAAGTATCGTTGGGGAAGGCTTCCACAGCGTAGGCAGGAGGTCCGGTCGGAACACCATACTGTGTGTGATGAGGAGCAGAGTGCTGGAGCAGGGCTGTGAGCTTTCGGCGCTGCTGACGAGGTAGTGATGGAGGCGGAGGACCGTTTGAGACGATCGAGTCGTTATCCAAGTCGACGAGCACATACTCGTCCTCTGGGTAGTCGGCAGGCTCGTACCTACGTTCGATTCCCACAATATAGGGGCAAGGCGCTTCGACCGTCTGGACAAGACGCGCAGGCAGAACGGGTATGAACACACCGGCCCATTGGAAGGGGTATAGCAGATTCGTGATTGCCAGACTCGCAAGATGAAGCATCGCTGTGTGAGAGGAAAGTAGGATGATCCTCGACTCGGAGAGGACGAATTCGAACAAAGTAACGATGTTGGGTATGGAAAGGCATCGGAAGAGCGCGTATATGTCGATGTTGCGGGAACCCGGAATCTCGTTGACTGCCTCTTGCCGGGCGTACATGCGGAGCTCACGGACTGCTATTTCGACCTGAGTGATGGAGGTGATCGGACTAAGAGCCTCCGCGCACAGGTTGACCACGTATCGTTCCAGAGGCTGCCACATGCCTACTCGCGGTGAACTTGCAGGAACACGCAAGATTGCACCCGCTGTCATGGGCACTACGACAGCTTTGAGCCACTCCTTCCAAAAAGGCGTTAGACCCGCGTCACGTCCCATGACGCCGTAGGCACGTGGAATCCAGAGGCCAGTCTCGCCGTCTGTGAGGCCTTCAATCTTGGAAGCCGCGCCGTGCCTCACTGGGCGCAAGAGATCCGTCATGAGTTGAATCTTCTCTTCCACAGCTCCAATCTCATCTTCCAGGTTCTCGCGCTCCTCAGAATCAGGGGCAACGGCAGAGAGCTTGGTCAGGAGTTGTGATAGTTTTGCGCGCTCCAGTGCCAGACGCTCTCCCAGACTGCTTGCTAGTTCCCGCTCTTCAGGGTTCATGTGCACTCTCCGCCACTCCTCACATTGATTCTCGAGTCCTTCGGCAGCCGTAGCATTCAGAGGCAACCAAACAATGAGGCAGATGCCGTAAAGCTTGGAGCCATCGCCATTGGTCATTGCGAAGCCATGCCACTGAGACTTGGGCCGCTCGTCTGAGGAGACTACGCTAACGTCGTTTGGAAAGGCAAACATGGGTACATAGTCGGGGAAGGGGTTGCGTCGCTTGAGCTCCTCGACCATGTTCTTCGGAGGGTAGCGATCCAAGAGGACAGGCTCATATCGGCGAAGAAGAGGATGCATATTCGGCTCCGGTTGGAAGGGCTGCGGTGCCGGAATCACAGAGTTGTAGCCGGACATTCGTTTCGACGTTCGTATGGACGCTGCATGGGTGTTAGTCACGGTCGATCAAATCGCGAAAAAAGTAAAACAGGGCCATGACGTGCTTCTCATGTTGCACGTAACCTCAGGTCATGCACTTACACTGACGCGCTCCCGAAGGCTGTCGCTTCAAGCTGCTCTGCATAGTTGATATGCGCCGCCGAATGCTCCCAACTCCAGATCTGAGATTTCCAAGGCCATCGTCATTGATGGTCTGCGATACACGCTGTGGTCTCGGACGCGGCCTGGTGGGCGTAGGGCGGTTCGGCTGTGGCACCCCAGATGTGAACTGTATCTCCTCGAGAAAGCTGTCCCGCTCAGAAGCAAACTTGCGCAGGGCGACGTCGAAGTCGAAATCGCTGAGGCCTGACCCGCCCAGCTGGACGCCCTTGATGGTGGTGCTGCTTCGGTTGCTGGCCGTTTGTTTTGAATCCGGGCCAATTATCGTGCCAATGGACTGCCTGTGCTCACTCAGGCGATTTGCCGATCTCCGTCGAGTGGTGTCGCCATTGGGCAGGCCTTCTTGTGAGGTTGGGCGAATCGAGTCGGTCTCGAGGGCGCGGTCTTCCTCGATGGTCTCGTCGACGGGTGGTTGTGCAAGCGGCGAGGTGACTATGCCATTCTGCTGTGTGCGCTCGTCGTAGACCTGCGACGACTCGATGCCCGATATGAAGAAATAGTCGGCGAGCGGCGTGGACGAGGCGTCGGTGGAGGAATGAGGGACAGGTGCCATGTTAGAGGGGGCAGCATAGAAGATCCAAAAAACAGAGAGGTGTTTGTATAGAGCGTCGAGGTGCGCGGTCACGGCGTGTGGGCGTCGCGTCGTCGGATTGCCTCAGGTCATTGGAGATTGGACGCCAGATCCAACGGTATTTTGTGTGCGGTAGGGCAGGGCGTTATGCACGGGAAGCTTGGGGTCGTGCGACGGTGACAGAGAATGCGGTTGCACGGGCGCGGCCTGTGTACGATACGAACGGGCGGCTTGGCCTGAAGCGAGGGCAGTGGAGAAGAGGCGCGAATACGTGTCTCGCCTCGGGGTAGAGTGATTTGTTGATTAATTGTTGCTTGTTGCGGGCAAAGGAATGATTGATGGAAGAGGGGGGAGGGGAGGTTCATTCGTCGTTGATTCATTCATTCGGCCGCCATACAAATGGAGCAGCAGACGACTCCTCTGGGGCGGCTAGGCCACATTCACTACTAGAGATGCACCTCGTCCCTAGGCTCACGCCCGCTTGCGACCTTATCGCATGCATGGAAATCTCAAGACCTCTCCCGCTCTCAGAAGCCTACTTGACCCCCCTCGGCCTGGGCCGCGCTCTACCGCACCAGACCTATCTATCTCCCTTCCCTCTCTCTCTCTCTCTTTCCCTCGTTGCACCTTGTCCTTGTTGATTCACTCTCGTCTCGACAGGATAGCACTGGCTATGCAGTAGGGGGTCAAGGAGGGGGGAGCAGGCATGGATGGCTGGCTGGCATATGTTTTGGCAGTGCCCTGTGCCGCCCACGTCTCGTTGCGCGACCCGTCTTCGGAACAGGGGCAGTCCTTGCCCCCATTGGGATGAGCGCAAAGGTGGCTTGCACTGTGTCGTCAGGGGTCCGCGACCGAAGGGGGTAGCATCAGAGGCCGGCGGGAGGGAGAGAAGGGAGCACAGGTCAATTTACAGTCAAAGTAGTAGTCCGTGTGTGTCTGCATGCATATGTACATGAACAACGGCATTGCAACCAGGGCAGCTGTCAACTGTCAACACGAGCCTTCTCGCCATGTATCTATCCTCCAGACTGCGAGCGAGCACACCAACGTCTTACATGTGCATTCCGCCTCGCCATGCATATGCATCCACACGCTGCTCTTGTGCCCGAATAGCTTACCTGCCTGCTAGATTGGTCGTTGGAGCTACTGCATGCACACAGGGGAAGACCGACTGAAAAGGGCATTCTTTGGGGGTGATCTTCTTGCATTGGAAGAGGCCAAAGACTCGAAGCAGCCATGGACGTCCCTCTTCAAAGCACCCGCATCAATGGCAAAGATCAGCCCATCCTCTGCCATGTCGACCACCGTACATGTCAAATCTCGCCTGGTGCCTTTGTATCCTGCTAACCGCAGTAGCGCTCTAATTGCAGTCGACATCGTAACACGGTCCGCGCACCCTCGAACCCACTTAATTTATGGCCGAGATGAAATGAAGCCCTCGACGATCCGAGGACCCCTTGACGGTTCATGAGCTGAAGCTGCGCGCCCTTGTCTCTCAATTCTTCCATCTGTGCACTCGCAATAAGCCCCACATATAAACATCTGGGGGGCCTACCCTACACCCCTTTGCCGTGTTTTCCCAAGATCCCAGAGCCAGTCCCCTCTCCTTCAAGCTAGTGACATACACCATATTACGACACACGTGCCTCGACGCCACTACGCCACGATATGTGAAAATAAGGGGGAATGCATGTCATGGTGGGAAGCCCGAGGTCAAGCAGATGATGTGTTCGTGGCCGATTTGTGCTTGTTCCAGGGTAGGGCTAATTTACTAAATAGTTCTTACTTAGTAATTACTATTTAGTAATTACTAAATACTAAAATTAGTAAATTACTAATTAGTAATTACTAAAAAAAAATAGTAATTACTATTTAGTAATTACTAAATAGTAACAATTAGTAATTACTAGTTACTAAATAGTAATTTAAATAAAATAAAAAAATTACTAATTTATTTATATATATTTATATATATTATATACTAAAAAAATATAAAAAATATAGATGTATATATAAATAGCCCTAAAATAAATTAAATAACTAAAAAAAAAGTGATTTTTTTTAAAAAA